GCGGCCGCCACACGATCGACAACACACAAGCGCGAGAGGGAGGATATTGAGCCCATGCCACAATCAGTGCCAAAGTCCACCCTCACAACAACAGTTGGGCAAGGAACTGATGTCGCCTGCCGCTGTCGCCAAGATCAGTCCAAGGCCGTCGTTCAAGTGTCATTGTCCCCACACCTTGATGAGCCAACTGAAGCAACTTGGATGGATTGAGGCGTCTTCCAGGGTGAATATGCCTGGCGGTGGCTGTTTGGAGGATGAGGTATACTACACCCTCTCATTCAATAGCCTGGGCAGCACCAAACGCCGAGGCACGTATATGATCACCATTCGCCAGGACCTCAAGACCATATCCATCAATGATGCCAACCTCAAATGGTTCACAACGGACTTAAGATCGTCGCATGCCAACACACTTGACGTGCGATTCTCGATTGAGTCCAAGAAGACACATCAGAAGGACAGCGAAGTGTACCTGGAGTACATCTCTTCGCCAGACATCATCCAACCTCGCCAGCACTATGATCCAAACACTCAGACGCCATTCACACTCAATCGCAAGATCAAGGATCTTACATACTTGATCCGATCACACAGGAAGCACGTCATACTTCAAGCTCCACATGATCATCCTATGAAGTATTTCAATCCTCTGGCCAAGTTCAGGGAGACCACCGAGTACACCAACGAGGGCACCCTCTACAACTCCAAGCTCGAGTTGGAGATATCAATGGACATGCCACGCGAGGAAGAACTAGTCACGTTCATCAATCAATACTGGTAAGTTACCATTCAATGATGAAGATGGAGATAGAGACAGGACTGGACTCTTTGCTAACATGTCTATCAACACAGGGATCTTGGGGTATCATTCATCAACAAGTTACCAACATCCGATTGATTGATTGGCTGATTGGTTTGTCAAATGATCGACAGGTACATAAACATGACATGATGAGTCATCTACCTTAAGTTGTCCAATGGGTTGGTTTATTCTTTGATTGGGCAAGGGCATGGGACCGTGCCAACCAACACGTTGGCACTACTTGCTCTCAATTGAAGGCCAACGAGAAACAGGGCGAAGATGAACTGTTGAATATAATACATGGGGAGGTCGAGTTGAATGTGATTGTATGTACAATGAATTGCTCCACTTTGTTGTTGTTGGCATAGGCAAAGCTGATCTTGAACCTAGAGTCCATCTTTCCACTGCCAAATCGAAGTAGTGTTGTCTCAAGGCCTGGGCTCAGCCATTCAAAGTAGACCAGGTTATTGGATCGCATCGCACAGCCCATACCTGATATCATTGATACTCTAGACAGACTCTGCAAGTTGGTCACCTCCATTTGCAATGATACTGGACTCATTGCACTGCATGGAAACAGTCTTTCATCAGCCATTGCAACATACATCGAAGTATTATTGGCCAACATTGCAATGGCAAACAATGCCATTAACAAGTTTATCATCTTCTTCTTCTTATTCATCGTCAGTTTATGTTATTGGCAGTGATTGGTTGATTGATTGATTGATTGGTCAATCAATAGTATACTACTTCATCTTCTTCTTATAATGTTATTGTACCCTAATACCCTTCTCATTCAAGCACGCTCACATCCTGTTCAGTATCATCATCTTTGGATCAAGATGAGCGAGTTGTTGAGCAAGCAGCGAGTGAGAGAGAGAGGGAGTAAAGGATGCGAGTGAATGGTGTGGGAGTGTGCCTCAGGTGGAACCTTCAAACAGGGCGCCAGTCCTTCCCACTATCATGAAGCACACATACTCATCAACAAATAATCAATGTTTGATGAGAGAGAGAGTATGTGTAATTATTATTATTATTACTATTATTATTACTTATTATCTGTTTTGAATGTGAATATGTTTAATTCCAATTTGGAAGGATTGGGGAATTACTTATCTGTTGGAATTTCCAACGACCGTTCTTGAATGATCATTCCAACCCATCGCACCTCACGTCACTTCACCTGACTTCGGCATCATTGGGAATGGGAAGGGTTCTGGGACGAATTACCAATGGGGGGACAGGCTAGGAGTAGCCAAAGTCTGGAACACATTCAGTAGTGTGTGGCTACCATACCATACCATACCCCGATGAACCTACAGACGCTACTCTTTCGCAACTGTGATCACTTTGTGCCTGACTATGACCGACGAGATATTTTAGAAAGTTAGATTCTATTCATTCTGAATGAATGATACATTCACACACACAAACACTATCAGAGATCACCACTTCACTTAAATGGAAACAGTAAATTGATGATTGTGCGATTGCATTGATTCATGATGACATGAAAGGTCTTTGCCCAGACTGATTTTTCTAAGTCCTGTTCCGGATTGTGTGTGAATGTATGCATGTTTTTAATTAAATTAAATTGAAATTGGCATTCCACCCCATTGTGGTGATAATCAAGCCCATTATTGGTTGTTCTCACACTCTATTATCTTTGGAAGGGTGGTGGGTATGGTATGTAAGTGTGAGTGTGTTATTGTCAGCTTTGCTTCGTGAGAAGCAAGGATGGATGAGAGGGTGGTGTCGAAAGTGGATATTATGACACTTAAGAATCAGTCATTCATTTCATTTATCATTATTATCATTACTAATCATACAGATACATAAATATGAGATTCGTTTCATCTATCGCTGTGTTCATTACATTGCTTGTGGTCTCTCAGGCCCTCACGTAAGTCTATCTCAATCACTCACTCATTTATCAGTCAATGATGAACCGATCTACCAATGAATCAATCAAACAAACAAACAATTCCAGAAATACTAATATTATCTTTCCTTTCCATCAATTCATATAATATATCTCAATGGTCTTCAATATAATATTAGTGTCCCACTCTCATTCCGCCCAGCTTCCCGCGAGGCATTGAGAAGGATTCCACACAACCTCCAGAAGAAGTACAACAACATGCTGTTGGGTGGCTCTGGAACTACCGTCACAATCACTGACTACGATGATGCTCAGTACTACGGACCAATTACCATTGGAACCCCAGGCCAGTCCTTCTTGGTTGTCTTTGACACTGGTTCCTCCAACTTGTGGGTGCCATCCAGCAAGTGCCCAGTGACCGTCGTTGCCTGTGACCTCCACAGCAAGTACCACTCTGACAAGTCCCACACCTACGTTGCCAACGGAACCACCTTCTCCATCCAATACGGATCTGGTGCCATGGCCGGTTTCATCTCCCAGGACACCGTCACCGTCGGCGACCTCGTCATCCAGAACCAGCTTTTCGCTGAGGCCACCGCTGAGCCAGGTATTGCCTTCGACTTCTCCAAGTTCGACGGTATCCTCGGTCTTGCCTTCCAGTCCATCTCGGTCAACAACATCCCACCACCCTTCTACATGATGATGGACCAGGGTCTCGTTTCCCAGCCACTCTTTGCCTTCTGGTTGTCCAAGACCCCAGGCGCAAACGGTGGTGAGCTCACTTTCGGTTCGATCGACTCCTCCAAGTACACTGGTGACATCACCTACTTGCCACTCACCAACGAGACCTACTGGGAGTTCAAGATGGACGACATTGCCCTCAACTCAAAGTCCCTCGGCTACTGTGGTCCACTCGGTTGCGCTGCCATCTGTGACTCTGGTACGTCCCTCATTGCCGGTCCAAAGAAGCAGATCGACGAGCTCAACATCCACCTCGGTGCCGTCGTCTTCAACGGTGAGGGAATCTTCCCAGACTGCAGCATCATCAGCAAGCTTCCAAACATCGAGATCACCCTTGCTGGTCGCGTCTTCAACCTCACCCCACAGGACTACGTCCTCCAGATCACCTCCCAGGGTCAGACCGAGTGTCTCTCTGGTTTCATGGGCATTGACATCCCAGCCCCAATCGGTCCACTCTGGATCCTTGGTGATGTCTTCATCTCAACCTACTACGCCATCTTTGACTTTGGCAACAAGCAGGTTGGTTTCGCCACCTCCGTCGCCGCCTCAGCTATTTAAATTATTAAATAATTGTCATCATCATACTTGTTCCTTTACTCATATAACACCAGTCAGTTACTTTACTTTGATTGATTGATTTATTATTTGTTTGTTTGAATATATAAATATATCTATTTGTTATGTACCCTAGACATGTGTGATGGCATCTCTCGACCTTGGACACTCTTTCCACATACTCCACAGGTAAGTACCTTGCTCTGGCACATACTCTTATGGTCATCCCATCTGAATGAACTTTACCAGTTTGTTACAGTAGTTGCAACGAGTCTGACGGAAGAGACACTCAGCATTCTTGTGATGTGTGTACTGATTGATGCCAATGGATTCTCCACACTCGGCACATTCGGTCATTCCAAACAGTATCATACTCTTCTGCTCCTTGGTGCTCTTTGGACTCTCCTCGTCATGCTCAACCTCTTCATCCTCCATCTTCTTCTCCTTCTGCTCCTTGTAATGAGATTCAACAATCTCGTGACCCTTGTAGTCAAAGTCGCTCTCAAACTCAGACTTAAAGTCTTTGGACGTGTAGTTGAGACCAGTTGGCTTGGACTTCCTTCTGAAGCTGAACCTCTTCTTGCGTGGCTCTGGTATCCATACTGGTGGAGACATTGGATAGGACTTGCTTCTATCTCTTCCATGATCATTCTTGTTTGAATAGTCGCTAGTCTTGCTTCTGTTGCTCTGGGACGATGTTGGTGGTGATCCAAAGTGAGGATTGGAGTTTGCTCTCACGTGTGATGAGGACTTCTTGAGGTCTGTGCTACTCGAGCGAGTTGGAGTAGTAATTGACACTGGTGACTGAGTCTCCAAAGTCTTCATCTCCTCCTTCTGGAGCTGGAGAGCCAACTCATGATCCTTAAGGAATTGTCTCTTCTTGTTCTCGGCATCCCTCCAAGCATTGTTCTGCTCCTCGTCAAAGTCCAACAAGTTGCCACTCTCAAATGCCATTGGTGGCGCTGGGAACACTGGCTCGGCATCCTTGATAGTCAATGGATCAAAGTTGAAGTAGTCACTGGTCACCAATGAGTTGTTTGTAGAGCTGGAGCTCTGTTGAAGGTAGTTGGATTGTGATTGGTTAAGGTATGATTGTTGAGTGGGCTGTTGATATAGAGGTTGTTGTTGTTGATATTGAGGTTGTTGTTGTTGTTGATATTGAGGTTGTTGGAACGATGACTGAGAGTTAAATAGTTGTTGTTGTTGATTGTACAAGTAGTTATGTTGTTGTTGTTGTTGTTGTGGCTGGAATGACATTGATTGGTTCAGAATATCTGGTTGATACATTAATCCATTGTTCATAGAGTATTGTTGTTGAGGATACATATCCGGTTGAGCGAAAGATGATTGTTGTTGGAATGATGATGAAGATGCATGTAGGTTCTGCTGACATTGAACATTCTGTGCGATTGGGATATCGGTCATTGATGATCCAGGCATGAGGTCATTGAATAGTCCAACCTCAGTAGGTGGAAGTGATAGTATTTGTTGTTTGGAGTGAGAGTGGAATTGATAGGATGAAGATGAGGAATATGATAGACCAGATGATGAGTTCAAGGAGGACTGAGAGTTGCTACTTGTCGATCCACTTGCAGAGAAGGGGTTGACCTTTGGGGCATTGTAGTCTGATTCAAGGAGCAACATTGATGGCTTTGATGAAGAAGGAAGAGTCTTCTTGGTATCGTGGATGCTCTTTGGAGGTGATCTGACCTTAGGCTTCTCCAACTCCATCTTCTGGTAGAATGTAGCTCTCTCCTTTAGGTAAGAGTTCTGGTCCTTGTATTCACTGGTTGGAGTCTCCTTGGTCCGGCTCTCCTGGAAGTACATGTTCTCAGTTCTGAATGGATTGAATGGTCTGCCATTATTGCTTGGAGAAGTTGTGTTGGGGAGAGGAGCATATTTGGCACCATTACCATTGTCATAGAGATGGAGAGGGTTCAAAACTGGACTTGGCTTGTTCATTCCGAATTCAGTGGCAATTGTTGGTCGGGTCTCTGATTTCCTATCATTGAAAGACATCTCTGGCTTAATGATGGGAGGTGGGGGAAGATTGATGGACCTTCTTATCTTGTTCTCCATATCAGTGAATGTCGAGTCACATTGAGGTTTGGGACAATGACCAGAGCTGGCCCACTTCTTATCTACATATTTCAGCTTGATAAACTCACGAATCTTCTTCTCTTCCAATGGTTGAGGTGTTGGATGAACAGTCTCTGTCCATTTGGAGAGATAAATATCCCTTGATTTCTTATTTCCATTCTCTTTGACCAAGTCAAGCTCTGAGTTTGTTATTGAGTCTGATGATAGAGGTTTGACATGATATCCAAACTCCTTGCTACAGTTGATGTATTAATAAATGTTCTAATCCATTCTAATCAAATCACTTTTAAATACTTACTGGATGTTACTACACATTGAACAAACAAAAGTTCCAAAGCTTGAGTTTAGATACCTTGGATACTATTGGAAGGTATTAATTAGATTAATAAAACAATGTTGAATAAAGATATCAATCTAAACTACTACTTACACTATCATTACAATCAGCACATTTGTTATTTCCATCATATTCTCTTAACTCCCATATGATGGATTCAATATTTGATCTTTCTATCATCATTGAATGTAATAATATTAATATCTATTTGATATAGATATTGGGTATATAATAATATTAGATAAACTATAAGTAATAACAATATTAACAATAATAACAATAATTAAACAAACAATGTATAATGTATGAGATTGGGTTTGTGTGTTGTGGTATGGTATTTTCTGTTTATCTATTATCTGTATGAACATTGAAACAAAGGACATTGTGTTCTGTTGTTGGATAGTTCAAGACAATCGATTGGACTTACCAAATCTGACGAATATGAGTAGAACAACCCCCACGACTACATCCTCATCTTACTACTCTTAAACACATACACACACTAACACACACATACCCCTCCCACTACTACTCTATTCATGATGTAATTACCTTAAGGGGAAGGTGACAACCCCCAATTCAAACAAACACATTCATTCAGATCCCAAAGACAAGTCATTATTACCACTTTTGTCGACGATCTTTGATTGTTGATGCCAGGTATCCAAAGACTAGACTTCAAACAAAAGTTGTTGTTTGTTGTTGTCTCTTCATTCTCGAATCATTCAATCAACTCACACACAATATCAAAGTGATGTCTTCAACAACAAACGACCAACAGCAACAGATGATGGAGAAGAATTTGGAGTATAGAGTGTTTGATGTAAACTCTGATGGAGTCGAGAGGAGATTATATGTAGATGTGATCAATGAAGACATTGATACAAATGTTTGGATGTCAAAGGTAGCTGATCCTGCAGCTGGTGCAATCTCATCATTCATTGGCACCACTCGCAATAACTTCAAAGGCAAACAGGTTGAAAGACTAGAATACGAAGCCTACATACCAATGGCAATCAAAGAGATCGATAGAATATGTCATCACATCTTCCAAAACTATACTGTACTTCATATTGCTGTTGCTCATCGGTATGTTAACATTGATTGATTGATTGAATGATTGATTGTGTTGATTTGATTGATTGACTGACCTGACATTCTTTGTAGTATTGGCCTTGTACCCATTGGTGAAACAAGTATATTGATTGCAATATCATCGGCACATCGACATGACTCATTGTCAGCTGTACAATATGGGATTGATACACTCAAGGCCACTGTACCAATATGGAAGAAGGAGTTCTACAAAGATGGAAGCATATCAGTTTGGAAAGATAATTGCGAAGCATGTCACTATACTACTGCACCAAATCATAATCAACATCATCACCACTGAGAGATCATTCATCCAATCATCATATATTATGTACAACAAGATACTAAGTTCCGAACTTTCATTAATGGACACAATCACAAAAGTCGACTCGAATAATTAAAAAATTAACCAAAAAAACGAACGAGTCAGACTTGTGTGTGACGACGATCATTCATTCATTTCTATCTTTCGACTCATAATCACTAACTTGGTTGTGTTTTATTTGTACACATACTATATATATTTATAAATAATACAATGAAGAAACAAGTACATCAACCAACAAAGTCTGTTGTCGCAGCACCAGCATCAAAGCCAGCGCCAGCGCCAAAGACAAAGGCAACAACCTCATCCACCACATCCACAGCATCAACAACCAAGCCAACTACACAAAAGAATAAGCAACAAGTAGAGGAGAAGTCTACTTTGGGCAAGAGAAAGCAACAGAAGCAACAACAGGAAGAGGAGGAGGAGAAGGACAAGTTTGTCTTTGACAAGCAGATCGAGCAGGAAGAAGAGGACGACCAGGAGGCCGATGCTGTTGCCGCAGAGGACGAGCAAGATGATGATATCAATGATTTCAACAGCGACAGAGATGACGAGAGTGACATTGATGACGAGGAGCTGGAGAAGCAGTTCGAAGAGATGATTGCACAGAGGATTGCTAATGGAGAGCTGAAAGAGGTAGATGGTGACGACCAAGAGGATGGTGATGACGAAGACGATGAGGACGACGACGAAGATGACCTCGAGGACAGTGATGACGAAGAGATTGAAGGAAGTGACGAAGATGAGGACGAGGACAATGCAATCTCAACTGGATCAATCTCATCCAAGGCCGACGTATCATCAGAGGATGAGGGTCAATACAACGACGATCCAAACCAATTCTACGAGACTGACGACTCTGAGGAGGACGAGGTAAGTGGGACCATTCCAATCAATCAACAATCGTACATCAAACTAACATGCTCTCACCCTCATACAGAGTGTCGTGAACAGAGTTGGTAACATACCCTTGGAGTGGTACGAGGACTATGATCACATTGGTTACGATGTGAACGGAAACAAGATTATGAAGGGCGAGAAGCAAGACGCACTGGACAAGTTCCTCGAGCAGAATGATCCAAAGTTCTGGAGGACCGTCTACGACAAGATCAACGACAAGAAGGTGGTGCTGTCCGACGAGGATCTCGCTCTGATCAAGAGCATACAGCAGAGAAGGTTCCCACCCAACTACAACCCTTACGAGGACTGGTACGTGCCAGGCCCCAACCCAGACAGCATCCATCCACTCAGCAACGCGCCCACCCCCAAGCGCTCGTTCCTGCCCAACATGGACGAGGTCAAGGAGATCCGCCGTTTGACCACGGCCATCAGAAAGGGCTGGATCAAGCTGCCAGACGCCGATGAGAAGAAGAAGCAGAAGGAGGCGTACGACCTGTGGGCGCCCAGGTCAGAGGCTGAGCGTGAGGCCGACGAGCTGTTTGAGCGCACCGAGCGCAAGATCACCCGTATCTCAGCGCCCAAGCAGAAGCTGCCGGGCCACGTCGAGTCGTTCAACCCACCCGAGGAGTACCTGCTCACGCAGAACGAGCTCAAGGCATGGCAACTGATGGACAAGAGCAGACGCCCGCACAACTTTGTGCCACAAAAGTACGGCAACATGCGCAGGATTCCAACCTACAACAACATCATCAAGGAGCGCTTCGAGCGCTGTCTGGACCTATACCTCTGTCCCAGAAAGATGACACTGAAGAATCGCCACAAGGACCCCAATCATCTGCTGCCCAAGCTGCCCAAGCCCCAGGACCTGCGTCCATTCCCCTCGTACGAGGAGCTGGAGTTCAAGGGTCACACCAACCGTGTGCGCGCCATCTCCGTGTCGCCCAACGGCCAATGGCTGGCCAGTGGCTCAGACGATGGCACCATCAAGATTTGGGAGGTGTCGAGCACTCGTTGCGTCCAGACCATCAACGTCGAGCATACAGTGTTCTGTGTACAGTGGAATCCAAATAAGAACTTGAATATATTAGCCGCGTCCTAGTAAGTTTGATCAATCCATTCAATCAATCAATCAATCAATCATACTAACTCACTCAATCAAACATCCAAACAGTGATACAAAGGTGATCATCATCACACCTCATCTTAATGGACCGGAGCAGGATGAGGCCACCGAGGCCATGTTTGTCAAGACTGGAACAGATGCACAGGCACAAGAGACCAAGTGGTATCTACTGCGCAAGGACAACGGCATTAGAATAGAGATTGAACTGGAATATGTATGTGTTCCACCTTGATCCAGGCCATGGACCATGTCAACTCACTCACTCACTCACTCAATCAATCAATCAAACAGAAAATCAAGTCTATCAGCTGGCATCATAAGGGCGACTACTTCAGTACAGTGGCACCGGAGCAGCCTAATAAGGCCGTGAAGATTCACCATCTGTCAAGGACAAAGACACAGACTCCATTCAAGAAGGCAAAGACAGCGTACCAGACTTCAAAGTTCCACCCAAGCAAGCCAATCTTCTTCCTCGCCGACCAGAACTACGTTCGCGTCTACGATCTGATGAAGCAGCAGATGGTCAAGAAGATCCTGACCGGATGTCGCTACATCGCCTCGATGGACGTGCACCCCAGCGGCGACCATCTCATCCTTGGTGGCTACGACAAGCGTGTCTTCTGGTTGGATCTCGACCTGACTCGTCCATACAAGGTGTTGCGCTACCACAAGGAGGCCGTGCGCAAGGCCACCTTCCATCCAACGCTGCCACTGTTTGCCTCGTGCTCGGACGATCTCTCGATCCACGTCTTCCACGGCATGGTCTACGACGACTACATGCAGAACGCACTGATAGTGCCACTCAAGATCCTACGCAAGCACCGTTCCACCCCAGACGGCCTCGGTGTGTTGGACATCGTATTCCATCCCACTCAACCCTGGATATTCAGTGCTGGTGCCGACTCGACCATCAGGCTATTCAACTAAGTCTGTTGTTGCGCATACTCGACTGGTCTGGTCTTGGCAACAACAACAGATGCATCCAATAAAGATACAACTTAAATGCATTGATCACTTGTTCAGTCAAATATGGATCAATAGACATCCATCGATCAAAAAAGCCCCCAAAACAGTGTTGTGGGCAAATAAATTAAAAAAACCCACGAGTCTTTGGCCTAAGTTGGCCTTCAAAGGTCCTCTTTGCAATTGAAAGAGGTCCTACATATTAATTCAATTCCAACCACCACCCCACCTTCGTTACCTAAACAGATACATAATATATACAGATACAGATATATTTAGATCAAACGAATGGCATCGACGGGTAGCCCTGGGTCGGGCAGTGGTAGTGGCAGCGCAGGTTCACTATCTCCTTCGTCATCAATGCACAACTTTAACATGCTCTACGATGTCAACTTTCAAGGCGTGAACGACATGTTTGGCGCAACTCATCGTGGCAGCAGTGGCGGCACGATAGGCTTCTTGGCCGCCGACAACACACCCAACTACGACGTGGAGCTCATCGTTCAGACAACCAAGCAAGAGGATGCTCGCTTCATGGGCAAGAAGAAGCGGCGCTGCTCATCAGTGTCCAAGGTGTTCCTGGGCGACTTCCTCTCGTTGTCCAAGAACATCACCATACTCAAGATGATCTCACGCTATGGAGACAATCAAATACTATTCTCTGATGTGTTGATCAAAGTGAACAAGCGAAATAAGATGCAAGAGAGGATAATCATCATCACAGACAAAGCACTTTACAACGTCCAACCCGACGACTACAAACTCAAGCGTCGCATTTCAATCTCAAGCTTCTCAGCGCTGTCAATGAGCACTTTAGAGGATAACTTTATCGTCATTCATGGTACGTGATTCATTCAAGGTTGGGTTGGAATAGTTTCAGCCTCGGTCACTCACTAACTATGTCTCAAACCAATAGTACACTCTGAGTATGATTACGTCCTGATTAGCGGCAGGAAGATAGAGATCGCTACGGTGTTGGTCGAGGCATTCTATAAGCAATCGATACTGCAACAACAATTCCCTCCTCATTTGTTCCAGGTAGCACCGCCACGCGAGTTGGCAGGTAGCGCTATGAACTCAAACAGTACAACGTCGTCATCATCATCAGCTGCAGCCACTGGTGGTGGCAATATCAACAACACTGGCGGTAGTGTAGGCGGCACACCAATCAACGCGTCGACACCAATCGGCGGGCTATCACCCAATCTCCAATCATCTTTGGCGGCACCAACATCTATCCCTCAGCAGACCACATCTCTGCTGACCTCATCGTCCACAGCAACATCATTGGCTTCATCAGGCATTATCAACGGCAATAGCAACAACAACAACAATGCTGCATTGATTCCTTCGCCATTGGGTATGACTGTGACATCATCTACATCATCATCAACCAAACCAACTACTTTGCAACAACAGCCCGTAAACAACAACAACGTACAGCAACAACAGCAACACCCACACAGTGTCCATGACCACATGTTGCCAGTCATCTTCACCGAGCGCATTGAATACAAGATTGAAGGTGACTCAATGCGTGAAATACTATTCACGCGAGTTCAAGGTGCTGTCAATGTCCAGATCCAGACAGCGCGCAGTGGAAATCGTGCAGCTATGCAGAAGAAAGAGGCATCCAGGAACTCTGTGCGCTAAGCAATGGCCACAATGTATTATATATCTCCAATCATCAGCCAAACCAATCAATCATGTATCATTAAGTTGCAACCTACCTATTATTACCATCACTATTTTTTTCCCTCTGGTCATATCCATCGGATACTTGTGTAACCAGCCCAACCTGAATCGCCATACCAATACTCAACCGACATCAGTCACCTCTAGACTGGAACTATTATTTATAACCATCACCATCAATAACATGGATGGAATGGACTAAGAATAAACATGCCGACCTGAGGTCAACACCAAACAAAGGAATGAAATGGAAAGGAAGTGATTGGGGATTATATAATAATTAATATATATTTTAGTTAAACTCACTAATGAGTCTTGTAGCCTTCTTCAAGACCTCGCTTAATGTTTGTTGTGGTGCCTCGGACTTCTCGTACTCCTCACTCAGCCAGGTCTCAGCCTTCTGCTTGATGAGCTCAAGCTCCTCTTCCTCCTCGGTCAAGGTGATTTTGATGAAGGACAGCGCCAGACAGGTGGCCCAGATCTTGGGATGGGTGCGCGCCAGCATGTCAGAGTGTTCAGAGCTCTCCAGGTCGGACAAGGCGATGCCAAGCACGCCAGCCAGACTCTTGTTGAGCTCCCAGTAGCCGTCTGCCTTCTGCTGCATGACGAGGTACTGTGAGAGCGATGGCTCGGACTGCTCGGCAGAGACGACCTTGGACGAGCTGGACAGGTAGGGGATGAACTTCTGGAAGAACTCTTCTTGCAGGTATTGGTTGGTCCTGTTCTTTGGACGGAAGATCTTGAGAATGTCGAGGTTCTCAGCTGACTCGTACAACTCGATCAGACGCTCCTGGTCGCTGTGCTTCTCGATGGCCAGCAGCGTGTCCTTCAGCATCTCCTCGGCCTTGCCCTCGTCAACGAGGTTGATGTAGGCTTCCTCCAGATAGTTGAGCGTCAGAATATCCAACTCTATACAAATACCAATGATCTCAGCCAAGAACTTGGATGCGCCTGGCAGATCAATCTCGACCTCCTCAATAGTTTCCAAACACTCATTGAAACTGGTTGATTGATTGATGTTAGTTTGATTGATTGAATGAGTGGATCATAATCATGTATACATACCCATCCTTAAGGTTCTCTGTTGTGAACATTTGATTGATAACAATGTTGTTGAACAGGTCGACGACCAGCTTTCTCTCCTTCTCCTTCTTCTCAAAGGACTTGTTCAAAATAATACAAACAATCTATAAGGTGGTAATGTTCGCATGTTGGTTAGTTGATTATGATCGACGATGTGTCCAAGTACTACTACTTCAATCTAACTTACCTTGCCGAATAGGGTTGGGTAGTTCAGCTCCTTGATGCACTCGATAGCCTCGTCGACGTCACCAGACTCGACATACTCGTCAAGGGTCATGGCAATGTTGTCCTCGAGCTTCTCAATCGAGATCTCTGGTTCAGCCTTCTTGGAGGTGCTGCTTGTGGAGGTGGAGGTGCTGCTTGCCTTCTCGTCTCTGAGTGGCGAGTCGTTTGGTGCCTCGTAGTCATCCTCATTGTCGGCGTTGAGCAAGTTATACATGTTCCTCTGGCTGGTGTTGGCGGCAGCCTTGGTGCCAGAGGTTGAGGTCCTGAGTGGGGATGGAGTGGAGCCGCTCTTGAGTGGTGTGGTGCCACTGTTGTTGAGCTCGTTCTTCTTTGGAGTCTGCTTGCCCTTGGGGGTGGACTTGCCGACGGTCTCCCAACCGTCCTTGCTGCCCTTGCCTCCAAAGAGTCCCTTTCTTGGGGTGTCGCGGTCGCCGCCACGGTCACCTCCACGGCGGTCATCACGGCGGTCACCACCTCCACGACGGTCGTCGCCACGGCGGTCGTCACGACGGTCGTCACGACGGCCACTGCCGTGCTGCTTAATGAAGCGCTCCTCCTTCTCGTGGTCCTCCTTGTTGACCTTGAGCAGGCCGGTGGTCTTTGGCTCCCAGCCTCCCTTGCGCAGGTCGAGCAGACCCATGATCAGGTAACTGGCACGCGATGTAACATTGGAGTTCTCAGAGAGGCTCAGCAGTTTTGAGAATACTGACACCATGAAGGCCTTCTTCTTCTCTCTCTTGGACTGCTCCTCACTCTCGTCGTCATGATCCATCTTCTTACCGATGGTAGTGATCAGCTTGATCATGGACTCGATGATCTCCTCATTGAATGTCTCTTCAGCCTGTTTCAGCAGCATTCTAATGCATGCCTGAACGACTCCCTCAGCCAACACAGAGTGCTTGTACAACTCTCCAATGAACTTGATGTCTGTGTTTGGTGATTGATTGATTGATTGATTAGTATTATGATAGATAAGTGATCACTTTGTTACTTCAACTTACTTCCGAGGTTCCTTCTCTTGAAGATGAACTCCTCCTCCTCGCGGTCCTCCTTGCTGAGCTCTTCGTGCTTGGAGCGGTCGAGCTTCTCCTCAAAGACTGACTGACAGTTGAGAATAACTTGACGCTTGAGGGTAACAGTATCGTACTTGGGGTACTTGACATCGAGATGTCCAGTCATAATGGCGTAGACAGCACTGTACTTCTGATCGATGATGGCCTTCTCAAACAGGATCTTGGCAATGCCCTTCAGAGCCTCCTCGTTGGGGATGACGATCTCCTCGATGGTCTTGATCAGCTGAGCGTACGTCTCCATTGTGATTCTGTTCAGGTTGAACTTGAACTGCTTGAACGTCTCGCTGTGCTCGCCCTCGGTGTCCTTGAGGATGATCTTCTTGACTGGCGCGGCGGCTGGCTGCGCGGGTCTCTCGTGGTGGTGACGGTCCTTGCCTCCACGACGCGAGTCTCCCTTGAAGATTCCCTTTTGCTGTGGGTTGAGCAGCGATTGGTGCTGCTTCAAACGCTCGGGGATGCGAGTGTTGGGCTCAATATAACGCTGGTCCAACAGGAAAGAGATGGAGTACTGCTTCTTGCCAGCGGTTGGCGATGCGGCAGCGGCGGCGGCAGCTGATACATTCGAGCTGGAGGCGGCAGCGGCGGCAGCAGCGGCAAAGCCTGGGGCCGAGGTCATGGTGGATGAAGCACCTGCAGCAGCAGCTGGACTGCTCATACCCATTTGAGAGAGACCTGCCTGAATGGCTGACATAATCTTGTTTGATGCTGTGTCGGACACTGGAGTGGATGGTTGAGCTGGGGCTGGGGTAGCCTTGACTGGTGTGACTGGAGCTGGGGTTGGAGTGGCTTGGGCTGGAGCTGGGGTGGCAGTCTCAACTGGAGCAACAGTCTCCTTGACTGGTGACACCTTGGTGGCTGGTGATGATGGCTCAGCTGGGGTTGTAACAGCTGGCTTGGTTGGAGTGACTGGAGCAGCGACAGGGGTTGTGTCTGCTGCTGGAGTTGGGACTGGTGCAACAGAAACTGGGGCGGCTGGAGTTGGGGCAACGACGACTGTGGCTGGAGCTGGGGCTGGTGTGGCAACAACAGAGGCAGCAGCTGGCTTGAATGGGATTGAACCGATGGAGCTCTGCAGACTCTTTGGCACGAACTCTGGTGAGTTGAACCTCAGCGTTGACTTGGAAAGAGGGGTGGATGGTGTGAAGGTTGGAGCGTTGGCCGACATGGAGGTGATGGTTGGTGTAAAGGTTGGCGCGGTGGATGAAAGTGGTTTGATGGGTGAGCTAGAGGCCGAGCCAGAGGTGGCTGACGCGGTTGTTGGTGTGGCAGTGGCCGTGGTGGAGGCAACTGGGTGGTGTGGCGCGTGGTGGTGGTTGGTGGGGATGCCGCTGGCCGAGCCACGAAGCGAGATCATGGCGTTCTCAAATTGGTTCTTGTTGGCCGATACTGGCTTGTCCTCGACGGACAAGAACGAAGTGTAGTTGGTGGCCAGACCGTATTTGATGCCCAGGTCGATGACGAGCTTCTCCAGGCGCTCCGACTCCTTCTTGTCGGTGGTGTCCTCCAGCTTGTCCTGGAGATCCTGGATCATGGTGTATGCGGCCAGACAGTGGATCATGTCGCCCTGCTTGACGTGATCGCTCTTGATGAGCACGGGGAAAGAAACGGGGCCGTTGGGACCGTTGGCCAGCAGCTTGACAGTGCCGTTGATTGCCTCGTCCTTGCCCAGGATGTTGAACACGGTGAGACGGTCGCCGTCAAACAGAGTTCTCAGGTCACGTGGTGCCTGCTTCTGGCTTGGCATTGAGCCCCAATCAATCCTAATGTTGGTGTAGGCTGGCTGCAAAGCGCGCTTAATCTGTCTCATAACCTTCTTCTCGATTGGGTCATTCTCCAAAGCAAGTTCGGCAACTCCACAACCTGCGTTGGCAACAAGATCAACCTATTAATGTTTGTTGATTGAGTGAATGTTAGTATGTTTGCGATTGATTGATTGACTGGACGGGTGATGATCACTTACAAGTTGTCTGCTGACAAACTCACCCATACCGATGGGGAAGACTGAGGTGGTGTTGGCATTCTCACGAACGAGGTCGACAATCTGTCCAATGTCGGTGACACGACCATCGGTCAGGAGGAAGATCTTGCGTGGACGAGTGGTGGCTGGCGTCTTGTAGATGTCCTGCAGTGGCGCCAGAAGGTTGGTCTCGCCCGACTCAGCCTTGAGCGTGTGGATGTACTTCTTGGCCTCCTCCAGATGCTTCTCGCTGTACTGGACGGACTGTGGGAACAGCTTGTGGAACTTGGAGCCGAACGAGATGATGTTGAAGTAGGTGCCCTGCTCGAGCGAGCCGGCAAACAGATACAGACTGCTCTTGGCGTGCTTGATGTTGTAGCCCACCATGGACTCGCTGCAGTCCACGAGGAATATCAGTTCCATCTCCTGCTTGTTGCGTGGCGTGACGACTGGCTTGCTAGCGTCGGCGATCGCCTCGGCGAAAGACTTCTTGGGTGCCTCCTTCTCGTTCAGCTTGGGATAGAAGACGATCATGAGGGCGCGGCTGCCCTCGCTGTCCTGCTCGATGAAGCCGCAGGGCACGTGGGGGTCCTCCAGCTTGACCAGCACGATCATGTCGGACTGGTTGACGACATCGATAGAGCGAGTGTCAGTGTAGACGACCTTGCCGGTGGACTCCTTCCACTTGGCCTCGATGCCGGATGGATGTGATGGCGAGCAAATCTCGACGATGTTTGACTGCATCTCCAGCTCAAGCTTGATGGAGATACCCTGCGACTCCTCGGCGGATGTCGCAGTGGTGGTGGTGGACTCGTCATCGGTGGTGTTGCTGAGCGAGTGAGAGGGCAGCGTCTCAAAGTATTGGCTGGAGCGCACGGTGGACAGCGAGGTGGGCAGCACGAGCAGCAGGTGCTCCTCCTGCATCGACATCTCGGTGACGTAGGTGATGATGACCTCCAGCTCCTTGTGCAGCGACAGGTTGTTGAGACGACACAGGAAGAAGTCCTCCTGGATGTATGGGTCGAGGTTGTTTTCCTCGATGCCGGCCTCCTTGACGATGTTGGAGGCTGTGTGGCTGTCGAACTGGCGCATGGCCTCACTCAGGTTGGTCACCTCGGCCGTGATCTTCTTGCCATCGAGCTTGATCTCAAAGCCGGTCAGCACACCGATGGATGTGTTGAGGTAGGCCTTGAACGTGGCGTTTCCGCTCTGGTCGTCGGCAAACTCCTCGCCAACGTTGCTGTAGGTCTTTGTAAACACGAGCTGTGCGGCCAAATCAACGACACGAGCGTTCACAGATATAGATCTTGGACGTATCTGTTCACCATTCTTCTTGCATAGTGCAGAATACATTATATATTATATTATATGATGATGATGTTTGAGATGATGATGATGTTTGAGTGATTGAGTGATTGAGTGATTGAAGGTGGTGATGATGATGATGTGAAGGTATCCTTTTTGTGCTACTGGCTGGCTGTTTAAAGTTGCTAGTTGCTACTGGCTAGTGAGTGGTCACCTTAGGATACTCTTTGGGTTGGGGAAAAAAGGTAGATGTATAAATAACAGATGACAAACCTGTTACTTTTGAACTGAATGATTGATTGGATTGATTGATTGATAGAGTTAATTGCGTATAATGCTTTGATTGTATGAATATATAAAGATAATAAGATATAAATATATATATATATGAATGACTACGAGTGAGTGAGTAAGTAAGAGTGATTAAGTAAAGCACGTGAAGAGAATGAGATGTTGTGAAGTGAAGCGAGTGAATCGTCTCTAAGCTTGTTGTGAAAAAAACTCACAAATTTGGCTCGTTCGGTCTGTGACACACCAAAACAAATAACAAAACTAAATTATTAATAATTGGACACGTCAATGAAAGAACTCAAAGACAACACAACACCACTCACACACACTGAGACTCATTTTGGAGTTTTGAGTTTTCCGAACGAGTTGTCCTGAAATCTCAAGATGGAATGACTCATGTATCATTGGTTCAACTAAACTGTACATGTATTGATGATTGATTAATGGATGACACTACTTCTTCTTTTTGGTGGACTTGGAAGAGGACGAACCAGATCGTTTGGTTCGCTTGTTGGAGGTGCTGCTGGGCGTGTCATCAGAGTCGACGCTGATGGCGGTGGTTGGCGAGGGCGCAGGTAGTGGTGATTGGACCGGTTGTTGTGGCGCGTACATTGGCGCCTGTTGGTAGCCCATCTGTTGAGCATTCATTGGCATGCCCATCTGTTGTTGTGGCGCATTCACGCCAGTTTGAATTGGAATCATCTGTGGCTGTTGCATCATTTGAATGTGTGGCGTTTGTTGTTGTTGTTGCTGTTGTTGTGGTGCATATTGTTGCATTGTCTGTTGTTGTTGTTGTGGCTGTTGTTGTTGTTGTTGAGCGTATTGTTGCTGTTGCTGTACAAATTGTTGTTGTTGTTGCTGTGGTTGAGGTTGTTGTTGCATCGGTTGCTGCTGTTGTTGGATTGGTTGTTGTTGCGCGTTCTGCATCTGTTGATACTGTTGTTGATACTGTGTGTTTTGTGGCTGTTGTTGTTGGATTGGTTGTTGTTGCATCGGTTGTTGCTGTTGTTGGATAGGTTGCTGTTGAATGGGCTGAGGGATGTTGGTCTGCAGCGGGGACTGTTGGCCAACGCCACCATTAACAGACATCTGTCGCTGTAGCTGTTGTTGTTGTAATTGCGTGGCCGGGTTCACAACTCGTTGTTGCATGTTCAAGTTGTTCATGAGTTGTTGTTGTGTCTGTTGCTGCTGCTGCTGTTGGTTGAGTTGTTGATAGTGCTGTTGTGGTTGGTTCGCCTGTTGGAAGTGTTGCTGCGTCGTCTGTTGCTGTTGCTGTTGTTGCTGAGGTTGTTGTTGGGTGTACTGTTGCATGACAGGCTGTTGTTGAATACCTTGCTGCTGTTGTTGAGGGATGTTTTGTTGTTGTATTGGTTGGTTCTGGAATTGCTGTTGCTGATTGGGCTGCACGTTATACGTCTGAGGCATCTGCATTGCGTTCTGCTGTTGTGCAGGGGCAACCTGCTGCATGTTCTGTTGGATGTTTGGTTGTTGTTGTTGGTTCGGGAAGGTGTTGGCAACAAACTGTGGCTGCTGGGTCTGTTGTTGCTGCTGGGTGACTTGCTGCTGCTGCATCTGAGGCTGAGTGAACTGCTGTTGCTGCTGGGCAAACTGTTGCGCTTGTGGCTGGCCCAGCTTCTGCATGTTCTGCATGTTCTGCAGCATCTGTTGCTGGTTGTTTGGTATGCCCTGTTGCCCGACGACCGTGTTGTACTGCTGCTGCATGGTCTGAGGCGACTGCATGTGCTGGCCCTGCTGCTGCATCGTCTGCTGCATGTTGGGCTGCTGCATACCTGGCTGTGCCTGTATGTGTTGAGGTGGCTGCTGTTGCTGGCCCACAATCTGGGGCTGCTGTCCATGCAACTGTGGAGCCTGCAGTGGCTTGGTAATGATCTGAGGCGGCTGCTGTTGCTGGCCCACAACTGTATTAAATTGCTGTTGCTGAATCCTCTGTTGCTGGGCGACTTGCTGCTGCTGCTGCGTCATCTGGGGACTTGGACTCATGGCCATGTTGCCGCCAGGCGATGGCTGAGGCGGCTGCTGGACGATCTGCGGCGACTGGTTAGGGTACTGGTTCATCTGAGGCTGCGACATGTTCTTGGCAATGGGCGGCTTGTACTGTGCGTTCAGCGGCATGGTGTTGCCGCGAGTCGGCTGGTTGGGCGAGGTGTTCATCTGGTTCGGCACCATGACACCCTGGTTCTGCTGCGGGACGACCGGAGTCATTGGCGTATTTGGAGAGTTTGGCGTGTTGGGCGTCGGCGTGGACTGCGAGCTGGTGATGCTATGCACACCGGCGGCCGGTGACGCTTGCTTCACGAGCACAAACTCTGGCATCAGATAGCCCTTTAGTATGTTGTCGCGGAACGAGAGGATCAGTGTCCTGCCCTGCAGCTCGACAATGGCAAAGTACTTCTCGTCGTGCAGTTGTTTGGTGAAGCGGTTGTACTCATCGTCGGGGATGCTTGGATGCGGGTGGCGCGTGAAAGTCAACATGATGTTGTTCTTGGCCTGCGCAAGCATGTCATTCTCCTGGATCTGTGCTCTGATTATCAGCGTCTCTGGCCAGCCAGCAAACAATGAGTCATAGTGTGATCGATTGGCCACATTGGCCGACACTTGTCCCAACAAGATGGTCTTGGACTCATTCTGGAAGCCCAAGAATCCAGACCACACTGCGTCGGTAGGCTTGTTTGGTATGACTGATTGTTGCTTTTGTTGCTGTTGTTGTTGCATGAATTGTCCGGGATGTTGTTGTTGCTGTTGAGTCGGAGGCGACGAGGTCATTGGCACGGTAGGTACGCCCAGTGGCGACGGCATGGGGTTGGGTGGAGTGGCCGGCGATTGTTGTGTGCCAATGCCTGGGAATGACTGGGCGGATGGCTGTCTGGCTACCTGAGGCGGCATTGGTCGCTGGCCAGCGTTCGGTTGCTGATTACCAACGGCGTACTGCTGTGGCGGCTGTGGCACAGGCGATTGCTTGGCGACTTGAGGTGGGGGCGGCTTCAGGATGGGCGCCGCGGGCTTGAATACCTGAGGCGACTGAATGCCTGGTTGTTGCTGCGCATTGTTGTTGATGACGTTGGTCGTCTGTGGGTTGGCGACATATGGTGATGAGGGTAGTGGCGACGCGTCCATGTTGACCTGTGGCTGCTGCATCATATTGCCGGCAGCGGGATGCTGCATGTGCGGTACGCCTGGCTGCGGTTGTGTCTGAGTTGTCTGTGGCGTCTGATGCTTTTGGGAGTAGTGCGCAAACTGTTGATGTAGGTGATGCTGTGATTGTGGAGGAGGTAGTGTTGTCTGGTGTGGCTGTTGCTGAATGGTAGTATTGCTCTGATTGACATCGATTATCTCTTGAGGCTGTGGCGCCATTTGAGTGTTGGGGATGGAAGAGGCTGATGGTATGGGATTGGCCAGACCCGGTGTGTTTGGTGCCGCCTGCGAGGGAGAGGCAGTAGTGGCCATCGCCACGTTTGGACTGAGGTATCCATTCATATTGGGCTGTGTGGCCATCGCAGTCTGAGGTGACAACAATGATACTGTGTTGTTGTTGACGTTGTTCAGATTGTTGTTGATGAGGTTAACATTGTTTTGTTGGTTATTGACGTTGTTGTTCATGTTGACATTGACGTTGTTGTTGTTGTTGTTGTTATTGTTGTTGATGTTTACAGTGTTGGCTGGAGCGCCGCCAGCGTTGAAGCCAGGTTGATTGGGGAAGTTGGGCGATGCGATGCCTGCGTTCGTCGTCGTGGTTGGTGTGGGGAATGTCGCAGGAGCAGCTGCAGCTGCTGGCACTGCAGAAGTATCATTGATGGTGACCTGAGGAAGACCTCTCAGGCGAACAAAGCTCGAGTTGTCGCCAAATGATACATCCTCCATATTGTCACACTTGGACTTGTCATAAATGTCCTGGAGGAACTGACTCTTCTGCGGACATATGAACGAGAGTTGGATCTTTTGCTAAAGTTATTGAATGATTGAAAGAGTGAGCAATGAGTGTCACATGACAGAGGTGGAACTGATCACATGACCAAAGTAGGTTGTGGACATACCTGTACAAACTCATCAATGTGCTTAAAGCAATCGCCAAGGTTACACAGACGACATGCGGACATCCTTGGCACACTGTTTGATATCAGGATGAAGCACTTCTCATGTGCACTCTTCTTTAGACTTATCTAATGATGGTGTGTATGCGAGTGAGTATGGATGATGTTCACTATTGATGATGAGTGATTGATTGAACTTACCTTTAATGCAGCGCACAGTCCTTCGGACACGGCATTACCGGTGGTGTAGCCTCCACCAACCAACTTTGTGCTACACATACAAGAGAACAACTTGCGGACATCATTTGTAAAGTCCGATGAGTGTACAATGTAGTCGGCATAGGGTGGATAGTCTCTAAAGAATATCAATCCATAGTCTATATTGTCAGTCTACGAGTGATGGGATGGTTAGTGATTGATTGAGTGATTGCAATCACTCACGATGGACGACGTACCTTTGAGCTCTTCTCCAAAGATGATATCAGAGGATCGATGTACTTCTTCTTGGCTTGCTCAAAGAATGGCGCCATCATGGCGGTGGTGTCCATGATGAAGATGACTTGTTTGGTACGTCGGCTGTCTGTTGTGGACATGGATGAGGTGTTGGCCGAACTCTGATCGCCAGACATGTTGTTGGCCAGGTATGATCCATCGTTGCCAGAGGCAGCCATTGACTGCTGGCCATCATTCTGTCCGAACCACTGTTGTTGCTGTGGTTGTTGTTGTTGTTGCAGTTCCATTGGTTGTTGCATCATAGTGCTGTCCGATGCCATTGGAAGCTCATTAATATGAGATGATGGTGTCGTAGTTGTCGTCGTTGGCACCGAGTAAGAATTATTATTAACTACGCCACCATTCATATAAGAATGGTTGTTGTATTGAACCAGAGGTGGTGCAGCGGTTGACATATTATAATTGATTGATTGATTGATTAAAGATCTTCTTTGTCTATGTACAGTCTGGTCTGGTCTAGTCTGGTCTGATCTGGTATGCCTCTTACACAATTACTATTACAATGATCAAGTGTTTTGTTTGTTTGTTTGTTTAAGATTGATTGATTGGTGTATGAGTGAGTGAGAGTGATTGTCGGACTTGTTGATGTGATGCGTGTCAATCAAACAAAAGAGGGAAAAAAAAGGATAAAGATAGATAGATAGATATAGAGATAGATAAAGAGAGTGAGAACAGAAGAAGCAGAATCGTTGGTAACTGGACTGAACTGAAGTGAACTGAAGTGAGAGATGAGAAGTGTTAGTGTGGTGTTGTGTGTGTTTGTTTGTTTGTGAGTTGTGTTATTGTTTGTTTGGTTGTCTTTGTGAAACCAAAGATGGAGGTGGGGTGTTCATGAGCACCAACCACCCATCGCTCTCAACCTAAATCACCCAAAATCAAAATGTTCACGTGAATGAAAAAACTAGTAAACGACAACAACACCATTGATGGTTTGTCCCAGGAATCGTGTGCGGACATGGCCGATCCGTGTCCCGAACTTGCAAACCGGGGTTGGTGCGCGGGTGGGTGTTGTCCAGTCGAAACCTTGTTTTAACCTTAAGGTTGTTTTGTGTTGTGATTGGTACATGATCATCCAGTAGATGTCAATTTAATAAGTTAGTGATTGATTGTTTGATTGATTGATTGATTGATTGATTGGAATGGGTTGAGCGCACTACTTGAGCATGGCGAGTATCTTCTTGGTCACTTTTTGGATGGATGGATGTGGCGATGAACTGTTGAGTTTGCCAAGTAGTGTGTTTAGGTCTTGGCTGATGAGATACTTTCGATGATCATCTTTGGAGGTTGATGAGGTGGATGATGATGATGCCAATACTAATATAATCTTGATGGCAGCCATCTGAGGTGCAAGTTGTATATAGTCCAACTTTAGATACTCCTTCAATAGTGGAACTACAAAGTTATCGGCTACAACAGTGTTCTGATTACTGCTGTTATGAATGAGCATTGATACTGCCTCCAGTCCCAACAATCTCAACGTATCAAAGTTTGAATCCATCAATGATATATACTTCTCCAACACTCTCTCCCTATGCGCGCCATCATTAATCAACTCTTGAGTGTAGGCTGTACATTGTTTGAATGAGTTAGTGAATGAGTGAATGAGAGGATGATGTTGGACAAACATACTTAATGGAAGTATCCTTGAGAGTGCAGAGGCAACGCGAAGGTCAAAGCCATCGTTGGTGGATTGGACAAACATTTCGACGAGGATCTCGGCACCGCCAATCTTGACAAACTCGTCGAGTGCGATGGGTGACTCGAGTAGCATGGTCAGACACCAGACGATTTGGAGCTTGATGAGTTCATTCTGTGCCGACGACATCTGTTTGATCAATAGTGGTATGCCACCCTTGGACACGATCTCCTGTATGTTGGCATCACTATGCGCCAACACCTGAAGTATCTTTATCGTGGCGAACTGCAAGTTCTCAGACCTCTCCTGCAGCAGCTGCAACAGAGCATTGACTCCCAACACGTTGCGGAACACAGCGTTGAGGTCATCTAGATAAGTCAATGTGAGTGGTGTGAGTTAGTCATTGTTGGTGTTGTCGAGAGGAGTGGCCGCGGGCTCGGAAACACTTACTGTTGTTGAGCATGTTACTTATTGAGCGAAGGGCTACTAGTTGGATGTCTTCGATGTTGGTGCCAACGAGTTGGAAGAGTAGTCCAAAGACATTGAGATGTTGGAGGTAGGGTAGGTTGTCATCACTCCTACATACAACTTCGATGGCCGATGAGGCTCGCGTGAGGTTGTTGAGCGTGGGCGATGAGATCAGGTCGTGGCATATAGCGATGATCTTTTGTATCTTCTCCTTCTTGTCCATGTCCAACACGGTGACCGATGGTGACACGTAGCGTGGTGAGTTGGGTGGCGGCAGGTGATCGCCTGCTGACGCGGGAGTCGACGACTCTGGTGTCTCGGCAGGCTTCTGGAATCGCTGCAGCGTGTGAATGGGCTGGCGCAACACCTTGATGATCGTCTGGAAGGTGGGGCGCGAGGCCGGGTCGATCGAGATACATAATCTAATCAATTTGTCGATAGTGAATGGGCAGTTGGCCAGTGAGGGACGGACGTAGTGCGAGTAGCCATTGACTACATTGCACTTGAGGTCAGACAGCTTGAGCTCGCGGGCAAACATCTCCCAGAGCAGCACACCAAAGCTGAACACATCGACCTTGGTATCATAGCCACCCTTGCCACCAGACAGCACATGGAATAGTTCCGGGGCCATGTAGTGTGAGTGCAGCACCTTGTTATTGATTGGATGCAACAGCTTGTTCTTGACAGTCTCGTCTTTGAGTCCTGCGAATCCATAATCTTTGATGAAGACCTTCAGGTCTGAGTTCAACTACGTCATCATGGAACAAGTGGAGTGAGTTAGGTCACGTGATTGATTGAGTGGGATGGTTTCAACCAACCAACTTACAAGGATGTTCTTTGGGTGGATGCTTCGATGAACGACATTGAATGAGTGAAGGAATGCGAGGGCCGAGGCAATCTCTTCGGACACACGCACGATGAATGGTAGCTCGGTACGTTCATCCAGATTCTTCAGGACGATATCCAAGTTATTGCCAGTGACGTACTCTGAATATGTATTGAACGTCGAAGTGAGCGATGCGCCCATCAGTGGCAATATGTTTGGATGCTTCATTGTGCTGTGGGATGGGATGGTTAGTATTGTGGCCAGGACAAGACTCACGCAATCAAACTGAGATACTTACACTAATGTCTCAATCTCGTTGAAGAGTACTGGTGTTGACTGAGCTGTGATGTGTGTCCAGCACTTGCCAACGATGCGCTTCTCTTTGAAGATGCCGGCACGCGATGTGGTACCATGGTTACCAAAGCCAATGATGTCTTTGGTGTTGATCTCGTTGCTGATGTACCAAGGCTTCTCGGTGATGGGTGGCATGGCCGTGGCGACGTAGCTCTCGTCTATCTCGCCCTCGCACAGGATCTTCTGCACGAGGTCATCGTCGACCTGTTGTTGCAGCTGCAGATGCTTGAGGTTCTTCAGCTCCTCTGGCGACATTGTATAGTGTTGCTGTGATAGGTATGATGACTGGCGTGACTGTTGTTGCTTGCCTACTGATGCCGATGGGTTCGACTCCTTGAACTGTGTGATCATCTCATCGAGTACGCGATCGGCTGAGGCCAGACTTGGCGACAGTGGGTTGGCCGAGAGAGTGGCGATGGGTGTGGGTGGACGTGGCGAGGCCATGGTGATGTCCACTGGCGCATTCAGCTTGGATGCGGGACGCACCGTTGCCGTGCCAGACGTAATCACTGGTGCGTAGGGCTGGCTTGGCGCCTTGACCAATGGTGTGCTCGAGACTGATGATGGCTGAGACTTTGTCTTGTCCTCAGAGTACTCGCTTCCAAACGAGTTGATCATGAGATCCAGTGTGTCTGCCGCATCGATCGCCTCTCTGGCAAGTGTGTTGGCTGGTGACTTCTTGGGTGGCTGTGACTGTGTTAGTGGCTGTGGCTGTGGCTGTGACTGTACCAGTGGGGATGGTGGCTGTGTAACTGGCTTGTTGAGGTGGCTACTGATCAGCTGATGTGCACTTGGTGCTCGCTTGCCCTGTTGTGTGTACTTCCAGTAGAACGACTCCAGGTCCATCAGGGTGGACTCCAAGTCGAATGTGGAGGTCAGTCGCATCAGCTTGATGCGCGAGTCTTGCTCCTGTTGGTCGGTGGCATGCTCGGTCTTTGGCAACGAGTCATCGCTGGCCGACATATCATTGAGTAATGTCTCCAAGTAGTCAAAGTGGTCTCCAGTCACCTTTGACATCCTTCTCTTGTGTTCCGCCTCGCTGATCGCTGCGGCAGTGGCCGCGGCATTTGGCTGTGTCGAGTTCACAGACTCTTTCTTTGGTGTGGCTGCTGTAACATTGGCTGGTGTTGTTGGAGTGGTGTTTGTTGTTGTCGAGGTGGATGTGGATGTGGGTGTGGATGTTGTGGCTGCCCCTGATGGTGGCGCTGCTGTGGTGGAAGTGGTGGGTTTGGCTGGACTGACCACTGGTGTATCGCCAGTTGCCTTTGAATTCAAAACATTGTCCGTGGAAGATGATGTTGGTTGTCTGAGCTTGTGATCAATGATCATCTCCTCCAACAGCTCGTCCAAGTAGTGATCTGTGTGTATCCAAGTTTGTGTGATCAGTATGATTGCCCTCCATCCATCCAATCACATCATACACCTACCTGATATATTATGAGTTGTCAATGATGTTGCCATTGTTTACAACTAACTATAAATATATATTATATATATTAACTTAATTGATTGATTGATTGTTTGATTGAATGAATGAATGATTTAATGATGGATGGATGAATGGATAAAGATGATGTAAATCTTGTTGTGAGGTAATGAATGAACAGTTCCACTGCCCTTTCATCATCAGCTACAGACCAATTTAAATCAAAAACACCTGATTTTATTTGAAGTGTTTGTTGATCAATCGACCACCTCTGGACGGTGGACCAATATGTGATGTGGGTTCACACCAACTTGCTGAAGTATTGATTGATGATGGCGTGTGTGTTTTGTTTGGTGGGTGGGGGAAGGAGGGAAGGAAAGAAGGGCGGGGATTGATTGTTGTTGCCCAACTTGAACAGAGCATTGTGATCGATGGATTGATGGATTGATAAATATACAATATGTGGATTGATTGTTGTTGCCTCCTAAGTGGCACTTCCATCATCATCATCATTGTCAATTGTCTGGACTTGACTACCTCCTCATCTATCTTTGGCGTATGCCAAACTACTTGGGTGCCATGGCCGTGCCGCGGCTCATCCATTGTCCTGAGACCTTGTCTGCCTGCCTGCCTGCATGCATGCCTGCCTTGCTTGATGCTCTACCTCAATAACAACGAATGATCATTCGTTGTTATGTCTTGTCAATAGTGATGTTTGTCTCCTGGGTCGTTGGGGCTTCACGCCTAAAGCCTGATAAGGACAGATCCAAGGATCTCTTGTCTCTTACGCATCAGCTTGTCAAGGTTGGTGTTGACATTCTCTGGCATGTCCTTGTCGGTGGGGATGTTGTGAAGGATGGTGAGGATCTCCTTGTCCAACTTGGCGATGCGGCGATGAGGCCACTTCCTGCCCAAGGCTGCCTCCTTCCAACGTTTGCTCAATGTCGACGTGGGGATCTTCAACAGCTTGGCGGCCTCTGACTGCGGCATGCACAGATACTCAGAGATATCAACGTAGCGAGGCTGCTCTTTGTTATTGGCCATCTGGATTGCTTGCTCCTCCAGTGTTGGAACGGTGGCTAGGATGTTTGACGAGTTGGAGACCAAGTTGTCCTGGCTCTGGCCTTGGCTCTGGTTATTGTCGGTCGGTTCAACTGATGTCGCAGGGGTTCTGAGCGTGATGTTGGCTGGTGTGACTTCGCGAATGTCATTGGAGTTGTTGGAGTTGGAGGATGGTGTTGATATTGGGATGCCAGAGTTGGACTGATTGGGCGGCAGTGGATTCAAGTAGTGATGGAAATGTGATGGGATCTTGTCACGGGACAATCCCATGTGTGTTGAGAATGGTCTCTGGTATGGATGTGAAGATGATGTTGATGACGAGGATGAAGAGGGAGTTGAGTGCATGGTTGAGGAGGAGGATGAAGGGTTAGTGGAGGAGGAAGAGGTTGATGATGATGAACCGGATGCATTGGAAGACTTGTCAACAGGCGAGTTTGATTGATGTGTTGTATATGGAACGAATTGGTATGTGGAGGGGAAAGGAGGTGGAGGCAATGATGTTGGTGCTGGCATTGTTATATCATTGGCCGAATCATTCAATACATTATCATCACTCCTCATGTCCTCATCATCACCGGTGATCTCATCCTCAAAGTCGTCATCCTCATCATCATCATCATGGTGATTATGGTCTGCGGCTATGTTGGCAAGATGTGGTGGCAGGGAACTATTCCTGGCCGAGCGGCGAGTTCTATTAGTCTTGATTGGGGAGGATTGTTGTTGCTCAAGTTGCTCATTTTGTTGGTAATGTTGTTGATGATGTTGATGTTGTTGATGTTGATATTGATGTTGTTGAAGATGTGGCGGTGTATGTGAAGGCGAGGAGGATGACTCAGCCTCCACTAAAGGTTGAATTGGCATGGATGACATCTTAAATGTTGGCTATTTAATGGATTTGATTGGATTGGTCGGTGCAAGGTAGGAGGTAGAGGCTGGTGTTAGGGATTGGCGTGAGCGCGCGCGCGGAGAGACGCGAGGATGGAAGTCGAGGAAAATCCGTTGGATGAACAAATAAATATATTAAAACATTCATTCATTCGTTGACTCATCAAATGTAAGTGTTATGGATTGATCTAACGATCGATCGTACGACCGACCGACCGATTGATGACTCTTAATCAATCAATAGATTGTGTTGTTGTTGTTGTTGTTGTGGTCCATATGCAATGTAAAGTAATGGATGATGATGTACCTTGTGCGACACTTTTACAACTTTATTGTTGTTGTTGTTTGTGTTTGATGACGGTTATGGATATGATGACAACGACGACGAAGCTCGTTCCTTTTTAATATTGATTCAGAATGAATTGATGGATGGATGAATGACACTGTCTCACTTACTCTCTACTTTGTTGTCTTTGTTGCTATTGCTGTTGAACAGATATAGTGTACTTAGAATGTAATGGTGACGCTGCATCATTACATGTGCGTGTTATCGAAAGGAAACTTAACGAATTTTCATTGGGTTTTATTCACAGATTCCGAACTTCTTCCAACTTTTGTGTAAGAACCCAACCCTGCTCTCTTTCAAGTTATTCATTAGTTAAATGGATGGATGTTCAAGACAAGTAGACATACCCTTACCCTTGCCCTCGCCCTTGCCCTTGCCCTTGCCCTTGCCCCTACTCTTGGTTAATCCTAAAACTTTCATTCAAGTACCAGGCTAAGACTTCAAAATCAACTTCTTGAACCAACTCATCAAGCATTGAATGAATGATTGATTGAGCAAACTATTGATAAAGAATAGCAAAGATATTTAAATATTATCAAATCTTTGCATTGTAGATCAATGGTAAACAATATTAGTATTATCTTTATCTTGGATACCAGCACCCAAGATACTACTCATGCCTTATGCCCAACATCCTATCAAAGTTAATGGGCAAACATTGCAAAACATGGTATGGGTTGGCAAGAAGATAGTTTTGATCACTTGAAGGCCATCAATCGACCAATCACAACACTATGTAGACATACTTTGGTCTGTCATCCATTACCATTCATTCAAACAACAATCAAACATATACAATTAACATAGAAACAAACAAAGAAAGAATGAAGTTATTGATCACACTCACATTGTTGGCAACATTGATGTTAGCAACATCGATGGCTGCTCCATCAGATTTGACAAAGGTGTATGCCCTGTGGCATTGTGGTGCCGATGGATGCATGTGGAACGAAGCCGTAGATAACTCCTACTTTGATTGGATCGTCAACCGTGGTGATGGCCAGCCCACCGCCAACTTGATCATCTTCTCATTCCTCAACCCAGTGAATGTGCTCAGCTCAGGTGTCCAGGCCGTGCCCGCCGGTCTCACCCCATCAATGATTCAGTACCTCCAATCCAATGGCATCTCGGTCATGTTCTCGATCGGTGGCGAGGAGTGGTCGAGCGAGTGGGACCAAGCACTGGGCCAAGATCCCGTCACTCTCGGTAAGAATGCCGCTGCCATCGCACAGCAGTTTGGCGTTGGCATTGAGATTGATTACGAGAGCGAGCAATCCACTCCACTTCTCGACCAGTTTGTCAAGGCCTACCGTTCAGTCCTGCCAATGGACAACTCTACTTCCGCCACTGATAGCTCACTCCTCACTGTTGACACTGGATCTGGTATGTTATGCTCGCATTATCATACAATGTACATCCCATGTCTAACCTCTCGACCCTCATTATCAAGGAACTGGATACTTGACATCAGTCTCGCAGTGGGCATCAACTTGGTTGGAGGAGGGTCTCATCAACTGGATCAACGCAATGGTCGCAGGTGGACCATACGGATCAATCGGTGAGGCCACTCAGTATTGGGATGAGCATCTCCAGGGTACATCGTAAGTCATCATTCAGATCCAAGATATTTGATTGATTGATTGAATAGAGACTGACAAACACTCATACAATGTATATCAACATATAGATGGGCCAACATACCACCAATGAACCCAGAGCATTTGGTTGTAAGCCTTTACAGTTGTGATGGATCGGCCAACTGCAATGCTTACCCGGGATCAGTGCTACAGGGTGCCGTTGGTTGGGTGCAACAACAAAACACTCGTGGTATCAGCTTCTGGGTTGGTGGATGCGTCAGTCCAACAGTATGCTGCAACAACTGTCCAGGTATTCAACAAGGATCTGAGGCACTTATCTCCAACTAATCAATCAACTTCAATCATTCAATCAAACCCATAAATACAATTGCAAATGTTTGCGAGCAACCCACACAAGTCTCGCGTTACTTCTTCAAACTTGCATGTTCATCCATTCTTTCAAACATTGTTGACACTTTTAAAAGAGATATTTGTTTGTATCTATATATACTTATAAATATTATCAATATATCAATCAATCAATCAATCAATCAATCAATCAATCAATCAATCAATCAATCAATCAGTATAAACAGGTTTTAGTGTATATATATTTTTAGATAGATAGATAGATTGTGAAATAGAATAGAAAGAAAGAAAGATAAGAATGTCATACTTGATATACTTGTTGCAAATGTCGCCTGACAATATGGATACGACTGAGAAGCTTATTCATCAGGTTGTCAATCCCCCGCCACATTATATAATGGTACATCCTACATTGCCAAAAGGCAACTACTTTCTGTTTGGTTGTTACAAGAACACAAAGTTCGATCTCAAGGGCATGCCTCTGAACATCACGCCCGTCGACATCAAGGTCTTCATCGATGTGATCACAAAGGCCACCGCCAACAACTTCCTCAGGCGCACAGTGTTTGACGTCGAGGAGATGCGATTCGGCACCTGTCCAGACAAGTACTACTACGTCGGCAGCAGTCCGTTCGAGGTCGTCAGGGTCACCATTCACGACTTTGACAAGACGCTGGAGGACGTGTGGGCCGACTGCAAGCAAAAGGACGACCTCTATCCCATGGAGATGGACAAGCCGTTGTTCGTGCCCGTCAAGAACGACCCACTCGGCTTTGGCTTTGACGGATCGCTGCTCAGTCAATCGCCCGTAGGCTCTCGTACACCACTGCGTGACGACGCTGGCAAGCTGATCATCCCATCCGGAACGATGTTTGCCGCTTTGAAGCGCAACAGAAACATGTCAGTGCAGCAGCAGTATAGTCCTTGGAAGGTCACGGCTGAGAACCCATCGCTGTTGCAATGGATCGATGCAGTCTCTGTGGAAATCTTCCTTGGCAAGATAAAGAACAATGAATCAGTCCAGAACCGACCACCCAAGCATGACTTCAAATCAATGACCATCCTCAAGGGCTACCTAGATACCATATCTCGTGAATTCCCATTCAGATTGTAAGTGTCACTCAATCATTCAATCAAACGATCACTAACTCACACTCAATCAATCAATCAATGATAGTTGTCCAACTGCTGAAACACAACTCTTCCGTAACCTTCGAAATGATTTGGACTTGTTGCCTCCAGTGGAGTTGGCAATGATTATAATGACCAACATTGAAGCAAAGGCAAAGGCAAATAATGAACTTCCAGACTATCCTAAATTGAACCTGCTGCGCACTCTGATGCTGTTCTCCAACATTAAGGACGACACATTCTACCAGGTGCTCAAGTGGGTCATCCAGAAACCCGAGCTCAATGACACAGACTTGGAGACGATCTCGCGTCTAATCGCTCATCGCCCGCAACTCAGGACCATGAGGCGACCGATCAAACTCAAGCTGGTGCCCTCCATGCTAAAGCACTTCCGCGCGCACTACCCCGCCGACTTTGAGACGCCCCAGCTGACGTTGGCGGCCATCGCCGGTATCATGGACAAGCCCAAGTTCTTTAATATCTTGTACTATCCAGAGATCGACACGCCGTACCCCACCACGCTCGACGCCATCTGCTTGCTGTCTCGTTTCCGTTTCAAGTCACAGGTCGTGCCGCTGATTCTGCAGGGCGACAAACAGTACTTTGTCAATAATCCCAAGAGCAATCCACTGTGGTCTCTGGCGCACAACCGATCGGCATCAGTCGACAATGAAAATGCCGCGGAGCTTATTAACAGTCTAAAAGTGATGCGTGGCTTCCATGCAGAGATCCCGCCACACCTGCCCGACCTCGACTACATCTGCCTGTACACCAACAACAGCTACCTGCTCAGCACACTTCTCTCCAGTGGTTTTGATATGCCCAAGCGCGCGCCGCATCCGCCCGACTGGCCCGAGTACTGCAGCACGCTGGGAATGATCATTGAAGACCGTGACGTATCCGCCATGCTGCACTTTACCCACAACCACGTGCTGTATCATGTCTGCGACCATGTCATTGTCGACGCGATCAGCGAGGAGGAAGAGGAAGATGACGATCACGAGTTCATGAATTGTTTGATGAGGATGAGGTTTAAGGATTCACAATGGCCGCTCTACATCAAGGACACCAAGGTTCCATTCATCTCACTGGCGCACGGTCGTCACAATCTTGAGCCGCTTCTCGACGTGCCCGGCCACGTGTTTGACGACGTACACACGCCCAACATCAACATGCAGCAATGGATCGACGTAGCCCGACGAACCAAGTGCGTTCTCTATGGCAAGGAAATGATTGATCGCATCCCATCGTCAATCAAGATGGTCAGTCTGCTGGACATCTTTGTGTTGTTTGGTCGGGAGTGCGCACCAATGCATCTTCTGGGCGACACGGAGGCGCGCGCATTGCCCAAGCAGACGGAGCAGTTGATCAAGCTGCGTCCAGAGCCCGAGCGCAGGCGCATCTTGCAACACATCTCCGAGTGGAACCATTCAGTGACGGAGACGTCAAAGAAGAAGACGAGCAAGAACAAGAAGAAAAAGAACAAGAAGCAAAAGACGACAGCGAAAATCAGCGAGATATCCGACGACGAGGACGATGATGAGAATGTGATTGTTGGCGACGACGAGGACGACGAGTACATCTTGTATCAAGCCGTGTCAAAAGTTGCAGAGAAGCTCTCTATGGTCTTGCCCGGTGGTATGCCAGGATTTTTTTCGGGCATAGCTCCCTTGGTAGCCCAGAGGCTCGCTATGATTGATGCAGCATCTGAACCTGATGGAATGCCTGATCTTGTGCCAGCCGTGCCACCAACATCCAAGAAACAACCAGCAGCTCCTACCGTTGCTATACCTGCTGGATTGCCTGACTTGGTGCCAGCTCAGCCACCTCCCAGCAACGCCACAGCCAAGAAGCAACCAGCAGCAGCTCCTACAGTTGCCATACCTGCTGGATTGCCCGACTTGGTGCCAGCTCAGCCACCTCCCAGCACCGCCACAGTCAAGAAACAACCTGCCGCAGCAGCTCCTGCAGTGGCTCTGCCCGCTGGATTACCCAACTTGGTACCAGCCGTGTCACCTCCCAGCAACACCACAGCAAAGAAACAACCTGCCGCAGTAGCCCCTGCCGTTGCTCTACCGGCTGGATTGCCCGACTTGGTGCCAGCTCAGCCCCCACCCAGCATCGCATCTGCCAAGAAACAACCGGCAGAAGCCCCTCAAAAACAACCAGCAGCAGCCCCTGCCGTTGCTCTCCCAGCTGGATTGCCTGACTTGGTGCCAGCCGTGTCCCCTCCCACCGTCGCCGCTGCCAAGAAACAACCAGCAGTAGCTCCTGCCGTTGCTCTCCCAGCAGGATTGCCTGACTTGGTGCCAGCCGTTCCTCCTCCCAGCAACGCCAATGCTAAGAAACAACCTGCAACAACAGCTCCTGCCGTTGCTCTCCCAGCTGGATTACCAGACTTGGTGCCAGCCGTTTCCCCTCCCACCGTCGCCGCTGCCAAGAAGCCAGCAGCACCTGCAGTCGCCATACCTGCTGGTTTGCCAGACTTGGTGCCAGCAGTGTCTCCTCCTACTGTCGCTGCAGCAAAGAAACAACCAGCAGCACCTGCAGTCGCCATACCTGTTGGATTGCCTGATTTGATCCCAGCTGTGCCCCTACCCAGCCTCGCCACAGGCAAGAAACAACCTGCAGCTGCTATACCAGCTGGTCTTCCTGATCTGGTGCCTGCTCAGACAAAGAAACAACCACTTATTATCCCTGAAGGATTGCCCGAGCTCGTACCCATTGACGAGCCCCGCGGCACAACCCTGGGATCACCACCCGCACCGGCAGCGGCCACAGCCAAGAAACAACCTGCTGCTGTGCAAGCTGGACTTCCTCCACTGCCTGATCTGGTGCCTGCTCAGCCCACGGTGAAACCTGCTGCGGCAGTGCCTCCACCCGCCGCCACAGCCAAGAAAACACCTGCTGTTGCTGTGCCCGCTGGATTGCCAGAGTTGATACCTGCTGTGCCTCCACCCAGCCTTTCAACTGCCAAGAAACAACCTGCCGTTGCCCCTGCAACTGTGGCAGCACCTCTGCCCGCCGCTGCCTCTGTACCTGGTCTTCCTCCCATACCTGATCTTGTGCCTGCCCAAGCCACTGCAAAGACTCAACCTCCTGCTGCCGCCTCAGCCAAGAAACAGCCTGCAGTCGCTACACCTGCTGGATTGCCCGAGCTGGTGCCTGATGTGCCACCACCCGCGCTGGCCACATCCAAGAAACCAGCAGCACCAGCATCTGCGTCTGGAGTTCCTGATCTGGTCCCTGCTGCTCCCTTGCCCTCACTTGTTAAGCCTGAGGCCAAGCCTGTAGCTCTAGTTGTGGCCGCTGTCAAACAGGCAGCTGTGGCCCCAGCTGTGGCCCCAGCCCCAGCTCCAGTATTGAGTAAGAGGGCCAAGAAGGCAGCAGCAGCCGCAGCCTCCGCCGCAGCAGCAGAAGCCGCCGCAATCGCCGCAGCAGCAGAAGCAGCCGCAGCAGCCATAGCAGCCGCTAAACCTCCTTCACCTCCACCAGTGGTGGCTGACAAGACCAACAACAACAACAACAACAACAGCAACACCAACAATACCAACAACAAAAAGACAACACAGAATGGATCAACAGCATCACAACAACAGCCTGCAGCGTCAAAGCCTGCCTCACCTCCAATGGCCGCAGCAAAGAAGGCAGCGCCAGTACAGGTACCACTCCCACCAAAACCCGTCGAGAGGACTGTTGGCAAGTTCAAGTACAACGAAGCGAATGTCATTGGACAGGGCAGCAATGGCACACTGGTGTACAAGGGCCTGTGTGGCAAGGACCCCGTGGCAGTCAAGGTCATACTCAAGGGCATCAATGGAATCATCGAGAAGGAGGTCGATCAGCTGGTCCAGCTCACAATGGCGGACACCGCTGAGAACCTCGTGCGATACATTGGTCGCGAGCAGGACGACAACTTCATCTATCTCGGCACGTCCCTGTGCGAGATGTCGCTACAGCAGCTCGTCGAGAACCACAAGGATCGATTCAAGGCAATGGACAAGCACGCAATGATCAATGACATTATCAAGGGACTGCGATTGCTTCATCGTCACGATATCGTCCACAACGACCTCAACCCAAGCAACGTCCTGCTCAAAGGCAATCGACTGTGTCTCACAGACATGGGCCTGAGCAAGGTGGCCGTCGAGTCGACATTTGGTGACAGTGGATATCTGCCAGCGGACCAACGAAAGACCACCAAGGTGGACACCTTCTCGCTCGGATGTCTGATCTACTACATACTGACAGAGGGTGGACATCCATTCGGCGACGACGAACCACGCCGCGTCATGAAGATCAGACAGAACGAGTTCGACCTGAGCAAGCTGACCAATGAGTACGCAGTAGACCTCGTTGCACAGATGATTGACAAGGACGCCTCGGTACGACCATCCTTCAAAATGGTACTGCTTCATCCATTCTTCTGGGACATCAACAAGAAGCTCAAGTTCCTCAACTGCATATTGGAGAGCACTCAGGCCAACATCTCGACCACTTCATCATCGACCCTCAACAACTCCATTCTCAAAATGCCATGGAACAAGTTGATCGATGGTGGTATACTTGAATGGCTCAAGAGAGGTAAGATATATGATGCCGATCAATCAACCAATCACATTCAATCAAACTAACAATCCAATCCAATCCAGAGTACCAATATAACTACAACTGTGTGGATGACACTATCAAGTGTATATGCGATACGGTGAAGCATCAACCAAACATGTTCAAGGACAAGGCAAAGAAGATGCCATTCTTTGAGTCACAAGATGCTGCCTTCCTCTACTTTGAGAAGAAACTTCCAACTCTGATCATCAACATCTATCAACACTACCGCGACACTACCTCCACCAACTAGATGACATCCAGCCAATTCATTCACTCATTCATTCATTCAAATAAATCGAAAAAACGATGTAAGGTGCATGTTCAAAATCCGAAAGTATCTTTCATTCGTTCATTAACAAATACAAGATAATACATATATATATACTTATATAATATGAGAGAGTAGAGGATGAAGTACTTAACATATCTCTTAACCGCACAACTATGTGATCCGAGTTCAAGGAGTGAAATGCGTAAAATATTACATAGATTCCAAGAATGGATGAATCCATCACCTTTGGACTTTATACAGCATCCAACGTTGCCAAAGGGCAACTTCCTGCTCCATGGTTGCTTCCCCAACACATCATTCGACTTTGGTGATATGCCCATAACCGTCAGACTGCTGACCAACGAGGAGGTGATCGACGTTGTCACATCGTACACCATAGACCACTTCATTGCCTTTATGGACATTGAGACTACACCCGATAACTTCATCTATGCCGACTGTCCGTTCAGTCCACATCTAATGACAATCGAAAACTTTGCCGCGAAGAAGTTCGAGTTTGACTTGGACCCAACCAGTATCTTCTATCAGGTGCACAAGGGCGTCCCGCTGTTCATCCGATCATCAGACCCCCGAGACCAGACATTTGGCTTCATCCCCAATCCAGCGGCCTTGGAGTTGGCCGACATGGACAACTTGTCCAAGTATCCACATTGCACAGTGTTCACCTCTATGCTGCCCCTCAACCGCTTCCCCAATGCCAGCGAACCATTGATGCGATCCGACCCAGCATTGCAAAACAACAACAACTTTATCAATGGTATGAATGAGTTTGGACATGTGATGATCAACAAAGGTAAACCCTTTGATGACTCAGCGGCTGGATCACTTGTCAAGACCTATCTCCAGTATGCGCCAAACAAGAGCCACATGAGTACAAACAACGATCAAATCTTCTATCACTTCCAACAATTCTATCCATTCGTCTTGTAAGTATTCCATCGTTTCCTCTTACTCAATGATCATTCACTCAATCAATCACTCAATCATTCAATCAATCAATTGAAGTGCTCGAGATGAAGATAATGAAAGAGATAGGAGATGGCGATGTGATGCCATTAAGGATCCAATACTCATGGCGGAGTTCACATTGTTATTCATCTGGAGCATGGCATCAGAGGAGGATTATTGTTCAATTCTGGATACGTTGAAGAAGATCATGATGTTCCTAGACTTTGGTGATCAGATCATCTATCATGCTGTGAGATGGTTGTGCTTTGACCACAAGGTCCATAACTACACCATCGACTATGTCAATGACGTTGTACACTTCATGCCACATATCACAAAGATCAGGGTACCCCTTAATGTTACCCTTATGGAGGGTCCCAATGAACTGATTGGATTCTCCAACGCCGAAATCGCAAACATGTATCCAAAGGGATTCGAAGTCAACAAGTTCAACATGACACTGGCACACTATGCCGCCATCAATGACAATATCGAACTGTTCAAGATACTGTACGCGGAAGAGGAGATCAAGGCGCCATATCCGACAATGTGTGATCTCATACTCCAACTTTCATACCATCAATCACCTTGCCTCAACCATCTTCTTCAGCGCTACCCCAACTACTTTGTCAACAACCCTTCAGTCTATCCACTTTGGTCATTGGCACACAATCGCCGCTGCACCAAAGTGATACCATTCAAACATATGTTGTACCCTGGATTCAAAACGGGCATCCCGCACCTGCCCGACCTGGAGGACCTCTGCGTGGCATATGGCAACATGTTTGTGCTCAAGTACCTGGTCACCAACAACATCACCACTCAAACGAGGATACCTCATTCTCCCGAGCACCCACACCTCTGCTCTGCCCTCGGCATGTTCCTCGCTGACCCAAATAAGAATCATATATTCTTGGCCTTCCGCAATCAAGGCCTTTACGCCGTGACCAAGAAGATTCACGTGTGTGAAGAGACACTAGTCCGCGCGGTCAATGGAACGAGTGAGGAGTTGATGAGGGCGGTGCTCGGCATGAAGTTCGCCAACTCATCTTGGCCATTCTACTACAAGGGCAACACCAAGATACCAATCGCCTCGCTGGCGCTGCCGTGTGTCAACATCGACGCCGTTCTCCACACGCCCAACATGCCGCCCATCGAGAAGCTGATCATCGACTTTGAGCAATGGCAATCAATTGCCAATGAAATCATTTATAGAGACAAACCGTTGACCAAGCTGACACAAGATCATATCAAGCAGTGTAGTCTCCTGGACTTGTTCATGCTCTATGGAGACATCAAAATGCTCTCCAACCAGTTGCTCAAACACTTCACACTGGTCACGCCACAGACAAGGTCACTGATGAAGTATCGTACTGCTAGCGATCGTATGAAGATTATACAGGTCTTTTTGAATATGGATATGCTACTTGATCCACGTGGTGGAGGTGGCGGCGGTGGCGGTGGAGCAGTAGGCAAGTCAAAGAAGAAGAAGAAGAGTGGATCACAGAAGAAGAAACAACCACAGGCAAAGGATCAGCAAGCGAAGCAAACAGCATCAACAGTAGTAGACGATGATGATGAGGGCGATGATGGTGAAGATGATGACAAAGGAGTCGTGAACATGGATGCCCTCAAGGATATCATCAATCAAATTGGGAACGGATCAGTCAAGTCACAATCTACAGATGACGACACAGCATTACAACCTGCCCAACAATCACCAACAACAACAACCACGATCGCAACTACAACAGCTGCTACTCCAATCATCCAACAACAACAAGAACCTGCTCCAGTGGAGCCTACCCCACCACTGCCTCCAAGCCCAGAGGTATCGACACCTCAGCCTACAGTGGCAGATACACAGAAGGCTGTGGAAGAGCCAGTTCCAGTTCATTACGAGCGATCAGTGGGCAAGTTCAAGTTCAGCAAGAAGTTGATCATTGGACGTGGAAGCAATGGCACTCTGGTGTACAAAGGTGTGTGGTGTGACAAGGTGCCCGTGGCAATCAAGCAGTTGTTCAAGGAGTTCAACACACTCATCGATAAGGAGGTGGAGATACTCATTCAACTCACAGCATTGGCCACTGCTACAGACAACTTGGTGAGATTCTTTGGAATGGAGGAGGACGACAACTTCATCTACTTGGCGACGTCACTGTGTGAGATGTCACTCCAGGAGATGGTCGAGGTACACAGGACACGTTTCCAATCATTGAACAAACAGACAATGATCAATGACATTGTGAATGGCGTCCGGTTCCTGCATCAACACAACATCATCCACAATGATCTCAATCCTCGCAACATCCTGTTCAAAGACAAACACCTGTTCATCACTGACATGGGACTGAGCAAGATGTCTGTTGAGACATCATTCGCATTCACTCATGCTCCAAGTGGTCAAGGTGGTTACTTCCCATCAGAGGTCATCAAGGATCAGCGAAAGACTAACTCTGTCGACATCTTCTCACTTGGATGTCTGATGTATTACATCCTCACTGATGGTGGTCATCCATTCGGTGATGAGATCCATCGACGTGTGACCAAGATCATTGACAATCATTTCAATCTCAGTCAACTCACCGATAACTATGCAGTTGATCTCATCACACAGATGATTGAGCATGACTCAGCATCTCGACCAACCATCCAAACAGTGATCAATCATCCATTCTTCTGGGACATCAACAAGAGACAATCATTCATCATCCGAGTGTCACAGAGCATTCAGAACCAATCACATACATTCCTCAACACAACAACCGACAAACAAAAGTATCTTCGTCAATCATGGAACATGTCAATCGATTCCAAACTCTTGGATCAACTCAATCAAGGTATGTACACGGCATTCCATAACTCATTCATCAAAGAAATGACTTATACTAACTCACTCATCAACAGAGACACAATACAACTTCAACAATGTGAAGGACCTTGTTCGATGCATCAGGAACACAACACTCCATCATCATCATCTGTTCACAGACAGCAGCAAGACATCGACATTCTTCACATCACAACAATCAGCATTCCAATACTTTGAACAACGACATCCAACACTTGTACTACACCTATATCACCGACTAAGAGGTACAACTGATGTCGAATCAGATAACCTCAAGGAGTTCTATCCCAACTCACTTTAACAACACCATATTGTATTATTGGAATATATATAAATATTAAGCAGAGATGCAACAACAGCTTTGTGATGGTCTATGTACCTTAGGCAGAAGGTACCTCCTTTGTGGTTGGTGCAGTCTTTCCAGTGGGTGGCTTGGGCACTGCAGGTGGCTGTGTGGGAGCTGGCCAGAAGGCAATGGCATTGACATAGACCTCACCTCCAACAGCCTTGAACGAGTATAAAGCCAAGTCTGCAAAAGCTGTGGCTCTGGGCTTCAAGGTGATCATGATGGTCTTGTCCTGGAGTGTGTTGTAGTAGGGGATGGACTTGTCACTCGACATTGAGCATTGTTCCAACTCAAAGTCACCAAGAAGCTCACCAGCTTTCTTGCTATTGTTGAGTACCTCGAGCTTGACTGTGCCAGTTAGGGCAGTGGTGAAGTAACGCACACCAAGCATGAATGCCCTGGTGGTGTCCTCGAATGGCTGGAACCTGAAGCTAATGGACGATCCATCGGGAACACGCATTGAGTGCACAGTTGGCATCAGATGGTCACGAGCAAATACAGCACCAGACTTGCTGGCCAGCTTGGAAACAGCGATCATCGTACACACCTTGGGCATGATGTAGTTCTCATTGAATGTGTTGGATGGAACCATTCCAACTAGAACGGCATCAATTACACCATCTCTAATGATATTAGGGTTCTGGAATGGTTCGGACTTGTAGTAGTTGGTGACTATTTCCCAGTTTGTCGTGTGGCCAGCGATCACTCCAAGCTTGTGGTTGGGGATGGTGGCAGGGACTCCATAAGCATTCAAGTTTGGATCTTGGTTATTGGTGGGATGGGCATAAAAGTCATAATATTCTCCACTGAATGAGGTCAGTAATGATGAGTTAGTAAGTACAGGAACTATTCCATCTAGAGGGGGTGTTACTTACTCGTGCCAGGTAACACCGAGGTCTAGACTTGTGGTTGGGAACGTAGTGCTGATCACTGTTTTGGTGCTGAATCCTAGCTGGCGAGGCACAACACCAAAGCCATAGGAGAAAGACTCGGTGGCGGCATGAGGCAGGAATTTGTAGACATTGGACTTGTTTGGCACTGGATCGGCTCCAACTTCAGTCTCTACTCTCTCTGAGTTGGGGTAGGCGGGATCGCGGTACGTGGTCTGGATGGACTTGAGGAAACCGGGAGGGTGCTGGGGGTCGATTGTGATCATGATCTGCTTGAGCTCTTTCTGGAACTGGTCTCTGTTTGAATCGTTGAACCAACTTTCCAAAGCATCATATGACAGAGTCTTGTAGTAATCGCTGTCACCTATTGATACATCACGATTCTCAAGCACTGGCGCTCCAACCAACTCGTGGAAGCAATAGCGTGGGTTCATGTAGGAAGTACCCTCGGGGAACAACTTGGAGTCGGAGAGTGACCATAGATCCATGTAGTCAAAGACGAAACGAGCGCAGTATGATCGGAACTTGAGCACCTTGTTGAAGGCCATCCATCCTGGCAGTCCGTTCTCGGCGGTTCGATCTTTGATCAACTGTACACCATGTTTGTAAGTCCTGATTGCATAGTCCATGAAGTCGCGTGGGTACGCGGCTAACTTATCCTTGAAGCCCTTCATATCGATGTTGGTGTAGCCCCAGGCCTTGCCATTTTTGATAACCTCCTTGAGAAGAAGGATCTCTGTGGTGGCAGCCACGGTGAACATGCCCAGCTCGGTCACTCCATAGGTTGGCTTGCGGAGAGCAGAGCCATCCCTTTGGATAATGCTGTTGGTGGCAAACTCGACGGTGGCAAAATGGGCCTTGCAAGAGTCACGCAGTCCCTTCTTGTGTGGTTTGAGAAGCCACTTGTTGTACACGGGGAAGAAGTCGGTCATGGCGGTCGTAATCTTGTTGATCTCTGCTGTGCAGTCCTCAAGATCATCGTTCTCCAGTGCTTCATTGATCATGTTCTTGGTGATTATGCGGAAGCCATCATAGAGCAAGGCTGGGGCACTACCTTGGGCTTGGGCATTTGACCATATGGCATCGATGACAACACCGAATGGTGAACCGACACCAGGGATATTTGAGACCAATCCAACGACGAGTACTTTGAGCATTACATCGTTATCAATTGAATTGTCTCTGGTGTATGGGAAACGACTCGTGTCCACCAAGGCCTTCTCATCAATCATGATTTGGGTCAACTCCTGGGTGACCTTGATCCACTCATCAAAGTTCTTTGGATTGGTAATAGATAAAGACATATTATATTATTATTATTATTTGTATTGTTTGTATGTATGTTGTTAAATATATAAATTTGATCATGATCAAATTTATATAACTTTTTGAAGGCGAACCTAACTGGTCATACCCCATGATGTGACACCATTGAGCGATCAACTGGAATGACACCTAATTCCATTGGGCAAAACCCCAACAGAGCCTTCCAAACACCTATTAATAGAAAAAACGATCGAATCATGATCACTAATCTCATCGAGTGCTTGAACAAACACTGATTCCAAGTGGCCAATCTACAAATTTGAAATATCTTTGAAGGCCTTGGTGATGCATTCCAAACTTCTGTTCAAGGTTATCAAGTGGTTAGTCATATTACTATCTCGATCGTCTAGTTGATCATGAATAATTGATGGAGTGGAACTATTCCATTCTGATCACACCACTCATTCAATCAATCAATCAATCTATCTATCCTTGTACATGTAAATAGTGTTTATTGAGAATCAGGCCTTACTGAATTACACGGCCCGAGGTATTATTTGTCGCGACAAATTGGCTTAAGCCGAGGGTACAGCCTTTGGAGCGGTCTTTCCAGTGGGTGGCTTGGGCACGGCAGGTGGCTGTGTGGGAGCTGGCCAGAAGGCAATGGCATTGACATAGACCTCACCTCCAACAGCCTTGAACGCGTATATGGCTAGGTCAGCAAGTGCTGTGGCTCTGGGCTTCAATGTGATCATGATGGTCTTGTCCTTGAGTGTGTTGTAGTAGGGAATTGATTTGTCACTGGACATTGAGCATTGTTCCAACTCAAAGTCACCAAGAAGCTCGCCAACCTTCTTGCTATTGTTGAGCACTTGGAGCTTGACTGTGCCAGTTGGGGCAGAAGTGAAGTAGCGAACACCAAGTATGAAGGCCCTGGTGGTGTCCTCGAAAGGCTGGAACCTGAAGTTGATGGTCGATCCGTTGGGCACGCGCATCGAGTGCACGGTGGGCATCAGATGGTCACGAGCAAACGAGGCGCCAGAGTTGTAGGCCAGCTTGGTGGCGGAGATCATTGTGCACACCTTGGGCATGATGTAGTTCTCATTGAAAGTGTTGGATGGAACCATTCCAACGAGGATGGCATCTACTACACCATCTCTAACAATGATGGGGTTCTGGAATGGTTCGGACTTGTAGTAGTTGGTGACCGTCTCCCAGTTTGTCGTATGTCCAGCGATCACACCAAGCTTGTGGTTGGGGATGGTCGCTGGGACGCCATAACGAGTATACCTTGGATTGTTAGTACCGCCGACCTGGGCATATACATCATTATAAGTACCACTAAGTATGATTGGTTAGAAAAGGAATCATTCCAAGTTGGAGAGGAGTACATCACATCGCATCACTTACTTGTGCCATGGGTAGTCAAGGTTTAGATTGGGAGTGGAGAATGTCGAACTGGTCACTGTGCTGGAGCTGAATCCAAGCTGGCGAGGAACCAAGCCAAAGCCATAGGAGAAGGACTCGGTGGTGGCGTGTGGCAGGAATTTGTAGACGTTGGAGTGTGATTCAACTGGATCGGCTCCTACTACATCCCCAACATGCTCAGAGTTGGGGTAGGCGGGGTCGCGGTAGGTGGTCTGGATGGACTTGAGCCAGCCGGGTGGGTGCTGAGGGTCGATGGTAATCCGGATCTGCTTGAGTTCCTTCTGGAACTGGTCTTTGCTGACGTCGTTGAACCAACTTTCCAAGGCATCATAGGATAGCGAATTGTAGTAGCCTCCGTCGCCCATGGATACACCACGGTTCTCAATCACGGGCACTCCGACCAGCTCCTGATAGCAGTAGCGAGGGTTGTAATATGAAGTGCCCTCTGGGAACAACTTGGAGTCCATGACCGACCACAGGTCAATAAAGTCAAAGACGAAGCGAGCGCAGTACGTGCGGAACTTGAGCACCTGGTTGAAGGCCACATAGCCTGGCTCTCCATTCTTTGTTGCGCGATCCTTGATCAGCTGAACTCCATGTTTGTAAGTCCTGATGGCATAGTCGGTGAACTCGCGTGGGTAAGTGGCCAACTTGTTCTTGTAGCCCTGCATATCAATGTTGGAGAAGCCCCATGTCTTGCCGTTCTTGACGACCTCCTTGAGCAGGAAGATCTCGGTGGTGGCGGCCACGGTGAACATGCCCAACTCGGTCACTCCATATGTTGCCTTTCGCAGCGCGGCGCCATCCATGAAGATGATGGTGTTGGCTGCCGACTCGACTTTCGAGAAATGGTCCTTGCACGACTCGCGCAGGGCTTTCTTGTGTGGCTTGCGTAGCCACTTGTTGTACACGGGGAAGAAGTCAATCATCTCGGCGGTGATCTTGCGGATCTCGGCGGTGCACAACTCGAGGTCAGCATTCTCCAATGCCTCATCGATCATGTTCCTGGTGATCTCACGGAAGCCATCGTACATTGCAGCTGGGGTATTATCTTGAGCAATGGCATCTGACCATATGGCATCGATGGCAACACCGAATGGCTCACCTATAAAAGGGATCTGTGAGACCATTCCGACGACGAGCACTTTAAGCATCTCTTCATGATCAATGGAGTTGTCTCTTGTGTATGGGAAACGACCAGCATTGACCATTGCCTTCTCATCGATCATGATCTGGGTCAACTCCTGAGTGACCTTGATCCACTCATCAAAGTTCTTTGGATTTTCATAAGATAAAGACATATTATTATATTAATATTATTACAATTATTATTTGTTTGAAATATAAATATATTAAGTGTTTGTTAAACAATGAACAATTGATTGATAATGTATGCCAGGCCATCATGATGTTAACATGTCCAACCCAAACCCAACCCCATTAAGTGATATCTTTTGGCGATCAACTGGAATGACACCTGACAGTGTGATACTTCAATGGGCCTTGGAGGTGACTAAAAATAGAAAAAACGATTCGATCATCGAATCATGATCACTAATCTCATCGAAGGCACGAACAAACTCTGATTCAAAGTGGCCAATCTACAAATAATAATATCATTCGAGGCCAAGTGGAGCTAAACATTCGACCAAACGATCAGTCGTGTCTGTCTGTTCAAGGTTATCACAATCAAAGTTATATATTTATTATTTAACGGAACTATTCCAAATGATCAATCACACATTCGACAAGATCTTGTTGTCGCGAATACATTACATCATGCAGTTGGAACAGCTTTGCGAGGCTTGATAGGTGGCACGGCAGGTGGCTGTACAGCAGTTGGCCAGAAGGCAATGGCGTTGACATAGACCTCACCTCCAACAGCCTTGAACGAATAGACGGTCAAGTCAGTTACAGCAGTGGCCTTTGGCTTCAAGGTGATCATGATGGTCTCATCCTTGATTTTGTTGTAGTAGTTGATGGACTTGTCATCAGATTGACTACACTGCTCCAATTCAAATGCGCCAAGTATTGGACCAACCTTCTTGCTCGTGTTCACAACTTGTAGCTTGACTGTGCCAGTTGCCGCCGTGGTGAAGTAGCGCACGCCCAACATGAATGTCCTTGTCGTGTCGACGAATGGTTGGAACCTAAAGTTGATAGACGATCCGTTGGGAATATGCATCGAGTGCACAGTGGGCATCAGATGGTCACGAGCAAAGTCTGCGCCAACCTTGGAGCACAACTTGGTTGCGGCGATCAACGTGCACACCTTGGGCATGATGAAATTGTCATTGAAAGTGTTGGATGGAACCATTCCAATAAGTATGGCATCAAGTACACCATCACGATGGATAGAAGGACTGTTAAAGTCATTCAAGTAATAGTTGGTCACTGTCTCCCAATTCGTTGTATGACCAGCGATCACACCAAGCTTGTGATTAGGTATAGTAGCTGGGACTCCATAACTAATGAGTGATGGATCATTGTTTCCAACGATCTGGGCATAATAATCATTGTACCTTCCACTATTTGATTGATTGTTAGTATGATAATTGAGTGATTGAGTGATGCGACGGACACATACTCATGATAGGGCTCGGTAGGTTTAGACTGGCTATGGGGAAGTTGTCACTCACTACGGTGCTGCCACTGAAGTAGAGTTCTCGGGGGATGAGCGCAAAGCGGTAGGAGAAGGACTCGGTTGTTGCATGCTGGAGGAAAGTGTAGGTGTTGGCATGGGTCGGAATTGGGTCGTCACCAACTACATCCTCAACTCTCTCAGAGTTGGCATAAGCTGGATCACGGTATGTCGTCTGGATGGACTTGAGGAAGCCAGGTGGATGTTGGGTATCTAGAGTGATCTTGATGCTCTTGAGCTCCTTCTGGTATTGGTCCCTGGTGACATCATTGAACCATTTGTCCAAATCATCATATGTCAAAGTGTTGTAGTAATCAGAGTCTCCCATTGATACACCCTTGTCATTTGGTATGACAGGCACTCCGACCAACTCTTGGTAACAAAAGCGGGGGTTGAGGTATGACGTGCCATTTGGTATCCATTGTCGACAATAGGTCAATGACATCAAAGACGAATCGGGAACAGAATGTTCGGAACTTGAGCACCTTGTTGAATGAGTTGAAGCCAGAGAGTTTGTTCTCAGCTGTACGGTACTTGATCAACTGGACACCATGGTAGTAGGTCTTGATAGCATAGTCCGTGAAGTCGCGAGGGTACTTGGCTAACTTGTCCTTGTACGTCTTCAACTCGACATTGGTGAAGCCCCATGTCTTTCCGTTCTTGACCACCTCCTGGAGCAGCAGGATCTCAGTTGTTGCGGCCACTGTGAACATGCCCAACTCGGTAACACCATAGGTTGACTTGCGGAGTTCAGTACCATCATCACTGACAATGCTGTCCACTATGAACTCGAGAGTGGAGAAACGTTCTTTGCAAGACTCTCGTAGAGTCTTCTTGTGAGGTTTGAGCAGCCACTGGTTGTAAACTGGGAAGAAATTCTTCATTGCTGTTGTGATCTTCTTGATCTCTGCGGTACATGACTCCAGATCAGCGTTCTCCAGTGCTTCATTGATCATGTTCCTCGTGATCGTGCGGAATCCATCATAAAGTAGTGCAGGTGTACTATCTTGTGCAATAGCATCAGACCATATGGCATCTACTACAACACCAACAACATCACCAACTTCTGGTATCATGGATACAAATCCAACAACCAATAACTTCAGCATCTCTGTATGATCGATTGAATTGTCCTGAGTGTAAGGGAAACGACCTGGATCAGGCATGGCCTTCTCATCAATCATCACCTTTGTCAACTCCTGAGTGACAGTCATCCACTCTTCAAAGTTCTTTGGATTCGTTATTGTCAAAGACATAATTATTATTATTATTATTATTATTATTTGTATATAAATAAATAGTTATGAATAATAATCAATGACCTGGAACATGATTATCATTCTTCTCTCCTGCTGGTCAATCAAGATCCAGACCCCCCAAAAAACATGTTGATCAATCAATCAATCACATGATAGGCCACGCCATCTTGGTCAGCAACAACATTAATACTTTCAGAATGTTGACCATGTACATGTAACTCAAACAATCAACAATACTAGTTTAATGAACATCAGTTTTGGTCGCGACAATATCAACATTGACATGCTTAGGCTGATGTAACTTCCTTTGTGGTTGGTGCAGTCTTTCCAGAGGGTGCTGTGGGCCTAGCAGGTGGCAGTGTGGGGGCTGGCCAGAAGGCAATGGCATTGACATAGACCTCACCTCCAACAGCCTTGAATGTAAATATGTCCTGGTCAGCTAGAGCTGTGGCCTTTGGCTTCAAGGTGATCAAGATGGTCTTGTCCTTGAGTGTGTTGTAGTAGGCGGTGGACTTGTCAGGTGACATAGCACATTGCTCCAGATCAAAGTCGCCAAACATCTCGCCATTCTTCTTGGTGCCGTTGATCACTTGGAGCTTGACAGTGCCAGTTACCGCTGTGGTGAAGTAGCGCACACCCAGAATGAAGGTCCTGGTCTTGTCGTCAAATGGCTGGAACCTGTAGTTGATGGTCGATCCGTTGGGCACACGCATTGAGTGCACGGTGGGCATCAGATGGTCACGAGCAAACGAGGCACCCGAGTTGTAGGCCAGCTTGGTGGCGGCGATCATTGTGCACACCTTGGGCATGATCACATTCTCATTGAATACGTATGATGGAACCATTCCAACGAGGATTGCATCAACAAGACCAGCTCTAACAACGATAGGGTTGCGGAATGGATCGTCCAAGTAGAAATCGGTCACCATCTCCCAGTTTGTCGTGTGGCCAGCGATCACACCAATTTTGTGATTGGGGATGGTGGCTGGGACGCCATAAGCAGTCCATTTGGGGTCCAAGTTGCTAGCAATCTGGGCATAATAATCATTATAGGTACCCCTGTTAAATGTGATGAGTTGATTAGTTAGTACTGGAACTATTCCTTATGGATGGATGAGGGAGGGCACGGGTCACTTACTCATGCCATGGGTATCCAAGGTTCAAATTGGCGACAGGGAATGTGTGGCTAATCACTCTGTTACTGAAGCCAAGGCCGCGTGGCACTAGGCCAAAGCCATAGTTGAATGTCTCGGTGGCGGCATGAGGTGGGAATGAGTAGACGTTGGAGTGTGTTTCAACTGGATGTGCACCGACTACATCCTCAACATGCTCGGCGTTGGGGTAGGCTGGATCGCGGTAGGTGGTCTGGATGGACTTGAGCCAACCGGGTGGGTGCTGAAGGTCGATCGTGATCCTGATCTGTTTGAGCTCCTTCTGGAACTTGTCTCTGTTGGCGTCGTTGAACCATTTCTCAATGGCCTCATAGGTCAGCGACCTGTAGTATGAGGCGTCACCCAATGATACGCTACTGTTCTCAATCACTGGTACTCCAACCAGTTCATGGTAGCAGTAGCGTGGGTTCAAGTAGGACGTGCCTTCTGGGAACAGCTTGGAGTCCATGACTGACCACAGGTCCATATAGTCAAAGACGAAGCGAGCGCAGTACGAGCGGAACTTGAGCACCTTGTTGAAGGCCATCCAGCCTGGCAGTCCATTCTCGGTCGTACGGTCCTTGATCAACTGGACACCATCCTTGTAGGTGCTGATGGCATAGTCGGTGAACTCACGTGGGTATCTGGCCAGCTTGTCCTTGTAGCCCTTCATCTCAATGGCGGTGAAGCCCCATGTCTTGCCATTCTTGACGACCTCTTTGAGCAGCAGGATCTCTGTGGTGGCGGCCACGGTGAACATGCCCAACTCGATGACTCCGTAGGTTTCCTTGCGCAAAGCTGCACCATCCTGGCTGACAACGCTGTTGGCAGCCAACTCGACTGCGGAGAAACGGTCTTTACAAGCCTCGCGAAGGGCTTTCTTGTGTGGCTTGAGCAACCACTTGTTGTACACGGGGAAGAAGTCCTTCATGGCAGTGGTGATCTTAACCACCTCGGCGGTACAAGACTCAAGGTCAGCATTCTCGACTGCCTCATTGATCATGTTCGTGGTGATTGTGCGGAAACCATCGTAAAGCACGGCGGGGGCATTGCCTTGGGAGAGGGCGTCGGACCATATGGCATCGATGACCACACCAAATGGTTCACCGACCACTGGGATACTGGAGACCAATCCAACAACAAGGACCTTTAGCATCTCCTGGTGATCCATGGAGTTGTCTCTGGTGTAAGGGAAACGACCAGTGTTCACCAAGGCCTTCTCATCAATCATGATCTGGGTCAACTCCTGGGTGACCTTGATCCATTCATCAAAGTTCTTTGGATTATCAACTGTTAAAGACATAATTATATTATTATTATTATTTGTTTGATATGTATGTTGAATGATCAATCAATCAAATTACACTTTCCAATTTATCATTATGATCAAGGAGTTAGTGGCACGCCCCTTTGATGACACATACTCACAAACACAATCTATCAAGGCTTGCCAAACCCTGTCCAACCCAACCCCATCATGTGACATCATTGGGCGATCAACAGTAATGTGATAATTAATGAACATGAGATACTGTTTGATCATTGGCAATTACCCCAATAAGGCCTTGGAAGTACTAAGAATAGAAAAAAACGATCGAATCATGATCACTAATCTCATCGACTGTTCAAACGACACTGATACCAAGTGGTCAATCTACAAAAATGTAATATCTTCTTCAACCACACGACGAGTGATCAAACATCGTCGTGTCGGTCTGATCAAGGTTATCAATCACGTTGAAAAAGATTAGATATTAGATTATGTAAAGTTAACTTACATCATCATAACTTTATAAAATTGTTAAATGGAACTATTCCAAATATTATTTCACACACTCAATCAATCAATGAAATAAAGAATGTTACATATGACATGAAGGCCGTCGATCGACGTCACACGTATTAAGAGCTATAACAATGTTGTCACGACAGATAAGTGGAAATGATCGAAGTTCGTTTGTGAAAAGTTGGAAAGATATTTCCATGATCAGATCTGGTGATGATCAACAGTTTAGAACTGATTGAATGAGTGAGAGTGATCATTCCAAACAAATATTTATATATATAAACAAATAATAACAATGGCCAACTATCTACCTGCCCGATGACTAGATGTCATTCTTGATATACTTGTTGAAGGCAGAGCCATTGACAACATCACAGCTCAGACAGGTTGTTCAGAAGCATGTATTCCCAGTGCCACACAAGATGATGGTCCATCCATCATTGCCAGCTGGACATTACTTCCTCTACGGCTGCTTCACATGCACCAAGTTCAACTTCCCAGACACACTCAACTACTCAGTGACCCAGGTATCACAATCAGACTTTATCTCTGAGATAACAACCAATGCCACGCTACAAGCACTCATTGACAGGACTGTGTGGAGCACCGACAGCCTCAACAACAGCAAGGATAAGGAGTACTACTATGAGTTGGTGGACTTGTTGCTTGAAAGACGGACATACTCTGGCGTCAAGACATATGAACAGATGGCGCCAACTGAATGGCCCGATATTGCTCGAATGGATGTTGAACGACCTATGTTCCTCAAGTCCGAGTCGGAGTATGATCAGCCATATGGATTCCAAACCAATCACACTTTAGTACACAAGATTGATGAGCATGAATCACTTCGTGACTCGCATGGACGGCTCACGGTTCCCTGTGGCCAGGTGTATTTCAAACTGTCGCCATTGGACTGTGACAAGGCGGCAAACATGAATGAAGATGACCAATGGTGGACCAAGATGAAGGAGTTCCCCTTGATCTTTGAAGACACCTCATTCTTTGGTCCAGAGATGGATGAGATCTGTTCAGATATCATCATTGGCAAGTGCAACTACACCGATCCTTATGCATATTGTAAAATACCCGTGCGTGCACTGGAGCTCAATGGGATATATACCCTCATGCTCTCAGGCTCCCTGACCGCCTATGATCACTTCTCATTGTATGTAATATATCATCACTAACCTCTCTTCAATATGCTGACCATTCATTCATTCATTTATTCATAGTTCTTGTCCATACTCGAAAGGAATGTTATATGGATCATTGAGTATGATTTGTGCATTCAAGACAGAGTTCAAGGTATACTTACTGATACATATTGTGTCAAGTCTACTCAAACAAAGATTGAATGTCATCATTCACTTGATGATGTTTTCAACGATCACCGATGAGGAGGTCTACCAATTGATCAAATGGGTGTGCTTCGAGAACAAGATGTCCCAACAGGATGTAAGCAATATCCGAACGATACTCTGTGTCCGACCACAACTTAGGATGCACACCAGTCGACTGTTCACATGTCAAGAGCTACCCAAGATACTGGAACCATTCCAATCACTCTACCGACCTGCATGTGGACTCACACTGGCCGCGATTGCTGGTATCATTGATAACATCCAGATGTTCAAGTTGGTGTACTCACATGACATTGATGTGGACAAGACATACCCATCAACATTGGACAATATTCTGATGTTCACGAGGTATACACGATGTGTCGACTACCTCCTCAACAATGACCCGCACTACTTTGAGCGCAACCTTCAGTCAAGGCCATTATGGTGGTTCGGTCACAACGTCCTTGTGTCCAACAAGGAGATCCGACGATTCGTTCCCGTGCTGGCCAAGTGCAGGAAGCTCAACGGGTTCAACTCGTCCATTCCACACTACCCAAGCATGGATGACATATGCATCTACACTGGCAAGCTGGGCCTGCTGGCCTGGATGAAGACAGTCAGCATCACTTGGCAAGATCGAATACCACATGCTCCTGACCTCCCCAACCTATGCAGCCCGCTGGAGATGGTCATCTCTGGAGCCACCCCTACAACTTTGAAGGAATACCAAGAGTTCTACCCATCAGCCAGTCATCATATTTGCGACATGGTGTTGGTAAAGTGGATCAATGAGCATGGTTTGACGAATGAGTTGCTCAACATGAGATTCAAGGACTCATCATGGCCACTCTTCACAAGTACCAAGCTACCATTTGTATCAATTCTCATCAAGTGTACTCCAACCATCATAGAAGCACTTCTCAATCAGCCAGGTCTCCCGCCAGTCGACAAGCTCACCATTAACATGCCCCAATGGAATGCATGGTTCAATCAACACATTAACTTCATAACTCAACCAAAGACCGAACAACAACAAGGCAGTCTGCTCGATGTATATATGTTGGCTGGGAGATTGGATGTTATCAAGTACATCATTTCCAAATATGGTGTACAAATGGTCACCAAACAGACAGAGTCACTCATCAAGCTGCGACCACCAATTGAGCAGGAGGAGATCAAGGCAATGGTCGCAGACATCAAATCAATGGACTCATTATTAGGACCATCATCAAACAAACAGAAGTCAAAGAGCAAGAACAAGAACAAGAACAAGAAGAAGAAGAAACAATCACAGTCAAATGAGATCAAGAATGATGGTCCACCTCACAATCAGCCATCACAACTCGAGACCAAGGCAGAGCAACTGCAGATTGAGCAATACGAGAGGACAGTTGGCAAGTTCAAGTTCAGCAGGAAGATGATCATTGGACGTGGAAGCCATGGCACTCTGGTGTACAAGGGTGTGTGGTGTGACAAGGTGCCCGTGGCTGTCAAGGAGATGCGCAAAGGATTCAACACACTCATCGATAAAGAGGTGGACACACTGATGGAGCTGACCAAGTCCAATGACAAAGACAACTTGGTGAAATTCCTTGGAATGGAGGAGACTGAGGACTACACCTACTTGGCGACATCACTGTGTGAGATGTCACTTCAAGAGTTGGTGGAGGCGCACAAGGATCGATTCCAATCATTGAACAAACAGACATTGATCAATGACATCATCAACGGTGTTCGATTCCTGCACAAAAACAACATCATCCACAACGATCTCAATCCTCGCAACATCCTGCTCAAAGACGATCACCTGTTCATCACTGACATGGGACTGAGCAAGATGTCCGTTGAGACATCATTCGCATTCACTCATGCTCCAAGTGGTCAAGGTGGTTACTTCCCAGCAGAGGTCATCAACAATCAACGCAAGACCAACTCTGTCGATATCTTTGCACTTGGATGTTTGATGTATTACATCCTCGCTGATGGTGGTCATCCTTTCGGTGACAACTTCCATCTCAGAGCATCAAAGATACATCACAATGAGTTTGACATTCAACAACTCACTGATCAACCATGTGCCACCGACCTCATCACACAAATGATATCACATGATCCAACGACACGACCAACGATCAACATGGTGTTCAATCATCCATTCTTCTGGGACATCAAAAAGAGGATCATGTTCATTACCTGTGTGTTCCAGACCATCCAGGACCAACCACACTCATACCTCAACAAGGTCAATGCCAATCAATGGAACAAGTCCATCGATTCCAGGCTGCTTGACCAACATGGTATGTGTCTACTCGCTCAAACAACTATTCAAATAACTCGATTCTAACTCATATATTGATTCATCACTAAACGACAACAGAGTCACAATATAACTATAATAGTGCGAAGGACTTGATTCGATGCATCAGGAACACGACACAACACCATCATCAACTGTTCAAGGATGCTCAGAAGAAGACATTATTCTTTGATTCACAACAATCAGCATTCCAATACTTTGAACAACGACATCCAACATTGATCGTCCAACTCTATCGCAGGTTCATCAACACTGATGATGCCCAATCAGACAATCTCAAGGACTACTTTGTTGTGTCTACCTCGTCCTGATCCAATAAAGTGATGGCACTGACAAGATGTGATTGAAGTTCACACACTCTCTTGACTCACCCCATCCTGATCACACTTGGGAAGTGATTGATCAAATGATCACTTGTGTATTCATTCACACCAAGATATATAACAAATACATACATACATAGGATCTCCAACATAAGAATGACATTCTTGATATATCAGCTAAAGGCAGTCCAAATGTCGTTTCGTGAGTTTGAAGAAATGATATTAGTTTGTGTTCGACCAAGGCCCAGAGATACGATGGTGCATCCATCACTGCCGGGACACTACTTCCTCTATGGTTGCTACCCGGACACGACATTCCAATTCAATGACACAAGTAGCAGATTTGCCAAATACGCCAACTACACAGTTACAGAGGTGTCTAGCGAGGACTTTATCAACGAGATCACGACAAAGGGCACGATGCAAGCCTTCATGGACATGACAACATTAGAAATGGACCTGAAAGAGAGAGGTGAAAAGACAATCGATACCTCATCAGACTGCTGCTATTCAATCAACTCGAAGAATTTCAACAAAACATTCAGGATACGAAGGGTATCAATCAGTCGCGAAATACAAGTTCGAGATGAAGAGGTGATCCTTCGTCGCCACCAATTCATTCCAATTCCCGTCAATCGACCAATATTCGTCAAGACTGACGATATTGAGCACCAACCGTTTGGATTCCGACTCGACTATGACCTGCTCATCAGCGAGCATCCCGAGATGCCATTCAAAGACAAGGTGACAGGAAAGCTGTTGTTGCCCGATGGTCATGTGTTCTTGTACAATCAGTTGTACGAAGGTGATGAGGAGGATGACTACCGTTTCATTTCCAAACATTGCCAGTTCAATGACGATAATGATAATGATAATGACATTAGTCAACTTGTGGACAACTTTGGATCAGACTTTCTCTGTGGCAAGACCACATACACCGACTCACGTGCAAAATGCTCGGGTATACAATCAGCCAACTCCAACATTGTCTCATACAGCAAGGCATTTGGAAGGATCCAAAGAAGTTTGATTGGTTACCCATTCATCTTGTAAGTATGATTTGATCAATCATCTTATCCAACCATCCATCATATAGAACAATTCCACTCACCTCACTCAATCAATCAATCAATCACAGTGCATATCCAAAGATTGTGAAGATTAGGAACACATTTATTCGTAACTTCCTAAAGTTGTCGCCATCAAGGCAGGCTCACCTTGCCATATATAGCCATGATGAGGAGTTGACACCACCAACAATGTATTTCTTATTTTACATGATGGCATACCATACAATCCCCAATGAAACATTGTTTCAGGCACTCAAATGGCTGTGCTTTCACAACAACAAATCTGAACACGATAGCGACAACAAATCAGCCCATGCCTGTGCCTACAACATGCTCATTGTGCGACCACAACTGAGGTCGATGAAGCGACCAATCAAAGTGCCCCCCTTGGTCCAAGCAATACGGGACAAACCTGATATGGCGGCGCACTATCCTCAGTACGAGTTGGATTCAAATCCCAGAATTCCCATGACACTTGACACAATTCTGGTCCTCGCTGACAACATCGACCTCCTCTTTCCATATGTGGAGCTCCATTTTGATGAGCCATTCCCAACACCACTGGACATCATGCTGAGGTACTCGAGATCAAGCAGATGTATCGAGAATTACTTTGAGAACTACGAACATTACTTTGAATACAACCCGGCGGCCAAGCCCCTATGGTCATTGGCGCACAACGTCATGGTGCCCATCAAGAAGGACTTTGGATCAAGTTGAACAACTCTGTTGCAAAGGCTGGCATTGGGGCTCAATGGAAACACTCCTCATCTACCCACGATTGARGGACCTGTGTATCATCAATGGACGGTACACTCTGCTGGCATGGTGCAAGACCGCCGGAATCACCCTGGAGACACGCGAGCCACACAATCATGAGGCACCCGATTGTTGCAGTGCATTGGAGATGATCATCACCTCATCCGATGGTGAGAGTGTCTACAATATGGTGCTGCGAGCGTACCAATTGAACAATCAACTCGGCCAACACCATGTCTGCGATAAGTCACTCATCAACTTTATATGTACATCACGCTTCGGACCAAGGTGTAGTATTGTGAGTGAGCTGAGGTTCAAGGACTCATCATGGCCACTCTACGTTCATGGCACCAAGATACCATTCGTCAGTCTGATGTTTGGAGCAAAGTTGGAAGATTTGGCAGTGATGATGCTCAAGGTGCCAGGACTGCCGCCAGTGGACAAGATGGTCATCGAATTGAATCAGTGGTTCGTATGGAGTAACGAGATGCCCTTGTTCAAAAAGAAATCTGAGACCTGGTTTAAGACAATCACCGAGTTGCCATGTGATCGTGTCTCACTATTGGACATCTTCATGATTACTGGAGAATTGGACTTGATCAAACATCTTCTCACTACCTATGGCTTGAAGTGGATCACGAGATATTCCGAGAAACTAATCGAGCGTCGCAGCCCAGAGGATCAGAAGATGATCAGATCATATGTGTCAGATCTGGAGATGTTCGTGGGTCGCGGTGGAGGTGGAAAGGCTTCTTCCAAATCAACGTCAAAGAAGAAGAAGAAGAGTGCCAAGACCAAACAGAAGTCACAATCACAATCACCTCCACTAGTGGATCACACTCAACCATTGGACAGCAATAACATTGAGTCAATGTCCATATCCGATGTACATGTTCAATCACAGAATCCACCTCCTGCCACAACAGCAAGCGCACCACCACCATCACAATTGCAACAGTCACCTGCTATTCCCGAACCATTGTCATTGGAGAAGTATGAGAGTACAGTGGGCAAGTTCAAGTTCAGCAGGAAGATGATCATTGGACGTGGAAGCAATGGTACTCTGGTGTACAAGGGTGTGTGGTGTGACAAGGTGCCTGTGGCAATCAAACAGATGAACAAAGGATTCAACACACTCATCGATAAGGAGGTGAACATCCTCATTCAACTGACAGCACTCTCCAGTGCCACAGACAACTTGGTGAGATTCTTTGGAATGGAGGAGGACGATCACTTTGTCTACCTCGCGACGTCACTGTGTGAGATGTCACTTCAAGAACTGGTGGAGTCTCACAAGGATCGATTCCAATCATTGAACAAACAGACATTGATCAATGATATCATCAATGGTGTTCGATTCCTACACAATGATAAGTTCATCCACAACGATCTCAATCCTCGCAACATCCTGTTCAAAGACAACCACCTGTTCATCACTGACATGGGACTGAGCAAGATGTCCGTTGAGACATCATTCGCATTCACTCATGCTCCAAGTGGTCAAGGTGGCTATTTCCCAGCTGAGGTCATCAACAACCAGCGAAAGACCAACTCTGTCGATATCTTCTCACTTGGATGTTTGATGTATTACATCCTCACTGATGGTGGTCATCCATTCGGTGACAATCTCCCTCTAAGAGTGTCAAAGATAATATTTGATCAGTTCGACATCCAACAACTCACTGATCAACCATGTGCCACCGACCTCATCACACAAATGATATCACATGATCCGTCTACTCGACCATCAATCACCAGTGTGATCAATCATCCATTCTTCTGGGACATCAACAAGAGACAATCATTCATCATCCGAGTGTCACAGACCGTCCAGAATCAACCACACACTTTCCTCAACATAACAATCGATAAACAAAGATTCCTTCGTCAATCATGGAACATGTCAATCGATTCCAAACTCTTGGATCAACTCAATCAAGGTATGTGTATAAGCCATTCCATGTGATCGAGCAATATCTGACGCAACCATTCATAACACAGAGACACAATATAACTTCAACAATGTGAAGGACCTTGTTCGATGCATCAGGAACACAAAACTCCATCATCATCAACTATACACAGACAACAGCAAGACATCGACATTCTTCACATCACAGGAACATGTATTCCAATACTTTGAACAACGACATCCAACACTTGTACTTCACCTCTATCAACGATTGATGGAAACAGACGACTCTAAATCAAATAACCTCAAGGAGTTCTTTGCCAACTCTTGAATAAAAAAATAATAAACAATTTATATTAATTAATTAATTAATTAGGACCTTATTCATATCAGATGGAATTGATCATCAACTCTTTCTCACTGATCACCACACGAACACTTGTTGTTGATCAACACACCACAATACACACACACACAAACAATGCTCTTACTCACCAATTATACGCACTCCAATGATGATGATCAGGAAGAACAAGTTGTTTGGATGGGGTACTTACATCCAAAGTGTTGTTGTATCCAATAATACCACATCATGCTATACCTTGCCATCCATCCATCTATACACCTTTCCTGTCATGACTACGGAGGGTAATAACACCCATCATCTCAAACAATACTACTGATCAGGGTTAGTTAGGTGAGGTAATGAATGATTGATTGTATACTGATGTTAGATGTGGATGTGTGATCTAGAGTACTCAGTCAATCAATCAAACAATCATTCAATCACATGATTAATTGGAGATTTCCAAACTACTTATAATTACAAAGAGATAAAAAAGATAATACATTCACATATTTATACATATAATAATAATGGGATGTGTATTAACTGTAGAGGAGAAGAATAGTAGGAATATAGATCAACATCTGAGGAAAGATGGATATCAGGCAAAGAGTGAGATAAAGTTATTATTACTTGGTCCGGGAGAATCTGGCAAGTCAACGATATTCAAACAAATGAAGATTATACAAGATGGTGGGGGATTCTCTWACCGAGGAGCGATTGGAGTACAGATATATCATATATGGCAATTGCATCAGTCAGATGAAGGTGTTGGTGATGCATGCCATTAAGAATGAATTGGCACCTAAACCAGAGAATCAAGAGTCCTTTGACAGAATTGCCAAGATCACGCCAGGTGGAAACTCATGGAATGCCGAAGTGGCCAATGATATCAAAGCACTATGGTTGGACGAGAACATTCAATCAATGTACGAGCTGAGAGATAAGGAATATCAACTCAATGATTCAGCTGCATAGTATGTACTCACTTGGAGTATGATATTGTGATCAATCACTCACTGACATTCATCAATCCAGCTTCTTCCAACACATTGCAAGATTCTCAAATGAGGACTATATACCTAATCAGGACGATGTCCTGAGATCCAGAGTACGAACGACGGGTATACAGGAAGCCAACTTCAAGTTTAACGATATCGAGTTTCGTATGTTGGACGTGGGCGGACAGAGGAGCGAGCGAAGGAAGTGGATACATTGCTTCGACTCGGTGACAGCCGTCATCTTTTGTGTGGCGATCAGCGAGTACGACCAGTCGCTGCGCGAAGACGAGACACAGAGTCGCATGAAGGAGTCGCTGCTGCTGTTTGACGAGATCATCAACAGTCATTGGTTCAGCAGCACGGCATTCATATTGTTCTTCAACAAGGTCGATCTGTTCCGTGAGAAGGTGCAGCGAATCGATCTGGGCGAGCACTTCCCCGCGTACAAGGGCGGCTTGAGCTTTGAGAGCGGGTCAACGTTCATCAAGAAGATGTTCTTGGATCAGTGCCACAACACGCAGATGATCTTCCCGCACTTCACTTGCGCCATCGACACACAGAACATCCACTTTGTATTCCAAGCCGTTCGAGAGACACTGCTAATACATGTATTGGGGAAGGTTGGTTGGGCGACGCCCGTCTAATGCAACTTGTTCGCTCCATCAATCTGTGTGTGAGGGTATTAATAAAGATGTGTTTGATACCATGGTATCAATCATTCAATCAAGTTGTTGGTGTGTTAGGCTGTTGTTGTTGTTGTTGGAGATGGTCGACAAGTGCTCTGGGGAGGATGATGATATTGAGGTTCCTAAGACCATTGATCATTCGAGATTTATTCCACGTTGATGATTATAACATCGATAAAAGAAAAGAAAAGAGGAATGTAATGACACTGCCGCCACACTGAATGATATCAAGTCCTTTAGAATGAACCACCTTGTTGCTCAATGACAATGTCGATTATATCATTGTTGTCCATGTCGTACTGTGAGTTGTAGGTAGTAGTAACGTTATGTGATTGAAGAGTTAGTTGTACTATTCCTGTATAATTCCTCATTCATCCTCACTCTCACTCTCACTCTCACTATCGCTCGCTCTCTATCCCTTGCTCATACCTCTTTTGGGGATCTCTCAGGTTGGAGTCTCTGTCCATCATATAAGAATCTAATTGAGTTTGGGTTGATTGATTGTCTCAGGCAGTAGGCATCCATCAGCTTGCGGAGTGGAGTTCCACGCTTAATCTTGAAGAAGACCTCTGCGCCATCCTACATATGTATGGTTTGAATGAGCGTCAGTATGAGCGTGTGTAGATGTATGTAGTTGTGAACTTCAGATTGCCAAACCACAGCTACAGCAGCAACAGCAGCAACAGTAGCAACGTAGCAACAGCCACAGTCTAACAACAGGTTTAATGTGTACACACAACAACACAATACAATACATACATGGTTTTGTACTCTCAAATTGATCTGCTCGTCTTGTGCTCCGGCGGCAGCAGCGTTTGGCTGTGCTCCCTCTTGCTTTGCGGTTGGTTCCTCCTTGGCAGACATAATTGAAATATGTGTATATATGTGTATGTATGTATTTAAATAATGTATCTGTAACAGTAAAAGTAAATGCCGGCTAACAACATCAACACCCCAATTTATTGCGCCTCTCTCTCAAAACGACCATTTTTAAAAAAACGAACTTCAAACTAAAATCAAATTATTTAATATTTAATTATCATCGTCGAAGTTCTAGAACTCTGGATTGATCTTATAATGAAATCAATGAAAGTACTCCAAAATTGAAATAATAATAATAAAGAATAAATTAGATAATATTACATTAATATCTATTTTACTAACTTTGTTAAAGTTGTATAATACAAATCATTATTGTCATCATCTTATCCAAAGTTGGACAGAAACATCTAAGTATACCAATGTGATGACATCATTGCCACCGACACATTGTGGATGGTCTGTGTAAAGTTGGTGGTTGTATTTAAACAGACTTGTATAACAATGTGAAGAATGTAATGGTATCATTCAATCAATAAATCAAACAAAGTGAATGATATTATAAATAATGCCAACAACAATTATTAATATTATTTATAACATGTCAATCAATCAAACAACAACACTGTGTGGTTTCAATGCTATCTACATCAACCTGTCAACACATTAACAGCATTGACATGACAGCTGTCATGTAGGATTGACATTGTAATAATAGTAGTACTACTTACTTGAGTGTAAATTAGAATGAACAAATGAATGAATTGTGGTGGTGATGTGAAGGAAGGAAAGAGTGAGACAAACGTCGCAGGTAGAGGGGTTGTGGAGGTGGTGGGGATCACTGACAATTGATCGCCAAAACAATTGCCAATACCATCACCCTCACCATTGTGTTACTCTACCCTACCTTACCTTACCTTTCCTCACCTCTCCTCACTCTATCTGTATGGTGCTGTTGACGGCGACAACGACGACGACCAAGACAATAAAGAAGGAAGGGGGGTGTTGACACTTACTGCATGGAGGAAGTGAATGGATGTCAAACACACACCACCTACCAATCTAATCATTGTCAGAGACATCATTTAGTGTGAATGTGCAGTTGGAATAGGTTGCAAATATACGAGAGAATACTTTGATATTTGATATCTCTGTGATGGTTGACAATATCTTATCATCAACTTCACACCCCGATTGATTGATTGGTTCCTCTTTTAACATTCACTCTCACCTACACACACACCAGGACAGACATTGATCAGTGATCAGACAGCAGTAGAGGATGAAGGGGGTAGTGGTGTGAATGAATGATTGTTTGTTTGATTGATTGATTGACGACACGACACGACACGCCACCCACCCACTAACCAACGACTACAACTTCACACGTTCAAGGTGGTGTGTTGTACCTGGTTTGAGGGCTCCCTTCCATCCAACATGTCAATTAAGAATCACAATCGCCATTCCAGTCACCTTGATCCTTATAAATATTCAACCGGTTCAATCATTTTCAAAAGACACTTCACTACAACTCTAACTTCCTATCGAACAACGAATAACTACCTAACTATCTTATAACTATCTAACTTTCTAACTATCTAACTAACTATAGTTAACAAACTCTATCTTTTCCTATATTACTATTACTATATATATACTTATACTTGGGACAATCAACAACTTCACCCACATCACTTAACAGCCTCCTTGAGGACCATTCTATTACAATATTGATGTTCATCACTACTTGAACAAAATTGTAATATTATTGTCCAAAACGAGGTGTTGTGGTTGTTGTTGTTGTGCAGTCTTAAGTATATTATATTTAAATATATAAGTTATTTATTTGCAAATGATCAATGTAACGTTGTGAATGTTATGAATCCCTTTACCTCGATGGGATGGACCCCATTTTCTGATGGTTGTCAGTGTCGGTACAAATATCTGCGCGTTTCTTAGGTTTCAAAGCGATGAAATTGACCGGTCTCCATCAAAAATTTATTTATAAATAGAATGAGTAAGATCATAATTCAAGTATACAAATATCATTATTACTTACTTATTATTACTACTACTACTACTACAACAACCATGAATTTTAATTCTAAACATACATTTATTATTTTATTCCTTATATTCTGTTATTATAACAATGGAGTTTATTCATTTAATAACAATAATAATAATTCTATTCTAATAACTTCATATTCATATATTACTAATGCTAGTAACACTGTTACCTTGAATGGATACTTTGGAGATACTCCATTGATCGATCAATCCAATGTTCATATTGATGGAATTAATTGTATTGTCAATTTTTTAAACTCAACAACCTTGATATGTTCTGTCTCGTCTAATATCTTCCAAGGATATGCTGACCTGAACATTACTATCAATTCAAACATGTCCTACTACTCCAAGGATAGACTGGCCATATGTATGTATCTAGGATATCAAGTTGGATTAAATTATTAGTACTAGTACTAATATCATTATATAAAGACCCACAATTTATATCAGATAGTTGTTATGCACCATCTGGTTTATACAATTTATGTTCTGGCCATGGTAAATGTGTACATGGACTCTGCCATTGTGATCCACTATGGGGCGGACCATATTGTGACGGTGAGGTACTCTCCCGTACAAATATCATTCATAATACCTCAAGTCCCTCAACTTCATTCTCATTTGAATATTATAGTTCTCCAAGTAATATTGATATTGTAGCGATTCAAGAATTGGATCAAGATAACATTGTTGTCAAGGAATTGTTAACAAACAAATGGATATTGTCAAACCAGACATCAATTCCCAATGTTGTTACATCAAGGCTGTACACATTGGAGAATGCTAGTCCAAGTAACTTGAATGTTAGCGTCCTTGTTCAAGATAATGAACAATTAGACAGGTACGGATTAGCCAACGTTCAATCATCAGTTGATATGAATGTGAACATTGAAGGATGGTCTTATCAATCAAACTCCAACAGTCTCAGAGTGGTCGTCTTTAAGAATACCTCAACAGTATCAAACTTCACCTACTACCACGATATTGTGTGTGGAAGACAGTTCATAATGGGCAATGACACTATTGGCAACATGATATACTTCCGTGATGTTGTCAGTGATCAACTCTTTGCAAGATTCCCAACTGCTGCCCTCACAGATGGAGTACCAACACCATCATTCAATGAACTAATCAACTCAACATCGTCCGCATCACTATTTGGCATCAACATTAAGACACAATGTAATCGATGCACTGTCAGTACAACATTCTCAATGCTAAGCAGTCCTAAATCATTTTCAAATTGGAGTAGCTGCAAAGACAATGGACATGATAAGAATGATAGTGATATGAGCGGCCTCTTTTATATATATATAGGATTAATAGTTGTAGGAGTACTTATTGGTGTTGGTATCATCATTACAGTGATTGTACTAGTGACCAAGTCTCGCAGGAGAGCTAAGAGAGCCAAACAAGGTGATCTCAAGATGACAACACTGGAACCATAAATTAAAAATAAAGGTGGAACATTGTTTGAATTCTCATTCTGAATATTTGATTGACTCACTTGTGGGTGGATGTCTTTATTAATCAAGTGTACATACTTATACATATACATATATATACATATATAATAACATTGTGAACAACGAGTAGTAGTAGTGTATGTTCAACAGCAACAGCAACAACAACAACAACAACAACAATGTTTGGAAGTAAGAAAGACAAGAACAAGAAGAAAGATGGTAGGTACACTCAATCAATCAATCAATCAAACAATGTCTTCAGCGTGATGGACACAACCTAACAATATTGATCAATATCAATATCAACATAATAATAGAGGTCGATGCATTTGAGGAACAATTAAGATCAGGACAGAATGATCTGTTACAAGATATCGATATGTCACAGATTGATAAGATGATGAAGAATGAGATAAAGGAGGACGATATATCTTTGACAGAGGATGATATGAATGATCCTGAACTATTGGCTCAATTGGGTACTATCGAGAGTGGATCGACACTTGAGAGGCCAAAGCCTACCCCTGCACCAAATGCTGCCTCTGCACCCTCTCCAATGCGTCCATCACCTCAACAGCAACAGCAACAGCAACAATCAAAGAAGCCCGCCAAAGCATTGACACCAGAGGAAGAGGAGGAACTTGCTTTGCGACGTGAGATGGGTGAGATGGACTCTGGTGACGACGATGACAATGACATGCATGATGGCGGTGAAGATGACTTCCAAGCTATGATCCCAATTCTAGAGCAACGTGTTGTTGCATACAAGAAGACTGCACTGGCCAACAAGGATAACAGAGAGTTGGCATTGAAGTACATGAAAGCTGCCAGACAGATAGAGGAAGCAGTGAAAGAACTGAACCAAGGTATTCCTGTTGGTGAGTATCCTCTCATGGGTGTAGTGCATGTGACCCTTACTAACAATCATGATAATCAGACATTCGATCACTACCTCCCGATCTCCAAGCACCAGCACCCTCTCAAAGGTCTGCTCCTGTTGCCACTACAACAACAACAACAACCAAGACCACATCACCCAAGCCAACAGTTGCGCCTGTTGCTCAAGTGGTCAAGCCCCCTGTGCCAGTGCTCTCACGTGAAGAGGTCGATCGACTCGAGAGGGCTCATACATGGGAGTTGTTCGAAGCAGAGTACACCAAGAAACACAACAGCATGGCACAGGAAGCAATTGTAAGTACAAAGTTAACCTTGCTCGCCAATACAACCTCGCTAACATCTTGACATGTGCACACTACCAACAGAGACTAAAGAACAATGGCGAGTTGGAGAAATCATTGATGATTGTAAAGGAGATACGTGGAGTCAATGCTGTGCTTGAGCAGATTAGGGTGTGTAACAAGGCGGGCGTGTCACCTCCACCATTCCACTTTGAGGAGAGGGTCACGCAGACAGAGGTCATCCAGGGCCATCTCAAGGAGAACCAGATCGAGTTCATCATTGGCAAGTACGAGTTTCCCAAGAGTCTTGGCACACTCGACTCGTACATCACCACCGAGTTCCCATATCCCTCGTCTGAGGAGCCGCAAAAGTTCACGACGGCCTCTTCAAACAGCGCCACGGGCAAGGACTACTCCTTCAAGACAGTCATCGAGATTGAGAAGAAGAAGTCCTTCCAGCGCATCGTCGAGAAGAAGAAGCTGGTGCTCACCATCAACTCGTCAAAGATGTTCTTTATGAAGACGGTCGTGGGCAAGTGCGAGGTCAAGCTGGCTGACCTGCTGGACCGCTGCGAGATCAACACCAAGTTCCCAATCATGAAGGATGGCTCAAAGAAGGAGCTGGGCGGCTATGTTGAGGTGGCCATCAGAATGAGGACCCCAATCGCATCGAAGGAATATATCAAGAAGTCTGAAAGGATACTGGTTCTCGATGGACCATTACAGAATGTTGATGTGACTGCCGTCGCTGCGCCAACAACACCAGCCACCCCAACAACAACTACACCATCAACTTCACACACAACCTCACCAACTGCAACCTCCACGACGCCACAACAACCAGAGAGGATATCACCTGTACATACGCCACCTACCACCACACCAACCAAGCCAACAGCGGCAGAAGTACATACGCCAACTTCGACCACCACTACCACATCAACAACAAAGACACCTGTTGCCGCAACTCCATCTCCAACACCAAAGCCCGCAGAATCGACACCAACAGAGGCAACTGGCGAGGAAGAGGAGGAGGAAGAATGGGATAGCCTCGACAGGATCGTTTCAAACGATGTTATGGAGTCGATGCTTGCTGTACTCATTCCACAGGTGGCAACCAAACCAACACCAGAGTTGATCGATAGGAAACAGGCATTGGAGATCAAGATGATGGTACTGGAAACCCAGGTGTCCTCTGGCATGCTCACCATTGAGGCCTACACTAAACAGCTGGAGAATGCCGTCCTGCAGGATAAGATACTGGCCAAGAAGCTGGTTGGTGCTGGTAAGAAGGATGTTGCTATCAAGGTGATGGCGCGCATCAAGATCATGAACGCCGAGTTGGCGTCGGCGTCCCAAGCCTCATAGTATATAGTATATCCTCCACAACTTAGCACATACACATAGCGCCCCTACTACATCCATTACCATCGAGTTACACCTTTACCTGTTCTATACTTAATAAACCGAAGTATTAGTCATTCATGTACATCAACAAGCTGAGGGCATCAGCGCCCACATTCATTCGTTCATTCATTCATTCATTATTTGAAATGGATGTTGCTATCATGGAAACAGTTCAGCAGTCTGCGCAGAGAATGAATGAGTGAAAGGATTGATTGTGTTAGTGCCATGCCATACTATACCAGTCCATGCTCAATCCATGAATGAATATGAATGAATGACCTACCTCAAGAACTCTGTGATATCCAACTTGGAAGATCTAGCGTCAGAGAAGTTGTTCTTCTCCAGCACTTGTATAACCTTCTCTTTCATCGCCTCTTCAGTGCCATCTGTGTCCATTAATCCTTGTACGGCACAGTAGGTCTTGTAGTTTTGATTGAGCATCTCGATGACACTGTTGACCTTGAAGATGGCCGGCAGCGTCTTGTTCTTCCTCGAGAAACATAGACGGATCAGACCATCCCACTCGACAAAGTTGATTGGAGGTGGAGGATTGAATGGCTGGATCTTGACGACGGCTGACTCGACCTTGGGTGGTGGCAAGAAGTTGTTCTTGCCCACCTTCATCAGATGTGTCACCTTTGACAGCAGTTGTGTGTTGACTGAGAGACGACAGTAGAGACTGTCGCCAGGGTTTGCTGCCAGTCTAAGCGCAAACTCCTTCTGGAACATCAGCACTGCTGCTCTAAACACTGGTCGATGCGCAAGTAGTTTGAATACCAGTGGAGAAGAGATCTATGTGATAATGTTCATTCGTTCGGTGTTAGTCGTTGTCTTTCATGGAGTGAGTTGACTTGGCTGTGTCGTCAACAACATACTTGATATGGGACGTTAGCAACGCAGACGTCAAAGTAAGGCAGTTCAACCTTCATAAAGTCACCAAGTATAATCTGTAGATGTGCAGCGTATGGTCTGTTGTGTCGACAAGTGTCATCGATGTTAGTTAGTGCTGTTTCTCCTGTACGAATGAATGAATGAATGAGTTGCACATACGTTGTTGACACTCTCTTTTGTAACTCAGCCGCCATACGAGGATCGACCTCAACAGCAATGACCTTTTTGCACTTCTCCAATAGTTTAATGGTAAGGTTACCTGTACCTGGACCAATCTCCAGCACTGTATCTGTAGACTTTAGTTGTGATTTATCAACGATTGCATCAATGATCAGTGGATTCTTGAGCAAATGTTGACCGTATGCCTTGTCTATACATTAATGATAAATGATATTTATGTATGAGTAACTATGTTTGATCGATTGATTATTGATTGATTGAGTTCCTTGAGAAACGTACTCATTTGGAATTCATGATGTCTTTGAACCTGCTTCTTCTCTCCATCTGCACCCTTGGCAGCTCCATCTTTTGCTCCTATCCTTACTGGTTTAACCATTGTATTTGTATATGTATATGTTTGTATGTGAATATATGTTTGTGTGTGTATCTCTACAATTGATAAAGGTCTTCTCGACTTTCACCCCAACCTCAATCAACAAACAAGTTTCGTTCGTTTTATTGACACAAACAACAATTTTTCCAACTTTATTCATCCAACCAAACAATCCAAAGAGACAAATAAGATACACACAACATGGTCATTATTTTGTTAATCCAATTATCTCTCTCTTGTTCTCTACCTCACTTTATTGAAGTTGAAGTCGATTGTCATCCAAATTATTGTGTTGTTCCCGCCTTGATTATTACTGGTCATCCATTAAAATGCCTTAGCCTCCTGTCAGAAACGCCTACTTTGTCTTCACCGATAGCTAGCTCACGAGTTTATCATCAAACTGTGCATATATGTTTGATATGTGAACTGGACTTGACTGGTCTAAGATAGATCATCCAGTATTGGTGATTGATTGTTGAAGGGCTCGAGATGTGAAGAATGTTGACCCCTTGTGGGGACGACAACATCGTCTTTGGAGACGGTATATCGCTCAAAGTCTAGTCAGTGAGGTTGATCGATAGTATTGTAATGTCCTTGGTTTATATCTCTATTGATTGATTGATTGATTTATGATTGATCTAGATCTAAATACATCACTCAAGATCACATCCCTTTAAATAGCATAAATCAATTGGACATGCGAGGTCTGGAATGACCCTTAGACCATTGCCAGCCCATCCGGATGCCTTATAAGAGATGTTTGGAACCCTCGAGGTAGGGGTAGGATGTGACGTGGATATTGATCGGTATAAGGTTGATGTCAATGTTATTGCCAGTTTGGGCAGTAGTTTGATTATGTGATTTGTCTGCTGATTGGTCATTTGATCACTCTCGCATTTTTAAGATTAATCGTGTTTCCATTTCTGTGAGGTGCTGTTGGAAGGTTGCAAACGGATCACTAATCACTCATCACTCTGACCATGGTAACATGCCGATTGGAACAAGAAAGGCAATGGATCGTCTTGTAGGATGTCCAGCCTGTTTATTATATGTGTGTTGGAATGGAATGTTGTAACTCGGGTTCTGTCTGTCTGTCTGTCAGTCCCTCACTTCTCTTGGATGGTTGGTTTTGGGGTGTCGTGTCCATGATGACGGACCATGGTTTGAATGGATGATGGATCACCTTTGGGTTGGTTAGATGGTTAATGGCGTTGGTGTCTTGAGCCGATAATGTACATAATGAGTGAATGGATGAATGAGTGAGAGAGTGAAGTGTTGGTAAAATGTGCGCACACGGTGCAGTGAGAAGAGTAGGATAAGGAAAGAGTGGAGGAGTTGGATGGATGGAGGGATGGGAGGATGGATGGATGGATGACACTCGCTTCGAAACGAGCATAGGCTTGAGAAAAAAAAAACTTTGTCGTCATGTTGTGAGGAGGCTTGTACTGCAGCTGCTCTCGATGGCAGCACGAGCCTGTTGGGTGGAAAGAAAGAATGAATGAATGAGTGAGTGAATGATGAAACTGGATTGATGATTGATCAATTGGATTGATCAAGTGAAAGGATGGCCATGTATGGCTTGAGGGTAAGTGGCGCCACTACTGGGGAGGTGGTGGTCGTCTGTGGAATCTTGGAGGACGAGGTAGAGAGATTGATCATTGGCATGGGCGGCAGGTGTGTCTGAGAGGCGTTGAGCGGCGAAAAGGGTATGGGTGAGAGACTGAGAGGCGAGGTGGTGGACGACAGTGACTGTGTTGGCGATGTTGCTCCTGATGATGATTTGCTGCGCTTATGATTGTTGTTCGACGACTTGCCCAAGCCCGCGATGGTAAAGTGTGACATCATTGATTGTTGTTGTTTCTTGTTGGCGCTGACTGATGTCATCATTGGCGATATGGATGGGACAATGTTGTCCGTGGACATTGAAAGGAGTGAGCGATTGCCAGAGTGTGTGGGTGTGTTGATGTTGGAGGGGGCTGAAGTGGCGGTAGTGGATGTGGAAATGAAGGAGGGGATGGGCATGGGCGTGGACATGGACAAGGACTGGACATTATGGGATGCCGATGAACTCTCATCGATCAGCAATCCCGTGCCGCTCTCTTCGTTGTCATTGATCTCCTCGTCGTCGTCGAGCTGGTCTTGGAAGTCATCTTCGTCGTCTCCCTTGGTAAACACTCCACGCTTGACCTTTGCACGCTTGTTCTGGAACCAGATCTGCACTCGACGGCTGGACATGCCCAGCTGATTGGCCAATCTGATACGTATCTGCTGCGAGGGCATCTTATCCGTCTCGAATATTTGCTCCAGAATGGACAGTTGCTCAGGTGATGTACGCTGGCGCTTCTTCTTTCCAGCGCCAACATTCGATGAGCTTGCACTCAGTTTGTTGCCGTTGTTGTGATGGTTGGATACCTCACTAGATGAGCTGTTGAGACTGCGCGACACACCACTCAAGTGGACGATGGCAGCCTCATCATCATTGTCCAACATATTGTTGTTGCCATTGTTGTTGTTGCTAGCATTGGTCAATGGCACCAAGTTGGCATTGTCAACCAAGGCAGAGTCTGTTATGTTTGGCACAAGGTTACAGCTGCTACTGCTATTGCTATGACTGATACTGTTGTCTGGTGTACTTGAAGAAGACCCACCTCCTCCTACAGTGGGTATACCAACAGATGATATCTTTAAAAGGATGTTGGCAATCAATCCTATCTCCTCACTAAATTAGTTTTAAATTAAATTGGCAATTAACAAATTAGTTCGCGTTCCACTATGCATGGTGATCTTTTTGTGTGAATGTGAATGTGGAGAGTGGGGCTTGATGGGTGCACGTGTGGGGGGGATTGGGTCCATGAAAGTGATCAGTGGGGATGAGGCCTTTTGCTGAAGGCGTGTGTGAGTAGGGAACTCAAGGAACAAAATATCTCTTTTTTTTTGATGATGATACGCCCCAACACGAAATGAGCATCTCTAATTCCGGTCCATTCCGCAATATCACGAATTGATGGTGACAGATGGACGACAAGAAGTCGTCTCTTGGATTCCCATCCATTCGCCTGTTGACAAGCAAATGAAGGTGTGGCTGTGGAGCCAAATGAATTGACTGATGATTGACTGAGTGATTGACAATCGACTGTGAATGAAGTTGAAGCAAGCAAATACATGGTTCATAGATGGGTGTATGTGTGTGTGTGTGTGTGTGTTCGTTGATTGGTTGGTTGATTGATTGAATGAATGAATGTGTATTACTCACCCTTCTTCATCACCATGATGAGTATGTGATTGATTCAATGTGGACAACTCTGCCTCTGACACTGGACTACTGCTCCGGCTACTGTTCATACTGAAGCCACTGCTAATATGATGATTGTTACTGTCGTCATTGTTTAAAAGTCTGTCTAATGATGCTGACTCGCCTATTGAAGCTGTCAACAATGTCCTCCTATATTGTTGTTGTTGTTGTAGTTGGAATGATGCAAATATTTGATTCTGCTCTTGAATAATCTCCATTCTTTAATATTTGTGTCGTCTTTGTAGTTGTGTTGATGATATGTTGATATTATTGAAAGTGAAGTGGTGAAATATTTGTTATTGGTGGAGCAATATGTAATAATGATAATGATAATAATAATAAAGATTGAGTGAGAACAATACCAAACGAATGAATGTATACCAATTTAATTAATAGGTGATGGGCGTTGATAGTGAGCCATGAACACGATATTTTAATTTAATGTATGAATGTATTTATAAGGTAGTACCTCTCACTTGCCTTGTCGTTTTCTAGATTTGCGAAGTAGAAAAAGCATCACCAAACAGACAAGGGTATGCCACAATATGTGCAGCATGATCATTTAGATATGACTCAATATCATTTCGCGCGCGCTCTCTCCCATGTTCTTTCATGGTGATGGCGGGGTATCTGGTGCGCTCTCGTGGGCCTAAGCACGCAAAACCGACTCCTCCTTTTCTTTTTGTTTGTGTGTCTTTGGCAAGGGTCATCACCTTTAAAAGGGCACTTTGCTTGTTGTGTGAAGCCATCATTCATTTGATGGCTGGCTGGCTCGTGTCCCGGACGATTGTCTTAATGGCTATTGTGGGAACCCAATCAACTACACCTGCTCTTCGGCAAAATACCATGTCTGTGTGTTGGGTGGTGTCTGTGCCCTCAGATCTGTCTTCCTGGTTTGCCTGATCTCTCCTGATTATTGATGGGGCCAATAACAAACATAACTTTGATATCTCTTTCTTATTAATATTATTAAGATGTTCCTTTGTATTGTATTTGTTAGTAAGTTATAACAATGATATTATGTTTAATGTTTGATTGTTGAGTGTTTTGTTGAGTCTTATTCTTGTCGCGCAGACCAAACTTGTGCAACACAAGGTGAAAACAAACTTGGTAGCCTCCATTCACATGTCTTGACGACGAATACACACAAAGAGAGATATAAGAATGTTTAGACTTATAGTGAATAATGTCTCACACAGGAGTATTATTCAGGGGTCAAGGGGATACTCGACACTGCAACAACAACACAACACCAAGATAGTGAGCATCCATCCCAATAATGTAGTAAATATGATGATCAAACCCACTCATTCATTATTGCAATCAATCAATGCTCATACTTTCTTTAGGATTGGGACAAGAGATGGTCGGTCAGTGAGTTGGTCGAGGGCAGCTCAGCACACGTTCATCAGATACCAGAGACAAAGTTGAGACATCTTGCATCATTGGCAATGCTGAGGATTGATGATGCCGATGTTGACAAGTACTGCAAGCAATTAGGTAGTGTTCTACATGCAGTTGACACAATGCAGAAAGTCGACACAAACAACGTTGCGCCAATGCGTAGTATACTAGATGACTATCCATTACAAATGCGTCAGGAGCGAACCACTACTACGACTACAACTCAAACAGACAATAGTGATGGTATCACACCAGACATACTTCTACAACATACAACACATCGATTTGCAAACTTCTACACAGTTCCACATCGCCAACAAGGCAGTAGCAGTGGAGGAAGCAGCGGCAATGCCCTAGACGAGGGAGAGGATGAGTTATAAGCACGAGCAATTATACAATATATATCATTCTATATTCAATCAATCAATCAATCAATCAATTCACAAGCATGTCAACAACATTGACGTGAACGCGGTCTCATCCCCATCCACATTGAATAAATATAATTAATTTAAATTTGTTTGCTCTCTCTGTTGTTCACACTTAACATTCGAATGTTTATGTGTGTTTTGAAGGGTTGTCAACAACACCACCATCTTCTTTATTAATCAACACACACTCAACAACAAGCACGAAAGTCATAGTCACAGATAGAGTCAGTCAGTCATTCAGAGTAAAAGTCTATGAAAGTAGTGATAAAGATATATAGATATTACATTTATACATAACATACGTACATACATCAAAGCCGATAGGTCCTGCATGTCTAAAGTCAGAACGAACGGACGGACATTGATTGGTTAATCACACACACGCATTCACTCACACTTCATACTCGCGCGCCTTTATCTTTGATCAGGATATATATAACTACTTCTATTCATCACAACATATTATATATATACATTATACCAAAAGATAAGATAAGATATATATAGATATCCCGCATGGGCAAGATCTCCGATTCAGAATCACACATAGGTATGATTACTACTACTACTTATACAGATATCTACATCTTATAATCACTTCTCCGCACATCACCTCTTTATAACACCTCTTCAATGCATTCACCATTCATTCATTTACGCATTCATTGTATGACGTCACTCTACAACTTCATTGTATTCATCATACTTTGATCCTTCAATATCAACAACATCAACAACAACATCAATACATTTAATCACTCAATCACTCAACCAATACAACGAACTATCTATTGTGTGTTGTACTTGTCCCAGGCATTGAACGACCAGTCCCAATCATTGTAACAGCAACAGCGGGACCTTCAACGGTTGCAATGGAAGTTCAAAAGTTTTCACTTGTTGTCATTTTGCCTTGTGGGGCGCTCAACTTGAAAAGATGATGCATCTTGGCACATGGTCTTGAACCAAACCTGATTTAATTTCAAACAGAGTGGGGAGTTACATACAGCCCTCCATCACATCTTCACCCCCTCCACCTCACCACCCACACACATCAATCACTTGATGGTATAAACACTTGGATACATTGCACTACTCTACACATTACCACACATATACACACAAACAGACAAAGAGATACACATCTTATACATATACACACATATTTATATCAAGACAAGATCACATTCTTTTCAAATCGATTGAAACTGATTCAGGATTTCAATAATTCAATCAATCACACATTCATTCATCGCCTTCATATGTCAACTTTGTGCTGTTTCAGTTGGCAGTCTCGACTCTATCTTTCTTTACAACAACAAAAACAATAACATCAGTAACTAAAGTTCTGACACTATCTCTATCGCGAAAACAAACATTAGAAACAAGCCAGGAGTCCACCATCAATAGCACTACAACACCTGGCAACAACAACAAGAGCAAGAGTACAACAACAACAACAGACAACACCAATAACAACAATAGCAATAATAGTAGCAAGGAATTAGAGAGCATGGAGGTCGACTCTAGTATGCCAACAAGCGTAATGAAGGATCCAATGGAACAAAGTCGCCAATGGCGGAACCAGCGGCGCATCGAGCGAAGGACCGGCCTGTGATAACTTTCACGAGGAACAATCGAAACGGAAAAGGAAGTTCCGGAGGCGCCAACAAGCCTCCCGCCAAAGATGAGAGTATGAGCGAGGACGACAATAACAACAACAACGGTGAGGAGGAGGACAACGATCAGAGCGGTATCGATGAGGAAGCGCCAACTTCAACATCCTCAACGATATCGAAGCGGAGTAGTAGTGGTGGTGGGAGCAAGTCCTCACGAAGGTCGACAGGCGGCTCCACATCAACAACAGCGACTACAAGGGATGAGGAGATGGCCGACGAAGATTCATCAAAGAATGGCATGGTAATTGAAGAGAGCGACAACAATGACGAGAGTGGGGGCGGCGCCGAGCAAGACGATGACCTCTCAAAGAAGCGAACCGAGTGTCTGGGCCACATGGAGCGAATAGAGAAGGAGTTTCAAGAGCTGAAGGAGAGGTTCTTTAATGAGCGACTGAGTCAGATAAAGAAGGACATTGAGGATATCAAAGTTGGTAAGTAATAGGTTTGATTGATTGTTGATTGACTAGTTAACATTATCCAAACTGACATCAACTTAATCAATCAATCAATAAAATCATATAGGCGATCACCATGGCTTTCAAGAGAAGGCTAAGGAGTTGGAACAAAAGAAGGACAAGAAGATAAAGATGGCAGAGGGATGGATGCGATTCCAAATCCAGAATATTGACAATATATACGATGCCGAGAAACAACAGTTTGACAATGAATATGATGTATGTTGTTGCCGACACACGACAGGACCATAGCCGAAGCACTGAACTAACAGCAATCTGACCCCTCCAACAACAACAGGATGAATCGTTACTTCTCCGAGAGAGGATGGTCAACTCATTGTTTGAGAAGCAGAGACGTATCTCTGAAGAGAAGGAGGCACTGCGACTGACGGACGACTCCAAGATAGTGAGCAAGGCCAAGAAGCTGCAGAACCAGAACAAGATACCAAAGAAACAGATACGTAAGTATACGAGTGGCACATGGCGAGCCAGGAGCACCCAACTAACATATACCAAAGCGCCATCAATCACATACTCGCTGAGCGAGAGTGAAGTTAACGAAGACTTTGAAGCAGCACTGATGTTTAAGCGACCGTCATCATAGTGTCGACAGGTGCTCGCATATATATCCACTCGTGGTGCCAACTGTCTCCAGAGATGTTCATCCAAACACAGTCGCCGCGCTCCCTGTTTCCATAACAACAGGGTAGTATCCTGCCTTGTGTCCAATGCCCTGTCCATGATATGGTCATCGCACCTCCCCTCCCCTCCTCATCATCCTCTTCTCCTTCTCCCTCTATCTTGGGTCTCATTCATGCCGATCATGAGTTGACCCATCAGCCGACTTTGAATTGTACATATCAAATGTATATATTTATTCACATTATATATATATATTCAATTATATATATATCCATTCAACATCACATTCCAGCCAGTCGACTCCAACCATCCATCCATCCAACCACCATCGTATATATGTTTAAAACAAACATTGAATGATTGTAAGACTTCAAGAACACCATCAACAACAGCCAGTTTCTTCAGACCCAGGCCAACTCATGCGAAGCAGGCATCCAAATGCGTACGTTCGACTCAATCCAGCATGTACACGAGAGATACAGAGATAGAGATAGAGGGAAAGAATGCAATCGAATTGTATGCAGTGCATCTCACACACAGATATGAATTAAGGTCGTGACGAATAAAGAAGAGAACAAAGAGTGAGAGAGAGAGAGCGCAAAGGACATCAGTGCTCGCATCCAACAAACCAAGACAATCCATCTTAGAGTGCTCTCTGCCTGTATCATGATGTATTCTTCAATCAATCAAACAGTGACACCACACACGAATCCAATCACACATGATCAGAATACTTAAATGTGTATGTGTGTGGAACGATGATTGATGGTGTGTGGTTGAGAGTCTGGACATCCAATATGATGTGTCATGTACGATGTTATTTGGAACAAATAATATTTGTCTCCCCATAAAGTGAATAGATCACTTGCATCAAGTGATACCAGACTACAACGTCCAATAACATCAGGTTTATTGATGTCGTCCTCCCAATCATGTTGTTTATTGATGGTATTATCTCAATAAGGAAAGGGTAACATAATATTTAGATTATTTATTTATAATTATTTATATATATATAAAATAATGAAGATATTTTCCATATTGATTATATTATGCTTCTGGACTGTCTACATACATTGCGCCGAGCTATGCGGTCCAAGAAGTTGTGCTCCAGGTCTATTTTGTTGTTCGGATGATAAGAGTGCAATATGTAAACCAATCGGTATGTTATTGAAACTCATCCTTCTTTAGAATCAATGATAGATCTAACTTTTTGATTTAACGTTATTTCAATCAATCAGCTCAAGCAGCTTCATTGGTTACATTCAATTTAACAGTTGACGGAAAGTGGACTGATTCAGCTCAGTTCATTGGATACATAAAGAATGTTTCAGGTAGAAGAATAAGCAAGATTACATTGAATGCTGTTGGCTTCGTGTTGTTGAAACCTTCATCCATTTGGAATGCAAAGTATACAGAGACCATCAATGAAATATATATACCCGACTTCCAAGATGGTCTACCAGCATTTCAAACTTACTCCTTTGGTTTCATCTCTTCAAAACTTGAGAAGCCTCCTATTACCATTAAAAGTGTAATGTTCTAATAACAACTAATACTATTAAATAAATATAATAACTAAAGTAAATAATATTATAATATTCTTATTCTTTCTTATCTACGACGTCGTTCCATTAAGTGAACATCAACAAATAAGATTATGTATTTGATTGGTTGTGTGTACGGGTGATGAATGAATAAAGTTTACTTCTTCTTGAACTTGTCTTTGGTGCCACACACACTTTTCCAATCGAGAACAATACTCACATTCATTCAATCACACACACATTGATTGACTAACACCATTATTAGACAAGATGGTTTGATGGTGTACTGTCAATCGAGAGGATGCGCAATGTTGACTTCTTGTCTGCCTATCATTCAAGCAAGCCAACAACATCGATGGTATCAATAATATGTGACCATATATATACACCTATGGGGGTGCAGACATACACTATAACCACACCACCACACTACCACACTACCACTTCATTCATTGCCAACTCTTGAGATGGATATGATAGCACCCCCCCAACACTGTCATCTTGTCCTACCATGACATGTCTACTCAACTCTCTAAGAGTTGACTTGCAAGTTCTAAATATACGCGACAGCAGCCAACCATCCATCCATCCGTCCGTCAGATCTCACTTTGTTGGTCGTCACTACTATCTTTGGCATCTCTCCTTCCTTCCTTCATTCATTTCAACTTCACTAGCAAGCTAGCTATCTAGACCTTACAACATCCAATCACATCCAGAGTCACAAACACATTCATTGTCATTGACAGACACACAGAGACACTATTCCACAGACAGACACAGATAGACAAGTCAATTTGGAAATAGTGAGTGGAGATACAAAGAGAGAGAAGGACAGACAACTCTGTTTTGGGCACCTGCTCATACTATCCTCTCCCATATCCACATTTGTTCACCGGCAGTCTACGCCTGTTTATACATACTGCCGCCTCAGCTACTCAATCAATCAATCGATCACCAGACAGTAATAATCCGATACATACACACATATCTCGCCCTCATCAGTTCATCGTATCTTTCAACAGTGGGCAACAACAGTGAGTCACAGTAAGCAGACCAAATAATAATTTCAAGACGAGACGAGTGGCTACTACCTACGACCACCCAGTGTATGTATATAGTATAACTGCCTGTCCACCAAGTCAAGTTAACTATGGTCAGGTGATAGCTGGTTTGATTATGATTTACTGACTCTGTCACATTATCCATTACCCTCTCCCTTCTATTCCCTCCCATTATCCACCTTGTCTTGTGACCGATAATTCGAATAATCATATTCACAATCAATCCATTCATCAATCAATCAATTAATCAAACAAACCAACCAGCTGTTAATACACGAGTAGATAACAGATATCCATTGGATTCATAGAGTTGTAGTGCATTCGACAACAGAGAAGATTCACAAGTGGCTACCATTACAGCCCTAAACCCAACAACTACCAGCACAGCACTCAACAATCACAGGGGCTTGTCGAGGTACAGGAGTAATTCCGATGCTCAATCGGCAGAGTTCAAGAAGAGGATTATAGCCTTCTCCCTTCAGAATGCCGATTCAAAGGTCATGGCCACCACAAACAATATCAACTTAAACATAAGCAGTGCAAACATTGGTGTTGGAGGCATCAACAGTGGCGGAGGCCAGATGCAACCAGGGAGATTGCCACTTCACCAATCATCTCCATGTCTATTCAACAATATAACTCAACCCACCAACATTGGCGGTGGTAGTGGCAGTGGAAGTGGCAGTGGCAGTGGAGCAAATACAACAACATCAACATCAAATATAGCCAGCAGCAACAACAATATTGGAAACGTTGGAAACACATCCAGCTATTTATCAAAAACCACATCGATTGGACTGCCGCCACCTCCTCCTGGACGATCAACCTCACCAACTAAATTCTTAAACAACACTGCTGCCGTTGGTACTGCCAGCGCACCATCTACAACGACATCCCTAAGGACAAGTTCAAACAATATTCCAACACCTTCAGCACCACCGGCAACAACAGTCATCAGCTCCAACAGCACAAACACAAACACAAACACAACAAACAACGAAGAAGTAGCCAACAACAATGGCGTGCTTGGCAGATGCACTACAGCAATCAAGAGCAAGTTGACAAGCCCGCCAGTAACTATTGCATATACATTCAGTCTCAACATTCAATATCTTTTGTTATCATTTGCCATCGTCACATCAATCTATATTCTCTCGAATCTATTCCATGGCTGGATACCTTGGTGTGTTCTGGCACTCATTGTAAATTATATATTCCTCTGCACCGATGGACGATTCCATCTTACCGCCAATCATCGTTTGCCCGCCACAGCAGACGGATCAAGGGCACAAGTTGCGCCCAAGATCAAAGAAAAGATCAACTTCTATCAGGGAGCAATCGACAATCCTCCACTGCCCAAGCTACATAAGCGTTCATCCTCAGCCGGTACATCAGCCGCGCCAGTGACCGCACCAACACCCTCAATAGCCAAAGAACTTGCAAGTTTGTCCAGTACAACGAGCGACGATTCAATCACCAACACCTACCGCACACGACAATATGACACGTATCGCCGTTCACTCCCACCCGAATACTACAATCAGTACCTGCACTATCTTAACTCAAAGGGACCAACCACCGCCCGTGATGAACACACTGTCGAGGACCTAGGAAGCTCGAGCGCGGCCAGAACAGATCATCAGACTGGACAGGACGACCAATCACATTCTTGTCACTCATCAGAGACATCAGACACAGAGGAGCATCCCGCCAACCCCGACCAGACCGCCGTGAATGTCGAACTATCCGAGCTGGCCAACATCTCCAAGGTTAAGAGCAACATCTCCCACTTTACCAAGTTGTCAACCAACCTGGAAGAAAAGCTGGACTGGGTCCAGTCACCATTCAATCTCACACCAGCACGAGCTGTAAGTTGTCTTTCAGCCTGTCTCTTGTTATACAACCTACTCACCAATTTGTCCATTCAATCAATCATAGTCTCACTCAATCGCTGTTTATGGTCAATCGATTGTAACTGTTGGTGGAGAGGGTGTGACGGACATCTCTAACATTGTACAGTTCATTGATATTGAGAATGGAGTGGCGACAACTCCCAAGGTCACAGGTGGCAAGATTGGCCCAGACTCTATACACATGCACGACTTTTGTAGGATCGGAAACAAGTTCTACATTTTCGGTGGCATTGTCAATGGAGCGCTATCAAACAAAGTGTACATGTTCTCTGTGATCGATGACAGTACCATTCATTGGTCGCAACCCAGAGTCAACAGCTACCTCCCCGCAGCAAGATACGGCCACACTCTAACCAGATATGGCAACAAGTTCATTCTGTTTGGCGGCTTCAATGGCGAGACATGTTTGAATGATCTCCACCTCCTTGACCCTGAGACAATGACCTGGTCACAGCTGGTTGCCAGCGGACTGCCACCAACCGAGCGATATGGACACTCAACGACAGTGCTCGGTGAGAAGATGATAGTGTTTGGTGGCACCAACAACTCAAGGGATCTGAATGATGTCAACATACTCCAGCTGGACACCAACTCATGGTCTGCGCCACCCAACTTCCATGGTCAAGAGGTACCACCAGAGCGATCATTCCATGCTGCCGCTAGAGTTGGACGCAACTTAATCGTGGTTGGAGGTAGAAAGGAAGGTGTTACACAGCGCGACGTCTGGTCTCTATCGTACAAGCTACAATGGACCCGAGTCACTGGCCAACAAATCACACCTCGATCCAACCATGGACTTGTCAAGAACGAGAGCAAGTTGTTCATTGTTGGAGGCAAGAATCAGAATGGAGGACTACTTGATGATGTCTGGTTTGTCAACACGAGTAAGTTCATTCAATCATTCAATCAGTCAATCAATCAATCAATCACTAACACACTATCACCATGTAGCCAACCTACCAATAACAGCCAGTGTATCAATCATTAGTTACTCAGACATCAAGATTGAGAAGGAGATTGGCAAGGGACATTTCTCAAAGGTACTGAGAGGCATTTGGAAACAGAAGGAGGTGGCAGTGAAGAAGCTCAACTTGGTGAAGGACAAGGGAAAGGAGGAGATGATGACAGAGTTCAAGGCCGAGGTTGAACTGTTAGGTACACTCCAACATCCAAATCTGGTTGCATGCTATGGATACTGTTTGAATCCAATGTGTATCGTCATGGAGTATCTTCCAACTGGCAACCTCTATGACCTCATCCATTCACGTGACAAGCAGTTGGACTCTGCACTTATACTTCAATTTGCCTTTGAGATTGCCAGAGGAATGCAATTCCTTCATTCAAGGAGTATGTAACAAGTGGTCCAAGGACACTGACAACATCACTAACATCACTCTAGACATCATTCATAGAGACTTAAAGTCAAGTAACCTACTACTGGACAAGCATTTCAATATCAAGATAGCAGACCTGGGCATTGCCAGGGAGACGACATTCACTCAGACGATGACGACCATTGGTACAGTGGCATGGACAGCACCAGAGATCCTAAGACACGAGAGCTACAACAACAAGGCCGACGTCTATTCATATGCGTTGGTGCTTTGGGAGTTGCTGTCTGGCGAGGAGCCCTACGCCGGCATACCCGCAATGAATGCTGGCATCCTTGTGGCAAGCAAGGGTCTGCGGCCTGATATACCAGAGAAGTGCGATCCCAATTGGAAGAAGTTGGTCGTATGGTGTTGGGCAGAGGATCCAAACAAGCGACCATCTTTCGAGGAGATCACCACCTATCTCACCAAGACATTCTAGTCTAAAGTTCATCCACGCGCTACATGGTTCGTGTCCGCATCGCATCACATGCATCGATCACTCTCTGTCTGGAGTTCATTGATTGATCAAGAGGAGATACTCTATGAGTGTGAGCTATTGAGTATATTCCGCCTTCATATATATAAACTATTATGTATTTATTATAACTAGGCCTTGGGTTGTTGTGGGTTGAGGCTCACTGTGGGCCTAGATGTCATCAGTTGGTCGAGTGGGTGTTATCAAAACGAAGATCAACGTCAAGATAATCAATCATTTTAAATCAATCAATCAATCAATTGATTACCCAAACATGTTATACAACTTAGTTATACCAACATTGATCACAGGTGCAGTATGCCTCTTGTGGCTATTTGCATGTCAAACACTATCAGCTCAGAAGATCCTGACCTCATCACAATGTAGAAAGCTGGTAGGTGTTCATTCACTCTTGATCAAGATTGATGGTTTGATTGGCACCAACTCATTCATTCAATCAATCATTCATTCGCATACAGATACATATTGGAACAGGATTTGTATATATATGTTGTTGGGGACTTTATTATAAGGATGATATTTATGCCAAGTATGCAGTGGCGATGGTGCCAGCAGGTGTAGTGTTGCAGTTCTCACTCATTGGTCTTGGTCTGATAAAGGATGAGAAGGCTGTCAAGTCAATGTCAAGGAGTGGTGCACCACACGAGTTACTATACGGTCCCGTCACCTATGGTATCGTTATCGTACTCTCCACCATCATCTACTGGGTTGACTCACCAATTGGTATCACGGCCACAAGTGTACTATGCTGTGGTGATGGATTCGCTGGTCTGGTATGTGTGGATGAACATGATGACTCATTCAATCAATCAATCAATCATTCAATCATACACTAACATCAATCACATCACACTAACAGGTTGGCGAAGCGATTGGTAAACATAGACTACCTTATAATAAGCACAAGTCGATGAATGGGACGATGGCATTCTTTGCTGCCTCGTTTGTTGGCTCAATCGTATATCTGATGATCATTCAATCGTATGGATACCTGGCACAGCTATCAATCTTGGCTTTCATACCCTCTTTGCTGTTGGTGTGCATCGTGTGCACTCTTGTTGAGTCATTGCCCATTGACAACTGGGACAACGTCACTGTATTCTTATCATGTGTTGTCGCACTCAAGGCATTGGGGTGGGCCTAAGGTCAGATTCTTGGCCGCTCCTGTGTGAATAAATAAATAGAGAGAGATCTTGATTGATTTATTATTTGTCTAACGATTGATGACCAGATTGTCCAGTCGATTCAGTTCACAAGATATTTCATTTATGTAGTATGACCAAGTTGGAACCTTTGAATCGTCAATGATTTGCTATTTTTGGTATTTTTGGAAATATTCCAAAAGATCAAAGGCCTTCTAAAATTAATAAACCTTTTCCAATTTTGTCCTTGAACATCCACGTTGTACATCATGTTTGATTTATCAATATAAATATTTACAAAGATAATCAAATATAAATAATAATAATAATCATAATAATAATAATAATATATGTCTTTATCTATTTCCAGCCCAAAGACTTTTGAGGAATGGATCAAAGTCACTCAAGAACTCACCAAGGTGATGATTGATGAGAAGGCCATCCCAGACCCAGGTCGTTTCCCCTACACTGTTGACAATCAGATTGATCATACCGAGTTTATGAAGGCAATCGTTGTTGGATTCGTTGCCAAGATACCAGAGGTTGGTGAGATTGCCAGTATTTTCATCGATGCCATATGGTCTGATGCCATTGCCCAAGATGGTGCCCCATCCAAGCTCTACGATGGTTTCCGTATCATCACGAGAAACATGATCAATGAAGCTGGCGAGAACCAGGACCTGGAGAACTGTACCGGTGAGATCAGGAAGGTGACCACCGCAATGATCGCCTTCTTCCCAGTGTACTACGCATGGCAAGCCAAGCCACACAAGAAGGCTCGCCGACAAGCATGCAAGGAACAATTTCTAATCCTTGAGAGCATTGCAGACGGTCTCGTTGCCCTCGATGAATCTGCTTTGCGTAAGGACTCTTATGGAGTTGTAGAACTTGGCATGTTTGTTGTTGCGGCCACCACCGAGCTCCTTCTACTCAAGGAAGTGATGGACAATGGTGTCACTTGGGGTTTCACAGCTGCCCAGATGGACTCCTACAAGAAAAAGTTAACCGACTACCCACGCCAGTTCACTGACTACACAATCAAGACCTTCAACAAAGGAATCGATTTGATCAAGTCTCGTACCGCCGAGGACAAGCTTCCAGGCTTTGTGGCATTCAACAAAATACTCAAGTTTAGAACTTTCTGCGCTCGCTTCGTATTTGACTTTGTTGACCTCTGGTCCATGATGGAGAACAATGACCTGTACCCTGACGGCACATCCTATCACAACCCTCGCTACTGTTACCTCGAAATGGTTGGAGTCCCAGTCATTCCCGATCGCCCTCAAACATCCTTTGGTGATCGAGATTATTATGAGACGATGCCATGTGAGGACCTGGAGAAGTGGTTCAACGATGCAATGAGGGACCACTACCAGAAGGAGATCGACCGCATCAGACTCACTTTTGACCTTCGTCACAGTGGCTTCATCAAGTCAATGCAGACGACCTATAAGGACCCAGGTTACGCGGGCTCTAAGAGAGTCGAGGATGTTGTTGGTGGCCAACCAATTGAGGATAACCACAACTCCTACATCTTCCTCTCACATGCCCTAACCGAGAAGTTCACTTATAGTTTTGCCTTGGTTCCACGCCAACTTTACTTCAACTACCAGACTGTGATCAGTGACACATTCCCGACAGCAGACCTGGCCCTAGGTGCTCCATATCGTGGTACTGGAGAGTATACGTAAGTGTTTGGTCTATCTTTCATTCATTTAATCTTACTAATTCAAACCTATATATTAAATATATCAATAGAGATCAGTATAGTGACTACTATTCGAAGATCCAAGATAACAATGACCCAAAGTTGATAAGTTATAATGTGGATGCCACAATTCCCAACCACAAGATTGGTGTGATTGCAGGACACTGCACCAACTGGGAGTATGTAACAGACTACTACAGAGATTCTTGGAACAGCCCTTCAATCCATAAGGATGGTGTCCTGGATGCTGTGTTGATTGGAATGGTTCCCTCATACACCTTCAATGAGAACTACATTATGCCCAAGGTGTGTACTCTGATCCCCGTTGCCAAGGTGTCTTACAGAACTGGAGCTTTTTTTGCTCGTGACCACTTGATGCCCACAGTGCACTCGATGCGCATCCCCAACGGCTGCTCCATCAGTTTCAGGTTCCTCCCATTTGATGATGCCAGCAGAACCTTCTTCCTTGGTGCTCGCTACTTCACCACTGGCACCAACGTCAAGCTCCAAGTTATCAATGAAGCCAAGAAGGGTGGTGAGGTCCATGGTGACTTTGATCTCGTTCAATGCACCACCAACAAAGAGCAGACTGTTCCATACTACAACGTAATCAAGGACCCGACCATTTTGATCACTTTGAAGCCAAAGGCCACCCCTTTTGCCAACGTGAATGTTTATTCATTCAAGGCAGTCGGAGGTGAGGTCTATGTCAACGCCATTTCCTTCTGGCCCGGTATCAAGCTACCCCCGCCTCCTCCTGGAAAGCCACCTGGCAAGAAAACTCCAGCAACCGTGCCAGTTCCAGCAGCCTAATCACTCCAATCCAACAATCCATAATCTTTAAATACAATTATATATTTATCATTCATTCATTATACAAAGAACTCCTTGAGGTTATCTGATTGGACATCGGTGGTACTTGTCCGCAGTCTTTGGTAGAGGTGAAGTACAAGTGATGGATGTCGTTGTTCAAAGTATTGGAATGCTGATTGTTGTGATGTGAAGAATGTCGATGTCTTGCTGCTGTCTGTGAAAAGTTGATGATGGTGGAGTGTTGTGTTCCTGATGCATCGAACAAGGTCCTTCACATTGTTGAAGTTGTATTGTGTCTCTGTTGTTGGAATATTATGCGTCAGTTATTGCTCGGTCAGAGTTATGGAATGGAGTAACGTATACATACCTTGATTGAGTTGATCCAAGAGTTTGGAATCGATTGACATGTTCCATGATTGACGAAGGAATCTCTGTTTGTCTGTTGTCGTGTTGAGAAATGTATGTGGCTGGTTCTGAATGCTCTGTGAAACTCGGATGATGAATGATTGTCGCTTGTTGATGTCCCAGAAGAATGGATGATTGATCAATGTGCTGATTGTTGGTCGTGTTGATGGATCATGTGATATCATCTGTGTGATTAGATCAGCTGCATAAACATCGGTGAGATGATCGAGATCATATTGATTGTCAACTATCTTGGTCACACGTCGATGTATGATGTCACCGAATGGATGACCACCATCAGTGAGGATGTAATACATCAAACATCCAAGTGAGAAGATATCGACAGAGTTGGTCTTGCGCTGATTGTTGATGACCTCTGCTGGGAAGTAACCACCTTGACCACTTGGAGCATGAGTGAATGCGAATGATGTCTCAACGGACATCTTGCTCAGTCCCATGTCAGTGATGAACAGGTGGTTGTCTTTGAACAGGATGTTGCGAGGATTGAGATCGTTGTGGATGATGTTGTTGTTGTGAAGGAATCGAACACCGTTCACAATGTCTTTGATCAATGTCTGTTTGTTCAATGATTGATAACGATCTTTGTGAGCCTCGACCAACTCTTGAAGTGACATCTCACACAGTGATGTGGCCAAGAATATGTAGTCCTCGGTCTCTTCCATTCCAAAGAATCTCACCAAGTTGTCTGTTGCACTGGACATTGACGTCAGCTGAATGAGTATCTCCACCTCTTTATCGATGAGTGTGTTGAATCCTTTGTTCATCTGCTTGATTGCCACAGGCACCTTGTCACACCACACACCTTTGTACACCAGAGTGCCATTGCTTCCACGTCCAATGATCATCTTCCTGCTGTATTTGAACTTGCCCACTGTCCTCTCATACTGCTCCAGTGACATTTCCTGCTGAACAGGTGTCTGTGTTGATGATTGAGTGGTTGTTGTTGCAGGAGGAGGTGGGCTTTGTTGAATATGTACTATGGACTCAATCACATTGCTGATGTCCAATGTTTGAGTGTCGGCCACTTTGTCAGGATTTGGTAAAGGTGATGGTGCCTGTTCAATGGTATCTTGTGTCTGTTTTTTCTTCACAGGCTTCTTCTTCATCTTCTTTGATTTGGATGATGACTTTCCACCACGTCCCATGAACTTCCTAAGGTCTGCCACCAATGATCTGATAGCCGCATTACGTCGCCCAATGATTGTCTCAGTTTGTTTGGTGATCCAATCAGTGCCATAGGTTGTGAGTAGATGTTTGATCAAGTCCACTCTTCCAATCCACAAGTACACGTCCAATAGTGAACCACGATCAAAAACTGGCTTCTCCAACTCGTATATCTTGGAGCACCAATCATACCACAGTTTCATATCGATGACCATCTTGTCGACAGGTGGCAGTCCTGGCACCTTAAGCATCGATGCCAAATCTTCCAAGTGTGAGTTGAACATCAGCGCGACAAATGGTAACATGGTGCCATGTATGTAGATCGGCCATGACGAGTTCTTGAACCTCATCTCACTCATTAGGTAACATTTATGTGGATAGAATGTGATGATCTTGACGAGTGACGCGTCGCACACATGTTGGGCGTGTGGATTGTGCAATTGGTAATCTCTAACCGTCTGGCGATCGAGTATTCCTTCGGTGCCAATGATCAACTCCATTGCACTGCAACACTCTGGAAACCCAGCACAGTGTGGCTCACGCCTCTGGATCGTGATGTCTGCGGTCTTGTTACACCATGTCAGCAGGGAGTACCGCTCATGGATGATGCAGAGGTCCTCGATGGTAGGCATATGTGGGATGCCTGTGTTGAACCCTGGTAGTGACGACAACTTCAGCAACAGAGGTTGTTCAAAATCTAGCCAAAGATCTGAATCGATCCAATCATCCTTATTGACCAAGTTGTTGTGCGCCAGTGACCAGAGGGGCCTGGCCGCTGGGTTGAGTTGAAGGTAGTCTGGATGCTCTTCCAAAATCGCGCAAATGCATCTGTATGATTTGGAGTACCGCAGCATGGTGTCCAGTGGTGTTGGGAATTCCAGTCCTTGGTCGACCCCGTAATTAAAGCATGAGATTTGGAGTTCGAAGTTGTTGGCGAGGACCACAATCGTGTCAAGTGTCAAAGGCAGTACTGGTCCATGTGCGTCCAATTCATACTTCGGGTACTCATTATTAATGGCTTCGTTGTTCGCAATGGAGTCGACCAAAGGTGGCAGTCGGACTGGGCGTTTCATCGTTCTCAAATGAGGTCGCATTGTGAGTATGTTATTGATGACCGTGTATTCAGGACAGCCATTGAGTGTCGCAAAGCACATAAACTTGAGTACGTGGAACAGTGTCTCGTCGGGGATCGTGAAGTACAACATAATATATCGATAGAATGACAACATCAATGGTCTGTGTTTAACATAATCATGATGATAACTGATGATGAGTAGGAGAGCCTGTTTGGATGGCGGTAACTTTTCGAACATAATGAGGAATTCGTACCTAATCTTGACTGTATCTGGATTGGTGCTGTCCAAAGTTGATTGAGTGATTGAGTGAGTGGAGTTGTTCCATGATGATGATGACCATCATACTTACAATTTGAATGGGTAATCAATCAAACTTCCTTGGACAGTTGAGAATGCACTGCTGTATGAGAGATAAGTGGGGCTGGAGGATACCCCAGAACAATATGTAGCTGGGTTCCTGTATCTGCTTGTACGGATAATGTCTGATCCAAGGTCCTCCACTTGCGCACTGATGTCGGTGTCATCGTTGAACCTGGCCGCTTTTTGAGAGTCAAAGTATTCCCTGGTCTCATCTTCGTCATTCAGCAAATTGAAGAAGAGGATATGACCCTCGGGCACCAACAGCCTTCCAGTGGTCTTATCTCGCAAGGGCAGTTCGGGATGCACGTTTTGAAGCAGGTCATAGTCGAGCTCGAATCCATGTGGCTGGTACTCAGTCTCGTCTGCCTTGACAAACATTGGTTGATTGACGGGTATTGCAATGATTTGGTGACCCCGAATATCAGTACCAGCCCAAGTCGGCAACCTGCGTACCCTGAACGGCCTCGGCATGAATGTATAGATGCAGTTTGTGGGATCGCATATCTTGTCTTGTTTCTCTCTCTCGTTCATCTCGTGAGGTGTCATGTCGATGAGGGCTTTAATCGTGGCATTGGTCGTGATCTCGTTGATAAAGTCCTCGCGAGACACCTCTGTCACTGTGTAGTTGGCATATTGTTTGAGGGGAGCTCCCTTGTCGTTTGATGTGAAGCTGAATGTCGTGCATGGGTGGCAACCATAGAGGAAGTAGTGTCCCGGCAGTGACGGATGTACCATCGACTCTGCTGGCTTAGGGCTGACACAATCCAGTATCATGGCTTCAAACGCACCATTGGGCAATGGCTCTGCCTTTAACAGATATATCATGAATGCCATCTTATCTTATTAACTTATTATTTTTCATTTATTTATATATATCTATCTTATATCTTTGTTTGTGTTTTGATCATATGATCAAACCGTTGCCCCTGTGCACGAATGTGGTGAGAGATTGAATGAGGATTGAGCGAGTGTGTGAACTTCGCACAAGACAATGAACGGTGGAAGATCAAGACACAACAAAGTAGTCCCTGAGATTGTCTGATTGGGCATCATCAGTGTTGATGAACCTGCGATAGAGTTGGACGATCAGTGTTGGATGTCGTTGTTCAAAGTATTGGAATGCTGATTGTTGTGAATCAAAGAATAATGTCTTCTTCTGAGCATCCTTGAACAGTTGATGATGGTGTTGTGTCGTGTTCCTGATGCATCGAATCAAGTCCTTTGAGCTGTTATAGTTATATTGTGACTCTGTTGTCGTTGAATTGTGTGAGCCATGGATCAGTATGTTTGATTGATCGGATTGATGGAGTTATACTTACTTGATTGATCGAGAAGGGTGGAATCGATGGATTTGTTCCAGTGATCAACGATAATAGTACTGAGGAATGAGTGTGGTTGGTTCTGGGTCGTGTGGAATACACAGGTGATGAACATGATCCTCTTGTTGATGTCCCAGAAGAATGGATGATTGATCACCATGTTGATCGTTGGTCGTGTCATTTGGTCTTTGGCAATCATCTGTGTGATGAGGTCGGTGGCACATGGTTGATCAGTGAGTTGTTGGATGTTGAACTGATCAAATATTATCTTTGACACTCTTAGAGGGAGATTGTCACCGAATGGATGACCACCATCAGTGAGGATGTAATACATCAAACATCCAAGTGAGAAGATATCGACAGAGTTGGTCTTTCGCTGGTTGTTGATGACCTCAGCTGGGTAATAGCCACCTTGACCACTTGGAGCATGAGTGAATGCGAATGATGTCTCAACGGACATCTTGCTCAGTCCCATGTCAGTGATGAACAGGTGGTTGTCTTTGAACAGGATGTTGCGAGGATTGAGATCGTTGTGGATGATGTTGTTGTTGTGAAGGAATCGAACACCGTTGATGATGTCATTGATCAATTTTTGTTTGTTCATTGACTTGAACCTGTCCATCTGAGTCTCGACCAACTCCTGAAGTGACATCTCACACAGTGATGTGGCAAAGTAGATGTAGTCCTCAGTATCCTCCATTCCAAAGAATCTCACCAAGTTGTCTGTTGCACTGGACATGGCTGTGAGTTGAATGAGTATGTCCACCTCATTGTTAATGAGTGTAGTGAATCCTTTGCGCATCTCCTTGACAGCCACCGGTACCTTGTCGCACCACACACCCTTGTACACCAGAGTGCCATTGCTTCCACGTCCAATGATCATCTTCCTGCTGAACTTGAACTTTCCAACTGTCCTCTCATAATGTTCCACATCGGAATGTTCTGTCTCCACCTCTTGAGTTTGAGTGGATTGTTGTTGTACTGTTGGTTGATGTTGTTTCTTCTTATTCTTCTTCTTCTTCTTCTTCTTTTGTGTATGCTGATCGGGTTGGTTTGGAGCTAGAGGACCATGACTTTGTTGATTGATTGGTGTCTGTGATGCTGGTGGCCCATTGTTCACTGTTGATGTTATTGATGACGCTGTAGTCTCTGCTACAAGTGTCACATGTTGTGGGACTTCCGTATCCTTCTTATTTGTCTTCCCAACACCTCCACCGCCTCCTCCTCCTTGTGAACCGGTTGGCCCGAGCAATTCCATCGATCGTAGATTTGACACCAACAACTTGATCTCTTCCTGTTCTTGAGGTGGTCGCAGCTTGAAGAGTGACTCTGTCTGTTTGGTGACCATGCTCACTCCATGCCTTGTGATGATGTGTTTGATCACGTCCAGTCTTCCAGCCAACACGTGAACATCCAGTAGACTTCCCTGGTCAAACTGTGGCTGAACTCCAACAAATTCATATGCCTTGAAGAACGGGTATTGTTTGAACCATTCACGCCACTTGCGCATGTTGACAGTTAGTTTGTTGACTGGTGGGAGGCCGGGCACATTGAGCATGGTCTCAATATCATTGGGTGGGCACTTTAGTAGGACTGCGGCAAAGGGCATCTTTGTACCACTTTTGTAGAGTGGCCATGACGAGTCTTTGAACCTTAGGGAGAGTAGTTCACTCCTCACACCATGCGTGTAAATGGACAATACGAAGCTTATGTCGCAGATGTGATGAGTTGCTGGTGGGAAGAACCGTAGATAATCATTCAAGGAAACAGGCTCCGCTCCAAAGACTACCATCGCCACCGGGCTACAGAGAGTTGGGAGTTCATGGCCATGTGGCTTGCGCTCTCGATACGTGATGCCAATTGACTTCATCCAAGTCAGTAGTTTGAGCTTGCCCGAGTATATGCACAAGTCTTCGATGCTGGGGAAGTGAGGAATCGATGAGTTGAACCCTGGTAGCTTCTTGCACTTGTTCAAAGCGAGGAGGTATCTATCAACATCCCTGTTGAACACATTGAAGTTCTGACCAAACCACCATAGCGGTCGTGAATGAGGGTTGCGCTTAAAGTAGCCAGGGTCGTTGTCCAACAGGTACTCCACGCATCGCGGTGATCTCGTGAACAATAGTACATTGTCCAATGTTGATGGGTAGGTCCTGCCCATGTCAATGTTATCTGAATATACCAACTTGAACATCTCCAAGTTGTCCACGATGCCGGCAAACTCTGACAGGGTGAAGCCTCGCCGGCAAGGGTCGAACGAGATGTGGCCGCTAGGTGGATTGTTGGGTCGGTATTGTGAAGCGAATGGTCGTAATATCACTGGAAGTTCTTGGGTCTCAGGTATTACTCTGCCAGTGTATGACCTGATCGTTGGTCGTACACTTAGTATCGTTCGGACATTGGATATGTCTTGCGGACTCAACTTGTTCTCAAAGCAGAGCCACTTTAGTACATAGAATATCTCCTCATCGTTGACCTTGGAGAACATCAACATATGAGTGATCAACTTCAATCTTATATATCCAGAATTCGATATCACATTGATCATCAAGTACGTCTTGAGCTCTGCGCTGAATGACTCCAACATTAACAATGACCTGTATAACATCCCAGTTATGAACCGTGGGGCGCTGGGGATTGAAGGGATTGTGTTAGTCATGTCACTTGTTTGAATGGGCAGGTACTTACAATAAAAGTTGATCAAAGCAAGCCAGCGCAGAGCCAAGTATGAAACGGTATAAATCATGAACACCAATGGATTGCATCGGGATGGCGCAATAGGCTTGGTAATCAGAATAGAGGGCACGGCCCATTATTATATCCGAACCCGCTTTATCCAAGATTGGTCCCAACTCTGGGAATCGTCCAAACTTGAATGATTCGCTCTGGAATGCGCCTATCTCTGGAAGATGGTCAGGTATTGTCTTGGTAGAATTATCAATTGGAGACAACTTAAAGTAGACCTGTCCACTTGGCACCGGGAGACGTGCCCAGTCGCGAAGAGTTGCCGCCAGATCAATTCTACTGTTGGTGTAGAACCCAAATGGCTTGTCCTCCAACGCGTCTGACTTGAAGAACATCGGACGATTAACATCCATTTGTACAAAGTGCGGCCAGCATCCTGCAGCCATCTGTTCAAATGAATTAACGCCAGTGAAAGTCCGTCTCTCGAGCAACAAGTCGACTAACTCAAAGTAATACTCCTCCTCCACCAATACTGAGCTGTCGTTATTGTTGTTATTGTTGGTGTCTGTACTCCACACAGTCCTGTCAATGAGTGCTTGTAGCGTGGCATTGGTTGTTATCTCTGTGATAAAGTCTGATTGTGATACTTGTGTCACTGAGTAGTTGAGTGTGTCTGGGAAGTTGAACGTGGTGCATGTGAAGCAGCCGTAGAGGAAGTAATGTCCAGCTGGCAATGATGGATGGACCATCATCTTGTGTGGTGCTGGGAACACATGCTTCTCAACAACCATTCTGAGCTTTGGTGTTGTCAATGGCTCTGCCTTCAACAAGTATATCAAGAATGACATCTAGTCATCAGGTAGTTGGGCCTGTTATTTATTTATATGTATATATCTGTTTGGAATGATCACTCACTGAGCACACCCATTCAATCATTCAAACAGTTTGATCATCACCAGACGTAAATATCTTTCCAACTTTGTGCAAACGAACTTCATTCTTCCAACAATCCGATGATCACTCACGATCAAGATACAAAGTAGTCCTTGAGATTGTCAGATGATGCATCATCGGTGTTGATGAACCTGCGATAGAGTTGGACGATCAATGTTGGATGTCTTTGTTCAAAGTATTGGAATGCTGATTGTTGTGAATCAAAGAATAATGTCTTCTTCTGAGCATCCTTGAACAGTTGATGATGGTGTTGTGTCGTGTTCCTGATGCATCGAATCAAGTCCTTCGCACTGTTATAGTTGTATTGTGACTCTGTTGTCATTATGTGATTCTGTTAGTTCCATGGAGTTGATTGAGTGAGCGAGGAGTGGACACGTACCGAGTTGATCCAAAAGCCTGGAATCGATGGACTTGTTCCATTGATTGACAATGACTTTGTTGAGGTATGAGTGTGGTTGGTTCTGGATGGTCTGGAACACTCGATTGATGAACATGATCCTCTTGTTGATGTCCCAGAAGAATGGATGATTGATCACCATGTTGATCGTTGGTCGTGACGATGAATCGAGTGATATCATTTGTTTGATGAGGTCCGTTACACATGGTTGATCGGTGAGTTGATTGATGTTAAACTCATTGTGAAGTATCTTGAATGCTCGGATGTGCTGATTGTCACCGAACGGATGACCACCATCAGTGAGGATGTAATACATCAAACATCCGAGTGCAAAGATATCGACAGAGTTGGTCTTGCGCTGGTTGTTGATGACCTCAGCTGGGAAATAGCCACCTTGACCACTTGGAGCATGAGTGAATGCGAATGATGTCTCAACGGACATCTTGCTCAGTCCCATGTCAGTGATGAACAGGTGGTTGTCTTTGAACAGAATGTTGCGAGGATTGAGATCGTTGTGGATGATGTTGTTGTTGTGAAGGAATCGGACGCCATTCACAATGTCATTGATCAATGTCTGTTCGTCCAATGACTTGAACCTGTCAATATGAGCCTCGACCAACTCTTGAAGTGACATCTCACACAGTGATGTGGCCAAGTAAAAGTAATCATCATTCTCTTCCATTCCAAAGAATCTCACCAAGTTGTCTGTCACACTAGCCAATGCCGTGAGTTGAATGAGAATCTCAACCTCCTTATCGATAAGCGTGTTGAACTCCTTGTTCATCTGTTTGATTGCCACRGGCACCTTGTCACACCACACACCCTTGTACACCAGAGTGCCATTGCTTCCACGTCCAATGATCGTCTTCCTGCTGAACTTGAACTTGCCAACTGTTCGCTCGTACTGTTCAATTTGGATAACTGGTGGCGGCGGTTGGATTGATGAATAAGTGGTCGAGGTAGTTATTATTGATTGGGCTTGTGATTGAATGTGTGTATCCGCCAATGAGTCGACTACAACCTCGATATCTTCCTTCTTTGTTTGGTCCATTGTGGTCGCATCATCATTTTGTAAAGGTAGACTCTGAGATTGAGCGTGTGATAGGGTTGCCTTGGTCTTGCCAGTCTTCTTCTTGGATGATGACAACGACTTTCCACCACCGCCACGTATCTTGGTATCCAATCCCATGATCAACCGATGATCAGCCACCAATGACTTTATCACCTTCTGTTCCGCCTGAGACCTTTTCTGAATGAGTGTCTCTGTCTGCTTGGTGATCCACTGCACACCATACGTTGAGATGAGATGTTTGATTGCCTTGATTGATCCAACCATTAGGTATACATCCAATAGCGTGCCAGTCTCAAAGTCGGGTTTAGCTACTTTGATCCCCTTTGGTAGAAACTCATACCAGTGAATCATGTTGATCACCATCTTGTCCACCAGGGGTAGTCCTGGCAAGTTGAGCATAGTCACAAAGTCCTCGATGTCCATAATCTTATAAATGAGTGAGACAAATGGTATCTTGGTGCCGCGCAAGTATAGTGGCCATGACGAGTCCTTGAACCTAATGGTATATAGAGGATACACTCTGAATCCAAATAAGTTCACTGAGTCAATGATCAATCTGTCGCTGACATGATGGCTGGCCTGTGTGAAACATTGATGGTAGTCCTTCAGAAGTGCTGGGGCCATGGCTGTGATGATTATTCCCAGAGCGCTGCAACAATCTGGCAACTCGGCACAGTGTGGCTCTCGCACTTGGATGTTGATTCCATGTGCCTTAATCGTGTTGTAAAGGCTGTATTTTGCATTGATTATGCACAAGTCTTCGATCGTTGGGAAGTGGGGTATCTTGGAGCTGAAACCTGGCATCTTCTTCAGTCTGGCAATCACTCGAAGGAACTCGGCCATATCCCTCTCCTTATCCGGACCATTCAAACTGAAGTTATGTGCCAAGGACCAGAGAGGACGGGCCTCCGGGTTGCGCTCAAAGTAGTGTGGGTTTCTATCAATGAGCAGCTCGGCACCATAGGTGATGATGGGAAATCGCAGTAATGTATCCATTGTGGTTGGGAATGGCTCGCCAGTGTATGATGATCCTACAGTAATCTCAAGAATACCATTATTTTCAACGTAGCAAGCCAACTCTGCCAGTGACATATTGTACGTTGGATGTTTGGACGACTCGTTAGGAGGATATTGTGATCCAAAGTTTGATACATGGATACCGCTCATTGGTGGAATCCTGATTGGACGTCTGATCAATAGAAGATTTGGTCGACCATGGATTATATTTTCCATGATATTCCAAGTATGGTCCCTCAATGACTGATCGTTGTCAATGCAGATCCATTTGAGGATGTGGAAGATGGTTTCGTCTGGGATTGAATGATACATGATCATATGATAGACAAACTTCAAAGTTTGCTCAACTCCAGAATTTCTTGCAATGCTATTGATGATGGTCAATGCCTGTCTTGATGGCGCCAACTGTGTGAACGATTGTATAAAGTCCATTCGAAGTTTGGCTGTCTTTGGTTGTAGGCTGGATAGGTCGATGTGTCAATAAACCAATCAGTAAATCAGAGTTGATGACCGGGGCCACTTACATATGGAAAGGAAAGATTGAAGTTAAACGACTAATGGAGTTGATTGCTTTGGTGTATAGTTGGAGCGATAGGTCCACGGTAGACGCTCCATCAACAGTTGGAAGTGAACAGTATGATCGTGTGTCTTTGTATATGTTCTGACCATTCATGTCAAATCCAAGATAGTCAATGTAGTCACTAATGTCTCGATGCTCTGTGCATCCAATAGCATCGGATAAGCAGTCTTGGGTGTTTGTTTCCGCCTGGTCAGCAAAGAACAAATGAAACAAATGTCCTGGAGGAGGGGCAATTGGTTGTCCAATCGCAACCTGGTCCCAGAGTGGCGTGTCAGGATGTTCATCATTGACAAATACACTGTAGTCCAAACAGAATCCAAATGGTTGGTGAGCTGGATCGTTGGATCGTACGAACAATGGTCTGTTGGCATCGATTGTCACAAGTTTGCGACTACCTCTTGCTGCACCATCTTCTAAAAATTGATCGACAAAGGGCATACAGTTCGGTGTAAATCGATTGTTGTTGTTGTAGAAGGTGTAGACACTAGTGGACTCATCGCCTTTATGGACCTCCGAGGTATTCCTCTCGATTATGGCCTGTGCTGTGGCATTGGTCGTTATCTCGGTGATAAAGTCCTCTTGAGTAACTTCGGTAGCTGTGTAGTTGGCATATTGTTTTTTGATATGTTTGTTGAAGTTGAACAGGGTGCCGGGGAAGCAGCCATAGAGGTAGTAATGTCCTGGTGGCAATGATGGATGGACTATCGTGTGACATGGCAATGGGAAGACACAATCATAGAGCATCGTCTCAAAGTCGGTGGCATTCATTGGCTCAGCCTTCAACAAGTAGACCAAGAATGACATCCTATCATATATTATATAACTCTATATATCTCTTGTTTTAAACTATGTGATCAGTTGGTATAAGATAGAGTGTGAGTAAGTGTGACTGATCAATCTCACTCACACCATGATCATTCACACTCTCCAACCCACTACCCACTAACATACCATGGCGAACTTCAATCACACTTTATTGAGTGATTAGGACGAGGTGGACACAACAAAGTAGTCCTTGAGATTGTCTGATTGGGCATCATCAGTGTTGATGAACCTGCGATAGAGTTGGACGATCAGTGTTGGATGTCGTTGTTCAAAGTATTGGAATGCTGATTGTTGTGAATCAAAGAATAATGTCTTCTTCTGAGCATCCTTGAACAGTTGATGATGGTGTTGTGTCGTGTTCCTGATGCATCGAATCAAGTCCTTAGTGCTATTATAGTTATATTGTGACTCTGTTGTCATCATGTGATGAGTGAGTTAGTATGTTTGATTGATCGAGTTGATTGAATGAATGATTTAATGAACATACCAAGTTGATCTAGCAGCCTGGAATCAACTGTCTTGTTCCAATGCTCAACTACTATCTTGGTGGTGTCGTTGCTTAGGTAGGAGTGTGGTTGGTTCTGGATGGTCTGGAACACTCGGATGATGAACATGATCTTCTTGTTGATGTCCCAAAAGAATGGATGATGGACAACTGATTCGATTGATGGACGCATTGTGGAATCATGTGCAATCATCTGTGTGATCAAGTCTGTTGCGTAGTCATCCATGAGTTGGTGAAGGTCGAATTGGTTGTCAATGATCTTTGATACACGTCGATGGATGTTGTCACCGAATGGATGTCCACCCTCTGTGAGTATGAAGTGGATCAGACATCCGAGTGAGAAGATGTCGACAGAGTTGGTCTTGCGCTGGTCGGTGATGACCTCAGCGGGGAAGTAACCACCTTGACCACTTGGCATGTGAGTGAATGCGAATGACGTCTCCACGGACATTCTACTCAGTCCCATGTCAGTGATGAACAGGTGATTGTCTTTGAACAGGATGTTGCGAGGATTGAGGTCGTTGTGGATGATCCTGTTACTGTGGAGGAATTGGACGCCAGACACAATGTCGTTGATCAGTGAGCGCTTGGTCAACGATTGGAATCGTGTCTTGTGAGCCTCCACCAACTCTTGAAGTGACATCTCACACAGTGATGTCGCCAAGTAGATGTAGTCCTCGGTCTCTTCCTTGCCAAAGAATCTCACCAAGTTGTCAGAGTTTGACATGGCGGTCAGCTGGATGAGGATGTCCACCTCCTTTTCGATGAGTGTGTTGAATCCTTTGCGCATCTCCTTGATAGCCACAGGCACCTTGTCACACCACACACCCTTGTACACCAGAGTGCCATTGCTTCCTCGTCCAATGATCAACTTCTTGCTAAACTTGAACTTGCCTACTGTTCGATCATATACATCTTGCTCAACAGCGACAGGGGTTGGCTTCGCTGGTGCTGGAGTTGGTTCTACAACTGGTGTTGTTGGTGTTGTTGGTGGCGTTGGTGTTGGGGCAACTGCTGTTATTGGGGTCGAGGGAATCACGGGTACTTGTTGTGGTGCTGGCTTGGGACTGGCCTTCTGTTGTTGTGCCGGCTGTTTCTTCTTTTGATTCTTACTCTGAGGAGCTAGCTTTGATTGTGTCGGTGTTGGTGATGGTGTTGGTGTTGGTGTTGTTGCGGCTGTGGTAGTAGTCGATGTTGGTGTCGCTGTTGTGGTGGTTGTTGTTGTCGTCGTCGTTGGTGTTGTGGTAGGTGGTGTGTCCTGCTGGTGTGTGCTTTGTAGCTGAGTCGGCTCGGCTGATATCGGTTCAGCCGTGTTGGTATCCACATTGAGGCTCGCCATTTCCTTCTGTACATCAACTGTGTTGTTGTTGAGGATCTGAGCATTGTCCTCCACGGGGACAACAGCTTCGACAACGCCTTCATCATTTCCATCGACAACGTCATCTCCATCCGACATATCAGCATCTTGCTCGGTCGCAGAAACTGGTATCTTGCTAGCACTGTCTTGTTGTTGCAGCAGCTGTGCCTTCTTCTTCTTGGCAGCCCTCTTCTTTGAATTCTTTGACTTTCCGCCGCTTGCAGCTGTACCACCACCAGATGGCTTGTCCTTGCCCAACAGTAATGAAAGGTCTGAGAGTAGCTTGGTGATCTTCTTCCTCTCGTCTTCACTGCGCTCACGTATGAGCATCCTTGTCTGATCGGTCGCATAGATGCTGTACTTGGTGAGCATCTGCATGATTTGATCGAGCTTACCAAAGATCATGAAGATGTCCAGAAGGTTGGCCTGTTGGATCGTGGCCAGGAAGGGGAAGTATGCCGCGCTGAACCTCTTGTCAAACAGTTTGTTGGCGTACGATAGCCATTGTTGGAAGTTGAAGACGAGCTTGTCGAGCGTGGGCATATTGGGCTGGCTCAGCAGCAGGTCGATGTTGGGGCACCACAGGGCAAATGAGACGAATGGTATCTTGGTGTCGTGGAGGTAGAGCGGCCACGAGGAGTTGGCGAACCGCATGTTGAGCACCTCCTTCAGTATTGGCGCGCTGTTCTTGTTGATGCATCGAATGAGGATTGAGTCGCAGACGTGTATCTTGGCGGTGGCGGTGTAGAGTCCGCGCGCACGGAACTCAATCAGTGTGCCTTGGTCGTTGATTCCCTTGTCAATGAGCAGGCCGAGCGGCGAGCAGATGTCAGGGTACTCGGGCGAGTGCGGTGTCCTCTCCTGTACAGGAATGTTGTTGGTGGTGAGGTACCTGAGCAGGTCCATCTTGCCGTGCACGGCACAAGAGTCCTCGAGGTCGGGCAAGTGCGGGATGCCGATTTTGAAGCCAGGGTACTTGCGATGCTTGAATGGCACAAGATCAGTGTGCCTGCGATTGTGAGCCAACGACCAAAGCGGGTGGACCGATGGGTTCCTGACCAAGTAGTTCTCGTCCAACTCAAGCAGAGCGTCAAAGCACAAGGCGCGCCTTGACAACTGCAGTATGACATCGCATGTGGTTGGGAAGACTGCGTCTGTCTCTACATTGGGCTTGTACAGCACCTTGAACATCTCGTCGTTGTCATTGGCGGCGGCAAAGTGTGGCAGCGTCAGTCTAAAGTCGTTGAAGTTTGCTGGATACATGTTGGTGCTCGAAAAGACAGTGGACATGCCTGATATTGGGTAGCTGAATGGCTGTGCGATCTTCATGATGTCGGGGTATGTCTGCAGGACGTTCCTGACGAACTGTACACGGTTGTCATCGCCTCGACTATCATCAAAGCACAACCACTTGACCACATGATAGTACGTCGAGCCTGACAACTCAATGAATAGCAATGACCTATCCATCATATACCAGAACTCTCTTGCGTATCCCTTATTCCTTTGCGTGTACTTGTATATCGACATGATTGTTCCAACGCCAAACTCTGCCGGGTCAATGATCCCAACACGCCAACAACGATCCATATTAAACTCCTCATCTCGTTGACTATTGATGTGATTGATTGATTGAGCGAGAGAGTGAGTGAGTGAGAGAGCGAGTGAGTGGGCAGATGGAAGAGAGATACTTACAAGTTGAATGGATATTGGCCACCGAAATGCTTCATCATCGCTCTGACATTGTCGTCATAGTGGTCCTCATCAGGCTCGTAGAGATCAAAGTAGGAGATGATGTAGTCGATCTCATCAAAGTCGTCGTGTAGGATGCCATGACCAAACTTTTGTACCAATTTCCTTGTCTCATCTTCGTGCATCTCTGGGTCTGGCGGCCAGGCGTAGTCATCCTCCTCAGGCAGCACGTCGGGATGTGCCATGACGGTGAACACCTCCCCCGGCCGAATGAGCAGCTTGCCAGAGCCGTCGCGTATTGGCTTGCTTCTGTCGACCAGCACCAAAGCATTCCTGTTAAACTTGAAGCCACCCTGGGCCTCATTGATATCGTTTGATGCTAGGAACAGGGGCTGGTCCTGACGCACGCGATACAACAGCTCCTCGCGTCCCACCGTCACCAGCTTGGCGTAGGATGTGATGCCCTTGAGTGATCGCTTCTCCAGAGCAAAGGGACTGTTGCCAAAGAAGAAGTACTCGTCGCCGGCGATGGGAGGGTACACAGCTCTGCTGTTGATGCTCTCCAATGATGACTTTAAGATGATCGCGTCAAAGTCCTCCTCTGTCACTGGCGTCACGGTGTAGGGCAGCTTGCCAAAGTTGAACACAGTATGTTTGAAGCAGCCGTAGAGCAAGTAGTTTCCAGGTGGCAATGCTGGATGTACCAATATATTCGAAGGTCTTGGTGTGATTGCCTTTGCTGCAAGCAATGACTCCTCCAACGATTGAATAGACTTTGGTTCAGGAGTAGTCAAGAGAAATATCAAGAATCCCATTGTTTGTTTGTTTGATCGTTCGTTCGTTCGTTCGTTTGTTTGATCGTTCGTTATATTGTCGTTCGTTTATCTGTTGGCTACTTGTAGTATGTTACATGTATGCTATATTCATATATAGTTATATATTATCTGTTGATGATATCTTAGATTGAGATGAATGATTTGCAAAAGTGAACAAAATGCTCTTTTTGACAAAGCTTCCAAACGGATGAACTTCTGATGTTTCTGACCATTTTTCAAGTTTACTGATTTTACTTATACTTTAAAGATAGTTTGTATACAAATAATAATAATATTAATATATATTCCTAGGATAGGAGATATTATTCAAATATGGTATATATCAATATTTGGAACTGATGTTCACGTGATCAATGTCAATTCGAAATTTCCACCCTTTGGAACATGGTCAATCAAGGACCCGATTTTTTCCCATTAATTAAAAGTGTCCTTTGTGTGTGTGTTTGCCTCTCTTCAACAAGTAGCTAGTGATCACACAAGTACACTCGACTGGCTGATTGATCATCAGGATACTTCAAACTCATTCACACGCACTCATTCACACACACAAACAATCACACAATGGTACTTACATCCTTACAAGCATGATGATAGAGTGTGATCAATGATCATGATCATATACTGACTGATGACCACTACACTACTACATGACATGCGACATTTAGACAACTGCGACTACTACTACAAAAACGACTCATAATCAGCCACCACAGGAGGTCAAGCCACCTTTCTGGGCCAACCTGATCGCAGGTGGCGTGGCTGGTATCATTGGAGCATCGACAGTGTTCCCAATCGACATGATCAAGACTAGACTACAGACTCAGAAGCCACTGCCCGACGGCACACTCAAGTACAACGGCATCGCAGACTGCTACAGAAAGATCGTCGCCAATGAGGGCGGCATGCGCGCACTCTACCGTGGCCTCTCGGCCAACTTGGTGGGCATCACACCCGAGAAGGCACTCAAGCTGGCCGTCAACGACCTGCTGCGCAACAAGCTTCAGGGCGACGCGCCCCAGATTGCACTCTGGCAAGAGGTGCTGGCCGGTGGAGGCGCTGGCTTCTGCCAGGTGGTCGCCACCAACCCAATGGAGATCGTCAAGATCCGAATGCAGGTCAGTGGTGAGGCGGGCAAGAAGGCCACACTTGGTGAGGTTGTGAGCGAGCTTGGTCTGCGCGGCCTATACAAGGGCACTGCGGCCACACTCCTCCGTGATGTGCCCTTCTCCATGGTGTACTTTTCAATCTATGGCCGTTTGAAGAGTCATTATACTGATCAACAGACTGGACAGATCACAGTGCCCAAGATCCTCTGGTCCGGTATCCTGGCAGGCAGTTGTGCAGCATCAATCAGTACACCCATGGATGTCATCAAGACCAGAGTACAAGCCAAGCCAAAGCCTGGTGACCCAATCTACAATGGTATCATGGATTGTATCAAACAAACTTTGAGTATGTATCCCCACCCTCCATCCACCATTTTTGGAATCATTCCACTCACTCAATCACTTGATCAATCGATCAATCAATGATGTACAGAGGCTGAAGGACCACAGGCATTCACAAAGGGACTGGTACCAAGAATCATGATTATAAGTCCACTGTTTGGAATTACTCTGGTCGTATATGAAGTACAAAAGAAGGTAAATAATCAATGATTGTGATTGATTGATTGAATGATTCATACACGTACTAACACATCAATCAATCTAGATTTGGGCATACACTCAGCAGAAGAAGTTGAAGCAATAATAAGATATATATATTGTTTTGGACTCCACAATCAATCAATCGCAAGCGTATCACAAACACCAGCCAACCAACCAATCTCAAACTCAATCAATCAATCAACTATTAGAAGAACTGACACGATGATGATTGATGAACTTATGGATGTAAAACTATTATAGATGATGGTATAAATACACTACACTACCACCTCATCCAACTTAATGATCAATCAATCTTATTAATATTAATTATTTAGTTACTGCTAACATCTTCATCATCATCATTGTCATCTGACTCAATGACTGAATCGTCGTCTTCATTGGTTGGACAAACCACACCACACCACACATCCGAATAACGAATCAATCACACAACTAACACAATGACAATGAATTAACAGACAGATCACCCACCCACACCACCACCCACCAACTCAACTCAACTCACCCTACCTATCCATCTATCATTCAAACTATATCTCTTTCCTAATCGACTTGATGAACATATAGACGAAGGTTCTGTGAATCTCCACTAACACACTCACACTCTATCCATCCATCCATTGATTACCAAATCATCCACCACAACACTTGAGTTTGATGAATAGATGGATGGGATAGATTGAGTGTGCTTAGTTGTCAATTGCCCGGCCCATTATGTAAGAATATAGTCATTGACATAGAACACATATTGACACCATCCACATTAACACACATCAACATCAACATCTCCACTCTAGAGAATGTGTGTCACACATTCTTAGCATCCCCAGCTTCACTCTGCCATCTTAAGAAGTTAATATTCGATGCATCATCATCCACCCTCAACACATCCACAGTGAGTGGATAGCAATGATGTTGCTTAGTATCCAGTCGTTAACCATACTTGGACAAAGGAAGCACACTTACCCCGCCACACCTAATCAGTCAGTCAGTCGGCCAGTCTATCAGTCAGTCCTGTCCTGTCATCACCTCTACACTCCTATCCCCTCTTGTCACTACTACTACTTTGAACTCATACTACACAATATACGACACGACGACACGACGACACGACACCAACACCTACCCTTCATTACGCATTACCTTAGGTATACCTAACCAATTTACAACTCAAACAATACCTATACCTAAAATCTTGAAGATTAAGAGAGAGAAAGGTTGAACATCAGCAGCAGCAGTAGCATCAATTATAACAACAACTACTACTACAACTACAGTGATAAACAATCAACATGTTGGAGACTATACAACCAGAAGCATTGGAGTTGAAGGACAAGGGTAACTTGGAACTCTGGAATAAGAACTATGAAGAGGCACTCAAGTACTTTGATCAAGCATGTATCTGTGATCCAAACAATATAGAGTTGACATTGTCTAGAGCTGGTATGTTCAATTTCACGTCCAACATCCATCCATTCAATCAAACAATCAAACCCTAACAAGCCATGTCATTACTTAGCCGCACTCAACTCTTATGGAATGTATGATGAAGCGATAAAGGCATGCCAAAAGACTTTGGACTTGGGAGAGACGTTCAAGGAGACGTTGGAGGATGATAATGATATTGCCAAAGTAATATTGCTACAATCAAAGGCATATGCTAGAATGTCTACGGCATACCTCGGCAGCCATCTCTATCAAGAGTCAAAGAAGAACATTGTCAACGCCATCAACACTTACAACTGCGTGGAGTTTGAAGAGATGCTAAAGATGGTCAATGATCTGATACTGACAATGACCAGCCATGCTCAAGAGTTGTTCAAGGAGGCCAGTGAACTATACTACACCAAGCAGTATGAGGAGGCTTGCAAACTCTACACCGAGGCCATCGAGTTTGACAAGTGCAACAATGTACTCTACGCTAATCGATCAATGTGTCACATCAAGCTGGGGATGTATCCCGAGGCTCTGGACGATGCCAACCTCGCCATTGATATCCAGGGCAAGGACCAACATGTCAACTACCTTGTAAGTTTTGTTGATTGAGTAGTCATATGGATGACGACACTTACTAACTAATCGATCAATCCCCAGCCATACTACTCCAAGGGCAATGCGTTGTACTCACTGAAACGTTATGATGAGGCTTTAGTGGCGTATGAGGAAGCACTTGGTATTAAGCCAGAGTCAGGACCTGTAAAGAAGAAGATAAAGAAGGTCACCGCCCTGCTTGATACCAAGGCCAAGTTGGTCAACAACAGAAAGAAGAAGAAGACAAAGAAGAGAGCTGCTGCCAAGGAGGACACGACTACTACATCATCCAACGACTTGAAGAATAATGACGACAACAACAATGATGAAGAGGAGGAGCACATGCCAACAATGGAGACATTCGAGTCAGAGCAAGCCTCTTCAGGCACACCAAGGATCAATACGTTAAGAAGTGTTGAGGAGGATGATGAGATGCAAGTTGCACCGGTGCTGGCCGAGCCCTCCGAGTGTGAGGAGCTACAAACATCACTGGACGAGGTTGACGAGCTTAATATCCCTGTGTCCGAGGAGCAGGACGATGTCGTCCAAGACCACGCCAATGAGGTGACCGAAGAGGAGGAGAAGGAGGAAATGGAATCAGCTGAACCAGTGCCAGAGCCAGAAGCAGATGCCGAGGATGATGAGTAGTCATGTCAATCCAATCACTATATGTACATGTTCGATAATTCCCAAGTCTGTCTGTCTGGGAGAGGATGCCGAATGATTGGAACAGCTGGTGCTCGTTCCATCGCCTCTCTGGATGAAGCTCAATAGCCAAGTACTATACTACAACATCAATAAATACTGTTGTTGTTTACATTAAGATGATGTTGATTTATACATTGAAGCTTGGGAACAATCGTGATATGATACTTGGCTCCTTGTTGGTGGTCGTCGATGTTGGCGACCTTGTGTTGTTGTTGCTGTTGCCAGAAGTGGAAGTGATTTGTCCATTTGCCAACAGATTACATCTTGCTCTCTCACTTGTATCCAACTCTATCGACTCTATTAAATTACTCATTGCAGCATTGGACTTGAATTGATTACTATGTTCATAGAACTTGATGTTCAGTTCATTGGCCAGTGTCTGTGAGTGGAGTGGACAAGTCAGGTCAGTATTGGCAAGGCGAGAAGGACGTACTGGCGCCACAGAAATCAACTTACCGCACCCTGTTGATACGATACCTTGCGCTCACTTATCATGTCCACCTTGTTACCAATGAGTATAAAGTATGGCTGTGGACGCTGTCGACACTTGTACCTTATTTGGGCCATTGATCGCTCTATCGTCAACAATGAATTACTATCAGTTACATCGTACATCAATATATAAGCATCCACTGGCAACACCGAATTAATATCATAGACTACATTAACAATGAACTCTACATTCTCATCATTAACTCTCTTCCTATAAGTATACTATATAACCAGTAAGTGTGTGAGTTAGCGAGTGAATGACGACTGGTCGTCAGGCATGTGGCAGGGAGGTGGTATGACCTACACGATCATTGACCAATGAAGGATCTATATGTTCAAATGCGGTCGAGCTATACCTGTTGAGGAATGATCGCTGTCCATTGTTTGGGAGGTCAGTACATTGGACATGCAAGTACTCACTCACTCAATTGGCTTGACTTGACTACTTACCTTTCCAACAGATACATCACCAAACAGAGTGATTAGGGTTGTCCTGGCAGGAGGTAGACTCTGTTGTAACTGTATAGTTTGATCACTTATTTGATAAGCCTTCCTCATTTTGAACATGTTCAACTATATGATGTTTGTGTATGTATGTTGCGAATGTCTTCTTGCTTACTAGTTGGCCAACTCGACATGTCAATAGAGAGAGATAGATGTAATACTTTGTTGTTGAGATTGAATGAGTGAGTCGAGTTCACTTCACCCTCCACGAAGTTAGCTTCAAGGTTGATTCAAATTCATTCATTCATTCATAATCAGAAAGAGATATTAGTTGTATTTATATCATTGTAGTTATAGTTGTATAGTATTGATAGTAGTAGTAGTTAATAGTAGTAGTAATGAGCACATCAACAGCCACAGCAACAACAACGATGTTGAACGACTCTGATATAGATGAGTTGGAACGAAGAGTCGAAGCAATGGAGTTGGCACTGTTGTCTTATCAACCATTGGCACAGGACCCTGTGTTGCGTGCACCATTGCCAGGTCAACTCACACTACAGCAACAACAACAGTTGATGCAACATCAGCAACAATCAAGCCCACTACTCACACGCAAGAAGCAAGCGGCACTCAACGCTGCACATCCCCAAGAGACCCTAGTCGATCAACTCGATCGCTTCCGCTCCACACTCAATCTCATCAAGACAGACAACGAAGCAATCTCACAGTTTATGTCCTTCTGTATGTGTCATTCATTCAATCATTTGATCAATCAACTACTTATGCGCTATACAACAATGTTTAGACAAAGAGAATGAGACATTGTTCAACTCGATAGTGGAGAGCGATGAATTGTTGGAACCAGTGGAGAAGCTAGCGATCATATTGTCATCAGAAGATGAGTTGATACAAACAGCTCGATCACTACAGTTGGTGAGTGAGTTGGAGAAGTTCATCAATCAACCATCGACTACAGGTGACATTCCAGCCAACATCAACAAGTTGCAACCAATCGAGTTGCAACACCACGAACAACAAGCCATTGCCATTGCATTGAATAAGAAGCTGGAAGAGAGGATACAATCATATAATGAAATTGTAAGTCTTGCAAGCCAGTCACCATTCGTGATCAGTACTGAACTCTAACATCGTCATCAATCAATCAGGTCCAATCACTGTCTATGAAGTTCGCACTGTGGAACAGTATCTTGTCACCAAAGTAAACATTAAATAACATACCCTACTTCTTACTTGTATGTATGTGACACCTTGTTGTGTTTGAGTGGCTACTCCATTCATTCCAATGTCGGTCGGTCATAGATATAATTCAAGATATACAAGGGTGGTGTGGTGTCGTTTGTGGTGTGGGGGTGGGGTTCGGGACATCTCCAACCTTTCCCCGAGTCGAAGATCCAGACTGAACTTGACATAGTGTAGTGTGGTGGAAATGGTATATCTGCAAAGGGACTACACGACTACTCAATATAGAAGGAGGTCTGACCAATCTCTTCTGTCTCCATCCATGTTGAATTTAGCGTAATGTGGTGTCCTACTACATGGTGTAGTGCGGTCAGTCGGTCGTCCATTCTAAGTCAATCTGTACCCTGCCTCCAACTGGTGTATATATGGTTGTTTGAGATGGAGTTTAGAGGTAGGAGTAGTCGTGCGACATCTCAGCCACTACCACCAATTCTAACTTACATCCATTCATTCTTTCCAGCACCTCACTTACTGACTCAACTCATTCTTAATAATCATACTTATACTTATATATTATTTATTTATTCATTCATTCCACTCAATTAGTGTGATGAAGTATTATTTAATTTAAATTAAGACAGATAGTAATGAACGATATTGACAAGTCAAGGAATTCACCAGTTGGCATGGCTGGACGCCTAGCCAAAGAGTTTCCAGTCAGCTCACCACAATTCGATGATGTAAAGCAGTCGATAAAAGCAGAGTTGCAATCAGACCAGATTAAACTTTCAGACGATGTATCAAACATAGTGGATGGAAGTAATCCAATGGATGTTGATGATCCAGATTATAAAAGAGAGGATGCTATTCAAACAGATGCTCAAGGTCGCATAATCATACCAAACTTTATGAATGAGGAGTTTCATAAAGATGGAGGTGCTGGAGGTGGCGGAGAAAATGGCAATGTGATAGTTATGTCAACTTTGGTTGACCCAACTACAACTACTTCATCATCAATGGAGGGTGTGGAGGGTGGAGAATGTGCATGTCCGCAATCAACATCAACCTCTACGACAATGGATACACAACCAGGGAAGACAGACTGTGTACTTGATCACATTGGACCAACACAGACCTTGAGCCATATTACCAAGGCAAGACCATTGAAGAGAGCATCCAAGATGATTAGGATTGCTAATATGATGGTGAGTAATTCTCAGATGAATGATTGACTCAATACGTACTAATATTGGTTTATTCCAGAACAAACCAACCCTTGCATCATCAACTTCAACTACATCTTCAAACGAGATGGCCGACTCAACACAACAAGAGACTAGTGCACCAATGATGAAGGAAGAGATTATGATGCCAGAAGAGACTAAAGGTCAGGAGTCGACACCTGCTCAAGTTATCATAGTTCAGCCAGAAATTATTGAGGTGAAGTCACAGCCACAGCCACAGATGGTGGAAGTGAAACCACAAGTTCAAATGCAACAGCCAACTCAAAAGATAAAACCAGTTCCAGCGTCAAGACCATTGTCAACAATGATGCCAACACACATGGAGACTGACAAGAAGGAGGTCAAGGCGGCAACAGAGACTGTGGTGGCTAATCAATCAATACCTATGGCCATGGAGGAGGACCAGGAGAGGAAGGAGGCCGAGGAGGGGGAGCAGGTCGAGCCAGAGGAGAAGACAGAGAAGTTCATTCCAAAGGGTGCGGTCAACATATTCGGCGATGCCAAGTTCAATCCAACCAACGTTGTCCTTAAGAAGACAGTGTCGAAGAGAAAGGAGAATCCTGGTGTCGATGGTCCTGACTCAACAGCGGCCGCCGCATCCTCTGGCGCTGCCCAGGTTGACTTCCGCTCGCTCCTAAAGCCTTCGGGCACATCATCAGCTCCAGTGTGCGAGCAACCGCTGCACCAAGACACAAAGGAGGAGATCCCAGACAAGACCGCCCAGACTATCCTCGAGCATGTCCATCAAGACTTTGAAGAGTCGGTGGCTGAGCCCGCGCCAACTGCAGTGGAGGTCGAGTATGCTCCCACCACAGAGAGCTTCAAGTACGAGGACATTATTGGCAAGAAGGTGACGGCCAACCTGATGCCATCCAAGCTTGAGGCATACCTTAGCGACGACGAGTTTGCCAAGGTTATGGAGTGCACAAAAGATGCCTTCTATCAGCTGCCTCTCTGGAAGCAGACCAATCTAAAGAAGAAAGCTGACTTGTATTGAATGAACATTACATTGTAAAGTAAACCATGATACTCTATCTTGGTCTTTGTTGTTGTTGTTGTTGATGATGATGATGTTGAGTTCGTTGATTGAGTGTCACTTGCAACTAGTTGGTGTGCAGCTCAATACCTTGTTGGTCGGTTGCAGGCTGGTAGTGCCTCCTTGTCAATAGGACTGCGCCATAGGTCACGGCTAATCCAATGCCAGGTGACATGATGAAGTAGAACACTCCTATAATCGTATCCTTTGTAACATGTTTGTCAAACAATAGTACAGAGTCGAGACAGTATCCACTGAACGTTGTGAATCCACCTAGTAATCCAACCATCAGTCCATAGCGCAGGTCCATGTCGATGTTCTTCTGTTCCACTCCTACTACCTGCAACACACCGATCACTGCGCTGCCCACGACATTGATGATCAATGTACTCCAATAGGCATCTGTCTTGAATCCTCTTATGAACAGTACATTCAACAGATATCGTAGCAATATGCCTACGATACCAAACAGGATGATCCAACCGAATCTTGCGCCTGCAAAGAAGTCGCGTGTCGTCATACCTGATGCTGCTGCTGATGATGATTGCGACGCATCGGCGGCGGTGGCTGCGGCTGTAGCCATTGCATCAGTAGCATACATCTTGTGTATCCTACTATTATATGTTTGATTGATTGATTGAATGAATGAAGAATCAGAGAATTGGAGTGAACTTTGTAAAATGAAGGGGGGAGGTCACGTTCCTTTCTCAATCATTATTCCAGTTTGATCAACTTTGTATATTAATATAATAATAATTATTTACTTTAATTTGATGGTGATATTAGATTCTTGAATAGCTCGTTTGGAATGAGATAGCAAACTGCCTTGCCTCCATGGCCTTCACGAATGTGCATAGTATGTCGATTGATCGATTGATAATATGATAGTTGAGAATAGGCTGATGATGATAATGTTGGTGACAATGGCGTTGATGATGGTGATATTGGTGTTGATGGCCATGTGGATGATGATTTACCTCCGGATCCACCACGACCATTGACTAGCATTGCCTCTCTACTCAATCCTGTAAAGTGTATATCCATTACCAGATGCTGATGATATAGACCTTTCTTCAATGCTGTTGTCAAGTCTGCAATGTTTCGGTCGGTCTTTGGATGTGTGAATCTGATGACGACCAACTGCAACGTCAAGCGCTTTGAAATCACGTCAAACAGTTTGGTGAGGAGGTCGACGCGTGTCTTTGATAAACGCGAGTCCTCAATGGTAACACGATCGACAAACAGTTGAGTGAGGTGATGGCATTCAGAGATGACGTTCTGCAGACACTCGAGCTTGGAGGGCGAGTCCAATGTTGAGCGGATGTCAAGCGACCTCATGGCACTCGCGGTGGGAATCCTAAGATTCTCGATGGGCACGTCCACATCTAGGATCAGCTTCTCGACCTCTGACGCGATGAATAACGCGCGATCACATGTTGAGAAGTCGTAGACGATCTTGAGTCGCTTGCACTTGAGCTCAGGCAATGTGTTGTGGTAGACTGTTGCGATGTTGAGGCTTTCTAGCTGTGACTTGTTGGCCAAGTTGATCAGGAGCTCCTTGGACACGTCCTTGATGCGCATCGTCAGTGATTGCAGTGAGACGATGTTGAACAGGGGCTCAAGTATCGCGCTGGATCTCGCCACGTGGCCCATTACTTGGTTGGAGTTGTCCATAAGCACGAGCTTCTTGAGGCATTGTGTGAGTGGTGAACCGGGCTCGAACATCTTCTTGAGATAGAAGTCAAAGTTAACGTTGTGTATCTCCAACACTTGGAGCGAGTCGCCAACATTTCCAACCATGTAGTCTAAAAAGTCCGAGGACATCAAGTAGCTGATGTTCATGCGCTTGACCGTCGCGGCCTTCTTGAGCTCGAATCCGGCTTCCTCTTTGGTGTAGCCGTCATTCGTGTGCGTCACCAGACACAGATCGAGTTCCAGCGTCTCCTGCGGCTCAATGAACCTAATGATCTTCTCGAGACACTTGCAATCCATTGTGAAGCCAAATGTCAGCTTGCGTAGAGTGTTGCCAATGTTGTCAGGGAGGTATAGTTTGAGCATGATGTCAGCCTGCGACAAGTTGTACGTGGTGAGATGCAGCCTAGTGACATTCTTCCAGAGACAGAAGCGATTGGAGAGATGCTCCTTGTACGCAGCGTTGATCCGGGTGGATCGTGTGTCGCCTGTCTGTCCAATCACGTCACTAGGTGTCCACACGATGGTCATTATGAGGTGTTCATCAACGTAATGTGATATATAGTTGAACCAGTTCCATGATACCAATGACATCTCAAGTAACTGATACATTCCCAATCTCTTATCACTCCAACAATGGTCCAATATTGCACGATGTAATACAACAGATGACAATGATGTTGATGATGTTGTTGTTGTCATTTCCTACTCCTACTCCTCCAAATTGTTATTATTTGTATGATTGATTGATTGAATGATTGTATGAATGATGGATGAATGAATGGTATGACTAAAGGAGTGATAAGATGACACCTTTATTAGAAACGACATTCAGAAATATCTCCAATAGTTATTTGGAATTGCCAAAACAGGTCCACAAAAATTTTGACTTTTTGCCAGCCCTGGGCTTTGATGTCAAAAAAACTAACTGAAGCCGATCTCCAATGACTTGTATTATCTCTTTATTTACACAAACACATAATACATACAAACATATACATATACATATACATATACATATACATATACATATACATATACATAAAGGAGAATGACAATCAAACAAAGGGAGGAGGACTATGATGAAGGCGACAATGACAATGCAATTGAGATGACTGGTGGCCATCACTCAATAATGATTGATGCCTCATCAAATTCAACACCAACACCAACACAATCATCATCATCGTCATTGCCAAATGGTGCAATAATCACAATGCCAACATCATATACAAAGATTGGTAATGAAGAAGAGGATGATGATGGCGCCACACTCATCAATCTCAAGAAGAAGAATAAGGAGAAGGACTTGGACTTGGAGGGTGATGACACACAACAACAGCTGACAGAACGTCAGAAACGCAGATGGCAGCTCATCCGCGCACTGCTGGGTGAGCTGCTCTGCACATTCTTCCTGATGTACATTGTATACTCGGCAGCGGCCAACTTCAAACGATATCCAAATGCATCGTCGGTCGTGGGAAACGCCCTGGCACCAACCTTTGCCGTCATTGCGCTCATCTATTCATTCGCCGATGTGTCTGGCGCGCATGCCAACCCAGCCGTGACATTCGCCACGGTGCTCACACGCAAGATGTCCGTTACAAAGGGTGTGCTATACGTTGTCATGCAGGTCATTGGCTGTGTGCTGGCTGCGCTCTTCCTCAACGCATCGTTTCCACACAAGTTTGATGAGGGCTCGCCTGCAGCGGCCACAGCGATCATCCCCGCAGCCGATTCAAACTTGAGCAACATATTCATCACGGAACTATTACTCACATTCATTCTGATATACGTCATATTCGCCGTTGCATTCGATACGATTGATGACGATGTCCAAGTGCGTCGTGGCAAGAACAATGGAAATCTCACCATCTACACTACATCTGGCGCGACCAAAGCAGGATTCGCACCAATCGCCATCGGATTCACCGTTGGCTTCCTCAACTTCCTCGGTGGATCAGTGTCTGGCGGTGCATTCAATCCATGTCGAGTATTCGGACCAGGTAACTATCAATCCATGTTTGATCGTCATCGTCATAATCACTCACTCAATCATTCAATCAATCATTTTAGCGTTGGTTGGAAATAGATGGAGATTCCATTGGATTTACTGGATAGCTGATCTGTTGGGAGCTGGACTGGCGGCATATGCTCAAAGATTCTTTGCTGTTACCAAGTCAAAGACACAACACTAGGTCCACTACCTCACTCAACCTTATTGGTCTGGATTGATCAGTCAATCAACGAATATGGACAAATGAATTATTTATTAAATAGGTTCGATCAATCGAATCACCTATGACGAATCACATGGATGGATTGATTAACTGATGGATGGATGGGTGAGTAGGTGGATATAACAACACGGATAGGATGAGGCACTGGAAAGCGCTGCTTACGATGAGGCACTGGGAAGCGCTGCTTGGGTTGCAATACCACTATAATAGACATCAATGTTAGTATCAATCAACCAATCATACAAACAATCAAAACTTACCAGTTGTTATCTCTGTCCTTGGACATGAGGATGTATCCCTGGATACCCCATGTGGTACCCCAGGAGTTCTTGACGATCCAGTAGCTGCTGTCATCGGTGAACTCAACGACAAGTCCGGACGATCCGGATGAGCCGGAGGAACCAGAGGAGGAGCTGGTGGAGGAGGACGACTGGCCTGAGCTTGAGGCGCCAGAGCTGGTCGACGATGAGGACTGGCCTGAGCTTGAGGCACCTGAGCTGGTCGATGATGAGGACTGGCCAGATGATGATGCGGCACCAGAGGTGGTGGTCGAGGATGAGCCACCCGAGGAGGTGGAGCCAGAGCTGCCAGATGATGCGCCACTGCCATATCCGACGACGAGGACGGCGTGGTCGAGCTCAGTGGTAGAGCATTGGGGCTCGTAGTAGACACCAGACTTGTAGAGCTGGAATGAGTTGTGGCTGGCATCAATGGCAACGGACACTGGACCGCTGTTGGCAGCCTGCTCCAAGGCGGACTCGGAACCAGAGGTGACGTTGATGTATGATGTGAGGGTAGCACCAAGGTTGGCTGAGTTGTACTGGCAGGTGGTTCCACTGGCGGCAGTGTATGGGTATGAGGACTCAGTGTCAATTCCATTGTTGTTGATGATGTACTCCATGGCGAGGTATGGGAGACCACCGTTGCAGCCCTGGTTTCCGTAGCTGGTGGAACAGTCGATCAGGTTCTGCTCTGACAACGAGACGAGCGAGCCGGTGGCGAGGAAGTGAGCACCCTCAGAGGCACCGGTGGTGGAGAATGACCAGCATGAGCCGCACTGCTGTTGGTTCTTGATGGCGGTGACGGCACCCTTCTGACGCCAGTCGACGGCGGCGCCCTGGACACGCTGGTAGGTTTGCTCAAAGTTCTTGATGAGCTGACGGTCGATGGTGGCGCTGATTCTGGTTCCCAAGTAGATTCTCTGGTACTCGGCGTTGGTGAGGTCGGCCAAGCGGTTCAGGCCGAGGACGGTCTGCGAGCCCTTGGCATTCCAGGCGTTGATGTAGTCCAAGTTCTTCTTGAACACGTTGAAGCGGTTGTGGAACTCGTTGGCGTGGTACTGGACATCATGCTCTTGCATCCAATTGGTAAAAGTAGTTTGGTACTCCTTCTCACTGAGTTTAGAGTAGGCAGAGGCCACAAGAAGTGACAGAGAGATTAATAAAAAGTATTGTCTATACATTATTTGATTGATTGATTATTATTGTTTGATTGATTGATAGATCACTTGAACTCGCGAGTTCCTTTTATAACAATGTTTGAATGACCAATGACAGAGACAGACCTTGAACCGATGGGATGCATGATGGCTTGCCGGCGATGAGTTGGAACAACGTTCATCATCGGAGATGGAGTCATTCACTTTGCAACTCATCACATCACATCACATGCGTGAATGGGGCTGAAGCAGGAGGAACAGACGACTTCATTGAACACACAGTTCTTCAAGACGCGCGACTAGTCTATCTTGGCATCCTGTGTCTAGTCGTAGTCATCTGTCTTGTTAATAGTTTACAACTGACTGTTGTACACTTTGGGTACTGGTGCCAGTCTGGCAACTTGATGCACGACCATGATCTGCAAGTAAAAAAAATCAATCTTTGCAAAGATTGTCAAGTTGACAGAAGATGAGCAAAGGTTGGGAAGTTGAATGTTGTGTTGTTACCCATAGGAATGAAGAGTAGAAGGAATAAGTGATCAACTCTACCTGGCAAAATAATTATTCAATGAACAATCAATTGAATAATCTCTCCATTGACTTGAATAATAATAACAATAAATAATAATCTTTGGAAAAGTTGATTGGGTCCATGGCTAGCCATTGATTGCTAAGTCACCAACATATACACTGTTGTGTCAGTCAATCAAATATTATTAATGTTTTAAACAATGTACTACTACTATTATTATTATTATTACAACAACATACAACAATAGTTACTAATATTGAGATGGTTGTTTGTTCAATCACTCAATCATTCATACTTCCCAATGAGTCAGATATCTGATTGAATCTGGCCTTGTCCCAACAATACAATGGGTGAGTCACTTGAACCATGCCAAACTCCGTCTTTGCCCATTGTGTTGTGCTGAAGAGAAGTCTTCTCTCTTTTTTTTTTTTCGTTGTGTGTGGTTATTTGCCAATGATGGTCTTAGAGCTCGAAGGCACAAACACGACACACGAACACGAGGACTCCACTGCAAGGTTCATCTTCATTGTACATAATTATAATCACTTTTATTCATTCATTCATTTATTCAATCATCTTATACACAAATATATATATTTATATAATCATCATTAAAGACACTTTTGAAGGTGCTTTGTATTTTAGTATTAGACACATATATCTTCTGATTTAATAAACAATCAATCAATCAATCACAACTAACATTATTATTATTATTAATTATTATCTCTTTCTTCTCACTTTATTGTTGTTGTTGTAAACAATACTATTGATCATTATAAACACAAACTCTCTCACTCTTTCATTCACACCTCTCTCCCTTTGTATATACACTTTGTACAGTTATCCAAACAAACAAACCTACACATAACAATGATTTCATTGGACACTCTAGATATAAGCAACAATGTATGTTGGTCCAAACATAAAGATGATATTATCCCTTGCCGCACAATGAACTAACAATCAATCAATAACTTATATTTTTAGAACGGCATTTCGAACTGGGCCGATATTGAGGTGGAAGACAATCCATACGAGAATGATGATAATGCTTTTGTACCAGAGTCATCAAGGATAAAGGGTGGTGGCACACCTTCAAAGAAGTTGGCATCCAAGGCCAAGACTTCTACTTCCACCACATCATCCACCACTGCCACACCATCAAAGGCCCAAGCCACCACCTCGACTCCATCAAAGAAGAAGAAACCATCACCAACTCCATCTCTATCTCCAGCCAAGGCGTTGAGCCAAGGCCACGGCAGCGAGACAACCACTACCACTACCACCATCACAAAGTCAACCAAGTCAATCGAACAGTCTCCAGCAAAGCAAACTCCATCATCCAAGGCAGCAGCCAAGAAGTCACTGAAGAAGCGCGAGGTTGTATTCAAAGAGATCACAATCTTTGATACCGAAGTCGATCAAGTTGTCGTTGAACAACAAAAGCAAGAGTTGATTATGTTCTTTGGCATGTTTGGCGTGGTCGAATCTACTGACACTCGCTGGGCCGACAGGTCATGCTCGGTCGTCTACCAGTCAGCTGCCGACGCTGCCAACGCCATCAAGGAGTTCAAGTCGGTGTCCAGACTGGAGGACCATCTCTCGACACTGGCCGCCAAGAAGCAGGACCTTTTCATCAACCTAAAGAACGTCTGGAACATCAAGGCTGCGATCAACGAGGACAGCAAGCCTCAGCCACCCAAGCCCTCCAAGGCGCATCCTCCCTCCTACCAGCCACCCGCACATCCTCGTCCACATCTTTTCAGCCAACATCCACGCTCGCCCAAGGGTGAGTGGAGACCTGTTGGAGTTGCGAGGAGCCAGCAACAGCAGCCACAGGCACAGCAGAACCCTTGAGACTGCAGCAAGGTGGTCGGGTCCACTTTGGGCCGATCAACCAGCATGCTCAATAAACAAACTCCCACCTCCCCTTCTTTAATATTGCAATGTTGTTTGCCAACCTGTACCTAGTATCGCCAACGCGGTCTATTGCTGAGATTGTGTTCATCGTTTGAACGATATTTCTGCCATATCAGATTGAGTTCCTTGACAATGTCCCTGTTGCAATATGTCCTGGCGTGCACAAACGCCGAGACTGATACGTTGATCTTCAACTCTAGTAATCGTCTAACGAATGCCGTATGTCCTCTATTCAGTGCGACGATGGCCAGCTTAGTGGCATCGTGTGATCTAAATGAAGTCTTGCGGAAATGTTGCACCATCAGTGAGAGTATATCCACACTACCATGCTCAGCCACCTTGGTCAATGCTTGATAGTTGACGTTGTATCCCTTGCCAATAAAGTATATGATGTGGTCCAGGGAGTTGGCACTACATGCGGCCTCCATCAGATGTACGGCAGTGATCAACTTTGAATGATGGTCAATGATCTTGTCAATGAGTGGCCATTCACGTATCTTTGTAACAATGAGGAAGGCTATCCTTGAAGGTACTACAACATTAAACATCAGAAATCGTTGTTGATGTTGGTCGTTGATCAAGTACTTGAACAATCCAATGTGGTTATCTACCAACAACCTATGAGCGTATCTTGAGGCACGGTGATATCTCCTTCTGATGCATTTATCATGGACGCCACAAGGCATCGCTCGATGAGTCTTCCATATGTAGTCCATCAAATATTTAAACCGTATAGCTTTAAAGAATGATGATGTCACATCATCTTTGATCAACTCCATCTTCTTGGAATCAACAACATGTTGTTCTTGGATGTTCACGTCCATGTTCAAATTATTATTATTATTATTAGTATTATGAACTATGATGATATGATTAATTTCTTCCACCAATTAACATCCTCACCTATCTCTATCTATTATTTGTATATACATGTAATATTGATTCCAAACATTATGAATGATTGATTGAAGTTGGAGGGAACATGAGAATAAAGTGTGATGCTGGAAGTTCATTGAACTTTGGTTTTATTTCTTTTTTTCATTCAAACACAAACACACACAAGTCGCGAATCATTCACTCACTTTGAGTCGTTTTCAGGACTTGTGATCGACAAGTGCACTACATCTGGTCAAAGTATCATCAACATCATATACCTATATATCACATATATATACCTACCTATACCTATACATAGATCAGAGATATGATGTTGTCAACAACTGCCAACAAACATTTGTTGACAAATGGCAGTAGTCTATGTGCCAGGTTGATGATCAGATCATACACCACTCAACCAAAGCAGGATCAGACACAACAGCAGCAGCAGGGACAAGAGAGTAGTTTGAGAAGCAAGAAGAAGGTGTCTGATAATAGGTCATTGCCAAAGGTGCCACCCATTCAACCAAAGGCACCAGCACCCAATGTGAAGGACCTCTCATCCAATGACAAGATCAACAACTACAACTCGCACTTTGCTCCCTTTGACACGGACAACACCTTCAGATATACTCCATCCTTCTCCAAGCTCGGTGTTCTCACTGACATCAAGGACTTGCCCGAGGATTGGAACAACATCAAGCACCATACAAGAACCAAGAAGGAGAAGCGCGAATTGAACAACACATCAACATTCTTTGACAGGAACGACAACGAAGAGGCCAACATTCAGTTCACCGTATGTTCAATCAATCATTGAGCGCGAGATTTGACGAACTAGTGTCATCTCATCCGTCGGACACTCACACTATCGCACTGCCTGAACGATGAATTACTAACCATCTTGCCCTTGCACCTTGCGTGCGCCAACAACAACAACAACAGAGATTCGGTAACACAGGTACACCATTCCCACGTCTGTTGAATAACAATGTATGTATTGAGTAGTTGTTACTACGTGATCCCAGGAATGATCATTGACTAACGCAACATCCCTCGCACGACACATACAGCCTGCAGTTATCCAAGTACCACAAGGAGGTAGTTACGCCAGAGCACTGCTAAACACAAGATCAACACTCAATGCATTGGATAACTCCACTCTTGATCTTCTTCAAGAGTTTGTCAAGGTATATATCATGATCATGTGGCCACAGCCACGGCTACAAGGTTGTTGCAGTTGTTTTCCCGGCATTGTTCACTGACCCATCATCCTCTCCTTCAATCAATCAATCACTCACTGGAACTATCCCAATCAATCAATCAACAACATTGTAGTCTAACATTGCAAACGATACAATCACTTCATACTCGATCCATACCTCGACACCTGGAGTCATTCACAGCTCTGGCGCAGATTTCTTGACAATGTACGAGAAGAGGAACAGCGAGAACCCAGAGGCATACTTTAGGAAACTGTACAAATTCTTCTATCTGCTGGGCATCTCACCCAAGCCTCACGTCTCCATCCTGGACGGTCTGGCCGTGGGCAGTGGCGCGGCATTCACCGCCAACTCTGGCATCCGTGTGGCCACCGAGAACGCCATCTTCTCCGTGCCCGACTGCGCAATCGGCTTCTACCCAGACGCCGGCATGACCCGCTTCCTGGCCCGCATGGGCCCCCTCGGTCGCTACCTGGCGCTGACTGGTCGTCGTCTGCGCGGCACCGACATCATGGAGAGCGGCATTGGCAACATGTTCATTCGCACGGGCCAGGTGCAACACATCGATCAGTGGCTCGGACGTATCCCAGCCAATCGCATTGATCGTGTGCTGCAGAACCTCGACCTACACACAGAGAATTACACCAAGGACACAGTAGAGAAGACACACTTGGAGCAGTACGGCGAGGCCATTGAGCGCTGCTTCGACCAGGAGAACGTCGAGGACATCTACCAGGCACTGCGCGAGGAGAAGGTGCACACAAAGTGGGCCCAGCGATGCATTCAGAACATGGACAGAATGTCGCCACTCAGTCTCAAGGTGACGCTGGCGTTCATGAACTATGTCGAGCGTCCAAGCCCCTACGACGAAGACGTCGAGCTGTCGCTGGACGACTACTTCGAGATGGAGTACCGTCTGACGTGCTCGCTGCTGCAGGAGGGCTCGGACCTCTGGGAGGGCATTCGCGCCAACCTCATCAACAGGACCAAGCCCGACTGGAAGTTCAAGACGCTGGCCGAGGTCACCGACGAGATCGTCGAGAAGCACATCAACTTTGAGCCCGAGCGTAAGTTCCAGCTGCGCCGCTTCCCCACCAACTTTGAGCAGTACGAGAAAATGGTCGAGGAGTACTACGAGAACACGACATCGGCCACCGACGAGCAGGACCTCGGCGTGTTCACCGCCACCAGTGGCGACCCCATCACCGCCAGACACGAGGAGTTCATCGAGGAGTACTACAAGGACTTCAACGAGGACTACTTCCACGAGAGAAACTTTGAGGAGACAATCTACAGCATGGACAAGTCTGACTTTTCATCATAATAATATCATTCATTCAATCAATCAATGCGCGCTGTGTCTAGAACCTCATCATTACGACCCCTTTATCTTATAATAATAATAATAAACCGACTACAAGGTATGATTGTTGTTGTGGATGTTGCGTTTGACAACTTTTCTACATCATCGTCATCGACATGAACGCTCGACCATCGCGAAACTTCGAATCGCCGCACATGGGGACCTGGGAGACCTCCGAATTTTGATTGTGGTCAGCTGACAATCCCATCACGTGACCAGGTATTACATGACAGGGATATGATATCACATGACTTATGAACATTATTAATAGCAATCAAGGTCAGACCTTCAACAATTTAACTTATTATTATTATAACTAACTTTACTTAAATACAAAGTAATAACAACTACAAAGACAGAGATATGGAGGGTTTCTTAGGATGGCTATTCTATAACTATAGGGGCAGAGACCCAGGATTGTTTTGTAATAGACCTCAGGTAGCAGGATGCACTACGACAGTTGCATTCACAAGTCAATCATTTGAGGATGGTCAACATATGCCAAAGTCATCGGCAGGCTCAGGTGAAGGACCTAATCAATCGCCACATCTTACATGGGGTCCATTGCCCGAGAACACAAAGGAACTGGTGATCATTTTGGAGGACCCTGATGCACCACTACCATCACCCGTTTGCCACTTTATCTTGGCAGGTATCGACCCATCACTGGTAAAAGAGATACCCGCTGGCGACTTGGACGTTACCAATACGAAATACAACTTCTTGCCAGCAATGTTTGGAAGAAAGGGTTATCATGGACCACGTCCAATCAGGAGTCATGGACCACATCGTTACGTCTTCCAACTCTATGCGTTGTCCGCTAAGTTGGACAGTCAAAAGATAACAAATCGAGATCAATTGGCGATTGCAATCGAACCCATAGTGATTGCTTCTGGCAAGTTGACTGGAACATATGAAAGAAGTTGATGTTGATATTTATGGCGAATGATTGAATAAACATTTAAATATTAATAACTCCTTCCTCCCATTTAAGGACTTGACCTTACATGTCATGTCCACACTTACGACACTAATGGGTAACTAACTGCAGCAGCTGTAGTACGAATCAAGATTAAGGTATCTATCTATCTGTTCATACTTTGGTTGATTAATTTATTTGATGGTATACACTTCCCGGCCTGTCATGATGTATACAATAACATCCATCCAGACTATACAACTCTTCCAAGATTTCATTCACCAACGCGCCACCTCTTACTTACTTATCTCCAATCGGGTGATGTGGTGTGCACATCATCATCATCACTTAACAGACACTCTGGTCAAGTGTCTGACCTACATTCAGACGGATGGAGTTGACACTTTGAGTGTTGAGGATGTCGTCCTCAATTCATATGTGTGTTGGTGTTGTAGTGATTGACTGATTGATCTTGATAATAAGATCAACTCTTTAAATTGTTAACAATGTCAACACAACACTTGTGCTGTGTTATGATGATCAGTCACACATAGTGTGAGTGTGTGATTGATTGGTGAAGCAGGATTACTTGCTAACTCTGGCGACTGAGTACTTGTCAATTGAGTGTGTGTGTGATTGAGTTTACACAGACTATGTCAATCTTCAAACAATTAACAGACGAGTAAGTTATCTGTTGATGACACATATGTTTGTATGTGTGTGTATGTGTATGTATAAGTTGTAATGTAAATGTACTAAGTATGATGAACTTGTGGGGATTGATTGGTGGGTGTGTATGGAACGGATTGAGTATGACATCAATCAATCAATAAGTCAATCAATACCATGTCCATCAATCATATTAAGGGTACCATTATTCACATCCTGTCCAATCCAGTTCAGTCCAGCCCAGTCCAATCATAATACATACCATACTATAGTATAAACATAAAGTCAAGTTCAAAGACTAATCAACTCGGTGTATTATAATATTATAACAAGATATATAATATATCTAACCGACAGACATACTTACTTATAAATATATATAACAATATAACAATGGTCAACTTGAGTAAACTATTCAAACGTTCAACATCAAAGAATAAGTTGGTAATGGACAAGTCACGCCTTAATGAGTTGTCAGAGTCAAGATTCAAAGTGGACCAAATAGTGATGAACGACCGACGTTCAACCTTAAGTGGTCTAAAGCCAAGAATACTGGCATTGTGGGAGGAAGGCATCAAAGTGGTGTCTTGCGATGAGACTGCATTGATTGAAGAGATATCATGGAATGACATTGATCACATCAGTCTACAACAGAACTTATTAGTATGGGAGATGGCACTGAAAGACAAGAGAATACTTTACTTCAAGGGTCAGAGTGCCTACCAACTACATTGCGCCACTGATCACTACATGTGTAATCTTGGTCGAGACATAGATTCCCAACACTATCTCGTGGAATTCTAGTTGTTGGATTGATTGAATGATTGATCATTCCAACTAATAATTATATAATATAATATAGTAGATAATAATAAATGTAATAATAGTCCATCCAACCGTCCATCAATCTTATTCACGTTTGCTTGGTCAATCAATCAAGTCTGGAGTGCAGGCCTGCGGGTGGGGGGATGAGGCCTGGGTCTGGCCTTGCAGGATAAAATGGATGGCCACCCTGGGCCAGATTGAATAGTTAGTTAGTTAGACATGTCTTGTATCACATTGAGATTGGCAAAGTGATCATGATTGAGTGTAATGTAATACATAAATGTGATTGAGTGTGTGTGTGTTTATGTGTGTGTTGGGGTTGAAGTAGGGGTAATCAGAATAAAGAGAAGAAGAAGTGGTGGAGTAGTCATGATGGGTCAAGGCCACCAATCCATCCATCATTTCAAACACACGTTCACCTTTATTTGAACATAGAGTTTAATATAATGTGAATGCTGGTCACATGTGACTATCCTCTGATGCCACCAATACATCTCTCTCTCTCTCTCTCTCTTTGTCACGAACCTATTGGCATTGGCTCCACACACAAACACGAATAGCATGCATAGTTGGTTGATGATAGGAACCAAGTGCTCCATTATCCCTCATCACTAACTCACACATCATTCAACATAGTCTGTTATAACAGCTAATAACTGTCATCCATTCTATCTATCTCTTACTCACTCATTCTTATTACTTGATCTATTGATTGATTGATTGATTGATTGATTGATTGATTGATTGGCGTTGACATCTATATCTATCTACACTCAAAGCTTGAACAGATACATTCATTCATTCATACATACATTCAAATATTATACCTTAATTAAAACATGATGTCGGATACAGCAGCAGCCAACCTGTACCCGCCACCTGCGGCAACAAGTTCATCATCATCGACACCAACTTCGACAGTTTCTTCGTCTTCTTCAATGTTGGCAATCGATCAACATTCAACAAGTTCATCATCAACAACAACTACATCGTCATCAGAGTCAGCACATCAGCTCAAACAGAATGTATTGCGAGACGTTTATAAACAGCTAGAGTTGCTGTTGTTGAAGAAGAAGGCTGGCGACCAGAAGATCGTTTTGCGACAGGGCCTTCTGGTGGCTGCCGCACAGGTCGAGCATGTGTCGGCCATGTCCGCCGAGCAGGTCACACATCACTTGGAGGTCGTCTCGAATGTTCTGGTCAAGATGTCTGGCGATTGTCTACACGATGTTTGCGATGTGCTCATCAAGATGTGCGACAACTATCTGGACGACCCACTGCAGGTCTCATCACAGGCATCGGAGAAGCGATCAAAGGTACACAAACCATCATACAGCAAGGATGACATCGAGTCGGATATCGAGACCTTGGTCGCGTCGTCTCCATCACCCTCACCATCAGTCTCCGACGCGCCAACAACCCCCAGCGGCGTATTCATCTCCACCTCCTCAACAACCACGCCACTTCTATCCAATGCGCCAAACGCAACCACCGACCCTGAGTTGGCCATTCCTATCAGCGAGGTCATTGTCGAGTCGTCTGTGGCGATCGATCAGCAGCCTATCCAGTCTCCACCATCTGGCGCGCCAGCACCATCGACTGCGACCACCTCCACCTCAACAACTCTCGTCCAACATCGCACCGTATCCGATGATACCCCACTCTATTACCTGCTAAACGCACTACATTTGGTACTGTTGGCACATATGCCCGCGGTGGACGCGACGTCAATCGACTCCAAATGCCAACTGGCCAGCGTGCCTCAGAAGGTTGTTTCATTCTTCTTCAACTGCCTGCAGTACACGTTCTCACCAGCGATCAGATACACAGCAGCATCATGTCTCCAGGTCATATCTGTGGCGGCACTGGACACCGTCACTCCCTTGTTCATCAACAGATTGACGTCATCACGTGGGGACGACACGTATCGCGAGTACTCGACATTCCAGCGCGCAGCAAAATACCTCGAGTTTGGCTTCTGGCGCACCGCCCAGGCAGACGCCACCAATCAATACTTTGCCAAGTTGATCATAGAGATGGAAAAGGCCACGCGTGGTGTATACCTGCAGGCCATTTGCTTCACACTGATCCGAACTCTGCCCCGAATGACTGGAAGTGGGGCTGGTGGAGCGACAGTCGTGGCCAAGCCCAAGGTGCCCGCCACATTTTGGACGATGGCCAGCAAGATGTATGACTTGGTGCTCAAATGGACAAAGAAGTCCAAGTTGAAGCCAATCGCGACCAAGACCCTCGCCACATTGTGCAGTTGTAGCGAGGACCTCCTCACCAAGCATGGAATGGAGTTGCTCACACTCATTGGCGGCGCACTCAAGGAGACCAAGGCCAAGCGTACCTACTTGGAAGCATTGATCATATACTTTGGAGCATTCAAGACAATGTTTGGCATCGAGTCCAAGGCCCCAGCCTACCAAGCGCAAGTCGACATGGTCCTGCCGTTCATCCTAACCAAGAAGGCACCACCTGCCAGCTTGGCCCTCATCTCCCAGGTGCTCATAACAATGGCGCGATTCAGTCCTAGTGTCGTCGTATCCAAACATGTGCTCAGTGTCCTCTCGGCACCATCCAGCAACAAACAGAGCGAGTACAGCTTGGATGTCGTGGCGGTCATTTTCAAACTCTATGCGTCACTCAATCAAGAATGTGGTCCTGAGGCATTGCGAGCCTACGAGCGAACTATATCACAGGCACTAGATCCATGGTTCGCCGCATACGATGGCGAGACCACCCCGATGAAGTACATCCTGCTCGACTTCCCCACCTTCTGTTCGCACGAGACACATAAGGTATTTGGCGACAAGGTGGTCAAGTGGACATGGCATGCCGATGCCGACGTCGCGTCCCTGTCGATGGCCGCACTTCTCAAACACATGGCCACTCATCCGCAGCAGACGTTCCCATCGATACTCTATCACATGTTGATGTACATCACCAACTACACTGGCGATATGGCGTCGCCATCATTGGTCAAGGTGATCAAGTGCATGTGTGTCGTGACCCAGGAGTACATATCGATGCACTTTCAGGCGAGTGGTGAGCGCAAGACATCCGCTCCTGCCGCCATCGAGTCACAGGCATGGAAGAACCTACGCGAGACTACCGAGGGCGTATGTCTCTACATCCTCACCTCGCCCGTCTCCTCACTCTGGCAGCCAGCCATTGATCTGATACAGCTCACTGGTCATCAAGTGTTCAGGGAGGTTGATATGGCCGAGAGTGCACTCGAGCAACCTGCTGCTGGCTCGGCATACCTTGCCGACTACATCCCACATAGCGTGTTTGTCGCGAGACGACCGCCTAGCATCGAGACGCCACATATTGTATATATCGAGTTTGCCACACTCCTGCCATCATTCAACGCGGATCTGGCACACTTCCTCCAGGTTCACAATGGCAACCTGCAAGGCAGCATCAACTGGGCGTGGACGAGACTGAGGAAGAAGTGGCATCCCAAGGGACAGCCGGCTGCCGCAGTCATCGGCATGAAGAACACCTTAGCCTACCTCTTGTTGTCGACTCGTCTCAACTACCATGCGCCAGAGGTCACATCTGTGGAGGACCAGCTTCTGACCGAGGTCATCACAGCTTACTTCCAGGAGCGCGAGGGCAAGACTGGCGAGGAGCAGAGTCACCTGATTGCCCAGCTGGCACCATCCCTTCATCGATCATGCCATGATCATGTCTTCAAGTTGATTGAACAGGAGCGTTGTAGAGAGGGCAAGAAGAGAAAGAAGGAGATGTTCTACACTCAAGAACATCCAATTGTGCTGATTGCACATCTGACACAGCGTGCTACTGTCGAGGACTATGACAATGCGACAGCCATGCGTACAACATTGAAGGATGTCACCAACTTCTGGATCGCGAACAGTCAGCAATTCAATCAATCACTCAGCTCGATCCGACCACTCTGTATCCAACTACTGCGCAACTTCCTCTCTTTGGACAGTCGAAGCTCACTCCCCAGAGGGGACGTCTCACTCCTCAATCCATTATACGCCAAGCAAATCTTCCATTGTCTACAAAGGTATGTGCCTCCTCTTGGCAAGTTAGAATGATCCATCTAACTAATCAAATCAATCACTCAATCACTCCTAGTGTATCAACATCCACACTCAATGGCACTGAATCAATCACAAGCGAAGCCAACCAACTACATGTGTACATACAGGAGGCGGTGAATATACTGTTGGCCGAGGCGTGTTTGGATGAGATTAGACAAGATGTGGTAGAGTACCTCATTCAATGTTTGGCTCATGGTACCCACATTCATCAGTTGATCTCTGAGAACATGGCAGTGTTCCTGCGTCGCTCGCCTGACTATCTCACTCAATACATCGAGGGCAGCTTCAACAATGACAAGCCAGAGCAACATACCACCTCGCTCCTCTACACACGAGCATTGACGATCAGCTTTACAACACCCCAGTCATGGAGCCATCAATGTGCGCCAGAGCGTCTGTAAGTATTGACCGTGCATGTCCTCGCCCACCAATCTTGCTGACATATCATTCATCCAGGTTACATCTTTGTTTGTTCCACATGGTGTCGGAGTTGAAGGAGGCACGTTCGTTGTCATGTCAGATGGCAAAGAACTTGATTAAGGAGAATGGCGAGGCACCACCCACGCCACTCACATCCCATCTCACACCAATATCAACAGAGACAGTGCCAAACTATGTATACACTCGAATGTCATTGCATTTCTCCAACTCCATGAGTTCCAAATACCAGTGGATGACGCCAGTACTATTCACCCAAGCTGATGTCCAACTGGCACACATGCCACTCAATCACAGGCAGTTACAACTCAATGTAAGTTCCAATCAATCAACCATTCAATCGATCATCACATGACTGACCCCTCCCTGCTCCCCAACATAGATGCTCGCACCTTGGTCCAGGAACTTCTATTGGACTATCACTCATTCATCTGATGCCGAGGTGAGCACCATCCTCGAGTCATTACTGAACATCACTATTCAGTTGCGAATGATTGATAACACTCACAGACAGTTGGAAGCACTCTGGAGTGAGTTGGCAGCATCTGGCGATGCACATTCATCGATGGCCACAGTCCACAAAAGAGTAGTGGACTTCCTCCGTGATAAATATCATTGCGAGCGCGCACAGCAACAGCCAGAGGTACGCGAGGCATGCAAGATGGCGATCACTCTCATCACAAGACGATCCAGCGCTCACTGGCTCTCGATCATGGACTATCTCGTCAAGTCGCTTCGTGGATATGGCGCCCTGCCTGCTTCACCTGCACAGTTTGTCCAAGAGTTCCTGGCCAACCCCGACACGCCTGCGCCTGAGGACAGCATCTCGCCTCTGTTGACTGAGGAAGCCTACATGAACTTCTTTGAGAACCTGACCTTTGAGTTCCAGCTCCAGGACGTGTTGGGAATCACCAAGCTTATCCCAGCATTGCTTGTCAACGCTATACTTGTGTTTGGTCCAAGCGCAGACCCTTTGAACAACAGTACTCAAGCACTGGGCAAACGAATCGTCAACAACATTCTTCAGTCTTTGGTCATCCAACAGCCAACACTCTCAGACGACATCAAGCGAGAGGCATTCGAACTCATAGACTCTGGCTGGGTCACATGGCAGGAGCGACAGCGCAGGTCACTCATACGAGTACTCCACAATGCGTTGGGCGAGCCAATCATTGACTGCTGGGAGCAGCTCACACTACAGTTCGCCATCTGCTCTAACAGCAATGTACAGGTGTCGCTGTCGGCGCTAGACTGGTACGAATCAATACGTACAAGTATTGGCTCCAGCAAGGATGGCATGGACGGCCTGCTAGGATTGTGCTGTTGTCTGTGGAAGTCGTGCGTCATGGGCAACGTGGAGAAGATGTACCGTGTACTTGGCATCCTCAACGCTGTAGTGGCCAATGGATCGCGATGCATCAACTCAGACACATCATACTCCATCATTATTCGTCTGGGCGCCATCCTTCTACACACATCGTATCACGCACAGTTCAACTCGGCACTCACACTACTACATCGCACGATCACCTCACTCGGCAATGCTGCGCTGCGATCCAGTGTCACCGAGGAGATGGCAGATATACTTGGCGCAGGAATGAAGGCTGAGCAGGTTGTCAATGTTGGCATCGCCAACACAAACACCTTTGCACTCACATTGTGGTTCGCCAAGGAATGTGCCCAGTTCAAGAACTCGACAAACTCCATTGTCTCCACTCTTGTACTACTGGCCGGATGCATGGCTACCATGTCGCCAGAGGACCCTCACACCGTTGACTACATGAAGTCACTTGTCAAAGGTCCCAACTCGCATCAACTCCAACAACTGATTGATACAGTACTGCATGACCCGTACATGTTGGTCACACGACAGATCAATGCGCCTACATGGTCACGCGCCGACCTCATCAAGAGTTTGAGCACTCACCTGCGCCAAATGTTCTCCCAGAATGGTGTCTCCGAGCAGATGTTGCCAGTGCTCATACGCACAGTTACCGAGCTTGTCAAGGCTATGATGGCGGACAAATCACGCGAACGAGACGCCTCATTCTTGCTGGCCTTTATCGATGAGATCATTCAGGGAGCCTCAGGCTCACAGGGTCCCCCAAGCGCACTGGTCGCCGACTTTGTGAACCTGATCATTGATGTCAGTCAAAGATCTCTGTGCCCAGAGACACGAGCCAATGCACAGAGCCTCATCCAGTACATCATGGACAACCTTCCACAAGGTGTGACAGCTGCACAGTTTGACTTCCTTAAGACCTATCCTTCACCCGCCACCCTGGCAACATCCACGAATATCGCCGCGGTTCCCGACTCACTGGCCAGCAACAAGTTTGCACTTCAGACCCAGACCGACTCACTCAACAACCTGTACACATCGTTATATTTGATCAACACATATATCTTTGCTGTGCCCTCAGACTCTCCCGTCAACTCCCAGATGCGCCGAGCACTGGACACTTATGAGAGGAGTAGGCTCATCCAACAGCAACAACAGCAACAACAATTACTCCAACAGCAACAACAACAGCAACAACAACAGCAGCAAGCAAACAACACACCTACGGCCAATGGCAAATCACACAAGCAATCCAAACAATCATCGTTAGCCAACTTGGCCAACTCACCATTGTCCACCTCAGCTGGATCAATCAAGAAGCCACTGCCTGGAAATATGAAGCGTGAACTGTCCTCACCAACATCAATGACACATTCAAATCGCCAACAGTCCACCACCAATGCAGTTGTATCACCATTGATATTACACAGTCGTAACAACTCTGGAACCAGCTCATCATTGGCATCATTATTACCACGAGCTCAGCTACAGCCACTTGATCAAACGCCATCCCTACCCGATCCACATCGCCGAACACACTCCTCTCCGCATCAACCTATTCCACAACCAAAGGATTAATTAATATTCATTCATATATATATTAAAGATATACACTTACCCTTACCCTTACCCTTGCCCTTGCCCTGGTTCGCTAATGTCAACCCTTGCCCTCACACAAACTGATTGTCGAATTTTGCTGAAGGTGGGGGGCATGATCATCAACTTCATTCATTCTCATTCTCATTCATTATCTGATTGTTCATATTTATATACATATACACCATCATCATCATTCATAGTTGTATATATATATATATATAATCAAACAAACAAACCAAATAACATGTATCTTTATAACTTAACAGTACAGAAGCCTACAGCGATATATCAGTCGATAACAGGTAACTTCTCTGGTACAAAGGCCATCGAGATATTGGTGTCACATGGACGTTCATTAGAGTTGTTGCGCCCAGATGAGAACGGTCGGCTCGATAGTATACTGTACACAGAGGTGTTTGGCATCGTTCGATCTATAATGCCCTTCAGATTGACAAGTGGCACCAAAGACTATATAATCGTCGGTTCGGATTCGGGTCGCGTAGTCATTCTCGAGTACAACCCAACGCGCAACAGATTCGATAAAGTGCATCAGGAGACGTTTGGACGTACAGGATGTCGCCGTATCGTGCCCGGCCAGTTCTTGGCCACAGACCCACGTGGCCGCGCCTTCATGATTGGCGCCGTCGAGAAACAAAAGCTCGTATACATCCTTAACAGAGACTCTGCCGCTAAACTGACGATATCTTCGCCATTGGAGGCGCACAAGTCAAACACGATCCTGTTCTCAATGTGCGGCGTCGACGTTGGCTTTGAGAACCCCATCTTTGCCACACTCTCGGTCGACTACAGCGAAGAGGACACCGACTTGGACAGTATGGAGGACAGCACAGCACACAAGAAGATGCTCACCTTCTACGAGCTCGATCTCGGTCTGAACAACGTGGTGCGCAAGTGGAGCGATCAGGTGGATGCCACCGCCAACAAGGTGCTGCCAGTGCCTGGCGGTAACGACGGCCCGGGCGGTGTGTTGGTGTGCTCCGAGGGCTTCATCAGCTATCGCAATATGGCCCACCCAGAGATTAGAGTGGCCCTGCCACGCCGCTACGGCACACCCGAGGACGCGCCAGGCGCAATGATCGTCTCGGCGTCATCACACAAGCAGAGAGACATGTTCTTCATACTGGTGCAGTCCGAGTTTGGCGACCTCTACAAGATCAGCCTCAAGTACGAGGGCGAGATGGTGAGCGCCGTCAACCTGACATACTTTGACACGATCCCAACTGCAAACTCTATCACGGTGCTCAAGAATGGATTCCTGTTTGCTGCGTCTGAGTTTGGCGACCACGCGCTCTACCACTTCCAGTCGCTGGGCAGCGATGACGATGCCAAGGAGATCACAAGCATCGACGGCACACTCTACTTCAAGCCACGCGACGAACCACAGAACCTGTTCAAGACGGCGACAATCGACTCCCTGTCGCCAATCCTCGACTTCAAGATCATGGACTTAGTACGCGAGGAGAACCCACAGTACTACGCGTTGACAGGTGTTGGACAACGATCAGCAATGAGGATACTTCGTCACGGACTGCCCATCACTCAGATGGCCGAGACCCAGCTGCCTGGTATATCGTCTGGAGTGTGGACCGTTCCACGCGGTCCCAAGGACCCCGTCGACAAGTACATTGTCGTCTCTTTCCAGGGCGCCACGTTGGTGCTCTCTGTTGGCGAGACCGTCCAGGAGATTACAGACTCTGGTGTGCTTGCAACAACTACCACACTGCTTGTGCGTGCCATCGGTGCCGACTCGTTCATCCAGGTGTTCCCACACGGCATCCGTCACATCAAGGCAGATCGTCGCGTCAATGAGTGGCGTGCACCGGGCAGGAAGACCATCTCCCTGGCTAGCTCAAACGCATCACAGGTGGTCATCGCGCTCAGCGGTGGCGAGATTATATACTTTGAACTGGACGGCGTTGGAAACCTCACTGAGGTACTCAAAAAGGACATGCGCAGAGAGATCAGCGCCATAGAGATTGCGCCCGTGCCACACGGCCGCCAGATGGCAAGATTCCTAGCGATCAGTGATTGGGAGGGACCCGTCAGAGTGCTCTCATTGGACCGCGACAACTGTTTGAACCAAGTGTCAATGATGGATACGGACAAGGTGCTCGTCGAATCATTGGCACTCATTGAGATGACTGTTCAGGAGGCCGGCCTAGAGGCCACACACCAACACGGCCATCATCAACCGGCCAACATGCCCACTGGACCCGGCACACTGTTCCTCAACGTCGGTCTGAAGAATGGTATCATGAAGCGATCAATCATCGACTCACTCACAGGTGAGATCTCAGACACGAGAACCCGCCTGATTGGAAGGAAGGCTGTCAAGTTTGCCAAGATCAAGGTCAAGGGTGGCAATGCATTGCTAGCCCTTTCCAGTCGCGTATGGATATGCTACTCCAACCTGAACCAGTACACAATGACACCAATCTCATCGGAGGCACTCGACAATGCATCTGGCTTCTGCTCCGAGCAATGTCCCGAGGGAATCGTTGCTACAAGCGAGAACATGTTAAAGTATGTTGTATGATAGTGTATATGTGTTGGAGACAAGACAGATCAGGTTACTAACTTCGACACAATCTAGGATATTCACTGTTGACAAGCTGGGCCAGATGTTCAACCAGGTGAACGTGCCATACAAGTGCACACCAAGGCGATTCATTATACATCCACAGACACACTACATCATCTCGATTGAGAATGAGCATAACTACAATACCAACAGCGAGGATGATGTAAATAGCAATGGCAACAGCGAGAATGGTAGCAGCCACAATGGAGGAGTGAAACAGGAGAAGATGGATACTGAGGCTGAGCCCCAACAACAACAACACAACAACAGGCCACCACGTGCTGGCAAGGGCAAGTGGAGGTCATATATCAGGATCTTGGACCCAATCAGCTACAGGACACTCGACCTTGTGCGTTTGGAGCAGGACGAAGCAGCATTCAGTTTGGCCACAGTCATCTTCCACGACAAGGACGGAGAGGTGATGCTCGCCGTCGGATGTGGCAAGAGATTGCAGCTGAATCCACGTCAGTGCGATGCTGCCACCATCCACATGTATCGCTTCATTAACAATGGACAGCGTCTGCAGTTGATCTACAAGACCGAGTGTGAGGACATACCATACGCGATGCAACACTTCCAAGGCCGTCTGCTGGCGGGTATCGGCAACAGCCTGCGAATCTACGACATGGGCAAGAAGAAGCTGCTGAGGAAGTGTGAGAACCGTACCCTGCCCAACCAGATCGTCACACTGCACACCCAGGGTGACCGCGTTGTCGTGGGTGACGTACAAGAGTCGTTCCACTTTGTTAAGTACAAGAAGACTGAGAACCAGCTCTACGTCTTTGCCGACGACACATCACCGCGCTACGTCACGGCCAGCACAATGCTCGACTACGACACTGTTGCCGGCGCCGACAAGTTTGGCAACATCTTTGTGGACCGCCTGCCCGCCTCGGTGTCGGACGACGTCGAGGAGGACCCGACCGGCTCGATGCTCAAGTTTGAGACAGGCACACTCAACGGCGCGCCCCACAAGCTCGAGACAATCAACAACTTCTACGTGGGCGAGACTGTCAACCATATCTCTCGCACATCTCTGGTCGTCGGTGGCTCAGAGGTGTTGGTATATGCCACGCTGACAGGTGCAATTGGCGCATTGGTACCATTCGTCTCAAGAGAGGATGTCGACTTCTTCTCGACGCTGGAGATGCACATGCGCCAGGAGATGCCACCACTGTGTGGTCGCGATCACATGTCCTACCGATCATTCTACTTCCCCGTCAAGAACGTCATTGATGGTGATCTATGCGAGCAATATAGTTTGTTGGATGCCTCCAAACAAAGAGAGATTGGTGAGCAATTATCCCGTTCTCCATCCGAGATATTGAAGAAGCTAGAGGACTTTAGAGCATCCAGACTACTTTAATAAACTTCATTCCATTCAAACAAAGTTGTCATTGTCATTGTCAATCATTTGTCTTGCTTTTGAGATCAAAGGTTGTTCCTGGACATTTCTCCTTTCCGAAAATTATGGTCTGCCCATGATCATTGTAATGAACTCCATCATATCAATCTTAAACCAAATCAAACTGTCTGATTATTAATTACACAATTGACACAATATTTGTATTAACCTTGAGTGACAACGAAGAGATGAATGAATGAATGAATTGATTGACAGTTGCCCTCCAACAATAATGTCAAGATGTGTGGTTGGACCGACAAGAAAGAAAGTAGGAACAACGTTGTTCACTAATTCACACAATTGACACCAACTCACACACATAACAACGGATCTCCAGTCCTCAAACACCTACCCCCACCCAAGCTTTGTGTGTATCTTAGAATTAATAATAATAAAAAAAAACAAACTGCACTGTTTCGCCTCAACCTTTGGGTCAGACGTTGTGTCACCGTCCCTTCTTCTTTCCTCCTCCGCACTCTATTTTTCAATTTATCTCTCTATTTCTTTCTTTATCACTTCCTTCCTTCCTGTCATTCTATCACTTTAACCAACTACTCATCTTGTATACACTTTTCAACAAACAAACAAATCAAACAACATATCAAACGCGCTAAAACAATATATACATATACAACACTAACTTCACCTTCACCTCTTTCTCTACTCTCCTCTTTATTTATTATTACTAAACTCAACTAATCTCACTCACACATCACTCACACATAAACGAAGCAGAACAAACACAATCATTAAACAATCAAACATATTATTATATCATGTCAACTGTAAATAAATCAATCGATCTTCCACCAACTAAAGAATGTATAGTAAGTAATCACAACACAGCATAAGACGATATAGAGTAGAGTATAATAGAAGATAACAGGTAGCGATGTAGGAGCAGAACAGATACCATTTGACAACCTTTCGCGATATAATAATACACGACTATGACTAACATATATTGAACTATTATCATTATTACAATAATAGAATCGACTTCGAAAAGAGTTTCTTGAGATTAACAAGCATCCTGTAGAGAATATAGTGGTGTGTCCACATCCAGAGAACATATTAGAGTGGCATTATGTAATATTGGGACCTGAGAACACAGTTTATGAGAGCGGTCTTTATTATGGCAAGCTCGTATTCAAATACAACTATCCTCTGTCACCGCCCTCGATCTATATGACTACGCCATCAGGCCGATTCCAAACCGATACTCGTTTATGTCTATCAATTAGTGATTGTAAGTATATGTACCTTCTTTTCATTCATGTTGTTACATGTACTAATCAACCAAACAATCAATCGATCAACTTCAAATTCTTAGATCACCCTGAAACATGGTCACCTTCATGGTCAGTCTCAAGTATTTTGATTGGACTGCTATCATTCATGGTGGACAACGACTCGACACTGGGCAGTATAATCACAACGAACGATGAGAAGAGAATTCTTGCCTCCAAGTCTGCAGAGTACAACAAGAAGATCACCACTTTCTGTCAGTTGTTCCCATACCTTGTCGAGGACTAATGGACCTATAATGATACGTGCATTTAGAGTCTTTTTTAAAATAATAGTAGTATTAGTAGTATTAATAGTATCAGTAGCAGGCGTCCGTCCCGTCCATCCAGTTAGTCAGCAGCAGTCAGTTCAATCCCAACAGCAGCAGCGCAACACCCTCAAGTAGAACACGTCTCATTATTACATTTTAACAAACATTAAAATGTTCAATATTTAAAGACAACGTTGATCCATTATCATGTACTACTACTTATACATTCATTCATTCATCCTATTGGTTGACATTGATTGATTGCCACCCGAACATGGGCATTGACACACAAACAACTGATTTTTTTCAAGAAGTTGATCATAGTTGAGGTCTTCGTGTCCTTTTTCATTCACATACTCACCTTGTTACATTATTATCTACTTATACTTATACATACATACATTATATAATGGCATCCGGCTTTGGCGCATTTGGTGGCTCGGGACGTTGTTTCCCCATCTTCTCTGACTTTGCTACATGCGTGTCTGAGAAGTCAATCGAGTTGTGCGAACCATACAGATCAGACTACTTTGAATGTCTTCACAACCTTAAAGAGGTAGGGACATTGCCACTCGAGAGAGACAGAGGTAGCGATAGAACGACAACTAACATCCTATCAACTCATTCATTCGATTCAATCAACAGTACACTGTCAGCTCAGCACCAGATTACTACAAGGACGATGGATCAAGAGCTGCAAGAGTCAGAGAGGCAATCAGAAGAGTAGAGGAGTACCAACCAAAGGTTGGCAAGGAGTTGTAGAGAGAGCTTATGTAGATCAATATACAGCAATCAGTGATAGTAATAAACCAAAGACACACGATACGTAGCGAAACAACGTATCATATAGTATAACTAGACAAGACTAGATCACGACAGGACATTCATTGTGTTCACTACACACCCAGAACATCATCAGGTCATCATTGGAGCTTAAACAAGGAATCATTCATTCATTCATTCATTCATTCATTCATTCATCCATTCACCGTATTGGTGATGTGAAGGTGCAGACAAAGACATCGATTGACTGGAGTTAACGAGTTGATTTATTAATATTACAGCAAGGTGATGTATGTGTAGGATTGGATGACGGTTGTTATTCAATTCAGATAACTTGTGAGCGAGTGATTGGATGATTGATTAATCAATAGTCTTACACAGAAGTGGACAGTTGACAATGCAATCAGTTACAGGAGTATGGAGATTGATTGATTGTTTACAGAGGTTTGATTATGATGTGATAGGCAGTTATGCACTACCATAAGGAATGACGATTGATATCTTGTCACCCATTGTTCCCCAAGATGTCCAGTGAGTGAGATAGATGCCCATCCAAGCCATAAATATACCAGAGTATACAAAGAATCCTATCAATGAGAATCTGAGGTCTATAATATGTGTGTGAGAGAGAGATCAATGTTGTTAGTGTCTATGTCATTGTACCAATGAATGATTATTCAATGTAGTTCATGTAACAGTAAAACATACACCAAGTGATCTGTGGAGTGATAACCTTTCTATATGGTATGAAGAATAGCACATTGATCAACCAGATCCAAGGCAAGAAGAAGAAACCGACTATCCAAAGTTTCTTTGCAATGCCACGCAGCTTCTCCTCTTCCAACTTAGCATCTTCATCAACCAACATTGTTTATCTATCTATCTATCTATAGTTAACTATATATATATTTGTTTGTAAGAGATAACAATGTATTGTGTGAATGAATGAATGAATCAAGACACCCACATTGTCAAATTATCAACAACATTGAGACATTGTCCCACCTTTTGATTGATATTCATTGACACACACTCTCTCATTCAATCATTCACTCACTCACTCTTAGTCACAGATAGATAGATAGACACAAAGTGGAACAAGGATGAACTTACTTCCACATAAGAGTTGGAATGTTTGGAGTGCAAAGAATAGATCAAGAGTAGAGAGAGATGAAGAGGAGTTACAATTGAAACAGGAGACACAGAGGAGAAAGGACTTGTCAACTGAACAAGAGAAAAGGATAGAGTTACTAAAGAAAAGGAATAGGGAACAACAACAATTATTGGATAGTGACAGAGATTTATATAATAAGTTAATAGATAATCAATCGAATACAACAACAGCAATAACAACTTCAACGACAACAGAAGAAGGGAAAGTACTTGAGCGATTCAACTTGTTTGAAGATGTATCTGAGGTATTCAATGGTGGAAACAAAGGTAGCAACAATGGCAACAACAAAGACAACAATGGAACAAAGAAGAAGGAGAAAAAGAAGGAGATGGGAGTTGTGTACTCCTCACCACTTGGTGATGGATCTCTGGAATTCACAAAGCAAAAGCCAGCATGGAGTACAAGAAGCAACAATGTTGTTGATGATGATGATCAAGATGAAGGAGCTCCATCAAAGGAGAAGAGAAAGAGATTGTAAGTACCATATATATATTATGATCATTATCGTCTTTTGGCGACAATATCTAACTTTATAATCAATAGAAAACGAGAGAGCTGGATACATTCAAATGAGGACCCTGCTATGCTCATTAATAAACTGCTTGGAAAAGTACCATCGTCCACCTCCAGCAGTAAGACAGCAACAACAAAAACAACAACAGCTGCTGCCGAAGTAGCGGTTGTAGTACCAAAGAAGAAAAAGACAATTGAAGAATTAAGGAAAGAGAGAATGGAACGTGAAGAGAAAGAACGAGCAAGAGCCAAGGCATTGGTCAAAGAGCGCAATGCTAAATCACAGTTGGACACGGACACTTATGAACAGATCAATCAAATGGCACCAACAGGATACAACTCATCATATCTCAAATACAGTGGTGCCAAGGTCAAGAGCAAAGATTGATCAAGTTCTGTACACATTTGATTGTTTATTTATATTTACATTGTATCAATCAATCAATAACTTATCTCCCTGGCAATAATGGACGCACTACTAAAGCCTTGCACTATATAACCAAAAGTGAAGGTGGCACTGTTTGCAAGCTTCTGGTCGTGAGGAAGCGCTAGTAAACAAGTCTTGGACTCTTTACTCTGATGAAGAACACGAATATTCCAAATGGATGTGCCGGCATTGGTCGTGTTACGCAGTCTGGAGCATACATCACTCTCCAGTACAAATTGCTCCAATGTCGAATTGCTCTGGTTCTCCACAACGACATTATATTGTGTATAGATTACCAATTGGTCGACCCAATAATTGATATACGTCTGTGTAATATTTAGATAATCAATGGATATATTATCTGGTGGAAAGCAACAACAATGTCAGCAAATAATTACTTGATGGATGATCATATATTCATATTAAGATATAATACATACCTTGTGGAGCACAACTACTTGTATTTGATGATAGCTCTGTTATACATACTTGGTTATCATCATGGTCACAGTTAACCTGGCAATGTCCATCTGGTATTTCCAGTCCATATCCAGGCAGTCCATAGACTACCATCAAAATTATGAATATAAATAAATAATAAATACAACCCTTCTTATTTTCCATTTTATAATATATGTATTGATTCTAAGTATAAATAAAGATATATTTTAATAATAATAAGATATGATGATGTATCTCTTCTTTACTTCCTTATCCACATTTACCTCAACATCCTCAACCTCATCTAGTATTGTTACTTTAATCAATTTTATTCAAGTGTAGGGGGAGATATGATGTTGATTCCAAGTGTTACACTTAAAAGTGAATAAACTTAAAAGTTGACGACAATCGTCATCACTACTACTTCTAACTCCTGTTTACGTAGATCACCTCATCTGGAATGACATTTCTCTGTGTGTATGTGTGTTTGTGTTGATGTTTGTGTGTATGTGATTGATTGATTTCAATTTATAACTTGTGTTTAAATTGTGGAAGGAATGATGGATATGACTTTCCCCACCAACAACATTACAATATGTTATTTACTAATCATAATAATAGGATTATTCTACCTTGTACTAATAATGAATATTAAGAAAACCCACAAGAATTATGAGGATTCTCAATTTGATACTACTTAACAAGTTACCTTGACTTTGCAAGTAGTTTAATTTGATTGAACCACATTGGGAACTGACTGCACCATTGCGTCCTCACATGTATGATATCCATTTTCAATCAAACATAACAAGGAATATTTCCTCTCAACCTGTAACAATATAATTCATTGGGTGGAATTCCAAAAATTATTAATCTAAATAGTTAGGCTAAGAAGAGTGTTATTGCCTTCTATATTGATGAGATCTTTAATTCTTTGCATATGCATAGGTCTTGAGGAATGTGTTGTGGAGAGAGTGTGAGGAGGCGGCACTCTTGGCTACAACCTCACCATCAACCACAATCCATTTACCTAATTCCACAAGGAGAGCAGCCACCTGAAAATTGATCAAATGAAACTACAACAAATGGATGGCATTCAATCAATTTTGATTGAAGCAACACTACACTTCTCACCATTTGACCGTCAAAGATCATCAGACCTCCGCACAATATCACATCCATCTCTCATTCGCTCCTCAAGGTCCATGATCTTCTACTACAACACATGCCAACAACATCTGACTCGGCCATGACCACAAATTTTATTGAACAATTTAAATCGCAATGATGATAGATAGATAGAGGTAGCATCTCGGATAGATGCACCTCCTCTTGATGATCAAGAAGAGGATGAATATGACTACCGGAAGGACTGTTGTAGATTCCCCAACAATGTATGTAGAGGCGACTATATAGTAACATGATCATCAGCTTACTCCAAACATTAAGATCATTGAAGTTGTGTACATATTTAAACATATATTAATAATGAAGATCCAACTAAAGTTGCTCATTATTGCACTTGTAGTGTTGTTTACACAACAATCATTTGCAATCAATGGTATGTTATCATTGAATGACTTCCCCACTGATTCATTGACTTACTCTTTTTCTCTCTCTCTCTTTCTCTCTATATCTTATCTACCCTTCTATACTATTAGAGGTGGATCCAACATTCCTTATCCAAGGATACATATGGGATGACTCTGCCCCAACAACAATGGAGTGCTGAACACCAAGTCTTTGTTGCATGGTGTGCGTATGGAGTTGCAAACAACAAGTGGTGTTGTTCTCAAGTCTCTTGATAATACCAAAGGAGACTACGCATTCCCAGGACTGGTAGCCGGTGAATATTGTGTTGTTGGAACCAAGGATGGCTATCTGCCCGGTGTGTTCAAGAACGACAACAAGTTTGACAATGGCAAAGTGTGCCTCAAAGTTGGTCCATCGACTACCAAGATACATTATGGTATGTGTTGTTGTTGTTTGATTGATTGGACTGATGTTCGCATCACAATATCCACAGACTATTCACACTAACAATACAATCAATATAGGAATGGTGAAGGAGAAGTTCTACAACATCCARGGATACATCTGGGATGACTCGTCMAAGAACAATGGAGTCYTAAACACTGATGCMTTGCTGAGTGACGTCCGCATGGAGCTCCAGTATCCAAACGGMACYTCAATCAAAGTCATTGACAAAGCCAACAAGGACTATGCCTTCCCAGGYCTCCGYGCTGGCACCTACTGYGTGGTTGCWTCCAAGACWGGCTATGAGMCWGGTGYRTTCAAGAAYGACAACAAGTTTGACAATGGCAAGGCATGTGTTACCGTAGGACCATCAACCTCCAACATCCATTGTGGAATGGTGAAGGAGAAGTTGTACTTCATTCAGGGCTACCTCTTTGATGACACTATCAACAACAATGGAGTGCTCAACACCGATAGACTGTTGAGTGATGTGCGCATGGAGCTCCAGGACTCAAATGGCAATTCCATCAAGGTCATTGAGAAGACGAGTAGGGACTATGCCTTCGCAGGTCTCCGTGCCGGTACCTATTGCGTAGTCGGATCCAAGGATGGATACGTTCCAGGTGTGTTCAAGAATGATAACAAGTTTGACAATGGCAAGGTGTGTGTCACTGTCGGTCCATCAACCTCAAAGATCCACTATGGAATGGTGAAGGAGTCTCTATTCTATCTCCAGGGATATATATGGGATGACACCTCCAACAACAATGGAGTTCTCAATACCAATAACCTATTGAGTGACGTGCGCATGGAGCTCCAGTACCCCTATGGTACTTCCATCAAGGTCATTGAGAAAGCCAACAAGAACTATGCCTTCACTGGTCTCCGCGCCGACACGTATTGCATTGTTGGATCCAAGGATGGATACGTTCCAGGTGTGTTCAAGAATGACAACAAGTTTGACAATGGAAAGGTCTGCCTGACAGTCGGTCCCTCAACAACAAAACTCCACTTCGGTAAGGAGTTACACAGTACACCACAAACATATATGTAATGGACACTAATAATTTATTTAATTCAATCTAGGAATGGTCAAGGTAGTTCCAACATCACCATTAACACCACCTCCAGTCACTGAGCCTCCTGTCACTGAGCCCCCTGTCACCGAGCCACCAGTCATGACTACTGGTGAGCCTCCAGTCACAGAACCACCCGTCACTGAGCCACCTGTGACTGAACCGCCCGTCACTGAACCTCCCGTCACTGAACCTCCAGTTACAGAGCCACCAGTCACTGAACCACCCGTCACTGAACCACCAGTCACCGAACCACCAGTCACCGAACCACCAGTCACTGAACCTCCCGTCACTGAACCTCCCGTCACTGAACCTCCCGTCACTGAACCTCCCGTCACTGAACCTCCCGTCACTGAACCTCCCGTCACTGAACCTCCCGTCACTGAACCTCCAGTTACCGAGCCACCCGTCACCGAGCCACCCGTCACTGAACCACCTCCAAAGAAAGGAACATGGAAAGTCGGTATTTATCCATTCAGGGATGACGATGAAAATGGAGTGTCAAGTGGAGAGGAGGGTGTTCCTGTTCCGTTGGATGTGACAGTGACATTCGCTGGCAATGGATCTTTATACCGAACTTATGTCAACACAGAGGATGATGGTGATTCTGAATATACATTTGCCAATATGCCCCCTGGAGAGTACTGTTTCGAACTGATCGATCCCCAAGGCAAATGGAAGTCTGGACCCGTGGGACCAGGCCCAAGAAGATCAAACAACAAGTTTGTAGATGGGAAAGCATGTGTTGAATTGGAAGCAGTGAAAGATGGAAAGCAGGAATTCATGGAGATGGCAGCAGGTTTTGTGAAGGAAAAGCCCCAGACCTACAAGGTGGCTGGCTTCACCTTCATAGACACGTAAGTATTTGTCCGAAAACAGGGTAATAAGTAATTCATATCTTCTGACATTTGCTGTCTCGCACACCAAAGTAACCAAGATGGTTACCAAGATGAAGATGAGGACTATTTGGCAGACATCACAGTCAAGTTGTACAACTCAGATGGCAAGCTTGTATATGATGAGGATACGACTGCAGAATACAATGGATATGAGATCACTGGTTTGGTAGCAGGAGAGTATGTATTATATATTATGTGGAGGTTATTGGACTCTAACCAATCATTCTTTGGAACAACTAAAACAAACAATAGTTACTGTATTGTCCACATTGGACCTGATGGCTACAATCATACTGTTAAGGGTACTCACAGCTTCTTTGACCAAGATCAAGACAACTTACATGAGATCAAGTTGTGCTTCACTCTCCCTAACACTGATAGAAAGCTACCTGAAAACTCTTCCAAAAAGCAGGTAAGTGATCAACCATGGTTGCAACAACAACAACAACAACAATCATGTAATTAATTACTGAACCTCATCCATCAACTTCCACTTAACATCAGGTTCGCATCAACAGTGGCTGGAAGAAGGTACCCCAAACTACTCGTACCATTAAAGGTTACGTCTTCCTTGATGCCAACCGCAACAACAAGTATGATGATGCCCCGCCTGATGGACCCGAGACATTTATTGCTGGAGCCTCAGTCAAACTGATCGTGGATGGTGAGATTGTCGAGAGGACTGAATCCACCGCATCCAACCCCAGCTATGAGTTTAAGAACCTCCCAGCTAACAAAGCGTGCTGCGTCTACATCTCGCAACCCAACGCCTACGAGTTTATCCCAGTGATCAACGAGTACAACCGATACGAACTTGATGGAGAGACTCCCTGCCACACCTTCACGACGGATGGCGTTATTAATTTCAATGCTGGTCTTAGAACCCGTAATTAAACGACATTGATTGATCGCGTTTGATAAGATCTTGCATGTTTGCCGCCTGTTCATTCATTGGTGGATGGGTAGATCCTGTGCTCATCAACAATCGATTGACCAATGAACCATCTGTCCAACCATAATAATCCATGTCCACAGGTCTGGACGAGATCTGGACGACCAAGTTCGATCCATGAATTCTGTACAATATTCTTTCATGAGCTTTAATTTGTTCCTACAGATGATGTTGTTGCTGCTGCTGCTGCTGCTGTTGTTGTGGATGTTGATGGTGGTGTTGTTGCTGTTGCTGGTGTTGAGCATTCAAAAGTTGCTGATGTTGTTGTGGAGTGATTAGACTCCTATGATCAAACTTTATGAGTTCTACAGATCTGTTTGGGCGAGTAGTTAGTTGGAAGTCCATCCATGTCATCCATGCCATCCATCACCATCTCCTGACTCGACCTACGGATACAGGTATTCGGCATATGTGTTCAGATAGTCGGCAGCCTGAACAAAGCCTTCCTCACCAGATAGACATTGTAGTACCACCATGTAATTCTTTGACATCATCTCGCCAATGTTCTGACCATCAGCTGATGTCCTATAATGATGTATCAAGTACAATGATATATAATGCGTGCTATAACAGTATCCAGAGACATAGTATTCATATCCTTTCCTATTGATCATATGATTGTTTGATTGATGGTCAGAGATGATGCCTATGTGATTGATCGGACATTGCTATCAACTCACTGATATCCCATGCTCTCTAGTAATGATGTAAAGTTCTCTGATACATTGATGTCTACAACGTTTCTAATCTCTGCTCCTATCTTGTCCTTCATCTGTGGTGTTCCAACGTATCGCGCTGATATCTTCTCCTTTGACTGTGCCGATGACACCTTGTCCCTACCCTGAGGATTCTTCTTCCTCTCTGTCCTAACATGTATCTCTGATGGCAGGATTGATCCATCGGCCCATGCTATCAATCATTCAATCAATTGATCAGTGTTAGTAACTGTGATCGAATGAATGTATGAGTGACAATAACAACGACATAACATACCAGGCCCACTTGATACCACAGTCGACTTGTATACAGTCTCTTTGTAGGAGACGTTGTGCTCGGTTCTCATCATGCCTCTGACGCGATCCATGAAGAGTGAGGTTGGTGTCGTCAGTATGCCATGCAGACTACACTCATATATGTTGACCATCTCTTGTTGATTGGGTAGTATAGTTTGTTGCAATTGCATAGGCATTGAACTTTGTTGTTGATAAGCCATTCTCTGTTGTTGATGTTGTTGTTGTTGTATCTGTTGTTGTTGTTGTTGTTGTTGTTGTTGTTGCTGCTGCTGTTGCTGTTGCTGTTGTTGTTGCATCTGTTGTTGTTGCATCTGTTGTTGTTGTTGATGCTGCTGCTGTTGTTGATGCTGCTGCTGCTGATGCTGTTGCATCTGTTGATGTTGTTGCATCATCTGTTGCTGTTGTTGATGTTGTTGAGGTTGTTGCATGTTATCTCTACCTCTTCTGAATGATCAAGAATGAATGAAAACGGGTCAAACACAAAGAGGATGTTCACCAAAGTGAAGTCATTTTCATTCAATTCAATTCAAATCTTCAGGACCAGCAAAGATACAAAGATAGAGAGATAGAGATAGATATTCTATAGTTCAACAGTATATATATATAACAAGAACATTGCAGAACATACATTATATATATTAGGAGGTGTGATATATGTTTGATCCCTTTGAACAAGAAGTCATCATTGCTGATTTGAATAAACGGCATAGTGATCAAGATGATTATGCTGATCATAATGTGAGCGAGGGAACACCAAAGCAACAACAACAGAAAGAACAGAAACAGAAACAACAGGATCAGACTGGAATAAATGCCAACAAACAGATAACAACAGCTAATTCACCAGCTGCTGCCACAACTAGTAACACAATCAAACATTCATTGCCAATGGCAACAACGTTGTTGGCGACTAATACACCTTTAACAACGGCGACTAATACATCGACAACTACAACGACGACAACTTCTAAGTTGTCATCGTCATCGTCATCTTCATCGTCATCGTCATCTTCATCTTCATCGTCAAAACCAACACTGTCATTAAGACATCAACTTGATCAATGGAACAAAGAGTTTGATCTGTCCTACGTTGATACGCCATCGACACCAAGCCAACTTGATACACCTCCTCTTACTCCAACTACCACTACTCCTACTTCTACTCCTGGTTCTCAACGGCACCAACAGCAACAACAACAACAACATGATAACAAACAACAAAAGGATGAGATAGCGAGAAGATCACTTCAAAGCAAAGATCAACAACCAAAACAACAATGTGGAGATGTAGAGGATGAGACAATCAGTCGCTCAAAGCAATGGCAAATGGATATCCGCAATGAGGTCGAAGGATTTAGTCAAGTATTCTTTAACGCGCTGCCCGAACGCCTGAAGGACTTCCACAAATCATCCAAAGACAGACAGCCACTCTTCCTCACGCCAATCGCCTCTCTCTCACCATCCCCGGCATCACCCAACCTTTCATCTCCAAATTCACTGCATTCAAGTAATGGACAGCAACAGGATCAAGTGTCTTCACCATCATCATCATCTTCACAACAAAAGACTGAGGATGCTGATGTGGACAACAGCAACAACAATATCAACAACAACAGCAACACATCAAAGTCAACAGATGACCTTGAGACTAACTTCCAAGCATGGCGCAAGATGTTCAATGACAAGATGGATCAGAGAATGAAGATAACAGACATGAGATCACATGGAAAGATACAAATAGATTGAATGAATGAACACATTGTATATTGTATATATTATATATATCGATCTATCTCATAACAATGTATTTATTATTGTCAAGATAGCGAATTGCCTTGCTGACGCTCAAGGTACAGCTTGGACTTGAGGAACTCTCCCAGGTTGTTTTCGATCATCATTTGCTCCAGCTCGTCTTGGATGTCGTTGAAGAGCACCAGATAGTTGGAATGGCCAAAGCGCACGTCCTCCACGTCAAACTCATAGCTGAACAGCTCGTCAAACTCGTCGACGATGTTCATGTCGACGGTGCTGAACGAGTTGGGGCTGGCCGTCAGCATCATGCTCTTGCGGATGCTGGGCGAGGGCACGCCGGCACCGGCCTTCATCTCGTCCAGGGACATCTTGTACTCGAACAGGGGCGTTGCACCACCCTTGCCCTGCACTCCGGCGCCCTCGTGGGACGACGAAATGAAGTTGGTCGAACTAGCTCTGGCGTACTTTTGGTTGTGGAAGAACTTGGAGCTGGACACACTGTTGTTGATGTTGGTTCCACTCATTTCGTTTGGCAGACTGTTGATGTTTACACTGTTCCTACCTGCACCATTTGCATTTACACTACTTCCACTGCTATTGTTACTGCTACTACTGCTACTGCTGCTGCTACTGTTGTTATTCTTTAAGGCAGGTAGGATGACATCAGTCCAGTACTTCAACTTTGACTTCCTCTTTGGATAACATTCTGGACTCTTTGTAGTTTGCATTGGTGGAAGTACAAAAGTACTCTTCAGTCTCTCCTTTAGCAGATCCTTCTGCTTCACATATATATTGATCTCGTGTGTAGAGTTATTCTGGATGAACTATTTTGATTGGTTGTAGTGTGAGTATATTTGATCACTTTTTGATTATTCCTGGTTCCAAACATACTCTCTTGTATATATCCTCGGCCATTATGAACATCTCGGTTGGTGTTCCATTCTTTCTTTTATATTTATCAATGGCCTCCCAGCATAATAGGTTTTCCAAACAGAATTGGGTCCTTAGATAATTATAGAATGCATTCCTGTTAGAGGTAATATTAATGTTAGCATTTGATTGATCAAAAATAATTCAGGTGATCCTATATACCTTAGTACTTGATTCTTTAAAATCTCTGATAGGATTGATCTTGAGTTCCTCTGATATATATCGTATTCTGTTTTCTTTTGAGATAACTGCTTGGCATTCTTGGTATCCTTCTTTTTGAATAATGACATTCTCTACTGGATATTTATATTTGTTGTTGATAATGTTATTATAAATTATTGATATTATAGGTATATGGTATTACAGTCGTATTTTGCCTGGTGTAATAAAACAAGATATCTAAAAATTTTAAATTAATAAATTAATTTGGAGTTAGAGTTAGTGTCCTAGAGCTAGGTGATGTAGCTAGCTTCATCCAATCACAAGTACTAGGTCATCGATAAAATTTGATAGTGATTGGGGATGTGAACTGATGATGGTCCAAGTGAATGAGTGAAGTGAGTACGAGGAGGAAAGAGTATGGTCTAACAAGTGGCTGTGACTCTTGAGAATCATTCGGCCATCAATCCATCACTCAATCACTCCTTCACACACACACACACTTAATCCATCACATCAATCAATCAATCAATCAATCAATCCTCTTCAATTCAACAAACAGTGAGAATATTTGTGTATGAGATATAAATGGAGCGACAAACATACACTCGAGTTGGAGTAGGAGGCAACAACAGCAACAGTGACAACAACTGGGAAATATATTTAATTAATGTGATGGTTATGGTTATTATGATGTGTTATTATTTGTTGGTGTATGTGATTGTGTGATGGACGACACAACGATATTGTTTCAAGGTCGATCGTCAACTACAACTGATATTAATATAAGGAGGTGAGGTGTTCTTGGTTGCTTATTGTTGGATTAATGAATGAATATATTCCATGTTGTGTTGATTGTTAATGTAATATTATAATTTGATGTTGTTGATGTTATTTGATAAAGGTGGATGGCTGGATTGATGGTAGTAGGATAGTGGATAGAGTGGTGACATTGCTGAACCGACACAGGATGAGCTTGACCACCTCATCCATTTATTCTTCCACTTTAAAGTGGTGGTGAACTTGATGGTGGTGGGTTATACTTTATGTATTTGTGTTGTGTGTGTGAGAGTGATTGAATGATTGAATGGAAATGATGGAGGGTGGAAGCACGAATGTGTATATTTATTTATATTTAGTGATGTCATTGTTGTAACATTGCTGTGAACGATGAATGTATTTAAAAATAGACCTTACACACACACACGAATATGAAGAGACAGACATACAATAGCAACAATTAACTTTGTAATATTATTACTACTACTTACTCTTTGATGATTTAATAAAGTAATTAAAATATCATGATGATCGAGTAATTATAAGTATTGGTAATGTTTGATTGATGTGATTGATATTATTAATAAACCGTATTAATACTTAAAAAGAAATCTAGAAGAAGAAGAGGAAGAAGATACCATGTATTATTGACAATGGCGGTAAAGGTGGGGGTAGGGTATAGGTGAAGGTGACGGTGATTATGATGAAATTGATGATGTCCGATGGTGATGTCGACACAATCAATCTTCAATCAAATAAATAATAACTAACTACTAAGTAATATTTGAATGTTGAATGGTTTCAGTGACACGGTGTCCTGCTGCCAAGTGATTCAAGGATTGGGTGTGGACTCCTTCCAGAGTTGCCAAGGCATCGATGATTGCAGAGTAGTGACGGTGTGAGCACAGTACGTAATTGGTTGGTGATGTCAACAAAACGGTAAGATGTGCGAGCCTTCACGCATTATTGTCGTCCAGTCAAAATGGTTGGGGGTGAGGTTGGGACAGGCCCTTCTAGGCCTTTGAGGCCCAACGAAAAATGTCCCAGGACCGCTGTCCAACCACTTCCCCGAGGACTTTTCTGTTTAGATGTGTTTTTGAGATGTCCAGGGGTTCTGACTCGTCAGACATCAAGGGCCACTCTACCACATTGTGGCCCTTGGTGGACCAACAGAGCTTATTATAATCTTTGCTTCAATGATTGGGTTATAGCTAATAATTAATAATCATTGTGTGAGGATCTAAGGTACCATCTGCAAAGGCATTCCTAATTAATATTCTTTGTCGATTGACAATGACACCGACAATCCGAATTGATTTACACTGACCAGTGCCCATGTATGTGTGAGTGTAGATGCATGCACCTGCCTTTTTGCACTGCCAAGTCGTCGGGAGCATGGCTCTCGATCTATCATGTCGATGTTCTAGAGAATGGAGATCATGGACGCCACCACAAAGTCGTGAATGTGGTTGGATTGATCGATCATGACCTTTGATCGATAGCTTCATCCGTCTGGTCAGCGGTGTATGTTAATGATAGCGCGTGTTACAAGGTTATATAGTAATAGTGCAGTGGATATAATATAATCTATAAGTATATATATATATGGTGATATATTGTCGACAATCCTTTACCCATGTTGCGCAGAACGGACGGAGTATGATAGCAATGCGTGCGTGTGAAGTCTTTCAACTTAAGTTGCTTCGAGACCAATGGAGGTTAAGTCATCTGGACTCTTGGAGTTCAGTAACCTCTTGGTAGTCTCGTACATGAAGAAGTTGACTGCGCTTGTGGGGAATGATCGCAAGATTGTGGCAGAGAAGCCACGGTAAAATGCCGAAATACCTTCGGTCCTGTATATCTCTTTGGCACAGTGAACAATGCCACGGTAAATGGCCGGCTCTGGCTGCGTCTGTATCCTCGTCTTGATGACGTCCAGTGGGTAGATTGATGCCCAGAAACTCATGCCTGCGCAACCTCCGGCGCCAATCGCCACCCATGCTGGGAACGTCTCGGGCGACTCGGCCATCGTGGTCAGTCGTCGTTTCATAAATTCGTACATCGTGAAGTAAACCATGTCTCCAGGAATGTCTCGCAACAATGTCGGTCGCAGACCCTTGAACATGCCAAGTATTCCATCCTTCTTGATTATTTGACGTATGACATCGATGGGGCCTGTATAGTACTCGCGTGGAGGTGTGCCCTTTGTGGACACGGTCGACAAGAGAGTGGTGTTCCTCGATTGGACTTGCAGTTTAGATTTGATCAAGTCTCTTGGCGTCAAGAAAAATGATATCGTCATACCTGCTATTCCACCTGCTGCTGCGACCCTGTTTGTATTTGAATGATTGATGTAAGTATGAATGTCCATCTACAATGACCAATCCTAACAAACTTACTTATGATATGGAATTGGTGTATCTGTTGATGGATGGAAGTACTTCTGGAAGTGATTGTTTGTTACAAAGAATATAGAGTTGATGAATGATACACTGAACAATGGCACAGACATTCCACGATATACACCTCGCAGCTAATTAAGAATAGTGTTAGTGACCTGTGATGTGATGTGTTCCAGACGGGCTGTCATTGTAATAAACATACTCCATCCATTTGCACAGTGTACTTTAGAGCATGCCAGCCATTTTTAAACTTGGGGACATTTCCTGAGGCATCCTGCATCAGAACCTGTAGTCGTGTTTGGTTCGTGGTCGTGTGGGTTAGCATCATCCGTGGGGCGAAGTCATCTCTATCTCTCCACTTCCAACACCTACCTTTATTGTATCGAATGGATGACCTGTCAGCATGGACGACATGCCACCCACCGACCCTGCTATGAAGTCTTTACCTATACCAACAAACCTCTCTATTGTGTTTGTTGTTGTGATGTTGACAAGTTGTCATTCGTTCGTTCGTTCGTTTGTTAGTAATCGTGGGGTTAGCGTCCAGTTGTGGGCTTTTAACTCAACATACCTTTATCCATGATGTTGTTGATTGTATTATTGTTACAGATACACTTGTATATTTACACTGACGTCCTCGTTGTTATTGTTGCTGTTGCTTTTGCTTTTGCTTTTGCTGCTGCTTATACTGCAACTGGTGAGCATTGATTGATGTTCACCTATTCTTATGTCTGTGTTAATGTTTGGATGTTTGAACACCTCTTGTTTATATGTACTACGTTTCTAAGCACGACGAATGTAATGAATGAATAAAGATAATTTGGGATTCCTCAACATAAGCGGGTCCCGAACAAAACGACACGACTTTTTCAAACAGAACTTTCAAGGTTTGAGGTCCCCCCTTGTCACCAAACAACCTAAAGTCTGTCATTGTTAACAAACATTCTATATGTTCATCACATTATTTCTATGTTCTACTTTCTTTAGTGTTGATCAAACAAACTACGGACATGTCTTATCAAGATTTAAAGATGTGTGATCATCAGGTGATGGGTCATTGGACCACCCATCCAACCACACGAAGCTTCAAAAGTCGTCTTGGGTGACCACTCTCTAAAACATAACCACACACCACCAGAACACCTAAAAAGAGAGTGTCTGTTGGAATTGAGGAGGTCTTTGTTGATAACCAATCAACAAGCTAGTACCATTGTGTATCAAAACTTCAAGTGTTGTTGACACTTTCCCATCAAACACTCACACACAACACAGACATTGACATTGATGTCAACCCAAAAGGTGGCCCTATTGCAAAGCTCAATCTCTTTCAAATGATGGGGAGGCAAGGCAGAGACTTGCTGAGATCTAATGTTTTGTGTGTGTGTGATGTAGTGATCCATGTATCAGTGTTAGTGAGTGGCTGAAGGAAGGTTGTTGAGTTGTGGTTGGTCATCAACACTGTGTGTGTATCAGAGTTAAATCACACACGTTCCAGCTTCCAACTTAACACACACACACACACAATCAATCAATCACACACTCAGCGAAATGGACACAAAGAAGCACACAGGCTTAAGGTCCTCCACTCCTCAACAGTAGTAGTAGCAGGCAGTAGCAGTAGTAGTATCAAATTTGTGTGTTTGTTGGATACAACAACAAAAGCGTTAGAAGAGAGAAAGAGGTGTTATCACCTTTACAACAACAGAATCAGAATCACACAATTAGAGAGAGAGAGAGAGCCTTCCACCTCACTCATTCAATCACTCCACTCATCACCAACAAACACAATAACAACTGAACTGACCTGACCTGACCGATCCAACTTCCACCATCATCCATCCATCCATCTATCTATCCATCAACAATCCATCTATCTATCCACTGTTTTCATTATAATCACCTGACCTCAATCACCTGACACCAACACTAATCACCCGACCAATCCACCAACCATTCAGGTAGCCAGCAATATTATACATTCATACATTCATTCATATCATTCATATCATTCATTCATTAATTATCAGCAGCGGCTTCATCGACATTCTTCCAGCCAGCCCAGCTTACATATTTTGGTGTGCCTGTTCCTACTGCCACCACTTTCCAGTCCTGTCCAGTCAAGTCTGGTCTAGTCAAGCCCGCGCCTCCTCATCATCCATCATCATCATCAACATCACCACCACCAATCAATCTAATATATATTTATATAACATACAATATTAATATAGAGATCTATTAACTTTAACTTTAACCTACTACCAATCAATCAATCCAACATCGACATCGGACATACTCTTGTTGACAACACATCACACAATGCACATTGAATGAACAATTGATACGAATCAATATTCATCACAACAACATCATCAACTTTATAGATTGTATTATTAGTTTCCAACGCGACTCGACAAACTTCCAACGCGGCAACACACAGGCAACACACAGGCAACACAACAGCCACAGCCACAGCCACAGTCACTCAAGTCAAACAAAACAAAGAAACAAAAGATGGCATCATATATGAACTCACCTTATGGAGCTAGCTTCACAGTAAACACTTACTCCAACAATGTACACAGTAATATGCATTCATCCATTGACCCATTCAGTGGCGGCAACAACACAAACAATAATACACCGATAGTTGGAAAGCCACAGGGTCATGTTGGCGGCGGCATCGGGGGCGGTGGAGGTGGCGGCGGCAACCACTCATCGTCAAGTAGCAAACGCAACAATGATATTATGTCCAACAACAATGGATCTTCATTCACAGGACTGTCGACCATCATACGATCGGAGCCACATGGAGAGCTGGACTCTAGTCGGAATGACGCGCTCACCCTATCCACATCACAAGAGCGAAACATATCAAACAACATCCGCAACATGTTCCATGACAATCAACTACGAGTCAGGAGTAACTCAGTTGCCACAACACTTATGAACACAGTCGATATTGCTAATCCCCTGGTTTGGAATGATCAGGCCATCCCTGTTGGTATGTAGTATCCATCCCCTATTTCCAAGTGATTGAGTCTCTGATTGATTAACATGCCGGACATCATACATAGACTACCATTATAATCATCATGAGAACCATGGGATACAATTGAGTACGAGTAATGCCAGTAATATACAACAGCTTGAGGCTGAGGCTGAGGATGCAGCCGACATGGACAATCAAAGAATACATCCAATCACCATGCTACTATCGAACAAGGGCGAGCAACAGTATCTTAAATCACACTTCAAACGACATCGTGTCCTTCTAAGGGTGAGTACAATCAGCCATCCAGCCAGCCAACCTTGCCACAGGGCCTGCCACTCACTAACTCAATCAATCAATCAATCATAGATAACGGACATCATTGGTATAATAGCAGGATTGTATGAGTTGATATCAGGAGGGAATAATGTTACGATGATAGTGCTGAGGGTTGTGAGCTTGCTGCTGTTCGTCTTCTCCCTGATACATGGACTACTGCGCAACTACCGACAAATGTACAGACAGATCTATCGACCATTGTTCATGGTGGCCGTCACATTGTTCTTCATTGCACTGTGTCTGGAGTTCTCGACCACATCGCCATCATCAGTGTTATTCATACATACTGTTGTATTCTGTAGTCTCTACTCTGTTGGATCACTACAGTTCCTATACATGCTGGCGCTCAACTTTATCATCTCGATCATATGCTTCTCATTCTTAATCATCAAGTCATCTCTCAATACCGACGATATCATCTCCTACTTGCTCAGCTTCCTTATAATATGTCTGTTAGGTTCAAGTCATTTATATGTGTTGGAGAAGTCCAGGAAGACTGTAAGTACATTCCTTGGCGGACTTTCTTGGCTGGGTTGTGGCAGGCATGTCTAATCAAGGTACTAACCATCCATCCATCCATCAGAGTTTTATCAACAAGAGAGTGATCAGGAAGAAGGCTGACAGGATCAAGTTTGCAAAGGAGAAGTCTGAACAACTGTTATCAAACATTCTTCCAGAATTCATTATCAAGATGATCAAGGATGAGCCATTGGAGAGCAACATCGATGCACCATTACCAACCATTTCCAAAGTGTTTCATAGTTGTATGTCCTCTCCTGGCATGGCCACGCTCATTCAATCACTCAATCACTCAATCACTGACCATCCACCAATCAAACAGGCTCAGTACTATACTGCGACATTGTTGAGTTTACTACGATGGCATCAAAGATTGAACCAGAGATGTTGGTCAAGTTGTTACATCAGATATTTACAGAGTTTGACAAGGTTGTTGTATTGAATGGCTGCGAGATAATCAAGACTGATGGTGACGCATATCTGTGTGCGGGTGGACTGACCATCGCCAACAGTAATCACTATCAAGCCATTGTAAACATTGCCAATGGCTTTCTAAATCTGCCCGTGCTCAAGTCCAACTGCTTGAATCAGGAGGTCAGGATTAGGATTGGCGTGGCAACTGGCTCAGTGATTGGCGGTGTGATTGGCAACAAGAAGTTCCAGTTTGATCTCTGGGGCGACGCAATCGCAATGGCACACACGCTGGAACAGACAGGAACACCAGGACTCATTCATGGACTGAAGCGAGGATTTGAGAAGTTGGACCCCAATCAATATCAGTACATCGAGAACACCAACTCTGACAAGAACTTCCCAACAGTGTTCATCATGCCAGTCAATGCCAATCAGATATCGACCCCTTCAGCAGCAGGTGCTTCATCATCGTCGTCTTCAACATCGTCCACAACAACATCCGAGATATCATCAATCGAAGACTCTGGAACTTGCTCAATCGAGGTCGATACATCATCGCGACCAAAGACCGATCAGTCGATTGATGAGCCTGTGTCTCAGAAGCAACACGAGTCGGAGCAGCAGCCAAAGTCGCTACCCATGCGAGCTAAACTGATGTTGGGACAGGTATCCGGGTATATCAAGGGCTTCTACGTCAGGCATCTTTCCTGCCATGAGGAGACGCTGGCCAACACTGTTGACAAGGACGACATGTACATCGAGATCGACAAGAACTTCAACCGATACACACGCTTCAATCGATACATGCTGCTCTTTAAGAATCTGTTGGTCGAACGCTACTTCTACAAGTACGTGATCAAGCGATCAGCCAAGGAGACGCGAGTGTTCCTCGTGCTGGGCCTGATAATGCACATCATCTTTTATCTGGACGATCACTTCCTGCAGGAGCCAGTGGAGACGTTCAACACGCTGCCACTGTACATCACGATGGGCCTACTGTTCATCATCTACTTTGGCATCACTTTTACCAAGCAGTATCGTCGACCACTGTTCCAACAGTTCAGTCTGTTCGTCCTGCTCATCCTATTCAGCACGGCCACCATCCTTGAGCTTGGCCAACAAGTATCAGCCGAGAGAATCAACCTCACTCGTCTATGTATTATATTACTATTCATTAGCATGTTCCACTCTTTGAACTTCCTTATATCCGTTGCACTGGTCATCTTCATATTTGGTAAGTCGGACTGGACATCGCCATGTTTGATCACTCATACTAATACTCAATCTTGCTTAGGCTTCTATTACATCTGTGGATCATCGATCACAAACACAATTGGTGGACTATATCCAGGCGATTATATTGGCTTCAGTATCTTTATACCAATGTTGATATGCTCGATCTACTTGATGAAGTTGGAGATACGCTCAGCTTGGATTATCAAGTCCAACATCAAGTACAAACAGATGATTCTGCAGGCCGAGCGAGAGAAGTCGTCCAAACTGCTCGAGAATATCCTGCCAGTGAACATCTCCGAGAAGCTAATCAGCAACAAGGGCAGCAACAATGGAATGTTGATCGCCAAGAGCTTTAAGCGTGTGGCAATCATGTTCATCAATGTCACGGGTCTAGAGCAGCTGAACGACCACGAGCGCATACTCTGCATCCTCAACAGCATCTTCCTGATGTTTGACAATCACTGTGAACATCTCAAGCTGGAGAAGATCAAGACCATCGGCACGACGTACATGGTTGTGGCAGGTATGCGTCCCAGCCTCGACTCGGCCAAGGAGATGTCCAAGGCAGAGTTCCAGTGCGCCCTGGAGAACCTGGCCAACATGGCACTGATGGCCAAGGCGTGTGTTCATCACATCGATCAGCGATTGAACATCCAGACGGGCATCAGTCTGGGTCCTTGTGTGGCCGGTTGCATTGGTATCCAGCGCGCAAAGTTTGACATCTGGGGCGACAGCGCCAACATTGCGTCCAGGATGCAGACTTCGGCCCCGATTGGCAAGATACAGGTGACGATCGAGGTGTGTAAGATACTGCGCAACAAGTTCTACTTGGAGGAGCGAGGAGAGATCAATGTCAAGGGCAAGGGCGTCATGAAGACCTACTACCTCACCGGAGAGAACTCACACGACTTTGACGACACTCTTCCCTCACATTGGCAAGAAGCACGAGTCAATCAATTCAAAGGCAGCTACTTCATGCGAGAGGATGCCTACTAAGTTGGGCGGGCGCCTGCCTCATTGGAATACACATATATACACATTCATTAGTAAAGCAAGGTCATGGCCCAGTCTTGCGTCGTTGATGGTAACACACAACGATGACAATGATGAGGGCCACGACCAACTTGGTTGGGCATGGCTTATGTCTGTCCTTATGTACACATAGATATTCACATCTCAGTTTACTTCCTCCATTGATATGTCCATGCAATTGTTGTTGATGTTGTTGTTGTTTGTTGCAATGCTATTGTCGTTGTCATTGTCATTGTCATTGTCGATATCGTTATAACTGATGCTGTCTGTGTTAACACCACTGGCAATGTCCTCCAAAGATGTGTTGCATGATGATGTTGGTGTAGAGGTCAGGAGGTCGTGCTGCCTCTCCTCAGCCAACTCCTCTTGCTCAATGAGTTGTGACTTGAGCTTGATCAATGCATCCTTTAGCCGCACGACCATCTCTGACAAGGCTTCGATCTGATCATCTTGCTTGGACTTCTCATTTACCAGCTCTCTCTCCTTCTTCTCCACGATCTTCCTCTGTTTGAACAACTCCTTCTCGACAAACAACTTATCTCGCTCTGCCTCATTCCTCTTTGATATCTCCGTCGCCAGCATATCCTTGACCTTGGCCAGCTGCTCCTTCATGTCCTTGATCTCCATCCTTCGTAGGTCGTCACCCATGGCGATCGCTGAGCTATATTCCTCCTCGATGACACTGAGCGTGTCGGTGGAGCTTGTAATGTCACATGTTGAGCCGCCTCCGCCGCCATACTCGCTCGAGTAGTCTCGGAAGCCCTTCAATCTTGCTGAACCAATAGTGAATGGACTGGAGCTCGGTGTCCACTGTTTGGAATAGGGTCCCACCGACTTTGGTGTGGAGAATGTGAATGTTGGAACGTTGGTCGTGTCTGGTGACTCTGGCTTTGGTGCAGTCGCATGCTTTGGTGTATCTCCACGTGATGATGTTGAGAATGATCTCATCCTTGTCAAGAAGCCACTTCCACTCCATGTACCTGTCTTGCTCGATGATGATGATGTCGTCGTTGTCGTTGTGGTTGCAGTAGTCGAGGCACTGTTGCCAGTTGTTGTTGGTGGCAACATCAAGTTTGATGAGGAAGTTGAGGCTGATGGGGCACCAGGAAGAGGAGGATGGTTCTTCATCTTTATGTTGGAGTACTTGTGCTTGAGCTTCCTGTACTTCTTCTCCAGGTCGATCCTCGTCTTCATCTCTTTCTCCAGGTAGGCCTTGACCTTCTTTAACTCCTCCTCTGGATTCTTGATTGTGAGCACAGATGACTCGCCATATGACGTTGACACGATGGGCGGCGACTCCCTCTTCTTCTTTATCGCAGACAATGAGAATGAGAATGATCTTCCCTTTGTAGATATACTTGGTGAGTGACCCAGTGTCGAAGATGATGAGGATTGCATTGTCGAGCTCAAACTACCAATGTTGTTGCTGCTGCTGCTTCCTCCAATATTCATGTTGTTGTCCGAGTTGTCAATGGTCGATGACATTGGGACAGACAATGGTGGAAGGAATAGATCAGGCCTTGATTTCTAGATACCAGAGTTCATGTCAATGATTGATTGATTGAAGTGATTGAGTGATTGATTGATCAAACATACCTTTAGCATGGTCCTGATTGATGACACCCATTCCTCCATCTCTGCTTGATTGGTACAACGGAAGACGTAGTCCTTCTCCTCACGACCAGTGTTGTCGCCAGTCTTGGTTTGAGGCGTACTGTAGTATCTGATGACAAAGCTGTACTTCCTGGACAGCTCTCGGTCGACATTGATGATGTCCGAGAATGAGATGAACTCCGAGTTGGAGTCGTTCTCATTGGATGTGTGTACGATGCGCTGTGAATAGAGCCGCAGGAAGCGCGGGTTCCATATCTTAGTGAAGCTGGACAGCTTCTGCACCTTGCCCTCCTTGAAGCCCTTGAGCTGGGCGTAGGTGTTCTTGCGCACTCGCAGGCCCGGTCGACGCTTCAGGTAGATGTTGTCCATGTTGTTGATCGAGTACTCGGACAGCGGGGCATCGTCATCGACCCATTGTCCACGGCTGGTGACTCGCGAGTGTTGAATATACAGACTGTAGCCATTTTGTAGACCGGCCAATTGTGAGGCGTAGGCCACTATCTCACTGGCCTTCTGTGACAATCTGACCTGAATCGTCTTTGTCACCACCGATGATGTTGGTGGGAATACCAACTTTATAATAACATCATTACCAGTACTTGGTGATATTGGTATCGTAGTATTCGTCGTCGATGTCGAAGTTGTTGTTCCAATCATCGATACAGCATGTGTCAACACAGGCTTCTGTTGTTGTTGTTGTTGTGGTTGTTGTTGAACATCCATTCCAATTTGTTCGTCTTAATATATTATCTCTATATCTCTATCTATATCTATTTACAAGTACATGAATAAAGTTAACAAACTGACGAATGTTGTTTTATTATATCTCAAAGATAGAAGTGTGTGAATGTTTGGGTTGGATTGGATATGACTTGGCTGAGGCTTCCCAACCCCTCCTGAAGATCGATCGACTTTTGGAGGGAACAGTGCCCAGGTGGTGGGGGTCGATGTGTTTGAATGTCAACACTCTTTGCACGACCCACACACCACACACGTCTCTTCAACTTCCAATGCCGAACGACTCAATGTGTCAATGAAACAAACACATATGATGAATGAATGAAGTATTGGTTATGTTATTGTTGCTTTGAGTAGTCAATCTTCTCCACCTTGACTTGTCCATCGAGAATCTTATAAATGTACACACTGATGTTGTTGCCCTGAACATCCATCAATATGAATGATGGGAATACATCACTATTCAAATGGTTCAAATTGTTAGTCATGATTGATTGAATGGTGTTTAGATTGATTGATGAATGAATGAATGACAGCATACTTTGTAAGAGTGCTAAAGGCACCTGTTGCTGAGCCTGGATTGACGAATAACTTGTTGTTGGCTTCCGATACCTCTGCAATGTGTGTGTTACCAGTGATAAGTACATCAACGTCCAACTGTCTCTGTAGTGCAGATAGTGCAGCCTTGTCACCCCATGGTACTATCTGATGTCCATGACATAATCCAAACTTGAACTGTCCAATAGTGACTACCTTTGTATCTGGATGTGAAGTGTTCTGTTCATCATAATAGTATGTGATGTTAGTCATTCAATCAAACAATGTCATTCATTCATTCATTCATTCAATGATTCAATATTACCTCATCAAGATCACCTCTAACAATGTGTACATCACTTGACAACTGCTTCAAGTAGTCTTGCATATCCTTTGTAACCAAGTTGCCTGTGCACAATACATGTTGAATCTTCTCTGGTACCTGTGTTTCAACAATCAGTCAGTAAGTCAAGTCTATGAGTTAGACATGATTATCGATACCTACCAATAGCTTCTTGAACTCTGGTGGTATGGCATGTGCTCTATGTGGCACGTGTAAGTCTCCAATGGCTATAATAAACTAAACATGTTTCATTTATTGAGTTATAACATTTGTAAGTTCTCTCTCGATCGTTCAATCAATCAATCAATCAATAAGCCTATCATACCATCTTATAAAGTGTTATATATATATGTATTAATGTATGTATCAATCAGTTGTTGCAAAGACTATCTACACTCAACTTCTTGGGTCTCAAACCCAAGATACATTCAAAACTTGCCAGCTCGCCTTAAACTCAAAGTTTGAGGATTGAGGTCTAGTCTTTTGCCTCATCTGGTGTCAGACAGAGACTTGTTGTAATAAGTGGGCAACAAACTAAGGACATGTCCAAGATAATAATAGAGCTCAATCAATTACTCATGTTCTTCATCATCATCAGGTTTGGAATGAGCGCGCTTGGACTCGGACTATCGATAACGACATCTCCCGAATCGTGATGGGGCATTTCCCTCAATTAGTCTGCCATCCATGTCTCAGACAAGGGTCAGCACCTCGACCAGAGTAGAGACAACATCAGCGACAACAACTCATTCATTCATTCATTCCTTCGTTCATTCGTTCATTCGCTAATACAAACAACAACAAGTAATGGCTAACAATCAACTAATAATTGTGAGCACTTTGTTCTTTGCCATCTCATTGGTACATGGACTCACACCTTTGGAGGAGTTTGTCTCTCGTCCAGATCAAGGGTATGTATCCACCTCTCAGATACTCAATAACATAGACACACTAGCTTACTCACTTACTCACTCAATCACTCAATCAATCAAAGTATCTCATACTTTGTCAATCACACATTCAATGGCGATGGCTACAAGGTCTATGCTTTGAACTTTACCTCGCTCAACTGGTTGCAGCCACCCTTGACTGATAAGCCACGTTGGAACCACATGTTGTATGTTTGTGTACCAACGTTTGTAACGACCAAGACAGCATTCCTTTACATCCAGTCGCCCTACTCATCGATCACCGTGCCCAACACCACAACCCTGCATCCAATGGCCGACTCTTTCTGCAAGAACTCCAACTCAATCACTGCCGTGATCGACCAAGTTGGCAACGCACCACTTGTCCAAGCAGACGGAGTCTCGCGTGCTGAGGACACCCTGATGGCATGGTCGTGGGCCACATACATGCAGAACACCAGCAACACCGAGATCATCAACAACTTCCCAATCACAAAGGCTGTCGTTCGCGCCATGGATGCTGTCCAATCGTTCACCAAGACCGCCCTGTCAATCCGCGTCAAGGACTTTGTAGTGGCCGGTCCCTCAAAGCGTGGCCTGGCTGCCTGGCTTGCTGCCGTCACCGACACATGTGTCAAGGCCATCGTGCCACTCGTGGCTGCCATGCTCCACACCAAGACCTTCATCAACAACCATGTCCGCGCCTATGGTGGCTTCTCGTTCGCCTTTTACGACTACTTCCTTGGTGGCGTAACGGCCATGGTCAACCACCCTCAGTTCGATGCCCTACACCTCATTCTTTGGCAACCAAGTCTACACCACCGACTTCTTCTACGCGCCAAACACATTCCCATTCCCAAGTTGTGGACTCGACTGTGCCAATGCTCCATTCATGGTCTAATGGATAATATATATTACATTAGTTTATTGATCAATGTCCAACTGACTCTTGTTGGATCACCTTTTTGATTATGCCAACTCCAACTGTCACTCCCATGTCTCTGATGACGATCCTTCCCATGGCTTGACACTCATCATAGGTACTGACGCATATTGGTCGCATTGGAGTGAACTCCACAGTGGCCAAGTCACGTGCTACAAGGAATATCGGTATCTTTGGTGTATCGTATTGTATTGGCAGGCCAGTGTTTCGATCAATCCTATTGATGATTGATATTTGGCATGATACTCGCGATGAATGATAATGTACACATGGTGTATATCCAGAATGTATTTGTTGGGGATGTTGTATAATGACCACTTGTGCAATGAACCTCTGGACTTGTTTAGGCGGATTGTCCAAGCTGCCGACAACCGCACCCTTGTTGATGTCCCATAAGTTGGCGGCACCTGTGACACAGAATGCTACATTGTCTCCAGGTGTTGCCTGTACTATACTCTGATGATGCATCTCAATTGACTTGATGCTGACTGTGAGACCAGTTCTTGGTGGCACTATTGTGACCTGCATGCCTAGCTCCAATATTCCCGACTCGACACGACCTGCCAACAATGTGCCAATACCCTTTATCTTAAACACTTCTTGAATGGGTATCCTAAGTGGTTTGTCATTTGTAGGTGGACATATTGGCGCTTCAATGTTATCCAATGCCTCCAACAATGTTGGACCTTGGTACCATGGTATTCGCGATGACTTTGTCATCAAGTTATCACCATCCAATCCACTTATTGGTATATATACAGTTTGATCACTTTTGAATCCTACTCGTCTGATCACAGTACCAATGTCACCAATTATGGCTGTGTACTTGTCTTGATTGAAGTAGATATCATGTTCATCCATCTTGTTGATGGCCACAATGAGGTGACGCACTCCCAGTGTGTATGCGAGTTGAAGATGGTCTTCGCAGCGGTTGGCCGTATCAGGCTGGCGATTGGATGCGCAAACAACGAAGATACCACAATCAGATTGAGATGTACCTGTGATCATATTCTTGATAAAGTCTCGATGTCCAGGTGTGTCGATAACTGTGATAGTGTGTCTGGGTGTTTCAAAGCGACCGAACGAGGTCTCGATCGTGATGCCACGCTCTCGCTCTGCCTTCAACGTATCCATCAACCATGCGAACTTGAGTGACTTCTTGCCCATCTCGCCATCCTTGTCACCATCAAGTACATGAGTAGTAATTCTAGGTCGCCTATTACCCTTGAGTGAATATATCAAATGACCAACTGTTGTAGACTTTCCAGCATTGACCTCGCCAAACACTGCGACACTAAGATGTGTCTTTATCTCCTGTCCAATCATATAATATGTTGTTCAATAGATCAATGATGCTTTGAAATATTTGGTCCTGTCACGTGATCAAAGTTTGATCAGCTGATTGATCAGCTGACCGATCAGCTGACAGTTTTCCATTGAAATAGGAAATGATCAAGAACACAAGTGAGTGATACAGATAAACAATGTAGTTTATATAAATAATTATATCTATGTATCAAGTATAAATGGACTTAGTAGTTGTTCTTCTCACGGAACTCAGCATAGGACTCGCCAGCCCATCCGGTGGAGCGAAGGAACTGCTCATAGGTCAACAATGAGCTGCCCAGCAACTTGGAGGCAAGGGTGAGGTCACGCTCCTTGTAGTAGTATCCATGTTTGGCAGTCGAATCCCAGATCTCAAACAGACGGTTGCCCAACAGGCTGAGCTCAGGCACCTCATCGAATCCATTGTGCTTCAGGTATTGCTCTCTAGTCTGTGGCACGAACTTTGACTTGATACCGGTGACCTTCTCAAAGATGGCTGCGATCTCTTCTCCAGTCAAGAACTCAGAGTACAATGGAACGGCCACTCTGTTGAATCTCTGTGGCTCGGCCAGGAAGGCAGACACGAGGGGACCAGTGGCAGTGTAGGTGTCAACATGTGGCAAGGAGACATTCTCGCCGACGGGCATTGGGAAGAGGAAGCTGCCATCCTCGAGCTTGACGGGTGGAACAAACTCAATAAAGTTGGAGTGGAAGAAGGCCAACAAGAATGAGCTGACGACTGGGATGGCCAGGGACTCAAGGTAGACCTGAGCCTTGTTTCTGCATGCCAGGATATCATACTTGAAGTCCTCCTTGAGTGCTGGGTTCTTGTGCACGGCAGAGTCGACAGTGGAGAAGACGACGTGGTGAACGCCAGCCTCAAGTGCTGCATCGGCCTGGATGATAATGGTGTCAATCTCCTTCTGGAAGTAGTCTGGGTCTGTGTATTGAATTGATGGTGTCATCAAGAATGCACCGTATGCACCCTTGTAGGCATTGACCAGGTCTTGCTTGTTATTGAGATCAACTTGGACCACTTGGACGCCCTTATCAGCCAACTTTTGGAGTGGTGGGCTATCGACTGGACGAGTTGACAAGGCACGCAACTGGTACTTTCCCTCTTTCAAAAGAGTGTTAATAATGCTGATGCCTTGCTTGGAGAATGCTTGAGTGACAACGAATATTGGCTTAGTGTCCATATTTGAAATATTATTATTATTATTATGGTGGATATTAATTAAATTATAGTTAATGCTTTTGGATATTTGATTGATTGATTGATTTGAATGTTCTGACTTCTGACACCTGTCACAAGAGTATTTATATTGATAACTTTGGTCAAAGACTTGTCAGGATAGAACATTGTTCTATTGGTTACATTTGGAAGAAGCATCGAGTTCATTCATTTATTCATAAAATGACCCGACGGTCTTGGTCGCCACAAACAAAGAGAGAGCGATGAATACCTTCGAACCCCCCACAAATTGACATTTTTGATCCCGACCATCAAAAAAACAGCAGTTTAGCCCAATACCAGGTCACAAGGAGAACTTACATCTATTCTCCATTGTGCAAGAGAAGGACACAGATGGTCCCGACTTTCAAATGGGATATTGATCGATGTAAAATGATTCTAAATGATGTTCGAAAAGTTCTATCTAATAATAATAATAATAATAATAATAATAATAATTTTGAACCTGGATTAAGGTGGGTCATTCATTCATTCATACATCAATACCAAACCTTCACCGATGTAATAATAGAACATATATTGTTTAAACAGAGGGTCGTATCTTCGTACTTGTAGGGAGGAATGATATAGTGGAGGGTGGTGTACCATAATTATATATATATATATCTGCTTCCACTTTCCAAGATCGATGATGTTGCCCTGAACTAATGCGGTCCATTCATTCTTGCCCACCCCCTCTCACCAATAAGAGTGTTTCGAACTCACTCACTAAATCAATCAAACAATCAATCAATCAATCTAATCACACAAACATTCACACACATGTACACATAAATACATGATGATAGTGAGTTGAGATGGCGTGTTGTTGAGAGAGAGAATACCACAACAACAACATTAGCAACAACAACAACATCAATAACAAGCTTAGCACCACTCAATACCTCCATCCACTCATCAATAATGTAATATTGGGATTCGCCTAATGATGATGCCCCATCACTCTATCTACTTGCTCCCTTATATGTAGTGCCCAGGAGAAGGGAGGTAGTTTAGAAGTTTGGCTATTGACGGGTATGTTGTTGTTGCTTCTCCTCAGACCCCTTCACTTATACTCTCTCTTCTAATATATTGACTTACACAACAACATTAGCATTAATTATATATAAATTATATCATTAAGTAATCCATCCCTTGAGTACTTGATCTCCCTTTGTTCTATCTCAATTCCGAACAATCAATACATCATCAACAACAACAACAACAACAGAAGTTATATAGAAATGCAAACTGATATACATGTAGATGATGAAGATGACTATGAGGCTCAGTTCATGTATCAGCCAAAGCCCAACACAAATAATAAGGGCTCTACAAAGATAGGCCAGCAAGGTACAGCCAATTGGAAACAGAAGCAACAACAACAACAGATGTATATTGGTCAACCTGTACAAACAAATAATGTTGTTACCAGCTTGATATCACCAGAGTCTTCACCTGTGCTCCATTCCTCAGTTCCTCAGGCAGCACGTCAACAACAATATATGGATGGCGCCACTGTTATTAAACAGCAACAACAACAAAAACAACAACAACAACATATATCGATGGGAAAGACCAATCAACAAATGGCTAATGGTGGCGCCGGTGCTGGTGGAGGAGCTCCCGATGCTCTGAATCCATTCCAAATCCTAAACGAACATATCCATCGTCTTACCGCCTCATCAGACGCTGTGACCACCCCAAAGAAGGTTGTTGAGGAACTTGATGAACCTCAGCAACAATATCGCTCCAATGACTCCTCACCAATCGCAACATCATCTCACAATGAATTCAATGGAGACAAAGATCAGGATCAACAACAGCAAAGACCACAACAACAACAATCGAATGTAAAGAAGAGATCCCTTGACACAAATGGAATTGGTCAGCAACAACATCAACTGCAACTTCAGCAACAACAACAACAACAAATAGAGAATGAATACTCAAGCGACAATAGTCCAGTAATGAGTGATACGGTGACAGAGTGTCATGAGAAGATCCATCAACAGAGAAGACAGATCAAGGAGTTACAGATGGCCAACTCCAACTTGGAGAAGCAAGTTGACTTCTACAAAAAGGAGCTATTACAGTTCAAAAGTCAGATGGCCATGTCCATCACTGAGATATTGGATGCCAATCAAGCATTGCTACAACATGGACAACTTCCACCATCGATCCAACAACAACAACTACAGCAGCGACTACCACAACAACATAATTCACCATCCAAGTCTGTACAGAGTCCTTCGAAGCAGCCACCAAAGCAACAGGCAACAAGGCAACCATCACAACAAGATTTACTCCACCAGAAGCAACAACAACAACAACAATCTCTTCACAAGTCGCCATCCAAATCACTGGACTCATCTCATTATCTTACAGAGTATCTATCCAACATTGATGAAAGCCAACAACATCAACTGCAGAAGCAATTCATGGTCTTTGAAACTGCTTCATCGTCGTCTTCTTCCTCCTCGACGTCCTTCCCAAAGAAACAACGTCTCTCTGCCATTGTTGCCCAACAGCAACTACATCAACAGATGCAGCCAGCCACATCATTGAGGAAGAAACAACATCAATGATGATTCTGAACAACTTATAAATCATTCAATACATTTATTATTATTATTATTATTATTACCAAACAACAACAATAATATTGTAGGATGGGATGGAGTGAACCATTGTAATGTTGAACAACATCCCGCAATCTGTTTACTACTTTAGGTAATGTTGTTGAACTCACTAACATTACCCCCACCACACATACACTCTCATGGGACAAGAACAAAGAAAGATGGGGATGGCAATCGTCTCCCCTCAATATTATAAACTGATTCTTATTCATACTTATAACAAATACATAATAATAACAAAGAGATAATAAATAATGGAATGTATTAACTTCCTTAGAACAACACAAATATATCATGCAATAAGACCAAAGAAGATTGTCACAATCGACACAACATCCTCTTTAGAGGATATATTACAATTGTTTGATGAGAATGGAATTGTCGCCTCTCCAGTATACGACCCAAACACCAGTAAAGTGATAGCTGTACTGGATATGATGGACATAGGTAAACTATAACTGATAAATACACACCAACGATCAAAGAACTAATATACTTACATGTTTACATCGGATATAGTGGACTTTATTATAAACTTTGTAGGTTTACAAATATCAGATGTACAACAATTGTTAAAGTCAAACCCAAGGAAATTCTTTGAGATACTGGAATGTTGTGGAGGATTGTTCTCCGACAGTCCAGCAATCAATATTATAGCCAATAGAAAGAATAACCTGTTAACAATAAGGGAGAATGATTCTTGTCTGTCTGCTATAGAATCAATGACTGAAAAGATCACTCGTTTATTCATTGTTGATCATAATACTACAATAGTAAACTTGGTAAGCGAAACAGATATTTTGGCGATTATAGCACAGAATATTCATATTTTAGAGTATGTATATAAATAATAAGAGAGATCTTAAAGCCATACTCTACTTACATCCATTAATTTTTATTTTTAATTCAGGGATATGAGATCCAAGACCATTAACCAATGTGGACTGGCGAGTGTCAAGTGCCGGCCACATACATCAGACACAAGAGTAATCAATATACTACACAACATGCTCAATGTTAAAGACCATGCATGTACATCAGTACCAATCATTGATTCAAATAAGAAGTTGGTATGTTTGAAAGAGAAGAACAAAGATAAACATATACTAATTGATGATTCAAATAGATTGCCAATTTCTCAATATCCAACCTCAAGGGATTAACAAAGAATAATTTCTCAGAGTTGATGCTACCTGTTGTGGACTACCTTCAATTCCAGAACATCAAGGAGAAGAACGAGAACTTGACATGTTTGAAAGAGAAGAACTTCCACCCATTGACAGTGTTTGCTTGGGATACATTAGAGAGTGCAATCTTTAAGATAGTGGCTACAAAGGTACATCGTCTATGGGTAGTAGACATTGATGGTTATCCAGTGTCAATGGTAACCATTGATGCTATCCTCAAACTGATCACATACACTCGAATGGATATTGCCCAATAATAAAAAGGAATAAAATCTGGTGATGTGCAACCACAACCATCAATCGATCATGTGTCACACACAGATAACTGACTACAGATACAAAGAACAGATGCTTAATACACTTCCTCATACTATCCTTTCATTGCTACTACATCAACTGGATGATTGTGCAGACATCGTGTGCCTGACATTGACATGTAAACAATTGTACCAACAACGTGAACGCTACTTTGCATACATCGCTGTCAATACTCCCTACACATCCTTCTCAGACCCATTGGCCAAGCTGGTGCTGCCAACATATCGCAACGCAGTCATTGCCAAGGTGAAGCAACCAAGTGCCATCGCAGCCAACCTACCCTGCCCATTCGATGCCCACATCCCACTGGATAATCTTGTGATCAGCACTCAGGCCCCGTCGACCGTGCTCGGACCAGGCGTACTGCCATCAACGTTGAAGAGCCTGATCATCCTGTCCAGGTTTGATCACGATCTGTATTCGGGCGACTTCCCGGCAGGCCTCAACACCCTCTCTTTGAGCTTCACCTTCAACAGTGTGATAACCCCCGGAGCGCTCCCCGACTCACTCACCTCGCTCACCTTCAGAACACTTTACAACAAGCCTCTGCAGCCAGGCGCACTTCCACCCGCACTACGCTCACTCTGCTTCGGAAAGAACTTCAACCAGGTACTTGAGCCCGATGCCCTTCCCCATTCACTCACGCACCTTGTCTTTGGCCACGCTTTCAATCAGCCCTTAATCATGCCACCCATGCTCGAGCATGTGTATTTCAATCACTCATTCAACCAGGATCTTGGCCGCACGCTGCCCACGACCCTCCAGACTCTGAGTCTAGGCCATTCATTCAACCATCCACTCCCTGTGCAGCTGTCGCCCTCATTGACACTACTTGTGCTTGGACAAAAGTTTGATCAGCCCATCAACACGGACACATTCCCACCAACTCTTGCAAACATCATGATGGACTGCCGCTTGGAATCACACCAGAAACGACTTACCCTACCCGCGTCGCTCACCAAGTTCACCTATAACGTGAGCTTCAACAACACAATCTCTGGCCTGTCGCTGCCCTCGACGCTCCTGCGTTTGAAGCTGGCAGGCAGCTTTGAGTCAAACATCGAGGTTGGCAGCATTCCCTCATCAATCACCGATCTTCAGTTCGGCGACTCATTCAACTCACCAATTGAACCATTTGCCCTGCCAAGCAGCCTCACTCACCTTCAGTTTGGAACCAAATACGATCAACCCTTCCAGCTCAGAAGCTTGCCGCCAACACTACAGAGTCTATCATTCGGTCATTCATTCGATCAGAAATTCCAGATTGGACACTTGCCCAAGTCCCTAACAAAGTTATCATTCACAGGAAGCTATGACAAGCCATTCGACCCAATTGTCCTGCCTCCAACTCTCACCGAACTGACCCTCTCACAGCAGTTCAATCAGGCGATTGGCACTGGCTGTCTGCCCAGCTCGCTAACCAGACTACAGTTTGGAGAGAAGTTCAATCAGCCACTTGGCCGCGGCACTCTGCCAAACTCACTCACATGGCTCTCGCTGGGAAGGTCATTCAATCAACCTTTGTTCGAGCCCAACTCAGCCCCATCAAACCTTCGCGAACTCGGCCTCTGCTGCACCTACACCAAGCATCTGGCAAACATTCCTTCCAACCTCAAGACATTGCACGTGGTCGTGTACAGTTCGTCGCTCAAAGATATCCTGCAGGCCAAGTTCACACTACCAGCACATCCACAAATCAAAGACTACCGTCTTACAAACTTCCTCACCAACCAACTAAGGATCATCGATGACCAATGGGCCATCTTCACAAGTTGCAACTTTGAAGGCAACACCATTCGTTCGTCCAAACTTCCTTTGATAATGGCTAAGAATGTTTGATTGATTGATTGATTGATTGAATGAATAAACATGGCCATGTTGTGGCCTTGGTAAGGACCTGAGGCTTGGGCTTGGGCTTGGGATGATTCCAGACTCACCTCCCCACACCACTCATGGTCGTCAGGTCAAGTTCCAAATTATGACTGTTCATTCGTCATTTGACTCAACTCAACCCATAACAAATAATGAGCAATAGTAGTACTAGCACAGGGTCAGGCGAGGACGACATTGATCTGTTAGACAACGACGAACTTGGGTTCAACAAAGAGGAGAAGGATACATATCGTCAACACTATATAGAGAATCATCTTGTGTACTTGTTGCTGAAGTATGGTGAACATCATAGTGCATTGAACACGGCACTCGATGGTATGGGCATACGCAATCCAACATCTATACTACAATGTCTCAATCAATCATTGGTTAACATTGTAGACAACAATGATGAGACTACTGCAAAGACTGTGACACTGCTCAAGCTATACTGTCGACTTATAACATCATCTAGAGATAACATACTTGATGATGCATCAGAAGATGTCTACACCAAGTCCATCGACATGCTTGTTGCATCACTCACAATTCCATCATACATACAAGATATTGAACAACAGAGTAAGCCGTCGAACTAGTCAATGCAACTCAATCACTCAATCACTCACTCTATCCATCAATCAATCAGAACTATTCAATGAGGACGAGTACAATCAATTGGTCACCAAAGCTAGGCAGCGTGTGGAGGTAACACAACAAGTTGTTCAGTTGCTGGCTACACTGGTTGGTCGCGAGAGTAGGCTGGCAAACAAGGTGTTGACAGCCATTTACATCGATCGTTTGATACCATTGTTGGTGGACTATACAACCAACAGTCTGATACAAGTCGATGTGGAACTCAAACAACAAAGTTCACTCTGGACTAATCATTCTATTGATGGAGCTGCTCGACAGCTACTCGAATGCCTTGTCAAGATAGGCCATGCTGGCTCATTGTCAGAGCTGCTATGTCAGCGACCTGGATCTTTAATGAAGCATTATGCCACGATGTTATCTGACAAGGAAGGCGAGTGGATCAACAACATAGTACTGGTTCATTCATTCAGCTCCTTTGTAACACTTGTCAAGAAGCCTCATTTGGTCGATGTCCTAGACTCATTCAATCCAATACCCATCAACATCATTATCAATCTCATTCATTGTTCAAACGACCCCTCCAAACGCCTTGGTTGTGGCACTCTCCGTCACATCCTAGACAATCTCAACAATGAACAACAGGCCAAGAATATCTTGAATGCCCATCCAAAGCTCTATGATGTATGTTATGTGACAGTTGTCTACAGTCAAGTCTGACAATGGCTAACACTCGATATCCTTTCATCCAGAGACTATTCTTTGTAGTGTCTAGTGAGGAAGAACATGAGGATACAATCAAACAGAGCGCCGAGATCTTGTTCCGCATCCTCCATCTAGCTAATCCAATCGACACTGGCTATATTACACATCCACTGTTTATGTCCAACCTGGGCTCAGCTTCATCGGCTGGACAAGGTCAGCCAAAGGGCAGATCAACAGCAGCGTCACAACAACAACTCCAATCACAATCACAATCATCAAAGTCATTGCAAGAACATATCACCATTGTCAACATGATTGTCCAGAGTCTACTATCACCAAAGAGCACAACATTTAAGAGGCAATGTCTACTGCGGCACTCCATCGAAGTGTTCCAAACCATGGGTATCTACTCCACGATGTGTTTTAAGGTACGTGATGGTGGACACCATTGGATGGTCATTGTCAATCACTCACTCACTCTCACCTTCCACTCGTACAGTCACTCATTCCATCACTAGTCACATCGATTGGCAACAAGGACCTGTCTGTTGAATCGATGCAGGCACTAAAGGAGTTATACACTACTTGTTGGCCACGTCTGCCTCATTATAGGGATGACATTATCCAAGCCTTGAAGAGTGTCCATCAACGTGGACTGACCGAAGAGGACACGGCCTCTCTCTTGGCCAAAGAGTTGATGTCAATGGCCAATTCCTAAACAAAGGGGTCGGCTTGATGTTGGGTTTTTGTCTGTCCTTTCACACCTAGGAAGGGCGCCTCAGTCTCCAGATTTGAATTTTTTACGAGTATGATGCCCCATTCGCGTCGCTTGAGGTGCCTGTTTTGCAGCATTGAACACATGTGGTCATGCAGTTTCAATGAAAGAGCCAACGACCATGTTAAAAACCCATTGCCGGCGATTTTTGTCAACAAATCAGCATCAAATCATTGCCCATCCTCTATTTCTGTAGATTTTCATCGTGGTGATGATATGATTGTTTGCGCTGTTGATGGTATCTATGTTTGATGACAGAATCGTCTTCGTCTTCTTGTCATGCACATCCCATCCATTCTCTCAATAGGTCAACTTTTTGAATAATAATCATACATACAATTATATACACATCTTATAATTATTAGTATACTTTAGTAGTCAGAGCACAGGTCCTTTCATTACATTACATTACAACCAATGTATGTCCACTCTCTCTTTGATAATTCTCTATCTCTATCTCTTCTTTTACATCATCAATGAAAAGAAATAACATTGTCATCACAACCAATCAATCAAACCACTCTGATTGATTATAAATAGACCATTACACCCACTTCACTCAACCCCCACAACACACTCAACTCATACTTATAACAATCAATCAATCAATCAATTAACACACTATTGGTCTAACCATCTAAAGACTACCACACACAGACAGACACACATACTGTCTTACTCTATCAATCACTACCCATCTGACCCAATCTACCTACCCGACCGACGATCAATCACTACACACCACCTACACTCTACCCACCACTTCAATTTACCAAGCCTTGGTTCTAAATATATATATAAGTGAATATATATTAGTAATAATAACCACACAACAATCAATCAATCCACTTTATTTGGAACACATAACCTTAATTAACAATAATATATTGTTTATTGAATTTGTCATAAGCACTCAATCAATCAATCAATCAACCATAACATCCTTTTTGGAACAATCCAAACACCTCAATTCAATCATTTCCAGCTTTTCCATTCCAACATCATCATCATCATCATCATCATTGACCCTAACATAATCACCACATCCAGTGTCAACTACAGAAATAATAATATGGATACTGAGGTCAAAGAAGGAGCAATCTCCATCCTTTCACCAGACGGAAAGACATGGAAAAAGAGACATTGTTCGCTAAAGAACAGAATCCTTTACATTTATGAGTCAAAGCCTGTAAGTCAACCAACTCAGTTAGATTTAGAGATAGAATACCATCTAACAAGTAGTATCCTACTCATGGAAACACCAGAAAACAGCAGAGTCTGATAAGATACTTCACTTTATTCCATTGGCTAGATGTGGAGCCATCACAACCACTGCCAAGGGACCAAATGGCAAGGCAAATTGCTACAAGGTATCACATCAGTTTGATGAATCAATCATGTATTGGTTCTCCTCAGAGACTGAGGATCAAATGAAGGACTGGGTAAACAGTCTACAGGTGTGCTGCGCAGTGCAGAAGGAGGAGGTCGTAGAGGCTGTTCGCGGCCGCTCCAAGAGCATTGCGTTCAAGCCCGGCGCACTCCAGATCGCAGGCATCTCAGACTTTGCCGGATGGCTCAAGAAGCAGTCGGCAACCAGCCTCGGAAAGAAGGTGTGGAAGAAGCGTTGGTTCGTCCTCAAGGACATGGTACTATACTATTATGAGGGACCAGAGTCCAAGCTCAAGGGCAAGATCTCCATCCCCAACTGGAACGTCGAGGTCGACAATGCGTTGGCAGGATCATTCTGTTTCAAATTGTCACATGGAGCCAACTCGCTTGTTCTGCAGGCAGAGAGTGAGGAGGATCGCGAGAAGTGGATTAGCACCATAAAGGAGAACAACAAGGCGCTCACACAGAAGCCAGAGACATCGGCCACTGCTGCCGCCACCGCCAGCGCTCCACACACTGGAAGCAGCCCACAAAAGGCTACCAATGACAGATTGGAGAAGCTTAAGGTTTGGCTCTCCTCAGTGTCTACATTGGAAATCCAGGAGCCAGGCCAGTTCCTGTTCAACAGCTCATTCCTCGTCAACCTTTTGGAGAAGCTTGGACTGCGCCTTTCCCTTCCCGACAAGACCGAGTCTGTTGAGAACTTCACCTATATCCTCAAGGAGTTGACAACCTTTGGAGTCAACATCGATTCTTCAATCTCAGCACAAGGTAACTTTGACATGATGAATGTCCAATAGTGTGTACCTTTGCCTAACCTTTATCCTTTACTCTTAGACTTCATCCTTATGAACTCAATCAATATTATACAGTTTGGATATGCTTTATATGACCATTTCAATGCTAATGGAGCCAATGGATCGACTGCTGGAAGCATTAAGGGATCATCATCGACATCTAGCATTGCCACCAACAAGACAGAGTTGAACGATTCGAACAACACCAATCCAGCGCCCGCAGTTGTTGCCGTACAGACGACACCGACCAAGAAGGAAGAGATGGTCATCGGCGTCTCTGTGCCAACTGACGACACCGAGTCTGAGCTGCACGACCTTATCATGACGACGACCGAGTCGTCCAAGACTCTGTCTGCACAGATCCACAGTGCTCCAACCACACCCGCCAAATCCATGCTGTCACCACTCAAGGGTAACAACGGCGTCGCCAACGGCATGTCGCCACACCGTCCAGGCCTGAAGATCCAGGAGACCCAGGACATCAACGACGAGTTTGACAAGATGTTCTCATCGTTCGCCACCAACCTCAAGAAGTGCGGTTTCTGCAGTGAGCCAATCACTGGCGAGTCGATCCAGGCCGTCGGCAAGCACTGGCACTCACACCATCTGCTCTGCTGCGCCTGTGGCAAGCACTTGATCGCACTGGAGGATGTTCCCTATGTCGAGCGTAACGGTAACATCTACTGCAAGGAGGACCATGACAAGACATTCAAGGAGAGCAACTGCACCAAGTGTAACAAGTCGCTGGTGTTGACCTTTGCCTACAAGGGTGCCCTGCTGTGCAAGGATCACTATGCATTGGAGACTGAGGATTTGATCTGCCAAGGCTGCGAGAAGCCACTGGGTGAGCTGCCCTACTACGCCATCGAGGGCAAGAAGTGGCATCATGCACACTTCAAGTGCACCTACTGCAAGTGCGCATTGAATCCAAATGACTTTGCTGTCAAGAACAAGCAGCCCTATTGTAAATCATGTAACATCTCTCTGTTCTAGAGCAGAGTGATATGGCGCGAGCGAATGGAATGATGTGGAGTGGGTTTGGCTCAAGACCAAACGCCTGCGTGCGACTTGAAGTCTGATGTAAGAACTGACTGTCGATTGATGTTCAATAAATCAACTATTTAATCAATCATACATCCATCCAATGGATGTCTTGTCTGCATTGCATGTTTATTGCCTGTCTGGTTATGGATATCGAGTTGCAAGTATGTTGAAGAACTGGACATAATCACCTGCCAGTGGAACGAATGTTGGATCGTGAGCCTCTGCCAGCACTCTAAGTTGAGAGTGATGGATCAACTTGATGGCCTGTACTTCCTCCACCTGTAGCTTGAACCTTGTAAGATCAATTGGAGATGCAACACGTAGCAGATATACGTCTGCAAGCTCATTGTCAATGTACAGTCCTATTGATTGATGATTGTATGAGTGTTTGATTGAGGTACAACATGATGGTGATGATAGGTTACCATTCTTTAGCACATGGTTGGTGCGACATGTGAACAGGTATTCCAGCTCGTCGGCAGAGGCAAGCTGCATACCTAGCTCCTCAGAGAGCTCCTTGACTGCTGTGTCCCTGGAGTTCATTCCTGCCTCGCAATGACCTGCCGTCGAGATGTCCCACAGCGATGGATGTGACTCTTTGTTGTCGGCACGTTGTTGAATGAGTAGATTGCCCTTGTCATCTATAAGCCATACGTGAACAACACGATGCCATAGTCCCTTTGCATGTATCTCACTCCTTGGCAATGAGTAGCCAGCAGGGCTACCATCTTCATTGACTACATCTATATATTCTACGCCCATTATAACTCTCTTAGTCTATCTCTATCTATCTACTTCTTAGTGAAATGAGAATGATTGATTGAAGTGTGATGATCATACTTCGTTTGCATGATGACGTCTTGTCCCCCCACCCTGCGATCACCTGATCACTTTATCCGGATATTACCATTCTGGTACTGACACAATGTCATGATCATTCGACTGATCGATCAAGTTCCGTTCTTTCGTTCTTTCATTCTTAATCTTACTTCTTAATCGCAACCTATTTGGAGAAGATGATTGGACGCCATCACACTGGCGCCCACTTATGAGATAGGTTTGGTAGTTCCATCAAAGTCAACTATCCATTGCCTTTATTCAATGAAGCGTAGGTGTCCTCTCTCTATCTTCGTTGTTGATGTTGCGATCGCACCTCTACTCTATGTTGTTGGTTGTTTGCCATCTGATGATGACCATTGGTATAGGGATTGGTTGGTTGTGATTGTGGAGATGGACGATGTGATATGATATGATGTTGTTGGAGTGGATGTGAATGTTTGGACGTTGTTGGTTGTTTGGATGGATTGGAATTGGATTGGGATGGATGGTACAATTATCTATCGAGCTACTACTACTTGTTGTTGATGTTGTTGGTTCGTCACTCACTGACTTGAATGACTGATTGATTAAATGATTGAATGAATGACTAAGGTTAACAAATATCAAATGTGGATTAAATGGCGTTTAGCAACAGCCTCCTTGTTGCTTGGCGTTGTTTGGCTTCTCGTTCTCCTTCAAATTCAATAGACTGTTGTCGATCTGCTTTGGTGGCTGGTTGGTCTTGGCAACGTCCAACACCTTGCCTGTCAGGAACAACATTGCTTCATTGATATTGATATCGCTCTGTGCCGATGTTGGATACCATCCAATAAAGTTATGTTCCTTTACAAAGTTGTCCAGCATCTCCTTATCAATGTTCGCATCCTTTATATCGCACTGTTTGTTTGAATGATGCACGGGTTGTCGTTAGCCAACACGATTGATGATTGATTGATTGAATGAGATTGAGGTCATACCTTGTTAGCCAACAGCAGAACTGGGATGGGCTCTTGATTGCCCAGTACCACTTTGCTGTTGATGTCATCTCGCCATTTGGTCACGGCCTCAAAGGTGGTTTGTCTCGTCAGATCAAACACAATGATGGCTGCAATCGCGTATTTATAGTAGACTCTGGTCATCGTTCCGAAACGTTCGTGTCCTGCAATGTCCCATAGTTGCAGACTGACCGATGTGTTCTTGTCCCACTCTATCTCCTTTACAGCAAAGTCCACACCAATTGTCAGCTTATAGTTTGGTGAGAACTGACCAGTACAATAACGCTTAATGATCGATGTCTTTCCAACTGCATAATCTCCTATTACCAATATCTATATCATCATGTTCAAATTGTATTCGTTAGCCTTGGTTCAACCTGTCTTGTCTCTGCTTGTGTATCCCTACCTTGTACAAGTGTTGTTGTACATTATCACCAGGTATTTCATTCATTGTTGTATATGTATATATAAATAATAATGTATATGTATGTATATGTATATATAAATATGTATGAGTATTACTTGTTATTCAATGCAATACAATCTATCTAACTATCTTGTTGTCCTCTCACTAACTCACTCTCTCGCTCCATTGAGGGTCATCGATGATACCCCCCCTCTCATCCACCAAAGTGATCACTTTGCTATCCTTTTGCAAAACAATGTGTGATTGGATGGTCACCTCACTCCTCGTATCGATTATTTTTAATTTTCTTTGCCATTATCCACCTGAGATGGAGTCTTCCTAAGAGTTATCTTATGTGTCCGTGTGTCCATTGGATTGGTCGTCGTTGTTATTGAGGACTGTGGTAAGGAATTCTACCTCTTCCTCTATTCTTAGTATCCCCTCATATCTCACACTTTTCGGTCCACTAATCAATCATGCAATCAATCAATCATGCAATCAATCATTATTCCTCCTTTCAAAGTCGGGGAACATCTCATCTGAACACTCCACGGCATTGGCATTGGACACTGTTGTTGATCAGTGTGATTGATCACTATCTATATTATTATGTATTATTTATAAAGAATTATGCTAAATGATTGAATGAATGATCACTCAATCATTCGGCATCTATTACTTGTCGACACTACTGTATTATTATTGTTTGCTCTTCTTGTCCTCTTCCATTCCCTGCTTTGCCTTCTCAATGTTGTACAAAAAGTTTGGTGGAGTGTAGGCACCATCAGTTGCGGTTGGATTCGCCAAATGATCTCTCTTGTATGTTGGTGTAAATGAAATCATCTGTATACATTGTGTTTGATTGATTGAATGTCAGTATTCTGTGTGCTGTCATATGCTTCACGTGAAGATGATGCTGCCACAATGATCCTGTCTGACTGATTCTTACATCTTGGGAGTTTCCATGCTTGTCTGAGATGTGGTGCAGCCATGAGTGCCACTCGGGTGGGACCATTGTTGCCTCGGGGACCTTTGGGTTGGCGAACTCTACCCATCTGTGTCTTCCTACATTGATTGAATTGAATGTTCATGATGTCAATGATCGTGTTCATTATCATCACAATATCGCATCGATCCTGTCTGTCTGTCTTCCTGCCTGTCTAACTATCTGTCAATGTGTTTATCTATCGCTCATGCTGTACATACCAAATGGCTCGGAAAGGTTCTCGTAGTATCTGAGATGAGTAATATATATATTAGTCTCTACTCTCTATCTCTTCACCACCTCTTTGACAACCAACAACAAACAACAACAACATACCTGTTACCAGAGATATCTCTACCGATCATTGTACCATACTTGAGTTCACCAGTATAGTACAGAGTCTTAAGTGACTCACCAACACCACGTTGCATAACGCCTCTGAAGTATCTTGCAAGTTCTGCCATATCTATACCTATATATAAATATACCTATCTATTATTATGTGTTTGAAACAACTAACTAACTATCACTTCATTCATTCAAGTTAATCGCTTTGTCAAAACTCTCCAAACATCAAAGTTTTTCAAAATATTTGAACTTCCACACTCGCCAATCAATCAATCCAATCAGTGGTAATAAGTATCATGAAACTATAAGGTATCAGTCTTTAGTTTCTTGTTGTCGCGTTGTTGTCCTGATTGTTGTGAAGTGGATGGGGGAGATAGACTATCTGCTTTCCTCTTGTCGTCTTGATTGCTGGCTGATGATGATGATGGTCTGGGTGATGGCACTGCCTTGTTCTCAGATTGATCGTTGACATTTGATGGTGTTTCCACAGTTGATGACGTTGATGCTGGTGCTGTGTTGATGTTACCAGTGGTAGGTGATGCCAGAGATGCTGATGCTGTGGCCGTTGTTGTTGACTTCTTCTTCCTCTTTTGCGTGCCACTATACTTCCTCTCAAAGTATTCAATGACAATGGCCTCGTCTGGTGATGGAGAGTTGTCAACAACACTGGTCTTGTTCATCATTAGATAGGAGTCCTTCATCAATCTGAGTAGATGTGCTCGATGCTCAGGATAGAGCGACACGTCAATGTACAAGTCCCATTGACTCTGCAATATCTTCTGTCGTGGATCCTGCTGAGCGTCCACCCCCGTGACAATGGCCGGTGTAGGGGATGCAGTCATCAACTGCATGAACTGATATCGGAGCACGTTGCAGCATGCCAGGTAGCACTTGGATGCCTGCTCCTTGAACTTGATGTCCAACTTGGTCTTTGAGTGAATGATGTCCAGATTGGTGAACTCGTTGTTCTCCTCAAGCAGCTGGATGTAAAAGTCGTAGTACTTCCTAAAGTACCGGTCCAGCTTGCCATCGCCCAGGTAGCCCTCGTTCCACAGACTCCACACGCTGCCACGAGCGAGTCGCGACAGCTTGGGCTTGAGCAGCCTGACAAACTCGCTCAGTGCCAACGCTGATGTGCAGCTCTTCTGATGTCCACTCTGTTGCCTGATGGCCCATGATATACGATAACCAGATTGATGATGGAATGATATCAGTGTCTTGCAGTAGTTGAGTGCTACCACCGCGTTGTCAATGATTAGTTGGCGTCGCTTCTCCAATGTGAGTGGACTTGTGACGGTCGTGGTCGTGGTCGTGTTCGTGGTCGTGGTCGTTGTGGAGTTGGGATTATCGTCGCCCATTGATGTGTCATTGTTCTTGTTGCTGTCGTCTGATGTTGTGATCGCTGAGGTAGTTGGTGTTCCAGCCGCGGCGGTAGCTGGTGGCTGGAAGTTGTACTTCTCCAATAGGGTGATGAGGTCTTCATCCAAATGTTGTGAGGAGTATGGTAGTATCAGCTTGAGGCGACAAGTATGTAGACGATATATTGGTTCGATTGGAGGGTTCTTCTTGGTGAATGTTGGGAGCAATGTTACAGCACGATCAAACATCTCCAAGTACTCTGAAGGTGGTTTTCCCATCTTATACGATATCTTGGCATAGTATAATGGGTAGCTAGTTGGTGTCCGTGTGCGTGTGAGTGAGTGGCAATACATGTTGATCGAATGGAGTGATACTTACAACCATGAATCAGTTGTGGATAACTTCTCGGCTTGTTCAAAGTATGACATTGACTCCATGAATAGGCTATGTAGGTTCTCTTTGTCTTTGGCAAACTCTTTGGACACAAAGCAATGTCGCTCATATAGTAGCAATCCCAAGTATCTGAATATCTGATCTGTTGGTGTCAACTTGGAGATCCTTCTATATATACATCTCAGTTTCTGGAATGATTGATTGGTTAGTATGTAGCTGGCTGGCCTGGCTCGGCAAGGTGATATTTACATCATAGAGTGTCCAGATCTTGACTTGGACTTCATCAGAGGTGGAGACTAGTATTCCTTCCTCGCCAGTGGCGTTGGTCAACTCTGTTTGGAATGATCGCGACAACAAGTCCCATGTCGCTATCCTGTTTGGATTGGAGTATAGGTCTTTCTGTTTGATTGAATGAGTGAGTGTTAGTAAGTTACATGACCGCCACGCCACAGTCCCATGACCTCCAACAACACTAACCTTGAGCAACTCCTCTTTGAATGATATGTTCTCTTGAGTCTGTATGGTGGCAAACATGTAGTAGATGTCTGTGTAGATGTCATCGAATAGTGGGTCGGAGAGGTCAAGGTTGCCATGATCATTGGTCTCACTTCTGTTGAAGATTTGACTAAAGTTGGCACGAGGCGGCGAGGACACTTCGGCCACGTCTCTGACCTCATCACTCTTGCCGGCAAAGTAATCATCGATTGCCTGACGATACTTTGTTATGCGCTCGGGTGGCTCTGGGAACTGATCGTAGAGCTTCTCGATCAACTCCTTAAAGTCCTTTCGACTGCCAATCGATTGGACCATACTGCTTGACTTGACCACGCATGGATTCAATCTGACATTGATCTCGTCCTCCTCGCCCGTCAATATCTTGATCATCCAATATATTTGAATATACACAACTGTTGGCATATCTATATACTTTGAAGAGTGTTCCTCAATGTTGTTCTTGGTTGATGAGAGTGTTAGGCCAAGCCAGGACATGGCAAGTCAATGGGATACATACAGTGAGCTTGATACCAAAGAGACAGTAGAAGCATTGGGAGAGGTCTGTGATCAGCTTGAGTACGGCCATGTCCATTCGGTTCTCGCCTACATCGGTTGGAATGAGTTCTGCGTCGGATGATGTGATGAATCCAAATAGGAGGTCAAAGTAGTGCAAGAGGAATTTGCCATCTTTGCCACAACATGATTTCTTCTTGGCCAGCTCACCATGTAGGTTGGACAACAACATCACTTGATTGGATATTGTCAATGCTGAGTTCAAGTCAACATTGTACACATCCATGAACAATCTAAGCCATTCATATGATACCTGTTTGATTGAGTGAGCGAGTTATGTTAGTGATGTGTCCACGAGGAGGCACAATTTGGAGGGCTGGACAATCATACAATCTTCCTGTAGAATCGATATACAAGGCGAGCGAGGATGGCTGAGAGTGTGGAGATTGGTTCGTTGAGTAGACTCGGTTTCACTGATGATTGGGTTAGTGGATGTCCATGATTCATTGAGTTCCAGTGAGTGATCGAAGTGGAAGAACTTACTATTGTCATGGGAGAATGCTTGTTGGATGATTGTGTAGTAGTTTGAGATCTGATCAGGTGATGCCATCGTTAGTATGGTCACAGAGGACTTACGATGTAACACTTACAAGGTCATTGTTGGTAACGAATGGAGTCAACTCCTTGAGTAGGATGATGGACATCTTTAGAACACCTCGAGTGTTTGATGTGTTGAGATAGGAGTGTAGGAGGAGGTCGATCATGTTGAGGTTGGAGCGAGTTTGGGTGTCGGACTAGCTCTCGCTGTTTGAACTCCAAACTGCTGACGTCTATGAGGGCGAATGCATCAGGGAACAATGGTTCCAGTATGTTGATCACTTGATCAAACTCGCCACTTGTGAATAGTTGTGATGCCTTGTTCTTCTCTTGCTGGTCCTGTAGATGTTCGATGCGTTCGCTAAGCGTGGACTTGGAGATGAATCGATCGTTCGTACAATTGTGCAATATGATGATGTTGTTGCTCTTGGACTCGGGAGTGGCGACCCATCGCGAGAACACCTCATCGCACTCAGTGAAGTGACATGTTGCCAGATTGATATCGCCCATGTGCTTGGCATAGCGAGCAACCAGCCAAAGGTATCGAATGTAGTAAGGTGTGTCTTCGCGGAATTGCCAACATCTGTACTTCAACTGCTGGACCAGATAGCATAGCTTGGCCTCATTGTCCTCCTCAGTGACTTGTACTGTCTTGGCACTCTTTGTCGTCATCTTCTTTGTCTTGTCCATCAACTGCTCATCCTTGCTCCCATCCTTGACTGTCATTATTCTATCGAATGTTATCTCTGCTAGCATAAGGTAGTACTATGTTGTGGGTTGTGAGTGCCAGAGGTTAGTCAGCAGGCGCGAACTATTTGATTGGCATGGATGTGGCGTCGCGGACTTACAATTTGGAATTGATTGGTGTGCTTGTGAATCGTGTCGCTGGTCGCGAGGAGCTGTTGGAGGAGTGGGCCGTCAACTGGACATTTGCTAAGATTGAGTGTGAGATGGTTCAGGAGTGTGATCATCCAGTCGACAATGGTGAGGCTTGAGTTTGTAACACCAGTGTCATTGACAAACTTTGATACCATTGCTTGTTGATTGTTTGTCATTGTAGTCATCGTTTCCGGCACCGCTGTTGTTGTGGTAGAACCCTTGCCATTACTACCCTTGCCTTGTTGTTGTTGTTTGCTCTGTTGTTGATCAATGTCCATTGTCAAGTTTGACATGACAACTGGTGAAACTACCTTGTAGGACTTGAACAACTTGTCTACGTATTCGTCCAGTTTCTCGCTCTCTGGTTTCTCCTCCTTTGCCACACCTCCTCTAATCCTCTCACGTCGCTTTGGTGCTGTTGCTGGGGTTGGCACCGAGCTGCTGCTGCTGTTCAAGCTGTTGGCAGAGGGCGAGCCAATCTCTGATTGAGCCGCGCTCACACTGTTTGAGCTGCCAGATAAGGGCGCGCTGTCCTGTGCCGAGTCCGACTGCTCCTCGTCCATTGGCTGCGCTCCAGTCTTGTCCTGTTGCTCCTGCTCTGTGCCAGACTGCTCCTGTTCTTTGTCCGGTTGTTGATCGATCTCTGGCTTGTCCTCACTGGCATCGATCATCTTTATATCGGAAGAGGGATTGACCGCAACGATATTGACGAATGAGTATTGGTCGAGGGCGTCAGTTGATGTCCCCTTTGCGTTGTAGATCGATGTGAGAAGGGAGTGCAGACAGTCCCAAGACAGAGTCACCAACACATATTGGCTTGTTGATGGTCCTGCTGAAGAGGTCGATGTGTCCTGATTCGATATGTCGATCTGTTGTGACGACAGTACCTTCTCACGGCGCTTCATGAGTGCTTGGATATAGGTGCGCGCATTCGGGTCGTCGAGTATCTTGCGGCTGTCTATGTCCAATGGCAACCCGTTGCTGCTGTCTTGTTGTTGTGGCTCCTGTCGCAGGAGAGCTGTATATAGAAGGAGCATCCTAGAGTTGCTCGAGTCGATTGACAATGAACGTTGAATGATCTGCTTGCAGCATGATGTGTCGCCAATGATGAACAGTAGCTCGGCCAGTCGCTCCAGTGACATCCAATGGCTTGGCGACATGCGCAGTGCCGTCTCAAATGCAACACGGGCAACATTCCACTTGGACAGCTCAGATGCTATGCGTCCAATGTTGAACCAGACGAGTAGATCGCCGCCGTCGAGATCAACAGCCTGTACAAAGTATGACAGTGCACGCTCCTTATCATCCATTGACTCATAGATCGTTGCCAGATTCTTGAGTGTGGAGTACTTGAGCAGCTGCATTGCCGATGTGATTGATGGGTCGTCGCCCAACAGTGGTGAGTGCAGCAGGTTGAGGTAATGTTGCTGTGCTTCAAGGTAGTTTGCCTTCTGCTGTGCACGCAATGCGCGTTCATACGTCGCAAAGTTCGATGCCTCCTGTGCCTCAACAGACACTGTCTGTTCTCTTTCCGAGTCAGAGTCATCTCCTGTATTGATTGCTGCGAACTTTATCTGTTGTTGTCATTCGTACGTAGATATAGATGTTAGTGTCAATAACGATGACAGGTCTCTGTCTTCATAGATGTGTGTTACCATTGTTGTTGTTGTTGATATGTGATTGAATGTAAGGTGAGAGAAGCGTCACCATCACCTAGACTGTATGTATCTATATGTATGTGTATGTATATCTGCAAGGTGGTGACAGACGTCAATGAGTTGCAACACTGTGAGTAGCACACTAAAGTGGAAGTGACAGCTCGTCTAACCTTGCACTTCACCTAATCTCATCTCTAACTTCCATTTTCAACTTCTGATTCTTGTCATTCGATTCCAAAGCCCGCCATCATTGAACAAAGATACATAACAAACAAATACACTCACTCACTCACTCACTAGAATGGATAGTAGGTAATAGGTATGTAATATACATCTTGTTGACCTGTCAAGGTCATCAAGAAAGGTAGTTATTCGGTTACTTTATTGACATGGCCCCCAACTTCAACTTGAACGATCAGTTCTTGTCTAGAGGTATCTTTAGCAACTGGGGAGATGGATAGGATGTGTAGTAGACTACAGATGGTTCGGGTGGATTCGTACGGGGTGGATTCGTACGAGATGTTCTCGTAGCAGGTGGCATTGCCTGGTATTGGTTGTTGGCTGGTGGATCTGCCACCACTGGACTTGGAACAAATGAAGGTCCAGCAATGCAATGAGCATGAGCGGCAGCCTCCTCATCTCGTGCTTTGGCCAGTTTCTTGTTTGTTTGACTGGAGGCCTTGCATGTACATATCAAGATAATGAGAATGATGATTACGACTGGTATAAATATTGAGTATAAAGCTACAGCACCGCCATTGTTATCGTTATTGTTGTTGTCGTCGTTATCTGGTGAAGGTGTGTAACTGGTGTAGGTATATGTATAAGAGTTGGATGAGCCACTGGTGTAGGTGATAGAGGAGTAACCATTGCTAATATATTCATTGTTTAGAAGTTGACTCTTGCAATCCGAGCATACTGATATCCTGCCACCATCGTTCAATAACAGATTTCCAGATTGATTGTAACAGATATAGTTCACTTGCTCAGCAACATTGTATTGGATATCGTAAGTACAATTGCTCTCCACACCAACACAACATCCAATATAACTATTTGTTATTGTTGTGTCTTTTGTAGTTGATGATCCAGATGTACTTGTCGTGGAGGTGGCGGATCCAATGCCCACCATCAAGGCCAGAGCAAACAATGTTATTGTGGCTGCTGCGAATTTGTAGTTGATATGTTTAGACATATCAAGGGTAAGGTTATTATTGGTATCTGATGATCAACAACAATCAAGAGTTCAATCAATCAATCTATCTATTTAAGTTGATGGACGCGTATCACGAATTGCATTGATAGAGTGCAAATCTGATCAGGGAAAGGACCTTGCGACAACAAGCGACCCACAAAAACTACCAGGCCTGTGTGAATCTTGGCCAGGCAAGATGCCCAATCAGTTTGATGGTTTGATGATCATCACTGGTGAAAGCAACTTCCATGGGTTTACCCACTTCAAACTCCGAAGAGGATTCTGCATCCATAAGTCCGTGTCTGACCCAACTTTGTCAATGTACCTGACACCTAAAGACAAACAAGACATCATAATGATATCAATGTTCACTATTATTAACTTGTCCTTTGCCTTCTTGCAAGAAAGAGGAGGTATTTATGTTGTCCATGTCTTTGATCAATCGGAAGATGCCAAGATCACATAGTAGTACTAACTTTGTTACTAAAGATAGGATGTCACCAATCTACAATAGTGATGAGTTACATTCTAACCCACTCCTCCACTTGAATCAGTAAGTCAGGCCAATCGGTAGACCAACAATATACACATACACAGTAGTTTATAACCAATCAATTAACCAAACTCGATCTATCTAGCTATGTATGTATGTATGAGGTAACACCCAATGTTGGAGACCAAGTCAGATAGGTAGGACACACCATTCAACAACAACAACAACTTGTGACCACTTTACTTAAGAGTGTGAGTTACAAATGAGCCTTTCGACGACGATTGATGTTGACTTTCTATCAATCAATCAATCAAGCAATCAATCAATCACGTGACAACCTAATCTATTTGTAGGGTCTTTGCCCAACCACAATGCTCCGAGTTGGCCTGTGTGAGTCAAATATGAAGGTTTTGATGGACAAGACCATCAAGGCCCTGTTTGCCACCCGTGGTCAATCAACACTCCGGAGTGTGGGTGGGTGAATGCCTATCTCAAGGAGTGTGATGGTGTTCTATTACTATTCAGGGAAGACCCTGAACCCAATCATAAGCTTAATTAAATAATAGGATTGGATGATCTACCTCGCGAGGACTGACTGTGTGACTCTTGGGCATTGGATGCGTGTCTGTCTGTCTGTGTGTCCAAGCTACATCTAATCATCTATTGTTGTTTGGTTGTTGTTATTATTGACCGACACAACATCAATCAAACATTCATTCACACAATAAATCATTCAATCAATCAAACAATCAATCAATATCACATCTGTGTGTGTCCTTAAAGGTTAAGCCTCGAGTACATCTCAAACACTTTCCAACACCAGCAATCAGATACCTTCTCCCCCTCATATTTTATAGAGACACTGATCAATCAAACAATCAATCAACCCAATCTTGTCCTATATCCATATACATTCTCATCACTCTCAACGTCCTGTCTCTCTCCATCCATCCTTTATAACTGTGATCGAAAAATAATACCCTACTATATTGGGTCCAGCACAATCAACTTAATCAATCAGTCTATTCAATCATAAATAATATAATAGTAATAATATAATAATATAATATAACAATATATAATGAATCCAACAATGTTTGAGAATAGGGACTTGTCCTCCCAACAATACTTCCTACAACTGGCAATGTGTTTGTCAGAGAGACGCGAGAATAAGGCAATGATGAAACAACAACTTAATACAAAGACGAAGAGGGTTACGAAGAGAGCATCGATTGATTCGTTGGACATCAAAAGCGCAATGATGCACCAGCAACATCAACAAATACCATCAGTACCAACGCAACCCCTGATCGTGGAGAGGAACCAGCCATCAAACAAAGAGAAGGTACTGAACCATGGCACCGCCGCCAAGATACTTTACAACTTGGCGGATTCTCCAGCCCCAGTCCACTCCCACTTGGCCAAGCAGACCAAGATTGTACACAAGCGTCACTCTATCAATTCCTACATGCCAAACAGCATCGAAACACAAATCCAGCGTCAAATCAACATGCTACACAACCCACATGTGCAGCAACAACAAGTCGTCCCGCAGCAGCAGTCCGTCCTCCAATCGCCTCCCCAACCTCACAACATGCTACAGTTGCAACCCGAGTATGTGCCGGCGTCCCCGACGAGTGCCACACAAGCGGGAGGCAATGAGTTTGACATTGGAGTGTTCAACAAGCAGTTCAAGAAATGTATTGCCTTGCCACCCATACCAAAGGATCGCCCACCTTTAGCCCCATCATCATCCAAGAGTGAGAGTGAGAGTGCACTGTTCAACCAAAGTATAAAGTCACTTCCAAGTCTAATGCCAATGAACCATCACATCAACAATAACACCAACAATACCAACCATGTAAACTTGCCTGCGATACAAGATGTGGCTTCCCCAAGACCAACGCTTGACCTTCCACCAATCCAAAGTTCTGTCGTATAACAGATCACAATATTCACGAATGTAGTACTATTATAAATGTAATAAATCATACTTTATTTAACCGATTAATCAATAGATCACGAGCAAGATATCTTGGGATCATGGAGCCATACCATAGTTTGATGGATTGATTGATCATCTTCACTCACTTTCAAACTGTTTGTATCTTGTAGCACTGCTATAACATAAGGAATACAATCTGATCAAAAACAGTCGACCAATCAAACAACCAATCAATCAATCATCTTTTCTATATTGGTGTAGGGTTAACTAATTAATTTGTATCTATCACCAAAGATGGAAGGAACATCAACATCATTCAGGACACAGGCCGACATACAAACGTCTATTCATAGATGTTGCGACAACAATTGAATTGAACAACACAACACAACACTAAACACTAACCATTCTAAAGTGTTATAACACCTTGAGGACCAACTCAAAAGAGTGTGTCGAAGCCCCAACAATCGTGAGCTCGATGTGTTTGATCAATCAACTCACACTGATTCCTATTTTTGGTGTGTGACATCACACATCAAGATGGGGTAAATGAGTGTATGTGTGTGAACTATGATTGATTGATGGGGGCTAAGGGGTGAAGCCCTCGTTCGACTCATTCACTCACTAACTGGATTGATTGATTGGAGGTCAACATGTAATAAAGTGAGTGGTCCTCAAGCCTCCATTCGCACTCTTCTTGTTGGGCATACTGACATAATTACCAACAGGTGAGCGCACTGCACACGTCAATGGCCCATCAGAAGCCCATCATCTCTTGTTTACAACGCACCTTATAAGGGTTTAATTAGATTGATGGATGTTATGTGATGTGAAGTGATGTGTGTCTTGTGTCTCTCTCTCTCCTTGACTTGCTAGAGTTGTGTGTTCGAGCATAAAGTAGACTTAAGTCTCTGCCTTCTTGGTTACTTCACCAACTTACTCACTTACCTGTATACACATACACATAGATATCTACATCTATATCTACATCTACAAACTTATTTATACTCTTATATCTATTACTTCCATCTTCAACCTCCACATCCAAGTCCACTCATTCAATCAAACAAACATGGACTACCAACTACCACTACATAATATATACTCTTTGTTCGATAGCCACTCCAACCATGGCTTGATCCAACTTCCAGCATGGTCCACAGCACAATCTTTTGCTCAACAGCAGCTACTCCTGCAACAACAGCAGAAGCTGCAGCAGCAGCAAAAGTCCACCAACAACACAACTTCTACTTCTACTTCTACTTCCAACTCTACTACTTCACAGGCATGGCCTGTACCAAAAGCACCTACTACACTACCAATGTCAACTATTATTGCTGCTCCAACTATTCCATCCACTACTATTACCGCTCCAAATATGCTTACATCTACATCCTGTCCAAGTTTCAACTTTGACTACTCACAGGAGGACAACTCCTACTTCAACGACAACTTGCTATTCAATTTCTACTCATCGTCCACCACGTCTCAGTCGGTATCGGATGGAAACAGCTATGTTAGTGTCAGTGGAAGTGATATCTCATCTCCAACATCATCACAATATGATGACATTGATGCCGTCTCGTCATGTCTTGGCTCATCCACCGACTCCTTCTTGCACTACATGTCCACATCTCCCAGTATGTGCATGTCTCCACTCTCCTCGTCTCCAATCTCCAATTCATCATCACCATCCTCCGCATTGTCACTGGCAATGAAGAAGAAGAACATCTCACCAGAGTCCAAAGGTATGTTTGGGGTCATTCATCACGATCAATCATTCAATCAATCAACCAACTCACACCCAATCAATCAAACAGAGTCCACTCTATTCGTTTACAACTTGCCAATCAATGTGAATCCAGAACTAGTCCTTGCCAGGTTCAGGGAGTTTGGCAGGATCTTGGATGATCAGTGCCACTTTATCTCTCGCTACTGCTACATCACATACGCTGACAAGGAGGACTGCCGCCGCGCCTACAACAAGTTGAATGGCGCACCCTTCCAGGGCCAGGAGCTCAAGATCCTCAAGAGCGACCCAACCAACCCCAAGTCCAGTCTGTACATCACATTCAACGCCGCCGAGGTGTCCAAGGACTTCAGACTGCAGATCATCCGCAAGTCCAAGACATTTGGCAAGGTGATCCACTGCTCGATCCCCACCCTCCCCAACGGAGACTACTGTGGCTATGGCTTCATTCACTTCAAGAATCAGCCCATTGGCATCCAGAGTGCCATCGACACCTTGATGTACTTCCAGAAGAACCTCTTCAATGGCACTCTCAAGGTTGAGTGTTTCCTCTCCAAGAACAAATTCCCAAGAGAGAGCAACAAGTGTCTTCTCACAAAGTAGTCCAGTCAGTCCAGTTTATGTACACCATTCATTCAATCTTCAAACCAACAGAGTCATCTACCCTATTCAATCATATCCAGCCATTCATCATCTCCACCTACTTAGCTAGCTCTTTGTTCATCAATAGTGTTACTTATCTACTTCCATACTTACTTCCCAAGTTGTACATGTTTGTGTATATATACGAATAAATCTTCATACTTCTTCATTATGATGTATATATTATTATCACTATCTAACTTCCTATCTATCTTTATTGATCAATAACTCTGTCTCTGGTATACCAAACCTAATTGGATAACCTGATGGATTGCGAACGACTATACAACTTGTTGGGTCGTAGTTTGGTTCAGTGAGTGACATAAGTAAGTCCTGCATCGTACTATATGCTGGTAAGTTCATGAAGGTGCCACGCATCTGAGTCAAGTCCTCCAATGTCAATGCCTGTACATTCGAGCTGAGTTAGGGCGAGGGTTAGGGCAAGGGTTAGGGTTAGGGTGAGGGTTTGGACTTTGGTGACTAATCTTACTTGATGAACAATGGATTCATTTGGAATGGTCTGAATATTATCCAAAGGAATGAGATGGCTATAAGTGATATGATCTCTGCCAAACAGAATGTTATCCAATATAGATGCCAAACAATGATTATTCGCATACAGTTGGCAATCAATATTCCACAAAGATACAACACAACTGCTGTCCTCATATACTTGAATGCTCTCTTCTTCATAGAATATACAACAGCCAATCCATTCTGATTTGATGTCCTAAATGGTTGATGAATGATTGAGTGAGTTACATGTTTGATTGATTGAATGATTGATTGGAATAGTTCCAAGGACATACCTGGCAATTGCAATTTGTGTCTCCAAAACACGAATGTTCTTGGTAAAGTTTGAGAATAACTTGGGCATCATGAAGAAGTAGAGTATCATAAGGCTGAGGAGATAGTAGACATCGTTGTAGAAGCTAAAGAATAGTAGCAATGCCATGAGTAGCCATAGTATGATAACAATGGTTCGTACTTCCAGTGGATATAGTACTGCTCGTGTGATCTTCCAACCTTTGGCTAAAAATAGTAGTGCTGCAAAGAATGATGTCTCGGCCAGTGCATAGAATATGTTCTGCAGGTAGCGCAACGCGGGACTGAAGTAGCCGTTGACGTCGGCCGAGCGCCAATATATGTAGACAAGCGTGATGAGGATCATGCGCAGCAGCAACACAACCTCCAGCACCGTGTGTATGTTGTTGGTGAATGGTTTGTTGCGGTGCACATAGATCAGCACCTGCGACGACAGAAAGGCGTACAGTATCACCATGGCCAGATAGACCGAGGGCAGCTGGAGGTAGCCGCGCGGCAGTTGGTGTCCGTCCGGATTGATGAGTGTGTACCTGAGCGACAGCTCGACCTCGAGTGATGAGTTGCACTTTAGTATGATGAAACGGTAGATGCTGTCGGCGCTCACTGTGCCGCTGATGCTAAAGCCGTCCTGTGTGATGTTGGCGCCGGCCACGTCGCACCTGCCGGCCGACGGATTGGCACACAGCTCAGTCTCGATGGCATTGGCGCCAGACGAGCCTATCAAGCTCATGTAGCTATTGTCCTGGCACAGCCAGAATGTGAGTGTTGGCGTGGTGGTTGTGCGTGTTGAGTTTCCGCCGCCAAAGTTTGAGTTTCCACCGCCGCCAATGATGTTGTTGTCGTCAATTGATGAATCAATCAGTATATCGACAGAGTATGATCCACCTTGATTATAACCAAACTGTCTAAACATATTATATTGTGATGAGAATTCTATGTGATCCTCATACTTCATTGCACTGACCTCCATCACCATCATCACCATCATTATATATATTAATGTACATCTTATTCCTATTCTTTGTTTGTTTGTTATTATAATTATTGTCATCTTTGTTTTATCTATTTACATAACTTTATACATATATATTTAACTATATCTTTATCTTTATCTCTATCTCTATCTCTTTGCAAAGACACTCGCTCCCTCACTAACTCAAGACAACACGAATCATCAGCTGTTTGGTGTAGGTAGGTAGGAAAGAAGGAAGGTCAACCAACTGGTCTGAATAGCCCTTCCCTCGAAGCCATCAAACAGGTGCCTTCATCACCCCACAAAATATCACGAGAGTCTCTCAGCGTCGTTTTTGATCAAAACGGTGTATTAGCTAGCGTGTTGTGGTCCCCAGGTCAGCCTTCCCCGTAACCCCATGAACCGGGTCCACCACCTAAACGAACGATCTTGTCGAGTTGATTCGTCATGCTCACAGAACACATGAGTGATACAATGGAACATAGATCCATTCATCATCTTGGCTTGATACATATGTATGTGTGTTTGTGTGTCCTTCTAGCTATGTTTGATTGATTGATTGATTGACTGATTGGGTGCTACTGTAGTGACCAATCAATCCAATTTAGATGTTTAGTTGTTTAACAGCAAATTGTGGCAAGACGAATGATGCCTTGTGTACGCTCTCGTTATAGTACTGCATCTTATCAATCATGTCAGCTGTGACTGGACGCACTGGTGATTTACATGAGTTAGCAGTGCCTACCATTATTATGTTTGATTGTTGTGGAAGTAATAAGTAAGTAATAAAGTAAGTAATCAATCCTTGAACCATCGATCATATTGATTGATGTGTGATGTGATGATACATACTGCAGACTAACAAACCGATTGAACCTCCTGGATAGGATGGGATGGAGGTGTAGGCATACTCGACATGTGGGAAGATCTCCTTGCAGAAGGTTGTTAGGTTCTTGATTGTGTCGAGGTGAAGCCAGAGACTCTCGGCTTGTGAACAGACGATGCCACCTGGTGCCAAAGCCTCCTTGAGCAACTCGTAGTAGGCGCGCTCAAACAGGCCTTGTGCTGGACCGATGGGGTCGGACGAGTCGGTGATGATCACGTCAAACTCGCCCTTGCGCTGGCGCATGAATTCCAGGCCATCGCCAATGAACAGTGTGACCTTGGGATGGTCGAATCCGACGGCCATCTTGGGGAGGAAGCGACGCGATGCCTCAATAACGCCGGCGTCAATCTCGCACAGGGTCACCGACTCGACCAATGGGTGCTTAACAACCTCGCGCAGCACTCCACCATCGCCACCGCCAACAACCAACACCCTCTTTGGTGATGGATGAGCAAACAATGGTACATGTGTAATCATCTCTTGATAAGCAAACTCGTCTCTCTCAGTCGCCTGTATAACTCCATCCAACACCAACACATTGCCGAATGTCTTTGACTTGAATACCAATATATCCTATCATGATGATCGATCGAGTATGAACACGTCAGTCTCTGTCCTGTCGGTCGTTCATGCATCCACACATACTTGATACTCTGTCTTCTGTTGATGCAACACCTGTTCAACCTGCAAAGAGAATGAGTTACCAGGCCAGAACTCACTAATCTCACTAAACCATCCTTTGTTGATTTGATCCATGTCTATTAGATTGTATTGTATATGTTGTATATGTATGTTTTAATGAATGAATGAATGAATGAGAACAAGCACTTTGAGCTCAACAATGAAGGGGGGCCACACTCTGAACGCGCGACCCACATTCGTTCGTTCAAAATGAGTGAAGTTCGCCGATGGTCCAATCCTTGGACTTTGGACTATGGACCTTCGACCCATTAGTTGACATGTCTATGTTTATTTGTTCTTAAATATCTTGCCCATCCGCAGGAATGTATGCTTGATGTAGACTCCCTTCTTATTTAGGAAGACGACAGTTACTGCTATGACGATCGCGACAAATGCAATGCCACCGACTACTACACCAGTGATCAGTTTCCATCCTTGATCAGTGGCTGGATTACAACTTGATGGTGCACTTCCATCACCACGAACGAGGAATCCAAAATCAGGATCCATCTCTAATCTATCGCTAAACGCTGGCGACACTGCCACGATGGTCATATTATCAAGATTGTCCACTGTGTACAAGTTGAGCACTCTTGGCGTCTCGTCCAACACTACTCGATTGATGAATCGTCCTACAATATTGTTTCCACTCGAGTCTGTGATGTTGATGGTTGACACGGGACCAGAGTTGAGCAGGTGTCCATTGATCAGCTGGTCACAGCTGCCACCATTGATCCTGGACACGGTGCTGTGTATCTCCAGCGTGTTGAGATAGCTCGCGAAGCGCCACTTGTTGATCGCCACATTGTACTTGAGCGAACCAAGGTCGATTGTGAACAGCTGGTTGGCAAACTCAAACATCATGTTGGTGTTCCGAGTCACACCTTCGATGCGCTGGTACTGTAGGAACGTCACGACGATCGAGTCGGTAATGTTTGGCACTGACGTGTTGTAGGTCCAGCGCGACTCGAGCACTGTGTCGTTGGTGACGGGCGCGGTGACCGTTGTGTTGGCCGCGTTTACCATGAACCACATCAGACTGGACACGTTTACGCTCTTGACCAGGGCGTTGGTTGAGTCTCGCTCAATGATCTCATTGATCGCGAATGAGAAGTAGACGCCCTTGGATGTGATGTTGATGGCTGGTGTGTTTGGACTGTTCTCGATCGTGCCGTTATTCACATTCTGGATGGTGATGCGCTCCTCGCAGTACGATCCCTTCCACTCGTTGTCGCAGACACATATATTGTCCGTGCAGTTGCCGTGTGATGAGCACGTGCCACCTTGTCTGTCCAGACAGTAGTTGATCTTCTCTGGCAATGTACTACCATTGGAATTGGCATACAATGGATTGAAGAATGTGTTGGTCAATGTTAGACGAAGATAATGTAACTTGTTTGGTAACAAGTTCTGAATGCTACATGTCAAATCCTGAGTCTTGACGCAGACATCACTCCAAGTGACACTATTCAAACTGATTGAAACTGTATAGTACGTCTCATTTGGTACACCTCCATTACTCTGAGTCCATGAAGCCTGTATCGTCGACTCTGTCGTCACCAATGGCCTGAAGAGTGTCCTGGAAGGATCTATAATTGATTGATTGTTTGAATGATTGTATGAGTGAGTGAGTGAGCGAGGGAAGCCCTGCGCTGGACCAACCTACATAGGTATATCATGATCCCCTTGCTGGATGTTTTGGAGAAGCCATCACTGTCGACCTTCACATCAATTTGGTAGTATTGGCCAAGTGCTGGATTCTTGAGCTCGCAATATGTTGATGTGATGAGGATGCAGGATGGGATGGCAGTGCCATTGGCAGAGACTGTGTATGTGTTGCTTCCACTACCTCCACTAGTGTTGTAATATACACTGATTGAGTTGCTCGAGATATTCTGGACCAATGTGATCGTTGGCGCTTGAACTGTTTTGAGTGTTGTGAAGGATGCCGTGTTGCTGGTGATCAATTGATCGTCTGGCTTGTTGGCTGACACTTTGACCGTGTAGGTCGTGTCGGGTTCTAGTCCAGTGGCATCGTACCTGTTGAGTGAAGTGTTGGTCTGGACCGGATTGCCATTGATCGATACATTGTAATATGTAGTGACCGACGTGTTGCCACCATCTGCAATATATTGAATGATGGCTGATGCTGTGGACGGCGTAATAATGATGCGTGGCGGCAACAACACGCCGGAGATGTCAACCAACTTCCAGATTTCGACAACCGTCCCCTCATTGCTCGCGCTTACCGAGACATTGTACGTGATGCCCTTGGTCAGATTGGGAATGGAACATAGCTTCTCGGTGGAGTTGCACATCATTGTACCATTGAGCCTCGTGACAAAGTAGAATGGGGAGTTGATGTCTCCGCCCTTTGTTCGGAAAGTGATGTTGAGACGGCCATCTGCACCATAGGTTGGCGTGAAGTTTGGCAGTGAAACAGCTACCAAGGTTGCGATTGTCATTGTCTGCGAGCTACTTGAGAACTTTGACCCACTGGCCACACCGACCGAGATGGTATAGTTGGTGTTTGGGTCGAGTCCCATAAACTTGCACGTTGTGTTCCTGATGCAATTAGTATCACTGTATGGCACTCCATTCAGCGTGTAATTGAACACATATGTTGAGGGTCCCAGTCCACCTGTAGCATTATAGCTCACTGTTATGGTCCTGGTAGTACGTCCATCCATAGCCATTGTAGTCATTGAAGGTGCTATTTAGATTGATGGATTAATTGATTGATTGGAGGAGTCATTGAGTTAGTGATTGATTGAGTGGAATGATTCCAGACCCCGCCCGCCTGGACATGTCCAAGTCCATAGTATGTCACTTACCAGTTGGCATGGTAACAGTATATTCAACAGATGTGGGCACAACTGTGGAGAAATAGTCGACACCTGTGAGACTGAAACTGTACTTGGTGGGCGTAACTGGAAGGTTGGCAGGTAGGCGTAGGTCACAAGGTGTCGTTGCAGAGTAGCATGGTCTGTTTGTGTTATCTGCCAGATTCATTAGATTCCAGTTCGTATCCACACCTTGATAGTATCCGATGAAGTAGTAGCCCATTGACATGAGCCATCCAGATGGTATGAATGACGACACTCGAATGACATCATAATCAATGGCACTCACTGTCAATGTGAATGTCAATGGTTGAGTACGCATGAATGCATTGGCCACATCATTAGAGTTCTGACAAGTAGCATTATAGTCAATAAACATTGTTTGTGACATGGCCGAGCATGTCTTGTCGGTCATATCCAGGATCATTGATATCAAGCCACTCGTCTGCGACTTCTTTGCATACTGTCCATTCCACGCATCACTTGCAACACAAATATCCCTCTGTTGACTATGTCTTGATGTCGAGTCTGTTTGACATCCACTATGTTTGGGCATGGTTGGGGAGGGGGATGTGTTAGGCCGAGGCTGAGGCTTAGGCTGGGATCATTCCACCCATCGATCAATCAATCAATCACACTGATTACATACGATTCAACAGCCTTTCGTTCGTAGAAGATCATGTCGGTGCTTGGTAGGACGGTGTAGGGGGAGAAGGAGAGTTTGGCGTCTGATATACATGTGTCGGTTGTGTATGATTTGGGATTGGAAACACCGCTGCAATCAGATGTAGTGTCATAATTGTTTTGAACTACTAATGTCGTTGAACTCTGTGTATACTTGAATGATCCACCAGTCTTTGCATAACATATATCCAACTTATATGATGATGCCTTATTCTTTGAAGCATCACTACATGATGATGAAGTTGTAAAATGTACTACATGTACATATTGTCCATTTCCAGAATCAACAACAAATAATAATAATATTAATAATACAGATAATAATGATTTATACATCTTATACATATATGAATTAGTATGGATAAATAACTGTTTAGGTAGGGACATGAAGATGATGATAATACTTGCGTTATGGTCGATGGGGTATGGTCCAAACTCCCTTCCGCGGATCGATCACAAGGTGATCAGATCAAAAATAGTTTGGAAAATTGTGTGTTCTTGGCCCTCCGATGAAAAGCCACATCTTGAGACCCTACACAAACACCCAAACATGGGTCAAAATACCCATTCAATGATTTTACGACCCATTGTTGATGTCATGTCTCGACAAAGAGAAGATTTGATTGAATGCGCGCGTGGACAATGAATGATTGAAGTCTTCCACCAGGTGGTTGGAGATAATAACGATAAAGCCAAATCAATGGACAATATTACATATATTGTTGATTGATTGAATGATCAATAGTCTGCGGGGAGTGAGTCGACCCATGCGGGGAAGTCGAACTTTAGAGTACCACCATACTCTTCCAGGAGATGTGATGGATCGATGACGTCTTTCATGGCCTCTTTCTTTCCAATGACCTTGACACGACGTACCAACTTGGACTTGATAAACTTCTTGGCCAATGACAGTAGGAATCGCAAGAAGAATGGTTGATTGATCAAATATATTGCCTGGGCTCTGCCTGGGAACACATTCTCCATTGCCAACTTCATCTCCTTCAATGACTCTGGCAAACGTTGATCAAAGTTCTTCATTCCAACATTCTTCAAGTCCTCCACAATAACCATACCATTCCTGTGTGCAATAGCCCTAATGATCATTGATTGATTGAGTTAGTGAGTGGAATGATTCCAAAAGGAGGGGCGTCAAATTATTGATAGAGTGAGTGATTGATTGGGTGATAGGAATGATTCCAAGCGGTGGCATGGGGTGGGATCAAATGATTGATTGAGTGACTGTTGAGCGATTGATTGAATGAGTGGAATGATTCCAAGAGAGGTGCCATGGGTCAAATGATTGATTGATTGATTGATTGAGTGATTGAGTGAGTGAGGGGGATGACACCCAAACATACTCTTCATAGATGGTGATATCTGAGTTCCAGAGCATGGAAGCTACCATTTCTTTGAGGGTGTAGTTCTTGGGGAGGAGATGGCATGGGTGGAGGTAGGCAATGATGCGACCATCTTGATCACGTTTGTTGGGGACGAAGAAGCTGTACATCTTCTTGACGATCTCAATGTTGACATCGGACTTGCGCACTGGGAATGGCAGGTCCAGCTTCTTCCTGAATGCCAAGTTATTTGACAACAGCTCACAAGCCTTCTCAACATTCAATTTCTTTGAGAATAAGTATACCATCAAATATTGATCAGGTATATTATTGGTCACTGGTTGTTTCTTAAAGTCATCCAACGCCTGCAACTCCAGCTCTGTCAGTCCAGTCAACACTGGGAATACTTGTATAGTTTCCATTATTATTTAAATATAAATGATTGAATGATTGAATGTTATATGATTATATGATTGATTGAATGATTGAATGAATGAATGATTGAATTGGTATAAAGCTTTATTTATAAATAGTTAAAGAGATATTTAATGGTACAAAGCATCATTGTGCAAATATCCTAAAAAGTAGAGTTGGTCGATGGGGTGAGGGGTTGATGAGAGGGTTTTGTGCTGGGCGAACCAGGCCCAGGATCAATTATTTGACCTGGTTTTCAAACAATTTTGATGGTTAGTTGATGAAACGATGGGTTGTGGTGGTAGACGAACTATCCGACGACGGACGGAACAGTTATCGACATCACCATCACTAAGAAACCAGGCCTGTGCTCCTGTTTGTTGGTAGACCGTTACTTCTTCTACTCCTGGTCCGCTCTCTCTTATTGATTAATCCTACCATCCCAACCTCCATCCTTACGTCATCCTGGATGGAAGGAAGTAAGTAACATTACATCATGATCCCGAATGCTTACTCGCCAGGAACTTACCTCCTTCTACATCATAGATGTTGTAGTTGTTGAATAGGGGATGACCAGTGTAGACCTCGATAACCAGTTATCGATCGTTGTTACTATGTCATTAAGTATAATTATTACTTAACTTAGAATGAATGTATAAATAAATGAATGAATATGAAGAGTACTTGGTGAACATGTATGGGCCCTCACCCATTAAGTCGTCTAGTGATGACGTGTGGACAAGACAATGAAGTGTTATGAATGAAATCAAAGTGCAAATGAATGAGATAAACAATGCGCGAACATGAGGTAATCTGTTGATGTTGAACCTCATCACCCCACCACTTTAAGATGTTGTTGTCGGATGTGAGTTGGGCGCCACCCATTATTACATCATTCATTATCACCATTCATCAATCATTCACCATTCATTCGATCTAACATTAATGCATAACTTATAAATATTACCATCGATGAGCTATTACTTATAGTCTACTTACTTGTAACATCACTCAATCATTCAAATCAATCAATCAATCAATCAATCAATCAATCATTCTATCAAACAATGCTATCTTTTAGCAAGACACGCTCATGCGTGCAATGGACAACATCATACTTGGCTGGAAGTTTGAATAGAGCACGTCCATTATCATCATCCAACAACATAATCAATATTGTACCATTTAACAACAGCAATACATTTATAAGATCATTCACATCATGCGCTAGCAGTAGAACTAGCAACAACTCGAGGAGGATCAACAACTCTTCACAGTTATTCACACACCTAAGTGCCAACAATGCACCTAGCTCATTATTCTTTAATTCATCATCTTCCTCCCATTACACTACCAGCGCATCAGCTGCTTCGACAGCTCACCAGCAGCAACAAGTTGACAACTCACAACAACATGGCAAGGGACAGACCAACAACAACAGTCAACAACAGTCATCATCATCATCATTTAACTTACTAAGTATGTAGGATGGTCGTCTTGACTGATGGAACATTGATTGACTCACACACACAATGTCTGATCAATCAATGAATGGATGGAACAGATTACAAGAAGACACTGTTGTTGCTATTGTCTGGATTGTCATTGGCCGCGTATATTAAGATGTTTCCAGACTCTGAGGCAGCACTGTACGCACGTATCTTTATGCGTTTCCAACGTGCCATCAGGACTGCATTGTTGGTATCGATCAATTATAAGATGCTTGCGAGGACGCCACTGACAGACCCGAGCTATCCCGCCAAGGAGAAGATCTGTCAGAAGGATTCGGCCGTCAAGATATTGGAACTATGTCTGACCAATGGAGGACTGTACGTCAAGGCCGGCCAGTACATTGCGTCACTCAATCACATCTTGCCACTAGAGTACACCAAGACCCTTGAGGTACTCCAAGATCAAGCACCATGGAGGCAATACGATGACATTGCTGTCGTATTCAAAGATGATCTCGGTCATTATCCAGAGTTCTAGTATGTTTGTGGATGGCGTCATCTCAATCAATCGATCAACTCACTCACTCTATCACTCAATCAATCAATCAAACACAGCTTTAAGGAGTTTGAGAAGACTCCAATCGCTGCAGCATCGTTGGCACAGGTACATAGAGCTTGGACTAGGGACAATGATGAGGTGGCTGTAAAGATACAGTATCCAGACTTACAGGCTAACTTTGAGAGCGATGTATTCACTCACAAGATCCTGCTCAAGATGATCAACTATGCATTCCCAGACTTTGAATTCAACTGGATCGCTGATGAGATGCGCAACGTACTTGTCAAGGAGATGGACTTTGTCCAAGAGGCAGACAATGCCGATCGAACTGCCCGAGATCTTCGCGACAATCCAGACGTCCACATCCCAAAGATATTCAGAGTGAGTGTCACCATCTCACAATGTCGATGTCATCATGTCATCATGTCATCACTCAATCACTCACTCACTCAATCAATCCAATTCAATCAACCGTAGGATTACTCAAGTAGGAGGATATTGACAACAGAGTTTATACATGGATGCAAGGTGAATAGTGTGGAGAAGATTAGAGCGCTGGGATTGCGTGAGAAGGATGTGGCACAGAAGTTGTTGGAGATTGCAAGTGAACAGATATTCATACATGGCTTTGTCCATGTTGATCCACATGCTGGAAACATCCTGGTGCGTAGACATCCCGACAATCCAAAGATGCCACAGATAGTGCTGCTCGATCATGGCTTGTATCGCGAGCTTGACGATCAGTTCCGCCAGAACTTCTGCCATCTCTACAAGAACTTGGTGCTGTGCAACAATGAGAAGGTCAAGAAGTACAGTGCATTGCTGGGCATTGAGAACTACCAACTGTTCTCTACCATTGTGCTCATGCGTAGGTTTGAGACGGCCAGCGTTGGTCTTGGTACCAAGTTGTCCAAAGAAGACCTGCACAAGATGATGGACGATGCCATGGAGAAGATGAAGGAGATCAATCAGTTGATGAAGTCAATGCCCAGACATCTATTACTCATTCTAAGGAACAAGTAAGTAGTGTGACCGTTGACTTCTTTGGAGTGGACATAAAATGCATTAACACTCAGATCAAACTGCAACTTTAGCAACTTGATTCGATCAATCAATATGGACCTTGGATCACCAATCAATCGATTCTCAATAATGGCAAGATACGCGACAAGAGGTATTAATAGCAAGATTGAACAAGGAGGATTCAGCATGAGGAGGATGGTGTCGAGGATCAAGGAGAAGGTTTCGTTCGAAGCCAGATTGAGAGGATATGAGTTCTACTATTGGTTAATGGCCATCTCTCTTCGTATTATGCTGAGGCTTGGACTATTCTCACCAGAGAAACAATGAAGAAAGAGTTGGAAAACCTTGGCTAGTCAGTCAGTCAGTCTATCTAACAATCATCCATTCATATGAATGAATTATTGATCAATAAAGGATAGTCGTGGCAATCATGACAGAGGAAACACTGGCGACTAGCACTCTAGCAACCATTAGAGGGACCATGTCCATAGACCCACTACAATATCCATTCACTCCTGAGTTTGGTACATCAATATTGGTATAACTTGGACATTGTTCAAACAAATAATAATAATAAGAGATATAGAATTTGGATTCTTTATTAATTAATAACGATAAAAATGATGATGATTTAATTAGGGTCAGTATGGGTATGGGGGGAGATCCGGTATTGGTACCTAAGGAGGATACTCTATAGGCTTGGAATTAGGGCTCCGATTGAAAGGGAATATATATCTAGAATATTGATTTTCAATTGGTCTTTGATCAATTCCGTAATAATTATTTATACCGGCTAATAGAGGATCTTGAGTATTAAAATTATATGGACTGTTGTTTTGAAAAAACATAAATTCTTGTGACATTGAGCAAACAAATATTAAAGACAATAGAAATAGGAGAGAATAAATAAAATTAATCTTTTGCATTATTATAATTATATTTTTATAGTTATAGTTATTATTCAAATGAATAGATTTGATTGACATATATCCTTTTTTTTATTTCAATATTGATCTATTAGAATAGAAATTCCCAATTATGATAGACTAAACTACAATATCCTAAAATGTAATTTGGATCATAATCATTCACCCTGGGAGTGCATCTTGAACCTCAGTTTACACCAATATGGGAAACAAATTTTATTTGTTATGAATGATTGGTCTGTACCTGATTACTACTTCCTTTGGTAGTCATCCTACCAGGCTGAACTACTATTTCAAACACACTCGATATCCACCAAACACGAGTATGAGCAACAGCAACAACCTAGCAACCAATGTTGACCAAAGATATGAATATCCACCAATGGATTGAATAAGTGATCGATCCATGGATTATATAATGAATAATCAGAATGAGAATAATTATCTTCACATAATTGAAATGCATTGATCATATCAAGTCAGACTGACAAACTCAACCTCCATTTATCAAATGTCATAATCTTTGATAATTAATTGAATGGAAGGAGTCCAAACCTAGAGGAAGGAATCATTCCTAAAGATAAGTTATTGAACTTCACAAACGATGATCATTCTCTAAAACCTAGGATTTGATAAGTTTGGATGTCGTTTCATTTTTCAAATTGACTTTCTTTCGTATTCTTGGACTCCCAAGAATGATCAAAACATTAACCGGTTCTAATTTTATAAAAAGTATTAATAGAGTTGTTGTACAACAAAGATTTATTTTTTGTATTAGTTCCCAAACAAATATTCATAATTTATATATATCTTTAAAGATGTTAATACAAAGTACTGACTATGGGAGTTGGAAACAAGATCTGCTATTTATAGTTTCCAAAGCATCTCCATTGACTTTGATAAATATTATCAACAATGTATTACCATTCACTCTACCATTAATAGTTAATTGTTATCATGGTAGAATATCCAGCAACTTTAATATGGGAATGATATTCTCTTTTGGAATGCTGATTGGCATAAATGGTTTTATAATAGCTATGTTGGATCAGCTCTCAATTCAAGTAGATAGAATTGTATCAAACAAAGAAGAGAACGACCCAGGTAATTATTTAGTATTCCATTTCAAGTACTTGTTAAATTTTAATATCTAACATTCATTCATTCAATTAGGATACATACATAGAGCTGGACATATTTTCCAGGCTGCATTTTTTATGACTGTAGTCATTTCTTTATTCCTTTCAAGTATGTTTTATTTATTATTATCAATATTTAATTAAGTTTATTAATTAATATTAATATTTTTTTAATTAGTTTTTGTTGCAATACCCATGGGACTTGGTTATACCAACTTCATCTTCACTATGATGCCTGGATTTATAATATTCAATATCAACCTATGTCTCGAGAAGTACCTTCAAGGTCTTGGAAAAGTGTACCCATCACTTTACATTGGAATAGTATTCATCATTCTGGATATTCCCTTTACAGTTTTACTTTCTAGAACCGATGTACCCTTAAATGGTGTTGGATTCGCTTATTCCATAAGTGTAGGAAATTCCACCTTCAATCAATCAATCAATTAATGGATACTAATATTCATGTCCTCACACAAACCAATTAATTTAGAGAATGATCCAATTGTTTATGACAGCTGCATATTTCTTGATCTCCAGGGCATACTGGCATACCTGGCCAGGATGGTCTAAGGAATCATTCAAGTACATCAAGGTACTATTCCAAGATTGGCCAACTATATTGTTGTATACTTTAAGTGAATTGTATCTTATGGCCGCTGCACTTCTTGCTGAATCAGGATATGTTGCAATCAACTTGTCTATGTTTGCATTCCAAGTGTGTCCTGCTGTAGCCATGATCATATACACAAGAGTACCCGAACTACTCTCACAAGGCCTACCTCTCCGCGCTAGGAAATTCTCATGGATTGGCTTTGGATATGCGGCATACATAATGATTGTGAGCATTGTATGCCTTGAAGCCGCGGGAGACAGATCATTGGAGATTTACACTGAGGTCATTTCAGGCTACTATCATCTGATGTATCAATTCCGAGTTGCACCTCTACTCATGGCAAGCTATGGTCTATTCATGGTACTGTTCTCGATGATTATGGTCGTGGTCAAGTCAAGGATGGTCTCAGCAGTGGCCATAGTCGTGATTGGACTCCTTGGACTATTATTCTCAGTCATCTCGATTTTTGCAGGAAACTTCATATTGATGGGACTTGGAGGACTCATGGATCTTTTGTCCATTGTATTCATTCTCACGCTACTCAACACACGCTGGGAGGTAGCCAGTGAGAGGACAATCGAGAATTGTCCATCTCCATCAATGTTGGTTGCTTAAATACATATTTATGTGTTCTTTAGATTGAGGGACAGAGTTGTGTTTGGGCGGCTCGGCTTGTTGCTAATGTTTACAAACCAATTGATTGCAAAGTTTGATCAGAGGTATGATTGGGGATGGTCACATTGAGGTTTGGATCGATCTTCATCGCACGCTGGATGGTGGTCTCTGCATTGTCATTGTAGGACCATGAGCGTCTGGCAATACCATTGTTAACATCCCATGCCAACATGAGCTTGGCCTTGTCCTCGGAGTCGGCAGAGCCATCGAGCACCATGCCAAAGCCTCCATTGATGGCCTCACCCCAGCCCGTGCCACCTCCATTGTGCAAACTGATCCAGGTGGCGCCACGATGTGCGTCTCCAGCAAAGTTCTGCACGGCCATGTCGGCACAGAACTGAGAGCCATCGACAACGTTGGATGTCTCTCTCCACGGTGAGTCGGTTCCAGACACGTCGTGGTGGTCACGACTGATGACCACTGGTGCGCTGAGCTGACCCGATTGCACGGCCTTGTTGAAGGCCACGGCCAACTCGACACGTCCAATGGCGTCAGAGTAGAGGATGCGAGCCTGTGATCCAACGACAAGCTTGTGGTCGCCAGCCTGGGTGATCCACAGATGGTTGTCATTGAACTGCTGCTGAACATTCTCGGGGATGTTCTCAACACGCAGCTTCTCAATGATCGAGCGAGCAATGTTGTCTGTGGTTTGGAGGTCCTCGGGCTTGCCCGATGTGCAGACCCAACGGAAGGGTCCAAAGCCGAGTGAGAAGATGTCGCCCATGATGTCCTGGACGTATGATGGGTAGAGGAAGTCCTTGGAGTTGGGCTTGAAGATGTTGGCCTTGGCACGCGAAGCCTCCAGCAAGAAGGAGTTGCCATAGTCCCAGAACTTCATACCGCGCTTCGACAGCGCGTTGATGGCATTGGTGTGGCGGACAAGACTGGACTCAACCAGTGTTTTGAACTTGGCTGGCTCCTTGACCATCATGACGTTGGCCTCGTCAAAGGTGATCTCGGCGGGGTAGTAGCCTCCATTGTACGGGTTGTGCAGAGAGGTCTGGTCCGAGCCAAGCTCGACATGGACGTCGGTCTTGACGAGGTGCTCCCACAGGTCAATGACGTTGCCGTGGTAGGCGATCGACAGTGGCTTCTTCTCGACCTTGGCCGACTTGATTCTGTCTACGAGCTTGTCCAGGTCAGAGTACACCTCCATGACCCAGCCCTGAGCGTGTCTCTTGGTGACCGCTGCGAGACTGACCTCGGCGACGACACCAATAGCACCACAGATCACTGCAGCCTTTGCCTGAGCACCACTCATTCCACCGAGACCCGATGTAATGAACAGCTTGCCACTCAAATCACTCGAGTTCATGTACTTTCTTCCAGCATTCAACAATGTGATTGTAGTGCCATGAACGATACCTTGTGGTCCAATGTCTGATTGATTGATTGATTGATTGATCGAGTTAGTGAGTGAGGCCAAGATCTAACATCAATCGATAACATACAACAATAGCTTCCAGCAGTCATCTGACCGTATTGAGATACTCCACAAGCGTACATTCTCTCATAACTATCATTGATTGATTGAATGAGTGAGTGAGTGAGTGTCAGTATGTGATTGAATGATGATTGATCAGAGTGAATGAACATACTCCTCTCTTGATGAATAGTTTGGGATGACCATTCCATTGGTGATGATGACTCTGGGACTGAAGGGCTTGCTTGGGAACAGACCCATTGGGTGACCAGAGTACATGGACAGTGTCTGGTTCTCGGTCATCTCGGAGAGATACTTCATGACCAGATGATACTGTGCCCAGTTCTGGAACACTGATCCATTGCCTCCATAGGTGATCAACTCATGGGGGAATTGAGCGACCTCTCTATCCAAGTTGTTCATGATCATCAGCATGATTGCAGCAGCATGTCTGAGCTTGGCTGGGTACTGATCGATTGGGTAGGCCTTCATCTCATATCCTACAGGTCTGAACCTATACATATAGATGTGACCATACTTCTCCAACTCCTCCAAGAACTCTGGTGCCAACTGAGCATGTGTGCTCTCTGGGAAGTATCTAAGTGCATTCTTAATCGCAAGCTGTTATCATTGTTTGATTGATTGGTTGGTTGAGCAGACGAGAGAGTGAGTGAGTGAGATGAGTGATTACAGATTGATGTATGCTACATACTCTCTTCTCTTGAGGTGTGAGAGAGATTGGACGGCCTGGTGCGTGAGGCACGGAGGTGTCGTAACCTGGATGAGTTGGCAATGGGCTGATGACAAGTCCGTTGGCGAGTGATTTAAGATGATCTCCAGCAGTCATGATTGAATAGGTATATTATAGTATAGTATGTATGTTGTATGTATCTTTAGTTTATACACAAGATAGTAAGTGATGAGAATGAGAGGTGTGAGTGATGTTAGAGTGAGCGAGGGATGGGATCGAGCATGCTGAATGTCGGGAATGAGGTTGTTCATTCACAACACAACCCCCACATCTACCCAAAGGGGTAATCGAAATTTCCCATTTTATTCAATTTTATTCAGTGTCTTTGACTCAATATCCACACCACGACATCCATTGATTAGTTGTCATTAGAGATAAAGGGATTGAAAGTATAAATAGTTGCCATGGTTATTGTCGACAAGGACTTTAATGAATGAATGAGTTCATTGCATTTGCTCAAGGTTTTGATGATGATGTTGTTGTTGCTGTTGTTGTTGTTGTTGTTGGTGTGATTGTTGTGATACAGTTGGTGACTTGTTGAATGACTCTTGTGATTCGGATAGAGATATCGCCTCCCATATTGTGTGGATCATCATTAGGTTCGATGTGCTGACCTGTGGATTGTTGTACACTCTGGTGATGAGCAATGCCTCTTGGTAGGGCGTCAACACAATGCCAAGCTGTTGATAGGTCTCCAACAGTAGGATCTTCTCCTGCTCCAGGTTGAGCTTGATCTGCTCCAAACGTTCGCCCAACAGGGCAATGTTTGATTGCTGTTGTCCTGGACTTGGATCATCAATGTCCACCATCTTTTGTGATGGCGACGACTGCTCGCCCACACTACCACTGCTCGATCCAATACCTCCATGATAGCCTCTGTTTGTGAACAACTTGGTCTGGTAGAACTCCTTCACCTCCTTATTGAGCACCTGTCTCTCCTTGATGAACTTTTGATGTTGTACAGTGAAGTCCTGTTTCAAGCGTCTGAGTGTGGATTGAGTGTTAGTGAGTGATCATGATCATGGTCCCATTCAATCAACTTGAAACATACTTGATTCTCATTATTTGATGCTCATTGACATTGGCTTCGTTAACGAATGATGTCCACCATGATTGAGCTTGTGCGTGGGATGAGCTGCTTGATGGGGAGGAGTGGGGCATCTCTGGTGTGCTCATGTAATGGTTGTGTTGCTGGTCTGGCGAAGACATGGGCTGCTGCTGCACAGCACAGGCCGCTCCAATGTTCTTGCCCGAGACATCGGCATCCAGTAGGACCAACTTGGCCTGCGTGCATGGGTTGACAATCTGCTTGATCTGGTCGGTATATACATTGTGCTTGGACTTGAGCGTCTCGTAGAACTGCTTGAGCGTGTTGGTGATGTCAGCGATCTTGTCTTGATCCTGGAGGTCGTCGGCCTGGCGGTCCTGGCTGTTCTTGGTGCCAAGCTCCAGACGATCGATCAGCACAGAGATGTCTGTCGGTCCCTCGTTGATGGGCTGCACCACAGTGTTGAGCAGCATCTCCTCGCCGTCCTCCTCGTCCTCTTCGTCGCCAGTGCATCCGGGGATGTCGGACTTCTTTGACAGAGGCATGCCGCCGTTCCTCAGTATGGCATTCTCCTGGAGCAGGCGATTGGCCAGACTCCTGGCCTCGGAGTTCTCCTTCTTCAATCGCTCAATCTCCTGTTCTAGCTGCTCGACCTTGACCTCCACATCCGAGATATAGGCCTTCTTTCTCTGTCTATAGTTTCTGCTGGCCAAGTTCTGGCTTGCTCTTCTTCGGTTCTTTTGCTTGTCGTTGACGTTATTGTCCTCATAGTCGTCATTAAGTATGAAGTTATTGATTGGATGTACAGCGTTCTTGTTGGAGATGGTGTGAACGAATGGTACTCTGTTTGATTGATTGATTGTGTGAGTGAGTGAGTGATGGAATGATTCCAATCAATCTAGATTGATCAAATGACTTACTGTGAAAAGATGGCTGGGTCTGGAACAGCTGGTTGGATGGCAGCTGCCTGCTTGGCATTGGTTGGCTTGGGCATTGGGCTGTGCTGTGGTGATGCTGGCAGTGCGGGTGAGCTGGGACCAGATGATGACGTCAGGTCTGTGACAGCTCTGTTGGCAGTGGACACAACAACTTGTTGTGGAAGTAGTTGTTGTGGTTGTGGCACGGGTACGGGTACACCAGCTGATGGCTTTGGTCTGGACTGCTGATAGATAATCTTTGGATGTTGTTGTTGTTGCTGTTGTTGCTGTTGCTGTTGCTGCTGTTGCTGCTGTTGTTGTTGTTGTGAATATACATTGTTCTGGTGTCCGATTGGGATCTGTTGGCCTGGGATAAGTCCTTGCTGTTGTTGTTGCTGTTGGAGGTGTTGCTGTTGAATGTGTTGTTGTTGCTGTACAGGGGTGGCTTGTTGCAAGTGATGCTGTTGTTGCTGTTGATGATTGCCAATGTTCTGAATGACTATCGGGTGATTCTGTTGAATGGTATACGTTGGCAGGTGATACTGTTGTGCCTGCTGCTGTTGTTGTTGTTGTTGTTGTAGTTGTTGCACTTGTACTTGTTGTTGTTGTGGCAACATATGCTGTTGTTGTTGTTGTTGTTGTTGCTGTGCATAATGATGTTGTTGAAGTTGTTGTTGTTGTTGTTGATGTTGGAGTTGTTGTTGATGTAGTTGTGCTTGTTGTTGTTGTTGAAGGAGTACAGGTGATTGTATATTATAGATTGAATTGCCATCGTTATTCAATGCAGACAGTAGTAAGAGGTTCTTCTCATCGGTGAAGGGCAGCACGCCCATGTTCTCATTGCCAAGCATCAAGAACATTGGCTTCTGACCATTGTTCTGTAAATTGATGATGCCACCAGTGGACTGCAACTGTTGTATACGCGCCAAGTTGGCCAAGGCACTAGATGTCGCGCTGGCCATTGTCACCTCAGGACCATATTGCTTGTTATTATTGTTGTTACTGTTGTTGTTGTTATTGTTATTGCTATTGTTGCTGTTTGTAACAACTACTTGTGATCCTTGAGATTGTTGTGATGATGATGTTCCAGCTCCACCAGATGAAGCTACTTGTTGTTGAGTTGCTGGAGTTGTTTGTATTATATTGGCAACCTCTTCACTGATACCAAAGTAATCATAACCATCTGTGAATGCTGAAGATATTGCATTGGAACCAATATGACCTGATGACGATGTTGGGAAATCATCCTGTATCAAGTAATCATTGACTGCTGAACCATTCGGTCCACTAGCACCCGTCACCACATTACCTGTAGCAGCATTCGATACTGCAGAGTTTGTATTATACATTATATTATTATTATATTGTTATATTGAATATAGAATGAATGAATATGTTTGTTTGTATATATATGTATATGTATGTTTGTGTGTATTTGAATGAATGAATGATTGTCACGCGATGACTTTGAAACTGGTCAACAATGTGTGTAGCCTGGACTTGTGTATCCACAAAACATGGGGAAGGACTTTGAGTCTACAAACACGATTTTAAGATTTTTTCAAATGAATGCAACACCCAACAAGGGCAATCACATCAACATGCTTGGGTTTCGTTTTTCTGTTACCTGGACTCAGAATACGTCTCACAATCTAGATTTATAGAGTTGACGTGATATACTTCAAACACACACAATGGTTTGATATTTACCAAAGGACGTGTGTGACTCGTCTTGCGAATTGATTGTCGACACATGACCTACCCCGGACCACCAATCCATGGTCCATACCAGCATTGATGACCTGTGTCCTGTTGTCGCAATTCATTGTTGATGCCAACAATCGATTGACCCACATCTTGCTACATCAGGCTACAGGATTTCCAATTCAATACCATGGCTATGGAGGGGGCCTTACACCATGGTATAAGGCCCAAGACGAGTGATCAATGATGAGTGAGTGAGTGAGTAAGTGATCGAGCGGTGGTCTTGAGATGCATTGTTTTGTACGATGAGATGATGATCTCGAGATTGATGTGATATTGTTGTAATAAATAATGTGTTTGAACTAATGTTATTGTATGTTTGGTTGTTGGATGGTGTTGTTGTTGATGATGTATATCAACATTCCTATTGTACAATTGAATGAACGCATGTTGGTCATGTCCACAAGTTATTCGTGGACTGACAATGTAGTAGTCGAGGGTCTAGCCTTGCCAGTTTCCTAAAGTGTGTCAAAGTGTTAGTGAGAGAGCGAGTGAGTGAGTGGCGCGAAGGTGATTACATACTCTATAGTACAATCCATCATAACTTGGCATGTTAAGATACTGAATGAATACTTCTGGACCCTTCTTGGCATTCTCTTCCAAACACTCTTTGATTGGATTGAGTGAGATGTCCACCTTTTGAAGCTTGGGCAGCTTGCCAATGGGTGGCGGCACCCATTCAATCTTGTTGTTGACGACGTTGAGCACCTTTAGCTTCTTGAGTGCACCGTACTCATCGGGGATCGAAGTGATCTTGTTGTTGGAGCAGTTTAGATGCTCGAGCTCCAGACACTTGGCCAGTTCCACTGGCAAGCTGGTCAGATTGTTGAAGGAGCAGTGCAACTCCTTGAGCGTGGCGATCAGGCCTATCTGACTAGAGATCTCTGTCAACTTGTTGTAGCTAATGTCCAAGAAGTGCAAGTGATTGAATGATCCAAAGCCTCTTGGCAATGCCGGCAGCTTATTAATACTCAAGTTTAGTGACTGCAAGTTGGTCAGTGCCGTAATCTCATGAGGTAGTTCCTTCAGCTCATTCTGGAACAAGTTAAGTAATGTCAAGTTCTTTAGATTGCCTGTTTAAAGTATGATTGATTGAGTGAGCGAGTGTGATCACGATCGAGTGAGTGAGTGAGTGATTGAATGTTACACTTACCAATGTTGGCAGGTAATCTTCTTAACTCATTACGACTGAGATTGAGCTTCTGTAGTGATTCAATGGCACCTATCTCATTGGGCAGTTCATGCAATCCCTTGCCAGTAAAGTCCAACTCAGTAGCCTTGGTCTCAATTGCCTTGTCAATAACTTTTGATAAGTTTGCTCCCATCTTATAATACTATTATTATTTTTTTTATAGTAAATAGGATGTATGAATGATTGATTGATTGATTGATTCATTGATTAATTGAGTGATTGAGGATGATGACCGTTGATAGACACACAAAAGCATTGGATATTTAAATATGGCTTGCCGTCCATCAATCTTTGATGGGGGTGAGTACCAATCGGAGTCTGGAGATACGTTCAAAGAGTCTCTTTTGCATTATTTGAAATGGTTTGTCAAGAATGAGATCTCATTTACACATTGTAGGTCTAGATGTCAAACAAGTACAATACAAATAATAATATTTATAAACTAATTAATGAACGTATCACCTATGTCTGATACTCATTCTAAATTAATCTTATATTGATCATTAGATTAATATTGAGTATCAGACATAGTTGACACGTTCACTCATTCAATCAACTAATCAACTTTGGAGGAACAAAAAATATTGCCTCCAAAAATGGATGATGACATTTGTACAACTACAAATAGTCAAAGACATTCTTCGACTTGGTACCCGACAAGATGTAGAGATGATGTCAATCGTTGTTTACCAGGATTGTTGTCAAGTTAACTCAATGATCACTTTATCCTGGGATGAGTTGTGTTTGCTCAAACAAACAAAAAAATGGAAGGGAATGAATGATCCCAACATTCTTTCAGATCTGTGTGTTGTGTGGTTTAGTGTGGCTTCTGGGCAAAGGAAGCGACGACTCATAGTCGATGACTTTGACCAGTGATAACAAACTTATCAACTGGTATAGTGTCGGTCCACTTTGATGGGTTGGTGAAGATCATTATAATGTCTATAAATACTCAAGTCTTTAAAATAGTAAGTCATTCAAACAAACAAACAATCAATCTATCAATCAATTAATAATGTCAGTTGCCAAGTTCTTCCATACTCCATACTTTGTTTCTTCAGTCGTCGCTCATTGTATCCTTGAATTGGATATTGAGGATAAGGTCGAGATTGTCACTTTGGGCTTCCAGGACATGAAGAATGAGTTCCATATGAAGAAGCATCCACAGGGAAAGATACCATTCTACACTGAGGGTGACTTCACTCTGATCGAGTCATCAGCCATCCTTCTCTACATCCTCGACAACTTTGACACCGAGAAGAAGTTGACCAACTTTGTCGATGCCCATCAACGCGGCAAGTTCTACCAATTCTTGCTCAACTGTCCCACTCAGATCTATCCCAACTTTGTCCAGCTCTATGCCAATCGTGTGCTGTTCCCCGTCGGCCATCCCGCCCGAAACGAGTCCGTCATCGAGTCCAGCCTCGACACTTGGCATCTGGAGATCGCACCATTCGTCGTCGCCGAATTGGGCAACAACCAATACATCCTGGGCAATGAGTTCACTGCTGCCGATTGTCTCTTTGGCTACAACATGTTGATGGCCGAGTTGTTGGGAGAGATTAGTGAATATCCAACTTTGGTAGCCTATCTCGCACGTCTTAGAACGCGTCCAGCCTTTGCCAAATGTTTCACTGAGGAGCTCAAGCAATACTTACCAACACTTGAGCGTTATGCCGATTCCATCCAACGCAAGGGCAAGCACATGGTCGAGCTGAGAGCCAACAGAGCTGCAAGACTTGAGGCTGCCAACCAGAACCAAGCTTAATATTTCCAACACGTATATTTCTTTCACCATTCACTTCACCATTCAATCAATCGACCAAAGTGATCGATCACCCAATCATTCAAAGTCTGGGACTATGGAAGACTCTAAAGAGTCCTCCAAAAAATATCAACACAACCAGGCCTATATAAAAAATTATTATTATTAATCAAACTTGTCATTTGTATCTTACAAACAACGAAAAGTCATAAGTGGAGTTAATCGTTGGGAAAGTCCCTCTACATCAAGATAAAATGTGACCTCATCAGTGGGGGTAACCCGAGACCTTGAACATTCGCAAGAAGGGTCACACTCCTCAAGCTCCAAAACTACTGTGGGGGAAACATAAAAGTGATCGATCTGTTTTGGCTTTCAAGGACTACACCTCTCCAAACCTCTGTAGTTTACATATGCAACATGTTGTTATCATCAACTTCGCCATCGAAAAATAATAAAGATGCTATGCCAATATGACTCTTTGTTACATCTAACTACAACTCAACCTTGGATACTAGGGACTTTTTACCAATGGGAATCATTGTCCAAACTATTTATAAATGTTCCAATTCAATCTACTAAAACAACATCATTAATAATAATAATATTACTCAACCAATCAAATAAATATTTAAATCAATAATTACAATTGGAATCATCCCGATCAATTAATCAAAGACCTAAATAATCAAATATGAATAATAATAATTCAATATTAATATCTAATAAGATGAAGTCACAATTGAATGTACATGAGGATAAATTATTATTGAAATGTAATGGAATGAAAGGATTTAATGCAAAGAATGAATATCCAAGTGAGTTGAATGGATTGATTCATCAATTAGATTATAAATATATGTTATATAAGTTCAATGAACAAATAGATGGATTCAAGATGAATATAATAAGAATGGTCATTACCAATATGATCAATATCATTATCTGTACAGTACTACTAGTCATATCATCACTACATATTTCAGCACAATGGCTAAACCTTGAGATCACCGGTAGTCTTGGTACATTCGGTCTTGTCATGTCACTATATGGTGTATACTCCTTCAACAAAAAGGTACTATTATGATTGGAATCATTCCACTCACTCCCCCACTCTCTCACAAACATACTAACTTACTAAATCACTCCTACAGATAATGAAGAACCTGGAAGAGGATACTTTAGAACTGTCGAGTAGATATAGGGATGTAGGTCTTCAGTTCATGTTGGTGTACAAGTCAACATTGGATAAGGAGAACGGTTTGGCAAGATTCCTCTGTACAGCATGCAATTATAACATTGAGGTATTGATCAAGTCTGATACTCATCATATTCATCATGGTGGCCAATCATCAATTTCTATCAATATCAATGATACATCACCATTGATCAACATCTAGACAACCTCTAGACAATTCTTTATCCATAAACTTCCACTTTTTTCTAACCTTTGGTGAGTGTGAAAGTGATCACTTTCTGATATAAACGAGGGGGAAAGCGACCCATCACTTGGACTTGGAAACTGGGGACTGGATAATTAGTCGCGCTTGGACTCGGTAGCACAGGTCATTGGTAAAGTCTGGCCTACAGTTACTTAGGCTACCGATCAGACTATCATTCACTCAATCACAATCAATCAATCAATCATCAATCAATCACATAATGAACATGAATATAGAGAAGACTTTACAACTTCAGGAACAACAACCTTGTATGTTGGTATTGAGATGTAATGGAATGAAGGGCTTTCATGCTGAGAAGGAGTTCCCTTCAGAGTTGAATGGCCTTATCAATCAATTGGACTATAAATATATATTGTATAAGTTCAATGCACAGATCACCAGTCTAAAGATTAGCTTAATAAGATTGTTCATTACCAATATAATCTCTGCCATTATCTGTATTGTCCTCTACATCATCTCCAAACTACACATATCATCACAATGGCTCAACCTAGAGATCACCGCTGGCATTGGTCTCTTTGGTCTAGTCCTATCAATGTGGGGCATTCATGCACTTAACAAGAAGGTATGTGTATATAATACATCATCGTTCAATCAACATCTCACATATTCATTCATTCAATCACAATAGATTATGAAGAACTTGGAAGGTGATGTAAAGGATCTTACAAGTAGATATAGAGAAGAAGGTATTCAGTTCTCTGTACAGGATAAGCCAAAGTCTGATAATGAGAATGGATTCTCAAAGTTGTTGTGTACTGCTTCAAACTACAACATTGAACTTCAAATTGGATCCTCATCAGGATCATTTGACAAACTTCATCAAGACATATCAATAAGGATCAATCCAATGGCCAATGATAAGACTCCTCTAATCAACAACTAAAGTAGTAGTAGTCGTAGTAATAATAAACAACATGTATAACTTGTAAATGAATGAATGAGAGAGTGAATGAGTGAACTTTGTTGAAGGTCGTGGGGTCGAGGCAACAACTTTTAATGATGTTGGATTCTTTGAAGACAGTTGTTGCGCAAAGAGATAGAGATAATGGATAAATACAACGTTATTAAACTTATAGGTGAGGGTACATATGGTGTTGTATCATTTGGATTCCAAAAGTCAACAGGTCGTCCAGTGGCTATAAAGAAGATCAAGAAGATATTGATAAAGGATGCAACAGATGATGGTGTCTCCTTCTCTGCAATCAGAGAGATCAAAGCACTTCAAGAATTCAAACATACAAACATAGTAGAGGTAAGAATAGACATTCGTACGACTCATTCAATCATTCATTCATTCATTCATTCATTCACTCATTCATTCATTCAATGATTCATATATATAGTTAGTAGATGTATTTGCTTACAAGTCCAATGTATATCTTGTGTTCGAGTTGATGTCTTGGGATCTACAACATATTATAGAGGACAAGTCTGTCATTCTAAAGGCTGCAGACATCAAGAGTTATATGTTAATGTTACTTCAAGGTGTTGAGGCATGTCACAAGAACTGGATACTTCATAGAGTATGTCATACTTGGGATTCAATCAAACATTCAATGAGTATGAACTGACTCACGACTCAATCAATCAATCAATCAATCAATCAAATATACAGGATCTAAAGCCAAACAATCTGTTGTGTTCTTCAGAGACTGGCGAGATGAAACTGGCAGACTTTGGTCTGGCGAGACAGTATGGCGATCCTCATAAGGTGTTCTCACCACAAGCCGTTACAATCTTTTATCGTGCACCAGAGTTGTTGTTTGGCGCCAAGTCATACGGACCATCAGTGGACATGTGGTCAGTTGGATGCATCTTTGCCGAGCTGATGCTTCGTACTCCATACCTACCGGGCAACAGCGAGATTGATCAACTCAAGAAGATATTCTCTGCGCTTGGCACACCGAACGAGACGATATGGCCTGGCGTCACATCGCTGCCAAACTATATACAGTTCACCGAGTTCCCTGCGACACCATTCAATCAACTGTTCACTGCCGCTTCGTCAGACGCCTTGGATCTTCTGGCCAAGATGCTTACATTCAATCCAGCTTCAAGATGTACCGCCACCGAGGCGTTGGCTCATCCCTACTTCTCCAACCAACCCAAGCCCACCTCTCCAAAGGACTTGCCGCGTCCAGCCAACGCTGCAGTCTACAACCTGGATCCAAACCAGCCTCCCGTGCCCAAGAAGTGAACGATTGATTGATCGAACGAACGAAAGAGTGGGATTGGATTACCATCATCCAACCTCAGAGTACATCTTAATACATCTACATGAGCTTGGAATGTCCCCAAAGCGTACGTACTTCAATGTTATGTGTTTAGGTTTATTGGTGTTCGTTCGATGGTTAAAGAACAATGTAGGTACACAGGACAATGAGCATCAGTGCGAATGTAAGCTTGGCGTTGGCGAACAGTGTTGAACTGGTGTTGCCTCCGGCCACATCCAGACTCTCTTGGCGACCTCCACACTCGGCCAAACCTCCAAATGGACACTTCAGTTGCATGCCATTAACATTGATCGTTTGCTGGGCCTGGCCATCATAACAAGTATACACTTGGCCTCCAATCGTAATGTCGATATTCTTTCCATTGCACCTTTAGATTGGATAGTGATTGATTGATTGATTAGCATGTGGTTCCATCATTATCATCATCATACTTACTTCATTTGCCAGCAGGCATGTCTGACTCGGTCACCACCAGAGGTGAACTCAAAGCATCTGGAGTTGGAACCAAACACTTCGCCAACAGTGGCCTCCAATGTGCTGTTTTCCTCCTCGTTGACACAGTACTGGGAGGTATCAATCTCATCATAGACTTGATAGTATGGACAATTGTCTGCAACACTGTCCAATCCACCAAGTCTTGGGTTCTTGAAGTGTTGGTACTCTGGCTTAAGGCTACCATAACCAAGCAGACAAACACCTTTGCCCATTCTTGTTGCGGTACAGCCAACATCTAGATGGTAACAAAGTGTCAGTCAGTCAGGCAGTCAAGCGCAATCAATCAACTTGATAACATACCTCCATTGTTGGTGCAGAAGTAACCTTGATAGTTCCAGGTATTATCAGAGCATTGGTCCAACCAACGGCAACCAAGGTTCTTGCCAAAGACTAGCTTCTCAGAGTGAGAGTAGTCGATGTCATACCATCCAGTGTCCTTGAGCAATGAGAGTGTGAGGTTGGTGATTGGTGCCAGTGGTGAGACGAATCCAAGCATGTACTCCTCTCCAGCGGTACGCTTCTCCCAATGGCTTCCAGATGTTCCAGCTCCACCAGCATCCTCCAACTCTGCGTAGCCAATGCTATCACAGTCATAGTGATCCCTGACAAAGTTCACGACGTTTGGCGACACGATGGCAAACTTCTTGGCATTGAATCTCTCACCAGCTGGTGATGTTCCCTTTCTCCTGATCTCAGATGCAGCATCTATATTGTATTGTATGAATGTATGTTAGGTATGGAGCATTGATCAATCAATCAATCTATCTATCAAACAATGAAACTTACTGTATCTGGCACCACGTGATGTTGTGAAGGAGTTGTAGAAGAAGTTGCTGAAGCCTAGAGAATGGGTCATCTCATGGATACCAACACGGACGTACTCGCGATATCTGAATCCAGTTGGTTTGTTTACGTAGTTGTAGAAGTATGATGGGTTGAAGTTGATTCCTGAAGCCTTTGGTCTGCCGTAGAATCCAGATCCACGTACATCAAAGTTACATGGCATAGCATAGGCGATGGTAGCTAGAGTATGTGTTAGCGATCAATCAATCGAACAAAGAATGAATGAATGAATGTACTTACAAGTGTCAGTTGTTGGACGGACAGTTACAAAGACGACATGATCAGTGTTTGGTGCACCATTGGTGACATAGGTGCTTGGGACGTTGACACCATAGTTGCATTGTTGGCTGAAGGTGTTGTAGATATCTTGGTTGAACTTGAGTACATCTGGCTCATTACGGTCAACGAGGATGACGGATCCAAACACCTCGCTCATTGTTGGTAGGATGTAGTCAGTGATCAGACGCTTCATGCTTGGTGTCAGAAGGTCCTGTTGGCGACATGTGTAGATGCAGGCATTATCATCCGATCCAGAGCACGATGATAGGCCACGTGTCGAGTCAGATCCACTGTCTAGACCGACGGCGACCTTTTGGCCGACGGTGTAGCATGCATATTTGTCATTGTCCAGCGTTGACTTGTCAAAGAGAATACGGATTGGCTGTCTGTTGGATGCTGTAGCTGCGGCAACCTCTACGAAATCACCACCATTCACTGGGGTGGACTGGGCCACCATCTTGTCAATCTTTGGCACTATATTCTTCATGACTCCGGATAGGTGGTGGTCATGCTTGCATTGATAACCTGGCAGTGGTGTCATCTCAGCCACTTCCTGGACCTCTTCCTCAGCCACCAACTTTCCACTTGCCACATCTTCCAACAACTTGGCATGATGTTTCAAAACAATATTATCGACTAATGAGTCTGGATCGAAACTGCTGCCCACATTAATGAGGCAAGATACAAGCAACAACATGGCCACAGCCAGTGCAGCCTTGTTGTATGCTTTCCTAAACATTCTCTCTCTTTCTCTTCAATAAATAAATATATAAATAATGAAAGGAATAAATAATATATATTGGTCGAATAAATAAAAGGACCTTTGATAGTAAATAATGAACTTGTATAGGGTATATATCTACAAGTGTGTGTATATCTGACTTTAAAGATATATCACATATATGTGTGTGTGTGTGTGTTGGGGGAGACACCAACAGTTAATATCTGTGTTCAATGTCGTTGTCAATGTCATTGTGTGTGAGTGGGTATATGTATTGTATCCATACTATATAAGGTGTAATATATATGTCGTATAACGAGTTATTTATTACATACTATAATTGTTGTCGTAGACTAACTCGTCAGTCAGTTTACTAAAACGAATAATAATAATAATAATATTATTATTTCTTTTAGTCCAGAGCCTCTACCTCTACGTAGGACACTTCATCAGTAATACCACATAGGTTCTGTCCTTCGCCAATGTATATGTATCCTTCCTGACCCCAGTCCAGTCCCCAAGAGTTTCTAACAATGTAGTAGGGGATGTTTGGAGTCACGCTAGACTCAATGGCATAGCCAACAAGCTGCACACAGTGGTCCAGGTCGTTGCCACAGTTACTGGTAATGATACCCGACTGGTATGTCATCCAGGATATGGCATCTACACATATTGACAGGGGTCCCAGCGCAGCAATAGCCTCCTTGAGTTGGGTTTCATTACCTTGGCTGGAAGCGTAATTGTAGTTGGTGACCTTTACAAACTTCTTGGTCTTGTTGGCGTAACATGTGCCATCCTGCGCGGTGTAGGGATAGCTGGCATTGGTTGTCAGTCCTCCGGCAGTCTCGACATACTTGTAGGCGGTCATTGTGTCACCACCTCCACATCCACCATCGAATGAATCACAATCTACGATTTGTTGCTCGGAAGCAATCTGAGCCTCATTGCCAAGCATGATGTAAGCCGATTCAATCTGCTCAGCAGCACTGAATGCCCAACATGAACCACCTATTTAAGTGTCAAGGTATTTGTCAGGATACTGGAGGGCAAGGATGGGAAGACTTCGCCAAACATACATTGTTCTTGGTTTTTAACAGGAGTAACATATCCCTTTTGTCTCCAATCAACTTGTGATGGAATGTTTGATGGGTAGGACACATTGGTTGGCTCACGCTTTGGGGTTCGGTCGGTTTCGAAGTTGAGATAGTATGATTTGAACTCCTCCATTGAGAGATCGGCAAACTTGTTCACTCCAAAAGTGGCGCGACCTTTGTGCATTCTGTTGTTTCTGGCAATAGTTCCAAGATTGGTGATGAAGTTGGAGAGACGGCGGTAGTACTCGGCATCATCAACATAGACCTTATCAAAGTCGGCCATCCATTCTCTGAACTGTTGTTCATAGTTCCTTGTCCTTCCGGGCAATCTTACAGCATTGACCTCAACAAAAGCCAGTGTTGTCAATGTTGCAACTAATAATAATGTAATAAAATACTTCATAGTTATTTAAATAGTATATATTATATGTATATATATATATGTTTGAATTATACCTTGAAGTTGACAAGAGTACTTCAACCTTGCCATTCATTCAGCCAGTGCCCATGCCATTCCATGCCATGCCATCATTGATTAAGTTGAATATAATATATATATTACCTCACACTCTTCAACTGCTTCTTTGGGATACAGGAGGGTTGTATGATTGATTGATTGATAGATTAAAGCCCTGCCACACATCATCTTGATAAGGGTGAGTGAAGGTCATTGAGTGTCAATCCACGTGGGGTTGTGTTCCTTTCGTTTGATTGATCAATCAGTGTTGTGTGTGTGTGAATGAGTGAGAGTGTGAATGATTGAGTGAATGTTAAGTTAACATACCTCATTTATGAGTTAAAGATGGTTGATGGCTTGTTTAAGCCCTATATGTTGTTGCCTGTGGTAGTGGTAGACTTGGCCTCACCAACAACAGGTTTCCAATACTCTGGCTTCGATATAAACCTGGAGAAGGAGAATACAACTGCATGCATACATACGTAATGACGTTGTAATAGTGAATTCGTAAATATTCCCATCGCGCCTTCATTACTCCTGACATCCGACTGTGAAGTTAACTCATCCATGACATCTGCAAGCTCCTTCCCCTCCTCTATAATGCCCTTCATCACTCTCTCTGGCATTTCAAACCTACAAGTCGATGAAATGCCCATCTGGCCCTGTATGTATATCCAGTTGGTTGGTGAGTAAGGGTAGGGTAAGGGTAAGGGTAAGGGCAAGCAAGGACTTGAGAACATACATCTCTGTTGAAGGTAACGACCCACCCACATTCAAACCATGTTCCATTGATGTTGCTTAGTCCTCCTTCGATACCAATACCATACTCTGCTTCTGGATTAAGTAACAGAGCTTGTTTGGCACGATGTGTTGCTCCTCTAATAGTCTCATCATCATCCATTGGCTGAGCTCTTACGCATGATTCAACTGCAACACTCAACACCTTGTTGTTGCTATTATTTGTTGTTGATGTTGGGAACATCAAGTCCAATGCATCCTGTGTTGCTCTGACCTTTGCCTTATTCGTTGTGCCAACAGCTACTACCACCATATCTTTCTTTCTCCTGCTCTACTAATACTACTACTCGTTCGTTCAAGTGATTTAAAGTTAAGATCAGATCTCAACCCTACCTGACCCTCAAGATTCATCAGACGAATCTGATTTCCAACTGAATTTATGGGACTGAATGAGTATGAGTCATCGGCTTGGAGATTGATGTTCACAATAACAGTTCATTCTTATACTCATACATACATACATATAATAAACAATGAATAAGATAGTGATAGCAATATGTAGTGTACTATTCATTACATCATTGGGGCTACATAATGTTGTAAACAAACATGTACCAGACAACTATGTAGTAGGTATATCAATCATTACAAGACAATGATCCAACACTGACTTTCTGACATGCACATTCAATTGAATGAAGGATGAGATATTCCATGTGCCACAGACACAGAGATACTGTTCATTCGACTTCTACACTTGGGACAACAAGATTACTACCTTGCCTGGACTTTATGTCTTGGCTACATTGGGATCTCATGTGTTGCGAGTTGTTGTTCCTATCATGCCATTCTGCTCCACTCAATCACTGCGTCTATTCAATGCATTGATGATAGTACCGGGCTTCTATCTTGTATATCTTTGTCTAATCAAACAACAAAGACATCAACAAGGCAACACTTTGTCAGCACTACGTGCACTTTCAATCATACTACATCCACTTCACTTCTTCTTCCATCAACTCTACTACACAGATGTAGTATCCACTCTCTCCGTCCTACTTGTATACTATACTCATCTTGAAGAGATGTACACTCTATCTGCATTGGTAAGTAGATGGACTCCAGGTCCACCAATATCAACCAACACTAACGAACGATCATTCTTTAGATTGGACTATATAGTGTATTCACTAGACAAACCAACATCATATGGGTATTCTTTGTTGCCTTGTTGTCCATACTCAACTTGCGCGAGAAGTCGAGGAGGAGCAATGTCAAGACGATGCAGCGAACAAACATCTCACTGTTGGACGACTTACAGGACTTTGTGATGTTCACCTTGTGGAATGTACCTCTGGTCATTAGACGACTGTGGGGATACGTGTTGGTTGGTCTATCATTCGTGGCCTTCCTCTATCTCAACAATGGCATTGTAGTTGGTGATCGCAGTAACCATGAATCATCGTTCCACTTTGCTCAGCTACTCTACTTCTCTCTGTACACTACATTGTTCAATGCACCATCCATCTTGCTATCATTCCTTAATAGCCACAGAGAGGCTGCACGCGATCCACTCTCATTCCTTCGAGCCATAGGCAACAACCCAACCATGGCACTTCGTCTAATCATATCATCATCAGTATTCTTCTTCAAGATGATTCAACTATATACGTATGTTCCAACTTTGTCCAACTATCAATTGCTTGCTAATACTCTTCATTCATTCAATCAATCATAGCTATACACATATATTCATACTCTCGGACAACAGACATTATAGCTTCTATCTTTGGAATAGAGTTTTCGTTCCATATCCCAACTCAAAGTACTTCCTGATACCATTCTATATCTATTCAATATGGCAGATGTGGACATCATTGAGAGCGGCCTCCAAGTCAATGCTCTGGGCACTATTCTACCTACTTAGCGTAGCGATCGTACTACTACCCTCACCACTATTCGAGTGTCGTTACTTCATTGTACCATTCATGATATATCAACTCAATTCATTCACATCAACATCATCAACAACTGTTATAACTTCCAAACCATCTTCCACCTCCTCCTCCACCTCATCATCCTCCAACTCCTCACAACTTGCAGGAACAATACTCGACATTCTATTTGTAATTGCAATCAATGCTGTATCGATTTATGTATTCATCAAGTATCCATTCAAGTATCCCGATGGAACTGTCGGAAGGTTCTTTTGGTGATCTGATCATGAAGGTGGAAGACGAACCATCACCCATCACCCATCACTTCAGTTCATATTTATTCCTGGAAAAAGACTAACTAATCTCGAGCGAGCGTGTGAAGGAACATCAAACTTTTGAAACGCCACACGTTAATTTTTCCATCAACCAAAAACAAATACATTCAACCAAGTGAATGGTTGCCATAGATAATAATAAAACAATCAATGGAATATCTAAGCAGAGTACTTCTTCCAAAGAAAAGAAAGAGTGTTGAAGATGATGGCTCCACTTCCATCACATCCACTAGTTCCACAACCTCCACTTCTACCTCCATCAACGACAACAACGATAATAACAATAATAATAATACCAAAACAAAGTTTAAGAATAAGTTTGCCATAAAGTATAATAATGAGAAATATGATAATGATAAGACTTATTATAAGTCTGATGTGGACCAGGAGAAGTTGAGCCCGAATAAACAAGCAACGTTGTGTGATTTCCTAATTAATCACAAGGAGCCAGAGTTTGAATTGGAGCATCCACTTCCAATTCCTGAAGTTATCAATCTTAGAGATAACTCTGGCGTACTACATTGGTGTCCTGGATTCCTCACATCGCGAATGGCTGGTGTACTTCAACGCCATCTCACTCAAGTTCTCAAACTGGAGCAGAGAGAAATGAAGATGTACGATCGAGTGGTACCATTGCCCCGACTCATGGCATGGATGTCCCATGAAGATGCCGTGTCGATGTACTCTGAAGAGAAAAGCCAGACAGTGTGGACACCACCAATGCTCATTCTCAAGAATGCCCTGGAAACAATGCTCAATGTGGAGTTTGAATACGTCCTCATCAATTATTATAGAGATGGAAAGGATCATATCAGTTTCCATTCAGACAAGGAAGCTAGACACGAGATGACCCGAGTCATTGCATCTCTCTCACTTGGCGCAACCAGACGTTTCATTCTGAAACATATTGAATCAAAGGAGACCATGGAGTACTCGCTTCATGCTGGAGACTTGATTGTGATGGCAGGCGAAACACAGAATCATTGGATGCACATGGTTCCCAAAGAGCCAAGGGTCATCACTCCTAGGATCAACCTAACTTTCAGATGTAAGATGCCTGATGCGGCCAAAGAGCTACAGATCACACCAGCAACTCAAACACCTTCATCCACTCCTCTCTCATTGGAAAATTTCACTGGTCCAACACCACCTACACAACCTCCAATGTCACCAGAGAGACAATTATCACCTTACTTGACTCCAGAATCACTTCCACCTCCTGTCTCCAAGCCCTCTCCACCAGCTCCACCAATCAAACCAAACAATGAACCTCCTTTACTTCAACTGGCGCCTCGCTCACCACCACCAAAGCTACGACCAACTCTTTCATTACCAACCATCAAGTTTGGAAACAAGTTGACTCTTCCTGTATCCATTGCACCTTCCTTATCTGCTTCCAAACTGGCAAAAGGATCAACTTCTGCGCTCTCCCCACCCAACAAACTCTCTGCCCTGCAACATCCTCCACTTCCTCTTTCTCCTCCTCGATCTGTGACAACACCAACAAACAAACGACTTTCACTACCAACCTTAAAACCTTCACATCCATTGACCATCCTGTCATTGGGAACCAAGAAGCCATTGCTTCAACCTCAGCCGCCAACGAATCAAGTTCCAGTACGACCACTATCCAACAGCAATCAAGTTAAAGATGATCTTGATGGTCTGGACTTTGACTTTGATTGATAGTGCAATGTATAAATATGTATATATAACAAGGTATTCCATCAGATTTACTTCAAGTAGTTGGAGAAGAAGTGCTTGAGTTGTTCGTCTGTGGGTGGGTGATTGATCGTTTGATTGATTGGTTAGTGGCGGGTGAAGGGGCATTGCGTTTGGGGGTTTGATAACTTACATGCAGCGATAGTAATAGCATTACCAGGAGCGATCCAGAGTACTCTGGCACCCATTCCCTTGACAAATGCTCTTGGACCCTCTTCCTTCATGATGCGTTGGAATCCATCGATGATTCCCTTGTATGTTTGCTCGCCTGCTCTTGACACCTGTATTCTAGTTCTGATCACATCGAGTGGACATGTAACGGCGGCCGCCACTGAGCCGGCAAAGAAACCGCTGGCCAGTTGGAATGGCAGGGGAAGCTGGTCGTCGGCCTCCAATGACAGCGACCTCTTGGCCGCACGCTTGGTCTGCTCGTACGTGGCAAAGTAGATGCCGACCAGAGGACCAAAGGTCATGAGCGAAGGCAAGAAGCCCTTGTAGAAACCACGAATGCCCTCCTCGTGGTAGATCACGGAGCAGGCGTGGAATGAACCGCGGTAGAATGTCTGTGTTGGGTTGAGGCTGTATGTTGAGTTCTGCACCTGAAGACGCTGCTTGATGATGTCCATCGGGGTCCAGATCATGGCGCCCGCGACATCGGCCACCAGCCCACTGAGGAAGTGGTTGGCGGGGCCGTCGCCCAACGACGTCTGTTTCAGATAGGACTTGGAGTACTCGTATCCGTAGAAGTAGAGTGCGTGTGCTGGGATGGTGGCTGTGAGCACGATGGGGAAGCCCTTGTACAGGTACTTGAAGCCCTCGCGATTCAAGATCGATTGAAAGGCATTGAATGTACCCGTATACTTTTGTTGGCCAACCTTCTCAACCTGCATCCTAGCTCTGATTGTATCGATCGGGTGCATAATACCATCAGCCAGCACACCCGATGTTGCACCTGTCAACAGTTGTAGATATGGTGAGTCCAATGTACCTTCCTTTCCCATCTTCTTGTTTATGTTATATATATATATTATATTATGCTATATCTATGTATTAGTACTAATGTATGTACTTTGATTGATTGATTGAGATCAACTTTATGTCACCATTCAATCAATCATTCGAGTGAAAGAACTGTCGTTCGGTCGGCTACTGTGGGACACGAACCACGAAACTATGATCCCGATATATATTATAATATATCCCGTCATTTAAATTCATTGTTATAACTTCCCAACTTCAATGATTAATGTGTAATTAATATACATGCATATGATTACTTGTTGTGTATGATTGGTCAAGTGCATAATAAAGTGTTATCCTGTGGATGTCGACTTGATAGCTTGTTTGTGTGTTTGGCGCGCTACAAATGGGCTTGGATTGGCGAAGTGAGTGTGAGACCCAAAGAAGAAGAACTTATTCACTCAACCATTCAATAGTTCATTCATTCATACCTATATATATATTTAAAGGTGAGATGCAGATACAGACACATGCTCATCGCCTGTGGAATAAGTGGCCAAACAAACAATGATGACAGATGAATACCCAATAGTATCTAATAACAATATTAATAGTAGTAATAGCAATAGCAATAGTAATGGTAATGGTAATGGTAATAGTAATGGCAGTATAGTGTTGCCACCACATCCTCAGAGAATATCAATAAAGAAGGTAACAATCTTCGCTCGACTGACTCATGACTCAACTTGACTTACTAACTCAACTCAACTCAACTCAACTCAATATAGCTGTTGGAGGAGAATGAGTTGTTCATCAGTACTATAGTGGAGAACCAGAATGCCAATAGACTACATGAATGTGTCGTGTATGTGTTTGTACTACCTACTTGCATCATGGCATATGACAAAGACAACTAACATTGAACATTCAGTTACCAACTTAAACTACATCAGAACCTTTGCCATCTGGCGGCGATCGCTGATACACAACAACAACTTGTAACTATCACGATGCTAACTCGCGAGAATCCGTTCATTCAATCACTGACCATCATTCGTTCACATAGCTCAAACAACAGTCGCTCCACCTGTTGATCCAGAAGACACAGCAACAACAACTACAACAAGCACAACTACAACAACAGCAGCAACTGCTACAACAACAGCAACAACAACAACCCAAACATACAGATACCAATCAATCCAAACAGATGACGACATCTCCTCCTACTTCATATGTACATTCATCTTCACCAACCTTTAACAACATGGAGTCATCACCATCACAAGATGCAGACAACATGGATACAGCTGGAGGTTATTCATCGTCTCCACCCGTTGACTCTCCTCCCCACTCTCAGGCAGATGATGTGCCATCACAAATGTCTGACAATGGACATCATCAACTTCATCAGGCGCAATCACAATCACAATCACAACTACAACAATGGCGAAACAATCAAAAGGATCGACCAACCTCCAAGTACATAATAACCCCAAGCAACACAGACATTGCCTCAATCTTTGGCAGCCATCGATTTCCTCCTCCACCATCATCCACAACAACATCGACATCATCCACTCCCATGCCAGTCCCAGCACAAGCACCAGCCCCGACACATGTACATTATACCCAAGCAACACCTCCACAGATCGAATCATTACCTCCACCTGTAGCGCTGGCGACACATTGGCAGACGTCCAATCTGCTGACGACATCACAGAAGCAACAATTGGAATCATTACAGGAAAGACACAAGCAGCTGCAGGCGCAGATATATACTTACAGGACATCAAAGGTGCCTAAACTGAAGCAGGCCAAGTCACCATTCCAACAGCTGCAGCTGATGAACTGCCAGATGCAGATCGATGCCTGGGAGCAACAGCTCAGGAAGATTGAGACGATCCTGGCGTCGCAGCCACACGAGCAAGAGCAATACCTCGAAGACAATGAAGTTAAGAAGCTGACGAGACAAGTCTCGTCGGCCCCGTGATATAGTTAACAGTGCAACAAAGGGACAACAGGCAACAACGACAACCACTACTACAATGTATGGTCGTCGCTGGCTGGGAGCTGATTATTATTACACATGACTGGTCGTGGCTGTGCTGGGCTGCGTATGTGGCGTTGGGTGATTGCCAATGTCTCGGTCGGTCGAATGGATGGGATGGGAAGGGAAGGGAGGGATTGGGGAATTTACATTTGAGGTGTTGGTGTCGCTGCTGTGTTGTCGATGCTGCTGTTATGTGTTTGAAGTGTAAAGTTTGTTGTTTGATTGCCGCTGTGCTGCTACCACAACAGGGTAGCCGCGTCTGTTATCAGAGGGGTCTAGATTGGTATTATTTCTTTGCTCTTGCAGCTGCTGCGGCATCTTCTTCCTCCTTCTTCTTCTTCTCTTCAAAAGCCTTCTGCTTCTCCAAGACTGCCATCCTGTCTCTGTATTATACATCATCATCATCATTATCATTAGTAACCAGGTTGTACATCAACCATTATCAACATTCAATAACAAACCTTTCCTGTCTATCGACAAAAGAACCCTCTTGTCCCTTCTTTGGACCCTTGGCAGCTCTAGCCTCAGATCTCTTCCTATCAATCTCTCTTTGATTTCCTCCTGTTTATGTTTGTTGTTGTGTTAGTATCACTCATTCAATCAATCAATCAATCATTCATATACATACTGGTCATTTTTATATAAATAGAATATCCTCCAATACAATGGGATTGTAGTCTGAAAAGACCTTATTAATTATTTATTTGTTTACAAATAGAGTGCTGTTGTAGAATGTGATGTGATTGATTGATTGAATGAAGAGGCAGACATGTGAAGGGAGCTCCCCACACATCCAACAATCAAGAAAAAACAAGGACTTTGACACTTGAACACCTAGTTTCCAACACAACACTTCCAAATGCTTGTATGTTATATTAATACAACATAGAGATAATATATATATTTATGCATATTATGGAGACACTACCAATATTGGTAATAAGAAGGATAGTACAATTCCTTGGTGATAATTCAGATATTGTCTGTTTATCATTGACTTGCAAAGAGTTGTTTGAAAAGAGATATGCAATCATACATACAATACTAAACTATAAACATAAAAGTAGAATACATGATTGTTATCTACAACAACAATCTATTATAATATCTAGTTTATTACCATCTTTTAAAGATGTTATACAACCATTATTATTGGAATTGGATAATAATAACAAACATAGACAATACTTTAATTATCGTACAACATTGAATAATGATAATAGTATTATACCTGAAGGTACAACAAAGATATTGTATACTGTGCAGTATACTACAAATTATACAAAGGAGCATGTCAAAAGTCTGCCCGAGGGCACACTTAAGGCGATCTACGCCTTAGGTGATAGTCTATGGGTGGCGCCCTCTCGACTTCCACGCTCTCTCACATCGTTGACGATGAACTATCATTACAATATGCCCTATCGTAATGGTCCACCATGTCTACGGAGTCTAAAGTTTGGTTATTCATTTGATCGGATTCTTCGGCCTGGGGACCTACCAACGTCCCTAACCAAGCTTGTGTTTGGCGGAGCGTTCAATACGAGATTTCAACCCGGTTCCTTGCCACCATCACTCATAACACTGCGTCTTGTCTCATACGTACATGAAATACCACCCAATATCTTGCCACAATCTTTGAGGACACTTGACACTGGATACGCATTCTCCAAACCATTCGTTCAAGGAGCCTTGCCCTCCTTCTTGACCCATCTCACTCTTGGAGGCATGTATATACCTGAATTCCTTCCAAACATACTGCCCTCTGGTCTACAGAGACTTGAGATCACCAAGTCAACATTGGAGCCAATGGATACCACCAATATCCCAGAACATACTATCTTGGTCATCACAATGAGATTGGAAAGGTGTCGTCTGGACAATGCAAGACAACTTATTCTGCCACCAACACTTGTCAAACTTACACTCTTTGATAGTAAGGTCATTACACCCTTGAATACTGGCATACTTCCTCCAACCTTGATGGCCTTGGAAATTGGGTATGGCTTCAAACATAAGTTTGGTAAGGACACACTTCCACCATCACTCACCGAACTACTCGTGCATGAGACCTACCCACATGGTCTTGAACATGCTCCAAGCTCACTGAAATACATTGGCATTGACAGGCAAGTGTATGCCAATCCTACATATCCTTGGTGTCCAAGTACATTGTTCAACAAAGCGCTAAAGAGTGATCAGAAGGATAAATCTCTGTGGTTGCCATTCCATCCAAACATCCACACCTATCACATCTATCCATTCAATGGTCGCGATGTTACACCTCCAAGAGTAACTCAAGAAAGGATCATTCTGCGAGTGCTTGATCAAAAGGGTACACTGCTGCTATCTGACAAGTTTGTTGGAATGCTCATTCCAACACAAGACATCAACTTCACTCACACTAAGAATTAGAATGAATTCTTTGCTTTGTTGCGATGTAGGTCAAACAATGAAGCAAGTCAAGGCCTCAGTTGGCAGTATAATTAGATTTATAAAGTAGATTTACAATCGATTATTGGATGGGATGGATGTTGGACCGAATGACGCGCATCTGGCCATCACCCCGTCAACAATTCAAATAATAATATTATTAATCACGAGAAAATATTGATTTGGTGTGGTGTTTGATGGGCTTTTTGGGGGCCTGATGGGGTCCGTTGGGCCTCAAGAATTATCCAATTCAAAAGTCATATCTTAGTGTTGTTGCATTGATACTCTCTAACTTTCCAACACTTCCCTTCTACCTCTGACTGACATTCTTACTTACCATCTTTGATTTTAGTAACAGTTACTTATCATTCAATCGTTCATTCATACATACATACATTTCATTGTATAACATCAACTTACACCTCGACGTCCAATCAATCAATCAAGATTGTGTGTTCTTAGTGATTAGATAATCAACTTCGAACGGACCAGAGACAGACATCTACTCGTGGAGTTTGATTCGTAGAGAGTAAGTCATTATATTTGGATTATCTGTATGCATCGCCAATGCATCTCCTATTATTACAACCTATACTTTGGCCATCAATCAATCAACTCAATCCATCCATCACCCAAGATTGATTGATTGTTTGGACTTGAGAGGGAGTGTGTTTATGTGGAGATCTAACAAACGCGAACAGACAAACATATTGACATCTAAGAAGTCAATAACACACCACACTACACATAACACGATACTGTATCAGTTATCTCCACAAATCAACCTACACACTCTCCTCAACACTCACTCAATCAATCAATCAATCAGTGTGTTTGTTTTATAAATGGATGGACACACACACTCACACATATATAGGATGTCAATGGTATTGGCATGGCCTGGCAGTGTCAATGTCCATCACTTCTCGTTGATGTCGGAACACCAAATTTAATACCAACTCTAGAGTGTTGTGTGTGTGTGTGTGTTTTACTCTGATGATGTGTTCCTCATCACACTCGTTCATTCACACTCAATCAATCAATCAATCAAACAAACACAACTTCCACCCACTACGACCACTACCACCATCCAAACAAACACACATCCTATCCTAAGACAGCCCCTGCCCGTCGCGCCAAAGGCTACATACAGTATCCATCAAAGTGGTCATTACCCAACAGCACCAGCACAATTATCCTATAATTATCAACCAAACAGCTCCGCCGCTTTATCACTATCCACCATCATTCATTCATCAATCCAAATCCAAATCAATCCACAGCACAAGCACAACGTACTGCGTTCTGATTTATCAAGTTACTTCTTAGTAGTTTTGTCATATATCTCTCTATCCATCCATCCATCCATCTCAATCAATCAATCAATCAGACGGCATCCATCTCAGCAGTAGCAGCTACTACTTTTAGCAACTATTCTATCCCTGTCCATCAGTCCATCAATCCATCCAATCAATCCAATCAATCAATCAAACAATCCATTCCATTTTGGATACTTTAACTGTTCCTGCTTGGACTGAACAACCTTTACTAATCTTTCCCGATCTCCACTTCCATCATCATCATCCATCTTTCCAACACTTTCAGTAATAATACATACCTTAGAGAGAACTATACTCTATCAATCATTGTATACAACAACACCAAACAACCAACCAATCAACCAACCAACTTCATATACATACATATACAATGACAACAGTCAAGACTGGACAAGAGGCACTTCTGCTTTGGGCTCAGATCAGAACTAATGGATACCCAGGCGTCAAAGTCCAGAACTTCACTGACAGCTGGGGAGATGGTATGTCCAAATATGTTTGATTGGTTGATTGAATGAGTGATTGAATGATACTGACCAAGTGCCCTTTGTACGTCCATCAATAGGTTTGGCATTCTGTGCCCTCATCCACTCTTATGAAGGCGACAAGGTGTTCAAGTTTGAAGAACTAAGTGCCAAGAATGTCAAGAGTAACCTTGACCTGGCATTCAACACTGCCACTGAGCTTGGTGTTCCAGACTTGCTCGACTCTGAGTATTGTAAGTACAACACATGGACAACCAGTCCAAGATGAGGCCGAAGCATGCATCAATCATACTGACTGACCATCAATCAAATGATGTAATAGTGATGATCCCAGGTGGACTTGATAGAAGAAGTATCATGACTTACATGTCTGAACTGTATCATTACTTCAAGAAGAAGTATACTATCTCACCAGAGACACCTTATGAGAAGAGAGGCATTAGTGTTAGCATTCAAGATCTTAGCAGTGAGCAACTGACTGAGATGTTGATGAAGGAGCGTGAGAAGAAGGGCATCAAGGGCCCAATGAGCCCCAACACCGGCTCACCCAAGCCCGCACACAAGTCCAACAAGCCACAACTCGACCCAACCCTCAAGGCCAAGCGTGCCGAGGAGGAGAAGCAACGCGCTGAGCGTCGTCGCCAGATCGAGGAGGAGGCACGCCACGCCCGTCGTCTCGAGCTCGAGGAGGAGGAGCGCAAGAAGGAAGAGATCTCCAAGTTCAGAAAGGAGCAGTCGGGCATCCCCGCCACCGGCAGCGACAACAAGAAGGAGCTAAAGAACAAGATCAAGGAGATGGAGGAGCTGGAGAAGAAGCGTCTGCAGGAGGAGGAGGAAGCTCGCGAGAAGAGACGTCAGGAGCGTGCCAACCGCGCCTCCCGCCAGGTACTCTCGAGCGAGATTGCCAAGTTCAACGGCAGCAACAACAATATAGAGTCTTCAGAGTCTGTGGATCAGGCCAAGCAGGAGCGTGACAACAACTCTGCGCGCACTGTGGTCGAGGAGCAACACAAGCATGAGGAGCAGCAAGAGGAGCGTGCCCCAGCCACCCCAGTCAAGAGGGAGTCTTCGGCCAACGACCTCAAGCGCAAAATAAAGGAGATGGAGGAGCAAGAGAAGAAGCGTCTGCAAGAAGAAGAGGAGGCTCGCGAGAAGAAGCGTCAAGAGCGTGCCAACCGCGCCTCCCGCCAAGTACTCTCAAGCGAGATTGCCAAGTTCAACGGCGGTGCTGCCGCTGAGGCCACACCCTCCACACCAACTCGCGACCGCTCAGAGAGCGTCGACACCAACAACAGCACGCCATCAAAGTCCAACGAGCTAAAGAACAAGATCAAGGAGATGGAGGAGCAGGAGAAGAAGCGTCTGCAAGAGGAAGAGGAGGCTCGCGAGAAGAAGCGCCAGGAGCGTGCCAACCGTGCCTCCCGCCAGGTGCTCTCCGAGGAGATCGCCAAGTTCAACAGCGGCGCCGCCCCTGCCGCCGTCGCCGCCGAGACCACGCCAACACGCGAGGTCCTACGCACATCCTCAAGCAGCGATCTGGCCAAGAAACGCATCAAAGAGATGGAGGAGCTCAGAGAGCGACAGCAACAAGAGGAGGAGGAGGCTCGCGAGAGAAAGAGACAGGAGGCCCAGAAGCGTGTCTCCCGCCATCACCTCGCCGATGACATTTCCAAGTTCAACAATGGTGACGAGGCCTCTACCACCTCGACCCGCTCCCGCTCAGACAGCCTCGACAGCAACAGTTCAGTTACATCCGCCTCGTCCACACCCGTCCCCGTTGCCAATGGCAACGGTGATCTGGCCAAGAAGCGCATCAAGGAGATGGAGGAGCTGAGGCTGAGACAGCAACAAGAGGAGGAGGAAGCTCGCGAGAGAAAGAGACAGGAGAGCCAGAAGCGCGTCTCAAGATCCCTTCTTGCTGAGGACATTGCCAAGTTCAACAGCGGCAATGTCGAGTCGACCATCACAACTCGTGAGCGCTCAGAGAGCATCGATAGCAACCACTCGGCTGCATCATCAAGCAGCAGCGACCTGGCCAAGAAGCGTATTAAGGAGATGGAGGAGCTCAGAGAGCGTCAGCAACAAGAGGAGGAAGAGGCTCGCGAGAGGAAGAGACAGGAGAGCCAGAAGCGCGTCTCCAGATCCCTGCTGGCCGAGGACATTGCCAAGTTCAACAGCGGCTACGTCGAGCCGGTCGCCACCCGCGAGCGCTCAGACAGCGTCGACAGCAACCACTCGGCTGCTTCATCAAGCAGCGACCTGGCCAAGAAGCGCATCAAGGACATGGAGGAGCTGAGACTGAGACAACAGCAAGAGGAGGAAGAGGCTCGCGAGAGAAAGAGACAGGAGAGCCAGAAGCGCGTCTCAAGATCTTTGTTGGCCGAGGACATTGCCAAGTTCAACAGCGGACATGTCGAGCCCACCCCTGCCGCCGTCGACAAGACTCCAGCCGTGCTCAGCAACAGTGACGTCGCCAAGAAGCGCATCAAGGACATGGAAGAGATGAGACAGCGTCAGCAACAGGAAGAGGAGGAGGCACGCGAGAGGAAGAGACAAGAGGCCTCAAAGCGCGTCTCGCGTCAGATCCTCGCCGAGGACATTGCCAAGTTCAACGGTGGCGAGCCAACCGTTGTCAACCGCTCCCTATCCGAGAGCACCGAGTCTGAGAAGCCAGCCTTGTTGCGCACTGGAAGCAGCAGCGACCTGGCCAAGAAGCGCATCAAGGACATGGAGGAGATGAGACAGCGTCAGCAACAAGAGGAGGAGGAGGCTCGCGAGAGAAAGAGACAGGACGCATCAAAGCGTGTCTCCCGCCAGATCCTCGCCGAGGACATTGCCAAGTTCAACAGTGGCTACGTCGAGCCCACCCCAGCCGCCGCCGCAGTCGACAAGACCCAATCGGCACTCAGCAACAGCAGCAGCGACCTTGCCAAGAAGCGCATCAAGGACATGGAAGAGATGCAGCAGCGCCAGCAACAAGAGGAGGAAGAGGCCCGCGAGAGAAAGAGACAAGAGAGCCAGAAGCGAGTCTCAAGATCCCTGCTTGCCGAGGATATTGCCAAGTTCAACAGCGGCTACGTCGAGCCAGCCGTCACCACCCGCGAGCGCTCAGACAGCCGCACCGAGCAAGAGATCAGAGAGGCCCGCGAGAGGAAGGAGGAGGAGCGTCTGATCGAGCGTGAGCGTGAGCTGGAGAAGGAGCGTGAGCTCAAGCAGAAGATCAGAGAAGACAGAGAACGCCAAGAACGCGAGGAACGTGAGCGTGAGGCTACCCGCCTGGATCGCGAGCGCCAAGACAAGGCCGATACCGAGTCCGCCGCCAAGAGAGAGCGCGCCCAGCGCCAGGAGGAGCTCGAGCGCATGGAGGCCGAGCGCGAACGCGAGAGAGAGCTACGCAGAAAGGAGCGCGAACAGAAGGAACAGGAGACCAGACAGAGGGAGGAGGAAAGAGAGAGGGAGAAGGAGATGCGCAGAATGGAGCGCGAACAGAAGGAGCAGGAAGCCAAGGACAAGGAGGAGCGCGACCGCGAGGAAAGAGAGCGCGAGAGAGAACAACGTCGCAAAGACCGCGAGCTCAAGGAGAAGGAGGACCGTGAGCGTGAGCAGCGCGACCGCGAAGAGCGTGAGCGTGAACGTGAGCAGCGCAGATTGGAACGCGAACAGAAGGAGAAGGCTGCCCGCGAGCAAGAAGAACGCGAACGTGAGGAAAGAGAGCGTGAGCGTGAGCAGCGCCGCAAGGATCGCGAGGCCAAGGAAAGAGAGGACCGCGAGAAGGAGCTGCGCGAGAAGGAGGAACGAGAGGAGGAGAGAAGAAAGCGTCGCGAACAAGCCGAGCGTGCCGCCGAGGAAGAGAGACTGAAGCTCGACGCCGATCGCGAGTCCAGAAAGAAGGAGCGCAGGGGTGTCGACTCCGCCGACGTCCTGTCGCCCGCCGTCTCTGTTGGCAGCCCAGCACTGAGCTCATCATCCGAGTCATCATCAACAACGTCCGACTATCTGGAGCAGCGCAGACGCGAGCGTGAGCAGCGCCGCCGTGAGCTGGAGGAGGAGGAGAAGCGCCTCGAAGCCGAGAGAAAGCGCAGAACCGAAGAGCGCCGTCTTGAGCGCGAGCGTAAGGATCGCGAGCTCGAGGAGGAAGCCAAGCGTCTGGAACAAGAAAGAGAAGAAAGAAGACGAAGAAGAGCCGCTGGCGTCGTGTAAACATCACCATCCATTCATCCATCCATCCATCCACCAACAATCCGCTTTCATCTTTCCATGATCACTTTGACCTGGCTATTGCCAGATGCGTGGTCTGGAGTTTCCAATCAATCACACCTCATTCAATTCATCACGAGGTTGGGCAAACTAGCAACATGTTCAACCAAACATTCACTCAATCAATCAAACCAAGTCCGTTGCCAACTTCAAACACAAACATTCAATATTATCATCATTCAATCAACTGTTTGTAATATATATAAATAAAGTGCCATTAATATATATCGACATGATCATTCATTCAAGGTGGGTTTAGACACGTGATGATAGACTTGGAATGCAAAGATCCAGATTGATTGTTTTGTGTGTTTTTTGATGAGGGCGAGTGTTTGTTCGGTTGGGAAACTACTGGAATGTATTGGAATCTTCCTTTGATCATTTCTATTCTTCAAATTTTTCATCAATTCCTATAGTTGTGATATCGGAGGAAGATTCATGTCATGCCATCCCATGTCTGTGGACTCAATCAACGACCCACCTACCTCGACGGGTCGACAGTTTCGATCATTCTAAACATAAAACGAACAATCAATCAATCACAATCATATTTATTTATTATTACAAATATATATAACAACACAACAGATCAGAAATGATGAGATCAACAACATTAGCAATTGCAGTTACACTGCTGATTGTTATGTTGTCGGTGGCCACAACAATCGATGGCAAAATGACATTGTCACAGATGCGCAAGAATCGTGGTAGTGGTCAACAACGTGTAGATGCTCAGGGACACCAGTTGTCTCAGTTGGAATACTTGAAGCAGACTCGTGCTGCCAACCCCATCACTCAGGTCAGATCGACTCCACAGCAATTCCAGGTCAACTCACTGCCAGGTCTTGACCCAAGCGTCAACATCACTCACTATGCTGGATACCTTAACGTTGATCAAGAGAACAACGGCAACCTATTCTTCTGGTTCATTCAAGCCAACGTCTCCAATCCAATGGACTATCCAGTCTTGATTTGGTAAGTGTCTGTCACGTGACATCTATGTGTGGTGATGAACACACTCCTGACTGACATTCGATCAATCAATCAATCAAATATAATAGGATTAATGGAGGTCCAGGATGTAGTTCAATGGATGGTTTGTTCATTGAGAATGGTCCATTCAGAGTTGTCTCAAACAATCAATCATCATCAGGTTACAATGTGAACATTAACCCATCATCATGGCACAATACCGCCAACATGCTTTACATTGATGAGCCTGGTAAGTGATCAATCAATCACCGGAACTATTCCAATCACTCTCAATCACAAGATCCACTTACACCAAGTCAATCAATCAATCATATAACGTAACTTTAGTTGGAACTGGATTCTCTTACGTCCTTAATGCAAATGGATATGTTAGAAATGATAACGACTTGGAGGTTGACTTCTACATGTTCTTGCAGGAGTTCTACAAGGTGTTTGTTGATTTCCACCCATTGCCTTTGTACATGTCTGGCGAGTCTTATGCCGGCCATTACATCCCCCACTATGCCAACTACGTGTTGCAGATGAACACTGCCATTGCCAACCAGTCGTTGACCAACTTCTCGATGATCAATCTCGCCGGTCTGGCCATTGGCAACGGATGGACTCATCCGGTCACCCAGTACGACTCGTACTCTAAGCAAGCCTACGGCATTGGCATCATCAGCCAGGACCAATACAACGCCTACAAGCCACTCGTGTCTGCCTGTCAGGCACAGATCAACAGAGGCATCTACAACTCGAACGAGTGTAACGACGTGCTCGGCCAGCTGTCCGACGACAGTGGTACCGCCAACACATCGCAGGTCAACGTCTATGACTATCGTTTGTACGAGTCAAACTCCTCCCCAGACTGGCCCCCAGGATGCGACGACGAGGCACTCTACCTCAGCGACAGCAAGGTTCGCCTTGCCATCCACGTCGACAATGCAACCTACTCGGCACCAACTGAATGGTCCGAGTGCAATGAGACCTCATCTCAGTTCCTGACCAACATTGATGAGTCCTCACTCCACCTCTTCCCCTACCTCTTGGCCAACCTCAGAGTGTTGGTCTACAACGGACAGTTCGATATCATCTGCAACCACGTTGGCACTCAAGAGTACCTCAGCGCCATGCAATGGAATGGAGCAGCACAGTGGGCCAACCAGGAGCGTTCAATGTGGTTCGCCGAGAAGGACGGCAGTCTCCAGACTGCTGGATACTTCAAGGGACCCGTCCAGAACCTGACATTCATGCTCGTGTTGGGAGGCTCGCACATGGTGCCCATGGATGAGCCAGAGTTCTCCTTTGAGATGATCAGCAAGTTCGTCACTAACGTGGCCTACAACAGTTTGTTGCAGTCCAATGGTACCATCCCAAGGACCCAGAAGATCATCACATCACCAATAACCGAGACTGCTTGGATTCTGATCGTTGTCAGTGGTTTCATTGCCGGTCTCATCATTGGAGTTGTCGCTGTCGTCCTTTACGTCAGATCAAAAGAGAGCTACACCTACACCAGGATCTAATCTCTGTTTAATTAATTAAAACATTACAATCAAACAACTCCGGCCATTGGAGGTTGCCTCGAACTTTTGATTAATTGTTTCTCCAAAGTTCAAAACTGGTCCCAGTGGGACTTTCCATGGCAAGTTTGGGTAGTTTCCTACCCTTCCCGATACAGGCACCCTCAAGGTTATCGCGATTATGGGAATTAATTTTTGATGTATTTAATTCTAATGCCTACAATTCTCTGATTTATTTAATTATTATTATTAATAATAAAATATAATCTTCTAGTTACAGGAGATATCTACGAATTTATTCGGTCCAACTCGGATAATTCTCATAAGATTATAATTGATATGTGATTTGTGACACAAAAAGGATGCCAATTATTGTCAATTAGATATGGAAGAAGTTCAGTATCAAATTGATAATAATTACAATCATTGGACAAATGGCCCCTTATCCAAGACAACGATTATCGCGTAGCCAGAAAAGAATAATAGGCATATCAACTCGACTCCCCATGTGTGATTTGCGCTTACTCCAGTCCATTCACAATGTTTACCATTCGAGCTTAAGCTCTTGGACATTGCTGGACAATTTATCAAACAATTCCCTTGAATCTTCAATCTTCTTTGAGTGCTCCTTGAGTAGAATCTGGATCTTTCCTTGATCTTCAGATGGGATTGGTTCTTTTGAGTAATGGACCTGTGGCTTGCCCTTGACATGTTGCTCAAACTATTATTATTATAGTTAAGTGAATGGAAGTGTGAGTATCTTATTATTATGTTTGAATAATGGGGACTGGTTGAGTAACTTACATAGCTAAGCTTCTCTTTGTAAATATGAATTTTGTTGGCGATAGTTTGTAGCTCAGTCCTGAGCTCCTTCTCTTGGATAGATAGTGGCATGTCCTTGTTGCATGACATTGCCAAGTCGATAATGCGATCATTGTACTCTTCCTGTACTTTCCATGCTGTCGTCACCTTTTCCCTCAATTGATTCTGTTTACTACGAATGTCCACAATATTAGTTCTCAACTCCATCAATGTGCTCTGTTGTTCCTTTGTAATTGTTGTGAGTGATTTCAATCTTGAAGTTTGATGGTTCCATTGATGGATGACAAGTTAGTATGTTTGATTGATTGATTGATGGACATTCATACCTTGACTCGACAGTAGACTCCAATGTGTGCAGTGCCACGAGATACTTGTATTGATAGTCCTTGATCTGAGCGATGAATGCCAAAGTGTCAACGAGTGATAGGTTGGCTGGCACTTGTAACTTGGGTATGGGACTGGGGAACTTCCTCAATTGCTCTTTCAGAGGTGATGTAAGAAGCTGGTTGGCATCAGCTGATGAATCGACATCTTGATCATTTGGAAGTATTGGACTATGTGACAAACCATCCAGGTCAAAGATTATTGGACCAGACTGCTTCCTGTTGGACAGGGCAATGAGATATGAGCCAACTCTGATGTTGCTCAGTACACCAAGGCATATGACAGGCGCTGGCTCCGTCGCAGAACCCGATGTAGATGACACTGGGTTGGTCTCAATGACATTGACGATTATTGATGATGAACTATGTTGTTGTTGTTGTTCGGACTTGATGTTGTTGATTGATTTGAATAATGGCGTCAACCAAGGGAATTGAACGCATTGTACTCCATTGTTATGATAGAGGTAGACAGAGTCGGTCAAAGGGTCATTGATCATTGACGGGTATGTGAATGAAGTATAGTGTTTGGTTTGTTTCGGTGGTTGTTGATATCGTTGTGGAATGCTTGTGTCCAAGATCTCATAAGTGATCAAGTCCATGTACCTGCATGTGTCCTTTAGGAGTAATGTGTATGAGTATGAGTATATGATCGTCGACGGTACACTGATGATCAGACCAGGGTACGGGATACATACTTGGTCGAACTTTGATGGACGGGACTTGTTGTTGGCCCACAGAGGGATGGTGTCTTGACAGGATAGTGTGACAACTACTTGACCATTGGTATGTAGGATTAACAGAGTGAATGGTGTGATCATTAGTTGATCATCACAGTTGTTGGAGACCAGATGTGCCACACGTGGATGGTTTGAATGAATTGAGTATGATTGCACATCCTTTAGACGCTCGTAGACCAGTGGTCCTTGCAAGGCGACCTGCATCTGTGCCAGATTGTTCGTTTGCTTATATCGCATCCACTTGGTCGAGTTGTCAAAGTTGAGCGAGTTGACATTCATGCTGCCCGCCAGCCACTTGAGTTGGGCATCGCAGTAGTTGGTCAATGATGTGTTCTTCTGTTTGATTGACTGTTCGCGCTGTCTAACAACACTGGCCTGTAGATCACTGTAAAGAGACGAGTCGATCAGACATCCATTTGGGATGACTGGACACAGACAGTACACGTCGCCTGTCGCACTTATAACAAAGATACTGAATCTGGTCCAAAGGTTAACAGCTGGTCCAAAGCAGAATGATCTGAATGTGCAAGAACCAATCGGTTTTGTCTCGCCCTTTGAGTTAATCTGAGTCATCGATGTCAACAGCAACGACTGCTCATACTCGCTCTCATCATTCGAGTTAATGTTCTGTATGTTGTATATCCTGTTTGAACGAGTTAGTCGTCATCATCATATGTGACTGATTGATTGATTGACCAACAAACATACTTTATCTCACCAGTGGAGTGTAGGATCACTAGATGAGCACTGCTTAATGGATGCCAATCAGCTTGTTGGATGAAGTTGGAGAGGTGGGAGACAGAGAGTACGTCGGGTTGCAGTTGTAGCAGGTCGCACTTTATAGGTGGATACTCCTTGGTCTTGATATCAGGATAATGACGAACAGTACTCTCATCCTGTGTCACAAAGAATGAGCTTCTCAACGATGGATTCAAGTCTACTACCATCCAATTGATGTTGCCAACCAAACACAAATACCTGTCATTATCATTCAACTTTATCTGATATACATCAAAGTCTATCTTGAGTGATAGTTCCTATGATCGATGGGGAGATAGAGTGTTAGTTCAGTCTCGTTCATTCATACGTTCATTCATTGAAACATTCACTTACTTGTACATGTACTGTCTGTATCTTATCGACATCGGATTCAATCCTTATCACATAGAGATGTCTGGTTAATGGTGAGAGATAGTATATCTCAAGGTATTGATTACTAATAGCAATCAAGTTCTTTGGTTTGAAACATGTATCTGATGTTGATTGTTGTTGTTGCTGAAGTTGTTGTTGTTGTTGTTGTTTCAAGAACACGGGATTAGAAGATAATAATGATATTATCTCCCTTAACTTCATCTTGTATATTATGTTGTTGTAGGTATATAAGTACGTATAAGTTGATGTAACTGAGGGAGTTAAACAATGAGCTTAGAGCGACTTACTTGTTTGTGATCTTCAAGTTGTGTGTCATTTTTTTGATCTGGAGTTATTCTTTCAAGTTGATGAACATGTCATAGTTATAATAGTAGTAGGGTAAAGGGTTTATTTACAACAGGAATATGATAAGTGTCACACCTAGCAACACAAAGAAACATACTAAGCAGAGAAACACAGGGAAGTTGTCTACTCTACGGGGCGGTCTTTCCTCTACTAGTTCCTCTTCGGCACCATTGGCACCAACCTCGGGTATGATATCCACCTCGACCATTGGCACCTCACCAATCTGGGCCTCGGCCTGAGACGATGCCACTGTCAGCGATGTATGATGTGATGGATTTGAGATTGAGGAAGATGTTGTTGTTGTCGATGTTGCCCTGGCAAATCTCTGAGCATCATCGTCCAATGCCACGCGGTCAAAGTTCTCCGTTACTGATCGATTGAATATTGACTTCTTCTCAAGCATTGGATCATAAGGTTGGAAGAAAGGCAGTTCAGATGATGAATTGTTAATTGGTCTTGTCGAGAAATGTTGAGGTTGTTTATCCAATGAAACAATCTCATTGTTGTTGTTCATTGTGCCAATGTCGAATGTATTAGCCAATAATGAGGATGATATGGATGATTGACCAATGGCATTGTCAGCAGTTGATGTTGTGGAGATTGTTGGAGCGTATGAGGAGGACATTGATTCTTGAGATTGAGCATCACTCATCTGGGAGGAGGACTCGAACAAATCGCTTGCGAATCCATCTTCCTCGGTGGCAGTGTGGCTCGAAGAGGACTCCCTCTTGACCTCCTCTGGCGACTCGCCCATCCTCATTGAATCATCTATACTAATATCGCTTTGGACACTATTCTTGCTGCTGACCAGAACAATCTCCTTTGATGCATGTGATTTCTTTCTGGCCAACTCTGACAACTTCTTTGCAAACATTGTCGTTGCCTTCTTCTTTGTTGGTTCTGGCATTGGTGGAGGAGGTATAATAGATTGTTGTAATGCCATTGCTGGACCTGCCCTAGAGTTGGCAGAGTGATGTTCATCCAATTCGTCATGTGCCATGGCTTTCTATCTTGTCTGTCTTTCAATTCTATTTACAAATCATAGACTATATCAATTGATTACAATAATAAATAATGTATATAATATATATATATAAATGGAATAAATAAATAATATATAATTTTATAATTAATAAGTTAATGTGTATGAATAAAGAAATAGGACATAAGTGTAAAGAGGTATATGAATAGTATAAAGATATTGAATAGGCTTAGGAATAGAAGTACGCTTGACATTGTTTGTTTGTTTGTTTGTCAGGAGCGAACGAGAGAGTGAGTGAGGCCAAGGGAGTGGCTGGGGGAATAGAAGGAGAGTCCTGGAACACCTTTCACGTGAGGGAGGAAGTCGAGTAGTACTAGTAAAGTATGTATGACAAAGGAGGGGGTTGAGGCTTGTAATAGAACTTGTAGATCGTCCAAAGTGTATATCTATAAGTATGTATGTGTGTGTGTGTGTGTTTGTGTAGTGAGCTCGAATAGATCCAGACTATGAATATATATAGTTAAAGAGAAAGAAAGAACCTTTAGAAACCTTGTGGCAGGTAAAGTAATGTAAAGTAGAGGTGTGTTAGTGGAGAGAGAGAGAGGTTGCTGCTGGCTGCTGTTGTTAATTAATGTAATGTGTTTGTACAAAAGATCAATGTGAACTTATAAGTGTGATAGGTATGGGGTGTCGTTGTTTAATTGGAAGCACATGTGTGTGTTTAGAGGTGAAGGTGGTGGGTGATGAATGACATTCATTCGTTTCAACAACAGACCCACACACACATACATAACAACAAAAGGAAGGGGTTTGTTCTATGAATACAGTTGTGTCAGTAATAGATGTGTCTAAAGGGTATGTTTATTACATTGGAATTCATTGCCTTCTGGTCAAGTCAGACTTAATGGATTGGATTGTTTGATTGATTGATTGATGGATGGATGGTTTGTTAGTTGGATGGATGATGCAAAATGAGTTTGAGTAGGTTGGATGAGTTGGAGTTAAGTTGGAAGTAAGAAAGAAAGGAAGAGGAGATCCTGCTGCTGCTGCTGCTTCTGGGGGTCGTTGTATCATAAATGCCAGTGCACTGTTGTTGTTTGTTGATGTTGATGTGTTGCTGTATGAGGAGTATGTTTACATGTCATCCTCATTGACATTATCGAATAAATATGATGCTGTCATTTGCTCGTCTTTGTCACAGGCAAAGTATGCCTCAATCACAACACGCTTGTTCATGCCTGTAATCTGTATCAGCTATTGAATGATTGATTAATTGGTCGATGTTATTAGTACAAATGTCAGTCTGGACAACTGGTGTGATTGCCATTGGCCTCATGACTTACTCTCTCGATTGCCTCACGTTCCTGTGGAGTGATCTGGATCTGAACCATCTGTTGTGGATCCTGGAACAGTCTAAGGAAGTCCTGTGGATGCTCTGTGATCTGTCTGACCAATCCTGGATTGGTCTGGGTGAGCTGCTGTAGCAATTCTTGAATGACATTTGGATCCTAAACGTAATGTAGTGTTAGTCTCATCATCATGATCAATCAATCACCTTTAGAGTAAGGTTCACTTACTCTCTGGATTTGCTCGCGAATCTGAGGGAACATTGGATGGTTGCGCAACTCGTCGAATATGTTGGCTTGACCTGGCTGACCTGGCTGACCTGGTGCTTGGCCTTGGACATCAGCATCCTGTGTATCGACCTCATCCTCGTCGTCATCCTGTTGCACTGGAGCAGAGCCAGCGGCAGGGAGTTGACCAGTGACCAGCAGCTCAACGGCGCGATCTGGGTTGTTGTAGGCGGCTCTGAGTGCACGTACACCTTCCTCTCTTGAGAATCCCATGTCCTCAATGTTCTTGAGAGTGGCCTCGTACTCTGGGCCGGTCACAAAGCTTGGATCACGTGGCTGTGGGGAGGTAACGGTCACTGGTGATGGAGCTGGTGCTGGAGTAGTGATTGGAGTTGTAGTGGCTGTTGGTGTTGGTGTTGGTTGGATTGGAGTAGTAGTTGGGGCTGCTGGAGTAGTAGCTGGTGGAGGGCTGGCAGCAGCGACTGAGCCAAGTGCTGGTGCATCTTCCTTTGGCTGTTGACACATGTGATCAAATAGGTGGGCTATGTTAGTATGACTCAATGATGCCATCAAACATTCATCATTACCTTCTTAACCATGCAGACAATGAATCCACTCTCAGTGATGTTGTACGAGGCTATGGTGTTGTCATTCTCTAGAATCTTGCCACTGTAAATCAATGTTTGCCATGATTGAAGATGCTTGTGATTCTCAGTGATCATATCTTTCAACTGTGATACCTGTTAACATTATTATTTGTTATTGTTAGTGATCTGTTTCTTCATAATAATCATATCTTTCATTCATTCATCATTCAATCAATCACTCAATCAATCTCTACCTTTTCCTCACCAGTGACCTCAAACTGGTAAACCTCCTTATTGACATTCTTAATTGTGACCTTCATTGTTATATCTATTTAATATATATGTATGTATGTATGTGTATGAATATATGATTTATGTAGTATGTTGTTGTTAAGTGACTGTCTGCCTCTTGATCTAATCCAACAAAGAAACACACATAAATTTAATTTATTGAGGGGTGTGTTGTTCACACAACTCTCAATCTACACACACACAACAAAAATTAAAGTTTATTAATTTAAATCATTATTGAAATTCACTGATTGTTATTCAAAGTGAATGATAATAATAACTAGTTATAATAGTATTGTTGTATAGTTATACAACAAACAATTAGAGTTGAATGGTCTTAGATATTATTTAATTGTGATCATGTAATTCGATTCCATTCAAAAAACATGTTTTTTGTATTATTGTCAATTGTCCCATAACTGTTGGAGTTTCCAAAAATATTAATGACTTATAATTCGTTGTTCATGATGACTAATGAGGTCTTCTTACAGCAATTCTAAACAAACAATTACCAAATGTCAAACCCGTTGAGACCTGTCTAATCCTTTTTGTTTTTTCCATAACTCAAAGAGATAAATGAAGAAGATACAGATAGAGCATGGAGAATTGATTAATGAACTTTAAATGTATTATGTAATATCATAGTGTGATGTTAATTTAATGATTGGATGAATGAAAGAAAGAAAGAATGAATGAAGTTGTCTATTGCTTGGCGGCGTTGATCTTCTCCATGACCTCGGCATGGTAGTTCTCTTGCTTCTTCTCCATACCCTCACCAACGACGTATCTGGCGAATGAGTTGACTTTGACATTGGTGTTCAAACCCTTGGAAACGCGCTCGATGGCCTCTTTGACGGTCTCGCCATCCTGTCCACTGATGAACTTTTGCTCGAGCAACACGACCTCGTCGTAGAGTGAGTTGGGGTGTCTCTTGTTCTTGACGGCCTCCTCCAACACCTCCTTGGGCACGCTCTCGATCGAGACGTATGACGGGCCGACTCCAACAATGTGCACGGCCAGGTCGTCGGCCAGCTGCTTGACGGCAGCCATGTCCGAGGGTTGTCCGTCGTACTCAATCTCAATGATCGAGCCCAGACGACCAAACTGACGGGTTCCGCTTGGGTCGTGGGCATAGCCAGAGACTATTGTGTTGGGCTTGCTGGCACCAATGCCGGCAGCACGACGCAGCTGAATGTTCTCGCGGAGCTTGGCAACGGTCTGGACTATCGCGTCCGACACGGTGGTGCTCTCGCATGGCAGCTTGCTGACTCTGTCCATGTCGAGTGCGGCAATAGTCTTGCCGAGCAGATCGGTGCTGCTGTTGCCAACGATCTGGCTGGTGATGCTCTTGGCCAGCTGGCGGAAGGTGTCGCCACGCGACACAAAGTCCGTCTCACTGTTCATCTCGAGAATGACGGCCTTGTTGTTGTCGACCAACACTGAGATCACACCCTCGACCACGACACGGTTCGAGAGCTTCGAGGCTGTAGCCTTGCCCTTCTCCAGCAGCCACTGGACGGCCTTCTCGATATCATTGCTGCTGGCTTCCAATGCCTTCTTGCAGTCTGATATTGGGGCAGAGGTGCGGCTTCTCAAGTCCATGATCAATTGTTTTGGTACCTTGGCAGGCTCAACCGTGCTGCTGTAGTTTCTGTATTGTATCTGTTGCTGCTGCTGTGTTGATCCAAACAACTGTAGTGTACTACGTGTGGCATTGAACCTAATGTATGTTGATGATGATGGCATTACAATTGATGTATTGCATCCTTCAATGTAAAGTAAGTATGATGTTTGAATGAATGAGTGATTGAGTGAGTGATTGAGTGTGCTTACTCTTGAGCAAGGACAATGATCTGATCATTCTTGATATGTTGTTTACTAATCAGTATTAGTATTAGTTTGTTGTTGTAGTCTATGTTATAAGAGATATTGAAATGATCAAACGTAATCAACATGAAGTCAGCCATCAGACTCGGTCGTTTTTCCTAACTTCGAAAATCAAATCGTGTGCTTCTAATATTCATTATCTCTCACTCATTCATAAGCTAGTAGGCAAAGATATATAAGATGCTTCAGAGACACTTGTTAGGCATTACTTCTCGCATTGGCAATGTGATGACATCCAATCCCATCGCCAGAAGGTCATTGGCTCAAATGGAATATCAATACTCCTCATCTCCAATGATACAAAGTATGAGCACTAGCATGTTGTTGATGAACACTCAAAAGAACAATAATATGGTGGGCAACGACAAGAGATCAATATTCTTTAGTAGTTACATTGCCAACAATACACAATATAAGATGGATAGTGAAGATGAGATATTCAGCGAAGTGAAGGAGAGCATCGCCTTTGAGAAGCTGGGCAACTACTCGGCGTCAAAGGCCGTATTGAACAGATCACGTGACATCGTCGAGAGACAACTTGGAAAGAAGCATCCCATCACTCTAAACGTACTCTTTCGTCTGATTGACGCAGAGATGGCCATTGGCGAGTTGGCACCCGCTCAGAAGCTGTGCCAGACAATCCTCGAGCGACTCGATCACAGCAACCCGGAAATGGACCGATACACATTCCCAAGTCTCAACAACCTGATCCTATGCTTCCAGTATCAAGGCGATTTACAGTCTGCTGTGGATACCGCTGACAAACTGGCAACATTGGCTGAGGCCAGATCAGACTGGACACTCATGATTGGCACTCTGCTCAACAAAGCCATCATCATGGCACTTCAATGCAACGATGATTGCAAACAAGTGTTTGATCAATGTGTCACATTGCTCAAGGATAAGAATATACCAACGACCAACATCCTATATGGTATGTGCATGTCCACTCAATCAATCAATCAGCTGACTGACTGACTGACCCCAACCCTCATCAGAGACTGTAAATGGAAACTACGCTAGCTACAGCCACTCAGTTGCTGATGACTCGGAAGCGGAGGAATTGTTCCAGACGGCACTGAAGTACGCCGAACAGAATAACAATCAACCAGAGCTGTCCAATATCCTCACCAACTATGCAGAGTTCCTTCTGAGCAGCGAGCAGTTTGATCGCGCTGAGAAGATGTGCGAGTTGGCATCGAACCAGGCCGAAAAGACATATGGCCGTGACAGCCCCAAGCTGGGAATGGTCATCTTCATCCTGGCCAGACTGTTCAACACCAAGGGCAATCATGCATGGGCCGAAGGCTACTTTAACAAGTGTATCCGTCTGTTTGAGGACTATCGCAATAGGACCATGCTGCAACAACGCGAGCAGAGCAACACTGTACAAGAGCAGACACCAAACGTGCAGCTTGGCAAGCGCGAGATCGAGATGAGGACCAACAAGGAGGTGGACATCGACTATGGCAGTGTGCTGTGGGAGTATGCCCAGATGCTGCGGTCCAGTGGACGTCTGAAGGAGGCTGTCAATTTGGAGGAACGTGCAAGGAAGTTGAACGCCATCGATGATGACTAGTCAAGTTAAGTAAAAGACTCAAGACAACATTGTTGTTATTCGATCGAAGGGAAAGGAAAGGAAAGGAAAGGGTTAGTTTATTAGGTTGGTTGGTTAGTTGAGTTGGATTGAGGATTAACCGGCTGATTGATTGGTTGATTGATTGGTTGGTTTGATTGAGTGTCTACAACTCCATGTCGTACTCTGATCGATGATGTTGTTGTTGATGTTGTTGATTATGTTGTTGTGGCTTGTCGACTACACCTTCGGAGGTGTATTGATCTTCGGGATAATAGGCCGACACCACTGTCCTGAAGTTGTACTTCCTGCCGCCCAGGTTGGCCCAGGCACGCTGTGCCGCATCCAGTTCGACAAACTTTACAAACACACGGACAATGTCCAGTGGGTTGTCCTTTGGTCGCGAGACAAAGATTGACTCGACCTGGCCATACTCCTCGCTCACCTCCATCGTGTCGATCAACAAGTTCTCATAATTGGCATCGTCCTGTATCTCATCCTTATCGCACATATTAAACAGTTGTATAACTCTTGATGGTGTTGTGTTGTCTGCGTAATGATTGGATTGGAAAGGTTTAGAATTGAATGAATGATACTCATCATCATCTTCATCACATGATACATACCATCAGTTTGTACACTGGAACGAACTAATCCAATCACTTGTGGAATTGGTAGATTCAAGTTCAACAAAGTGGAGGTGGCAGACTCGTACTTGCCGCCATACTTGTTGGGTGTGCTTTGGGCGTATGGATTATCTTGTAGCGGTTGTTGTTGTTGCTGTTGTTGTTGCTGAGGAGGTCCCTACATTTGATTGATGATTGGAATGATTCCAAGTGTGTGTTGTTAGTTAGTATGTGGGTACATCCAATCATTTACCTGATCAATCAATACATACTCTTCCTCCGCTTGATATTTGAACTACCAATGCTCTGTCACCAAACATTGCTCCATTGAGTTCGTTACATGCTCTCTCGGTGTTGGCGTGATCCATATACTCGCAGAATGCAAAGCCTTTGGAGACACCATTCTTGTCTTTGACGAGATTGAACGCCCTCAGTCGTCCAATTGATGACATCAATGTCTTGATCTGATCCTCGCTCAATGATGATGGGATACCACCAACAAAGATCTTGTTCTCGCCATCTGGAACGTTGGTGCTGATGATCGAGAGGTTGGCGGCGTGAGGGACGGGCACTGGGGGCGGGGCCAGACCGCCCTCCACCGACGCCTGGTAGTCCTTGGGTCGACGAATCTTGAGAGAGAAGCCATTGAGCGTGATGCCATCCAGCGAGAGGGCGGCCGTGGCGTCCTCACCAAAGCGGAACTCGACAAAGGCAAACAACTTGGGCGACACCTGACAGCTCACGACTGGCGGGCCGCCACCAATCACCACGAGGTTGGCCTCGTGAAGCGCGATGTTCAAGAACTCTGCCAGTTGTGCGTCGGATGTGTTAGGTGGCACGTTTCCAATGTATAGACGACGGCTCTGCTTCTGTGCCAGTGTAAGGGTGCTTGCTGCCGCTGTGGCTGCCGCAGCGGTTGAGTGGCCGGCCACACCTAGGTAGCTTGTCGACTGGTTGACGGGGTGACTGGGTTGGGTGGGTATCTGGTTGGCCACGACATACTCGGGATGCTGCTCCTGCAGTGCCTGGCTGACGTACACCTGGCCAATTGGCACGATTGTCTCGTTGGGATCCGGTTGTCTGTCCCACAGTGATCCCTTTCTCGCCCTTGGCTGCGACTGCTGTTGTAGATGTTGCTGTTGAGGTTGCATATGAGGAGGAGCGAATTGTTGCTGTTGTTGTTGCTGTTGATAGAATTGAGGTTGTTGCATCTGTTGCTGGCCGTACATATTTGGTTGTTGTTGTTGTTGCATAAACTGTGGATTGAATTGCTGTTGTTGCTGAGGCAGCATCTGTTGTTGAGGTGGAGGTACCATCTGTTGTTGTTGTTGTTGTTGATAACCATTATTATTACTATTACTATTACGATGATGAGGTGGTGATCTACTCCTCTTCCTATATCCACCTCTATCTCTATCGCCTCCACCTCCTCTGTCACTCCTGTCACCTCTGTCTCCACGACTGTCTCTATCTCTATCGCCACCACCTCTGCTGTCTCTATCTCTATCACCTCCTCTATCTCCTCTATCACTTCTATCACCACGACTGTCTCTATCGCCTCGATCACCTCTGTCTCTATCACTTCGATCACCTCTATCACCTCTATCTCTATCACTTCTATCGCCTCTGTCACCTCTGTCTCTATCACCTCTATCACCTCTATCTCTTTCTCTATCCCCTCGATCACCTCTATCTCTATAGTCTCTACTACTCATTGTATTGTATTGTAAATGTATCTATATATTATATTATTGTATTAACGTATGTATGTATGTACAAAAGAGGACGTGATGTGCAAACTAATATGTCATCTGACATTGCGATCATCAAGTCGACAAAACACACATTCACACTCAAGTGTCTGTTGACAAAAGTTCGTCAACTCATTGGCTACAACTTTGACCTATTTGACATCTTGACTTAGGGTACTTGACTAGATGACTAGACAAAGTCTACATCTACTTATACCATTAATTCATACCAAAGGACGGGACCAATCCCTTCTCAATGGTCAAAGAAATTGACAACAACTTGAGACCATATCCATCTATCAATCAATCAATCAATCAATCAATGCATCCCTACCTTGACTTTGGATATTAACAATGAATATCCGGTAATTGATTCATTCATTGTGTAAATGACGATTCGGCGCAATTATATATCTATCTTGTGAACTTGGGGGTGAAGTTGTGTCTTTGTAAGGAATGCCCAACATTCTCACAATCGAAGAAAATAAGAAGAAGTGGATGTTTGTTTGTGTGTTGTTGTTTGGTTTTGTTGAGCAACAAGAGGAGGACACTCAATCCACTCCATTCATTGTGTTTCTCACACTTATTCACATCACATCACATAACATAACATATAAATAAACAAGACTTGATACATATACTGAGTCAGTTTTATATAATATAATATAATATAGATAATTAAATATTTATTAGTAATAACAAATAATTAGTATTATAATAGAGACAGAGACAGACAGACACAGAAATAACACAATGCATTTATTTAGAAGATCAAACAGCAACAATAACAACACCTATAACAACAATAGTATTAGTGATGAAGAGGATGACTTTGTACTAGTCGATGAAACTGTTGTAGCACCAACACCAACAAACAACAATAACAACAACAACATATTGCCAATTTATCAAATTAAACAGAGTCAATTGAACTTGGACGATGTTGGACAACTTCCATCATACTCACCAGTTGCTCAACACGTTTCACTGGTACCATCAGTCACTCCACTGGAGAACAACAACATCACAATCAACAACAACAATAATCAAGATATTGAGGTAGTTCCACAAATTGAGAATGTTGTACAACAACAACCAATCAGATCGATAATTGATGACGCAGTTGTCGATCAGCAGCCTCAATCACTTTACAACAGCAGCGTGGAAAGAATCGTTGTAAAGACTCAATCGCGTTCCAGCACTCAATACACCTCATCCAACTCTGTAAACATCAAGCCATACTTTACTCGCACGACCAACACACAGGCTCCAGCCTACATCACCAACTCCCCTGTACAGATCAAACTCTCCACGCCATCCTACGTCTCGACCAGCACCCAACTCACCGGCCCCTCCTACTTGTCGACCAACAAGACCAGCGTTACCTACTGTGAGCGATACTAATTTAATTAATTAATCACTCTCATTGTTGATATGATGGATCAGACAATATGTTGTGTGTTTATGGCTGATGCCACATACATAACCAACATCCTCCTCCATCCACGTCAACACGATGTATTCCTACCTATCAATTCTCAAGAAAGAATAAATTAGGCGTTTATTATCTCTTTTGTTGTTAAAATATATGTATATTGTTATCATTCATTATTCTTTGTGCCATTGAATTTAGGATTAATTCCTCAAAGGGCTTACTGTGACTGGGTATCCATTGGTGATTACTAAAATAATTGACCAAGAGTAATCACCAAACTATACTCTGTAGATTGCAATTATACTGTGACTTATGAACCTGGTTCCAAAGTATACTTGGTCGATTACTTTCGTAAATACTTTGCCAATTGTCCACTTGGACAATAACCATAGTATAATTTGTCTATTAACTTGGCGATATAATTATTCATTAAAGTTCAAACCCATCATACCCTTACACCAAAACCAGAATGTCTGAAAAAATAACGTCGACTTGAGAAAAAGTCGATAACATTGTCAATCTGAGATTGCCACATCATACACTTTGGAAACAAGAAAGATTGTCCTTTGCTAAAGATGAGTTGTTTGTTTATAAATAGTAATGTGCACACACTTTGTAATAACATATAACATATAATACATACATATACATATAATAATACAATGATTAATAACAATAATAACGTCGATATTTATGCTCAGAAGAATCAGTACATGTTTCCACATGACTTGACGATCGAGGATTGCAGGGAGGCTACAAAGAATGTGCCAGGATTCAGAGAGACGAATAAGAATGGATTGATCTGTTTCAACTATGACTTTGCGACTAGACAGTCATTCCCAGATCCATTGTCAGCACCAGATCACAAGACTAGCTATTTATTAAAGGTCAGAAGAGAGTGTCGTGGAATCATCTTTGACAAGGAGTCTGGACAGGTGGTCTGCAGGAAGTTCCACAAGTTCTTCAACATCAACGAGCTGGAGGAGACCAGCCAGGACAAGATCGTGTTGGCCGGCGCCAAGTACTGCATCATGGAGAAGCTCGACGGCAGTCTGATCGCCCCCATCTACTTGAACCAGGTCATCTCGTGGGGATCAAAGGCCGGCCACACTGAGCTGTCCGAGAAGGTGGACAAGTTCATCGAGAAGAAGCAGGCCGAGATCAAGTACAACGATATGGCCAGATATTGGTTGGAGCGTGGATGCACGCCAATGTTTGAGTGGTGCTCAGAGTCGCAGCGCATCGTCCTGTACTACCCAGTGGATACACTCAGCTTGACCGCCGTCAGATCGATCAGAACCGGCGACTACATCCTCTATGACGAGATGGTCAAGGTGGCCGCTCAGTTCAACGTGCCAGTGGCCAAGTGCGTCGACCAGGCCGCCCTGTGCAGCGAGAGCAAGACTGCCGAGGAGCTGTTGGTCAAGGTGCAGGAGATGAAGGATATCGAGGGATACATTTTGCGATTCGACGATGGTCGCGTGTACAAGATGAAGTGTACCTGGTACTTCAATCTCAGCAAGTCTGCCCCAATCAATCTCACGCACGAGAAGGACATCTGGATGATGATTCTCGATAACAAGCTGGACGACACAGTCAGCGGGCTGTGCGCCATGGGTCCGTTGCCAGTGCGCTACGTCAAGATCCAGAAGTTTGCCCGTGAGCTGTTCGAGACGATCGAGGAGCTGACGCACAATGTAATCAACGAGCTATACACTATCAAGCAGGCCAAGAGGACGAGGAAGATCATCCATGCCGATAGCCAGATAGAGCCACACTTCAAGAAGCTGTTGTTTGAGTTCTTTGATGAGATTGATGTCGAGGAGGACCGTTCCATCTATCTCTCTCGTGTGTCCAAGTTCATCATCTATCATCTCAAGTCTCAATGTGGTACCGCCTCCAAGTTAAACCATGCCAGGGAAATGGTTGGAGGATTGAAGTATGTCGAGTAATAATAATAATAATATATAATAAATATAACATATAATACCTTGTAAACAATACATTAATGATTAGAGGTAAAGACGAATGATTGTATTAATGATCCGGAAGTTCATCAAAAGTTCCAAAAATATTGATTTTAAATCTTTTTTTAATTGTGAAGCGAATGAGTGGATGTGTGCGAGGATACCCTCTCGCCATGCACGACCAAGGTATCGACTGACTTGAAGACAACACTACTTACATCCGTCCATCCATCCATCCATCCACCCATCCCACCACAGACTATAACAATGGGTATGTCATCATCTTGAGAGAACAGGTCAATCATCAATCGATCAATCAATCCGATCACGAAGGTCATCTAACATGTCAATCAATCATCAATCAATCCAATGATGAAACACAGCTGAAAAGATCAAGGCTTACGAACTCAGAAAGCAGAAGAAGGGAGAGTTGCTCAACCAGCTCCAGACCCTCAAGACCGAGCTTGCCACTCTCAGAGTCGGTCAGGTCAAGGCTGCTGCCCCAAGCAAGCTTGCCAAGATGTATGTGACACAGACAAGCGACAGATGATGATACAGGCATCGCGATTGATGACAGATAGTAGATATGATATCTAACATAGTACTTATCACGATCGATATGCGATATAATAATATAGTAAGGTTGTCCGCAAGTCAATCGCCCGTGTCTTGACTGTGTTCAACACCCAGAGAAAGAACCAGCTGCGTGCCTACTACAAGGACACCCCAAGAAACAGACTGCCAACTGATCTCCGCAAGAAGAGAACCAGAGCCATCAGAAGACGTTTGACCTCTGCTCAGCAGACCGCCAAGCCAGTCAAGGTGTTGAAGCAGTTGCAGCACTTCAGAACCCGCACTTTTGCCGTCAAGGCTTAAATTGAGCGAGCGAGCAAGCAATGAGCGAACGCGCGATAGATAGATCACTTGGTTGTTGTTGTTGTAACATGTATGATTTTGCAATTGCGAACGAACAGGCAGGCATTATCCCAATCCATTCCAGCAGCAACAGTTAGCGAACGAATCAGCGAGCGAACGAATCAGCGAGCGAGTCAGCTTAGACCCCCCAAAGCGAATGTCCATAATTAAACAGCCCATTAACATTGTCTGATGGAAACAAAAACATTATATTGGTGTCTCTCTCTGGACTATCCAATCATCCAATCAATCAATCATTCGACCATCTCGCTAGCGAGTTGACCAGCCACAACAGGCTCACCTTACCTCAACCAACATCTCACAGTCACTTCGTCTGGATCACCAATCCATTCTCCATCGATCATTGATTGAATCAGTCGATATTACCATGATGATGGTGTGACAAGGACCTTTTCCGGCTCAACCTGACACCAATTCATTCATTCTTTCATGTCCTTTAGTCATCCAAGGGACTACAACAACTCACTCACTCCCTCACTCACACAACCATAGCCTCACTCTCTCAACCAACCTACCTACCAGCTTCAATGACATTGTCATTCAAGTAAGCATCGGTAAGTGTATTTGAGTGAATGTGGTGGTGGTCTGGATTTGCATTACTTCTTTTGGTAATGTGGTGGTAGCTGCATTTAGTTTGAGGGTCACAAGTGGCATAGGTGTGGTCGGTCCAACATATTTTTTAATGCAATTACATTGAAGTTACCTTCTAAGGTCAAAACAGATAGGTGGTGTTCATTATCATTCATTCAAAGTCCGACGACTGTCGCCTATCGGACAGCTTGGGTTGGTCCTCTCTAGTCCTATCTGGTCCTGTGAGACAGATACCAAATGAGGTGGGGTAGGCTACCTGCCTATGTACATCCAACCATCCATCGCATCGCAAAGTAAACTTGGATAAATTTTAAAACAAAAGACAATTGAAGACCTCAATTCCAATCCAAATACATCCATTCAATCATTGCAACATACATCTAAAATTAATACAGATAAGATTATAACAAATATCATTCATATACAACAATATAAACATTATTAATATTCAATCAATCAATCAAAGTTATGACAACTATAATTCCAAATATTCGCCAGGAGCACTTCACTGGAGGATCAAAGTGCAAAGGATCATCAGAGTTTGTTAAACTGTTAAACATGCGTCTTAAGGATACACCACTTCTTAAACAGACCTCCAAGCCACTCTTATGGGTGGATATCGATGACTCTGTTCTCAAGGCATTTGAAGTAAGTTTGGAATGAATCCATCATTTTATTGATCATTTACTAATGTCTCTAATAAATTAATTTAGGTAATATGCTCCCAGAAAGTACTATCCATTCCGGTATTCTCAACTTTGGAGAATAAGTGGGTATCAATGCTAGATGTCAAGGACTTATGTGCCCACATAGTATCATTGTTTGATCCAAAGAATCAAATGAGAACCCCTGTACCAGACGGTTATACAGTACGCAATCTACTTACATCCAATGAGCCTGGTGAAGATCTGATCAGAAACTGTCCAATTGTAACACAAGATTGTACAGTACTTGAACTACTAAATATCTTCAACAAGAAGATACATCGTATCTGTGTATCAAATGGACCGAGTCCAATGGATATCAAGATCATATCAGAGATGTCCCTAATCAAATGGATCGATCAGAATGTTTGTATCCCATCCCTTATCCAATCAATATCCATCAAACTAACCCATGAATAATAATATCCAGAGGGAGAAGATGGGTCCAATATTCGAGAAGACAGTAAGTAATGTACATATTCAAATACTTTCTTTCCAATCTAACATCAATCATTATGTCTATCAATTATAAATATAATATAGCTAGAGGAGTACAAGTTGTATGATCCAGAAAAGAAGATTATATCAATACCAAACATTAAGTTGGCAATAGATGCTTTCAGAAAGTTGAAGGATAACAATATCTATGGAATGCCAATCGTTAGTGAGACTGATGACGAGCTTGTTGATAGTATCTCAGTAATTGACATAAGAGTATGTAATCCATCTCCATCAATCACTCATTCTTGGACTCATTCACTCATACCGTTAATCGAATAATCAGAATGCCAGGTTAGACCTTGCTAGACTTAAGCAACCTCTGTCCGAATACTTTAATCCATCAACGGGCAAGGGAACTGTATGTTATACATATATTCAATCATATCTTTTATTCATTGTAATACTAACTGTGTCAATTAATTAAATATTAATAGTCTATTCAGAGGACACCAATCATTTGTACTCCACATACAAGGATCAGAGAGGCCATTGGAAAGATAGCATCGACCAAGGTTCATAGGATATTTATCATTGAAGGTTTGGTGGATGGCCGTATGAACAACAAGCCACTCTCTGTTGTCTCGGTGTCTGACATTGTCAGAGTGATACTAACACGTGCCAACGAGGAGATGGGCGTTGTTGGTGTTGGCAGTCAGTAAGTACTTACTGGCTAACTGACCAGACCAGACTAGTCCAGTCCTGACCAGACTAGACCACCATCCATCAATCATGGAACTATCAACATCACCTGAAGCATTCAACTATAACAAACATCCAAAAACATCAATGTCATCAACTTCCAACATCATCAACATCATCCAACATCAACAACATAAACTAGTTGTAGTGCTCCTGGTCGACAACCGAACTTGGTCCAACCCATTCCCAAAGGGATAAATAAACACCTGTATACATGATCAATCATCTTCCTCCTCCTCTTCCATGTCCACCAATCGTGTTCCACATGTGCCAATGTACGTGAGAGCCAAGGTCATACAGCCTGTTGTTGTTTGATTTAGTCGAGAGAGTTTATATTATCGCTTTGAGGGGTTTATTGCGCCTAGTATTGCAGGGCTGGCTGTTGAGTCAGCAACTGGTTGAATCTCTTCTTCAGCATAATACGCTCTCTTGAGTATTTGTCATCAACAGAGAAACGAGCTAAATAATTATAATGATTGATTGATTGATTGATTGATTGATTGATTGAAGTATGTTAGTTGTCTCTCTCTTTTGCCAATGAGGCATAGTCCGATTCGTCTCGACTCGCCATTATAATATTCCAAGTCGCTCGATATAAAGTCAGATCGTCTAACTATCTATCTATCTATCTCTAATATACATACCTGGATGAGCAGAGTATGCGAATTGGCTCTTTGGTCCGCGTTTCTATAATGATAATGATGATGTTAGAAGATGACAATGAGGCCAAAGGATTGATTGACTGTTTGATTGAACGAATGATATGTACCTTCAAAGTATACTTTCTCTGACCATCCTCACCAATATAGTACATCAAATGCATCTTGTTATATGTTCTTTGTTTGTATTATAAATATTGACTCTCGTCCCAAGTTTAGCTAAATGAGTATTTCTATCAAACACTCATACTAAAACGAAACAAAGTCAGTCGCTCGTCAATCATCCTCCACACAAAATTGTTTAATTTATTTGATTTTTTTTTCATTCACACACAAGTCCTTTCAGGTCCAATCAATCAAACAATCAATCATACATAAGTAGATTCACTATTATTTCTGTATTGACAATGTGATGTTTATACCAATTATTGATAAGTGATGTCGGAGTTGTGATTGATTGAAACATAATATATATATCACATAATAATCAGACATGGAGATACATAAACAATCACAATCACTATCACAACAGACGGCCACGACCAAAGTATTTAAAGCACTCATACAATCATTGTATATTAGAGGAACTATATTCTCATTTGTAAAAGAAATACATAGGAGAATAAAGGCAGCCAACTTGGTCGATTGGAAGGAGTTGTTGATAAATCCAAGAGCATTGATATATCATGGACATTTGAAACTGTTGAAGAATCTGTTCCAGAATGTTTGGACCACGCCACAACATTGGCTATGTGCCACACCCTTGGCAGAGGTGGCAGTGGAGTTCAATCATATGGATATACTCAAGTACCTCGATAAACATGTACACAATGACAAACTATTCAATGGACATGAGTTCATAACGGCCGCCAAACTTGGACGTGTGGAAGCGATCAAGTATATCCTGAAACATCGTGTCGTTGAGTGGCGCTTCCTCGTAGCATCCCTTGAACGCGCAGTTGCTGGCGGGCATGTAGAGATTGCCAAGATGGTCAACGATCAAATGTTGCTCCTTGAGATAAAGCATAACAAGTCCAAGAAAAGGAGACTAAAGTTGTTCAAGGAAACCGTGTACCCAATGCGACATCACAGCTACTTGGATGTAGCCGCTGAATCTGGTAGTCTGGAGATGGTACAGTGGGTACATAATAGCATGCCCGAGGTAACATGCTCCGAGAGACTGTTTGATCTAGCCGCTGGCATGGGTTGCATGGACATCCTGCAGTTCCTCCATCAAAATAGAACGGAGGGCGGATCGCAAACGGCCTGGGACCTGGCAGCCATGGGTGGACATTTGGATGTGCTCAAGTTCTTGCATGAACACAGAACGGAACCATTCCATCTGGGAACTATGGCATCAGCTGCACGCAATGGTCGAATGGACATTATACAATGGTTACACGACAATGGAAGACCGACAAACCAGCAGGCCGTTGACTATGCTGCGGCCGGTGGTCATCTGGACATTGTGAAATGGCTGTTGAACAATCGCACAGAGGGCTGTTCAAAGATGGCCATGGACAACGCGGCAAAGAATGGACATCTCCACGTTGTGACGTACCTTCACACACACAATACTAGAGGCTGCTCAATCTATGCGATGAACTATGCGGCGGCATTTGGTCGCCTGGAAATCGTCCAATTCCTACATAACCACAGGACTGAAGGATGTGATTACAACGCATTGCAATTGGCATCTTGCAATGGACATCTAAACACAATCAAGTTCCTAATTGAAAACAGACCGCAAGATGTCTATTCAAACATCACCGACTCCATCAAATATGCCAAAAAGACGGACAATCCACACATCGTAGAATACTTGTCATCATTACCAATGTATTACGACAAGGTCAAGTTCTCCATTCCTCCTTCAAGTTATTCCCTTTCGGACTTTAATTAATTAATGTATAATAACATTCATTCAATCTTCAATCATTGTCTGGAATCATTCCATTCACTCATTGGTCAATCAATCAGAACTTCGTCTTCAATCACTCTCATCATTGATTATGTGAAGAGTGATGGTGACCCACCTCATTTGACTTGGGTTTGTTTGGTGGATGATAATTTTTTGTTTTTGATGAACTCATCCATCCCTGAGGATATTATTGTTTTAAATTGATTTAATTAAAATGTGGGTGTGTTTTTGATGTGATTAATGTTTTTTTGGAATGAATGAATGAAGGAATGAATGCGTGATATCTTGCAGCCATCACCCTTTTGACAAGAACAACAACACTTTGGCTGAGCTCTTCACCTTCCCATCCATCCATACTCACCCACCAGCCATTTGAAAGACCAAACCAAAGTTAGTTATTCATTCACTTTCCAACAATCAATCAAACATTCAGTCATACAGGCACATCAGTAGCGCAGACAGACAGTCAGACTCGAAAGATATACCCTCTATATTGTATATTATTTACTATTTATAAACCAAAGCATATATACAGCATACTCTCTCTCTTGTACAACTAGATAACCCACAACAAACAAACATATACAGCATTCAAAGATGAGCAACTACGACGAAGAGAACATCGAGGAGAAGACCACCGGAGGAAAGTCCGATGCTGAGTACAAGGCTGACATCCAAGCTAGACAGACTGAGATCTCAAAGCTCATGAACCAGTATGTGTCATCTTTGACATCAACAATGATTGAATGAATGTTAGAATGAATGATTGAATGATTGAATGAAGCCAAGAGGTTGCTACATTGATGGTTACTTCCCTCAATCATCATCAGTTCAAACATCTTGTAACAACACAATCAATCAATGAATGAACAATCACTAACCTTAGCATAACACAACAATTCAATAATAATATAGAGGAAAGCCAACTGATGCTTTGCCAATTGCCTTGCAAGACCCACCCATCCACACAAAGACCCAGGCCATCAAGGACCAGAACGCCACAGCTGTCATTGGTGTTTTGTCTGCCATCAAGGAGAAGGATGTTGATGGATGTGTCAACCAGCTGGACGACGATCAGTTGGATATTTTGATGAAGTACATCTACCGTGGTCTTGCCACCGGTGACAACAACTCTGCCATCTTCTTCAAGTGGTACGAGGCCACCCTGAAGAAGTCTGGAATGGGCTGTGTTGTCCGTGCCATCTCTGAGAGAAAGACCGTCTAAATTAGTCTTCAGTTCAGACTATCTCAATACAACACCTCATCCTCTCCTCTTCTACTCCTTTTATCAATAACATAACATAACCTACGTCCTTACCCTATACCCCCTATACCCTCTATTCCCTCTAGAGTATGCTCTATACTCTATACTCTATTCCTAATCAAACACTTGCACAACACCAATCATCATCATCATCATCATTGCACGGCAAACACATATGATATGTTGCCGGCACCCTCCGCCGATCGATCAATCTTGTATCTTGTAAGTCTTACAACAACAACAACTAACTAGTTTATCAATGCACACGCGACACATTAATGTGACAAAGCAACTTCGATGACGCGCCTTAAAAGACTGTGTGTGGCTTGTACCCAACCAACATGTAACCAAACGAACGTTCGTTTCGTTGATCTTTCAATCATTGAATGACCTTGAAGTGGTAGTTGTAGTCGGTTCTTGGGGTAGGTTGGTGACGCGCACGCGCAGTCAGTGTCACAACAACAGCAGTCACAGTTGGAGTAAGTATCCAAAGAAAGAAAGATGGGTGGTGTGATGGGTGCTCGAGTGATGAGTGATGTTATCAAGGACCTATCTATCACCTGGACAAGGCAAAGTCAACTACATTGTCACACATTCACCAACAACATTACCTAATCAGTACATACTGATCAACAAAATGCGCCCATCAATGTTTACTCCTCAGATCTTTCACTAAAGTGACGCAATTGTCGTTGGCCCCTGCCATCATATGATACGGCCGTTTCTATCAATACTTCCAGCAATGGTTCTGATGGCTAGTTTGTTGGGCGTCAGTTTGGATTCTTCCTGGACCAAGTGCCGCACTCACCCACAGCCATCGCATTGGATTGGTGCCTCGTCAGTGAGACAATCAACCGCGGTGAGTGACAGAGGGGAGGAATCAAGCAAAGTGGAGACTGTCACCTGCCTGGTCAGGTGCTCAGGTCCAACACGCGAAAAATAAATCAGTTGGGCTAGGGCCTCGATCAGGGCACTTGTCGGGGGCTGCGTTTTGTGTTCTTTCCAGAGTGCGATGTGTGTGCAAAAAGTGATTTTGAGTTTGTTGACAAGTGCTCTCGTGTGCCTCGAGGTGACTGATCAAATCTCGCACCAATGGGGAGAATGTCCTTGTCGATTGATCTTTGCAGTAGTTGAACTTTTTTCCTTTTAAGGCTATGATTCGTGGAAGAGTTGGATTTTTGCATGGCAAGGAGGGCTGAAAGGGTTTTGCCGGACTGGACCCAAGCCCACCATCAAGCACGTCACGCCTCTTGTTAACAAGCGATGAAGGGCTTCAGTGCCAGAGAGTGGCATATGAACCATCTTCAAATGCTCTCCGACGATCAATGCTCCTCTTTCTCTCTCTCTCATTGATGATGGTGGTGCGTCTGAAGAAAAGCCATCAAGATTCCCCGGGCTACTAACTACTATTACTACAACACCTTACTATCTTTGGTTAAGAAACATTGTTGCTGTTGTTAAAACTGATTCAATCAATCACACTCAATCATTCACTTCGAAGACCCAATTACAAGTATTCACTTGCCTTTACTGACGACAGTAATATTATTTATAAATACCACTAAATGAATTAATTCTTATCTCTCACAGATAACATATTATTATACATTCATTCATACATACTTATAAGTATATACAAACATATAATATACTATATATATACAATACTATAATACGATGACAATGCTATGTATATCACCAATGGATAATAACAACAACAACAACATAAACCATAACTATTATCCATATAATCCATTTTATCACCAAGCCTCAACATACCAACATACCAATATTAACAACCCATGGAACACAACAACATCACCAATCACCTCCACTACCTCAACAACATCAACATTAACATCTGCCTCCCCAACAAACCCCTCATCCTCAAATCCCAATGAGGCAAACTCTCACCCTCAAGTTGCCGAGTCACGCGCCTTTCCAGATGTCAGTTTGGACTCGCCCTTCCTCGACATTAACAATGTCAATCTCGATTATTTATTATCATACGGCAGCTATGTTGATTACGAGTTATCATCAGACTTTGCTTCATCTAATGAGTCAATGTCATCTGACGAGTCTCTTTGTCCAAGCAGCCCAATGTCACCTGATGTCTTATACACTACATCAACAACTACAACAATGGCAACTACCGCCTCACCATATCCATATTTCAACCAGACCGATGTCGGTCTGCCTACACTGCCGATCATGAATTATAATACTACTATTACCACGATGAATACTACTGCTGGCTCTGAGCCATCTTCACCACTGCCTCCAACACTGCAAACTCAGTCATCCAAGTCTCATTCACCAAGAACAATGGTAGCGCCAAAGAAGCAGATCAAGTCTGCATCCGCCAAGTCTTCGCCCAAGTCCTCACCCAGGATCAAGTCTAAGTCCAAGTCACCCAAAGAATCACCTGTTGTTGAGCCACTATCCCCACCAGTGCTGCAAACATATCCCTCATTCACCGATGCCATCGACACCACTGAGACCACTGACACCGCCACCCGAGAGACTCGTTCACTGAAGTCAATTTCCGATCTTGTGTTGAGCGAGTACCGTCACTCAGATCCTGGAACTCGTATCGACATGAACGACCTTGTCTCCAAGACTCAGGTGACCAAGCGTCGTTTCTACGAGATCATGAACGTTATGGAGTGTGTTGGCGTTGTGCGCAAGGAGGAGCGTGATGCCTACTACTGGGTTGGCTATAAGAATGTGGAGAAAACCATAAACTCCATCTTCGAGACGACCGCCGACCTGTCGGCCAAGATGACTTCGATTAATTCCCTATGCTACCAGTTCATTGCCATGTTTGCCATCAAACATATGATAAGCATCAACGATGTGCGCGAGGAGTACGATCTGGATTCCAGGCCAGCCCGTTGCAAGCGTCTCTATGACATTGCCAACATCCTGGAGAGTCTTGGTCTTATTACCAAGTCCGAGAAGGTTAAGTCCAAACAGATGTACACCTGGAATGGACCTCCATCTAATTAAGTAATATTACATAATAATAAATATATATATATAAAAGGCGCACCGACAAACAATCGGTATGCCACTCCCCACTGTATCCATCTCCTGTCTGCCAATCTTGTTGATCCTGCGCATTGAATGAACGAATGATATATGTTCACAGAGGTATGTTTACTTCCTCTTTGTACTTCCGCCGCCACCGCCACTGTTTGAAACAATGGCCTGTGCATGCTTGGTGTCTTTGATGTGTTGGAACAGCTTGTTGCGTGTTGGGAATCGCTCGGAACAGACATGGCACACCATCTCGTCCTTTTGTTTCTCAGCACCACCAGCACCGGCAGCCGCCTTCTGCTTCTCCTGCCTTTGTAGCCTCTTTTCCTTGGCCTTGCCAATCTTCTTTGTCTGTGTTGCAGTCTTCTTCTCGTCCTCACTGTCACTGTCCAGGAATGGATTGATCACCTTCTTGCTCTTGGTCTTGTTCTGTGTCTTCAAGTTGGCTGCGTCGTCGCTGTCATCCTCATCATCATCCTCGTTAGCAATATCCTCATCGTCATCATCTTCCACCTTTAGTTGTTGTTGCTTTTTCTTCTTGACCATACCCTCTGGGAGGTCATCGTCACTGTCCTGCTTCTTCAATGACTTGCTCGATGATGATGACTTTCTATTTGACTTGGAGGACTTGTCATCTCCCTCATCTTCCTCTGCCTCATCATCTTCCAACTGCAACTTCTTTGCTTTGTTCTTGTTCTTCTTGTTCTGTTTCTTCTCCTTTTTGTTGCGCTTTGTCTTTGATGATGAGTTGTCTGAATCCTGGTCGTTGTCGTCCTCCTCCTCCTCTTCATTGTCCTCATCAATATCACCTCCATTATGTATTGCAGCTGTTGCCGCTGCCACAGCCGCATCTCTCTTCTTCTTCTTATCCTTCTTTGTCTTCTTTGTTACTATTCCATGCGGTAGCTCATGCTCTTCCTCATCTTGATCTTCTCCATTGTCATTGCTATTATTGTTGTTGGCCTCTTGTTCAACAACCTCATCATTATCATCATCATCATTTACATCCAGTGCATCCAACTCTTCATCGATCATCACAGTCTTTCTGAGCAATGCCAGATTCTTCTTGTGAAGGTTTGACGACTCGTGGTTCTTGAGCTGTCGATCCGACTTGAAAGTCTTATCACAAACGACGCAATGATACTCTGGCACCTCCTCGTACTCTTGGTCGTCCTCCATAAACTTGACACCCTCACTCTTCAGTCGCTCATACTCTCGCTGCTGCTCCTCCTTGTGTCGCCTGATGGCTTCCTTGTGCTCCTCCTCCGCCCGCAGTCTGGCCTCCTCCTCGCGTACCTTGCGCTGTTCATCCTCCTCGCGCTGTCGCTTCAAGTGCTCCATGACACGCTTGTCTCGCTTGTAAATGTAGTCGACCAAATGTCTGACCTGGTCCTGATACTCTTGACGATGCTTGCTGCGCTCCTTCATGTTCTCCTTCTCCATCAGTCGTTTGATCTGTCTGTTGACGGCCTCTGTCGTGTTGTACTTGTCGGCCATTGTGAATCGCTTCTTTGTGACAAACTCTCGCCAGTACTGATAGAAGCGTAGCACGTCTGCCATTGGCGCATCGCTGCGACCAAACATTGGCGCGGTGGACTTGACGCGCGCCTTGTTTGAAGTGTCTGCAAAGTCCTCGTCGGCCTCGACCTCCTCCTTCTCGATGTCTTCAAACACCTCGTTGTACACTGTGTAGAAACCGCGCTCGCCATCGTCAAACAGGTCGTAGCAGGCCGAGCTGAAGAAGCCCCACAAGTTGATCGTGCTGGCATCGTCATCGTCACCGCCACGCAGGATTGCTTCGCGATGATCGTCGTACCACTTGCGCTCATTGGGATCGGACAGTATGGTATAGGCGTGGTTCAACTCCTTGAAACGCTCATCGGCCACTTGTTGTTGATGTTGATTCTTGTCCGGATGCCATATTAGTGCCTGTCTCCTATAAGCCTTTTTCAGTTCGTCGGCAGTCGCAGTACGAGCCACTTCAAGCACTTCGTAGTAGCATCTTAATACTCTCTTTGTTTGAGACATGGCTTTATCACATTAATTAGTTTTGAATGTATAAATAGTTTACTCCTCCTTATTATTATTATTTGTTATTATTATTATTACAAATGGATTGTTGTGCTGAGTTTACTCAAATGAGAATACTAATAAACGAACGAACACAAGATCAAATAGATAAAAGTGAGAAAGTTCACAAAATGGTCACTTTTGTTTGAAAGATGGACACGTGTCACTTGAGTTGCCAACCAACTTTGGGACAAGTTTGATTGATTGATTGAATGATGGATTTTGGGAGCTAAGATGTTATTGATTGTTTGATTGGTAGTGTTATAAGCCTGATCAGTTGTTGATACAATATTACTACAACCGAGCAAAGATGATGAGTTGATAATTATGCTGCCGCTGCGTCTGCGAATGCTGTAAATGCTGCCGCTGTTGTTGCTTATTCTATTGTTGTCATTGTCATTATTGTTTGTTAATGTTATTATCTTTTTGATCTCTTTAGTTGTTGGATGTTGTTGTTGTTGTTGTTGTTGTCGTTTAGATCTTTGACTTGGTGGCGGCAAAGAACTTCTGAGCGTAACCGGCCATGCCAGCACCCAAGAAGTCAGCTACCCAGTACAACCAATGGTATCCCCATTTGTTTCCAACCAAAGCTATTGTTGTGAAGTGATAGTTAGTTAGTATGTTGTCGAATTGATTAACTGACTGATTGATTGATCACTTACCTGGACCAAATACTCTTGCTGGGTTGAATGCACCTCCAGAGACAGAACCACCGAGGAAACAAAGGAAGCCAAGTGTGAAACCAATGGCAATTGGGGCGAAACCAGCCTTGGTTGCACCAGAGGTCGTGTAGATGGTTAGGTTGCTGCCAGCGGACTTGCCACCACGAACGACCTTGACGTTCTTGCTGTCGTCAACAGTGTCGAAGGCAACGGCAAAGATGACGTAGACCAGGATGAAGGTGAGAATGAGCTCGGTCAAGAAGACGTTGCCAATGTTGGAGTCGGCGGCTGGGACGACAGCTGTGGCGGCAGCGGCGTTGCCAGCGGCGAACTGGTCCGATGGGAAGGTGGCCAGCAGAATGAGCGACGCCAACACGGCACCGACCAGCTGCGCGCCAATGTACATGAGTCCCTTTGTGATCGAGGTCTTTCTCGTGACGCATGTGGCAAAGGTTACGGCGGGGTTGAAGTGCGCACCAGAGATATCGGCGAACGAGTAGATGAGGGCGACGGCGGCAAAGGCGGTGGAGAGGGCACCTCCGACCACCGACGATGAGTTTGGTGTTCTGAGGAAGTTGGCGGCGGTCGACAACACGATGTAGACAAACAGGAATGTGCACATGAGCTCACCGAGCACGGCACGGATCAGCACCCAACGCTTCCTCTGTTGCTCTGCCACAGGGTCGAGTGGGGCCTCATTCTTATCATCCTCTGGTTCATCTGCAACTGAGATTCCAGTGTCCTGCATCTCATGGTATTCTGAATCGTTCTCGTCAGACATTATTATATTCTATGTATGTATGTTTGTATGTATATATGTATGTTTCTTTGTATTGACTATCTTTGTTACAAGATTTATGTGTCTCTCTCTGTCTCTCTCTATCTATTCGATGGATTGATTGATCGAGTTATAAGTTTGAGGTAATCAGTTTTTTGCTGTTGCTGCGCTGTAACTGTGCCTCTGTGTACGTGTATATATATATGTATTAATGTATAAGTATAAATATAGACTCTCTACTATTACAACAAAGGGGATATTTGAATGACCTGGGGATCGGTGCACTCAACGATCCGTTCAACTTGCTGAGCTTGCTTCAGTGGACACACACCCAAATCATTGATTATTTTTATTTTTGGTGCACAAAACTTCAATGAAGCACTTTGATAGGACACATTCTGATGTAACGTTATTCATATCGATTGGATACGTGAAGTACAATGTTTGATTAAGTGGGCATTCATTACTTACTTACTTACCCTTCTCACTACTCAAATATATATATAATACATATTGTATATGTTGTTGTGATCACATCAACATCAGGTTGAGAAGAGACCACTCTCCACCCTGTTGGATCATCCAATGATGTAAGTTGTTCAATCAATCAATCAATCATATCTAGTCTGTTGGGTACATTGCCAACCTCGCGATTACTTTATACAGTTCATGATGATCTTGACAACAACATAGCATTGCTAACAATACTATCTTCACCTGGACATCATCATTCATCATTGACATTGGATCATTCAATCATTCAATCAATCAATCGATCTTGATAACTCGATAAACACTTTATCAATGTGATCGGCATCAACACAATCATCATGATACTGTATACAGGTGCTTTGTTTAAGAATGTTGATACAGCTCTGATCTTCAAAGGGTAGTCTCTGGAATATTAGGTGATTATCCATTTTGACCATGATCATTCAGAGTTCATTGGAATAATTGATTGGTACATTGGAATAATTGATTGGTTCACCTGCACCGATGAAGACTGCGTCGGTCGGCACTTCGATAACAGCGTTGGACACCACGAGGCCCTTTACAAACGAGCCTACACCAGAGAGTGCTCTCTTCTCAACCTGTTGTTAATATTATCACATCATCTATTTCAAAGCTATAGCTGTTCCAGATTGAGTATCTGATTCGATCTGATCAGGTACTCAATCCTTTTTGAAATACTACATATAATATAATAAATCAACTTCCATCTCTCTCTTGTGTAGCACAACTATTTTGTTTGGACAGTCGACTGTCGCGTCCCACCCTCGTCGTCTCAAAGAAGTACAACACATTCTTTGATTCATTCAATCAATCAATCATTTTCAAACAAATATTCTTCATACAGATAATATAACGATGTTCAACATATCAACTGGAAGCTCATCATCATCAGCCTCTTCATCCTATCATAACAAGGAGAGATATACAAAAGAGGAATGGGAGAAGAAGTTAAGTGAAGTTAATATATCAAAGAGGTAGGTTGAGTTGAGTTACAAGTTGAGTCATGAGAAGAAGGACGTACTAAACCAATCAATCAATGTAGTGATCTAAACAAGTTGGTGATGAACTATCTTGTGATTGAGGGATATAAAGAGGCGGCAGAGATGTTCCAACAAGAGTCTGGTACAAAGAGTATGGATGAATGAATGAATGAATTAGTGGACATCGAACAACCAGATACTAACTTACCATTCTTGAATGAATGAATGTTGCCCCACAGGTTCAGTAGATCTACCATCGATTGTAGATAGAATGGCGATTAGATCAGCGATACAAAGAGGTGACATTGAACAAGGAATAGAGATTGTCAATGATTTGAATCCAGAAGTATGATTGATGGATGATTGCGATGATTGCTTGATTGCCGCGATGATGATAATGATGACAATGAAATGACTAACAGGTGTATCGATAATCTAGATATTAGATACCAATCCTCAACTATGTTTCCATCTGCAACAACAAAGATTGATTGAACTGATCAAGAAAGGAAAGTTGGCAGAGGCCATCCAGTTTGCACAAGAAGAACTGGCACCTCATTGCGAAGATAATGTATGTACAGTCAGTGAACGAATCAATGAATGGACACTCGCTGACCATTACGTTTAGCCAAAGTTCCTGGAGGAACTGGAAAGAACAATGACATTGTTGGTGTTTGAAGACCTTGCCAAATCACCTCTGGCTGATCTAGTGGACAACTCTCAACGACAAAAGACGGCCAGTGAGCTGAATGCTGCGATATTGGTCAGTCAAAGTCAGGACAAAGACCCCAAGCTACCAACCATTCTCAAGATGCTCAACTGGGCTCAGGCACAGCTCGAGGAGAAATGTATATATCCCAATATGAAGAACCTGGTCACTGGCGAGTTCAAAGAGGAGGCTGACTCCTGAGTCGAGTCCATTCAATCTCTTGTAAATAGACTATTAATGCTGGCCTTCGTTACTGGCCATACACACAAAGAAGTCATCCAAACCAGAGAAGGACAAGGATGGCAAAGGGAAGAGGTGTAAGCTTCAATAAAGTGTATATAGATCCAATGACAATGCCAAAGAATACTTTGGTCGGTGACAAAGTATACCATGGTTAGCGCCAAAGTCATGGATGGTCAAGGCTATACATCAATCCTCAGAAGGCATCGTTTATTGCATGTGCAAAGTGATGATGACAGATGTGGGTAGTGTTGGCAATGTTATAAATATAAATGAACAGTCCATAACCAATCACATATTGCTGATGCTGCTCGCTGGTGCTCTGTCTGAGTAGTTGTTGCTGTAGTTGAGGGTATTGTGGTAGTTGGAAGTTGGATATTGTGTTGTCCAGTCCAGTCCAATCCAGGTCAGAGAGGGTGTAACATTATTGTACGCCTAGTATAAAAAGGTCTCCTTCTTCTTGTTTGATTGCTTCCAGGCTGCGAGCTTGTAGAACTCATCCTTGGTGACCTTCATCACGCGGAGGAAGTCTGAGTCACTAAGGTATGACTCGAGCTTGGTACGATCAACGTGCGCTGGGACATTCTTGGCCTTGAGATCATCGTATGAGAAGGTCTCGGAAGCACCAGCAGCAGCTGGGGCAGCAGCTGGAGCAGCGGCAACTGGAGCAGCGGCAACTGGAGTGGCAGCTGGGGTTGGGGCTGGAGTGGCAGCAACTGGGGCTGGGGCGGCAGCAACTGGAGCTGGGGCGGCAGCAACTGGAGCTGGGGTGGCAGCAACTGGGGCTGGAGTAGACTCAACAAGCTTCTCAGATGATTTGGTTGACTTAAGGACTGATCTGAAATCTGGAACAGATGGCTCCTTGGCGGGTGAGGCAGCAACTGGTGTGTCAATCTTGGCAGAAGAGTTGGTCTTCTTCAGAACAACACTTGATGGATCGATCTTGGCACCACCAAACAGGTTGACACCACCAACTGGTCTCTGGACCTCTGGCTTAGTCTCTTCTGGCTTGGCCTCCTCTGGCTTGGTCTCAACAACGGCAGCAGCAGCTGGCTCAGCCTTTGTCTCCTCTGGCTGGGCCTCAGCTGCCTCTGTCTTGGTCTCCTCGGTCGTCTCCTCGCCCTATTAATGTGCCCAGGTATGATTGATTATATTAGTGATGGTCCAACTGGGGAGGTCATGTCCATGGATGATGATTACTACATACAGTGACACCTTGCAGGAATGACTTTCCTCTCTTTGTTGGTCTTGAAAGGGTTGGATGAGAGAGCTTCTGGTGTGGCTCATCGACTTGTTGCAATACGTTTTGCTCGGCCTCCTTTGCCGCTGCCTCAGCTGCCAGTCTCTTCTTCTCCTCCTCCTCATCGGCCAATCTCTTCTTTTCGGCCTCGTCGGCCTGACGCTGCTTCTCGGCCTCATCAGCCAATCTCTTCTTCTCAGCTGCTTCAGCAGCCAGACGTGTCTTCTCAGCCTCGGCATCCAGTCTCTTCTTCTCAGCCTCATCAGCCAATCTCTTCTTCTCAGCCTCAGCCTCCACACGCTTCTTCTCTGCCTCAGCCTCCAGACGCTTCTTCTCGGCCTCATCAGCCAATCTCTTCTTCTCTGACTCGGCCTCCAATCGCTTCCTCTCTGTCTCATCGTCCAAACGCTTCTTCTCTGCGGCATCAGCCAGACGCTTCTTCTCGGCCTCATCAGCCAATCTCTTCTTCTCTGCTGCCTCAGCCTCCTGACGCTTCTTCGCTGCCTCGTCATCCAAACGCTTCTTCTCTGCAACATCAGCCAATCGCTTCTCCTCAGCTGCTCTCTTCACCTCTGCATCATCATCAGTCTTCTGTGTCTCGGTGACAACAGCCTCGGACTTCTTTGGTGTTGGAGTGGCGGCGGCGGCAACAGGGGCGGCAGCAGAAACAGGGGTAGCGGCGACAACAGGGGCAGCGGATGGGGCTGGGGTGGCAGCTGGCTTGGCAGCCTCAGTCTTCTTGGCTTGCTCCTTCTTCTTTGGTGGGGCGGCGGCCTCCTTCTTGGCAGCAGGGGCAGCGGCAACTGGAGCAACAACTGGCTTCACTGCCTTGGGCTTGACCGATGGATCGTTGATTGCCTTCAAAAGCTGATTGATATCGTCGTCATCCTTCTTGACTGGCTTCTTTGCAGCCTTCTTCTTCTTTCCAGCAGTGCTTGGGGTGGCAGTGGCTGGAGCGATTGAGTCAGAGTCCTCTGACTTGGATGCAACAGCAGCAGCTGGAGCAGCGGCGACAGCCTTTGGCTGGACCTCAACATCATCGAAAGTTGGCTCCACAATTGTGAATCCCTTTGGTTGTGCTGGCTTCTTGGCCTTTTGTGCTTGTGGCTTGGCAGCTGACTTGGCGGCTGGCTTGGCAACTGGCTCAGCAGCAGCAGTCTTGACGGCCTTTGGTGGCTTTGGTGATGGGATGAGCTCAGCAGTTGGTGTGGCGGTGGTGGTGGTGGTAGTTGTGGTAGTGGTTGGTGCTTCGGTTGGTTTGGCGGCGGCGACGACAGCAATGTTGCTGGTATCGATTGGTGACACTGATGCGTGCTGTGGCTGTGGAGTGGTGATGAGTGGTGAAGAGGTTGGAGTGCCCTTCTTGGTCTTGGGCTTCTTCTTCTGTTGTGGCTTTGACAACTTGGATGATCTCAAACGGATGACATCCTCGTTGTTGTTGCTAATCTCGGCTGGTGAGCCAGTGACCGAGTCGTCAAACACAGGTTCGACAATCTCGAATGGTGCCAACTGAGTCGAATGCTTTCTCTTCTTGTTCTTCTGTGATGCTGACTTTGTCTTGCGTGCCTCTGTCGCTGGTGATGCAATCGATGTTGTTGATGATGTCGATGTGGTCGATGTGGCTGGTGTCGCCTCCTCCGCCTTCAGCTGCTCGACAGCCGATACAGCAACGGCAACAACTGGCACAGACTCTGGCTGCTTGGCAGCTGCCTCCTTGGCCTGCTCCTGCTCCTTTTGCTGCTGTTGTCTCTGATGCTCGGCGGCAGCGGTGGCAGCGGCGGATGAATCCTCGGCATCCTTTTTCTTTCTCTCCTCAGTGGCTCTGTGCTGCTCCTCCTGAGCCTCCTGTTGCTGCTTCAAAGCCTCAGCCTCCTGCTCCTTCTTCTGTTGGATAGCACGCTCCTCTCTCTCCTTCTGGTCCTTCTTCTCCTGAATCTTCTGGGCGCTAGCCTTTGCACGCTCCTCCTTCTCTTTGTGGATCTGAGTGAACTCCTCGGGCTCTTCAATTACGAAGCCCTTGACAGGTGCCTTTGCAGATTGTTTCTTTGGACCCATTTATATAATAATATGTATTATATTCTTTATCTAAATTTATAATTACAACAACAATGATATGTATATATAAATATTATTACTAAATAATAATAATAATAACCTGTCTGTTTGATAACAACAATGAATGAATAGTTAGATTGAGATTGTAACAATGGAAGATGGAATGAAGAATTGAGATGAATCTCAAAAGAGTGTGTTTGCTGAGGTCACGAAAAAAAAACAATGTAATTTTGTTGAACTTCATCGTCTTTTGATGACTCTCCTCATTCAATCATTCAACGTGATCAAAAGACGAATAACTTTATAGTTTACTTTCTTTAATATGTTAAACATAATTAAATAATATTAGTAATAGTAATAATACTAAACTTAATTCAAAAATCAACTGCCTTATATGACACTGATTTAGGACAAAGTATCAGAGTCTGCAACGACAAAAACGAATGATTTCGTCACTTTTCAAATCAATTTGATGAACGTTTCAAACGTGTATTGTTTAATTGTAGATAGTTAGATAAGATAGATAGATATAGAATAGACATGTCAGGAAAAGATCAGAAACAACATCCAATGCTTGATCCAACTGCTTGCAAAGAGTTGAAGGATAGACATGATCAATGCTTTTATAAATGGTACAGCAACAGTTTCTTGAAAGGTACTGGTTCCGCTGAGTGTCAAGAGGAATGGGAAGAGTATCAAGTTTGTATAAAGGTATGTAGTGTAGTAATCACATCATGACATTGGTTAGTTGGTCTAACAATCATTCAATCAATCATACAGGATAAACTAAAGGCATGGAATCTAGAGTATCTTGTACAAGCACATGAGAAACAGCAGGAGAAGGCTCAGAATAAGAAGTAACAGATAGTTACATGGATACGATATATAACATACACTGGTCAAGCATATCTTGACTCCATAGCCTCATCAACACACAGAGAGTACCTGTTGTTGTTGTTAAGGTACACAACCAACCAACCAAACTGTCAACTTGGACATGCGACGCGACATGAACGACAGTCTAGACGATTCGAATAAATACTATTTAATGATGTGGCTACCCAGCAGCTCACCAACTAGCCAGTCACAGTTGACACATGATGATGCCAAGTGGATAGGAGTGAGTGAGCGAGTGAGAGAGCAGGAGTTATAGATAACCAAAGTCTTCCAAAGAGTTGGTTGAGTGAATGTGGATACATAGTTGATAATGATGATGATGTGAGTGATCGATAAAGATGGTGCGACGCTTAAGCTTAGAATGTCTTGGTAAGGTAGTTGGTGATGTCTGTGAATGTTGGTCGCTTGTTTGGATCCTCAGCCCAGCACCACACAACAAGCTTGCGCCAGTTGGGATCACACGTGTCTGGTAGCTCGGGACGCAACGCCTTGCTGGCCACAAGGATACCGGCATTCATCGGTGGGATGCCGGCGTAGGGCTCCTCGCCAGTGAGCAACTCCCAAAGCACAATACCATAGGAGTAGACGTCGGCCTTGTGATTGTAGCTCTCATGTCTGAGTATCTCTGGCGCGGTCCATGCCACCGTGCCAATCGTTGTCATTGTCTGTGTGAACGATGTCTCTCTTGCGATGCCCAAGTCTGCAATCTTAATATTATAATGCTTGTCCAGTAACAGGTTGCTTGACTTTAGATCCCTGTGAATGATGTCTGGAGGAGAGGTTGGACGTGCATGGGTTAGCTCTCTGTCTTGTGTCTGCCTCCGTGCGCCTGTACCGTATACATACTCCTTGAGTGAAGGTGTTGCATGCCTCTGGCAATGTCATAGGCGAACTGAAGGATCAATGTTGAGTCTAGTCTGTTCTCACGGTTCGAATGAATGAGGTCAAAGAGGTTACCGGTGGGCAGGAACTCCATGACGATACACATCGGGTTCAGACAGTAGCCATAGCAGTTGACGAGGTTGGGGTGCTGCAGCGAGCCCAACAACTCGACCTCTGCCTTGAACTCGTTCATCATCTCTTCCTTGCCCTTGTCCTTGATCAAGTTCAGCTTCTTGACGGCCACCTCCTTTTGCTTCCATACTCCCCTTAGCACCTTTGAGAAGTGTCCCTTTCCAATCTCCTTGTCGATCTTTATGTCTGGATAGCTGATCATAGTAACACTTGAGGATATTGGAAGGTTGGCTAGGGTGATGGATGGATGGTCCAGAGGTTAGTATCCACTGATCAGTCAATCAATCAATCAAACTTACTTGTGTTGACAAACCAGACATCATCGAGGATGCCTCCATTCTGTCCTTTGCCTCCAAAGATGAACAACTTGGACTCATTCTTGATCAGACCATGGTGCGAGCGAGGCGTGATGTTGGTACCAGTGACACGTGACCATTGCATTCTGTTGTTGGAGAGTGACCAGATATCCTTCTGCGCCACGCCATCACGTTTGCCACCGACGACGATCAGGTTCCTTCCGACTCGAGTTGCCGCGTGGAATGATCGCTCGGGTGGAACCTCCTGGCCATGGTTGGCGGGTGGCGTCGACCAGGTGTAGGTGTCCAGCTGCAGTATATGAATGTCGTTGAGGTCCTTGATACGGTTGGTGCCGCCAAACACTATCATCTTCTCGCCAATAATAGTGGCCGAGTGGCCATATCTCTCAGAGGGTGGAGTGCCATTGACTGTCAGCCTGGACCAAACCATCGTCTCTGGATCCAATATGTGCGCGTCGTTCAGGCACTTGTCGCCATCGTAGCCGCCAAACAATATGAACTTGTTGCCATAGCGAGTGAGCGTGTGGCCCACACGGGACGAAGGTGAGTAGCCACCAATGCGAGGCTGTGACCAGTGGACCGTGCTGTCGCCCACCACCAATACCATATACACTCGGTTGGACATCTTGCCATTGACCATGCCACCAAAGAGATAGAACTTGTCGCCAATCCTACAAAAGTCGTGCAAGTATATCGAGTCGGGTCCTATCTTTGCGCCCGTCACCTTTGGCACCATCGATATGCCCTTCTCTACATCAATGAACTGGATCAAGTTCTGGATATCCGTCACGCCCTCGCCACCAATCGTAACGATTGAATGTCCGTACACTGTCATCGAATGAGACTGTTTGGTTGTTAGTATCTTACTTGCTCACTGCGCTATCATGCATTCCAGCCAGTACTTACAGCTCTGGGTGGGTTGAGTGTGAATGGGGACAGCAACCAATCAAGCTTCTCCTCAAGGTTGGACGAGAGTTTGGTAAAGTGAGTGATGTTGCTCTTCACTTTGGAGATGTTGACCAACTCGGTCAACTCCACCTTGGTCACAGTGGCGACGGTTGGATCACTTGGCATTCCAATATCATCCTGATCAGAGTCAGCAGAGTGATTGGAGTGCGTGTCATCCTGATCCATACTTGTGTTGTTGTTTGATTCATTGTTCGCGTTGATATCATCCATCTGATCATCCCTGTTGGTAGTATGTTGTGTTGTGCCATTGCCACCATTGCTAGTGCTTGTACTCGTGTTCTTACTGCCATTGATGTTGTAGTTGAGATACTGATTGTAGTATCCTGGCGGTAGTGTTCGCCTGTGATTGTTATGTGGACGTGTTCGATAGAGTGTGCCACCCAACATTGTAATATCCTCTGATGGCACCGGTAGATTGGCAAACAGTAGTGAGCTGCTAGACTGACTAATACTGCCGCTGATGCCGCCGCCGACACCGCCACCAACTCCGCCACTAATGCCACTCAATATGCTGTTGCTATTGTTGATGGTGGTCGTGTGGCCGCCCGACGACGACCTCACATGGTTCTTGTGCGTGGGCTTGGAGACCGGCTTGTCGATGGCGCCCTGGTAAAAGCTGATCTTGTCCTTGATGTTGCTGTTGGCTGGGTCGTTCTCCAAGGACATCATGGCCAGACTGCGCTTGTGCGTTGTAAAGTCGTACTTGTTGTCCAGCCACAAATAGAGGTAGAGGATGGCAATGGCAATGACAAACTCTGGCACCCAGCCCAGCAGCAGCAGTGACACCAGTTTGATGGCGAGCACCACTCCAGCGGCAATCACCAGATATAGGATACTGAATTGAATGCCACCGTATATGTTGATCGGCTCCCTATTGACGGCGGTCTCGAACCTCCTCCAATTAGTCCTAAAGCTATTTACAAGTTGTTGATCATCATCATCGTTGGCATTGTTGTTGGCATTGTTATTGGCATTGTTTAAAGTGTTTGGAATGTTGGCGTTGGGTGTGGCACTGCCACCAGTTGTACAGTTGGTAGTTGTCAAGTTGGATGTGGTAGCGCTACTACTAACATTACTGCTACTACTATTGATGATGATGCCTCCACTCCCACTCATAATACTACTATTACTATTATTATTATTACTATTTACATTGATTGATGAGCTCGTGCTCGTTGTTGTCACGGTCGTTATCGTACTGCCATTCAATATCTTTGTGGGCGATGTCGATCTGAATGTTGATGTGATTGTAGGCGCCAGTGAATGTGTCGAGTGTAGTTGGTAGTCTAACAAGTTTGGTGTTGAGTTGAACACAGGCAGTAGACTACTGACTCCACTATTAGATGATGTTATCACATTGTTACTATTACTATTACTGTTACTGTTACTGTTGTTGACATTGTCCTTTGACGATGGGTATGAGAGAGAGAGTCGATGTTTAGATATTGGAGAGAGATTGTTTATGTTGTTGTTGTTGACATTGTTGTTGATGTTGTTGATTGATTGACTCTTGGTTATGGAGTCTACAAACATCGACTGACTCCTGTTCCTCACGCCTTTGGATGAGGACGACGGTGATGTCGTTGTCGTGACTGTTGTTGCCACTTTTGGATGAGTGTGTGGCTCCAGTTCAGCGCCAACTCTAGAGTTGAACACTCCTAATACTTCGACTTGAGCCTGAATGAGTAAGTGATTATCTATATTATTACAATCAATTGGATTGTCAGCAGCTGATGCTATTGTTGTGATACTATTGCTGGTGCTGTTATCTCAAGGTTATGTGTACTTGTTCGCGAACTCAATGAGTATAGAGTACAAGTCTGTCTTTCTTTCTTTCTTTGTTTGTTTGTTGCCTGTTGTTGATTATTCTAAGATAGATACAGATAATAGATTGATTGATTGATTTAGATATAAGAGTGAGGGGTGTAGACACGTGTGATTGATTAAGTGGTGCGTGTGTGAGTGGGATTGAGTGGGTTGAGAAGTGATCGGTAATAGTGCAATGATCGTTTTATTGTTGTTGTTGTTGTACAAACTAGATACTAATTATAATAATAAATATATAAATATGAAGGTTGATTGATTCAATGTATAAGTTAAAGTTTAACTTTGGCGCTTTGTTTCAATTGGTTCGCAATAACGGGTTAAACGAGGATGAAGGGGAGGGGCAGGCAGGATGGAATTGTGATGGGCATGCAGCTGTCACTCAACTCTGTGATTCTTTCATCGAAAAGATGTGTGGTGAGTTGGTCCAACTCTACCTTCCACTTTGTGACTGTTGTGTGAGTCATGATCAGAAGCTGACACTCTTCACAATCAAGTTTGGCTTCTCAAGTTTGGATGAGATGAAACTTTGGGTATGTTTATGGGTTGGGTAAGTTAGTTGATTGATGTTCAAAGTAGTTGTCTTGTAAAGTATTTGATTTTGGTTGAGTGGTGGAATGATTCCAAAATCATTGATTGGTTGGATGAACATACCCAAATGTGTAAACGGTGTAGGCTGGTATACCATCTTGGAAGTCTGGAACATAGATTTCATTTATATCTTTGGTAAATCTTGTGTTCCAAATTGATGAATCTTTCAATAATTGTAGATCAGATGCATTGAATGTGATCTTAATAATCCTTCGTCCGGATATATTCTTGATCGTACCCTTGAATTGTGCTGAATCCTTCCATACTCCATCAGCTGTAATATTGAACTCAACCAATAACTTTGATTGAACTAAAAGGAAAGAACCAATGTCAATATTAATTGTTGGTTGATTGATTGATTCATTGATTGATACTTACTAACTGGTTTACATATTGCTGTTGTTTGATCGGATACACAGAACAATCCTTTGTTGCAACTTCGAGGTCCACATAACTCTGTCGCACTGCTTGGATAGTGAACTAATAGACATCCAATTACTAAGCAAATTGAAACTAACATATGAAGTACTCTATAATTTATCATCATTGTTTAAAACTACTAAATCAACTTTATATATTCGTTTGATAATTTGATTAATTTATTGACTGTGATTGATTGAGTTGACTCCAACTTGGTGATTGACCCGACCGAATATTATGTAATATCCCCACTTTGATTGATTATTTGATATATATCTACACACATGTTATCAATGGGCATAGTCAGACTAAAGTCCACGATCCATACCCATTACCATCATCAATACCTAAGTTCTAATTCCGTCATCCACTTCCACATAATCACACTAAACTTTACCCACACACACAACCAATCACCTTTGTCTGACAAAGACGATACTTATTGATGTGTGTGTGATTGGTGATTGGAGATACTTAGGTGTCAATAAATGATTGATTGATTGATGATGAGTGATGATGTATTATAGATTGGTAGTTTATTGATCCACTATCCATCTATAACCAATGTATACAGTTTGTTAATTTGATTGATTGGTCGACTCTTTGTTTATGATGAATGACTGGCTGACTGACTGACAGACAGACAGTTACCTCCACTCCATTGGATAAAGTCTCCTATCTTTGTATCTATCGCCTTGATATGATATTAAAGTCATCATTGATCTCATTATCCTTTAGTGCATATACGATTGATGATGCTAATTATTATTTTATGATGAGGAAGTGATGATATTGGTTAGAACTACTGTTAATTGGTTGATTGCTATGATTGTGAATCTTACGAGTATATTTCTTCTGTACTTTGGGTTGTGGCTGCTTCTCCAGTTGCCTCCTTCTAGGTCTCGAGGCAATTCTAGACTCTCCATCCGTCAGTTTGAATGATTCCTTCTCCTCTGATATCCTCTTTTGTTTCTCTTGTAGTGCAATCACCATTCTATCCTTAAGTAATCCTGTCTCCTCCTATATGTATGTTTGATTGTTTGTCAGTCAGTCCAGTTCCATGTATACAGCACATCAATCACATCAATCACATCAATCACATTGTGACACATACATCATATTCACTCTCAAACTGTTGCTTCTCAGACTCGAACAAGTGTTGTATGTTCTGAAGTTGGTAATTCCTCCAAGACTCTGCCATCAGCAACTTCCTCTCCTTCTTCCTCTTTAGCTCATCCATTTTATGTTGCATTGTTTGATTTCCACCTGGAAATGGAAAGGGAAAGGGAAAGGGACGGGATGTCAGTCCACTGAATGAATGGCGCGTCATAACATACACGATGTATACATACCAACTTTGATCTCCTCCATCTCCTTCTTGATCTGCGCCAGCTTGTCACTGAAGAACCTCTCTTTCAGCTCGGAGAACTCCTTCTCGATGCGCTCCATCTGATTCAGACATTCGATCCTCCTCTTAGTCTCGAGGTTGGCCTCTTTGTTGGCGTGATAGCTTGACTTTGTAACAGAGATGTACTCTCGTTTGAGTCTCTCTCGCTCCAACTCATCCTCGTCATACTCGCCTGGCTCTGCCTGTTCGTTCGACTCCTGTTCTCTCATCGCCGCTGCCTTGTTCTTTGATGCCGCGCACTCACTATCAAGCATATTCTGATCGACTTCATCCAACTTGTATTCTTCCTCTACTACTGCTACTGCTACATTATTATTGTTATTGTTGTTGTTATTGTTATTGTTGATGATGTCATTGATGTTGGATGTAGTTTGTGTATGTGCTTCTGTGGATGATGTTGGTGTCTCTGTAGTTGATGTTGTTGTCGTTGTTGTAGTTGATGGCGCTACACTATCCTGTCTTGATATGATCATTGAATCATCGCTTGTTGGATTGGTAATCATATCGATATTTGCCTTCCTCTGTTGTTCCACATCTGATGGTGTCTGTGTCTGTGTTGTTGTTGTTGTTGTTGAGGTTGATGATGATGATGAGGATGATGTTTGTGCTTGTTCTGCTGCTGGTGGCGCTGAGACATGCGCTGCTGGAGGCTCCGTTGATGTAGATGTAGTGGTGGATGGATGTTCCTGTTTATCGACTGACTCTTGCTTCTCCTGATCCACCATATCAATGTCTGTCTTGGTCGACTCCATCTCTACATCCTTTGCTACTGATGGAGCTGCCTCTGTTGGCACTGGTACTGGTGCTGACAATAACGTCTCTGTTGATGGTGTCTTATGTGGCTCATCATTCTTTGTAGTCGTCGATGTAGTATCGCCACTGTTCTCCTTTATATCCACACTCTTGGTCAGAGTCTCACTATCTACATTGTTCTTGTCGACAATAGTCGAGGATGATGGTAACTCCTCCTTTTTGGTATTGCTGTCCGACTCCACCTCTCCGTCCTCTAACTTTGATGTACTCTCCTTTCCTTTTTCTTGCTCTTTCTCAACGATTGACTCGTCATCCTTCTTCTTCTCCTCCTCAGCAGGCTTCTTCACATCCTCACTCTTCTTGCTGTGGTCACTCTCAACACTGTCGACTTTCATCACAGTCGTTGTCTCATTCTTTGTCTCGCTCCTCGCAGTCTCAACCTCTTTTTCTGTGTTGTTTGGTGTATCAACAACATCCTTATTGTCCTGCTTTGTTGGACCATCCTCCATCACGGATTGAACTACTTGTTGTGTTTGTTCAACAGGCTTGTCACCTTGTCCACCATTGCTACTACTGTCACCACTATTGCTATTGCTAGTGTCTGTTAATGTATTACTACTGTTATTATCTGATGTTGATGTCGATGTAGATGAAGATGTTGTTGGTGTTGTTGTTGTTGTTGAGGTTGTAGATGACACATCTGCTGTCACAGATGTAGAGTCAATGTCCATTTTGTCAGTGACAGCCACAACAGATTCTGTTGCTTTAGGTTTGTCTGTTGTTGTTGTAGTTGCATCACTCTTATCCATTGATGATGTTGATGTTGTATCCTTGATAGCCTCCTTTATCATTATATATATATATCTATCCTATATCTCAATCTGACTGATGCTTGTTCAAACAAACAATCAACTCAATCTTCATCCGTTGTTGACATTCAAAACCCCCACTCACAACCCCAACCACTTTCAAATTCCTCTTTGAACTTCAACTCAATCAATCATTCAATCACAAAGTATGTTTGTGTCTTTGTTGTTGGACTCAACTTATGTGTAATATTATGTCTGTCAATAATTCAACCTTACTATACTAAGAAAGATATAATATTATTATTATTATTATTATATATCTATCTATGTATCTAAGTTTAATTGATTGAGATACTTTTAAATGGATCTTGTGGTGGATGGGACCTGGATCGCGGTTTGGTCGCAACAAACAAACTCTATGTATCTATTTATCAACTTCCTTTTCTTGTGTGCCAATTATTGCAAAGCATGATGATATGATTCATGTTTTAGTTCGCGTGATTCGTTCGTTTTCGTAATTTATTTCACCATTGGAGTGCGTGGTGGGAGAGACAGAGAAAGATAGATAGAGTGCGTGTGTGGACCCGCGTGCGTATCAAGTACCGGACCTACCCTACTTGATTGTTTGTGGAAGACTAACAACATCAAAGGTACTCACCCCATAGATCACCTCATTGCTCGGTTCTTCGTTTTCAATCACTACATACAGTGCCAATGATACAACTTCTTTTTTTTTCTTTTCCTTAATTAAATTAAATTAATTACATAGTTTAATTACTCTCTTCGATATTAGCACTATCTAAATCACACTTAACTTACTTTCTCCGTGATTGATTGATCGACTGTCTTCGTAATATACATTATATATTAAATAATACTACACTATTAACATCATTCGTCAGACTTAAAGTGTCATCAATCTAATCACACACACTCGTCTACTCTTAGACCCCTCAAACACTCACACACACATATAATTAAACGATCAATCACTCGTTTATCTCAGAATCAATATTACAATACAATAGTCCATATGAACAATGGAAATCATCCAAGAGCAGAATCAAATATTCGCAGCATTCCAACAGTATAAGAACAATCAGAATCGTTTGGCACAATCAGCAGGGCATGTCCAGACATCCAAGACCAATCAACAACATGGCGATTCAATATTGTTCAGCAGTGAGCCATCATCACCAACCTCTGACGATCCCAATGACTCCTCTTTGGAGATCCATGACGATGAGAAGTATGTTGAATGATTGATTGATTGATCACTATGCCCATATTAACATTCGTCTTCACTCATTTTCAATCAATCACTCACAGGGAGATTGGCATGATTGCGAATATCCTGCTTAAAATTTCGTCCAATGGCATACCAACCGATGGTTCAGCGCCAAACGAGGACTCGGATGTTATTAGACGTGTGTCTAGAAGTTTGAATAGCTCAGCCAATGATATTGGCCATCGTATTAGTTTAACATCCTCGCTAAATAATGCTCCATCATGTTCATCATCGTCGTCGGCCTACAAGAAGAAGAGACAGCGCACATCACCAGAGCAACTGGCCATCTTGGAACAAATTTTCGAGACGGACAAGATGCCCTCACAGCAGATCAGAATGCGTCTGGCCAACCAGCTGGGCATGTCCAGTCGGCGTGTACAGATTTGGTTCCAGAACAAGAGGGCCAAGGTTAAGAGGGGCATATTCACCAAGGGAGACGACGACGAGTCAATGCTCGACGATGAGGAGGACGACGACGACAACGACGGCTCCCTCTTGACCATCGATGAGAACGCCGGTATCTCCACACCAACCCTCGGCAGCCAGCCAGCGCACTCCTCCTACACACCGTTCCACATGACACCACCACCTTCACAGTTATCGGGCGAGCTCGATAACATTGTCCCATCCATTTCACCATCATCGTTCAACTACAAGCAGTCCAGCGGGTCCAAGTCGCTCAAGTCCTCGACGTCCTCCCCTTCACTCCTTTCATTGGGCATGCCAATGACCCTTGTCAACAAGCGATCCCATACGCCCAACTCATCGCGTCCCGCCTCGCCCACCTCCGATTCACCATCCAACCTGCTCAGCCTGTCGCCCATATGTCTTTCGTCACCAACACCGGGTGGTCTACCACTGATGCCACCTCTCAACCTCAACTCATCGTCAGCACATATTCCCCTCAACATCAAGTCCTCTCCATACCAAGACAATTGAGCATACGCTCAAGTTGGATGGCTATACGACCCCTTTTATCATATTTTATTTACTTGTGACGTAATCCTCTAGCGACGGGACACGGCACTATCAACATCCACATCCACAACATCCACATCCACATCAACATCATTAACTTTCTACAGTACTAGTACCAATGGCTGTTGCCACTTCGACAGATTGGACCCAACCTTCTGGGTCCAACGTTCTCCCTCTCCATCACTCTCCTCCTTTTCTCCTCCCCAAGTTTTTTTTCCCCTTCTTCGCTTCCTTCACTTCTCACTCTCCTTCCTTCTTTCCTTGGTTGTGCTTTGTTGCAACAACATTCATTACCTTCCAAGTCTACTTTTCCAATCCTACTTGGCGAGATGGCTGCCTACCCAACCAACATATATTGTTAACTAGGAAGGAGTACCATTATGTGAGTCCGATATTGACCATTCACTAAACTCCATCAAATATATAATAAACTGATGATCTGATCAATCAACTCTTTCTTTGTTATAATGTCGTCTTCCTATTCTTTGGCGGCACTTGTATGTCAAATGGTAGTTTATACTATCTTGGATTTGATTGACGAACTGATATATAAGAATGAGGACCAGGTCCAGGTCAACATTAACTTAGTATTAACTAATATTTGAGTATAGGAAGCAACCAAGAATAATGAAAGAAACATATAAGATGAGGATGGATGAAAGTAAGATCATTGGTATCCAATAGTATTGATGGATGAGTGAATAAGATGTGACGAGTTGACAGGACAACTCAAAGAGGCGTAACAATCCACGACCTAATTTTTCTCAACTTTCGAACAAGGTGTAGTCCATCATTCATCATAAAAGGGGGGTGAACATGACTTCACTCATCATTAAACCCATTCATGAACATACACAATCATATATAAATAAATAAATAATAGTATACATATACATATATATAACAAACAACAAAGTAATATACTTATGAGCAATCCACCAAATCATGTTGTCCTGCCAGAGCAGGGCAGGAGAAATATATTGATCACATCAGCACTGCCTTACGTCAACAATGTGCCACATCTTGGTAATATCATTGGTTGTGTACTCAGTGCTGATGTCTACGCAAGATACTGTCGTCTGCGTGATTACAATTGTATCTACATCTGTGGTACTGATGAGTATGGCACGGCAACAGAGACAAAGGCGTTGCAAGAGAAGTGCACGCCACAGCAGATCTGCGATCGCTATCATGCCATCCATCGCGACATCTACCAATGGTTCAACATTGGCTTTGACAAGTTTGGTCGTACCTCTACCCAATCCCAAACCGAGATTACCCAAGACATCTTCCTCAAGTTGTACGAACGTCAGCTCACCTTCTCAGAGGATGTTGAGCAACTCTATTGTGAGAAGTGTCCAATGTTCTTGGCTGATAGGTATGTCGTCTTGTTGTTCAATGTACAATGAATATCACTACTCACTCATTCAATCAACATTTTAGATATGTCGAGGGTATCTGTCCACACTGCCAATTCGAGGATGCAAGAGGCGATCAATGTGATAGATGCACAAAGATGTTGAACCCAACAGAGTTGATATCACCACGCTGCAAGTTGGATGGTACCACTCCCATTCTCAGGACAACCAAGCACATCTTCTTGGATCTGCCCAAGATTCAACAGAGACTCGATGCATTCGTTGACAAGACCAGCAAGATATGGACTGAGAACTCTCAAAAGATCACCAACTCATGGGTCAAGGGAGAGCTCAAGCCAAGATGTATCACCAGAGACCTTAAGTGGGGGTATGTTAACATCGTCATCATCCCAATGTCGGTCACCTGATCACCTGACACTAACACTCACTCATTCACTCAATCATAGTACTCCAGTACCACTTGAGGAGTTCAAGGAGAAGGTGTTCTATGTTTGGTTCGACGCACCAATTGGCTACTTGTCAATCACAAAGGAGTACACTCCAGAGTGGGAGAAGTGGTGGAAGAACCCAGAGAATGTACAGTTGGTTCAGTTCATGGGCAAGGACAACGTCCCATTCCACACTGTGATCTTCCCATCGTCACTGATCGGCAGTGACGACCCTTACACTCTGCTGCACAATCTCAGCACCACCGAGTACCTCAACTACGAGACTGGCAAGTTCTCCAAGAGCAGAAACACCGGTGTCTTTGGAGACAATGCTCAGGGCACTGGTGTACCAGCGGATGTTTGGCGATTCTATCTGCTGTCCAACAGACCCGAGAACCAAGACTCTACCTTCTCCTGGGATGACTTTGGATTCAAGACCAGTGAGTTGTTGAACAACTTTGGTAACTTTGTCAACAGGTATGTCTCATTCAATCAATCAATCGTTTCCCTCCCTTACTCACTCAATCAATCAATCAATCAATCAGAGTTTTGAAGTCTGTAGTATCATCATTCGATTGTAGAATACCAGAGATTCAATTGCAGGAGAGCGATGAAGTGTTTATCAAGGAGGTGGACAATCTCTACCAACAGTACTTGGAGGCATTGGAGAAGGTCAACATCAAGGACGGCCTGAAGCTCGCCATGACCATATCGAAGCTTGGCAATCAATACATGCAAGAAAACAAGCCTTGGGCATTGGAGAAGACCGACAAGGCCAGATGCGGCACCATTCTGGCCGTGCTTGTCAATGTGATCAAGCTGTTGGCCACCGTCTTTGAGCCATACCTGCCCGCCATCACCGGCAAGATTCACGAGCAGCTCAACTGCGCCCCATCAAAGTACACCCCATGCTTTGAGTTCCTTATCAAGGCTGGACACGAGATCTCCAAAAACATCGAGCCACTCATTCAGAAGATCGAGAAGAAGGATCTGGATGTGTACCGCGAGAAGTTTGCCGGCACTGTCCAGGGCGAGTTCCCAATCGACTTGCAGGTCGCTGTCATCAGAGAGGTCGAGGAGCATCCAAAGGCCGACCACCTCTACATCCTCAAGGCCGAGATTGGCAAGGGCGTGCAGAGGAAGGTCGTGGCCGGACTGAAAGCCACCCACACCAAGGAACAGCTCATTGGCAAGAAGATCGCGCTGCTTCTCAATCTGAAGCCAGCCAAGTTCAAGGATGTCGTCAGCGAGGGAATGGTCGTGGTCGCAGACAATGGAGACAAGGACGCACCCGTTGTCTCATTGTTGTTGATCAACAACGATGTGGAGCTTGGCACTCAGCTCAATGCCCGTGGCATGAAGGTCAACCCCAAGCCAGCCATGGACTACGTCAAGGAGTTCAAGAAGTTGGACCTCAAGGTCAAGGATGGTGTGCTCACCTACAAGGACGAGCCAATCACCGCTGGCAACCAATCAATCATTTTCGAGGCACCAATCGCCAATGGTACCCTTCGATAATCTCTTTCTCTCTCTTTAATTAAACATACATCCACCGCATTATATATAAACATAGATAACTTGTTCGGTCATAGTTTATTACTTGGCGTTGGTCAATTTGAAGGTGTAGGGTGGTAGAGGGTACAGGGATGGAGTGAGCTGTGGCAACTTGAGGGTGATGCCTGACTCCTTGGAGTGCGTGAATGATATGGTCTGTGGGTATCCGAGCAGAGTGATGGTAGTGGCTGCACTGGCAACAGGGGATTGCAACTGAAGGACACTGTCAGTGGGCCAGTCATAGCTCATTGCGTAGAGATCAGAGGTACCAGCATTCCAAGTGTACCAAATGGAGGCGGTGTCATTCTGTACTCTCCATGGCTTGCTTCCGTAGATGGCCTCACCATTGATCGCCAGCCAATCACCAATCTCCAACAGACGTGTCTGCATGATGATTGGGATGATTCCCTCCTTGGTCGGTCCGACATTGAGCAACAGGTTGCCACCACAACTGACGGTCTCGACCAGGACTTGGAGCAACTCAGCAGCGGTCTGGTAGTTGCCTGCGTCCTCATACTGGTTGTAGCCCCATGAGTATCCGATTGTCATACAGGTCTCCCATTTGTGTGGCACGAGCTTGCCAGCGGTGAACTGTTCATCGGTCCAGAAACCACCGTCCACGCCTCTTGTCTCACTACCCCATCTATCATTCACAATAACATTCTCCTTGTTTGTGTAGTTGTTGTACAGCCATGCCAAGAACTCAGTCGACTGGAAGTAGCTTGAAGGTTGGACCCAATCTCCATCAGGCCAAACTAATAAGTGAGGGCAAGGGTTAGTCGAGGGCAAGGGTTGGGTTATGAATGAGAACATACTGATATCTGGCTCGTAACGGTTGGCAATATCATAGAGTTGTGGTAACATGGTGTCTGTGACGTAAATGTCGGTCTTGGGTGGTGTGCCTGATGCTGCATCAGCTTGGTACAATGGATTGAACCATTCAAAGAGTGAGAAGTAGAGACCCATATGCAATCCTCTTGCCTTGACAGCCTTGGTCAAGGCGCCAACCAGGTCCATGTGAGGACCCACATCGACAGAGTTGTAGCCCCAGGATTGTGCACTTGGCCAGTTGGTGTAGCCTTCGTGGTGCTTGCTGGTAAGCACGACGTACTTGGCGCCGGAGCGTGCAAACAGGTCGGCCCAAGCCTCAGGGTCAAAGAGGTGTGCGGTAAACATTGAGGCGAATGATTGGTAGGTAAAGTCTGGACCAAATGATCGATTGTGATAAGCACTAACCCATCCACCATCGGCCAAAGTATCCAACCAATACCAATACCACTCACCACCAGTACCATTGCCAAAGGCTGGAACAGCATAAGTTCCCCTATGGATCAATTCAAAGTGTTAGTTGGCAGAATCAATCAATTAATCAAAGTTGTGCTTACCAATGTACAAAGATACCAAACTTGATCTCGTCATACCATTCTGGTAATGGTCTACTGTTGATGCTCTAGATCGTGAGTGCCATTCCGTGGGTTAGTCAGACCAATCAATCATTTCAATGATATGGTACCCTATGATCATCAACATACCGCCCAGTTTGGTTCGTACTGTGCCGAGACAATGGTCATTGCAATGCAAAGTGCAATAAGAATATAATACTTTTGTGTCATATTTGCAATAAATATTGTTACAATATATATAAAATGAAATGGAATGGAATTACAGTGTGTAGAATAGTTTAAATAGATTGATCAATCAAACAACATCACATTGCACAACACCATCAACCATTCCATTTCGAACCAGGTTGTACTTTCTAACAGTCTAGACTATTTAAACAAATCAAATTAAATTGAATGTGTAGGTATGGATAAGAATGGGCAAAAACACCCAATCAACCCATTTTCACAATCTTCCATTGAACTTGAACATAAATTAAATTATTATTTACAAATAAATATAAAACAAGCAGACTGACAACATCAGCAACTACGTAGACAGAGAATGTTTGGTTTGTTCTATGGACTATGGAAGTATATGTTCAGCAAAACAGAGTACTATGTTCTGATACTTGGTTTAGACGGTGCTGGTAAAACTGTATGATTGATTGATTGATTGATTGATAGATCCGAAACGAATGAATGATTGATTGAATGAATGTTCGGACGACAAGTCACTGACAATAGAATGATCATAATACATGCATATGTAGACACTACTAGAGGAGATAAAGACAAAGTATACAAAGACTCCTGGTCTGCCTCCACAGAGTATCATACCAACAGTTGGTTTGAACAGTATGATCTCACTCATTCTATCAATCATTCAATCATTGTTTGAATTGGACTAACGACGAACGATAACAAATGTAGTTGGCAGGATCATTATCGATAGTATCAAGTTAATCTTTTGGGACCTTGGTGGACAGGTAGACCTGAGGTCAATATGGGACAAATACTACACAAGTATACATGCAGTAATCTATGTTGTGGACTCTGCCGATCAGGCACGTCTTAATGAATCAAAGACAGAGTTGGAGAGGATTATCGCTCATGATGATCTAAGAGATGTTCCAATTCTATTATTCTTCAACAAACAAGACTTGCCCGATGCTCAAAGAATAGATATCCTATCATCAATGTTCAGATCAGTGACCAATCTAATCAATGATACAACAAACGATATATCAAGAAATGTACAGCTACAACCATTAATCGCTAATACAGGGTATGATCATTCATCATTCATTCAATAGTCGATCAATCAAACGTATTAACTAAACCTCTGTCCCTACTCAACAAACAGCCAAGGCCTTAACGAAGGTATGAATTGGTTAGTAGACAATCTAAAGAAGAATGCCAGGGCAGTGGAGCCAACATAGTTAGTATCAACAACAATACCAAAGTTATATCTGGTCCATCATTGTCAAGCATGCATGATGGAAGCAGTCAAGTTTACATGGAGCAGTATGGTCGCTCCAATCGCGATCAAACTCTGGTCCCAAACTCACCTCTGAGTTACAACATCACAATCAATCAGTGTACATGTGATCAATATATCTCTTTATGTCTTTATTACAACAACAACTATATCATTATCATTTGACCTGGTCTAATATGGCATTGCCTTGTCGTGTCCCTCCTCATTGCTCGATGGAGGTTTGGAATGGATGGAACCTGGAACATTGGCGATGTGTTTGGTTAGTATATGGCTGGCTACGCCATTGATGAGCACTGAACATAATATACTTACTTGGCTGGAATACCAAAGGCATCAGTCAACTCTTTGTGGAATGGCGTGATCTCATTGCATAGTGAGGTGATCTCATCGTCCAACTTGATCCACTTTTCATGTCCAGCAGCGGGGATGACGCCGGTGGAGCAGTAGAATCCAAGGTCTCTCTGGATCTGCACCAATCCATCAAGGCAGCACAGCTTCTTGAGCATTTGAACAGTGTTGGCGTTTGGCTCTGATGTAGTATCAATGATCTTTTGTAAGAAGATCGAGTGTACCAATCTATCCACATTGGCCTTGGTCAACTGAATACAAAGGTTTAGACTCTTGTTCCACAATGCGAACCATTCCTTTGACTCCTTGTGTATGTTTGGATTGTTTGTGTACATTCTCTTGTGCAACTATGATTGATGGGATGGGAGTGTTAGTTGTTGGCTTGGGGAGTGATGATCAACTCATCTGGTCCATCCACACATACCTCTTTGATCATAAGGAACTCTCTCTTCTCCATCAGCCATTGCTGGTAGGTAAGGCTGCGCCAGTTGTCTGTTGTTGGACGACTGTTGATGTTGTTGACATACTGCAACTCGCCAGTGAACTGTCCACCATTCTTCATTGCAGTGTGGTAGGCGTTCAACAAGAATCTGGCTACCTGTTGACATAATACAGTATTGTCACCTTCGCCTGTTGCTGACATATCACTGTGTGCTCGGAGCATTGTGATACGGGCCTTTAGTCTCATACCCTGTCCACCCATACACTCACGTGCATTCTGGAGTGCCACCAGTGACTCCCATGATGTAACGGCTTTGAGGCCACTTGAGTAAGAGTGCAACACGTCCAATGATTTCTTACAAACTACAGTGCTCTTGTGAGCAAAGTCCAATGCATAAGTCCTAGCTACATGTGGAATAAGTCTCCTCTAAATAATGACCATGTCAGTCAACGTTGCGATGAATGATTGAGTGAATGATTGACACACATACTTGATGAGTGGAGTAGTTGATGATGGGCTGCTCCTTGGAGCCAGGTGGACCAAACTGGAGTCTGTTGCTAGAGTATGAGAGGGCGATGGCAAGTCCTGCCTTGAATGTTGAGAGCGAGATGGAGGAGACACAGAGACGTCCAACAAAGAAGACACTCATCATTGCTGCAAAGTGATTGCGGGGTGGCACTGTGGAGCGATAGTTTCCAGATGGCGAGACACTGCTGAAGCGATCCAACATGTTCTCCAATGGGATGCGAACGTTCTTGAACAACAGTCCTCCATTGTCGATGCCATTGAATGATGATTTGATTCCAATGCTGTCTCTGATCTCGACGCCTGTCCATGGCACGCCGTATGGATGGGCGGAAGAGGGTGCCGTGCGAATTGGCACAACAAAGGCGTGCACTCCATGATCAGTGTCGCCAATGATCAAACGAGCAAACACTGTGGCCATTTGACCATGTGTTGCAATGTTGCCTGGCCAGTACTTTTGAGAGGTCCAGGTTGGCGAGTTGATGATGAACTCTTGTGTGCGTGGATCGAATGTGGACGTAGTCTCCAGTCCCTGGACATTGCTGCCATGTCCCAACTCTGTCAATCCAAACACACCCAATAGCTTGCCATTGGTGATGTCATTGAGGTACTTGTCATGATGCTTCTTTGTGCCCAGCAACAAGATCGTGCCTCCCCAGAGGTTGTACTGTACAGCGAACTTGAGAACAACACTTGGATCACAAAAGGCAACTGTTTCGAACCATGATAAGAACTTGGCAGGGTTGTCTAAAGTATGATGGTGTGTTGGTATTAGATCGATAGTCAGGGCTGTGTATATCGTCATAAAATCACATACCAATCATATCAGTGACGGATACAATGGACTCATTGATGACTTCTTTGGCAGCAATGAGTGTTCTCTCACGTTGGACTTCTTGTGACAATAACTGAGTGAGGTGCAGCTCATCGAATGCACTGCTAGTTTGCATCAATTTCCTAATACGATCACGATCATTACTGTAACCTCCATCCAACAAATGTTTGAGAAGGTTTACATCTGGAGTGCGCAATGGTAGTTCATCTCTTGCTTTGTCTTCAATATGATTTGGTTGATCACGAGCTGATGATGATCCAAGATGTTGAAGAGTCTATGTCCAGTATCAGAGTAAGGAGTCAATCAATCATTCATTCAAACAACTTGTCGCGTGGTGATTGAGTGTGTGTCGTCAAACACCTACATTTGATATTCTTCTCAATGTAGACGAGGATGTATCTTTTTCAGAAGTATCCATTACTTATTACTTATTTGTTATATATATGTATATAATTATAAAATGATATCTGATTGATGTTTTTGAATGTAATTTTAGTTTAATGTTAACAAACTAAGCCCATAAAGATGACTTCGGCATTATAATTTATTGAATCAAGAGCTCAAAAAGTGTGAATTGTCATTAAGATGGCGTGATGCAGACCTAAAGATGGTGTTAACTTCAAGATTGGATCTTTTTGTCAAAGAGCCGAGATTGAATCACTCAATTTTACCAACTTGAATCGACAAAGTAAAGATAAAGAAGATAATAATAATATTATCTATTTATGTTGTTGTTGTTTATAACTAAAGGGGGGATTCATGATTTATTAATCTTCTGCTACTCCTCATTAATGTCTTTGGTCATCTCTCTCTCTCACTCTCTACACTCATCTGGAGTATCGATGTAATTGATGCCCCTCAAAGGGAGGGGAGAGGAACTATCCAAAAGAACATGAGGAAAGTGCACTTTGGCAGTAAGGAGTGATCCTCGTCGCGGTCATGGTCGTGGTCGCGGGTGGTGCATAGTGTGTTGCCACATCTACAACGCTACTAACTACTTCTTCTACTACTTCTTCTTCTTCTTCTTCTACTAATATTAACTAAACTAACTATTACTACTTCTACTGTTGTCACTACTACTATCTACTACTCTACTATAATACTAAAATGTTGTTGTTGTTGTTGGATGTATGTATGTATGATGGTTGTTACACCGCCAGCTCGAAACCTAGACCACCTAGAACGTGGATGAGTAGTGTCTCTCTAACTGCTTGGAATACAAACTGGATGTTCTTGGTGTCGATGGCACAGGTAAAGTGCGGGAACATCTTTTGAGAGTTGTGACATTGCTCCAGGAACATCTTCTTGATAAACATCGATCCGTTCTCATAGTTCAGTCCGCCCTTGTAGTCGGGGAAGTAGGTGCCCAGGTCGATGCGCACGATCTTCTCGCGGAACAGATCCACCTTGTTGAAGAACAGGATGAAGGCCGTGTTGCTGAACCAATGGCTGTTGATGATCTCGTCAAACAGAAGCAGGGACTCGCGCATACGGTTCTGCGACTCGTCCTCGCGCAGCGACTGGTCGTACTCGCTCATGGCCACACAGAACAGCACGGCAGTGACCGAGTCGAAACAATGGATCCACTTGCGTCGCTCACTCCTCTGACCGCCCACGTCGAGCATTCTAAACTCGATATCATGAAACTTGAAGTTGGCCTCCTGGATACCAGTGGTCCTCACTCTTGATCTAAGTACATCGTCTTGATTTGGTATATAGTCGTCCGCTGCGAATCTCGATATATTCTGGAAGAAGCTGTTGTCACGTGATTGTCCGGGGTAAGTTATTGGTCACATGATCGCAGTATGATCACGTGATATCCTGGATATCGTCACGTGATCGTCATTTGGATACATACTATTCAGCAGAGTCATTAAGTTGGAAGTTTCTATCTCTCATCTGGTACACCTTTTGGATGTTTGGATCGGTCCACAGTGCCTTGATATCAGTGGCAACATCATTAGACCATGAGTTTCCACCTGGTGTTATCTTTGATATCCTATCGAAGCTCTCCTAAAATGATCATTCAATCAGTCAGTATGTATATATAGGTATCTTGGAAGTTTGAAAGGTGAGGCGAACACATACTTCATTTCCTTGTGATGGTCTTATCTCTGCCTTGATGGCATACATGACTAGTACTTTCATCTGACTTATACAATTTCCGTAGATGATGTATCTGTATTCCAGTCGCTCTTCGGTGGTGAATCCACCATCCTCTTGGATGATCTTCATTTGTTTGAAGATTGTGGACTTGCCGGACTCGCCTGGACCAAGCAGCAACAGCTTAGTTTCATTCTTTGCATAGTTGCCATCCTTCCTAAGCTGTGCATCGATGGTTCTGCTCTTTTTGGCTTCAACTGTTAATATACATCCCATGATTGTTGTGTGTTGTTTGGAAAATTGTGATTGTGGATGATGTTTGTGAAAAGTGATTGATTGATTGATTGAGTTGATTGATTGGAAAGACGCTAAATCTAAGATATGGATGGGGAGGTGGATATGGTTAGTGAGTGTGTCCCAAGTCTTTGGTTCATAGTCTGGACAAACCTACAAATAGGGGAGAAAAAAATGGTAGGATTGGAAAGGAAAGAGGTTGCGAAAGGTTGGAAAGGTTGGGAATTATCGGAGGGGAGGAAGAAGTCTGAGTGATAAAGTGAGCGGAGAGAGTGAAGTTGGAGATAGAGTTAATAATGAGTTGCTGTTTGGTTGATTCCGGACAATGACTCTACACACTCTGTGATCAATCACAAGCTGTCAATCAATCTATTTCTTTCTTTCTTTCAAAAAGACGTCAGTGTTTGATTGAATGATTGAATGAATGATTGATTGAATGAGATGGAAGTGATAATAAGGTTGTTATATTATGTTATTGTTATTATTACAAGCAAAAATAAAGTGGTATATTATGTTATTGATTGAGCGATAGACAAACAAACACACACACATAGAGACACACAGTTAACACTCTGGCTTAGAGTATGATTTGATTTGATTTGAGTGTGTCACCTTAACACAGTTGTGATCGCGATCATGATATGATATTTGATTTTTTGATAGTTGATAGTGTTTGTTTGTTTGGTTCTTTGTTTGCTGACGGTGTGACACACTATGTATTGGGCAATGTAGGCCTCCACCAAATGCCCTGGGTGTTTGGATGAAGGAGCGTGTGTGGTGATCATTGGAAAGGTGGTAGGAGGAGGAGGATGCGTATGGGTAGATGGATGGGTGGGTGTTGCTTATGTGAGTTCCGAAGGTTATATTATGTTTGATTATTACTTTGTTTGATTGGTGTGTTTGTTGTAGTGTATTAGACATTAATGATGGATCGAGATGACGTAGGGCACGCTTTACGTCTCAACTGGACAGTCCAACGGCACATTTGTCTGTCCAGCCTTAACTGCAGTAATAATCATGCCCATATCCCATACATCAGTCCGTCCCATACGTTAATAGTAATTAAATTATAATAATAAAATAGAGAAAGGGGGGGCTTTGGTGCTCTCACCTCGATCATAACTAAAACTAAAGTTGGATATTTTTTGGACCAGATATTGTCCAATTTTTGATTTTTTTTTGGATTTGAGCATAAGACGAGTGGGTGTGTTGGGTGGACCCTCTCATCTTGATCGTTTTACTCGTCTCGTGTCTTGTGTGGGTGTGAGGGCAAGCGTAAGGTGGGGCGGTTCAAACTCAAAACAATATCGACAACACCAAACAATCTTGACATGATCAAAGTTTGTAAGATAGTTGTTTGATCGCAAACAAACACATCACCATCACAGCAAAGGTGGTGTAGACTACTACTTGGTTATATATCTAAGATGATGGGGGATGTCACCCAGCCCACCTCCTATCTTGTTGTTTTACTCTCAGCATGGTCCAGCTTCCGACTTAGGTTGGAAAGCTTGGCCTTGTTAATATCGGTAGTGGGTCGGCTCACTGTAGTTGAAGTGCTGGTGGTGGTGTTGGTGATGTTGTGGGATGATGTGGCAGTGGCACCAAACCTTGACTGTGGTGTGAACTTGCTGTTGGTGTTGTTGATGTTATTGGGCAGTGGCAGTGGCTCATAGGTGATGGTCTTGTCTGGCTGTCGACTGAATGTCACGGCCTTTTGGTTGTTGACACCGCCAACAGGGGCAGCAGGGCCTTGCTTTCTGTACATTTGGCCTGAGCCAAGTTGAGATGTGGTCAGTGGCTGGAATCCATTGGCAGAGGGAGGAGTCACTATGTCGTTGTTGTTGTTTGTATGATGGATGGACAATGGTACTTGTACTTGAGTGTTTGTGCTACGGTATTCGTCCAAGGGTGTTGTACTGATTTGTTGTTGTTGTCTTGGGTATGCCTTGCTTGATGTACCGATCGGCACCACATTATTGTTTGTTGGAGTGCCCTGTACTAAATTGTTATAACTATCGACTACATAATCCAACTTCTTCGATCTTGATTGAAGCTCATGTACCAACAACTTCCTCTTGACTTCCATTGTCTTTACGTCCTTAAGCAATGAACCCATCTTGGAGGTGAAGTTCGGGTCGGTGGTTGCCAAGCTGTGTCAATGAATGAATGAATGTTAGTCAATTGATTGATTGATTGATTGAGTGTTCCAACAACCACCAATCCATGATGGGAATATACATACTCTGGCTGTGCCATTAGTTGGTTCAAAAAGTTGATATGTTGGTTAATGGAATCGAATGCATCTTGCTTCTTGGACTCTCTCTCCCTCTTCTCCTCTTGGTAGTCCTTGTATGATATTGTCTTTGCTGGTGACTTCATCTTTGCCAACTTGATATTATCATCCACCTTATTAATCATATCCTTGGTAATGTGATTCTCTAATTATAATGTAGTACGAATGAATGAATGAGTGAGTAAGTGAGTGAACAATACATGGATCACATGTTACACTTACCATTGTCCAATTCTCTGAATCTATCAATTAGATACTTGGCGGCGGCTGGACTCCTGGCAAGCTTGACATCCTCATAGTCATTGATGCCAGTCTCAATGAGATTGGCAACACGTGATGGTGTCTTGTGAAGGTCGATCGTGTCAATTGCCAGTCCCATACTAGAGTAGAATGATTGTTGAAGATTGTTGGATGGCGCGACTGGTGTGGCGGGAGCTGTGGCAACAGGCGCGGTGGCATGCACTGGCGCCTCAGACCACTGTCTCTGTAATCTCTTCAGATGCTCCACCTCCTTCTCCAACGACTGTATCTCAATGTCATGATTGAATTTGAGCTGTTGGAGTCTTGAGTTGGCCTCACTCTCTATCCTGGCCTTGTCCACATTGAGTCGGGCAACATTTCGCTTGGCCTCTTGATGATCCAATTTGATCTGTGCCAGCTCCTGGCGCAGGTTGGACATCTGTGCGCTCTCGCTCGGTGCTTGGATACCACTCTTTTGTCTCCTGACAGCATTGGCCAGCTCCTCCTTCTTGTTCTCGAGCTCATCGCTGTAGTTCATCAACTTCAACTCGTACTGTTCCCTGATGCCATTGATCTCTTGGTCCTTCCTGGCAAGTTGTGTGGTCAGCTCCTGACGAAGTGTGTTGTACTCGACTGTTGCCGCGCGTCTGACGCCCTCGACATCGGCATCATACTGGTTCACCATGTCAGAGTATGTGTGTCTGAGTTTGTTGAAGTTCTGTTCGACGTTGTTGAGATCGTTCAGCTTGTGCTCGACCAGCTCAAGCATTCCATCCATCTCGCGGTCCAGCCTCTGCTCCAGTGTGCCAATGGTCGTCGACAGCAGTTCCTTTGTCGACATCTGCAGCAGATCAATCCTCTCAAACAGCATGTTCTTGACCAGCTGTATGTCCACGTGTGTGCTGCCGTTTTGTCTTAGTCGACTGCTGCCCTCCAGACCAATCTCGTCGCTGACCTTGTCCAACACCTCGAGCAGCACTGATGTAAACTCATGCTCGTGCTGATGCAAAGTCTCTGCCATATCGGCCTTTTTCTGGGCCACAGCCCGTCTGAGCTCGTCCTCAGTGCGTCGCAGCTTCTCGTCCGAGAGTAACAATCTCTTGTTGATGTCCTCGTAGTTCTGCAGCAGTGTCGAGCGATCCTTGTCCATGTTCTCGCGCTTCTTCATGCTCTCAGCGACCTCCACGCGCAGCTCGCGGTACTCACGCTCCACGTCGTCCAGCATCTTGGATGTGTCTATCTTCTCCTGTCTGTACTTGTCGACGTCGGTCCTCAGGTTCTTGATCTCCAGGCGAGCCTCTTCATTGCGCTCGACTAGCTCGGCTCGCTCGCTGCTCAGTGTCTGGTTCCTCATCTTGAGCTCCTCGATGTTGTTGGTCATCGCCGACTCCTTGACGGCGCCTTCCTCAGCCATCTGGTCTCGCTTGTCTTTGAGTCGCTTGATCTGACCACGCAGGGCGGTGATCTCCTCTGCGCGATACCTGTCCTCTGCGTCATTGCCCTGCTTTGCAAACATCAACTCCTCTCTGAGTGCGTTGTCCGATGCTATTAAACTGGCCAGCTCTACGTCCTTGTCATTGATCGCTCGCTCAAACTCCAAACATTTGTTCTTTACGCGCTCCAGTTGCGCCACCAGCACCTCGCTCTTGTTGAACAACGTGTCATACTTGTGTGTGGCGTCGTCCAACTGTCTTTGCAGCTGCGCACTCCTATCGTTGGCGCTGTTATTTGACCTCTCCAGACCGTCGAGCATCTGCTTGTGCTGGTTCCACAGCGTGGTGTACTCGCGCTTCATTTGCTGATTGTTGTCCTCGAGTGCCTGAATGCGCTCCTTCTGCATACGCAGCTCGGCTGGCTCCGCCCTGTTGTTGTTGGCGTGCTGCATCATCTGGTCCTTGTTGTTGAGCATGACTGTGAGACGTGCCACCTGGTCCTTGTATTCATCGATGATCTTGTCGTAGGCGCTAGTGTCCACAGTTGGCTGTTGCTGTTGCTGTTGCTGATGCATCTGTTGTTGACTTCTCTGCAGCTGGCCCTTCAGCAGGTCGTTCATAGAGTTGGCCTGTTTGAGTGACTCCTCCAACTGTCTGATCTTGCGAAGATCATCCTGGCTCGAGACGGGCGTCGTCGCCGCGGCACCTCTGGCACCATAAGCAGAGTTCTTGCCAAAGTCGCAGACACAGTTCTTCATCTTCTCGTTCTGGCCCTCCAGGGCGTTCCTGAGCTTGACGAGCAGTTTGTTCCTTTCCTCCAGCTCGGTGGTCAGCTCTTTGATTCTGATATTGAGCTCGACGACTGTGGCGTCGCCCATGCCGCCATTCTTGAGACTCTCCTGCATGTAGAAGATCTTGGTCTTGAGACTGAAGTTCTCCTTCTTGTATCGCTCTACTGACTCTTCCAGCTCCTTCAGGTTGGAGCTCTCATCGTTGAGATCCTGACTGCTGCCACTGCGTGATGTCGAGAGGCTGATGCCTGAGCCATAGCCAGAGTGCATTCCCGTTCCATTCATTGACAGGGGTGATGATGTCGATGATGCCGAGAGTAGATTGTGATGATCACGACCACTTTGTGAAAGTGATGATGGGCCATTGGCGAATGATGATTGATTGTTTGATGATGATAAATATGATGCTGATAGATTGTTGATGTTGTTATTGTTGTTATTCCTTGATGAAGATGATACTGGTGTCATGAACATGTCACTTGTGAATAACGGTGAGTCTTTGAAATCCATTTCAGGATCATTGAAATGATTGATCATACTGATGCCGAAGCTACTATTATTATTATTGTTGTTATTGCTGTTTCTATTGTTGTTGTCTTTGTTACCGTTACTGTTACTGTTATATGAGTTTGTAAACATCATTTATTCATTCAAATGATCATTGTTGATGTTGCAAATGTGATTGGAGAGTGTGGCAGTTATGAAGTAAATTCAAAAAAAAGGGAGGGAATCCTAATCAGTTGACTTCTTGATCTGGCCCAGTTTTGTTGTTGGACAACATGATATAGCAACAACTTTAATTGATTACTTTCCACATGTCAATCAATGCTTGGTCGTTGATGATGATACTCGATATAGCTCTTCAAATTCGTTCATGATGTGATGACCAGGACCCACTTGGTGTTGGAGGATCTCTCGACACTTCTCTTTGACGATGGATAGTTTGTTGGCAGGCGCATTTAGGTTGATCAGTGCCATTGACATTAATGCCATGCAATCGGCAACATAGGGTATGGCATCATTTTGTTTCCAAAGTGTCTCAATGCAATCCACAGTCTGTTGATAATTGCCTTCGTCAAAGTACAGCTCCGCCAAGTTCTTCCAAATACGTAGATATAATGTGTTGTGATCCATCAGATGACTCTTGTACATATTGATCAATCGCTCTTGTATGGCTATCGATGGTATAGTCGCACATTGTTCCAATATGTTATAGATTGTTGCCATCCTAGTATGTCCATTTGCACACTCATATACCAGTCCATCAAAGTTGTTCTTGGGCTGCGGCTCCCAGATTCTTAAACAACTGTTGTCCAATGGTTGTCCACAACCAACGACATCACAACGCCATGCCAGTTGATGACTATCACATCTCGAGCACTGACAATAGAATGAATAATGCTTCATCAGGCTCACCCTTCTCTCAATCGAGGGTCTGGCAATATCAATATACGTGGTCGTTGCTTCCTCGCCTGCCTTGATCAATCGATTGCTCCTGAATGCCATCATACCTATATTAATTGAATGTGTGTGAGTGGAATGATTCCAGGTTTGATCACATACGTCACATACCATTGTTATCATTGTACCAGATGCAGTTTGGATCGCATGAATGATTGAGGTAGGCCGCTGTGGGATAGATGCCTCTGGCCACCTCTTTGTGATTGAGTGGCTCAATGTACTCGTGTGCATTGAATAGGATCTTGGGATAGATGTCCATGATCTGTTGTTTGGTCAGTGGCAAGAGGTAGTGAGGACCCTTGAGATATTGAATGAGTGTGATGATTGATTCGGCCGACACTTTGAACGCCTGCATCTGCTCCTCGTCAATTGCCGACTCGTCTGTGGCCAGATGCATCAAATCATCAAAGCTATCATAAATGAATGGTTCTGATCGCCACAACTTTGGCAATCCAGTATCCTTGCCAACCTTCTTGTTCAAGTCCGCCACAGCTCTAATCAGGACCCTTGTCATCATCCTAAAGTCCCTTGTCTGTCCATGCTCAGCACCATGATCCTTCAGATATTGGAGCACATCACACTCCTCCCTGTGCTCATCAGTGATCACACTGTCCGAATCACATTGGTCGCACAATATACACATCTTACACTTTGGACAACTTGTGTACTTGCAGTCTGAATGTGTTGGACTTGAGGTTAGACAACGGCCCACGTCGTCCCTGACGCCTATACATACATTGGACATATCTGAAGCATGACGAGCAATGAGTAGACATGGTCTCATCAATGAGTGCTGAGCCAAAGGGTGCCACACGGACCACAAGCTCGCCTTTGGCAATATCTCGCTTGGCAATCATCTTGCGACCAAGTTGCTCGTCCCATACCAGGGCCACTGGGAACTGATCGAATTGTTTGTCATTCTTGATGCGTGCCAGTGTATGTCGTCTGTTGTCCTCGTTCTTTCGCCTCCTTTGTTCAACAGCCTTGAGCTCCTTCTTCAATGATCCTTCTAGCTTGTTGATGTCATTGGCATAGGCAAGTGCATTGGTCAATGTGGCAAAGGCGTCTGTGTCATGTCCCATCAACTGTTGAGCATAGGCCACCCTGTAGTGACCCTTTCCATTCGTTCCATCATACTCAACTGACTTGTTGGCATATGTCAATGACTCTGGTATACGATGCTCCTTGCTCAATGACAATGATAGATTGCATGCAATCACTGATGCCAACTTCTTGATCTCTTCAATCTCTGTCATTGCTGTTGCCGGTGCCCCAGCGAGGTAGACATCACTTTGTTTCAGTGCCAAGCAATAGTATGAATAGGCGAATGAGTATAATGACTTGGAGAAGTATTGGTTGCCAAGTGTCTTCATGCGATTCATATAATCAATGGTCTCTGTAGCTGTCATGGTACATGTTGTTGATGGAGTTGAGTTCACTGGTTGAAGGCCACTCGATGATGGTGATGATGATGTTGTGCCACGAGCATTGTTGAGCAATTGATTGAGCAGATCCCTCTTGTATTGCTCTTTAAATGATTGATCTATATCCTCCTGTTGCATCTGTTGTTGTTGTTGATTATTCATGATTCGTTCATTCGTTCGGTGGCCGGATATCTCTTCAAACTTGCAATTCACTCTTTCGCGTGAATGAATCAATGAACAAACACACCTTTCACACAAGTCTAGTCTTCATCATTCCTTCATTCATTCATTCCAATTCTATCTACAACTATAGTACTACGACATGGCATCAATGATGTTATATAATAATACAAGGAGTATATGTAGTGCTGTCAGGAGAGGCGTTGTTTCATACTCTACTACTGCTGCTGCTGCCTCGAGGTCTGAACGTTCATTGCCTCCTGCTCTTATTACAACGATCGGTGACTTCAAGTCCAAATATGACTTTAACAACAAGACAGTTAGAATACTAAGTGGCATGCAACCTACCAATGGCGGTCTACATATCGGCAACTACATTGGTGCAATGATCAACTGGGTCGACTTGCAAGATACAATCATAGCTTCATCTTCAAATAACAACAAGACTGCTCCACCTCAACATGAACTATTGTTCTCTATTGTTGACCTTCATTCACTTACCAACAAAACAGTCACAGCTGCGCAGTTGAGGAAGAATACACTGGACGTAGCCATTGAGTACATTGCATGTGGTATCGATCCAACCAAAGTCACACTCTTCTGTCAGTCTGCAGTGCCAGCTCACTCTGAGTTGGCATGGATACTCAGTTGTCACACTGCCAGTGGACGTCTAGAGAACATGGTCCAGTTCAAGGTATGTGCATGTTAACATGTCATACTGGTCACTCACTCACTCCCATCGCGAACCTCTCGCCGCAACACAACAATAGGAGAAGAGCAAGAAGAATACATCATCAACGAACAATTCTACTTATGGACTGTTGGCTTATCCAATATTGATGGCTGCCGATATCTTGCTGTACAAGTCTACTCATGTACCAGTTGGAGAGGATCAAACTCAACATGTTGAGCTGACACGTAAGATCGCACAAGCCTTCAACTCACATTATAAGACCGACTACTTCCCTCTTCCACAAATCGTCAATTGTATGTTGTTGCTGCTGCCAATCAATCAATGTCATGTCGTACTAATCAATCATAAAGGTACTGAGTCCAACAGGATAATGAGTTTAGTCAACTCTGCTACAAAGATGAGCAAGTCTGACCCGTCGGAACACTCGAGGATCAATCTGACAGACTCGGACAAGATTATAACGAGCAAGATAATGAAGGCTGCTACAGACGCAACGATTGGTATAACATACGACATTGAGAACAGACCAAACATTGCCAATCTATTGTCGATAGCATCGGCCATGTCTGGACAGCCCATTCCAGACATTGCCCACGAGTTCAAAGATCAATATCATAGCAAGTTCAAGGAGTACCTGGCACAGACAGTGATCAACCGCATTGCACCAATACGCAACAAGATAGAACACTACCAAGCCAATCCCAAACAGGTCAAGGACTACCTGGCAGAGGGTGCCGAGAAGGCATCCAAACTGGCTGGACACAACCTGAACGAGATCAAGGAACTGATTGGTATATTCAACGACTACAACTAAATATGGACAACATACGACTTCTTCATTTATTCATTCACTAAGTTCAATCAATCAATTGATTGTATGATCGATCAAGCCTTATCAATGAGCTCTTGAAGTCCAAACTTGGTCCTGATGACAGGTCGAACATCGTCCACCTCTTGCAACGACTCGAGGAATGATATCAAGGTGACGAGTTCCTTGTCGCTCTGGTCCTCGAACCAGCTCTCGATTGGTATGCCATTGTCCACTTGGAATCCAAATGATTGCGGTGAGTTGTCCACGATGATCACCTGAGAGAGGTCGCGACCAAGTATCGACAGATCCTTCAGGTAGTTGCCATCGACACAGACACACGAGTCCCTGTACAGGCGGTACTTGATGTACTTGTTCGGATCGATCATATTGAGCAGCTTGTTGGCATAGACCTCTTGCGACGCCGTGAAGATGATCACCTCGAACAGCGTCGACGCCTTGGCCAGGAACTCCTCAAAGAAGGGGCGCTTCTTGGCAAAGACCCGGTACTCGACGCTGTTGAACGTGACGAGGAATGTGAGATCGGGCTCATCAATTGGCTCGGTGCTGCAGTGCACCAGTGTCTCGTCCAGATCGAGCACCAAGGATATCTTTGGCGTCTTGTCGTCCTTTGGTGGAAGGATGTTGCGATTGGTTGGCGGTGTGATCGATCTACTCCTTGAGAGACTCTTCATGAACACCCAAGGATTGAACTCCTCCTCATCGTCATCATCATCGTCCTCAATGTCCTCCTCTTCCTCTGGCACAGTCCTCTCAATTGACTTCCTAATATCATTGTCAGGATGCTGAATGTTATGTATAAAGTTTGGAACTGCGCATATAGATGAGTGGACTAATGGAATGATTGATTGAGTGATGTGTTAGTTCAGCGTCCAGGTCAAGCCAAGTCTTAGCCTAGGTCCAAAACAACATACCACTTGATTGAGTGATCAGATCATAAATATTGTTGTTGTTGTTGCTGTTGTTGGCAATGTTGTTGATACTGCAGCAATTGTTGGCGCTGCTGTTGATACTGGCGATGGTATTATAGACATTGAAGTTGTTGATGTTTGAGTTGGATGTGTTGAGGCCGCCGCCAACTCCCACACCCATGCTGCCAATGCCATTGACATTGACATTATTGGCCACGCTATAAAGGTGTGAGAAGAAGGAGCTGAGCACGATGGATGAGCTATCTACATTATCTACATGGATGTCGGCGCTTGAACGGATCAAGTCGGCGCGACTCGACTGGTGGTGTTGTTGTTGGTGGTGGTGATGGTTGTTGAGCGACGAGGTCGACGGCGAGGATGTGGCTGATGATGATGTTGTTGTTGTTGTACAGTTGTTGTTGTTACTCTCGCTGTTGCTGTTGTCGGTCTGATGATGCATGAGTTGGATGCCATTGTTATGGTACGACGACGACGAAGAAGACGACGATGACATGTGATCGCTGCATTGTTGCTGTTGCTGTGCACAATCTATTACGATTGAGGACGAGGACTGTCTGAGTCGCTGTCTCTCCTGCTGCTGCTGGGTGTCATCCGCATTATCGAGATAGGCCAGACCGGCACCGTCCTTGTTCAAGTTGTGACAGAACACCTCCACCTCATTCTCGTCGACTACCGATCGATTGAGTGTGATGTCCTCGTCCATGTAGGTGAACAGTAGGTTGGGTACAAAGTTGGCATCATGCTGTCTTTGTTGTTGTTGTTGCTGTTGTTGTTGTAATTGTAGTTGCTGCAACTTATTATCGTAGAGCTGTTGTTGCTGCTGTTGTTGCTGTGTTGATGATGAGATAAGGTTTGGTGATGGCTCATTTGGTCGATATCGCTTCAGTCTGGGCTGGATAGGACTATCCGTTACAAGCTCAGAAGTAGAGGTGGTGGTAGATGATGATGATGATGATGATAGTTGTTGTTGTATTACATTTGTGGTACTCGAGTTGGTCGACTGTTGTTGCTGTTGTTGCTGATTGTTGTAATGATACTTTATATCATCCTCTACCTCTTGTAGTAGAGGATTAGTCAATGTGGCGAATGCCGAACACAGTGTATCGCTTGGAATCTGTTTGTAGTAGTCTGTGGCGCCACAGTCAATATTGAATGCTCCAGCCATATCCTAATATCACATGATTGATTGATTGAGTTAGTGATTGATGTTTGACATGTGATCATCATCATCATATGACATATAACATACATGTATCAACTCAACTCTAGCCTTCACTCCAGATGACATGTTGATCAATGTATTAGACTCCTTCGACACTTAAAACACACTCTATCACTTTCTCCTTCTCTAACTTTTGTTCGAACACTCTAACTCCTTTGATGAAGATCGATCGTTGATTAAAGTAAACGATGTCGACCTTAGACTGACAGTCTATTCCTGGAATTGATGTGTTGTGTTGTGGTGAAGTGATAAAGTATTCCAATTCTATCTAGTCCAGTTCAGTCCAGTCCAGTCCAGTTCTTTATTGTGAACACGAATCGAATGTCTGATATGATAGATGAGATATGTGATAATATGATTGATTGAGATGGACAATGATGGTTGGACACGGCCCAAGTCAAGAGTCTTAAGGAAGGGATTGATGAATAAAGTTAGTTAGTGGATGGTTGGATAGATGGATGAAATGAAGTGTTGAGGAGTGAGGTGAAGTGATTGAGAAATGTGTTAATCTTTTGTTTGTTTGTTGTCTGTTGATTGTTGATTGTTTATTGATGATGTTTATGATAAATAAATGATGATGATGGTTGTGTGTGTGAGTGCTAAACAACACACACCTCACACTCAATCAATCAATCATAAACACACACTAGATCACCAAACAAACACAGACAGACAAACAAAACACGTGTTATAAATACAACAACACAACAACAACAACAACCTTTATGTGTGCGTGCGAGAGAGAGTTGGTTGGTTGTTCGAAGCGTACTAAACTCGTGTGTTGTTGTGGTGTAAAGGTTGATGGAAGCGGCATTGAACTGTTGAATGATCAATCAATCCACTTGGATATGACCATCGGAGAGAGAGTGGATGGCGGGTGTGACCAAACGAGTGAGTGGATCTGCGGAAACACACACACATACACAACAGTTGTTAGTCGAGTGTTGTTAGTATAGTAGTATAAGTGGATGCCAGTAGTAGTAGTACTTATACATCGATCCTACCATCCACAACTGGTGCTGCTATAATACAACAATCACTTCACAAAGTGTGCATGTATGAATATATATGTCTGTTGTTGTTGTTCTTCTGTACATACATAACACAATCTTTGAAAAAGAGAAACAACGGATATCCGTATTATATTATATTTATATAATAATATTTATTTGTAGAATAATTATTCAAACTGATTAACCTGTGCAATGGCGGAAAGTGATGACCCTTCTGTTCCCTAACAACTACTTTTTTCAAATTCGAAGCAGACCGTCACTGGTTAAATTCAAACAATCATGATGTGTTCCAGAGAATTCGGATCGATCAAATGACAGAGAAAACGAAGCGGGTATTTTATTGCATTTGCGAGAGTGATGTGATTGTGACAATGAAGAAGTATGCAGAGAGGCAGGTGGTGCACTCGAGTTTGCCATGAGTGGGAGATGTGGTTGGGATCATTCCATAATAAGTTGATTGATTGATTTGGTCGATTGATTGTTTGTTGATTGAATGGTCCGTTATCTTATGTGAACTTCAAAATGATTGGGATCAAGATAACTGCAAGTACCAAAAGAACGACTAGAATGATAATGATTTGAAGCTATATAGGTTGGGTTGGTGTAAAGGTCAGTTCATCGATATCCTGATCAATCAATCAATCAAATCCGATGTGCCTATCTATCTATATATCTACCTTCATATTTCTGCACCACATCTGTCTTCTGATTGTAGAGGTCTGCTTCTTGAACATCTTGGCATTGTTGTTCATCGAAGCAGTCTTATCTTGGAGGTTGGTGGCCTTGTCGTGGTTGTCGAGCATCAGACCAATGTTGTTGTGCATGACATCCTTAACTTTATCGACCTCTTGAAGAATAGACTGAGTCTTGCTTGGTTGGTTGTTTCTGTTTTTGTTTGATTTGATTGATATTGATTGATTAGACCTGTGTCCTATATGCCTCGCATCTCAACCTATTCCTGTCATGTCCTGTCATCATGTCATATCCTGTCATATCCTGTTATATCAATACTTACTGAGACATTTATGATGATTCTATTATATTATAATCTGTTGAATTGTCCAACAAAGTGAATGAATGTACTTGAATGTAGAATGAGAGATAGAGCAAATGATAGATTGCTTTGAGGTCCTTGTGTATAATACTTCTTGCTGCTGTGTGTATTCCAATCTAGATTGAATTGATGTGAATGAATAAAAGACAGTGTTGATTGAGTTGAGAGAATGATTGATGAGTAAGAAAGAAAGAGAGGGAGAGAGGAGAAGTGTGAGTAAGTTGTGTATGTGTTTGAATTCTATCAAGTGTGAATGGGAGGTGAAAGGGTGGTGAATGAGGGTGTATGAATGTTGTTGCTTTGCTGGTCGATTGTAAATTGCTCTGCAGAGTGGGTGAGTGTGATGGGTGTGTGTAGAATGGTTGGGTGTCCTGTGATTGATCAATCAATCTTGTATAGTGATATAGAGCCATTTGTATGTTTATATATATACCTTTTTGATTGTATTGTATTGTTTTGTATTTGTTGTGTGTTTGTGTGATTTTGGGTTGTTTAAATATATAGTTTGGGTGCTGATGGAGGGAAGGTTTTTGGTCGTGTTGTTGGTGATTGGGAGGATGACCGTTAGAATTTAATTTATTTAATTATAATTTTGACAAAGTGGGGTACCAAATACACACTTTGATCAAAGTTGTTGTCAACCTGGTCAACTTAAGGCATCCAAGAAGAATGAAGAGACAGAATACAATTCATTGAAAATTATCTAAAGTGTTTTTTTGATCAACAACGAAACACCGGATTCGTTGTGATACAGATGGATCATACAGATATGTTAGGTGTGTGTGGATTTGAACATATAATCCAATGGACTTATCCCATCCTTCAATATTCTGTCCGGACTATTTTTATCTTGATACATCAAGACTGAGACTGGTTTCCAAAATACATTCTTTGATTGATTGAACAATAATATGCTCAATAGGTCAATGTAACTCATTGGTATAGAACTGCTTTCCATTCTATTCTAGAATAGAGTTGACATTGGTATTATCCATACTCAATCATCCATTAAAATAATGATACTCAATCAGTATAATTCATCCAAATTATCCACTTTCTTGATATATGTAATTGTATCAATTAATGGTATAATGTATTACTATACTGAGGGATTTATCTTTCGATATGTTTGGTAACAATGCCATCGAAAAAGGTGATCGATTCCGATTGAGTGAAGGACGCATCATCATACCAAAATAGGAAAATGATAGAGTCTCCAATGAACGATCAGTTCCAATTTCAATGGATTTTTAGTGAAAAAAATCAAGGTGTTCCCAAAGTGAACCACAACTTGTTGTTTGTGAACACTCTGTCAATCATCATCAACTTCAAACATATCATATTATATCATATACATATAATAATAAATACATATACGAACATATATACATATACATATACATAGGGTTGGTCAACTTAATCAATCAATGATGAATAACAAAGAATCATCATCTAGTCTTGCCCCTCCTGCTACAAGGGTGGCATCACCATCTACACCGGGTGGTGGAAAGGGAGGTGCACTTGAAGACCCTTGGTCACTGTTCACTCCTGTTACTTCGACAGAGGTCGATGATATTCAGCTCAAGATCGAGGAGAAGCTATTGAAGCAACTCAACTGTCAAGTGAATCCTTCAAAGAAGTATGATTGAGGTCATCATCTTCATCATCTTCATCCTAGTTCATATCACTTACCATTTACACTTTGAATACAATGTATAGGTTCAACCTTTGCGATGTAGCACCATTCATATCAGACGGAGTTGAGGTATTGGTTGAGGATGAGTTCACCAAGTGTTTCACCAGTCCAGAGATCAATGCATGGAACTGGAACTTCTATCTCTATCCAGCATGGATACTTGGTGTCTTTATCAGATATGGAGTACTATTCCCACTCAGGTATGTAGTTGTAGTAGTTATAGCAGTATGCTATCAATCAAACAATCACTTACTCATTCGATCATTCGATCAATCAATCAAACACAGACTATCTTGTCTCTTGATTGGCTCGATGGCCTTTGCCTTCTCATTCTTCACTGTGTCCACCTTTATAAAGAACGATAAGACTAAGAAGCACTACCAAGTATGTATACTCAATCATAAATGGCGATCATAGCATACATGCATACTGACACGACCCGCGAATGAACAATCAAATAGCGTATGCTCCTTCGTTTCCTGTGTACAGTATTTATTTTGTCATGGTCAGGAGTGATCAAGTACCATGGAGTACTGCCGTTGAGAAAGAAGAACCAGGTGTTTGTCGCCAATCACACCACCGTCATGGACGTCGTCGTACTCCAGAACAAGTTCAACTATGCCTCTGTCGGACAGAAGCACAAGGGCTTGCTTGGATTCATCCAAGACTACTTACTGAGCTGCATTGGATGTCTATGGTTCGATAGAGCAGAGGCCAAGGACAGAGCAATCATTGCCCAACAGTAAGTATTTACTATATCTCTTCCTTCTTTCCTTCACATTGCCATTCTAACTCAAGTGACAACTACTACTACTCAGGATTTCCAAGCACATCTCCAATGAGAGCAGCGATCCATTGCTCATCTTCCCAGAGGGAGTATGTGTGAACAACAACTACTGTGTCATGTTCAAGAAGGGTGCCTTCGATCTCCCCAATGTTATCATCTATCCAGTTGCAATCAAGTACAAGTATGTTATGTTGTTGTTGATGATGCAGTACATTGATTGATTGATTAACCAACACCTTTCATTCCCAATCATGTAGTACACTGTTTGTTGATGCATTCTGGAACTCAAAGAAGCAATCATTCATCAGACATATGTTCAATATGATGACATGCTGGGCATGCGTATGTGACGTTTGGTACTTGGAGCCACAGACCAAGCACCCGGATGAGAGCTCAACACAGTTTGCCAATCGTATCAAGGCAATGATCGCCAAGAAGGCAGGTCTGATCAACGTGCCATGGGATGGCTACTTAAAGTACTTCAAGCCCAGCTCCAGATTCGCAGAGCACAAGCAAAGAATCTTTGCATCCAGATTCACCAGAAGATTCAACGGTGACGATCTGATCAACAGTCCACTGGTGATCAGTGCTAATGGCAAGCATGACATTGCCGTCGAGCCAATCAGTACAGTCGACAGCAACAGCTCAAATGATGCATCATCAGAGAGCACTGGTATCAAACAAAGGAAGCCACAGTCCAACGAATAGACGTCTGTGTTGCCAGACAACGTCTCTTCGCGAAAATACATATTTCTGAGAATTTATAAATTAGTTTATATTAGAAGTACTTCTTCATCACTTTGACTTTATTCATTCAAACAATGTAACATGTTATAATAATACATACAGATAGATTGAGATAGAGATAATGGATCATATTACAAGCTTTGATAATACAGCACATCAACTATTTTATAAAAGATATATTAATAGAGATATTAGATTGGGTATTGATGAGTTTGATAACTATATCTCAAACAATCCAATACCTCAACCTCAACAACATCATCAACAACAACAACATCAACAACATCAGCAACAACAACAATTACAACAAACAATATTTAGTAAAGGAGGATTTATTGAAGTGTTTGGACCAAGTTCATGCGGCAAGACTGAACTACTTTATCATGTCGTGGCTCAATCAGTGATGCCTAAAGCATGGTCACAATATCAAGTCAATGGCAATGAGATCGGTGTCATATACTTTGACAATGACTTCAAGTTTGACATCTTCAGATTCAAACAAGTGATCAAGTTAAAGTTATTCAATATCATAGACCGCCAACAACAACAACAATTATCAAACGATGAGTTTGAAACATTCTTTACACAGTGTACCAGCAGATTGTACTTGTTAAGATGTAGAGATAGTCTTCAGTTCTTGCTCACATTGAAGAGCCTTCCAAATATGATAAAGACTGTTGGAAAGGATGTGAGAGCAGGTTCGCCTCAGCGAGAGATCCAAATGATTGTTGTCGACAGTATCTCTGCATTCTACTGGTTGGACAAGAAGGGCGAGTCATTGTCATCAAGGTCTGGACAACTAGTTGGTATTGATGTGTTATCATCACTGGTTTATCAGTTCAATGTTGTTGTAATTGGAGTCAAACAGGCAATATTCAACTATGCCGCACCAAAGTCAACAATATCATCCCACGACAATCAGCAACATACAACAACATCACTATCAAAGAGCTTCCCGAGGACTGACTTCATCAGTCCACTCTGGGGACAACTAGTCAAGTACCGCATCAACATTCCCAACAAGTTCACAGTTGAATCCAATGATCCACAGGCACTATTCTCTGCTCCTCACATGAGTATATTACGATCTGGATCATAATGGTCAACAATAATTATAAATAGAATAGATCACTCATTCATTATTAGTAATGCTGTACATTGTCAAGAGTTGTCGGCCTCAATCAATTTAGTCATGTCTTTCATTCTCATCAAATTATCCAATTCATTCCAAGTGATCAGTCTCGTGTTTGCAAGTGTGAGCAGGTCTTTCCACAAAAGCAAACTCTGGCCTCGAATCATAGGATACTCTTGTTCCAGTGAACAATGAAATCACTACTTTCCTTAGACACGGAATGGTATTAATACTATTGTTGAACACTATCAAACATAATCATAATAATCAATCAAACAATCAAACAGATATACACTACAAATAATATCAATCTATCAAACAAAAATGAGTTCATTTAAAATCAATATCAATAACAACAACAACAACTTTAGCAATACATCACTATCAGTTGAAATAATCCAGTCTCAATTACAATCACCATTACCAATCAAAAAGAACAATCGTCATGGCAACCGTTCGATTAATGGCAATCGCACTCCTCGTACGAAAGGAATCAAGACCAGTGAGCACATCAACGAAGTGAACCAACTGGGTTCAACCAATGAATAGTGTGACAATCAATCAAACTGTTTCATATCCATCAAGCCCATTGCCCACTCCAGTACCACATGTTTGTACTGGAGGCCAAGAGGAAGTTGGATGGGCTTGGTTGCTTAATCAACACTCAGGTCTCATTCATGGACTTGAAATGAGTCAAGAAGAACATCTCTCTCTACTTCGTTTGCAGTCTCAAACATTACATCCAGACTATTGTCTCACAAAAAATCCTGTGGATGACAAGATCATTAGACAGATTGCAAAGTCTGAGATGGAGAGCAGAGGAAATACCAAGACCAACACCAAGGAGAGCACATTTGATCACATCAACGTTGAGAAGGAGGTCCAGATAAAGAAGGAAAGGAAGGAAGATAAGATCACAAGGTTGGAGAAGAAGGAGAGGAAGGAGAAGAAAAACAACAAGGCAGTTCAAGAAATTGGAAGAATCAAGAAAAGAAGGTCCAATGTATGGATTCCAAGATTCGACCCAAACAAATAACTATAAATTCAAACATATTCTATTTGAATAAATATAAATTCCTTTAACAGTGATAATTATTTTTATTTATATCGAGTTTATAGATCGGAAGACCTGATAGATTTACTTTTTTTTATATTTATTGTTTAAATGCCTATTCACGTCCTATCTGGAGGGGAGTCGCGTAGTTCTGTTTATTTATCCGAGGGATAACTATACGATTGTTTTCCTTGTTTGGACACTTTTCTGGAAAAGTGTCCACGAGCCTTCGAGTTTTTTTTAAAATGCAGATTATGCTTGAAAACAGGGGGTAATGTAATTTAACGCGCACGAATGCTCTGTCATCTAAGGGTTAGGATCCAGGACTCTGAATCCTGTCATCTGAGTTCGAATCTCAGCAGGGCAACACTTCTTTTGTATTTGGTCTTGTATTTTAATTTTTTGGTGGAGCAGCGTTTTTGGCCTTTGAAAGTCGTCCATTTGCTATGCTTTGACCGACAAAGGTATTCTGAATGATTGGGTCTTCCACCAACTAATAAAATGAATATTGATTAAAGCTAAGACAGGGAAATAATGATCAACTCATATTCATTTTGAATATAACTTGTTAGAAAAATAGTAAGTTAAAGTATATATTTAAATATAGCCGCTCGGCACCGGAGATTCAAGTGGAATATCACATTGATTAATCATCCCTATCAAGGTCGATGGATCATAAATAAAACGAGATGAGGTGTCATCCTATTCAATCAACCACATATTAATAAAACATCAATAAGTTAATTAAGAGGGAGTGATGTGTGATGGTAATTGCAAGTTTGTGTTTATATAGTTGATGATAGACATGGGTGGGGGGTGGAAGTAGATCAAGTTGAACTTTGTGTTTGTTGGACTTGTTTCCGTCATGTACATGATGTGGTGTTTGTGGAGAATGGATACTGGATAATGAATAAAGTATATGTTCATTCATATTCAATCATTCCTTTTTAGTACATGATCGATCACCCAATAACTTTACCCTACTATATATATATTAAACTATGATTATCAATCAATATTTAATTGTTGTGATCTTATTAATAATATCAATTATTAATGGTCAATCATTGACATCATCAAATAATAATTCTAATAATGTAGTAATACCAATAAGATGGATACAGAATAGTAATAGTCATAATATTAATAAGAACTTTGTTAACTTTAAAGTATTAAATAATATATCTGGTGATATTATACATGGAGTTGTATCAAATACATTGGAAAATAATATATATCCAACTATAAATACATCCAACACTGATATATTGAAACATGCATATATATCAGACCCATCAACATTCAAATATCTATTCATAGATGATACCAATATGGACTCCAACACCATATCATACTCTCAGATCAATCTAACTTTGAATGATCAAGATGTGTATGAATATTCAACCGACCAGATGACTCCACCTGATAGGCTTTCAGAAGTTACAAGATTTTGTTTCTCCGTCAATACAATGATAACATTCTCAGTATGTTACAATCTTCTCATTAAAAATTTAAATTACTAACTTTATATTATTTTATTCAATAGGCCTCATCCAGACTACAGGTTAAAGTTGCTGATACACTTTGGATGTATATTGATGATCGTTTGGTGTTTGATAATGGAGGGTTGACGGGCCGATCAGATCTAAGTGCACCTTTAAATCCAAGTACATTATATACAATGGATTACCAATCCAAGAGTATTCAATATTCCCAAAATGATGAGATAAAAGAAGAATCACAATTACCCGACTTCAAAGAGGTATGTATAAATTACTGATCAACAACTTCAATTATCAAAGCTGACCTATCAATCAATCAATCAATCCAGGACTATCCATATAAGTTGTTTATGTTCCATTGTGAACAGACCAGAGGTGATGATTCATTCTCAATATCAATCAAGGATACCAAGTTATCATGTCCATTGTATGATTACTGTGGTGTTTGTCTTGGTAATGGATCTACTTGTTGCTCACCTACAAGTTGTACGGATGAAGATCCATGTACTGTAGACTCATGTCCTTTGGTTGTACCTGGAATGGACAATCACATCAACACTACCAACTATCTAAAATACTGTGTACATGTACCATTGACCCCAACGTTTGAACCCAATACGACATGTCAACACCTATATTGTCAACCAGACTCAAAGGGCAACCCAGTATTCATCGTAAATGAGACCTGTCTCCCAGTGTCCAAGTGTAGTATCCCATTCTGTGATAAGGAGCTAGGTTGTATATATCGTACAATGTCATGTCCCCAGCCATCAGATCAATGTCTTCAAAGTTATTGTGATGAGACAACTGGTCAGTGTCAAGTTAGAAACTCCTCACCATACCCTTTTGGATGTCAGAAGGGTGCAATCATTGGATTGGCACTTGGTCTCGCAGCATTGATTGCACTGATAGGTGCTGGCGTGGCATTATTATTCAAGACCAAATCATTCACATCTGTATTGGTAAGGTCTTCCTCAAGACTAGGTGGTGTCACTGACAATCCACTTTATCAACCAACAAAGAAATGTGATAATCCATTATATGAATAATCGATCGATAATAATATATATATATGTAATAAAAATTCTAAACAATTGTAAATATACAGTAAAGATTGAGGTTCGGTAATATTTATTTATTTAATAATGAGACGAGTCAACATATCTTTGAGACTTGCTAGGGCAATGAATCCAAAGTATGATGTCTCTAAATGGATTATTAAGACTGTTTGGTTGTCTATTTGTCGACAAAGTATACTATATTCATCATCAGATATCATGAACTCAAACTCGACATTGTTTGCAATCTTGAGATAGGTCCATAAGTCATATGCTCGGTATGTATCCATAAAGTTTCTTGGTGATGGTTGTAGAGTTGGATCCTCATAGAGGTCATCATTATCATCGACAAGATCGTGTTTGGATTCCCTAGGTGGAAATATAATTCTAACTTTTCCGAGCTTCCTAGTTAGGTTGATTGAACGATGGTTGATCGCTTCTACAATTGGACATTGCTCCAGACGTGATATTATGTTGATAGTAATGATGTTTGTGGAATTGATCAATTCTCCAATGTGTCGATGAGGCTCGCGTCTGGATTGCCAGATCGTCAGGCTCGAGGTTGATGCTGGTACATTGTTTGGTGTCAACAACTGATTGAAAGATCGTCCAAACAGTAGTTTTTTGATCTTTGATGGTATTGCACCGGGTTCAATCGGTTGGTTGTACAGTTCACCAAACTCTAATGATGTCAATGACAATGGGAGGGTATTAGGCATGATGGGTACATTGAATTTGCCTTCGARGGGCCAGTGTGGTCACTGATGATGGGATTGACCCAGGAGAAAGTGTTTGATTGATATATAAAATCAAACTCGCCACTGACGAAGGTAGTGGAATCCACTCTTGAACTACATCCTCCTCGCGATACATCAACACAAGATCAGTGATTGATGCTGGTAGACTAACTAATGAAGCCGTGACATTAGTACTGAATTTCAAGAATATCTTCTGCACTGAGTCTGGTAGCACTCCAAGGGGAAGTATACCTGTGGAAGTGTTGAGCAAAGTTAGATAGGTTACGGATGACGGGATAAGTCCAGGTGTTTGAATGTCATGTCTGGTGGGTCCCCCAAACAACTGCAAACTTGTTAGGGATTGAGGTAGGAGCCCAAGTGGAATAACATGATTATAAGTAGTGCTTGGCAAAAATCTAAATGTTTCCAATTTAGGTGGAAGACATCCGACTTGAAGAGGCTTGTTAAATGATGCACCAATGTCCAAGTATGTGATAGATGGTGGAAGACTGCCTTTCTTAAGAACTTGATTGAATGAATCGCCCAACCACAACTTGGCGACCGAGGAGGGTATTGTCTTCTGAGTGATTGGTTGATTGAATAGATTGCCCAAGTCCAAAGAGGTGACTGATGAGGGTATGGCACCTGGCATAATCGGACCGTCCCAATCGACAAGCTTCAACTTTGTAACTGATGACGGAATGATTCCAGGTTCCAAAGTAACGTTGGGGCATACAAGATCCAACTCAGTGACTGAGTCTGGGATTGATCCAGGTTCTAATATACCCTGGAATATATTGGAGAACTCCAAACAAGTGACACCAAAAGGAATATATATCTTTGTTGTCGATTGTATATTGGTTATAGTTTGACTTGTTGGATGATCACGATTATTGATTTTGTTTGATGTTGATGATGTTGTTGATGTTGATGACAGCGGTGATAAGTCAAAGGTTGAGCTCTGTAAGAGTCTGTAATTCCTGATACCATTTGTTCTTGACTTCAAACAATCTAAAGTATGTATTGATGTTAACATCAAACAAAGTATATCGATGGGACCCAAGAATGATGCTACATTCTTCAAAAGTGTAGAGTTAAGTGTTTGAAGCATTATTTTTCTATTTGTTGGTTTGAGTGATTGTGACAAACAAAGTTGTGATCAGAAAAAGAGGATTGTGGACTGATCAGAAAAAAAATGAGATATTTTTGTCCAAGTAATTTTCCTAAACTAATAATTAATATTTAGTGATTGTGGAAATTGATTTTATTTATTTATTTAATAATGAGATGTCTCATTCTATTCTTGAGACTTGTTATTGAAATGAATCCAAAGAATGAAGTCTGGAAACAATATACTAATACTGTTTGAGTATCTATTTGTTTACAATCGATTCTATACTCATTACTGGGTGAGATCCTGAATTCAAATGTGACATTCTCTGCCATGTCGAGATAGTAACATAGGTCATATGCCCTGTATGTATCCAAAAAGTATTTGGGTGATGGTTGTTGTAGACATGGATCCTCATAAAGGTCATCATCATCGACATCATCATCGAATTTGGAAGTCCTCACAGGTGGAAATACTATTCTAACATATCCAAGCTTCCAAGTTAGATTGATTGTTTGATGATTATTGATGTCTGATACAATTGGACATTGTACCAGATGCGATATGATCTTGAGTGTAAAGATATTTGTGGAATTGATCAATTCTCCAATGTGTCGAAGAGGCTTGCTTCTGGCTTGCCAAACAGTCAAGCTTGAGATCGATGCTGGTACATTCTTTGGTGTCAACAACTGATTGAATGCACGTGTATTTCTAAATGATAGTTTTTTGATCTTTGATGGTAATGCACCTGGCTTCAGAGGTTGGTTGAAGAGCTCTCCGAATTTCAGAATTGTTACTGAGTCGGGGAAGGTGTTGGGAGCGATCGCTGAATTGAAAATGCAAGGAAGCCCAAGCATGGTAACTGATGATGGGATTGATCCAGGTGATATTTTTTGATGAATAATAATATTCAAAGTCCTCACTGATGGTGGAATGGTAATCCATTCTTGTACTCCAGTATACCCCTCGCGATATATCAACCGGAGATCAGTAATGGATGATGGAAGATGAACTGAAGATGCGCGGACATCAGTCAAGAATCGCAAGAATAACGTCTTCACTGAGTTAGGAATCACGCCAAGGGGAAGTGAACCAGTGTTGTTGTTCATAAATAGTTTGGTCACAGTTGGTGGGAGGAGCCCAAGTGGAATGGCATGATTACAAGTAGTGCTTGGTAACAATAGAAATTCTTCCAATTTAGGTGGAAGACATCCAACTTGAAGAGGCTTGCTATATGATGCACCAATGTCCAAGTATGTTATTGATGGTGGAAGACTGCCTTTCTTAAGAACTTGATTGAATGAATCGCCCAACCACAACTTGGTGACCGAGGAGGGTATTGTCCTTTGAGTGATTGGTTGATTGAATTGGTTGCCCAAGTGCAACGAGGTCACCGATGAGGGTATGGCGCCTGGCATAATCGGACCGTCCCAATCGACAAGCTTCAACTTTGTAACTGATGACGGAATGATTCCAGGCTCCAAAGTAGGATTCGGACATACAAGATCCAACTCAGTGACAGAGTCTGGGATTGACCCAGGTTCTAATAAACCTTGGAATGTATTGGAGAACTCCAAACGAGTGACACCAAAAGGAATATATATCTTTGATGTCGATTGTATATTGGTCAAAGTTTGATTATAGTTGTTTTTTGATGACGATGTTGTTGTTGTTGATGTTGTTGATGTTGATGATGACCATTTGTCATTGTAATAACTGTCTCCCTGTATGAGTCTGTAGTTCCTAATACCATTTGTTCTTGACTTTAAACGATCTAGAATATCTATTGATGTTAAAATCAAACATATAATATCCACTGGCTCCAAGAATGATGCTACATTCTTCAACAATGTAGAGTTAAGTGTTTGGAGCATTATTATTTCTATTTGTATAAGTTTATGAGTTGATAGTCAGTGTTCTGATTGATGCATGAGAAAGCCAGGGATTGATCAGAAAAAAAACATGTCCATCACAGATATTTTGAAGGAAAGTGATGTTCCAAAGTGTAATCACTATTCATTCAAATAATCATAGAATAACAATGTCGATCAATCAAACACTTATAGGATCAGTGTATATTGGTGATGGAGGTCATGGATTGGTGAACAATGCTACCTCACCCAACTACCATGTTCAATTGCCAATACCTTCTGATCTATCAGGTGGCCTACATCCACTCAAACTACCAATGACAATATCATTCTGGCTATATATAGTGCGTAGTATTGAATTGAAAATGTGTCCACCTTCCTCATCTTATGACTTACTAATTGACTGACAACACTATTAGGATCACATTCAATCAAGAGATCGTAAGAGATCATCTTATCCAATAATAACAAGAAGGTCACATCTGCCAACTACTGAACAAGGTACTTCTGAGGGAATCTATATCGATGGTCTTCTTCGTTTGGACTTTGTCAACAGACTTGATTGTGATCACTACTACCAATCACTCACACCAGGCAATCAAGTTGACCTCAAGTCACATCCAATAAGTCTCAAAGAATGGTACATTATTCACCTCATTCACTCAATCATTCAATCAAACATTCTGACTTACACCAATCACTCACTCACTCATCAGGCATCACATTGAGATATGTTATCAAGTTGATCATAATCGATTGATCAGCAAACTGTTTGTTAACTCGATGATGTATCGTGAAAGATCACAGATATACACTGATGGGGACGTGACATTGTCATCGTTTCCATTCATCATTGGTGATCCTATCAACAAACAATGCTCATACATTATAAGTGACTTGGTACTCAATCGTCAACCTCTGGCTGGCCACACAGAAGCAGCACCGATGCCATCATTCCCACCAAAGCTCGATCCATCATGTCGCAAGGCCTACGTCAAGTGCAAACCACTTCATAGTATGATTGACCTGTTGACATGGACACCAGATGTAAATGTACCAGTCTCATGCATTCCATTGGCCAACATACCTCAACGTAGACAACAGATCATACATTGTCATGATATGATGGGTGGATACCTCGATCATGAGGTCGACTCATTCAACCTCACATCCATGTCATCGACGAACAATCACTACCTCTTCCAACATTGGCAATTGATTGATATATTCATCTACTTCACTCATCAATGCATAACCATCCCGCCTGTATCATGGATTGAATGTGCACACAAGAATGGTGTCAAGGTCATGGGCACGGTGATCACTGAATGGGAGCAAGGCATCAAGGATGCATGTCGTCTGGTCCGTGGACCATACTTCGATCCAGACAATAGTGATGGCGATGATCGTGATCACTCGATATTCATTCGAAAGCTCGTGGACATTGCAAAGCACTACAGGTTTGATGGATGGTTCATCAACATCGAGTCACCACTACCATCATCAGAGTATGGAGTGCGATATCAGCTGTTCTTGGGTGAGCTCACACGTATGATGCACGAGGAAATACCTGGATCATTGATGATATGGTATGATAGTGTCACTACGGAAGGTGCACTCAAATGGCAGAATGAGTTGAATGTTCACAACAAAGCATTCTTTGATCAATGTGATGGTATATTCCTCAACTACAAATGGGACGAATCAATGATCAAACAATCAGCCATACTAGCCGGTTCAACATCACATCAAATATACGTTGGTACTGATGTATGGGGACGAGGCACCTTTGGTGGAGGCCACTTCAACAGTCATATTGTAAGTTGTCGAATTGAACACATTGGCATGCATGATGGTCGACTAATTCACACACATTCACGCAATCATGGAACAGGGAGTGGAGAAGGCGATTGAGAATGGAATGTCTGCTGCATTGTTTGCTCCTGGATGGACGTTTGAGTCTAACAAATCATCAAAGACCATATCAAACTTGAGAGAGGCAACATTGTGGACTGGAGTGCGTGGTAGACAGAGTATGTATGATTGATTGATCGCAGGTTGTGAAACTATTCCAATCACTCATACCCACCTTACCCCCTACCTTTGGAAGACTTGATCAAGAATGGATCAGCTAATAATAATATGGATGGTTGGATTGTGGAGATGGGAGATGCGCCATGTGATGGATGGGGCGTTGATGATGGTGGAATCAATGGTGGAAAGGCCTTTGTTTCATCCCATGAATGGTCAAGTATGAGTCAGGAGGTTGACCTTGAAGTAGTGGCATCAACAGATATATTATCTTCATCACCAGTGATTGAATTGGAGTTCTATCATTGTGGCACAGGTCCAAAGTACAATGATCTACTCAGAGTCAAGTTGGAAGTTAGAGACATATCACACAAAGTTCTGATCACCTTTGAATCTGGTGACATCACGACTCAAAAGGACTACAAGAGATTCAGACATACGATCTCCGAGTATCCATCAGGTGCCAGGTACATCAACCTCATATTCACTGGCAAGGATGTGGAGAGATGGGCTGGAAGATTTGGAAGTCGAATCACTGGTATATATCTCCATTTATGGACGTCATCATCATCGGACAATCACAAAAACTCTGTGTTGGAAGCATGTCGTCCATCACAGATGGCCAGTAGAGTATCATCCACAACACTACCATTTAAGAGTGATGTTAATATTGGATGCGGCGAGAGATATTATAAGATGGGCAAGGTTGTTGGCAACAAACCATGGTATGACATCACACTACAGAATACAAGTGGATGTTTGGAGTATGGTCAACGTCATGGATCACCATTAATTGAGGCCATCATCGATCAAGATGATTCATACCATGGAGGTAGCTCACTACTCATTCAAGGAAAGCTACTTCCAACAACTAGTAGCTCCAAGACTTGGAATTACTTTGTTACCAAGATCTACGAACTGGATATCCCGATCACACAATCACATCCACTCAGTGTGTCCTATATTTGGAAGAATGTCACTCATGATTCCCCGGTGATGATGTCATTGGTACTGCACTTCACTGATCACACGGTGATACTCACAAGTTCATCAATCACTACCAATCCAGTATCAGATGATTGTCGTGATTGGAAGGATGTCACAATCATCAAGACAATATCATCAATTCAATTTAACAATTGGATTAAGGAGTGTGCCACTATACCATTGTCCACGCACTCCAACAATGATCAAAGATTGATTGCAGTAGAGTTATTATGTCACTGTGACAACTACAATGTCGACATTGGTCTTTTTAGTCAAAGATTTGGAGGCTTGAACATTCATCATACTCAATCTTCATCATCACCATCACGATCAATCATTGATGAGTTCAAATGTACAGATATATGGAATAGCAACTCAATCACTCAAGGACAGGTCCTCAATGATATATTAATTGAATGGACCACACTGTCAATTGAACACTTACTAGATTATAACTGTCATATCTATGTTGATGATGAATGGGTTGGAACAAGCTCACTCAATCGTCAATGCTTTGTGGTGCGACAAGTAATTGGAAGAGATAGAGTCATCAAACTAGAGTGTTACAACACTGATGATACTCTGATTGATTCACGCTCATACTATTTCCAGTCTGGAGGTCTCAATCAATAAACTGATCAATGTTTTGATTGAACTTGTGTTTGTGAGTGAGCCCTTGAAGGGCGGCATGCCGCCTTCAAATAGATTTGAGAAGTCACATGCCCAATTATACAATCACAAAGATTTACAGATAGAGATGGATACATTATCAAAGGTAGTGATTAAGGAAATAGTTGGATGGCTAGTTGATGAGGTGGACATTGTTTGTTTCGCGCTATGCTCCAAGTCATACTTCAATCAGCTGACAGTATGGCGAAACAATCATCGTCAATCACTAAAGCATGGATCATCATCAGTAGAGCTATCATCAACCAAAGATCTTGGACTGAGTATATCAAACAACAAACCAATCTTGCCAGGCTCACTACCTGACAATCTGCGCTACTTGAGCTTTCAATACAAATTTGATCAGCCACTTGTGCCTGGAGCACTGCCATCATCACTGCTGGAGCTATCACTCGGTGGCCTGTACAACAGACCGTTTGAGAATGGTGTACTGCCTCCCTCACTCACCAGTCTCGTGCTGAGCACCGACTTTGATCAACCAATCAAACCACATTCACTGCCTCCATCGCTCACCTCGCTGGTCTTGGGAATGAACTTCAACCAACCCCTGATGCCCGGGTCACTTCCACCATCCCTTCGTATACTACTGTTCAGTGTAGAATTCAATCAACAGATCACACCAGGTCTCCTACCTCCATCACTCACTGAACTGAGCTTCTTTGATCAGTTCCAGCAGGTGCTGCCCCCTGGATCCCTACCCAACTCGATCGAAACACTGAGGTTCTCTTACTTCTCCTCATTCAATCATCCCATTGCCATACTTCCAACATCATTACGCGATCTTACATTTGGCTATTCATTCGACCAGCCGATCAAGGTTGGTCTTCTGCCGCCGACCCTCATCAAGTTGTCATTTGGCTCATCATTCAATCAACCAATTGGGACTGGTGTCCTGCCCACCTCACTTACATCACTAAGATTTGATCGAGATTACAATCAACCATTGATCAGTCTACCAATCAATCTACGTCAACTTGGTATATACTTTATACGTCGACAAGGTGTACTACTCAACTGTCTACCAGACCATCATCATCATCATCATCATGACTACAGCAAGATGATGATGGAAGTCAGCATAAGAGAGACAATCAATTATATAACAGATATTATAGATTATAGTATAACATCAAGTATTAGTAAGCTAAAGTTCAACTCTAGTATCAATTCACGTCTAAAGTTGTTTGAATGTATTCGGAAGATGATGAACAAAGTGCCCAATGTAGATACATATCAAATACAATATAGTGGATTATCAATGAATACCTATCAAGTACGTTATATAGATGATCAACATAATACTCTACTACTTGTTGACTGTTCAACAGACAAGTATGAAGGCAAGATATATTTCAAGCAACTTCAATAAACACTCTGTTGCCAATCCATTCGCGAATGAACTCAAAAGTCACACTTCTTCAGATCTGACTTGATTCATTGGCATTCAATCAATCAATCGATTATACATAGACATAAGATGAAGAATAAGACTACTAGTACAAAGCAATCATCATCTTTGAATACAAGTAAACAGACAAGCATACAGAAGAATAGAAAGTATGCATTTGTATTGGCACTGATAGGAGGTGTATTTGCATCACTCAGTTCAGTGTTTGGCAAGATAGTTGTTGATACCAACTTCCTGTCATTGTATATATCTCAAGAGAAGGTATGTGTCCATGGATGATTGGATGATTGGATGATTGGATGTCGGCTACACTTCACAGATCAGTGCTAACAATGAGGATGGATCAATCATGACATTCATCACTCAGGTCGACTATGCCATTAGACTGGTAAGCTTTGCAGGAATATTCATATGTACTACTATGCAATGGAGGTACTCTGCCAAGAGTATGGATCTGTCATCATCACTCTCTGCGACAGTGATTGCAACTGCTTCAAACTTCTTCTTCTCAGTATGTTGTTATAATTGAACATCACGACACTTTGATTGAGTGAACATCAGTAACTAACAAACATGGACATCATGATATCTATAGGCATTCTTTGGATGGTTGTTCTTTAAAGAGTTCCTGGCGCCTCAATGGTGGATTGGTGCAACATTCATTGTCACCGGATTGTTCCTGATGAATGCTGACTCTGAGAAACAACCTCAACCATCTTCATCATCAAGTAAGAAGAATAAATAGTATATCCATTACCAATCAATCTTCCAGTTTGAATTGACGCTGGCGCTGTAGGGAAGAGGAAGGGATGGTTTTGAATGAGGATTTATTTAGCGTTACCCAAAGTACTATATACCACCCATCTCGTATGATGTGTTTACTTCTTGCCGGTAGTCTTGGCAGCTGGCTTGGAGGGGGCAGAAGCCTTGGCTGGAGCAGTCTTGGCTGGGGCTGGGGCGGCCTTGGTTGGGGCAGCAGCGGCCTTGACTGGGGCAGCGGCGGCCTTGGTTGGGGCTGGGGCAGCCTTGACTGGGGCAGCAGCTGGGGTCTCGGCAGCCTTGACGGAAGCCTTGCTGGAACGCTTCGAGGATCTTCTCGATGCTCTCTCAGCCTCACGACGCTGAGCAATGAGCTTGGCGTAGGCGGCAGCCTCCTCAGCGGCCTTCTTGTGTGAGTTGACCTTCTGTAGACGGAGAGCCTTTCTGCGGGCAATGGTGACTGGGGTGACCAGACGCTGGATCTTGGGGGCAATGCTCTTGGCCTTTCTGCCCTCCTTCTTGGCGGGGATCTCACGACGGATGACGTACTTGCGAACGTCGTCCTCCTTGGAGAGCTTGAAGAGCTTTCTGATGTTGCTGGCTCTCTTTGGACCCTTTCTGGATGGGAAGCTGACATCAGTGAGACCTGGGAGCTCAGCATCACCCTTCTTGACGATGATCAACTGCAGCGAGGCAATGTCGTCGGCAACGATGCATCCACGGACAGACTTTCTCTTTCTCTCACCAGATCTGGCTGGGTTGTAGCAGCCAGAGGTCTTGGTGAGCAAAAGACGAACTCTGTGTGGGACGGCAACACCTTGCATCATTGGGAAACCCTCAGTGTCGTTGCCTCCAGTGATTCTGAAAACGTAACCCTTGTACTCGTCGCCCAAAGAGTCGCCTGGCACCTCCTGTCCCATACGCTTGTCAATGAAACAACGGCTATATGTTTGTTTGTTTTTGTTTATGTTAGTTGATACTCTCTTCTTATGATCTGTCCCTGTTTGCTATATTCTGTTGTTGTTGTATGATCGATCGCAGATATGTATGTCGCTGTTGTTGTTGTTGTCTATATATCTATGTGTGTATGTGTCAAGTGACTAACTCCGATACCTACGTCTTGAGCTTGTCCTCAATGTTGACACACTTCTGTGCTCCAGTTGATGGGTTGGCAATGTTAAGCTGTTAAGTGAGAGTAAGTGATGAGAGTTGAGGATATGATATGTTAGTCCTCTGTTTCCTTATGAAGGTGTATCCTGTGATGTGTTGACCACTATCGCATCCATCCACCCATTCTAATCCTATTGATATCCTGTATGTTGATCGATCACTCAATGGATAGTTGATTCGTTCATTCGTTCGTTTGGTCAATCATTCATCCATTCTCTTCTGTTGATGATGGATATCATATCGCCAATGATGATGGATGCTAGATAGATCAATTGAAGATGACAGAGATGACATACCTTCATCTTTGAATAATGCCCACTTGTTAAGAACGCTAATGTAGCGAATGATACTAGATTTCTGATGTCCTAAGTGCGCGAGGGTATGCCTGACCAGAGCTTGCGAGAAGCCCTCCCCCACTCATTTTTCATTCACCTTCCCAATTAATTCAAAACAATTCGAATATCATTTTTTACATAAAGATCATTACGTAACATTTACACAACATTGTAAATAAACGTTGATGTGTGTGAGTAAATGTAGTGATCGATTGGAATGAATCCATCCTTTGATATAATATTGTACAATGCTATATTAACAAGTGTTATTGTTCATATGATGTGTATGATGTCCGCTCCATGTATATATGTCTGATTGTTGGACGATTGATCGATCAATCATTTGTGCCCTTGATCAATCTGTTCAGTTTGTAGTCGAATAGATCACATCTTATAGACATCTCCAACTCGTAGAATGGATTCTTAAGAACATAATCAGTATATAATTCATAGATACTATGTAATGTTTCTTCAAGGTTTGATCTATTTGGGTCTGCAATAGCATAGAACTTCATTCCTGGTTGATTGATTGAGTGAGTAAATGTGTCAGTCCTCGCCCATTTGATCCAATGTCAATGTGATTGTCAATGTCTTATTCCATACCTGTATGTGTTTGATAACATTGTAGTTTGAATGTCTCTGTCTCTATCACCTCGATACCTGATGATGATCCTGTTGGTGACAGGTTACTTGAGATAGCATGTAGACCATGGAATGTTGATCCTAAACTGATGTATGCATTATGTGATAGTTTCTCTGCACCATTACTATAGTCCTATATACACGATATGGTATGATGTGATGTGTCAATCAATGTACTCTATTCGACTGATTCAACTGCAACAACTTGTCATTGTTGATAATGTCAATGTTTGATTGATTGATGATTACATTTTGGAATATCAAAGTGCCTGCTTTATTCAATATGTATAGTGAGTATATCGACATGTCTATATCTAATATTTATATTGTTATATTATCTCTATCTACAAGATATTTGATTGATTGAAGATAGATAGATTGAGAAGGATGAGGGATATAGAGTAACGTTTAAGCCAATTTTCTCTTTTGAAACAACAGAACTCAAAGTTCAACCAACCCTCGTGTGGATTGATTGGAACACTCGAGTGAGTGAGAACACGATAAAAGGGTTCACTTCATTTGTTGTTGTAATTGAACTGTTCATTCATTCATTCACTCACTTATAAGTGTTGCTTTGTTGTTGTTTGTTTGTTAGAGAGGTAGGTATAGTATACTATAATATATTCAATATAGCATTCCAAATGAATATATCTAACATTCAATCAATCAATCATTCAAACTCAATCGTCAATCAATCAATCATTCAATCAAATATATATTACAGACAGATATACAAAGAGATTAATAACAGGTAGAAATGGGAAAACAAAGAAAGAGAGACGATTATTGGGACACTGATGCTGCTGATCAGGATAGAGAGGCTGCAGAGAAGATGGCTACTGGTGTTCAATCTGAAAGCGATGAGGATGATGTTAAACAAACAAAGAAGACAACAGCTACCCCAGCCGCTGCCACTACCAAGAAGGCCAATGGTCAAAAGGGTGGAAAGAAGGCTGTTGTGGAATCAGAGTCAGAGTCTGAGGAGGAGGTGAAGCCTGCAAAGAAGGGTGCTGCTCCTGCTAAGAAGGCTGACAAGAAGAAACCAGCTGCCAAGAAGCAGGTGGCATCAGAGTCAGAGTCAGAGTCTGAGGAGGAGGTGAAGAAGCCTGCTGCTGCCCCAAAGAAGGCTGCTGCTAAGAAGCCAGCCGCCAAGGCTGCTGGAAAGAAGGCTGTTGCATCAGAGTCAGAGTCTGAATCAGAGTCAGAGTCAGAGTCAGAAGAGGAGCCAGTCAAGAAGCCTGCACCAGCTCCAAAGAAGGCTGCGGCTAAGAAGCCAGCCGCCAAGGCTGCTGGAAAGAAGGCTGTAGCATCAGAGTCTGAATCAGAATCAGAGTCAGAGTCAGAGTCAGAATCAGAGGAGGAGGTGAAGAAGCCAACTGCTGCACCAAAGAAGGCTGCTGCTAAGAAGCCAGCCGCCAAGGCTGCTGGAAAGAAGGCTGTCGCATCAGAGTCTGAATCAGAATCAGAGTCAGAGTCTGAAGAGGAGCCAGTAAAGAAGCCAGCGGGCAAGAAGCCAGCCGCAGCACCAGCCAAGCCAGCCGCAGCCCCCGCCAAGAAGACAGCGGCATCAAAGAAGAACAAGAAGCAGGATTACTGGGATGGCGACTTTGAGAAGGATGCAGAGGAGGCCAAGAAGTTGATCGAGCAGCAAGAGCAGTCACCAAAGGTTGCGTCACCCGCAAAGGATGACGAGTCAGAGTCAGAGTCAGAGGAGGAGACAGGAGGCGATGCAAAGAAATCAACACCAGCAGCACCAACAACAGCGTCGGCCAAGAAGAAGGCCGCCGCCAAGAAGAAGGCAGGCGCTAAGGCCGGCGCCAAGCCACAGGCCGAGGAGAAGATCTCTGGCTTCCTGCTGAAGCAGCGTGAGGCTGAGGAGAAGAAGAGAATCGAGGACGAGGAGAAGAAGAAGAAGGCTGAGGAGCTGGCCAGACTCGAGGCCGAGCGCGAGAAAGAGGAGGAGGAGCAGCGAAAGTTAAAGGCCGCAGAGAAGGCCAAGAGAAAGGCAGAGAAGAAGATTCAAGAGCAGGAGTCACTGAACGAGAAGGCGAGAATCGAGAGACTCGAGAGGCTGAAGGCCGCCGGTGCTGTTGTGGCCGCACTCGATACACCAGCCGTCATCGAGGAGAAGAAGAAGGTCGTCTACGCCAAGAAGAAGCCCAACAAGGCCAACAAGCAGGATTCAAGCGTCAGCGCAATCACACAGGCAGTCAGCGAGGTCAAGATTGAGGAGGAGCAGCCCAAGCCCGCCGAGGAGGTTTTGGCAAGCTGGGACGACGAGGACTGGGAGCCCATCGACGAGATCAAGAAGCGACAGGAGGAGGAGGAGCAAAAGAAGCGTGAGGAAGAGGAGGAGCGACAGAGACTGGAGAGGGAGGCGCTGAAGAAGAAGAAGGACAAGGAGACCAAGAAGGCCAACAAGGCCAAGGCTGCCGAGACAAGCACATCAACCACATCGACAGGCGACGATTCAAAGCCAGCCGAGCAAGAGCTGCGTTCACCCATCCTTTGTATCCTGGGTCACGTCGATACTGGAAAGACATCGCTGCTGGATAAGATCCGTCACACCAACGTCCAGGCTGGTGAGGCACGTGGTATCACTCAGCAGATTGGTGCCTCGTTCATCCCCGTCGACACGATCAAGGAGCAGACCAAGACATTCGCCGACAAGCTCGGCATGAACTTCAAGCTGCCCGGTCTGCTGCTGATCGATACACCAGGTCACGAGTCGTTCAACAACCTGCGTTCCAGAGGTTCGGGTCTGTGTGACCTGGCCATTCTGGTCATTGATATCATGCACGGTCTGGAGGCCCAGACCATCGAGTCGATCAATCTTTTGCGTATGCGTAAGACGCCATTCGTCGTCGCGCTCAACAAGGTGGACAGAATCTACGATTGGAAGACCTACATCAACACCGACATCAAGGAGAGTCTCAAGCTGCAGACCAGAAGTGCGCAGCAGGACTTTGAGTCCAAGTGCAATGACACCATCGCACAGCTCGCCGGTCAGGAGCTCAACGCCCAGCTCTACTGGAAGAACAAGGATTACAAGAAGGTCGTGTCGCTCATCCCAACATCCGCCGTCTCTGGTGAGGGTCTTGCCGACCTCATGCTCGTCGTCGTCCAGCTGATGCAGAAGATTATGGCTGAGAAGGTCACCTACAAGTCATCACTCCAGTGTACCGTTCTTGAAGTAAGTTTGGATCATTTGATTGATTGATTGATTGAGTGGACTATGAGTGCATCGTACTAACTTCTCTTATTAATAGGTTAAGGCAATTGAAGGTTTGGGCACAACGATCGACGTTGTGTTGGTCAATGGTGTGCTGAATGAGGGAGATAAGATTGTGGTCAGTGGATTTGGTGCGCCAATCGTTACCACTATCAGATCACTGCTGACGCCACCACCACTCAGAGAAACACGTGTCAAGAGTACACTCATTCCGAACAAGTCGGTCAGAGCATCGATGGGTGTGAAGATCGTTGCTGCCGGTCTGGAGAGGGCCGTCCCAGGTACCTCGCTGGTCGTGGTCGAGGACGATGACGATCTGGAACGTCTGAAGGACGACGCTCAAAGAGAAGTCGACTCTGTGCTACAAGATGTCGTCACCACCGGTGTTGGTGTCTCTGTGCAGGCCTCCACACTCGGTTCACTTGAGGCCTTCTTGGCATTCCTCAAGAAGATCAATGTGCCCGTTGCATCCGTCGCCATTGGACCCGTGCACAAGAAGAACATCATGGACGCAGCGATCATGGTCGAGAAGGACCCCAAGTATGCAATCCTGTTGGCCTTTGACGTCAAGATTGAGGAGTCGGCACAGCAGGCCGCTCACGACATGAAGATCACCATCATGAGCGAGGAGACCATCTATCTGTTTGAGAAGCGTCTGGACGACCACTTTGGCGCCATCAAGGAGAGACTGAGGACTGAGACCGCTGGCGCATGCGTGTGGCCATGTTTGGTGGATGTCATCAGCGTCTTCCGAAACAAGGATCCAATCCTGGTTGGTCTGCGTATCAAGGAGGGCACCCTGCGTATCGGTACACCCATCTGTGTGCCAATGGTGCCCGGACAGCCACCCATCGATGTCGGTGTCGTCCAGTCGATCAAGCTGAACGAGAAGGATATTCTGGTGGGCAAGAAGGACGACGAAGTGTCCGTGGCCATTGATGATGCCAAGACAACAACAACACTGGGTAGACAGTTCAATGAGAAGAAGCAATGGTACTCCAAGATCACTCGTGAGTCAATCGATGCACTCAAGGCAGGCTGGGGCGATGAGCTGACCAAGCAAGATGTTGCACTGATCAAACATATGAAGACAGTATTTAAGATCCAATAATAATAATAATAAATAATCCAATATTAATTAAGTAATACAACACATTGAGGGACAATATTTATTATATTTGTTTGTTACAAGTTTGTTACATATCATTGGCCAGGCCGGCCGGAGTTCAACAAGGACGGAAGGAATCAGAGAGGTACTCTTCTACTGATGAGAATTATGAACATCCACAACCAGAGTTACCATTGGTGGCATTGTTGCGAACATTGTTCCAGTAGTTGATGTAATCATTACGGTCGTAGGCAACTTGGTTAGAGGTCTGAGTCACTCCTACAGTGGTCTGGCCAAGAATAGTCTGGGAACTTGAGTTAAAGGTCTGAACACCTCCCAAAGAACGCAAGCATGCTAAATGATTTGTTTGGAAAAAATAATAATTAGAATCTGATCATATGGACTACAACCAGAGAGATTATACATACCAAGGATAGTCATGATTATTTATTATTTGATTAGTTTTAGAGTATTAAATGTTACTATTGATTAATATTTGTTTAATTGTGTCTCTTCATTCAATCAACTTGTTGATTAAATAGAGTTTATCTGAATGACATATTACCATTTGTTCCAACCTTGTGGATCAAAAAGTGTAAAGGTAGGGATTACATTTATGATCACAGTGATAAATATTGGGTGGGTGAGTGATAGGAGTGTGAATGTGATTGATCAGTGTGTGTGGTGCGGATGGGTGGTGAACATCGTTTGGTGTGATTAATCAATCACTCTGGAATAGACAAGACATCCAACTCGAATTTTCATACCCCTCAGGTTGGTGTAGTTTGCCATACTTTGAGACAATTTCGGATTGAATACCCGATGGTTTATTCATCGCCATGACCCAACATCACATGTGAAGTTTGATGTGATCGGATCGATGTTCATTGTTGTAATATTATGCAATACGATTCGATGAGTTAATTGGAAAATTCGATATCCTCCTTCATGTCTCCATCCACCTGTTTGTCTCTGTATATCTTTCCATCTTTGTGTACACACTAATCATTTATTATCGTCGCTCTCGTCTGTCCATCCATACGCCAATACGTATATTATGTGATTATAAAATAATATAATATAATACGTGCAATATGTGTACAATCGTGTGTTTGATTGAACACAATCAACCAACCAACTTATCCAGTCTGATTGGCCAGGTTCAACAGCTGCTCGTCGCTCAAGTGCTTGCTTAAATTTACATCCTCGCTTAGTCCCTTTCTTCTTCTTGTCTTGATGAGCAACTCGCGTGCTAGATGTGCCTGGGGACTAGGCTCCAGTGGCTGCAGAACGACTGACTTGTCGAGTGGATCACCTGGAACAATCTGCCAGTGATCAAATGTGGACAGACAGAATGCCTGACCCTGAGTGTGTGAGCGCAGATCCGTTTCAAAGCCGTACGAGTCCAGTACGGGCAGCAGTGCTTTGGTGATGTATAGGGGCGTGCCGGGCTTGGGGTAGTCGTGGATGATGTGTCCTCTGCGACGAGTCAGCACTGACTCGATGGACTGGACGCAGTCGGGTGGCGAGATGACCTCGACCATGTATACTGGCTCCATTAGACGCGGTGCTGCCACCAGGAAGGCAGAGTGTGTAGATGAGCGCGCTGCTGGCACAATGTGGCCACTAGAGCGAGCGATTGGCTCAGAGGCAATGGTGGCATCGATCAGCTTGAACTTCACGTTTCGCACGGGCTCGTCGACCAGTGGTCCCTCTTTGGTGGCCCATTGGAATCCTCTGACGACAGACTCGCTGATCGACATAAGGTTGGCGCGATTGACATCGATTGTATCATTGATGAGTACGTTGGCTCCACATGCGTCTGGACCAAATGCCCAGAGATTGTTGGCGGCCAACACATCCCAGCCGTACTTGTTCTGGAAGAACTCTGTGCGCTTCTTCTTTGGCCAGTCGATCTTTATCAGTCCTGACTCAATGTCGTCGGCCAATCCCTTCTCCAATGGCTCACAGATCATTGTGAGACGATTCTTCTTGTTCTGTGTGTCTGCGTGGCACTTGATGGCCGACGTCTCGATGATGGTCTCTGCCAGACAGATGACCGGATCGTCGACCTTGATCTCGATCTCGGCGTACATCGTCCTCAGGTCGTGCAGAATACAGTCTAGGTACAGCTCGCCCGTGCCCAGAATGATATGCTCGCCAGACTCCTCGGCACGCGTCACGGCCAAAGGATAGCTCTTGTTGATCTTTCGCAGACCGGCCAACATCTTGGGCAGCTCTGATGGGTTTAGTGGCTCAATGGCCACCTTGCACACCGACTTGGTGTTGAACTGAAGTGGACGGAAAATCGATGCGCGGTTGGCGTCGTCCTGTTCGTCAATGTCATTGACCGATGTGATGGTGGCTGTCTTGACGATTGCGTTGTCGACACCCTCCAGCAACACCCATGTTCCAGCAGAGGCGCGCTCAATGTCGATTTGATAACGTGCCTCACAGATGGAGATGCGAGTGATCTCATCGATTACAAGGTCCTCGTCGTTGTCGGGTGTGTACTTCTCGCCCAAGATTCTAACGGGCGTGCCCTTGGTGATGGTGCCACTCATGACACGCGCCAGACAATCAAAGCCACTACCATCGCTCTTTGAAATCAGCTTGCTGACGTGCAGCATCAATGGTCCGTCGGGATCGCAGCTCTTGAGAGCCTTTCCATAGTCTCCTGCCAGTGAGCCAGTGTAGGTATGTTCGACCTTTCGGGTCGCGCCCTCTATAGGTGATGGCATGGCTACAATCATATCCACGAATCCTGTCGACTTGCCAAAGAATGATCCAAGTACAATCCTCAACAATGGCTTAACATCCAATCCCAATGTATCATTTGGTAATCTAATGCCAAGTTCGAACAACATATTCTTTGATGGATGTGACGTGAATGAGTTAGTGAGTGAGTGACTGATCAAACATGTAGTTTGGACTGGATGATGGATGGATACATACTTCTACAGTCTTCTTGTCTCGACATAGTATTGTTGAGTATATCTTGTAAAGGGGATCGAGGATGAAGTGAACAAAGGTGCGCTGCATGTCTGGATGAGAGGGTGAGGACTTCCTGCGGAATGCTCTGGTGTCGGGCTGGAAGTACAGGTCGCCCCAGAGACGCTTGGCAAACTCGTCGGCAGAGAACTTGGCATTGTGGCTATCGGCATATATGTTGGCAAAGGAGTTGAGAGTGAAGCACCAGCCCATCTCAGACGACGCGAACAGTACGTTGCCCAGCTCGGGCGACACCCTGACTCGCTCGGTGCCGTGTGACGCCTTCTCCAACACTGTGTTGATCTCGTCGATTGTGTGCTTCAGCTTGAAGTAGGCGTCCTGTGGAGGCAGCTTCAGCTCGAGGATCAGGCGATCGATCTTGTTGATGATGACCGATATGGCCAGACCCTCAGAGACGGCGTGTGTGATCAATCGCTCAGTCTGCAGCATGACGCCCTCCAGTGCATCCACCACGATCACTGCGCCATCACAAAGACGCAATGAGGCTGTGACCTCATCAGAGAAGTTCATATGTCCAGGTGTATCCATTATATTACACAGGTAGCTCTTCTCCTTTGAGTTTGGCAACAGTAACGTCATTGGCATAGCCTTAATACTCAGTCCTCTTTGTTGTTCATCCTTTCTTGTGTCTGTGTACTTTATCTAATCGTGTGTAATGTGATGCCTAAGATGTTAGGATTATTGATTGAATGATCGAATGATCGATCGAATGAATGATTGAGTGTAGTACATACAGGTTTGGAATGTGTCCACTTCTTCTCGTGAGTCTGGAGGAAGAGCATGTCCATGAAGGATGTCTTGCCTGATGAGATGTTACCGATGAGACAGACATTCCTTATGAGTGCAGGGTATTGAAGCAGGTCGACCAAGAACTGCTTGGAGTACACTGTGTTGGGCAGGTCTTTATCGACGAGATTGAACGAGCGTGCTCGCTGAGGCGCGATGATTGGCTTGCTGATTGGCTGTGTGTCTTCATCCTGTACCATGACCTCGGCATCGCCATAGACCTCGCTAGCATCTGGGAAGTATTTCTTATCCTCGTGCAACACGATTGCATTGCTCGGTCTGAGATCTGATCGCTCATCATTGTTGTCATGCATTCTTTCGTCGCCATCATCATCATTGGCATGACCATTTGTATACATTCTATCTTGACGATCACGTGAATCATCGATACCTGTCAGATCGTTGGCCTCTTCATCATCGTCCACAGCCTGCTCCTGATCATCATCCTGCAGATCTTCAACGTCCTCTCTCAGGTTTCCAAACTCATCAAACATAGATTGATCATCCATCTCTATCTATCTCTATTATTCTATTATATGATATAAATATAAATATATATATATTTTGCTAGATGAAGGATGTTGATTGATTGATTGATCGTATCTATCTCTATCTCTATCACTGTAGCAAGATGAATGATTAATTCGCGCAATGAACCTTTTGAACATTCAACAATGTGTGTGAGATCATAATCAACTTCACAAAAAAAAACTCGACTCGGCCCTGCATTCTGCAAGTCATCCAATTAAATGGTGGCTGTATCGCTGTCCAAAGAAAGATATATATTATTATTATTACTTAAACTATGGGGAGGACGAATGATCAATCAAAGGACACTTTGGACAATATCTGCGGAAATGACGGAGGGTGGCGAACAGCGGTTTGGCTAAAGATACGGATGTTTGGATATACAAAGATGGACCATTGAGGAGGTTTGGATATACAAAGATGGACACATGCATTGTGTAGTTGCGCAATCAGTTTGTCCATTTGTGAGTTGTTGCCAATGTCATTCTTGACAACTGATGGAAAGCTATCAAGATGAATCATCATCTTTAGCGATTTAGCGTAGTTGGTTCGCGTGGAAGTAGGGGCAGGACGAACTCAACGCTTGGAACCTTGAGCACCAGGGATGTCAACTGTTGATTTGACTTGTAGTATTGTTGTAAAGGTTCCGTGCATTATATCACAAACTCGGGATTGTCCACTGCCTTCCATTGTTGGGGAGGAAAGCCAGGCAGACACCGGACCTATGTTGGAAACCAATCAGAGATCAAACAACACAATGACACTGCCCTATGGAAAGTGCAACCATACGTTTCTTTGTCACTCTGGCTGGATCTCAGCTCTCCAACAAATATATCGGTGATTAAAACATTGTCCTTGACCTACTACCACTTGCCGGCAAACTAGTCAGCTGAGAACTTGTCATCATCCAACAATGATGTTGATTGTAGAGTATTTGTATATGGTTAGCCTGTGTCTGCTATGGAGATTGTGTTCCTTCCTCACTTGTCGTCTTCACTGGTCCCATGGGACGAGTCCTCAAACTGCTGTCAAGTATCACTCAAGAGAGAGAGAGACAAAGAGTGAAAAGGACAATCAATCATTCAAAACAGGTAAATAGAGTTTATGTGTATGAATACATAATAATAATATATATTGAGATGGTGTTACGATCATAACCAAAATTAGATACATGATCACGATCAAAAGTTGTACAACATTGTTTATCTGATCACGAACACATACCCAACCCAAAGATGTGGTAATAAGCCATCAATCAGATAATTAATGACTTTCAAACAAAAAAGTGGTAAATCTTGATCAAAATTGACTTGAAAATTGTCTAAATGGGTTTGGAAATTGGGTTTTTGGGTCAGACTTGATGACCGATAATGAAGTTGAATATGTGGACTGATCAAGATAAAAGGACATCTGTCCAACTTAATCATTCATTCATAACATACTTGTTGTAATTATAACTTTAAATCACATACTCAAATAATAATAATAATGGAAGGAGAAGACGTTCAAGCTTTGGTCATTGACAACGGTTCCGGAATGTGCAAGGCCGGTTTCGCCGGAGATGATGCCCCCCGTGCTGTGTTCCCATCGATCGTTGGTCGCCCAAGACACACCGGTGTCATGGTCGGTATGGGTCAGAAGGACTCGTACGTCGGAGATGAGGCCCAGTCCAAGAGAGGTATCCTGACCCTCAAGTACCCAATTGAGCACGGTATCGTCACCAACTGGGATGATATGGAGAAGATCTGGCATCACACCTTCTACAACGAGCTCCGTGTCGCCCCAGAGGAGCACCCAGTCCTTTTGACTGAGGCCCCACTCAACCCAAAGGCCAACCGTGAGAAGATGACCCAGATCATGTTCGAGACCTTCAACACCCCAGCCATGTACGTTGCCATCCAGGCCGTCCTTTCCCTGTACGCCTCTGGTCGTACCACCGGAATCGTCATGGACTCTGGTGATGGAGTTTCCCACACCGTCCCAATCTACGAGGGATACGCCCTCCCACACGCCATCCTCCGTCTGGATCTCGCTGGTCGTGACCTCACTGACTACCTGATGAAGATCTTGACCGAGCGTGGATACTCATTCACAACCACCGCCGAGCGTGAGATCGTTCGTGACATCAAGGAGAAGCTCGCCTACGTCGCCCTCGACTTTGAGGCTGAGATGCAGACTGCTGCCTCCTCCTCTGCCCTCGAGAAGTCATACGAGCTTCCAGACGGACAGGTCATCACCATCGGTAACGAGCGTTTCCGTTGCCCAGAGGCCCTCTTCCAGCCATCCTTCCTCGGAATGGAGTCTGCCGGTATCCACGAGACCACCTACAACTCAATCATGAAGTGTGACGTTGATATCCGTAAGGATCTCTACGGAAACGTCGTCTTGTCCGGAGGTACGACCATGTTCCCAGGCATTGCTGACCGTATGCAGAAGGAGTTGACTGCCCTCGCCCCATCCACCATGAAGATCAAGATCATCGCCCCACCCGAGCGCAAGTACTCTGTCTGGATCGGAGGTTCCATCCTTGCTTCCCTCTCCACCTTCCAGCAGATGTGGATCTCCAAGGAGGAGTACGACGAGTCCGGACCATCCATCGTCCACAGAAAGTGCTTCTAAGCGAACAGCTCACCAGCTTCCTCTGTTATATAACTCAATATTGTGTAATAAAACCCCCCTATATACTCACGGTCTTGGTCAACTGTCGATTTCATCCAGTTGTCCAGGACATTGTAAACAAAACATCATCATCGTCCTTGGTCTCAGTGTTTAGTTTGTTAATATGGATAATATCCCCACAAGTGATCATGTGACTGGAAGTTGATCATGTGACAGATGTCAGCTGATCACAAATGATCACGTGATTGGAAAAATAATAATAAGTTTGACCTGTCATTCATTCATTCAAATCCAAATGAGGCAACTAAACTCACAGAAACAAGTACAGATACTTGAAGTATCAAGCCTAGTCACGGGTATTGGGATTTGGAGACCTGTTCCCAAACACACTTCACAATACGGGTCTCCCATTCCATACTTGTTAACAATTATTATTTTTATCATTATTATGTACCCAACCTGACATCGTTCAATTTGGTTATCATCCACCCCCATTGGTAGTAATGGTAGTGGATTGTGGATGATGACCATAGTACAACATTGGAATGAGAGTCTGAGAAAGAGAGAGATTAATCGGCGGTAGCACTTGAAAGGGGGCAACATAAGAGTGATCTCCTTCAGAGAACTAAAAACAGATTTAGATCTTGATGAATGAACATACGGAGGGACCGGGTTCAGAGCATAGAGGGATGAGTGAGTTGTGGAGGGGCAGAGTCCTAATCATTTTGTTTGGCGTGTGTGAAGATATTTGTCATCACAAAGTGGTGGGCCAACACTTCTGAAACACGAAAAAGTTTTTACAACATGATAGACTGGCTAATGGTAGGATTTGTGCTAACTTGTCCTGCCCCTATGATACGTAGACAGGGGACTGTTTGCTGATTTGATCCATGTCGGGTCCACAAACACACACATTTGCTGTCTGTAAACAAATCACTTGGCTCCTCTTCATCTCCAAATTCTTCATTGTTAACAACTATTCATACATTATTATTAATTATTATTATTATTATTATTTATCTGTTTGTTGTAGTTATAATTATTTATTTATTGATTGATTGATTGATCAATAAATAATAATCACACAGACAATCATGTATTCACAACGATCAACAAATCGATCAATTGTATTACTACCATCATCTTTTGTATTATTATTAATATTATTATCATTATCATCCAATCTGGTCAATTGTAAGCCCAAGGAATCATTCCAATCACATCACACTGACTCACTAACTCAATCAATAAATCAATTGATTAATCTTAGCACAAAGTGTTGATGCGATACCAACTTTCTGGTCAAACTTACCGACTTCTAATGGACAGACAGTGTGCACTGGTTCATTGATTTCTATGATCACAACTGGAGTCAATCCAACACCAACAGTAAAGTTGAGTGGATCATTCACCTATACTCAACCGGTTGTAGCCTATACCAACAACACAGTTCGTGTCTACGTCATGACTGTCGATGTACCAACAGGTCAATACAATGCAGTTCAACTCAATCTTACATCAGGATCAAAGACAATGTCACCATTAATCGATCTATATTGTAACAGTATGTATTTATTTGTGGGATGATGGAACCATTCCGCCAATCACATCACTAACTCAATCAAATAGTTCCAACTATTCCAAGCGATAAACCATTGACTCCAAAGAGGGTACCACTGCCAGCAGTGAGCAATCAACTGCCGAGTTATGTGGTCAACCTCAACACCAACTCACCATTCACCTACTTTACATGCGCCACCAATTTACCATTTGTTGCATGTCAGTCTAAAAAGTTGAGCGACAATGGTTTATGTCTGATCACACTCTCGATCAATGGCAACCCATCAACTCTCACTGATGATCCGGTCCAAGTTACCCTTTCCCACCCCAGCATGAACACCCCCGCCACCTTTGTCCTGGACCCAATCGCCCGTCACAACGGCTCTCCACTCAATGGTGCTCAGGCTCTCCCATTCAAGCCTTCCTCAGCCACCACGCCCATCTCCAAGAAGAAGCAAATAGTCTCCACACTCAACGTGGCTTCGGCCAGTGGCTCACTCCTGGTCAACCAGGCCGGCTCGACCTACCAAGCCATGTACGGCCCAGTGGTCTCCAACAGCTCCAATCAAGCATTTGTGTCGCTCAGCACCCCAGCCACCCCCACAATTCAGGTTTACGGATGGAATGTGGACAACACTGCCGCCACCAGCACCAGTTTGGTCAACTACACTGCCGATCCCATGAATGTGTACCAATTCCAGAACCTGGCCGATGGTCCACCCGACCAGACAACCACTGGCGAGAACATGTACAACGTCTACTACCAGGGTGGACTGTGCACTGACCTCAAGTACAGGATCAACGGCCACAATCCAAGAATATCGACCTATCCCTTTGGCATCTTTGAGAAATACGGAGCAGATGGAGGCAAGTCCTCATACTGTTTCTCCATCCCCTCGGACAATGCCTTTGGATTCAACGACATTGGTTCCAGCCTGTACCTCGGATGTGATGGCCAGGCAGAGACCGTTGTGCCCGTGACATTGACAGCGTCATCAGATCTGATCGCCCCATTGATCACCGACTTTAAGGTCATCCCATTGACATTCCAGAGTGTTATCATCAAGGCCACCATCAAGGATGCCGGTGGCTCAGGCTTCAGGACTCTGGGCTTTGGTCCAAACAACGAAGATCTTTTGACATACCGCGACCTTGTTGTCGGCAACAATGGAGCTGGTACCTACGAGAAGGAGTTGTTCTTTGGCAAGCGTGCCCTCAACGATTACTTCCCATTCACACTCTACGACTTTGCCAACAATGTCAACGTCATTCAGCAGGGCGAGTTGATCAACCCCCTTGGCCAACAGCTTGTTCTCGACTTTAACTCACTCGTGGCCTTTGATGTCACTTCGATCAGCAACCTCATGTTCCAGCAGAACAATGTCAATGGCGACCAAGTGATCACCAACACATTGTTCTTCAACCTCACGCTGCTCCCAGGACGCACCATGCCCAACAACTACTACCCATCACTCCAGTTCAACCTTGGCCTTGGCAACATATTGGTCTTCAACGGCACAGTCCAGCAAGAGGTCAACGGAGATCTCTATGCCGTGATCCCCTTTACACTCCCTGCCAACTTGGTATCTGGCAGTGTACCATACTCTGTGTTCCTGCCATTCGAGGTGACCTATGAGGCCTTGTACGCACAGCTCGGATCGTCCATGGTGTTCAACGTCGTGTCGACAACGGGAGACCAGTACCCACCAGTGATTACCTCCATCTCCAAGCTCACCCTTGGTCTCAACGGTACCTACCAACCACATGGCTGGGACATCGTGATCAGCGATCCAATCAACGGATTCGACTCGGGTTGGTTCAATGTCACAGGCACCTTGGACTGGGAGCCATACATCATCACCATCGACAGCACCAACAGGATCAGTGGCGATAGCAAGGTGGGCACATATCATGTCGTGTTCCAGCCCCTGGCCAAATGTTTGACCCAAACATTTGTGATCACCGATGCCTACCTCCGCGACAAGTCTGGCTTCTTCTCTAGAATGAGCTCGTTCGCTGGCGGTGCCAACTCATTGGCCACCATCGATCCTTTCCTCAACATCTACGCCTCGCCCTCCGAGTTGGCCATGAACCTAACACAAAAGTGCACAGGAACCAACGATGCCGATTTGCCCTCGGTCACAAACGTGGCGTTCAACATTGGCACAGTGGACACAGCAAGTGTATCAGGACGCAGTGTCAACGTAGCCTTCAGCATTTATGAAACCAACATCAGCCCTCGTCACCGTCCATGGGTCTACTTTGCAACCCACGGCTTTGACGTTGTCGGCTACCCACTCACCTACAAGCCAGACACCAACAACGCTGGATACACTTTCTACATCGCCAACGTCACCCTGCCATACGGCTTTGGCGCCACTGGTCTGCTGTTCACCTCCCTATTTGGTGTGTCCGACTTGTACTACAACACCATGGGCAAGACTACTTCATACTTCCAGAGCGGACCATTCAGCTACAAGATACAGAACACTCGTTCATTCCAACCATTGTTAGAGAGGACCTCGCCCATCACTGTACTGGGAGGCGACATCACAATTCAAGGTCGTGCCTTTGGCTATGATGTCAGCAAGTTCAAGATCAACGCCCAGTTTGCCAACGGTACTGCGTTCGTTCCAGTCACTGTCATGTATGGTGGAACGTACTTTAGCTTCAACATGGATGCATTCAACCAGGACCTCAAGGTCAGTGTGACTACACCCGCTGGCACCTCCAACCTTGTGACCATCACTCCATTGCCCGCGCCAACCAATGTTCCAATCCCATCAACTACGACCACGACATCGACTACATCAGCGCTACCAACTACATCCACAACCACATCCACAACATCGACTACCGGACAGGCTACCACAGGCACATCCACGACCACTACCACTACTGGCACTACCTCCACAACCACATCCACGACAACTACCACAACAACAACAACAACAACAACAGGAGGACCACAATGCAACAAGTTTGGATGTGTTCATGGTGATTGTGTGGCAGATGATGAATGTCTATGCTTTAAGGACAGTGGCTATATAGGACAATCATGTAATGATAAGCCTGCCAACGTGACGCCACCATACAACCCTGATGGACCAGGCAGTCAGACGATCATCGATGGTATCTCAACTACCATCTCACTGTACGAGCTCAGGGAGATTAATAACAACTTAGAAACATTCAAGTCATTCTCATTGCACAACGCCACTTGGAGGGCGCGCAATGAGACCGCTGCCAACGGCAACCTCAAGGCAGTCTACTCGACAGTGCTCAACAACTCAATCTCCACCATGGTCAACATTACCATTCAATGGTTTGAGCAGGCGACCAACGTGACATTTGGTGGACGCAACATATCGATGAATGCGCAGACGGCCAAGTACACGATCTACCTGTCCCAGTACGACTTCAACTCGACGCTCAACGCCATGCAGTTGGTGTTGAAGTTGTCGGTGGAGGGCGACAACGAGAAGTGCTCGTCCAAGCAGGTCGGTGGCACCAATGACAACTTGCAATGGATCAATCTCAACGTGGGCGACAAGAGTCTTTACGGCCGCTTCGTCCAGTTTGGCGTGTTTGACGACGCCACCAGACCCGTGAGCAACACGCTGCTCGACAGCGACGAGAAGCCAACCGATGGCAAGAAGTCTCAGTCTTTGGTCGGTGTCAACATAATACACTTTGACCGATATGCATTGCTCGATCCAGACTTCCAATATCTTATCGATCAGGATGGCAACAGCAAGAGGAACAACCAGGTGTGTGACAACTCTAGTGGATTGACCAAGCAACAATTGATTGGTATCATCGTAGGATGTGCAGCCTTTGGTGCTGTCATCGTCGCCATTGGTGTCTACTCTGTTCACAGACACATGCAGATGAAGGCCAACAAGAGGGATATGTCTGCGAGACTGAGTTCCTTGGATAAATAAATAATTATTAAAATAATTGACCAATGCGAAGAGTTTTCAATTGTCTAACTTTTAGTAGTCAACACAAAACAGACACCTGAATAATTACAAAGAGATAAACTCATTATTACTTCTTATTATCTCTATCTATCAATCAAAGATGTCATCATTCCTTTCTAAAAAGAGCTGGCATATTACTACCATGCGTATGCAGGAGGTATGTATCAATCATACTCATCGTCATCATCGATGCATCGTCGTCTATCATCAAACTAACAACAAACTTGCTAACAAACAAACAACATAGAAAATATGGAGAGCTGAACAAAAGGATGAGGATGAGAAGAAGAAGATTGAACAGTTGAAGAAGGAGAGAATGGAGGAGGACCAGCTACATGAGTTGAAACAGTTGAATGCTTTGAACACTGGAAAGGCAAAGACTGAGAGGATTGATTGGATGTATGAAGGTGCATTCACATTGCAACAGAATATGTTGCAGAGAGGTGAGGGAGAGGCAGACAGCTCAGCAGCGTCCAATGACTATCTGTTGGGCAAGAAGAAATTTGAAGACAGTCAAGACAATCAGATGAAGCTGTTGAAGAATGTACCCGGTGCATTGTTCATGCCAAAGTCTGCACAGACATCAGATTCCATACAGGAGGTCAGGAGTAAACTCAGAGAGGATCCACAAGAGTTGATAATGAGGAAGCAGAGAGAAGCAAGAGAGAAGATATTGCACAATCCAGTGGAGATGAAGAAGTTGGAGAAAGAGAAACAACATGATTTGGACAAGATTATGAAGAAACTAAAGAAGAAGGAAAGGAAGGAAGAGAAGAAGGAGAAGAAAGAGGAAAAGAAGAAGAGGAAAGAGGAGAAGAGGAAACGAAAGGAAGAGGAACAAAAGACACATTCATCAGCTTCATCTGATCCATCCATTGACAAGAAGAAAGAATCAGACAACAAAACAATGGACAATGGAGTTGAGAACAAGCATCATAGATCAAATGACGACGAAAGAAAACCAGAGTCAAGATTGGATCGAAAGGAACATGGTCAAGACGATGAAAGGAGAACTCAGGATTCAAGAGACGAGAGAAGGGACGACCGAGACAGAAGAGACGACCGAGATAGAGTAGATAGAGATAGAAGATATGATGACAGAGATAGAAGGGACGACCGAGACAGAAGAGACGACCGAGATAGAAGGGATGACAGAGATGTATATAGACGCGATGATAGAGATAGGAACATTGATCACAGAGATCGAGGAGAAAGAAGACATCATGATGATAGAGATAGAAGGGATGATAGAGGTGGATATAGACGCGACGATAGAGATTCTTACAACAGAAGAGACTACAACAGGAGAGAGGATAGTAGAGATAATCAACACCAAAAGAGAGACCGTGATGAAGAGGACTCTAGATCATCAAACAAGAAGATTAGACCAACTGGAATGTCCGAAGAAGAAAGAGCAAAGAAACTGGAAGAAATGCGACAGGATGCACTAAATAGAGAGAATGAGAGAAAGACAGTAATCACAACTCAGAAGGAAGAAGAAGTAGCAACGCCGGCTGTACCAAAGTCACTGGAAGACAGAGGTGCAACCTTCTTTGACACAATCAACAAGGATGTATACGGAGACTCGTCCTCATTGGAGGATCGCATGCGACGAAACAAGTTTTATCTTAGTAAAGGTTGAATGGTCAACGCCAACGCGTCTGTCTGTGGCAGGCAGCTATGGCATGTAATAGTCTATTGCGACTAAACTCTTAATCATGAGATCTTGGCCAAGTATTTCTCACAGGCCAGATTGTGTTGTTGAGTGATCTTGATCTCGCTGACTAGGTCGTTGTACTTGTCCTTGAGGATGGCGAACCGGGTGCGCTCAGCCTCGGCAATCTTCTTGATCTTCAACAGCTCCTTGTCCTTTTGCGAGGCGCACTTGCATGTCCTGTCTATCTCCTGGAGCTTGTGATTGATCACATCAGTGGGAGAACCAACAACGAGCTGTTGATGAAGATGATGCGAGGATGGAGATGCGCGTGACAAGTGGGCCAATGTGCTTGGTGACATTGTCTCTGAGTTACGTCGGACCACTCCACGAGGTATGGATATAGATGATGACTGTGCCTGGATTGATCTATTCTGTGAATCGGTTTCATTGATATGTACATTGATATTAGTTGGACTACTACTGATATTGTTGATATTGTTGTTTGGACTGATGATGTTGGTGATGTTGGAGTTGCTGTTGTTGATGTTGATGTTTGCTGCCACAACATGTTTAGGCTTCTGTGGTCTAACCTGTTGCAGCTGATCAGCTTCGCAGTATGGAGACAATGGAAGGTTCTGGAATTGAGATAGGTCGCCCATCTCTGTGAATGCCACAATGTCATAGTCATGTTTCTTCTTGCTATCATCTATATTGAATTGCTTTGAGAGTTCTGGATTTGGTTGGCGGTGTTAGTATGAGGAGTGAATGAATGAATGTTACTGACTTGGGACTTACTGATTATTTCCTCTCGCAGCTTGTTTGCCTTGTTCCTATCCTTTTGAGCACGATTGGCAACCTTCAAAATTGCCTCATCCTTATCTCGCAGATCCTTGAGCGACTTGATGTGGAGAGTGTCGACCTGTCTGCTCTCCTCCTCCAACAGTGTCTTGATCTCCAAACACTTGTTTGCCAGGAAGTTTCTTCGCTGCAGCTCACAATCAATGATGTCTTTGATTCGCTTGATCTCCTCGTCCTTCTTGGCCAACAGCTTGATGACACCGACCAGCTCCTTCTTCTCCTGTGTGAAGAACTTCTCGGATGAACCAAACAGCTCATGCTTTGGCGATACACTGGCCGGAGACATGGACTTGAATGGGGAGCTGGAGAATGATGAACTGGCGCTGCTTGGATGGCTGCCAGGTGAGCTGCTGAGTGATTCATACGAGAACTTCTCATTCAGTCTCTTAACATCCACATTGCTGATGCTTCCTCGTATCTGACTGATTGATGATAATGACTTCTTTAGTTCTGTGTTGTGAATGTTTGGGTTGTACACAGAGTGAGTATGATGTTGAAGTAGTGTGATTGTATGATTGTTATGTAGATACATACTGGTTATTTGATCAATGTATTCGATTGATGCTTTCTTTTGGGTCTCGGCAACCATCAACAGTCTGCATATATCCTTCTCCTTGGACTCGACGTCCTTCCTTACTTGGTCAATTCGTGACTTCCAATGATCCCTCTCGGATTGCAAGAGTGTGGACATCTCGTTGTACTTGTCCTTGAGGTATTGTGACTTTGCCAGCAGTGACTGCTGTCTGGTCTTGACACGCTCGAGCTCCTCGTCCTTGTTCTGGAAAGAGGAAACTAAGTTGCCGACCGACTCCTCAGGATTGCTAGTCTCCACCAGTGGTGCATCATTGTTGACAACCAAGTGTGATGTAGAAGTAGAAGGTGATTGGGTCTGAGTGTGCTCCCAAAATGCCATCGATTGTATCAACTCCTTTGATGGTTCTCCACCTCCGCCCATTGCCCTTGAGACTGTCGGAGAATTGAATATGGACTTGCTGGTGCTACCATTGTTGTGACTGCCATCCGCCAGGTTGATGAGGAGTGTGGTGGTGGTCTCGATGTGCTTCTTGCGCTCCAGCGTCTCTGCGTTGGTCTCGTCCGTGTAAAAGTCCTTGAGGAATGCGGCCAATATCTCACGAAACTCGTTTATCTGTTGGAGATAGGACATTGAGTCCAACTTGTCACGTTCGGCAATCCTTGCCAGTCGTTCAATTTCCTTTTCCCGACTGTTGATCTGTGATGACAGCAGATGTTTCATATCACTTTGATCGATGGCATTCTCTCTAAATGATCCACTCATCTGTTCTGTTGGTTGTTGAGTTGTAGGTGTATTGTTCTCCACGACTGTATTACTCTGGCCTACTTCACTGCCAATGTTAATATTGTTGTTGTTATTGCTGCCGCTCAAGTTGATGATATGGCTATTATTATTGATGTTATTGTTGTTGTTTAAAGACTTGAATGTGTCGGACAGCAAGGAAGTCCTTCGAGTGAATTGTATAGTTGATGTTGATGTTGTTGTTGAAGGTGTTGTAGATTTGGTTGGTGAGTATAATGGTGTAAGGTCTGGACTACAGGATATATAACTATTATTGACTTCAATCTTATTGTTATTAATAATATTGGTAGTTGTAGTGGAAGATGAAGAGGTATTGGCAATGTCCATTGAATATTGTATTTTCAAATAAATCAGCTGATTGATTAATTGATGTATATGTGTCTTTAGTTTATATGTTTACAAATTATAAATATATTAATTTACAAATATTATACAATGTATGATCGTTTGTGTTTGGTTGTAATTGTCTCTTTTGCTTTATAATATTACTGTGTATTTGATTGTCTGCCTCTTGACTTTATAATGATGTTGTTGTTTTAAATCATCATCATCATGTAAGTTGTTGTAAACTCTAAATTATATTTGTTTGTATGTATTATTATATGACTAGAGATTGTTAGATAGATAGAGATAGATAGAGATAGATAGATAGCGATAAATGATATTATATGTATGTATATGTTTGAATAGTTATGTGTATGTTGTTGTTGGTAACAATGATGAATAAATTGAGAACGAATAGTGAGAAGAAGTGTGTGTTTATATATGTTTGAAAGTGAAGATGTGAGTGAGCGTGTATAACAATGTATGTATGTGTGTGTATTAGTGTTTGTTAGTTGTGTTGTTGTAGTCCAACCAAATAAAGTAAGAGAGACAACACACCCGGGTTCCTTTTTTTTCAAAAGAATAAGAACAGTGTGTTTTGAGAGTGAGCGAGGAGTCAAGTTCGTCGGAGCACCCCAGCACGCAATGACTTCTCCATCGAATGCTCATCGTCCACCAAAACTCTTTGATTTTAAAAGTTTATCTTTTTTTATATTTTTATATTATTATTATTTTAAAAGTTATAACTTTGACTTTAGGAAACTACCTAACAGTACTTCCTGTTGTTGCTGTTGTTGCTGCTGTTGCTGTTGTTGCTGTGCGTTGTTAATGTTTGTTGCTGTAGTTGGTATCTGAATATGATGTATACTGCCATTGCCATTCCTCTTGTACTTTTCTTGATAGAGCTCAATGTATGACTTTTGAATGTAGTCTTTGTCATCGACTAGACCAAGCTTCTTGCCTGCCTCTTGAACAGAGTCGGCGTCAAAGCCCTTGATCTGGAGGTAGGTCTGGCCCAACTCCTCCAACTCGTCAAAGCTGATGATGATCTTGCCATCCTTGTAGATCGTTGACTTGCGATGTATGATTGCCATCATCTGGTAGCCCAGGGACATTAGTCCGCCAAGCATATTGACGCTGATGGTGAAGTCGACGCGAGGTGAGATGATGAAGCCAGACTCCTTGATCTCCTCGCTAAACATGATGCTGTAGATTCCGTCGCTGTTGCGCACACGGATCCAATCGTACGATGACGTCTCGGTGACGCCGGGCGGGATGAGATAGATGTCGTAGTAGTGTGCGGTGGTCTGCGTGACGGGCTTGTTCAGCGCCGACAGCACCTGCTCCTGGGTGACCTGCTTGGGCGTCTTGCGAATGTAGATCGGGTTGAGCAGGCCCGAGAATGGGTTGAACTTGTTGACGATGCGGATCTCGGCCAGCTGGAGGTCGGGCTCGATGAATGCTTTGTACATGGGATAGACCGTGTCGGTGATCTGCTGCAGCGACTCGTGTGGCTGCTGGCCCGTGCGGTGAACGTCGCGGAAAATGCGCTTGATCAAGTCAAAGTGCACGCCTCCCGAGATCGAGATGCGCAGGTCGAGCAGGTCGCGTATCTCCTCGTGCAGTGCGTAGATTCCCTCGACCAGCACCACCTTTGACTCTGGCGGGCGCACGTTCTTATAAGCGTAGCGACCACTCTTTGTAAAGTCATACAGTGGCAAGTCCGTCGACCTGTTCATCACCAAGTCTGTGATGTTCTTTCGAAGTAATTCAAAGTCGACCAATCTGTAGTCATCATAGTTCTCTTCCAATATCTGTCTAGAGCTATCCAAATAGTTATCCATTGATATCAACCTGTTTGGAATCATTGATTGATTGAGTGATTGATCGAACGAGTGAGTGATTGAGACCATATGATTGTTCCAATTGATCAAACATACACTGTCTTTGGCAACACAGATACAATCTTATGAGCCAGACTTGTCTTTCCTGCTCCACTTGGTCCAGCCACACCAACAACAATCACACGTGGACCATTCTTCTTTCTCAGCAACTGTATAGCTTTGACTGATACAAAGAATCCTTTATCGAATGACTATCATTGTATGATTGGTTGATTGATTGAATGATTAGATATACATAACTATACACAAAGACAACAACAACATACCAATGTCTCTGGTCTTGACTTGATGGCGAACTTGTTGTCCGCCTTTTGATAGGCCTCTACTTCCAATTCATTCATCCTTGTGCAATGTTTATAAATAGTAATGTGGGTGGGTATATATATAAGTATATATATCTGTATAAGTTTGGATGATTAGTAGGTCAACTAACGAATTGGAATGGATTATTGATTCTTATCTCTATCAACAAAACCCAAAGACTCACTTCGTTCACATCATCACACCAACACACACCAACACATCTTGAGCTGAGGTCGTTGCAATCCATATCCATTCGCTTGAATCAAACACACCCAAAAAAGATATCGTCGTCGTTTTTTTTATTTACACAAATCCTCAGTGTGAGCGCGCAATCCATCTTAGTGAAATTGATAAAGTGGGGGATGGGTGTGCGATTGGAAGATGGACCGACACATTCGTTGTTCAATCTCAATACCGATGTCCAATTGAGTAACCTCGTGTATTCTCCCAATTGACATTGTCGGAATCCATGTCATCAAAGTCAGCCCCTGCCACTCCTGCTGTTGCCAGGTCATCGCTGTAGAAGTACTCCTGGCCACCTATACCAATGCTACTACTACCTGCGCTCGTACTTGACCTTGAACCCCCCTCGACCTTTGCCTTGGGCGTCGGCGAGCGCGCCGGTGATCTACTTGTTGATCCTGATGATCCTGATCCTGACCATGATCCTGATCCTGATCCTGATCCTGATGATTGCCTCCTCTGCTTGCTTGAATCGTTTGGAATGCGAGAGTTTGAGTATTAGCATTAATGTTATTCATTTGATTGATAATGATTGATATTCACCTTTTAAAGCTATTTCGTCTCCTGAATGGTCTGAATGGTTTCTTGGCAGGTGACGAAGATGGTGATGATGATGTTGAGGAGTATGACCTTGATGAAGCCCTTGCGTATGGCTTGTACGGTGTCGCTGATGATGAAGATGATGATGAATTACCAAATGATGTCGATGATGATGATAATGCGGGTGATTTACCAAGTGATGATGTTAGAGCTGGAAGTTTTGCTAGAGATGGCCTCAAACTCAATAATGGAGCTCTATTTGGTAATAAAGATAAGTTTGATGGTCTTGGGAGCGAGGGTATCAAAGGTGGCGCCATTGTTCCATTTGAAGAAGTGGATGTAGTTGATGTTGTTGATGTCGTTGTTGTTGATTTTCTTGTTAATGTTGGGGCTTTCTTCCATGGATCATGTTCGACTGCTTGACCATCATCACCATCATCACTGTCAATGTCAATGATATCATCGTGATCATCATCCATTGCATACCGATCCCTGAGTTTGATCGGTTGCTGTTGAGTAAACACAATCGCATCCTCTTCTTCCTCCTCCTGTTTGGCTTCATTCTTTATCTTGTTTGGCATTTGTTTGATTGATGGAATGACGTTTGCAAATGAGTCTTCAATATCATCTTCGAGCACAAGAGTCCTCTTCTTGTGCGCGTTGCTTGCCATTGTAGTTGTTGTTGAAGTTGTCGATGTTGTCCTTTGTTGTTTCGCACCAACACCCATCATGCCATCACCATTAACATCATCGTCATCACTACTTGAGTCAATATCCTCCGCCTTGTCTATATACAGATGTTCATTCTTTTGTTTCTTCTTGTTTCTCCCAGAGTTCGATACCAAGGCCAGTTGTTTGTTGCCATTGCCATTGCTTTTATGTTTGCCATTGCCATTGCCATTGCTATTAACATTGTTGTTACTGTTGTTGGCAAAGTATTGCATCTCTAGTTTCACTTGATCTTGATGTTGTTTCTCCATGTGCCCACTCCATTGTGAAGGAGGTATCAGTTCACTACATAATGGACACTCTTGCATTGTATCCTCTATACTTTCGAATGACCATTCAAGTAGTTGATCTTCACTAATATTATTATTGTCATCTTTGTTTGTTGTTGTGTCACTTGCTAATGAGGGATTTGAATTGTTCGCTTTTGTAGTTGTAGTAGTTGTAGTTGTAGTTGTCGTTGTTGATGTTGATGTTGAAGGAGTTGTTTGTATCTCATCATCGTCGTCGTCATCATCGAGATTGACAACAGGTGACTCTACATTGAATGTGTTTGTAACGCTGCCCAAGTATCTACTCAGTGGCAAGGACTTGAGTTTAGACAATCTGCTTGCATTCATTAATGCTTTGAATATCTATATATATTATATAACTATATCTATCTCTTTATTTGAAGATAGACATTGTCAATTTAAAACAAAATGACTTGTCATGTGACACTTTGGTCGTGTGTTTGGTGCGAGACCATCCATCACTTTGAAGTGAGTGTGTGGGCTTGTTTATTGCTTGATAAGGAAGGTAGACTAATCATGGTTTAGGGCTGTACCATCGTAAATGAATCAGAGGGCATGCCATTAGGGGATTGGTCCGTGATTGATTGTTTGGAACACTGATTGTTGTGTTGATGTGCTTGTTTGATTGAATGATGCCAAGACCAGGCCAGGCGTAGGTGGCCACTACTTGGTTGATTGCTAGTATAGTATAGACATTATGTTGTTTAGGATTGGTTGTTGGTGATGCTTGAGGTACTGCTGAGTAGAATTGGAGATTGAGGCTGTGATTGCGAGGGCGATGGTGATCTTGAGGGTGATCTTGATGATGAAGCCATCTGACTGGCCCGATCCAATTCATTCATCCAATAATCAACATCCTTTGCATTCTTGGCCTGAAGTAAGAACACCTTCTTCATAGTCACAGCCATCAATTCAAAGCAGAACTGTTTCTCATGGAATGGTTTCTTTGACACTCTACTGCCCCTCAATGGTATCCTATCAATTGGTTCAGTGTCCTATCAAATATTCCAGGAAGGATAGTCATGATGATCACTTTAGTTATGTTGATGAGTGATGAGTGATGAATGATGCTTACATTCTTTGACTTGAAGTAAAGTAGATGTGATGCCTCTATTTTGAACCATCTAGTTCGCCAACTTTTGAAGATGTGTCCTTGTTTGACTAACTCGCCCTCGACGACGACGGCAGATGGTGATGCTGTGGATGGTCCAACATCAGCCTCCACTTGTAGTTGATGCCATTGTTGATTATTAATTTTAAGAGGTTGGCTATCACCAACTATTGTTGATGACGAAGCATCAGAACCAGCACTACTTATACTACTGCTACTACATCCAATGTTGGATTCCTCTGTATATGTTTGTGTTTGTGGTTCATGTTCCATTATTATGTTTGATTATATATATATAAGTATATGTATGTACAGATAATAGTTGGATTGATATGAGTGATTAGTAAACATTGTTGATGAGGGAAGGTCCTAGATAGATTTGATCACTTGAGAGGACAAGAGTTTGATTAATTCTTGGTGGTGATGGCGTGGATGGGGAATAAACCCTGGGCTTCTGGGTGATCGTTTTGAGCAAAATGGGATCGTGTGATTGATTTGATCAAAACACTTTCCACCTTACAATCCGGCTAGGTGTCGGCATGGCAAAGATTGAATTTTCGGTCAGCTTTCAAAGACACAGACACAGTAACTCTTTATTCATTGGAGTTCTCTGTTGACTTGTCGAACTATTCATTGCTAACATTGTACAATAACATCAACATCAAAGGTCAAAGTTCACYTTGATGTTTGCAAAGGCATAGACAAGGAAGTTGAAGAATCCTTGGGATGGCGACATCACATCTTGTAGTATCCATAGCCAGAATGGTGGACACACTCCTCGGAACAAGAACACCGTGTGATTGATCACATCCCATATCCAACACAGTAAGAATACGCCAAGATACAGTGTCAACTTCTTGGCAACATGGTTCTTCAATGGCTTTGAACTATGACCAAATGCACCAAATGTTAGTATTCTACTGAACTTTCTGTAGATCAGTATGTAGCAAAGCAAGTTCCAAACGAATGATACTATCAAGGGTATCACCCATAGGTACAGTTGGTACTGCGCGTTGATCGAGCACCTAGAAGTGAGTGATCAAGTTAGCGAGCGAACAACCAACACATCACCAAACCTCACCTTCACCTACCATCCATTCTCATCTTGTGTGATGACGTTGTCTCCAAAGAAGAAGGAGGACACACCAAGTAGGGCCAATCCCCAACTGAATACATGGTATACTGCGGATGGTACATGACATGAGTTCCATTCAAAGACCTCTCGAAGTAGATAGTAGGCTATGCAGTTGGTCCACAGGAATGATGACAGGAATCCAAAGTGTATTACACTTCTCGCAGCAATACAATAGTTGAGTGTATTGGCGAATGGAGCGTTGAACAGCATACTAATCTGTGTCAACACCAATGCAGAGCAGGCAATAAAGTCGGCTACGGACAGGAAGAACACTAGATGATTGATCGTTCTAGGACTGTTGTCAACAGATGGGCTAATGTTACCAGTTGATCCATTATTATTGTTGTTGTCGTTATTGTTGATGGAGTTATCTAGGTCGTAGGCTGGCAACAATAGTGGGTTGGTGTCTTCCACACCTTCATTGATCAATTGTAGTTGGTGATTGTGATGATCCAGGTGATTGTTTGGAACGATGTTGTATCGTGATGATAGACTGTTACGACTAAACAATCTCCTTCTCTTTAATAAATAGAATATTATATTAAATAATGATGCAAACAATGATAAAGAACTTCCAATCAAACTGGAAATATATAATATCAACAGACTCTTACTTGATAGTATTAATGCACATATATGTATATCTCCACCCATAATAGTAATATATTTAAGTAATAAGTAATATATATGTATATGTTTATAAGTTGTTGATTGATTGATTGAATGGTAACAATCCACATTAGTAATACTACCTGACCTGTCCCTGGCTTGGTGCCTGGAAGGGTAGTTGGTGGTTGGACGAATTGTCGGTGATGCCCAGAATGGTAGGGATACAAGTGACATTTACTACTAACACCTAACACTCATTGCAATGTAGGGTTGTTGTCGGCAGTGAACTCATTCAATCAATCTATCAAACACACATGCGCACACCCTTTCAATCAATCAATAAAAGACACTGTTGTTGTCAATGTTTGCTGATGTGCAACGATGACCATTAGTTGTGTTTGTGTGGTCCACAGCATCTTTGCATCCCTGCGTCGCTATGATGAAGTTTGATGTCGTCCAATGTCAGGTCTTTAACGATCAATTCCGACGTCAGAGCTTATTGTATTACTTAGATAAACATTGCCTAAAGAATGATGAAGGATCACCCTCGAGATAGGATACTCCTGGATGTCTGGGCACTGGTGGAATGGAGTGATTGATACCAAAGGTTTGAACAATGAACCAACCCATCCCAATCACCTCTTGATAGAACTCCACGAGGTCTATTCTAGCTACAATGTCGAGAGCCTTGATAAGCTTGTCCTCTGATTGATGGAGAAGTAAGTACAAAAATTTCATTCAAAAAAGGTAAAAGAATGGAAGGTACTCACTGATGTTATAGTTATTGTGGATGATCTTCCTCTGCCACAAGTCCCAAGCCTGGAGATAGATGTTGGGTTGTCTCTCAGATTGAGAGGTACGCGTGGCTGCGACGCACTCTGACACTTGAGTGTCAGTTAGGGATTGGAGATCATTGATAAATAGATCCTCGAGGAACTCGATCATGTTGTTCAGGAGTGTGTCTGGATCATGTTCATGCGATTGAAGATAGAGCCTGAGGAACATATTGTTGCCAATGAATTGAGTGCCAGACTATACCGAGTATCCCAAGTTCCTATTCGTCCTTAGGTAAAGATATGATTTGTCATTGAATATCATTGCAATCACCATCCCAAGGGCAATCTGTTGCGTAGTTGGGATGTCAACTTGGAGCCAAACATGACATGATGAGTTGGTCTCCTGGATGTTCTCCATTCGTTTGCGAACACCAAACTTGCTTCCAACTGGCAATGTGATACCTCGTGGAACAAAGTTAATGTTGGCCTTTGTGGCGCAAGCACCTGGGCGCGGAAGACACTGAATGTTGTGACCAAACTCCAATGCCTCGGTCTTTAACAAATTGCCATAAATGAAGCATCTCAAGTTAGCTGTTTGGAACAATCTGTGAACATATTCGACAAACTCAATCATTGTCAATTGATCCAGAATTGGTGTATCCTCCTTTAGTGTCCTTCTCCAATTCCAAAGATGAATCTCTGCTTGAAACTTTGAGTAGTTATATGGTTTGATAAATGACTGGTTGTTGATGTCATTCCTGGCTTGTGTACGAACATGTTCAAATTGGGATTGAGTTATCTCGAGAGTGGATAATGTTTCAATGACCTTGGTTGCCAATGCCAGAAGTTGATCGCTCAGACCTTTGAACAAGAACATGAAGCCAGTGTCGACTTTGATAAACTCTAATTGTCTCTGCTGGCATAGTAAAGTACGGTATCTTGAAGTACCTCTGTCATACATAGACCAAGGAGACTGAGACAAAGTACGTCGTAAGGCTCCATATTGGTAGGCCAAAGGCAGATGTAGACTGCAGCCTTGGGAGTATTGAATAGTTCATCTGGGCAATACTCTACTGTGATACCATTCTGATTCATGATGACCTCTGGTATTGATTCCAGATTGGTTTGAGTGGCCTTAATACTTAAGTCTTTCGGAGTATAAGGGTTGGGCATTGGATACTCCAATGAATCATTCTTGGGAATTGAACTCCAAACCTCTCGTTGGTGAATGGAGATTGGTTCCATGAAGTATTTGAACCCAGTGTAGGGTTCTATCCTGTCCAATTGAGAATTGAATGACCTTGAGTGTAGACAGACAACCATGTTATCAATTGTCAACTGACTGAGTACGTCCTTGATATCATCAATGTTTGGTTTGTCATACATATAACCATTGTTTAGAATATGACTTGGATTTGGAAAATGAGCGAGATCCTTTGAGATCATTGAAGTGAATTCGAATGGACGATTGATTGTGAAAGAGTCCCAAGCATTCCTCCTTGCAGAACAGAACTCATTTATCAGAGGTTCAGGGATGGGACGCTCTAACATCATCTTGATATAATGAAATACTTGACTGATGATGAAGTCAACTTGTTCCAAGCCAATGGTTGTGAGTTTAAAGTTCATTCGAATGAACTCACCTCAATGATCAAACATATATGGAAGACATGTCATTGATTCAATCAGGAACATTCGTTTGAATAGTGAACATAGAGTGCCTTTGGCCTTGTGTCCCAAGATACCCGCCACATGCTTGTAAGGGGAAGTGGTGTAGGTCTTTGTGATTGAGATTCGAGATGGAAGTGACCAAAGTAGCTCCAAGGTATGTCCATCAATGATTGGTGAAGCAAGTATTCGAGTTGGATGACTGAGTAATAATGGTGGAGATATGAATGCTTTGATATGTGTATTGATCACTGGTGAGAAGTATTGTCTTGTCCACTCCTCCAATTTGTCCAATGATTCACGACCCATGATGCATAGATACATCATATTGGATGAATAATATCGATAGTAGAAGTCCACCAATTCAGTATGAATGTCTGGATGGTCCAGTGTATCTCTGTTCCAGTGCTGAACCTTGTAAATGGATGACCAGGGAATGCCAGCTTCCTTGCGCAAACTATATTATGGTCATCGTCCTGAAGTTTAGAACTGAATTCCGAGTGAACAATGTTCACCTCCTTCATCACCGCATCCTTGGGGAACCGATTTGAGACGAAGTAAGATGCAAATCTATCCAAACTAGGCTCCAATTGGTCATAGGTTACTTCAAATACAAAAGTAGTTAACAACTCTATTGTTTCAATCGATAGAAGTCAGTATTGGTGTTATAATTCAATCATATACTTTACTTACTTGAAGTGAAGGCATTGCTTCTTCCACCATGTTGTTTGATAAATGTCTCGAATCCTTCAATCTCTGGATATTTATCTGAACTCTGTAACACGTGCCATTCCCAGAAACTCTTCAGGGTCTGATGATGATCCAACTTTGACACTGAGTGATGCTGCAGCCAATGGTGACTGATTGTCAGACACCAACAAAACAGTCAATTCATTGTCGAGAACAAGGTGTCGATAATCTCTATGATCACTTTTAGATTTCTCAATACATATCTTCATTTAATAATATATATATATACTATTGGATTGATCAATCAATCACATGATCACCACTATGCAATTGGGGAGTGAGGGTAGGATTTGATCAGTTCATGTCCCTCACTCAATCAATCAATCCTTATTAATTTTATTATTTATTATTAATATAATTTCTTTGATCTATCCTTATAGAATAAAGAGGGGATGTACTCATTGATTGAGTCTAAGGTGCAGCTGCCCTCTCTTTCTGTTAGAGGGTACCCATCCACCATTGGCTGTGATCACTTTATCTGGGACACTGTCATTGGCAGTGAAACAGAACTCACCCTGGTTGTTGAATTGATTGCCAGTGCCAGTTGGACCAACTACATACTTGGCACTTGGATCTCTGATTCTAATACAGAATTTACCTTTCTCCACGTAAAACCTGTATGATCCAGTGTCGGAGACGATTGAATTAAGTACTTTGTTGGAGTCTCTATTGACCAGAGTAATATTCATTCCTCCAAGACTAGGGTCAGCTTTCTGACGAACACCATCCTTGTTAAGATCATTGAACATATCTCCTAAAACTGTAATGGAGGAGACCTTTGAATGATTGAGTAGATTGTGTTAGGTAGCAAACAACTGTATGACTATGATGTATTACAACATACCATTGGTGCATCCAGAGTAAGGAATCCATCATTGACATCGATACCATTGAGTCTGAAGCAGTAAAAGCCACTGCGATTGAAAGGACTGGCAAGGTCGCTGAATATAAAGGCATTGTTTGGATCAAATGCATGCATACAGTATGGACCTGTGGGTACTTGTGTGAAGGCGTAAGAAGGGTCTGTTGTTCCAGACACCTTTCTATCAACCACCTTCGGTGTGGCACTATCAGTGCTCAACTCAAACACAATGTTTGGAAGTAATTGTTCACCAGAGTCTTTCAAATTATTCTATTGTTGATGTCCTATTGTTAGACGGAATCATTCCATTGATTGTCCGAGTTTGAATAACGTACATTGTTAAGATCTTGGAACACGTCGCCCCTGATTCCAAATACCTTCCTATTCTGTTGATATTAATTAATTAATTGATTGATTGATAGATGATCGGGTGTGAGTGAATGAGTATGTCACATGAACAAAATATAACATACCAGGCCAAGTGATGCACTGAGCTCTCCTCTCTTGGCGGTGCCTGCATTGAGTACGAAGCAATAGCTGTTGTCTGAACTGAATTGGTTGTCAACGCCAGGTTTACCAACTTCAAAGTTGTCATTGGGATCTGTGAATATGAGACAGAATGATCCAGGCCTCAAACTATCGAATGCAATTGAGTTTCTACCCTTGCTAGAATCTGTTGTAATAAAGTCTACCAAAGCACCAGTTGGACTGTCTCTCCTAAGATCAACATTTACACCACTAACTTCTGGCTCATTGCTCTGATGTGCTCCATCCTATGATTGGTTGATTGATTGAATGAGTGGGTGAGTGGTGGAATCATTCCATGATTGATAGCATACCAAGTTGAGGTCCTCAAAGGCTAGGCCACGAATCTGGAAACTATTGATCAATCCAATTGGTACAGAGAGGACTTTGTCTTTTGTTGTGATGTCGTCTAGGGCGAAGCAGTATTTGCCATTGTCATCGAAATGATTGTCATTGCCAGATGGTCCAAGTGAGTAAACACTGTTGCTATTCAGTTGGAGGCAATATATTCCTGGTTGCAAGTTATCAATCTCAACAATACCTGATGATGTTGTTGTGTAGTCATTCAACTTTTCACCAAGTCCATTGGACAATGTAAGTACAATTCCTGGCACTGTTCCCTCGAGTGTTTGGTAAACTCCATCCTGTAATGAATTGGGGAATGGTGGATCAATAAAAGGTTAATGAATACAAATTGCTGGATCCACTCCATATTTGATTGATTATACTTACATGGTTGGAATCATTGAATGCTGTGACAATCACTTTGAGAAGAAGAGCTGGAGTAGAGGTGGTTGATGGAACTGATGTTGTCGATGGTACTGATGTAGTCGATGGTACTGATGTCGTCGATGGCACTGATGTTGTCGAAGGTACTGATGTGGTGGATGGCTCAGATGTAGTCGATGGCACTGATGATGTCGATGGCTCAGAAGTGGTCGATGGTACAGACGTCGTCGAAGGCACTGATGTGGTGGATGGAGTTGAGGTTGTTGATGGACCAGTTGTGATTGGACCAGTGGTGGATGTTGGTGATACGGTGGTTGATGCCACAGTACTCATAATGGTTGATTGAGTGGATACAGTAGTTGTGGCAATAGTAGATATTACACCAGTTGTACTTGATGTTGTTGTAGTACCCGTGGTAGTACATAGACAATATGGTTCACCGTTATTGTCCAGAACACAAACAGTATCTCCTCGACAGGTCTTAAAGAAACATTTGTCTATACACTTTGGTCCAAGGAATGATCTAGGTTGGCAACACACTTGTCCAAACAAACATGGCATCATACATTCATCAGCATCTATTATTGGATTGGTTTGATTAGTATGGATATAGACGAGTTGATTAAGAGATACTAACGGATTGAGGGTATGCTTAATACTAGCAATAATGATGTAAGTAAGATGCCATTTCGTATGGTACGCCAGGAAACTGTTGTTGACCAGTTAGTTAACAACATGGAATTGTTGTTGATGGTGTTGTGTTTGTTATTGTTCTTGTTCTTAGGAGCTTGGTCCTCTCTCTATCTTTATCTCTAGATGATTGATGAAGATGTGAAGTGACTGGAATGCTATCATCAACTACATTCCAAAGAGATGTAAATAGAGTACACTACCATTCTACTGATGCCCAATGAGCAGGGTCACAGTGATGGGTTCAAATAATAGGCTACTGTTACCACAACTCCTACAGTAAGTAGTAGTTATAGTTATGGTTGGTTGATGCATCAACACTTGGGGGTGATCACTTGTATTACTGCTACTATCAATCATCTGATTGATCACCCCACTGGGTTGTTATGTTGAGGTGAGAGTTGGATAATGATTGATTGAGACCTCTAGTGGACTGAGGTCTCTGCCCCAAGCATCAAGTCTGTCACACTTATTCATATGACTAACATACAGTTACAGTAACTCTATCTTTGATTGTTATGATATGAGAGACAGTCGAACTACGAAGTTATGTTTCTGAATCCAAGTTGAGCCACAAGATCTCGATACCAAGATATTTCAAATGGAATTGAACTGAATCAGTGAGCCATCACTTGTTTGATCATCACCAATTCTCTCATTCATTCAATATCTAACATACTATCATTCAATCAATCAAATCATAATCATAATCATTATCAACCAACCATCACAATATGAGTAGTGACAAGACATTCTATGCATACGTTGGAACTTATAGTCCAAATGGAGAGGGTATCTATTTGTACTCGGTAGACCCAAAGACTGGTCTGCTGTTGAAGCGTGAGTCGGTTGTGTGCTCTGTGACAAGTCCAGCTCAGATGGTCATCGATGCTCAATCAAAGACATTGTTCGCCGCCAGTGAAGTCGACAATTACAAGTCTGGCAAGAATGGTTGCATCGTAGCATTGTCAATCGATCAATCAACAGGCTCACTCACTCAACTCAACGAACTTGACAGTCTGGGCACATGGCCCTGCCACCTATCACTCAATCCCAAGGAGAGCTTACTACTCGTCGCCAACTACGGCTCGGGCTCAGTGGCCGTGTTCCCAATCGATCCCGCCACTCGTCAGCTCCAGCCATCATCAGCATTCTTCGAAGCCAAGGACAATGTTGGACCGACCAAGGCAGTTGGCGCCCAACCAGGCAGCTTCTCAAACAGTGGCCACGACGCACCACATGCACATTGGTTCGGCACAGACCCCAGCGGTCAGTACGCTTTCTCTACAGACCTGGGCCAGGATCGCATCTACCAATGGAAGCTCAGCGACGCCGGAGCGTTGGCACCCAACACCCCGGCATTCATCGATGGACCATCGGCAGGCTGTGGTCCACGCCACCTCGTCTTCCATTGCAATGGCAAGTTTGTCTACATGCTCAACGAGGAGTCGAGTGCTGTCACACTCTACCACTTTGATCAATCGACTGGCCTGTTGCAACAACGCCAGACACTCTCGACATTTGAGCCCAGCTATCGCGGCAGCAGCTTTGGATCTGGTATCATCCTGTCACAGTGTGGCAGGTTTGTCTACGCTGCCAACAGACTGAGGAATACTGTTACCCTGTTTAGCGTGGAGCAGACTGAGGGCACACTCACCTTTGTCGAGGAAGTATGGACTCGTGGCGACTTCCCCCGTAGCATTGTCATAGACCCATTGGGCAACCATCTCTACGTCCTCAACCAGCGCAGTGACAACATCACCATCTTCACTGTCGACAAGTCCACTGGTCGCCTCTCCTTCATCGACCGCTACATCGATGTTGGCAGTCCATCACAGATGGTGTTTGCTTCGATCTAGATCCAATCAATCAAACAATGTAGTCTATTCAATCATTCAAACTAAAGGTTGGGATTACCATTTAATTAGAATCCAAGGTCGTCAATGGACGTGATGATCTTCTTGACGCAAGGCTTGCAATAGAGCTGGTCGCCTATCCTCTTTGGATTGCTCTCGAATGGTTTGTCACAGGTGGTACATCGCTGATTCCTGTGCTTGATCGCCGTGAAGTCCTTCTCGCATTGCTCGCAGTGCACCTTGTCCTTTCGCTTGTAGTATGGTCGATTCCTAGGTATGTCCAAGTTGCAGCCAGTGCACACCTCCCTCTGGTCGGACGCCAGCATCATCTGCTCACGTCGTTCCGTGAGCTTCTTGCTACCGAGCTGGAAGACGAGCCCTAGGGGCGGGGAGGATGACGACTCGTCTGGTGCGGTGCGTTTTTCCGAGGTGTAGTCGTCGATGATCTCCAGGCTCCTGATGGCCGTCGAGTAAGATTGATTCTTTGGCTTCCTGTTGAGAGTGTCGGTCAAAGAGAATCCTCTCAGTCTACTGAATATTGGTTTGCTCTCTGTGTTGTTGTTGTCGTTGTCCGTGTTGTTGTTGTTGTTGCTATTTACAGTTGCCTTCTTGGCTGTTGATGATGGTGACTTGATCTTGTCCTTATCCTTCTCTTCGTGTGATCTACTAACAAAGAAATCAAACAAGTTTGTGGACTTGTTGTTGATTGAATCATGTTGACCATTGTTGTTGTTGTTGATAGATGATGTTGAATCGCTCATTGACACGTCAGTGCCATTGCCATTCTCTGAGTTGCCATTGCCATTGGAATGTCCATTGGTGTAGTTGTTGCCGCCACTGATGACATTGTTGCTGCTGCCACTCTTTGTCTCTTGCAGTTGTAGCCAGAACTGATCACGCTCTGATATGATCGTCATCATGATTGCTTCGTGCTCGCAGTTTTGCAATATGTTGGCCTGGATGGTCCTCTCACACTCCTCCAGCTTGGCTTGTTGCTTCTCGTTCTCGTTGCTCAGCTCCTCCAGCTTACTCTCCTTGAGCTTGAGCTGCTGTCTGATGTCCTCCAACTGACCATTGGCAGACTGATGGTCACTCTTTAGTATTACATTCTCGCTCTGTAGTAGTGATTGGTTGAACTCTAACGTCGTGATACGGTTCTGCAGCGACTTGATGCTGTAGTCCATGATTGATGTCTGCTGATTGCTGCTACTGTTGCTACTGCTACTGCTACTGTCGCCAGTGGTAGTCGTTGTCGTCGTCTTTGTAACTCCATTGGACGTCAGGTCAATTGCACCGCCAGTGACTGATAGATGATTGGCCTCGATGACCTCCAACAGACTATCCTTCTCCTTGCGAAGATTGAGCATCTCCTTCTCCCTCGACTCGCATATCTGCGTCTTGATTAGTATCTGTCGCTTCAAGTCCTCGATCGTAGTGTGTAGCTTGACAGAGTCGACCAACAGGTCTGCATTGCGTTGATCGGCAATCTCCTTCTCTGCCTTGAGCTGAGCCAGCTCGTCACTGATCGACTTGATCGTTGTCTCCTTCCTCAGCGCCAGCTCGGTGGATGCTTCACTTCGCTCGAGCGTTGTGTGACTGAACAGTCGACAGTAGTATGGTTCAAACAGACGCATATGTCTGAGCTCAGAGACTGGCTCCAATGACCTGTCATCGTTCTGATAGAGTATGTTGATGTAGTTCGCTCGATTGACCTCCACGTGTGACCAGAGCGAGGGGAGTTGCGTGGCCCTCAGACGCTCCTTCTCCGAGTCGTAGAGGAAAGTGCCAAACTGGCTGCTGTACAATGCGTCCAAGATGTCGACCAGTAGCCTCTCGTTGAACTCGAAGCTCTTGGGATACTGATTGCAGATCTGCCACACACAGTCGATGAACTGCAGAAAGATTGGCGAGCGATCGTCGGCACCCTTGCCATGTGTCCTCCTCCAGAACATGTGTCCAAACGACAGCCACTCCTTCTCGATGAGCACAATGAAGCCCTCTAACGTGCGGTAGTAGCCGTCCAACAGCAGCATGCTGAGCGCGCTGAGTTGGCTAGTCCTGTCCCATCCGTCGCTGCAGTGTATCAGCACGGAGCTGGTGCCCGAGTCGACCTTCTCGGCGATGCGCACCGACGTCTCGATGAGAAGGCTCAGATGCTCGAGCCAATGCGAGTTCTCCAGATTGGACAGGTAGCGCATGTTGTCAGACACTGAGTCGCCAAGGATGCTATCGCGCAGCTTCTTGAAGCTGTCTCTCATCGCGTGAATGTTGCCAATGCCTGCAAACTCGAGCACTGTGTTCTCGTAACGATCGACGTTCTCATAGCCTGCGCCCTTGGCTCGGTTGGCCAGCGCATTGACCATGGGCCGCGCGTCCACCACCGTCACCCATGAGTCGCCCGATGCCGAGACGATCAAACTGATCAACTTCTCGTCCTCTGGACAGTTGTTCTTTGACACGCCGACCTTGGGCTGTGATGAACGTGCAATGATCGTGCTCTTCTTTGGATGTCGCCAACACAACACAGGCAGTCTCTTGTTTGTCCTGTAGCAAGCCACCTTGCTCAGCAGCTCCTGGCTACCGCTGGGCACTGCCAGTATCCTAGGATACGTCTCGCACAGTCCATAATCCGAGTTGGCATTCGTTACAAACCATTGACAATTCTTTGTTGGTGTGCTAGATATACCTTGTCTTTGGAATTCCTGTTTGATTGATTGATGTGATTGATTGATGTGATTGATTGAGTGAGTGATTGAGTTGATTGATGTGTCCGCCAGCGAACATACTTGTACAGCATCATATATCCTTGCACCTTTGGTGTTGGGGTACTTCTCAAAGTTGTAGAAGGCAAAGACCTTCTCGTTGACGAGGGGATGTAACCGGAGGAACTTGCGCTCCAGCTCCTCGACCAACTCGTCAGAACTAAAGAGGAATTTGTACGATCTGATCTCCTTGGAGTGTATCTCTATGAGTCTGTCCTTCTTGTTGGGAGAGGATCGTTCAAACTTTGCAATGGACGATATAGGCATATCGATAAACTCCTTCTTCCTCTTGCTCTTATCGCTCGGTCCAAATGCAATTCTAAAGTTTGTCAAGAAGAATGCTCCTGTTATTGGTGCCTCACCTCTCTCTGACACCTTCATCGTGTAGGCCTTTCGTTCGACATATTCGCCAGTGATCTAGATAGGTTCATTAATGGTTGATTAGACTCTGAGTGATCGATCGCGATGTCCAGATCAGTGAATTGTTATCTTACCTTCTTGAAAAAGGTATCCTCCATTGTTGTTGTTCAATCAACCTGTGCGTTGCTACTCTGTGTCGACACAGAATATGAACTACTAGACCCTCTTCTCCTCCTCCTCTCTCCTCAGACGTCCTTGTTGTTGTTGTTGTTGTTGCTGTAGAATGTAGCAGTATGAATGCACTTGAGCATCATACGCATGCACCTAGGTAACTTGTCTCTCGTCTCAAGGTTGTTATAAATGTTTGTTATTGTTGTAATTATTTGTTATTATGATAAGTATAAGTTATAAATTACATGTGTATGTGTTTGTGTGTGTATGTTTGAATGAAGAAGAAGAAGAAGAATAAGTCAGAGAGGGGCATCATCCAATGTTTTTTGCAGGTTGTGTGTGTCGGAGAGTGGAAGGGTTGTGTCCTTCACCAGGACCAACCAATCACATTGGGTCTTTGCATTGGCCCATTACTCACACCAATCATCCAATTATAAGATAGATGGGATGAGAACTATCTATTGTTGGGTTGTGTGTTGTTGGACTATTGTACACTAGTCTCTCTCTCTCATTGCAACTAACTTATAAGTTCCACGCACGTTTGCAAAGGAATGTGACACACCTTGAAACTGATTGAACAGTGAGTGAATCATCAAGATGATGAATGATTGATTGAATAATCATTATGATGATGATATCTGTGTCTGTATTTGTGATCGTCTAGGTCCAGGAATCGATGATGTGATAATGACATCCGCAGTATGTGCACAGTTTGTTTATTGATACTTTGGATAAATATAAGATCAATGGGTCCACCTGTTTGATCAATCTACATAAAGTACCTAGACAGTGTCCTAAATATACTGAATATAGTAAAGAATAGTACAATTCCTATAATAGTGTCTGTAATCATTTGATTGATTGAATGATTGAATGATTAGTTTGTCGTTTCATTGATTGATTATGTTGAAGGTAAGTGTCAAGATGATACATACAACAAACATATTTCTCCCATTCTTGAAACATGCTCAGTCCTGATATATGATCGAATCTAAACTTTAGAGACCTGCTCTTCTCGATGTTCTTTGATCTAAAGTCACGCTTTATAATATCCTCTGGTTTCATATTCTTATCATCTTCAGCATTGCTAGTCTTGACATAGTTATTCTTTATACGATAGCTGTTCATCTCTTTCTTTATATTATATGTATGAGTTTGTGTGTATCTGTACACTAATCTTAATCTTTGTTATTGTTTGAAGTGTATGGGTGCAATGTTGAACATTTTCAAAGTTTTGTCCATGTTTGTTTGATTTTTTTTTGAGTAAAGACGACATCATTTAACGCATAAAGTACTACAATTACTAACTGTTGGCCTGGTTGAAACGATATCATGATGATGTTGATGAATAGTAGTATAATACAAAGACCTACATCACTTATAAAAAGATATATATCATCTTCTGTCAATCATACAATCAACAAATCAATCAAATATGGATCATCATCAACATCATTGGCATCATTGAACAATCAGTCATCATTATCATCGACATCGTCAATATCCTCATTATCTTCATTATCATCAAATACATCAATATGGTCTCAATCAAGAAGATACTATGCAAAGTTGAATAATGATAAACTTGGCGATAGAATGAAGAACTTGGAGACATCAATGAATACATTGCAGATTGAAGGCAATGTACCATTCATCATACGTCTAGATGGTCATGGCTTTAGTAAATTCACCAAGCAGTTCAACAAGCCTTGGGACATCAGAGGTATGACCTATGTCACATTCAATCATCATTCAATCAATCAATCAATCAATCACTCACTCACTCGATCTCATTCATTCAATCATTCAAACTTAGTCCACAATGCAATGATACAGACTGCACAGATATTGATGAAGGAGTTTACACCAAGTCTGACGTATACATTCAGTGATGAGATAACATTGTGCTTTGTATCACTGCCAGAGGAAGAGTATCAAAAGAAGTTGACGGCCAATTTCAATAGGTCACAGATACCATTCAATGGCAAGGTACAAAAGTTGGTCAGTCTCTCTGCAGGCATTGCATCCACCGCCTTCTACAAGGCCATCAGCGAACAATCATACGACGCCGATGGCAAACTCGGAGATTACATCAAAACTAGTATGCCACACTTTGACGCTCGTATCTTTGTATTGCCATCAAACAAGGAGGTTTTGGTAAGTCACCGACATGTGATGTACGTGTGTGGACATGGAGTTACTGACATTCCAACAATCCAGGATAACTTGGTATGGAGGAGTGTGATTGATTGCAGGAGGAACTCATTGTCTGGACTGGCACAGGCAAACTTCCATCACAAACTAATCATGGGAAAGGATGGCAGAGCAGTAAGTTACAATCGATCAATCATACATATATGGATAACTAATGATCAATCAATCAATAGATGAGGGAAATGTTATTGGAAAAGGGTATTGATTATGAGAAGGAACCAGCTTGGTATAAGTATGGAGTGTATTTGAAACGACAACATCATAATCATCAGACGATATCACCAATCAATAATCAAACGGTCAATTCACAGAGGACAAAGATAAGGATGGACTCATTCAACATACTCGAATATCCCAATGCCCTGGACTACATCACCATCAAGACATTGTCCGAAGACTATGATGACAAGCCATTACCAATCATTATCCCTCCTACTACGAAATCGACTTGATTGATTGATTGATTGAGTACTAAAGAACTAGAATCGATTCGAATTGATTCATTCATTAATTCATTGAATCTAAAACCATTATTATTATCTTATCTCTAGACTTTAGTCGAGTCAATAACAAAGCCCAAAAGGTTGATGGACAGTTCCAAAAGCGATGCATCATTCTCATCACCACAACGCCACTCCACCACACGACACTTTAGCCCAAAGAATGGGGTTACACGTTTTTCATGTGCAGTTTCGTTGGGATATGGAAATGTGTGTTGTTCAAGAGAATGACACACTGACTGCACCACTACACCAACATGACATTTCTGCATCATGATGTTGCGCCTGGGTGTCACGTAACTTTGTGTTGTCACATAAATAACGTATCCATAGATATCGTTACAAAGAGGCTTCTACTTGCCTACCTACAGGTGTTCCAACTCCATCATCATCAACATCCAGTTATTTATAAGTAGGAATAGGGGTGTTGTGCAACGACTAGACAGTCATTCATCACATTAGTACAAGTACAAACAAACAACTCTTCAAATAGGATTGATCAGTCTGAAATACATTTATTTATTTACTGTTACTTAAACTATTAAAAAGTATTAATATTAAACTAACACATTGTCGATCAAACATCTGATCAACCAACCAACCAAACGATCGATCGTTCATTCAATCAATCAAATATCTTAAACACACCACTTCCAACACATTCATTCATTCATACAAATAATAATATTATAACACATTATAACATACATATAATATAATATAAGATGGGCAAATCAAAGAAATCAAATACACCACCAGTAGAGGAGGTAGAGGAGTTGCCAGAGGATGTGAAGAAGCAGTTGGAAAATGCATCGCCAGATTTATCCATTGAGGATATTGATGAGGACAATGAAAGTGTCTCTAGAACATCAGTGATGGCCTCATTCATCAAGAAGCTTAGCTTTGGTGCTGATCTATCTGTGATGCCTGTGCCAGTATGTACCCATCCACTCCACATATCATATCAGGTGAGGGTTGATCGATCGACCAAACTGACACTCAATCAATCAAAACAAACTAGGCAAGCTTCATTCTTCCAAAATCAACATTGTCCTATTTCGCTGAGCACTATTCCAATCACTTTGATATATTGCTACAGTAAGTTGACACATGCCATCAAAGTGATGGGCCATCCTGGGCCATCCTGGACCATCCTGGATCACTCATTCCATCACATGATCACTCACCTCATCCACCCACACACAATCAATCAACAGAGCCAATGAGATTACAGATCCAACAGAGAGATTCTTGCAGGTCGCCAAGTATATGATGACAACATGTTTGTTGCCAGAGGATCCAACTAGAAAGCCACTTAATCCAGTGCTTGGTGAGACTTGGGAAGCAACCGTTCATTATGGTGCGACAGAGACAGAGAATGGACAGGATGACACGACCACCAGCAACAGCGGCGCCTATTGCCACTTCTTTGCTGAGCAGATCTCTCATCATCCACCAATCTCCTGCACGAGTGTCTACAACAAAGAGGCAGGACTCTACGTGTCCTACTACTACCCAGTGCGCACCAACTTCATGGGCACATACGCCAAGCTGACGTTTGAGGGCAAGGTCTCAGTGCGTCTCGAGAAGTTCAACGAGGAGTACACGGCCGACTGCCCCAACATGGCCATTCGTATATTCAGAAGCTTCTCCGAGTTTGTCGGAAACACCAAGATGACCGTGTCGTCGTCCAAGCTTCGCATGAAGACCGTCTGGCACGCCAAGGCCCTGCTCTTTGGCAGCTACAACCAGATAGAGTCCACAGTGTACAATGGCAAGGAGAAGACACACAAGATCAAGGGCGCATGGGACCAGGAGCTCAAGATCACAGAGTACAAGAAGGACGATTATAAGACATTTATGAACAGATCAACGATGATCAAGGGCAAGATGACTCTGCCAAAGGAGGTGCTGCCCACCGACTCGTCAAAGGTCTGGGGCACACTATTTGACGCTTTCGAGAAGAAGGCACCAATGAAGGAGATCAGCAAGGAGAAGGTTAGAGTGGAGGAGGAGCAACGTAAGCTGGCCGCCAGTCGCAAGGCTTCCAAGACCATATGGAAGCCCGTCTGGTTCAAGCAAAATGACGAAGGTGCTTGGGTCCAGAACAACTATAAGTAGTGTGGATGTCAGTTGTCCATCACCAAGATATATGTAATAAAACGATCACTCGGATCAATCAATCAGTTAATCAATCCATGGATTTATTCCATCAATCGACGATCGCGTCCGATTCTATCTACTGCTGCGCGGGAAGGTTGATATCCACGACGTTGACCCAAAAGTTGGCGCAGGCCATGTGGAAGTGGACACCGTTGTGTGTATGGCGATCGCTGTTTTCCAGTCTGCTTCCACAGATGTGGCAGTGGTACTTGTTGGACGAGTTGGAGAGTGATTCAGCGTCATAGGCCTTGGCCGTGAAGTGTTCAATGTTGACCTCCTTGTAGAACGGCAGTATCGATGACCAGTTGTTCGTGATCTTGGAGAAGGTGGCAGATGGACTCTTTGGATTGAGATGTTGTTCAATACTGTAGGCAATGGCGTAGATACTGGACAGTGAGGCGAGATAGTCCTTGTACTTCTGGCTCTGTATCACTTGTTTGTGTAGTGTGGCGTCCTGATTATTCTGTACAGATGGAAGCAATTCAGCCGCCTTTTGTATTGTCTCAAGACAATGTTGCAACGAGATATAGCCAATCTCGCTGCTTATCTTATTCTCTGATTGAGCAATGTCGGCACTGCTCTTTGCCTTCTTATCGCTCTCTGTCTTTGTGTTATTCCTGCGTGATTGTGATTGAGTTAAGTTAGTATACGTTTGATGGCCGCATTCATCCCTGGATAGAGATACTTACTGTACAAATTTAATGGCCTTCTGTTGTAACTCGAGGGCAACATGAAGATCGGTCTTGGCCATGAGTGACAGGGGCTGGTGATCAAACTGAGAGAAGAAGGTCTCAATCTTCTCGCTTGGTACATTCTTCACTCTCAATGATTGCTTCATTTGGACGATGGTGATGTGTGACGAAGGTGCATTGTCTGTCCACAACACAATCTTGTTTTGTATATCCTGGTCCAGTTCCTTGCTGATGTCAGAGTATAAAGCAATCTTACTCTGGCAATCGACTGCCTCCTCCAAACGCTCTTGATTGATCAGTGATTGTAATATGTCATTGAGCAATGTTTGATTGGGTGTTGGTCCAGACGGTGTAGGCTTTGCACTTGAGGCAACGGGCGTCAATACTGCAGCGGGAGTAGTTGCTGAGGCTGATGCCGATGTAGGTATAAGGATGTCATTGGAGAATGATGGGATATTGGACGCAGAGTTCGTTGCGACAGGGGCAGCTGGTGATTGAGATGTGAATCCGCCAAAGTCCATGAATGAGGAAGAGCTTGATGACGCCTTTGTTGCTGTTGTTGAGATTGGATCAGAGGTGGTGCTGCTTGTGAAGCTTGAGAACTCTTCAAACTCTTCATTCGAGGATTTGCTGCTGGGCAGGAAGTGTCCCGATGAAAGGTTCAATGGGGTAGGCTGTGAGGGTTTTGTCACTGAGGAGGACGATGATGCCAATGATGAGGTTGGAGCCAGAATGTCAGAAATTGAGGTCGACGATGGTGTAGTAGTTGGCAGGGTTGGCGTTGAGAAAATGAAGTCATCGTCAAAGAAGTTGGACTGCTTAGGCTTTGTGCCGGCAGCTGGTGTTGTAGTGGCTGCGACTGGCGCTGGATTGACAATTGGTGGTGGCTTGACCACTGGTGTCGGAGTTGCAGTCACCTTTGGCAAAGGTATAACGATTGGTGTGTTTCGGGATAGCTTTGGTGATATTCCAGGTGGAGCAATCGATGGTTTGGGTGTTGTTGATGTTGCAATTGGTGGTACAACAGGGGATGGTGTAACCATTGATGGCATTGTGATTGGAACGGGTGTAAATGATGATGTTGTTGTTTGTGTTGTTGGTAGTGTTGTTGGTGTAAATGATGTTGATGCTGGCATTGCAAATGTTGAGGATTGAGGAGATGTTGTCGACTTGTTGAGGGCGAGAGGGGCAGCGCCAAATCCACCAATGCCTTGGCTTGATGGTGGAGGTGTGTCAAACGAGTCATTTCCTTGAGCTCCATTGAAGTCGCCAAAGTCACCAAACTCATCATTATGGCTTGATGTTGTTGGCATCATGATTGGAATTGATGGTGGTACATTTGCCTTGGGTGTTGCTATCGCCGCTGGTGCTGCTGTCTTGTTATTGCCAGCTGATGTTCCCATGTTCATAATGTTGTCATTGCTGAGCAGACTTGATGTGAGATTGGTTGGTGTTGTGGGAACCACTGCAACAGTTGTAGTCTCAACCGTTGGCAATGAGAAGAAGTCCACCTCCTTGTCAACATTCTCAAAAATCCTCTTATAACTGTCTGCGTTTGACCACACTGATGAGCCTGGCGTCGTCGCCGGCTGCTTGATCGTTGCCGAATCTGGCCTCTTCACACCTGCCAACCTTAGAGACTCTTGCATCATCTTCTCCAAATCAAACTTTACATCGCCTTCATCTTGTTGTGGCGTTGGTGGTGTCGTGACGGTCGTAGGTGATGTGACGGGTTGTGCGGCAGAAACACCAGCGGGTGCCTGTATGGCTGGTGAGGACACTGAATGATGTTGTTGTTGACTTTCAGGAAGCACGACTGGTTGCGGTGACTTTACGACAGAGGCAGAGGGAGATGGAGCGGGCAATGTAGTCGTAAGATTGGTCAATGGAATGGGGATAGTGAGGGTTGGCTGCGGGAAGGCTTGGCTATGTGATGGATCGTTGGATGACGATTCAAAGTCACCGAAATCTCCAAACTCATCAGCCGGTGTTGTTTGAGGGATTGTTGATGCAATGGCACTACTGTTGTACATTTGATGTTGATGCATTGGTTGCGGTTGATGTTGCAACATTGAGTTGAACGTCATACCATCACTCATATGACTGTTCATCACTCCCTGGCCCTGACTACCACCTCCGCGACCATGACTACCAGCTCCTCCGCCCATCATTGGTTGTTGCTGCTGTGGATGTGGATGTTGTTGGCCTGGGATCATACCAAACTGTTGTTGCTGGGGATGTGCCTGAGGTGGGAAGGGTGCACCTGGCATACCAAACTGCTGTGGATGCTGCTGTTGCTGTTGTTGCTGTTGTTGCTGTTGTTGCTGTTGTTGCTGTTGTTGCTGTTGTTGAGGAAGTATCACATGTCCATACTCATTAAGCAGAGGTCCCTGTGGTTGTTGTGACTGTTGTGAAGGTGAGAGTGCTTGCTTGTCCACACTTCCAGAAGACGATTCGCCTGTCGGAGTTGGTTGCTTTTGTTCAACAATCTCCGACTCTTGCATCTCTCTGATGATGTCATAGTTTGGCTTGCCAGGAACGATTGGTACATTTGATTGCGCTGGCATAAGCATTCCCTGAAGTGTTCATTAGTAAGATGATTGGTTGATTGGTTTGCTGCGTGATTGATGAACTTACTCCTTGAGTTTGAGCTCCCGCTGATGCATTGGCCTTTGGTGCCAGCTCTGGGAAGAGCTGAAGGAATTGGTTCTGATGGCTTTGCTTTGGATCTTGTTGTTGCTGCTGCGGCTGTTGTTGTTGTTGCTGTCGCTGAGGTATAAAGTTGTCAAACATGCTAGGTTGTTGCTGTTGCTGTTGTTGTTGCATCTGCATTGCCATCTGATTGAGATAGTATTGTTGCTGTTGAGGACTCATCATCTGCAACTGTATGAGCTGTTGTGGATTCATCATTTGCATCATCTGTTGTTGTTGTTGCTGTTGTTGTTGTAATATCATCTGTTGTTGTTGTTGATAAAAGTATTGTTGCTGTTGTTGAGGACTCATAACTTGTAGCTTTGCAACTTGATGTGGTGTCAATTGTTGTTGTTGTTGTTGTCTACCTTGTTGTTGTTGTTGAGGATGTTGTTGTGGATGTTGTTGCTGTTGTGGATGTTGTTGATACTGTTGCTGTTGCATCATCATCTGTTGTTGCTGTTGTCTCTGTTGTTGCATCATCATCTGTTGTTGTTGTTGCTGGTGCAACATCTGTTGATGTTGCTGTTGTTGATTGTTCATTGTCACACTCTCTCTCAATCAATCAATCAGACTACTCCTTAGAGGTATACCTCTACTCTATCTATCTATATATATATCAAACAAAGTAATAATGATCGTGAAAGGATTCAGATTCAGAGTTTAGGTGTCCCCAATCTAGATTTGTAAGAAGTTCACATGTGAGCAAAACACAGAAGTAATCCTCACTATGAATGAACTACGACTGACTCAATGTAGGCGCGTCTATTCGTTCATGGATACATGTGGATGGATATAGAAGTAGGGTTGAAGGTGGTGGTGGGCTGTCATCTGATCCTTTGTTACACCCTTTTATCTACACACACTAACACACATTCATGACCCTCTTACACCCAAAGAGACAGACACACTCAAACCATGTTTAAAGCGTATAACACGTTGTTGCTTGACTGAGTCTTAAATATATATATGTATGATGATGATAATGGTGATAAAGGATTATAACAACAACATTGATAAGATAGACAGACAGATAGTATTGTTATAGATATTATATATATATCACTGGAATAATAATAATAATGAACAGTTCATTTCGATATATATTATTGATGATGTTGGTCACCTTATTATTGGTTAATAGTTGTTCATCAAATGCTGATGTTGAACATACAGAGGCCATGAAGATATCAATGAATAGATGTTCTGTTACAAACAAAAGATGTCAATCCAGGAGCAATAGAACAAGAGGTGAACTCTCATTATGTAGGGAGAACTTTACAAGGTGTCTAAAAGATTCAATAACAAATGGTAAGTAAATATTATAAATCATTATAATACCTATACTAACATAACATCCTAATTATTTGTAGACAATGGATTGCACACAGATGTTTAGTGTAGTATACACTAAATCAATCATGTTACCAAAGATGTAAATATAAATCAATTTAAGGTTGTCTCTCTAGAACAGGACATCAACCTTAGTACTACCACAATCCAATATATACTTGGAGGAGAATAATAATTGACAAGAAGAATAAAGAATCTACCTATATTCATCATTGTACAACAACTGATTGGATAACATTGTTCTAATTTATGGTTTTGAGACAACAATGCACAAAACTTGAAGCGAACATAATCATTGGAATTGAATGATCGTTTATTGCTTTCACAATCATATTCACATACATACATACATATACATATATATAAAGAATGAATATATCTAGATTGGCCAATATATCATCTGTTGTTGCAAAGACATCAATGTCTTCAACATCACTATCGACAGCGATGATAACAAAGGATTTGATCATACCATCATTGTCTAAAGTACAGACATCTACAGCATCACTGTTGTTGACGACCAATGATAGATCGTCGAGAACAACAATGAATGGATACTTATCGACCAACTCACCAATGGCATACTACGGCGCACCATACCCTCCTCCCCACCCTCAGTTCTTTGCCAGCGCCGCCGACCCCTTCAGAAAGAAGGCCACCACCATTCTCTCAGTGCGTCGCGGCAACAAAGTGGTGATCATCGGCGATGGACAAGTCACACAGGGCCACTCAATCGTCAAGCCCAACGCAAAGAAGATCCGAAAGTTGGCCGACGGCAAGATCGTCGCTGGCTTTGCCGGTTCAGTCGCCGACGCCTTCACGCTGTTTGAGCTGCTCGAGAAGAAGCTGACAGAGCATCGCGGACTCTTGCTAAAGTCGTGCGTGGAGCTGGCGCAGCAGTGGCGCACAGACAAGTTCTACCGCAAGCTAGAGGCGTCGTTGATCGTCGCCGACAAGGACATCACATTGAACATCGATGGCAATGGTGATGTGCTCGAGCCAAACGATGGCATTCTGGCCATTGGCAGTGGTGGCGAGTTTGCACTGGCTGCCGCACGCGCACTTCTCACCGTGCCTGATCTGGATGCTGAGGACATTGCACGTCGCTCAATGAAGATCGCAGCAGACATCTGTATATACACCAATCACAACTTCATCCTGGAGACCATCCATTCAGACAATGTCCAAAGCGCACAGCCAACATCACCATCCCTTGATCTCTCTCAGCAGGCACCCAACAAAGAGGCAACAGAGAACAATAACAAGTAAATAATTTAGTTTGTGATCGACACATTAATCAATCAATCAACATTCGACGACCTCTCGACTTTGTCAAGATGATCGTGATTGGTAACAAGTTCACAGTTTGGATATCCAAAATTAGTATTGTTGCGATCATGATCAAGGCACTACTAGTGTGGTAATGGAGAGGACCTCAGGGCCTAGGCCCCTTTCACACGTCACACACACCCACCCATCTTGAGAGCCCAACACTAGTTTAAAGGTGTTTAGACGATTGTCAACCAAAAGTGGTGTGTTTATGTGTGTGAATGTTAATCAATGAGTGTGATTTGATTGATCATGTTGTGTGTCACAGTCATTCCATAGTGTGTCAACAAGGAAGTAAGAAGTTAGGGTATGTTTATGTGTGTGTTTGGGTGTTGTTATGTAAGTGTAAGTGTGTGTATGATTAATTCAGTGATTGACGTCTATTTGTATACACAATATTTATCATGAGTTTAGTGAGTCCTTCTACCTTGGTGTTCATACAAATTTAATGGTTTATATACAATGAATTAAACTTATCACATCCAGGATTGATCAGACACCTATAAACGATAATCATGAAATCAATTAATTGTCAACTTTATCAATATATTGGTTTTCCAAATAACTATCATAATATTATAACACACAGACTAATAATTATTTATTATTTATTAAGTAAGTATTTATTCTCTTTGGAATATCACTACAACACCTCCTACACCTTTGTTATTATTTTAATAATATTATTATTTGTTAATTCATTCAGGCTTGTCAACAACTACTCCTACTTCCATATTTGTGATGTTCTTGTCACCACACTCAACAACAACAATCAATCAATCAATCACTCACTCACTCTCTTTATCAACAATCAATCAACAACCCTATCACAATTTATACCCCCACCCTCATATTGATGAACACGAGTGTACATAAATAAGAGAGGACAGTTTGATTGATCAATCACCATCACCATCACTATCCTTATCCCTCCATATATACAATCCATTACCACAATATATTCATAATCCTCTCCACAAACATATGTACCAATTATTGATATCTGTCCACATAATACGCCACTTGTAATCAATCACTTACTTACATTAATCAATTAACTAGAAATATATATTATTTAAAGAGAATATAGAATGATGGAACAAGACTTGGAAAACTTAAGAATTGAAAATGATGATGAGTTTGCTGGAATAGAGGAGCTGACAAAGGAGGAGCTTATAGATACCATCAAGGATATCCGAGAGGAGTACTTCGTACTCAAGGACAAGTATAGAAAGAATAAGGATTTGTTGGTTGACCGCAAAGCCGAGATTGATTTCCAGAGGAAGTTGTTGTCAGAGCGTGAGGACCTCCTGCTACAACTCCAATGGGACCCAAGCCAAGACAACAGTTACCTGACCCAGATTGGTGCCGAGAATGCCGACCAGGCCAACGAGCTCAAGGTCAAGCAAATGCTAGACCAGATGAGAATCATGGAGAAGGGAATATTCGATAGAGATGAGAAGATTGCCAGTCTACAAAAGATGGTAGAGACCTTAACTCTTAACCAGATCAACGGAGCCAACCTCCCATCACATACCGGCGGAATTGAGATGGTCAACTTGTCCAGTAACTCCAACAACACTACACCAACAGTGACTCCCCTGATGCCAACAGTCAGCAGGAGTATCTCTGATTATCCATTGGCCTACAAGCCCAAGGAGACTGTTGATGTCTCACTTCCATCTATTGAGGCACCAGCTCTCTCCAGACAGCCATCCTTCTGGCAATCACCAACACAGTTCATCTCGTACTGGGTTGGATGGGGAGAGGGAGAGGAGAATGAGGACGAATCAAACAACACCGAAGAAGTACCAACCATCATCACTGAAGACACCGTTCCAGAATTAACAACTGGAAATTCATCATCATAATCCCGTCCCCTTCATTATCTTTGCCCAACCCTTCCACCTCTTCTACAATGGATACAATATAATATACATTGTGTATATACCTTATTAAATTAAAATCATAATATTAATTATTATTCCAAAACAATCACTCCATCATTTGATCAATCATACACATTTTGCTGTCCACCAATACATAATTAATACTTTGAAAGCTCAAGACTCCACTTTGATTCATAATACAAATAATAATAGCATCAGAAGTTAATAATACGAGTTTGGAAACAACGTTGATTCCAGTCAACTAAGAATTGTGTAAAAAGTCGGAAAACGAGTGTGGTTTGTTGTGTTGTCAACTGATTGATTGGTGGTTGAGTGTGCTTGTGTATGATTGAGAAGACCGTGAATACTCACTCGCTTGCTCACGATTGAAATGACTATTGAATGAATTCTTTAACTCACTCACTCTCGACTAATACACATACATACAAACAAACAAATAATTATTAATAAGAAGTACAAGACACAGAGATATATACAACTACAACGAGATATACTGCCCACACTTCTTTGCTTGCTGCTGACCTCTTTACATCTCTCAGTTTGATCCAACACATCATCACCTAATCAATTCATCATCATCCTCATTATTATCAACATCATCATCCATTCAAACACACATCTTGCTCAAGAAGATCTCATTGTTGCTGTGATCCTGCCCGTTAAATGATTTGCACCAACGTCATTGTCACTTGCTGCCTAGGTTTCTCTCTGTCCGTGTTTATGGGAGTTGACTAAGTAGGTCCACTGGAAGATAAATAATAATAATATTATCAAAGCCTTTGTGAGCGTGTGCGTGTCTCTGGAGAACACGCCATCAATCATTCAATCAATCAATCAAGTCAGCCAGAGTTGCCTGGCGCCATCATTATCAATCATTCAATCAATTATTCCATCTCGCCATTGCCAGTCATCGCCAGCCAGTTTGGAAAAAAAGAAAATCATCGTAACAACAATGGAAGTATCACAGTATTATCAGCATCAATCATTCTGCAACAAGTGTTGCAGAGTGATCAGAACACCAATGATCAGCATCGAGAGTGGACGCCGTAGAATGGACTACTGCTCAATGAGATGCTACTCAACGTGCAGCAACAAGAATAAGACCAAAGAACGGACTTTGTCCACCGGCAGTAACAACAGTAACACCAATATCAATATCATCAATGATCATGCTACCAACAACAATGGCAGCAACAACAGTGGAATTAACAAATCCACTTATCCAAACATGTGTCTTGTATGAACCATAATGCATACCAGTGTCCACGCCAAGTTGGACACCTTTCTCTTTCATTCATCCATCAATCAATCCAACAAGTCCAGTCATGTCCATTCACAATAAACCAGTCATTGACATTCACTTTGGACCATAGACGTCATTCCAAATGTAATCTTTCATTCATTCGTTCAATCATTCAACCTTTACTCGCTTAACATCACTGTCTCCAGTGTGCTTGTTCTTGAGTGATTGGAAGTATTCCTTGTAATCATTGGGTAGAATACTTGTTGTTGTTGATGATGATGATGATCCAGTGCCATCCTTCTCTGTTGTTGATGGTGTTGACGATGACTCCTCCACTTCAAAGAGGATGAGGTTTGGATGATTGAATTGTAATTGATACTGCTTATCAGAGTGAGTTGACCGCTTGATGAATGACAAGATCTCGTGACCTTTGAGTAGACACTCGTTCTGACTCCATTTGCCACCAACCATTGATGGTATGTCAAGTGTACGTATCTCTGTAAGTTTGTTCACTACCATATTGCTATCTTTGAATCCAAAGACAATGCGTCCAACACCTGCCAGATAAGATTGCAACCAACATGTAAACAACTTGAATCTCTCGAATGTATGTTTGGCCTTGTCATCCTTGATCTCATTGGCTGTCTTTAGCTCCACATATTCAGTCTTCTCTGCTGCTGCTGCTGCTGCTGCTTCCGTTGTTGTATCCTCGTCAGACTCCAACTTCCTCTTCACTGAATGATGTTGTTGTTGTGTTTGTGATTGTGGTTGTTGCTGTGTCGAAGCAATGCAACAATCAATCTCAGCCGCCAGAACAATCCTGAATGTATGATGAGTCAGTGATCAACCAATCATTCAATCATTCATTCATTCATACATACTTATGTCCTTTCAGTTCAGTCTGTACGATTGAGCAATACTTCAGGTCAGTGTCGTCTGACATGCAGTACTGCTCAAACTTGAAGCCTCCATAGACTGACTTGGCATGGTGGTCATCATCGAACTTCTCCTGTTTGAAGTTGATACCAAGATGTACAGTGTTATCCAATCTCTCAATGTCAATTGTCCAAGGATTCCTATTGATGCAAGTACCGAATATCTTGTTTAGGTTATTCCTATATGTTATAAAGTCTACCTTAGTTACCTATTCATTCGTTCGTTCGTTCAATGGTTAGTAATGTGTAATCACAATGCAATGATTGATTGATTGATCATCAGTATACTTACATCATATTTCTTATCGGAGAGAGTTGATAGAATTGGAGCAAGAGGTGATGGTCCATTGACAGGTACATTGTCAATGTTGTATCCAACAGTCAGATCACATGGTAACTCTGGTTGTTTATATTTGTTCTGTTGTTTGTTGATGATGATGTAAGTATGTCTAAAGATGATGATGACAATGATAATGATGTCGTTGTTGTTGGGATAGTACCTACGATCACTGGTGGGAACACATTGTTATCTGCATCATAACTAAATGTACCTATCTCGACAGGTTGTGCGATTGTAGTCTTTAGGTACCTGTTGGCGGACTTGGTCAAGTCGTATATGTTGACCGAGAGTACCTGCTTCATTGTTGTCTATGTGTGTATGATTGTATGTGTGTATGAATGAATGAGTTGAAATTCGATTCGAAAGTCTGGTTCATTCACAGAAGATGACGCAAGTCACGCGTGAGGTTAGAGAGAATAGGTCCATCCATCAATCCATCCGAACGAATTGGATGAATGGCATTGGGGGTTCAACAACCATTTAGAGATAATAAACCCTCAGGTGTCAATTTAGCGATGAGGGTGTGTGAGGTGTGTGTGAAGTGTTTAATTGACTTGTCAACATCAACATCACTCACAATGAGGGGTTGAATGACAAGTAATGTGATTCAAATAATTATACACATTCAACATCATCAATGCTTCATTTGAACACTTTGAACAAATAATATATATTATACATATATTATTATCTCTTATTTACATATAATATTATAACTTACATACCATTTAGTAAAAGCACAACTTTAGGCCGAGTTTGAACTTCATTCTTTATTATTTTTATTACATCAATCAATCAATCAAACATACAAAGAAAGAATGAGCGAGTCATTAGTAGATTTATCATCACCTATTCCTGCAACTATATCGAATGATGGTACTTCAACAACAACAACAACTACTACAACAACAGCAACAAAGGATGAGAAAGAAAATACAAAGCCACAATCAGAGACCTTTAGTGTAAAGTCAATCACGTTTCAGGATAAGAAGAGAAACATTGTTACACAGAAGGAGAATGGTCCTTGTCCATTGATTGCCCTTGCAAACGTACTCTCATTGAGGGGACGTATCGAACTGCCCGAGAGACCAATCACCTACGACGACCTGGTGATGACAATTGGTTCCTATCTACTTGAGGATGCTCCAAATGTATGTCTTGTCTACTCCACCCTCATGTAATCGATGTGCCTTGATTGACTGACTCACTCAATCATGTTGAATAGCAATTCCAGAATGGACAATCACAGTTTGAGCATGAGATAAAGATGAACCAATCAATGAATATACTGCCATCATTGGTCAATGGACTGATATTGGATATCAGGTTCACTGGGTAAGTGCCTGACCCATCCGTGCGACACTCCAACCAACATCTCCTAACTTAACACATTGCTTTAGCATTAGGGACTTTGATACAAGATCATGCGACATCAATATCTTTGACTTGTTGAATATTGAGTTGGTACACGGATGGTTGGTCGATCCTCAGGATGTTGAGCTCACCTCCTTGGTCGGTGAAATGACTTACAATCAGATCGTGGAGAAGCTATACATGACGCAGCATCAGAACAATAAGAAGAAGGAAGGAAGCTCATCAACAGCGACTTCCCCATCTATGCCCACAGCTGCACCAGCTGTATCATCATCATCATCAACATCAACAAGCAATGGTAAAGATAAGGATAAGTCATTCTTTGATGAGTTTGATCCAATACCATCAGTTCACTATCCATCACTGTCAAGTGAGCCTGCTCCATCATCGTCATCATCGAGCAGCACGACAACAACTACCACGTCCACGACATCAACCACATCGACATCCACAACGACAACCAGTCCACAATTAACAATGAGCGACAAGGCAAAGGCCAAACAACCAATGGACAAGTTTGGCTTCCCAAGCGATATACTCACACCAGAGGAGGATGCCATATACTCTAGTGGAGTGGCCAAGGATGATCTGTCTGGCGACATGCGCATTGCCCAGTTCCTCAAGGACACATCCTCTCAGCTGTCCTACCACGGTCTATGCGAGCTCCACACGCATCTTGCCGAGGGCCAGTTATCCATCCTCTTCCGTAACAATCACTTCTGCACACTGTACAAATTCAATAACGAGCTCTATCAACTCATCACTGATGAGGGCTACATCAACGAGCCCGTAGTATGGGAGAGACTGTCCCAGGTATGTATCCCCTCACCCTCTCACCCTCCCCTTCAAAGTGTCATCCCCAAGTCGACTAACCCTCTCCCATACACATCCACACAACTAGATCAATGGAGACACCGACTACCTCCAACATGACTTTACTCCATTCTCCAAGATGGACCCATTCTCAACATTCCATCAAGGCAAGGGCAGTCCTCCACCTGCCAACCCAACAGAGTTCATGACGGACGAGGAATATGCCAAGTACTTGAGCGAGCAACCAACTAATGCTCATGACACAGAGTAAGTAGATGTAGTGAGTGGCATGCGTCAAGACATCCCAGTTACTAACCATTGAAAATTAGCCGAGACTTTGCATTGGCACTCCAGTTACAGAATCAAGAGAACCAGAAGAAGGCCCCAAAGAAGTCGTCAAAGCCAGATAAGGATAAAGAGAAGGAGAAGGACAAGGATGGCAAAGAGAAGAAGTGTAAGCTTCAATAAAGTGTATATAGATCCAATGACAATGACAATAACAATGAGCATGGTCCAATCAATGATCATGATGATGATTATATCTGTTCGTTTGTAATTATATATTTGATGGAGTTATGATCCAATGTGTTTATGATGTCAACCTCATGCAATCACTGACGAGGTAGAAGTTCTGGCTGACTGGGTCTTTACCCAGTACCAATGTCTGATGGAAGTTGTGTGTCGCTGTGTCTGCAAACGTGACCTTGCCTGTGACAATGATCAATACTGAGACGATCTGTTTGCTTTGTGATGGTCCTCCTGTTGTTGTTGTGTCATCAATGTTGATTGAGTTAGTGAATGAATGAAGAGCATGCAATGTCATTATAACAACATACCCAGTGTATATTGTGCGTCGTAGGTCTCTACTTTGTGACTGGTCTTTGGTACCTCTTTGTAGAGACTCTCAATCATTTGCATGCCTCTGAGTTCTGTACCATTCCATGCTACTAGACTGTTGTCTTTGTATAGTTTCATCAAGTTCTATTGTAGTAATAGTAGTCCTTTTGAGTTAGAGCTGTTTGTTTTCATGATCGCTATCGCATGTCGCTCGTAATCGTCCAATCTAATCGCATTCGCATACCGTTCTGTCTGTATCTATAAAGTTATAATAGTTTTGCTACATCATTGATTGATTGATTGTTAGAACTAACCTACGATACTACTTGTAGAGATAACGACGACATTGATCATACTTTAACGAAAGCCTCTGCATTCTGACATGTTGTAAAGACGTATTCCATTTGCTTTGCCTTGATGGGGTCGTCAGCCTCCTCTTCATTATGTGAGTCAAGATCTTTGAACATTGTAGTTGTTATTACTGAAGTGTATCTGTATCTGTATATATGTATGTGTATATATGTATAAGTTATCAAACAATTATTTGTATGCTTTGATTGTAGAATGCAGAATCAGGTCCACGTCAACTCAATTCTCAGTTTCAAAGTCGACAAAGCAACACGAAGTCGTTTGAACAAACACCCCTCAACCCTTCATTCTTTCATCAATCTAGAGTATCAGATGCCAAACAGATTATAACAATACAATGAATGATGTAATAAGTATGTAAAATAATGTAATTAGTCAATTCATTCACTAATCATCAAAATCGTCATCTTGAGAAGGAATGATGATTTAATGATTGACAATAAACAAACAAACAAACAAACAAATAATGACATTGTTGATCATTGAATTGAAGTGATTGGTTAATTACTCTCGATAAGTTGCCGAAAAGACAAACAGTTGCTGGTTCCGCCCATTCTTTACCCTTCCACATTCTCAACCAATCACCTCGAGGTTGTTGTACCCAGGGTCATGTACACCTACAACCCAATCTTATTGACAAAGTTACAAGCAATTGCATACGGACCAGCAAAGGAAGTGCCTAGGACTATCTTGCAATTGCACTTAAGTCATGATCAAGTATTACAGTACTTAAGGGCTTTGCCAAGATATTTTAATATCATCTTGAGGTGCGAGCTGCTTATGACCCAGTGACCTGGTCGAACTATGGGAGAATAGGGCCGAATCAATTGCCCCCTCACTCGGGCCGCAAAGCGATCACACTCACACACTCACTTCAAGATGAACAAAAAAAATCAAGGCCTAAGATGCCTCGAGTTTATCGCACCCCCTCCCTTTCACTTGCACACCTCGCACATTCAATCACAAAGGATTGGGTCTGAATCAATGATACAGAGATAGTGATGAGAGAGAACTCTAGATAATCTTCCATTTGTTCATCTTTATCTTACATATTCAAACATTCAATCAGTCAATCAAACATATTATATACAAGTACATCTTGAAAGATAATTCCACGCTCGTAGTATAGGATGAGGATGTATCAGAATGGTCTCAATACGAGAGACCATAATGATGACAACAACAAAAATGACAATGACAAAGTTACAACAATGTATAGGATTAGATTCACAAAGATGCACGGTGCTGGCAATGACTTTGTATTGTTTAAGCGCGAGAATGTCAAACGAATCATTACTTCCTCATCCTTCGAAGAACATCAACATATCAATGGCAATGGAAACAGCAATGGTCATGGTAATGGTCATGGCAATGGCACTGTAAATGGACATGGCAATGGTAATGGCAAACATCATAATGATTATGGACATGAACCTCTGTCATTGGACGAACTATCATATATATCCAAATCAATTGCCAATCGAAAGCTTGGAGTTGGGTGCGATCAGGTGATCATCGTCACTGATGCCCCATCACCAAAGTCAGATTACGAAATGTTGATATACAATCAAGATGGAAGTGTTGTAAGTACCTCATCAACCATGCATTCATTGACACATTCACTCACTAACTAGCTCTTGACAACATGTAGGCAACAATGTGTGGCAATGGAGTTAGATGCTTCTCAAAGTATATAACAGATAATAGGATACCATCTGTGTATATGATGGATGGCGGTAACAATGTTGATGAAGTGTATGAGGAAAGAATGTTCCAGAGGGTACACACATTGGCTGGCATTATAATCACATATCCATTGGCACAATCCACCTATGGACTGACCAAACTGATCAAGGTCAACATGGGTTCGCCATTGGTTCTCAAGACCAATGCGCCACCTTCACTTGCCTCACTGAGTAGTCCGGAGCCACCAACAACGACCACGACAAAAGAGGATAACCGTGTGATTCTAACACCGATCACTGGTCAAATGTATTATTCAAAGACGATCAATGTTTTGGGGATGGCCACTACCACATGTACATCATCATCAACATCATCAAGTGCGGCAATTACCTTATTCCAATGTATATTAGTATCAATGGGTAATCCACATTGTGTCGTGTTCCTGGAAGACAATATCAAACTTGGTAGCCTACCGACCGACACATCTCTCGACACCTTGGACATTGCTGATATTGGCAAGAAGATTGAAGCCGATCCAATCTTTATCGATAGTTGTAACGTTGAGTTTGTCACTGTATGTACCAATCACTTAATCAATCATTCAATTAATCAATCCATGATGCTAACCTGATCAATCAATCAATGGAACAGATTGTCGGTCCTGGAAAAGTTAGAGCCAGAGTATGGGAGAGGGGAACTGGAGAGACTTTGGCATGTGGAACAGGTGCATGTGCTGTGGCAGTCGCTTCAATCTTGACTGGAAAGTGCCAGGTTGACGAGACTGTATCGATCAATATGCCTGGAGGTGAACTGCTGATTGATTGGAACCAGCAAGAGGGCAAGGTCTACAAGACTGGACCTGCAACGACGGTCTTCACATCAGAGATTGACATTGTTGTTGTCTGAATGAATTGAGCAGCGTTGCTCTTTATAACTTTATATTATATTATTATATATATACTCCAAATATACATTACACATCAATGAATCAAGCAATTGATGTTGTTGACAACAAGTTTGGTCATGCGTGCGTGTCGGTGTGTCAGTCACATCATGACTGTGACTGTGTAGGCTTGCCTTCCATCTTATTCTTGAGGCCTGCCAACCACTTGTCCTCTGGCAACAGTGTTGCCCATATTGGTTTGTAGTCAATCTTGATATCCTTCATGCATTCCTTGATCAAGTCCACATGATCTGGTGGGAACATCTTATCCCTACTCAGTACCATATGTCCCTTTTCATTCCTCTCGCAGAACTCTATCGGTTTGTCCTTGTTGTCAATGTTGTTGTTGTTGTTGTTGTCAGGTTGTTGATTCTCATATTGTGTGAATGGATCGGATGCATCAGATGTAAAGAGAGGATCATCCTTGAATAGGATGTTGTTGCTATTGACCCTCAGGTCATCGAGACCGCCACTGTCTGTACCGTCTTGAATGGTGTCGCCACTGCCACTATGAAATTCGCTCGAGTGCGTTGTAAAGTCTGTGAACTCTTCGTTGAGGAACTGATTGTTCAGCTCTATCTGTCTTCTTATCTCCTCTTCCCTCTGTCTCTTTGCAGCTGCAGGATCAACTACTCTAGAGTCATCATCATCGCTCTCCACATCAGATTGTAAACCAATGTCATTGTCAGGTATCAATTGAAAACCTGTATAGTCATCTATGTGTTGATTGTTGTTTTGTTAGGTCATCGTATCACATCCATTCATTCAATCGATTGATTGATTCTACATACTTTGCTCACTTTCATTATCACTATCACTTTCATATGTATTATTATTACTATTACTGTGTTTGGTTGTTGTTGTTGTTGTTGTAGTTGATGTATTATTCATTATATATATCTCTTTGTTTATTTGTATCACTTTTACAAATGAATCACCAACATCAGAATTATAGTTTTGATAGTTCAAACTCAAATTAGTTGTCATTCTAGAATATGACTACTTGAACTTATTCTATTTATTAGTTGGAGTCGGTTGATACTGGGGAAGATCTACCCAACTTTGACAAAGTGAAAGTATTTAATTAATGAAATTATTAATACAAATACCTTTATAATCTAATGTACAAGCGGAACCCGAGGAAGATGAAGTTAACTCTGGTTTGAACCAATCTTTTAATATATTATATATATTAATAAAATGGTAAACAAACCTATTAATCAAAATACCAATAACAACATTATAAACCTTCATAACAATGTGTTAGCTGCAATAAACAACTTACAAGGACAAATTAAAACCCAGAATAATACCATCAACAACCTCCAGGAACAAATAACAACCCAGAATATTACTATCAACAACTTACAGGGGTAAATAACAACCCAGAATAATACAATCGACAACCTACAGGGACAAATAACCATCCAGAACCACACCATCAACAACCTTCAAACTCAACTAACAACTCATAATAACAACCTGCAGCGCCAAATAACAACGAGGAACAACAACATCAATATCCTAGAAGCTCATATAACAGCTCAAAATGAAACAATCATGAACCTAGAAGCCCTAGCAGCACCGATGTTACACACCATTAACCTACTACGTCTTGACAATCGGAATACAGTTTCTCGCGCCTAGATAGTAATAAGGAACCAGAATAATAGAATCAACAACCTCCAAGACCAATTAACAAATATTCCTGAGGCGGTCACCCGAAGACAAGTTGTTGCCAGGTACCAGAATAGCACTATCAACTTCATGAGGGAACAAATCTCTACAACCTTGAGAATCTTTGGCAGGAGTCTGAGGAACATTTGGGTATCGTTGATTTTGGTGCTGATAATGTTTATCCTTCATTGGGTTGTCTTCTCTTCGACAACTAGATACCAAAGATTTAGTTAAATCTTTTTATGTACATTAAATTAATAGTACCAGTATCTGTTAGGTATTGATTAATTGAGTATACTTTAGTGGATGCGCCGTATTTGGAACAAATTACCAACACATATGGATACCTTTAAGTTATTGTTTATTGATGTTTTAGTACATTGGTTGGATGGATGGTTGGTTGATTGATTGAGTTAGGGGATGTGGCGGACAGTTGAAGATAATGTTGCCAGGCTATCACGCTAAATGTCGTGAACAACAACAATTTAGTGGATGCGATGATGACTAATGGATTGATTGATGAATGATTATGATGAGGGTATAATGTTGTTGTTGTTGTTGGACTACATGAAGAAGAAGTTGGTTGTTTAAGCAGTGCTAAAGACTGGGTTGTGTCTGCAGATGCTTGGTCCAATCTCATCGTACTTGGCCTTGGTGTGGCAGAGGTTGTAGAAGTCTGGGGTGGAAGCCAACATGGAACCTCCGAACCAGACGGCGTAACGCTGTCTAGAGTGTGAAACGACGTTGACCTCGAGTGGCACGGCCTTGATCTTGCCACCGCTGAGCTCCTCGCTTCTCTTGATACGGTAGTCGACGGACCTCTTGATGTCACGCTGCAGACGCTTGCCAAAGTCCTTGAACATGGTGCTGCCACCAGACAGAACGATGTTCTTGTAGAGACCACGACGGCAATCGATTGGGCACGACTGGATGGTGTCGTCGACAACCTTGGGCAGTGGGGTCAAGAAGTCGGACGAGATGATCTCGGGGCTGAAGAAGATCTCTGGGCCGAGGAAACGCTCGTAGCCAACGTCGTACTGGAATGGCTTCTGGGTGATGGCGTCGGCGGCCTGCACGGTCTTGATCCACTTGGTGGGGTCGCTGTCAAACTTGGCAAACTCCTTGACGAGGTCGGGACACACGTAGCTGAACTGCTCCTTGACACGCTTGGCAATCTCGAGTGATTCGGCGGGTGGGATCGATGGCTCGCGCTCTCTCATCAACTGCTGGACGAAACCAGTGATATCTCTACCTGCAATTGGGATGTGCTTGATCGATGATCCAATGACGTAGCCCTCGGCCACTGGGATCACGTGGGTGACTCCATCACCAGAGTCAATCACAGTACCAGTGAGTGTCCTGTCGGCATTCTTCAGTGTCCAGGTGGCGGCCAGAGCGAGCACAGCTTGCACAGCAATGTAAAGGCCTGGAACATTGAATGTCTCAAACATAATCTCAGCAGTGAACTCACGGTTCTCTGGTGCGTTTAAGGGTGGCTCAGTCTACATGTACATACATATGTTAGTCAATCAATCATTCAATCAATCAATCGATCGATTCAATCGAATCAGATATACATACCAAAAGGAAGTAATGATCCTCTGGCTCACAACGCATGTATTTGAAGATGCACTGCTCCCAGTACTGCTCCATGTGAGTCCAGTTTTGAATCTGACCGTGACGGATTGGGTTGGAAAGGTCGTAGGTCTTGGCGTTGGCGACGGCTTCGTCACCAATGAAGAAATCCAAATCCTCAACACCCTTCTTCATTGAAGCTGCTGTCTGCTTTCCCTTTGATTGCTGTGTAGCGATCGATGATGGGATAATGAATGAGGGATCATCATTACCAGCATAACCCATCTTTGTGTAACTATAAAGTTGATTGATTCATTGAGTTGTGTTGATTGATCAAATGTGATTGATTGAGTCGCGAGATTGAATGTATGATTTGATTGATTGAATGATTGAATGATTGAATGAATGTCAGCAACATGTTGTTATTGTTGTTCAAATCTAATGATGTTGATCAACAACATACCCTGTTCCATTGTCAATGACGACTGCGGGAAGACCTGAAATGTTCATCTTTTAAGTCTGTTTTAAAGGTTTAGATATAATATGTTACAACAAGATATATATAATAATAATAAGTATGTAAGATTAGTTAGTTAGAGGCTAGAATGAATATGACCCAAGTAGAGCAGCAGGAGAAGGAAGAGGAAAGAAAGGTGGGTGTCTGGAGGAGAAAGGTGGCTAGCTTTGGTATGGGTGGGTGTGTCTAAGAGGTGAGTGAGGTACATGCATGCATGCCCTTCAGGTTCAGTCCAAGTCAAGCAAGGGTAGTGAGTTCACATCATCCAACCTGATGGCTCACACTTTAAAACAAAAAATTAAACAAAAATAAACTTTGCATAAATATCAATATTAATGTTTGAGCCATTCTTCCATCCCAAACCCACATCTACATCAACAATCAATGATTGATTATTGTGAAAATCCATTCTTTGTTTGTTGTGGTTCATCAAGTTTGAAACTTCATAACGGACGTTGGTTGGTACACATATTAATCATAAGCTGTCCTAATTATCTGTTTGAAATGGGGATCGTAACAATGTATATGTTCTATCTTGTCAACACAAAGAAGAAAGAAAGAAAGAGCAGAGCTGAGGGTTCCACACGTATGACATATGCATCTTCAAGCAAAGTTCTTTTGGGTGAAGTTCTTGATGTTGATGTTATCGTCGTTGGCCGCTAGTGCTTTACCAAAACATAAGGTAGTTGTTGAATGTCTCGATCATAGTTTAGCGCAGGTGTGGTTGGACGACTGACTCAAGCTTTGGGAAGGAATCAAAGAGCACACTGTCTTAGAGTATTCTGTTGCTCTCATCCTCTCAAATCTTGATCTGCTCGTACACAATCTCTGGATATATGCCATTCTGTCTGATGAACTAAATGACATGAATGATAGTGCGCCACGACTAACTTGATGTTGAGATCATGATAAAGATAATAATGGCACCATAATTTCCAGTTGAGTGGTGATGCGATGCTGGTGTTGATCAATCATCTCTCATACTAATAGTGTATGTTATCAACTGGGAAGGCTCTTGATCGTTATGGTAACAATCCAAGTCAATGTTAGATTTGATTACTTGGATGTGTCATTTCGGAGTAACATTGAATAGGAATAGGAATAGTTGTCTGATATCCATAGCAGACTTCTCCGATCCGATTTCTTTTTGACACTGGCAACAGGCCAAACCGGCTATTCAACGTAAACAGATATCAAAGATAATGTAACTTGAAGTTAATTACCCCCATATTGTCGCTGTAGCTCGGCTTTTGGAGTCCGTTGTTGGGCCACACATCTTGATCATTTTTATCCATTATCATCTACACTCTCACACACTCACACCAGGGCATCGATCATGGTGCCCCCATCAGCGGGCATCACCTGTCGAAGCCCAAGGTAGTGGTAATGAATTAACACAAGTTGTTTAATCATAAGTTAGTGATAGTGTAGTGAACCCCACTCCAACTCCACTCTAGATTAGTGTTGATGTTACCCTTCAACCTAGGTGCCTTTCGACAGGGAACAGGAGCTAACTAACTGTTAGTAGTGTCCACCACCAGTCTTTGCAACAACATAACCAATCATAACACATTCAATTTCCATTATTACAACTTATTACTTTATCCAATAATAATAAATATAAATATAAATAATAATATATATATATATATATAAATATAAAATGAGATTAATAATTTCTATTGTCTTGATGCTGGTCGTCTGCTCAACTGCCATGAGAGTTGAGAGAGCTGCCCCTGTCCGTGGAGGCCCATCCCCAGCCCAGTTTGGCGATTTCATGCTCGGTTTCTGCGCCGGTATGGAGATTGCCATGAATGGCAACGTCAGTACCTGTGTTGCCGACTCGAATGCCACATGGGAGGACTTTGCCAACGGTTTCGATCTGATTGGCAAGGGTTTCGATCACCTCTCCGCCTCAGACTTCACCAAGGGAATGAGCTGTAAGTGATCGACCGCAATGCGAATACATACTGTGCACTAACATATCCATTCTATCAATAATTAATCAAGTGGTTGGAGATGGCTTGGCTGAGATCCCCGCTGTCTTTGGCTCATGTGGAATCACTCAATTCATCGCTGATATCCTCACCGTCTCGAAGGAGCTGTCCACCGGTGTTCCAGGTGTCATTGATGTCATCGTCAAGGAGACTCTCAACATCCTCCACCACGGCAAGGACATCTCTGCCGACTGGAAGGGCATGGTCAAGGACTGGCACTCGGGCAACTACGGCTCATCTGGCCAGTACCTCGGTCTCGTGGTCGGAATCCTCCTCAACTAAATAGTTAGTCAGTGATCGATCAGTCGATCATCACTCTTGCCCAGTTTGTAATAAAGACGATAATGTTAACAATGGGACAATTCGTCTTCAACTTCAAGATGATCTCAATAGTTTGTGAAGGAGTTGTTGTAATTCATGAACGATCGATTGACTCATTCAAATATGTTTCTAACATCAACTGCTCTTGGACCTTGAGGGCCTGTTGATATTTTGAAGATGACTCTCTCTCCATCTTTAAAGGGACCAGGATTGTCGTCTTTAACTATAAGCTCCTGGTCACCTCTGTCAGGAGTTATGAAACCAAACTTCTTCTCATTATTGAACCATTTAATGGTGCCTAATCGATTGATTGACTCGTGTTAGTGTTGTGTCATTTTAGTATTAAGCATATAACGAACATACCCCAATTGTATTCTGACATTCCCGTATTTGTAGATAAGATATGAGTCGACATGTTGAATGAGAATGGACCTTGGATATCATTCGAGTCGCCATTAATGTGTTGGACAAAATAAATCAAATCTAGTTGACAACTGCCTTGAAGTTTGTCGTTTCATAAATGTTGAAGTTATTGTAACATAAAGACGATAATGTTAACAATGGGACAAATCGTCTTCAAGATGATCTCAATAGTTTGTGAAAGAGTTTGTAATAATGATCGATCGACTCATTCAAATATGTTTCTAACATCAACTGCTCTTGGACCTTGAGGGCCTGTTGATATTTTGAAGAGGACTCTCTCTCCATCTCTAAAGAGACCAGGATTGTCGTCTTTAACAATTAGTTCCTGACCACTTCCATCACAAGTAATGAAACCAAACTTCTTCTCATTATTGAACCATTTAATGGTACCTAATCGATTGATAGGATATGTGTTAGTGTCACTCTAAGATTAATAACTTGAAGAACTAGACGTACCTCCAGTGTAATCTGATATTCCCATATTTGTTGAGATAAGAAACTGATGAATGAGAATGGAAGACTTTGAGTTCAAAAATAATTCATCTCATGAACAAACTGCTTTGAAGTTTGTCGTTTCACCAATGTTGATGTTATTGTAATTGTGTATTAATATATAAATATATTGAGAGATATAGAAGAAATAGATAGAATACAATGTCCAGACACAGGTTTATGAAGAATATCATCGAGGATGGTAAATGATCAGACAGTGATGATGTGAGGAGTGATAGGTGTGATGACCGCTAGGGCATTGGCTGACTCAATCAATCAATCAATCATTCAATCAATCATTCAATCAATCAATCTATTGTACGATTACAACGAACGATCAAACAAACAATCAATCAAATATATATAACAGATTATGAAGATTATGATGATGTATCAGATGGAAGTGAGGAGGGAGGACATCAGAACAATCAAGATGAAGAAGACTATGACGATGAGGTCTACGAGGTCTACGACACTGTTGTAGATGCACTACCCAACGTATCAATGGCAGAGATATACGATATATTGACAGAGTATGACTTTGATGTAGAAAAGGCTGTCAATCACTTCATGAGCAAGGCAAAGAGCAACGTCAAACCAAAGACCAACAACAACAACAATAACAACAATAACAACAACAAGAGTAACAACACAAACAACAACAACAACAATAATAGCAACACGAACAAAGGTAAACAACAACATCAACAACAGAGACACATTATCACCTCACCTTCATCACCATCCTCCTACAAGCCATCATCGCTCGCGTTGAACTTGTGCGATGTATCACCAAACGCAATTGTAAAGCCATCAACGTTGAGCGAAGATCAGTTCTCCCTGAAATCACTCTATATCAGCGGCGGTGGCGGCGACAATGGCTCAGGTGATGATCGAATCAAACCCTATACATTCGATGATCCATCACCAGATGACCTCATCCTCTATCGACAGAAACAAGCTTTTAAACCAAGTAACCTATCGGATCCACGACCCGGCTTGTCCTCTTGTTCATTCATCGTCCTCACTCATCCATCATCAATCAATCACATCCCGTCCATCATGATTACCATCTCCATCTCCACACTCTCTCACTTCCATGCCCTACCTTACTAACACCAACACCAACAAATACAAGGCGGTAACAAGCAACAGAACCAACCTATTCAGAAGAATGCCAATATCAAACAAACAAAGAATGCATCGAATCAACTGATCGACACGGTCAAGTCGATGAACATCAAGCAACAGAGTCCACAGCAGAGTCACGATGGTCGCACACCATACAACACTCCAACCTCTTCCATCTCCATACCAGACGCATCTGGCCAGACCTCAGAGGTCAGCACTCCACAGTCTGCGTATGTTCATTCATTCATTCATCCATCCATTCAATCATTGCTAACTCATTGATCAATCATTACACAACAACAGCAACAGGAACATCAATGTCAAGCAACACTCAGCTGCACGCAGGAAGGAGTTGGAGGAATTGGTACACAATGCATTCTCCACGACTACCAAGCCACATTTGAATATGGTCGTGATTGGACATGTCGATGCAGGCAAGTCGACTACAATGGGTCACCTGCTGTACAAGCTGGACTATGTGGACCAGAGAACGATATCAAAGTTTGAGCGCGAAGCTAACAACATGGGCAAGAGCTCGTTCCATTTTGCCTGGGTGCTGGACGACCACCAGGAGGAGCGCGAGCGCGGTGTCACCATGGACGTCTGTGTTCGCTACTTTGAGACGGAGCACAGGAAGATCACACTGCTGGACGCGCCAGGCCACAGAGACTTTGTGCCCAACATGATTTCGGGCACGACACAGGCCGACGTTGCCATCTTGCTCATCAACGCGCCAGAGTTTGAGGCGGGATTCTCGGCGGAGGGTCAGACCAAGGAGCACGCCCTGCTCGCCAAGAGTCTTGGCATCATGCAGCTGATCGTCGCCATCAACAAGATGGACATGATCGAGTGGTCCCAAGAGCGTTACAACTTTGTCGTCGAGACATTGAGACTATTCCTCATCTCGGCCAAGTTCAGCGAGAAGAACATCCACTTCATGCCCATCAGTGGCTTTAAGGGAGAGAACCTCGTCTCCAAGATCACTGATCCAAAGGGTTCATGGTACACTGGTAACACCTTGCTTCAACAAATAGGTATGTACATCAATCACAATCAATCATTCAATCAATGACTAATCCAGATCACTTCAACAACAACAGACTCATTCAGTGTTGGAGAGAGACTGATCAATAAGCCATTGCGAATGGTTGTCAATGATGTATTCAAGTCATCAAGCAAGGGATCAGTGATGGTTGGTGGAAAGATGGAAGCAGGTGTAATGGGTGTTGGCGACAAGTTGTTGATATCACCTGGTAATGAAGTTTGTACAGTTAAAGGTATATATCACTCAAACAATCACTCCAACAATCGATCAATCAATCACTCACATACATTACAAACAACAGCAATTAGAAGATCAAGCGCAGAGTCTGAATGGGCAGTTGGTGGAGACAATGTGGACCTGAGTTTGGTGATTGATCAGACCAATATACTACATGTTGGAAGTATATTGAGTGATCCAGAGAAGCCGATCAAGGTGGCCAAGCGTTTCCTGGCACAGATTGTCACATTCGCCCTGCCTCTGCCAATCACCAACGGCTTCCAGGCCGTGTTCCATGCGCACTCGATGGAGGAGCCAGCCACCATCACAAAGATGGTGTCGCTGCTGGATGGCTCGGGCGAGGTCAGCAAGAAGAATCCTCGTTGCGTGTCCGACGGCATGACGGCCGTGGTGGAGGTCACACTGTCCAAGATGTCGTGTCTCGAGCTGTACAGCACCTATCGACAACTGGGCCGATTCACACTCAGAGATTCTGGCAAGACCATCGCAGCAGGCATCATCACAGAGTTTATTGACGACAATATTAACAAGACGCCCAAGTCCAAGACCAAGAAGTCTTCATCCACCTCAACGTCTGCCACCTCTTCGCCAGCACCTCAACATCAATAATACGTTAACCAACTTCTTAATACACCTTTACTTTATATGTGTATATTTGGATGTGGATGTATTCCTTCATTCCGTTCCACATTATTATTTGATTGTGTGATTGGTGATTGATCAAAAAACTTTTCCAGAAGTGCCCCAAAACACAACCTTGGTTTCCTGGGTCTTTGGGTGACCCTAAGCTTGATGCGAGCACCCTTCGTGACCTTTTGATCACACTTTGCACCTCTTCTCAATCACTTACATAACATACCCATACATTACACGTAATAAGTGTATACAAATACAATCACTCAATCACAATCACAATCACAATTAAAGAATGACCAACGACGAAACATACTCAGTAAAGATTTCCAATGTCAAGGCACACAACTTGACATTGAAGAAAGAGACAGCCAATGCCAACAACATAGATCCATACGTAAAGGTATGTTTATCAAATGGATGATTGATGGCCATCAATCAATCAATCACTAATCATGTGCCACTCACACACTTTGATCAATCAAACAATCCAGTTTATGTTTGATAATAACAAGAAAATAAGAACAGAGACATTGACAAAGACTACAAATGCAGTTTATAAGTTTGAGACAAGTTTCCAATATAAGTTCAAGTATGGTGAGCCTTTGGAAACAAAGATGTTGACGGTGGAAGTACTGGATCAATGCCTTTTGGGCTCAGATAACTATATTGGTGGCTTCACAATGTCTTACAACTCAATCATTCATGGACCAGTCCATAATCGTGTCGTCATCAGAAATGATGGCAAGCCATCGGGCACCATCGAGTTTGACCTGGAGATGAAGCAGCTCACCGAGACGCTGCTCACATTCAAGCGCGTCGTGGCCAACTTCTACCCGGGCGCCATCTCGCCCATGGACCAGCAGGCCGAGAAGTTCCTTTCGTACTTTGTCTACGATGGCGCAGCACCCAACAGCAAGGACAGACGCGTGATCAAGACTAGGAAGTCGCCCCTGCTCCAGTGGCCCGACCTTGAGCAGCTCAATGTCGAGACCAGTCTCAAGGCCCTGCTGTCCAACCCAATTGTCTTCACCATTCACAACCACCGCCAGTACACCGAGGCCGACCCAGCGTACGGCCAGACGACCCTGAAGCTCGAGTCCTACGTCACACGATCGGCACAGCTACAGGACAACCAGAGGATCGCCTTTGTCGAGCCAATAGTCGTGAGCAACCAGATTGTTGGTGCGCTCGAGGGTGAGGTGTACCTGACCAATGCACCATTGTTAGGTCAGATGGTCGCCGGCACACATACTGATGTTGGCATCGAGGGTGGCCAGGATCTGTTCTCATCACTCAATGGAGCCTCATCACCAACAACTCAAGATGCGCCACTGCCTACTGGATGGGAGAAGCGCACAGACGACAGTGGCAAGGTTTACTATGTCGATCACAACACAAAGACATCACATTGGAGTCTGCCAGCACAAGCTGTCCACGCACCTCCACCCCCACCCCCAGTCCAACCCGCGCCAACTCAAATGCCAACTCCAATCCAAACTCAACCATCTGTACCATCTGCACCATCTGTACCATTCACATCACAACCACCTCCACCAACAACGACTCAACAACCACCAATGATGCCACAACAAGTACAACAACAACAACAACAACAACCACCAGTTCCACAGCCACAACGACAAATGCCACAGATGCCAATCCAACCACAACAACCAATGTACCAACAACAACCACAACAAGTTAGACCACCAGTTGGATATCCAGGTGTTGTACCAGGTATGCCATACCA